GACGGGGGGAAGGGAATGCAATGCAATGCAATGGAAAGGAAAAAGAAAACGGAGTAAAATCAGGTATACCCAAGTGTTCTCAAAGAAAAACGGCGAAGAGCCAAGAAATGTTTTTGCGATTTCTTTTGGATTGTGGCTTTTTTGGGGATGGAGCTGGGCAAGGATGGAGTAGGGAAAGGGTTTAGGTGTTCCTTTCTCCCATCCACAACTCTGATGACAAACCCGTGTGTGCTGCTTGATCGGTAACCATATTTCTCTCTCATTCTCCTTTTCCCCACGTACGCATTTTATAGTTTCTAACGTATCGCTTAGTTTTTTTTCGTTTTTTTTCTAGTTTATAAAGTTGATACTATGTACCCATACAAGGTCAATGCATAGTTTTTTTTTGTTAATTATATTAATTTCAATCCATCAATCCATTTGCTTTTTCAAATGGATTGAATTTTCAATCTTTTTACAATTCAATCCATTTATTAGCTTTGTGGCTTAACCAATAAACTCTAATGATTTGTAGAAATTCAGAGATTATTTAAAACTTAACTACTTAACTTAACTAACTACTTAACTTTAACTAACCAACTAGAACCCCTTGTTTAAAACTTATCTATTTTAAACGAACATTAAAGCTTTATTTTTTTGACATCAAACTCAACAAAAAATATCTAAAATCTGATTGAAAACCCCTGAATTTTGAGTGCAATTGCTTTTTGTGTCCGCTCCCCCAATTTCCCCTTCTTTGATACAATCTTCACCTATCTCTCTTTCTCTTTTGTACTTTTCATTGTCAATCTCTTTTTTTTAAATTTCATTTCTTCTTTCGTTATCTCCTAAATCAAGCTCTTCACCGACCAAAGTCCAAATCTTTTCACAAAATTCTTTCCTTGTAACCTTTTTTTTTCAAACTTCTCGCTACATTTGCGATAATCTTTCCAAGAGTTTAGCTTTTTTTCAAGTTAAATAAAAGTTTTGATAGATTGCTTGGTTTCGGGATTATCTTGAGATTTGGGGAATGTTTAAAAAAAAAAGAATTTGATTGAAAGAGGAAGTTCGTTCCAGGGGGATTGAGAAGAAGTCGAGCTGAAAATCGGATAAAACAGATAACGATATATAGTACTGGACAATGAAATATACATTTTCTGAAAGCTCTTTTCAATGGCTATACAATGGTAGTATTAATATTTAGAAATACGGTAAAGACAAGGGAGTTACAGACGGGCGAAAGTGACGATCTTTTTTCAAATATGATATTTCATTGTCCAGTAGTGTAGGTAGGGTAAAAAGCTTTTCAAGTTTTCCTCATTGTTAAGCCTGCTTACTCACATCTTGTGAGATCTTTGATTTCGATTGAAGATCTACAAAAAGATGTGCTCACCGCTGGATTTGTAGTTTTCGAGTGGCGCTGGCAAGGAGGCCTTGCAGCCTCCCGTTCCCTCCCATCTTTCTTGAAAGAAAAAGTTACCTCTCTCCATTCCCCTGGTCATATGGTCACCTATCTTTATTGCCTCTAACTTTCTTGAAAAAGGAGGGCACTGTTTTTTGCTTTTTCTCCGGGCATCGCCAATTTCTTTTTTTTTTTTGCCCTATGCGCCTGTTTTTCTCCAAATCCGTGCCCATCTCCCTTTTTGATCGACTAAACGTTTCCCTCTAAGAGATCAACATATAAAAAAGTATTTGGAGATTACGGTAAATTGTCACCAATAATCGATCACTTATCTCCTAAAAATAGTTATTATTTATCGTTTAGCCTCTCAAATTTAGAGTTGAACCCGGGATCGAAAAGTTTTGGCAACAATGATCTTGCAGTTCTAGTTGATTCTTGACTTTATACTTTCTTGACTTTATACTTGACTACCCAATTATTAAATACATTATATGATTGCTTTCTATTATTGCTTTCTATCGGTTCTTTTCGTGTGCATTTGTATGAATTCATGTGGATTTTGTTGTTCAATCTTTGCACACTTTATTTAATATTCTGAATAAAGTATATTCAGGATATTAAAATATGCTATTGTTAGGATATTTAAATATACCATTGTTAGGATATTTAAAATATGCCATTGTTAGGATATTTAAATATACCATTGTTAGGATATTTAAATATACCATTGTTAGGATATTGAAATATGCTATTATTAGGATATTAAAATATGCCATTGTTATATATATATATAACAATGGCAAGATTGAGCTATAGTTTAAGTTTTCTCATTCCTCTCGGGAACATCAAGAAATAGCAATCCCATAACTCTTGGATTGACGTCAGTGATGTTTTAGTGATGAAAAGCTGGATGCCCTATGGGAAAAAGATGACCGGAAGTGAGGGTGAAAAAAAAAAGGAAAGCTTAGAAATAGCTCAACATTACATCGCTAGGGAAAAGATAGGAATTTCGTTGAAAATCGAGTGCAAAGCATCGACGAAAAAGCGTTTGATAAGAAGAGTTTTGATGGATCGAAATAGGTGTAAGATAAAAATTGCGTCATGGTAGAGTTTGATGAGAGGGAAAGGGGAAAAGAGATAAAAGAGATAAAGAGAGAGAGAGGCTCGTTGGCTCTTAGCCAGCTCAAATGTGTGTGAGAAACGGGTTTCTCACAGCCTTTCTTGTTCTCTTTAGCTTCGAGGACACCGATGAGTCACCGCTAGAATCTATTACGATTAAATCGTTTGCTGAAAAAGCGATCATGAGACTTTTTTTGATTAGGATTTTAGAATTAAACAATATGAATAGTAATCTAAAGAAATTTGAATCATTTTAGATTCAAATTTCAACTTGTCAGCTCCGAGCTACAGGTCAGTCATTTCACAGTACAGGTCAGTCATTTCACAGTATAGGTCGGTCATTTCACAGTACAGGTCAGTCATTTCACAGTACAGGTCAGTCATTTCACAGGAACTCCCCTCTAATACGTTGGAGGAGTTGAGTTGGGTTGTCGGGGTGTTAGAGATGGCGGGATATCAAAAGGGATCCACTCTCTTTAACTTAACCCAAATTCTAGTCCACATCCGTTTATACCTAGGAACGAATAAACTTGAATGATTATGTGAATGATTGTGAATGATTAAAGAAATGATTTCAAATTTTATCCTTCTTTAATTCTTTGCTTTCTTGTTTTCTATTTTCTATTTGAAATCAAATTATTTAAAAACTAGTAAACTCTTGAGAAAATGATAGCTGAAAGCTGAAAATGATAGCTTTTAAGTAAGAATTTTTCTTGGCAATTTTCAGTAAGAACTTTTCTTGAACATCAACAAAAAGGAGACTTTTTCAATGGCAATTATAGTACAAAAAAAATGGCATGGCTAGCTCTTGGTGCCTAATTGATGAATGGGCACCGTTCACATGACCACCGCAACTTCTTTTTTTTCCCCTCCTTCTTCCAATTTTCTCTTCTCTTCGCAAGGGACGTGCAAATTTGCGGTCAATGGAACAATCAGCTGCCCCACATCTCGTCTTTTTCATTCCTCTCCTTGCATAATTAAATGAGTAATTGTAGTTGCCCTTTTCAATTATTTTTTCCGTTCTTTTTCCCTCTTTCCCCCTTCACTTTCACTCGATCACATGCCCCCGTTGGGCAGCAATTTTTTTTTTTGCCCTTTCTCGGCGCTGACCAGAAAAATCCATCTCTTTAAAACGGGGCGAGCTTTCGTATAATTCGATTCTCATTGAAGATTTTTTGAGTGTATTCAGAAAAAAAATATCTCCTAATCCTTGTAGATTCGAATTTTTCTTCAATCTCAGTATTCCACAAAAAAAAAAGAATTGCGGGGCTTTTATGGGAAAGGCATCAAAAATCGGCGTGGCAGAGAAGAAAATGATGGTTGTAAACGTTTGAGATGAGCTTTTTAAAGACGATCGTTGATGGTATTATCCCAGATTTCTTAGATTTATTGAAAATTTTTAGAAAGCCGATTTCTAGGAGTTCGGGATGATCAAGATGAGATCTCTAGGCGAATGAGGGTAGAAACGGATCGGTAGATCGACAAAAGCACTTTCTCATATCACAAAAGAAGATACAATGACAAGAAATCTAAAAAAAGAGTAAAAAGTCTCATTGTCATAGAGATGGAAAAGAGAGGAAGAGAGAGAGAGAGAAAGAAAGAAAGAAAGAAAGAAAGAGAGAGAAAGAGAAATGAAGGCGGGGCGTGGGCAGGGCAGAGAGAGGCACCGCCTCCTCTCACCCACAGGGGTCATCAATTGTGCGCTGGGGAGGGCTGGGAGTGGTTCCCACGCCGAGTCTCCATTCTCACCCCCTTTTTCCACTTCTATTACTTCTGCCTTTCCCCCTTTCTTACCAATCACATATCCAATCCTGCTCGTTGACCTCTCAAACACTTGTGATTCCCGGTCAACTATTCATCATCTCTCCTAAGCCTATCATTTCTCAACTTTTCACCCCAAATTCTCCGATTAATTTTACAGCTTTAAATATTTTTGGTTCTATTTTATTTTCTTTCTGTTTTTAGTTTCTTTCTGTTTTTATTTTCGTTTCTTCAAACATTTTCTCGAAAATTTGTTTCCATTTTGATGAAATCATTGCCTGTTTTCTTTTGAATGGCAAAAAAAAATTGAAAAGATCACGAAATCTGACATAAATGAGAATTTAATGTTTTTGGAAATGATTCGAAGATCCAAAGGAAAAAGCCATTAGTGTTTCTGAGATCGAGACGAAAAAATAAGAAGTCCGGATCAAGGATATTGATATTTGGGTGTCGAGATGTCATCGAAGGTCACTCAAAGCGAGAAAGGGCTGTTCTCGATTTTTCCCCATTCACAAGTCTCATTTGCTTGCGTTTTTGATTTTCATTCTATCTTTGATACTTTATCGTTCCCACACAGCTTTCATCAAGCACTTGACTCTTGTCAATGATTGACGATTGCTTACCACTACCGGTTGAACTAGTGGAACGATTTCTAGTGAAATTTCTTTATCTTTGTCTTTCAACTTTTCATATCTTTTCATATCATCCCTTTATTTCTTTTTTTTTTTAGATTTCATTCATGCCTTCAGCAACGATTTTGAGAAGACCCTCCGATCTGGCTCACGAATTGATACGAGTGAGTCATAATTTTCTTTTTCCAGTTACCGATTAACTCTTTAATTTTTTTTAGACAGTGGCTGGGAAATTGGGGAAAAACGTGCACAAAAAGCTGTTCTCAACGGTGCCACCACGAGATGAGAGGAAGTGTCGATCGACTGGTGACCTAGACGACCTGGACATGCTCGCCGAACCGACCACTGTACGTTTTTTTTGAAAGTTTCTATGTTAACTAATTAGTTAAAAGTGTCCGGCTAATTTCCTCTCCCTAGCTAGCTGGTCTCAATCCTACTTTAGCTTTAGCTAGTTCAAGCAATTCTTGAATTAGAAATTTGAATTTTTCTTCCTTGTTCTGACCACGTGTAGCTGGGTTGATGATTTGAACGTCAAATTGACAGCTTTCTTATCACATTTTTTTTTCTGATTCTTTTCCCAATTCGAAGTGTCCATCAGGGTTTTTATCAAAATATCAATTCCTTTCGAACAATTTTCCGGAAAATTCTCGGGAGGCACAGTGTCTGTGAATCACGCGATTGAGTGGAAAATGGGAAAAAGGAGAATGGGGAACCGCTGTGACGCAATTTTGATCGCACATTTCGGCTCGAGCGATCACCACCAAGCTCGTTTAAAATGAAAAAGAAAGACACGGCTCTCTCCTCTCTCACGCAAAAAAAAACGCTGACGAAACTTTTCGAAACTGTCACAGATCGAATTTAAGAATCGTTCACTAAATAACTGGTTTAATGTCTGGCGATCAACTTTTCCCATCAATACCACACTTTTTGCCCTCTAAAGTGCAATGCAGCAGCAAAAACCAACATTTTCGGAGAGCTGAACGTGCAAAACAAGTGTGTTTATTGTTGGGGTTTTTTTGCGTGTGCTGTCCTTGGCTTTTTTTGGCTTGCCCGAGAAGGTTTCAGCTGCCCTCTCGTTCATTCTCTAGCCCCCTTTTTTTCCCTTTTTGTTGCGAAATTCCTCGAGTGCAAAACAGCGCTCCCCTGGATAGCGAATTTCGCAAAACAGAAAAATAGGCACACAAAAATAGCCTATAAACTGAAAATGTTTTCGAAGCAAAAAAAAAATATTCAACTATTTTTATTTTAGAGCCACTTGGCAAGCCCACTGCCAGCCCATTTCGATGATTGTGACCGAGTGCCGATGGAGTTTGGCCCGAACGGTGGCCGACTCTTGCCACAAACAAAATCCACGAGAAAGATGCTTGTTAGGTTAGCATTAAATTTGAAATTAAAATCGACTTCAAAACAATCTCTGAACAAAGCTGAACAAAAGCTTTTAGTGGAGAGCGACGAAAATCGGACACAATTCCCGCATATCAGCTTCACTATGTGCAAACGTGGTTCTACCCAGAGTGCTCAGTGTCGAAAGTCGCTTCGATTCTACAGCGCCACGGGATGGAAGACGGGTAAACTTTTTCAAAAGTTTTGAATAGTTTTAAATGAAAAGAGTACACTTGGCAGTACTTTAAGATCTACTAGACTTAAGCATTCAAAATTTTAGCACATTCATCGTGCACTCGTGGGAAGGTCGACTGATGATTGCCGTTTGTGATGATCGCCAAATTCTGCACATCCCGATCGCGATTTCCTATCGTCGCGGCTCGCCACGTTTCCGGATTGATCTTGACAAGACATTCAGGTAAATAATTGCCTTGATAACTTTGGATTTTTGGAATCTTGGATATAGTTTTCAATTTCAATGTTAACACATGAGGCTTTTTGAGTTTTGCGTAAGTGATTTCCCTTCTAGCTCGTCTAAAAACGTTCACAGGCAATCGATTTAATGAAATTAGGAGTCAAAATAAAGAAAAATCTTCACAGATCATTTATCTGAAAACAGATTAAAGAAATATTAAGTTTAAAGAAAGTCCAGAATGTTTTAGCATGAGAAATTTCCTGGGTCACCGGTGACCCTATTTTTTTCTATTCAAAGCTTTACAACTCTCTTTAAAGTTAGTAGTTTTTTTCAAAAACTCTCCAGATAAATGATCCTCAAACATTTCTCTTTATTTTGAACCGTCACTTAAGTCTGTGAACGTTTTTAGGCAAGCTGGAAGGGGAATCACTTACGCAAAACTCAAAGGCCTCATGTTTTAAGATTGAAATTGAAAACTATATTCAAAAATAAAATCTAAACAACAATCAATAAAAGGAAATTTTAGAAGTGTGGTCGAATTGGTTGAATACTATTCTCATCACAAGGGATACGTTCTCGCGAGAAGTCTCACGCACGGCATCGCGCGAAACTCTTGCATCGATAGAAGGTAAATCGATTACAAGAATAGGATTTAAACCTTTAAAGACTAATGTAAACTTGTAAAATCTCAAAATTTCAGTGTTGACGCAATTCTGAAAGAGAAGCGCACTTCAATCTGAGACTTTTCCATACAACTCTACTCTCATTCCCAAATTCGGTTATTTATTCGACGAGTGCAATTCTTTCCCGTTTCAAAACTTTGTCTGTACACGTTTTTGTAAATCTTCGTGTGAATCGATTTCTCTTTGTTGCTTAAGATGTATCTAGAGCTTTGTAATCTTTTTTTGTTTCAGATCATTTTTCTTTTTTGTTCACCTATGGGTGATCTCTCTCTTTCTCGCCATCGTTTCAACGACAGAAAACAATTTTCGGTTATAAACCATTACTTTTTCTGGCATAATACGGTAATGATTGAATAAAATGTCAAGATTATACCTGAGAAAAAAACATAAATAAAATAAAGTATCCAAAAATTGACTCTGATCACTTTTTAAGAGAAGTACAAGTGATAGAATATCCAAAATTTGGCTCTGAAAAGTATATACAGTGCTATTTTTCTTTAGGAAGTATATACAATGCTATTTTTCTCAACTTATAAAATTTCACTGTTAACTTGTCAGTATTAACATTATAACAAACTTATAATACCTATAATTGGGTCTTCTCAGAAATCCGACTTAGGAAAAGACGCGTCTTTTGACAAAAATGGGCCTTTTCATTGTAAAAAGCTATCATATACAAAACCCAAAGCCAATTCGATTCTCTTGGGACTTTTCTTAGGACAAAGGGTTAAAATAAACCCCACCAACAGGTTCAACGACCCTAAAAACCCTCGGATAGAAATTTCCAGTTGAATATCTTCTGTTTATATCATCTACAATGCAAAAGCCAAAACCCGTGTAAATCTGGCGATGCGTTCTTTGTGCGGCCGTGTAATCGCTCTTGATCTGGCAAACCCTCTCGATACATAGGTGTTCCCTTTTGGAGTCGGTCAAAGAGAAAGGAGCGGTGAGTGATGGAGCTGCTTTTCACGCCTTGGGCCTTTTCATGCTCAAATTTTTGGAAGCGATTTCTGCTTCAATTTCTGCGACAAATTTCGCATCATGTGAAACCATTGTGTTACCCAAAAGACCCAGCTCCCCGAGAAGAACCCAGTCACTCAGCAAAACCCATTCATTAGGGTCAGTAAAGTGATCACTGATGTTTGTGTCCGTTATCTAAACCCCTTTGTCAATCTTTGTTTCGGGGCAAATGTTTAAGACATTTCAACATTTCATCTTTTTTCCGAAACTTATTCCAGCTTTCTGTTTAGCCTATTTTTGTTGGCTATTTGATATTTAAATAAATGTTTATATCTATATTGATACTAAAGTTTTTTACATTAATCTTTGTTGCCGAATCATTCGACTCTGCGAATTATTTGAGGAATTTGGTGAAATTGAGGTGAGAAATGATTTCCTCACACTCGCGACAATCCCATTTTTCCGTGTTTTGATCGTTTTGATCTTTGAGATCAAAACACGGAAAATTTCCCGGAATAACCGAGATTTTTGTCGCAAGACAATTAATAACTTTGTGATTTTTCAACATTTTTTTTTTGCAATTTCTCTTCAATTTTTATTAAAAAAAATGTCTTTTGATTGATTAAAAGCATCAAAGTCGATCAAAAAATGAAAAAAGTTTCTTTAATATCGAAGTTGGGGACTCTTCAAAATGGCCGAATACTAAATGGCTTATTTCGAGTCCTTGAGACTTTGAGGTCAAGCCAGGGTCAAGCCAAGGTCAAGCTTTGAGGTCAAGCCAGGGTCAAGCCAAGGTCAAGCTTTGAGGTCAAGCCAGGGTCAAGCCAAGGTCAAGCTTTGAGGTCAAGCCAGGGTCAAGCCAAGGTCAAGCTTTGAGGTCAAGCCACTGTAGCTAAAAACTAACACTTGATTCGGTTTCCCCATTGCCGAAAACCCTGGATACAAATTTTCAGCTTAATCTGTTCAGAAATTATATGAATTTCATGTGAGCCCCATTGTTGTGAGATCAAAAAGGAAAAAAGTTTCTTTAATATCGAAGTTGGGGACTCCTCAAAATGGCCGAATACTAAATGGCTTATTTGTTAAAATTAAAATTTGTTATTTGTTAAATTTAATAAATTTAAAAAGTTTACTGAAACCTATTCTGTTAAAAAGTTTTCAATTCAATTCGAAAACCCAATTTTAGTTATCAATGAAACAAGAAAGATTGATGAATTCAGATTTTAGCACCGGCTTCATACAAGGGATCGATGTGAAAACGAATGGGAACACGAGCGGAATCGCTTTCATGGGAATTCCCCTAGCCGAGCCACCGATCGGAGCGCTTCGGTTTGTGACTTTGCCTTGTTTTTAAGCTTTGTCTTGTTTTTTAAGCTTTATTCTCATTTTATGTAACTGTAAACTTTTACTGTAATTTAGCTATTGTAGTAACCATTCAGCGTTCGATTTCAGCCTTGAGAAACCGATGGCCGCATCGAGTTGGGAAGGTGTTCTCTCGGCCGTTCAGTACCGTAATGCATGTCTTTCTGATCCAGTGTAAGAACTTTTAAAGTGTAAGAACATCGAGTTGGGAAGGTGTTCTCTCGGCCGTTCAGTACCGTAATGCATGTCTTTCTGATCCAGTGTAAGAACTTTGAAAGCAAATTAGAATATAAAAGATATCTATTTATTTATGCTAACTTATTTTATCTTTATTTTATCTTTATAAAAAATCCTTTTTTCTAGAAGAACCTATAAACGAAATGATGGAGGTCCTGTGTCAGAAGACTGTCTCTACGTGAACGTGTTTACAAATCGACGTTGTCTAGTGAAGGTTATTTTATGGATCATTTGCATAAGTGACTTTTGAGAATTAGAATTAGAGTACAAAAATATTATCCAAGCCCTACAGGGCGGATGCGCAGTGCTTGCTTTGATTCATGGTGGCCGCTATACAATGGAGTCACCAGTTTCTTTCTCCCCACAAATCATCGTCAATAACTTTCCTGGGCAGGTAGAAAAATTCGAAAATCTATAGTTATTAAAGTATATCAAATAATAAAGCTTTTCAACATTCAGATATTCAGGATAGAGATGTGATTGTGGTCGGTTTACCGTATCGCCTCGGTTTCTTGGGCTTTTTCAATTTGCCTCACTCGAGCGTTCCACAAAATCTAGCAATATACGGTAAAAAAAAGACGATAAATGATAAGAAAAAGAGATTTAGATTTGAAACTCGGTTTGGAATGGATTCAACGAGAAATTCAGAACTTTGGCGGTGACCCGAGACGAGTGACCATCTACGGGCACTCAGCCGGCGCACAAATTGTCGATCCGGTGCGTTTCTAGGGCAAGAGTAAAAGCTTCAAATGGTTGTTATGGTTTTTAAAAAAAATCGATTCTAATACTTATTTGAATATATTTAAACAAATACTAGTATATATTTTAATATTTTAGCTCTCGATGAGTCCACAATTTGAGGGTCTTTTCTCGGCGGTCATTTCACAATCAGGCAACGCTGCTCATCGGGATACGAATTTTAGTAAATTTTTGATTGTCTTTCAGAAACGAGCTTTACATTTAGACACAAATTAAATAGAAATTTATTATTATTTAGTAATTTAGCTATAAATTAATTTAGAAATTGGTCAAGTGGCCTCGAAAAGAATCATCTATATTCTTGGATGTGCGGACGAGTCAACGAATGATCTCACAAAACGTCATCTTGTACGAAAAGGTTGGAAATCTACTGTATATAAAGCAGAAGAGGCGTCTGTCTGTCTGTCTGTCTGTCCGTTTTTCTGTGCGCGAACGTAACGCTCCGTAATTACAGCAATGCATTCAGCTTTTGCGCGCGACATTTTACTCCCGGGGGTTTTCAGCTATGGGGAATCTGAATTTTAAGTCCATTTTAAAAAAGGGGCGTGGCTTAACATAACGTGGCGTGGGTTACGGTCGTTTTAGTCATTTGAAAGAAAGAAAGGGACGTCGCCAACGAAAAACGCCTTCCCAGCGGAAAGCGCAAACGAAGTAAGCGTTTTCCGCTGGTAATCCAAATATTTAAAGAGATATGTATAGAAATTTAAAAAAATTAATGTTTTTGTAAGATTCATTGGATTAATTTCAAAGTTTTAGCTCTAAAATGCGTCCGTGAAAAGAGTTCATCCGAAATTCTGGAAGCACAAATTCGACTCAATGATTACATCGAAGATTACACGGGGATCAGCATTGATGATTTCGTAAGATGTGATATTTAAAGAGATGTGTATTTTAAAATTTGAAAAATCATCTTTCAGTTCTTTCCCGAGCCACTTGCTGAGCTGGCTGTGAAGCGGAGAAAAATCCCGACGCTCGTTGGGACGGTCACCGGTGAAATGGATTCGACCAAGTTGAATTTTCAAAAACCGATTAAACCGATAAATTTATTCATTAAACTTTTAGATTTGTTGAAAAGGCAAACGGTTTACCAAATCGTGAGGATCTTAGCTGGATTTGTCGAGTTTTTACTTATGGTTAGGAGAAGGAAAAAAGAATTAACGGAAGTGGGACAAATGCGACCTTTTTTTTGCGCACCCGGACATTTGCGCACCTTTTTTTCCGCACCTTGCCCATTAGCGCACCTTTTTTCGCGTTTTAAAAAAGCTCTAAAAGCTAATATTAACCAATTTCTATTCCAAAAGTTGTTTTTCTAGGTAATTTTAGGGTGTCGAATTCAAATTTTGACATAACAGAGCGTGTGGAATCAATTTGAAAGACAAAAAATTGTCGAAAACAGAAAATTGTCGATTTTTCTCTTTGTATAACTCCGTCCGTTCGCTTCCACAAGCTCTGATATGCCAAAATTTGGATTCTACACCCTAAAATTACCTAGAAAAACAACTTTTGGAATAGAAATTGGTTAATATTAGCTTTTTAGAGCTTTTTTAAAACGCGAAAAAAGGTGCGCTAATGGGCAAGGTGCGGAAAAAAAGGTGCGCAAATGTCCGGGTGCGCAAAAAAAGGTCACATTTGTCCCACTCCCGAATTAACAATTTCTCTAACTGTTCCCAAGCGAACCTAAGAATGAATCGATTTTTCCCTCACTTTTGAAGATTTTTGAAGATATTCTGTTGTAATTTTTTTTATTTTCCCACTAGTTTCTTTTACTTAAGATATTAAGTTCAATTTTTAGGATGGAGTCTCGAGAGACCGGAGCTTGCTGCACAAAAATGTGTTCAAGAATATTCTCAAGGTTTGGCATAAAGTCAAAAAAATATTTAATACGTATTGATAGTTATATTATAATAATAAAAATATTCAGTGAATCGAAGCCGTCATCTTTATGATGATAGTTCTTTCTTCAGCTCAACCATCGACTTTGCGTTGAGCCAAATCGGTTCACGGAACAAAGAGGTAAGGGTAAGAACAAAGAGCAAGCATGAAAGCTACCGTAAATACTGTAATAGTACCCCAACCCCATAATGTCGGTGCGGAGTGTTGCGTAGTCTAGCTTTGAACGAGTTTTTCTCGACACTGGTTTATGCTACAATAGCAATAAAATTATCAAAAAATAGCCCTAAATTTCAACTATTTTTTGATACCAAAGACGCATTTTTTGAAAGTACGGGCGCTTTGAAAAAAATGAAATACTAAAAAGCTTTTGCGACTACGCGACTGTACGAGGGGATGAGGTACTACTATAGTATTTACGGTAACTCTTTCGTGCAATTTTGATAGATATTCTATTTTGTAAAATTCTAGGTTTATGTGTACAGTTATGCGTACTCTGGCGCGGGTCGAGCTTACAACGCCTACCAAAAGGATCGAAGCGATAGCCCTTTACATTCGGAGGATTATGTATTTTTTTTTAAAAAAGGCAACCATCTTCCGCCCCTTTTTTTCGATTCATTTTCCGTTGGTAAACGACGAATTTTCCTTGTATCTTGTTCGAGTTTGTTTGAGAATCAGGCAATGCTTGAGAAACGTTGAACGTTTGAGACGTTTGAGAAACGTTTGAGACGTTTGAGAGACGTTTGAGACGTTTGAGAAACGTTTGAGACGTTTGAGAGACGTTTGAGCGTTTGAGAAACGTTTGAGACGTTTGAGAGACGTTTGAGACGTTTGAGAGACGTTTGAGACGTTTGAGAAACGTTTGAGACGTTTGAGAAACGTTTGAGACGTTTGAGAAACGTTGAATTCACTTTCATTCAATAGAAAATCGAATTTCAAGTCGAATAAGTCGAATAAGGCAAATTCATAAAAAGAAAATTTGATTTCAAATCGAATTAAACGTTTTTCAAATAAACCCAAAGCTAAGAGACGACCAAAATTCGTCGATTTTCAATGGAAAACGGACTGGAAAAAAAAGGCTGAAACATGGCTGATAAAAACTAAAAACGAAAATTTTACAGTGTTAAAATATCTTTTTAGATTTATGTATTTGGTCTACATCGTGGCGAGTTTGTGGAAAAAGACTATGAAGTGGAAAGGGTTTATACAGGCAAATTTTCTTTTTTTTTGTTCTTTTTCCTTAATCTTTTTAATCTTTAAGTCTTTAAGTCAATCTTTTTCTTTAAAAAAAATGTTCTTTAGAAAAAGCTATCGTATTAGAAAAAGCTATCGTATTAGAAAAAGCTATCGTACTAGAAAAAGCCATCGTATTAGAAAAAGCTATCGTACTTTCGATTTTCTTTTTAGAATTTAAGCATGAGCCTGGTGATTTTCACCAAAATCCCCCACTCAAATTCACTTGGATTACGGTAGCTTTTTCTTCGAAAAGCTGAAAAAGCTGAAAAACAGTGAGGCTGCTAGGCACGGGATCAAGGAAACGATTGCTAAAATAGAATAAAGTCTAGGTATCATCGCGAATTTCGTCAAACACCACAATCCATCTTTTGAAGGAATCGCTTTTCCACAATTCACTCAAGAAAATTTTGAGCACTTGAGAATTGGTAGGTGGAATTGATAAACGAAGATCTTTATTAGCTTTCGATCAAGAGGCTCAGACGGCCGCCATGGCTGAGTCATTAGAAAGCTAGTCGAGAGGTCACGGGTTCGATCCCGGCATGAAAATTGGCATGAAAATCTCGCTTTTTTTTCATCTACATGGATTTTTCTCTGTAAGATCTTTAGGGGTAAGGGCAGTTGAGTTGTGTATTCGTTTGTGTCATTCGTTTTTGAATCAATGCATACTTTTATTTGAGAATTAGTCGATGGAATCAATCATCCAAGATCTCTATTAGATTTCGATGAAAACGGGAAATTCAATGGCGCTCCGGCACTCAACTATTACAAGAGAGAATACGAGTTTTGGGATTATAAAATGAAAAGGTTAGAAAAGTAATCGTTTGAGCAATTTAGTGAAGTTGATTTCAGTATTGGAGGAAAGCGAAAATCACTGCAAAATCCACCACCAGGCTTTGACAATTTCGACTTTTCGGCAGCGTGTAAAGCGTTAGAAGTGATGAGACCTGGATATTCAAAAGTATAGTCATATCAAATCTTTTATCAATTTAATTGTGTTTTGAAATTACCCTAGATTCTGTTTTCTTCATTATTAGACTAAAATCAAAAAGTTTACGCTTAAAAAGCAGTAAACTTGATCTCCGTTTTAGGAAATTCATTCAAAAAGCGAGCTTATGTTTGCTCGCCAAACTCTGCGAGTTTTTTACTCGCTATAAACATAATATCATTTTTCTCATAAGCTTTCCCGATTGTCCACCACCGACGTATTGTCCACCAATTTTGAGGTTGGGCAATTTATTCAAAAACCAGTGTATAAACTAAATTACGCTATTGAGAATTGTCCAGAATGAAAATTTTTGTCAAAAATTTCTCCTTTTAAACACGATTAACCACGAACTAGCCCTTGGCGGGTTATGGTAAATAGCTTATAAAAAAAATACAGTACTGGACAATGAAATATCATATTTGAAAAACGATCGTCACTTTTGCGCGCGCTGAAATGCGTAAAAAAAAATACGGTGTTTCTAAATATTAATATTACCATTGTGTAGCCCTTGAAAAGAGCTTTCAGAAAATGTATAACACTAATAGTTTAAACTCAAAGACAAAGAAGTTACAGACGTGCGAACGTGACGATCATTTTTCAAATATGATATTTCATTGTCCAGTACTGTAGCTTATAAGAAAAATAGGTTATAAGAAAAATAGGTTATAAGAAAAATAGGTTATAACAAAAATAGCTTATAACAAAAATAGCTTATAAGGAAAATAGCTTATAAGAAAACTAGCTTATAAGAAAACTAGCTTATAACAAAAATAGCTTATAAGAAAAATAGCTTATAAGAAAACTAGCTTATAAGAAAACTAGCTTATAACAAAAATAGCTTAAAGAAAACTAGCTATAACAAAAATGGCTATAAGAAAACTAGCTTATAACAAAAATAGCTATAACAAAAAAGCAAAGAAAAATGGCATAAGAAAACTAGCATAACAAAAATAGCTATAAGAAAACTAGCTATAACAAAAATAGCTATAAGAAAAATAGCTTATAACAAAAATAGCTTATAAGGAAAATAGCTTATAACAAAAATAGCTTATAACAAAAATAGCTTATAAGAAAACTAGCTTATAACAAAAATAGCTTATAAGAAAACTAGCTTATAACAAAAATAGCTTATAAGAAAACTAGCTTATAAGAAAACTAGCTTATAACAAAAATAGCTTATAACAAAAATAGCTTATAAGAAAAATAGCTTATAAGAAAAATAGCTTATAACAAAAATAGCTTATAAGGAAAATAGCTTATAACAAAAATAGCTTATAACAAAAATAGCTTATAACAAAAATAGCTTATAACAAAAATAGCTTATAACAAAAATAGCTTATAAGAAAAATAGCTTATAAGAAAAATAGCTTATAACAAAAATGGCTAAAGGAAAATAGCTATACAAAAATAGCTTATAACAAAAATAGCTTATAACAAAAATAGCTTATAACAAAAATAGCTTATAAGGAAAATAGCTTATAACAAAAATAGCTTATAAGGAAAATAGCTTATAACAAAAATAGCCTATAAAAAAATACCATTTTTTTTTTCTGCACTACTAATCAAGGACTCTACAAATAAGCTTCTTCAAAAGTCCAATCCATTTTATTGAGAAATCTTTACGGAAATCATGATTGATTTCGAATTTTTAAGTCAAAAACATTGAGACTGATAGGCACGGGATCAAGGAAACGATTGCTCTCGCGCCGTAAATCGATTCACCCCATCTCCTTTGCCTTTCCCCCCGTTTCAATCCAAAAACTAACCCTCTTTCGTTTCTCAATGATTTTCCTCTTTCATTACTTTTGAAATCATCAACATCCATCATTTGAAAAAACTTTTTAATAATCTTATTTTTAGAATATAATGATTATAATATCTTTCCAGGACGATAAAAGCATCGCTTCAGTTCAGAAAAGTTTCATCATCTGGAACGCGTTTTTAGAGAAATCACAAGAGAGATACGTGTTTGGTGAGTAAACGAAATAAAAAAACGAGGCTTTCTCAAATAAAGAAAAAGCTTTTATGAATTCAATGCTGATTTTTCTTTCTAAAGTTTTTCAAAAAATTTTTGCCTGAAATTTAGAGGCCGAGTCTCGGAGTTTGATCACAAAAGAGCAAGAGATCTCTGAAGAGAACGCAAAACCACTAATGCTTTGTGAGTTTGTGAGAACATTATAAATCTCTTCAAAGAAACCAAATTTTTTTCATTTTCTATTTCTATTTATTCTCATTAGAATATGTACATCTCGAGTAAAGGGGAGTGGGACAAATGCGACCTTTTTTGCGCACCCGGACATTTGCGCACCTTTTTTTCCGCACTTAGCCCATTAGCGCACCTTTTTTCGCGTTTTAAAAAAGCTCTAAAAGCTAATATTAACCAATTTCTATTCCAAAAGTTGTTTTTCTAGGTAATTTTAGGGCGTAGAATTCAAATTTTGACATAACAGAGCTTGTGGAAACAAACGGACGGAGTTATACAAAGAGAAAAATCGACAATTTTCTGTTTTCGACAATTTTCTGTTTTCGACAATTTTTTGTCTTTCAAATTGATTCCACACGCTCTGTTATGTCAAAATTTGAATTCGACACCCTAAAATTACCTAGAAAAACAACTTTTGGAATAGGAATTGGTTAATATTGGCTTTTAGAGCTTTTTTAAAACGCGAAAAAAGGTGCGCTAATGGGCAAGGTGCGGAAAAAAAGGTGCGCAAATGTCCGGGTGCGCAGAAAAAGGTCGCATTTGTCCCACTCCCGAGTAAAGTCCTTTTTAAAGCCCTAGCCGCATTTTGAAATAATAATCATAATAATAATAATAGAAATAGAGAAATAAAGGATTAGAATTTTATCTAGATTCACGTATTCGATATTTTGATACTTTCGTGTACGATTACGATACGATTTCATGCAAAGTAACATTGTTTTTCTGTTACTTTACATGAAATCATTTACAAAAATTGATAAAAACAAAATTTGACATTTAAACTTTAGAAATCTCTTCAATGAAACCAAATTTCTTTCATTTCCTATTTATGTTTATTCTGATTAGAATATTTACATCTCGAGTAAAGCCCTTTTTAAAGCCCTAGCATTTAAATTTAAATGTGTTAAATCACTGAAAGCAGCTAAAAACTGTAAAGAAAAAAAATCAGGAAAAGTTTTATAAAATAAAATGATCAGCTCGTTTTATACTAAAGCGCTAAAGGAGCGGTTTTTGGAATGAGCATTACTTAGCTCAAAAACAAGTAAAAATTACTTGGAAAAAATTGATTCCAAGATAATTACTTACTTGAGATGTACAAACTCTAAACGCTTATAGCTTATCTGTCAAATATGTCAAAAATAGGTCAAAAATGGTCAAAAATAGGTTAAAATACGTCAAAAATAGGTTAAAATACGTCAAAAATTGGTTAAAATAGCTCAAAATTGGTCAAAAATAGATCAAACTTGGTCAAAATAGGTCAAAATACGTCAAAAATAGGTTAAAATAGATGAAAATTGGTCAAAAATACGTTAAAATTGCTCAACATTGGTTAAAATAGGTCAAAAATTGGTCAAAAATTGGTCAAAAATTGGTTAAAGTAGCTCAAAATAGGTCAAAAATAGGTTAAAATACGTCAAAAACTGGTTAAAATAGATTAAAATTGGTCAAAAATAGGTAAAATAGGTTAAAATAGATTAAAATTGGTCAAAAATAGGTAAAATAGGTCAAAAATAGATTGAAATAGCTCAAAATTGGTCAGAAAATTGGTCAAACTTGGTTAAAATAGGTCAAAAATTGCTCAAAATTGGTCAAAAATAGGTCAAAACTTATAATAATTCGTTTTCTATCGTTGTAATTTCGTTTATTTGTTAAATCAAACGCAAAAAAAACGAATCGATGAAGCGAATTTGCAGCCACTTACCTTCTGATCGGCGGGATTTTGATGTTGCTCGCGATTTTGCTCGTCTCGATCATGAAATTCATCCAATACCGCAAAAGAAACTCGTATCAAGAAATTTAAGTGCACATTAAGTTCATTAAGTTCAGTTTTTTATTACATTCTCTGAGCTTTTCTCGAATCTCTTTCTCAATACATTTTAACGCTAATCTCCCTTTTTTTAAATCAAAATTTTAACATTTATTTCTCAATGCACAATCGATTTGTTTTTTTTTGAATATAAACATTGAAATTTCCGGGTGATCATGTGATTTTGGATTTTTGAAATGATAAATGATGAGAGTTGAATTATAATGATAAAGATTGAAATGATAAATGATTAGAGTTGAATTATAATGATAAAGATTGAAATGATAAATGATGAGAGTTGAATTATAATGATAAAGATTGAAATGATAAATGATGAGAGTTGAATTATAATGATAAAGATTGAAATGATAAATGATTAGAGTTGAATTATAAAATATAAATACTTTATTCAGAAAGAAATAAAGTGCGAAAACGACATGAAAAATGTACTAGATAAAAGATGACAAAGTCACTTAAAATGCAACGAAATAGTCCTTTTAAAAAAAATTATGCAATGAAATACATTGAAAAATCTTAAATTAGACCTTAAATTAGATCTTAAATTTACAAAAAGTTTATAAAAGATGAGAAGATAAATTAGAAAAATCAATTGTTGGCTCGTTGAAAGCCGAAAATGGCGCCTCCAATGCAGAGACAACAGCAAATGAGAAGACCGATGCCGAAGATTATCAAAAATATGCTGAAATTTTCGAGTTTTATAGAAATAAGCTATTATTTGTAGAAGTTTTACGTTTTTTTTTGGATCTTTATGGTTAACGGCGGAGGGGTAGCGATTATCGACGGAGGCTAATTTTTTTCTCCAACTTACAGCTCATTTTTATGCACCTTAAACCTGTCAGATCAGGAAGCTTTAATAAGATTTAGATAGCTTAGAAAGTCAGCTTTCAGAAAGTATTTCTTTTATCAAAAGTTATTAACATAAACTTATATAAAATCGGGCTACAAGTTGGTCAAAAGCTTGGCCCTCGCCGTTAACCGTAAACCGTTCGTTTTATTTCTCAGAAAACTTACATAAACCATGTTTCTAACTCGATGCAACACTCGTATTGATTGTAATCACAACAACGATAGTGATGAAAGATCGACTCTTGACCGCATCTTAAATGAAGCTAAGGTAACAGATATATTTAAATGTTTTTTTTGGATCTTATTAGTTTTTAGTTTTTGATTGAACGAACTGTTTTATGAACCTTAAACCTTACAATTCCTTGTAATTGTAAGGTTCCTTACAATTACAAGGAAGGTCCTGTAAGGTACCTTAAACCTTACAATTCAATACAAAAGTCAGTAGATTCAAAATAGAATCGCTTACTAAAATGAAAATGGAAAATAAAAACTACCGTAAATACTGTAATAGTCTCCCACCCCCATAATGACGGTGCGGAGTGTTGCGTAGTCTAGCTTTGAACGAGTTTTTCTCGACACTGGTTTATGCTACAATAGCAATACAATTATCAAAAAATAGCCCTCAATTTCAGCTATTTTTTGATACCAAAGACGCATTTTTTGAAAGTACGGGTGCTTTGAAAAAAATGAAATACGAAAAAACTTTTGCGACTACGTGACTGTACGAGGGGGGTGGGGTACTATATTTATTTATTTACAGTATTTACAGTAAGTTACAATATAACTGGATACAGTAGCTATAAAGTACAGTAAGCAATAGCAAAATAAGCAAAATACTAAAAACGAAACACTAGCAATCTCGAAGTTGCAATTTGCTAAAGGTTTCTACAAGCCTTGACACAAATTTGATAAGCACAAAGTGACTGAGTCTACATCCGATCATTACAAGTACTATAGAGATTATAAGAGTTTGATTCTTTTAAAACAAACGGTCTTCCGTAGTATCCAGCACCGCCACCCATTCCGAGCATTCCGCTCATCCCACCTGGACACGAATAATAAGCAGTAGCACCTAGTGCCAGTGATGATAGTAATACTATGGACTCAATCATTCTGAAAATTTCTTTAAAACTTCCCGTTACCAACTCAATATCACTACAAAACGTTTTTCTTTAAACAATATTAGTTTTTCTTAAAAACATGCGTCAGAAAAAAGAGAAAGCAATGAAATAAAAAAAAACTGAAATATAGAAAAATGCTAACCGTGTGTGTGACTGGACAATATTGAAGGGACAAGAATAGACGGAATTTTCTGCTGGGAAATGGAGCAGTTGATGGGCTCGGGGCATGTATTTGTAGCCATATAGGAATCAACGGGAACTGTAGTGGATGGAGAAGAGAAGGGAAACGGAGGGAGGAATCGAGAAGGACCCTTCAAATATTCTCCCAATAACACGAGACACAATATGGTCCTTTGTAAATGACCTCCTATTTTCTTTTTTATTTTGGTTTGGAGTTGACTCAGTCTTGTTTCTTGTGAATGGTATGGTTGCATTAGGGAAGGAAAAACTTGACATTGACATGGTCTAAACTCGGTTGCGTGAGAATTCGAAACCATTTGATCACTCTTGAGCTCTTTCAAATATACTGTAACTTTTCTAACTTCAGTAGATCGAAATAAAAGTATTCAGCTGATAAGAAGGATAACTTAGGATTCAATTGAGGCAAAATATAGGTACAGTCGACTCTATCTATAAGGGAATGGAAGGGAGCCAAAAAATTCCTCCGTTATATAGAGCTTAGCGTCGGTTGGGACCAAAATTTTATTTCGTTATATAGAGTTTTCCGCTATATAGAGTTCCGTTATAGAGAGAGTCGACTGTATTCCGGTACAGAATGCTAGAAGTTTACAGTAATCTTTTTTCTGGCTAAACAATACAAGAAGCAAGGCTAAACAATGCAAGAAGAGCTCAAAATGACATCACTAATATATTGATAATTGTAATTTAGTAGCCCTTGACTATGGTCAGCAAGACTCACTCACGGGAACTCTCAGTTCAAGAAGAAGACCTCAAGACGATGGACCTGGTGCTCACCTAACGGTCAGACAAAGTGCGAGATAGACCACATCCTCGCCAACAGGAAATGGACGCTTCTAGACGTCGGTGTGGTGCTCTCCTTCATCACCGGCTCAGACCATCACCTCGTGCGAGCACCTCCTACGCCCACCTCGGAAGAGGCATCAACATGGAGGGAGACCTAAGAGCGGAAGTCGGCAAAAGAAGACGATCGGCCTGGACACTAGGCACTAGGCAGCATCAAAGAAGTCACCAAGATGCTCAAGAATCACAAAAAGACTTGCGCACACCTCTTGGACAGTACCGTCCTCCCGGCACTCTGCTACGGGACAGAGACCTGGGCCACGACACAGACCACCGAACGAGCTCTGAGAACTACACACCGAGCCCTCGAAAGAAACCTCCTAGGGCACAATAGAAAGACGCAGCTCGACCAAGATCTAAGAAGTACGGACATGCGCCAGCTCTTGGGACTCAGAGATTCAGTGGAAGTGATCGAAATAAAAAACTTAGATGGGCTGGCCACGTGGCCAGAAGGACAGACGACAGATGGACGATTCGGATCACAGAGTGGCTGCCACGAGACTAGAAGAGGCCAATCGGAAGACCAGCAATGAGATGGAGCACAAGGGTGGCAGAGACGGTCAGAGAAAGGATGGCTAGAGTGCAACCATCATCACCAGCACAAGCAAGTCGAAGGACTCCGGACCAGGAACATCCAAAATAGGAAACACTGGACGACAATAGCAAGAAATAGAGAGATATGAAGCAGGTTGTGACCTGCACAAAATAGGAACACCTAATTGCGAAGAAAGATCAAAAAAAAGTTTAGTAGCCCTTTAATATCTAAAAAGCAACACCCAAAACGAGAAATACAAATGAAGCGCTAAAGCCGGTCGATTTGTGAAAATGTTTCTCGTTTATGTGAGCGTGCTCGATCGTTATGCGTCATGTTTACCCGTATATGAAAAGATGTGTCGAAAATTTCAATATCGTATTTGGGCATTTCTCGAATCGGAGAAGGGGATAGATTGGCGAAAAGAAGACATAGGTAAACAATCTCTCAACGACGGCCAATCACAAAAACAACAATAGAGAATGGCGTGGCTCGAGCTCCTCACCCGTCTTTTTCCACTTTTGAGTCAGCCATCCAATGCTTGAGATCACTATTATTAAGAAAAACAATATGAACAATACAAAATGTGAACTTGAACAAGTTTTGAACTGTGAACAAGTTTTGAACTGTGAACAACAGTTATTAGGACTTAATAAGTTCTGAAATGAATAAATCCGGTATCATTTCCCTACAATCTTTAATAAGGATTTTGTTGATTTTTGTGTTTTTCTATTTTTTGACCTAGCTTGACTGAAATTTCAATGAAATATTATACCGGATAGGACTTGTTTCATTCTTCGATCGACTTACTTTGATCCTTGCGATAGTACAGTTGTGTTTGTGCTTTTGTGATTTTCTATTTTTCTATTTTTTGACCTAGCTTGACTGAATGCTTGGTCCTATTTTGAATTACTGTATTCTGTGAGTATAAAACACGATTTTTTAAGACAAAAATTTCATTCTGATCATCATTGTTAGCTACCAATAACCAATTGTTAGCCATTCCTTTTCTGTAAAGTCTACAAAATTAGATTTTGTGGATTCGAACGAAGAAAATTTCAATGAAATATTATACCGAATAGGACTTGTTTCATTCTTCGATTTCATTCGATCGACTTACTTTGATCCTTGCGATAGTACAGTGCGAATGTAAATAAATGAGGAAAGAATTGACCAAACGGTTGATTAGATAAGGCAACTTTGTGGCCGTTGCCATCGGCTACTCCCTCTAAAAGCAAAATTTTAGATTATCTTTCATCACAACTATTTAGCGATGCGTGTTTTATACAACTCGGATTTGTTACGAGAAGATCTTCATGGAAAGCTCATTCAGTATGTCAATGCTCGTGTCTTGCTAGGGAATCAATTGATCGATGATCACATTTGGGTAAAGAAATCACTTTTCTCCTAAGCTATGTTTTGAAAATAGGTTCGAAATGGAAAGATTATCTCCGCAGCGTCTGTATTTTATGATGAGAGGCGAGAAGCTGATATTCAAGTGAGATAACCGCTAACAAAAAGTCTAGGGATCGAAGTCTAGAGATCATTTTAGATCGATTGCCAAGGGAAAATTCTATGCCCAGGATTCATTGATATTCAACTGAATGGTATGTGAATGGACAGATAAAATGACAGATAAAATTCTAGGAGCTTTTGGTGTCGATTTCTCGTCGATTGGCTTTTCGAAAGCGGATTTCTCGAATGGAGTCCAAAAAGTGAGGAAAGGTCTTTTGGCTTTTGGAGTCACCTCATTTCTCCCAACAATCATCACGTCTACTGCTGAAAGTTATAACAAAGTAATAAAATAATTGATATTGGGGCAATCGATATTGAGAACACTCTATTAGATATTGCCATTGATCAAGCGATGTCCTGGAAGTCCAGAAGGCGCTGCGATTCTCGGTTGAATGATCTCTTTTTTTAATCTAAAATACAAATTTCCAGGGGTCCATGTGGAGGGACCATTCATTTCACAGCAGAAACGTGGATGTCACCCAATTGAATGTGTTCGCGATTTTGGAGAGAATTACAAGAAAGAGATTGCGAAAACTTATGGATCACTTGAAAACATTAGCATGGTGACGATTGCGCCAGAAAAGGAGGTTTGAATCAAATCGATATCAGTAAGCGAACTTATTTTTTTTATATAATGTTTTTTATATAAAAACTCGTAAAACCTTTTAGCATGCTTTGGATGCAATCAAGTATTTTAAAGAAGAGGGAATCATTTGTTCGCTGGGTCATTCATCTGCATGTTGGGAGGAAGGAGTGAGGGGAGTACAAGCTGGTGCTCTCTCTATCACTCATCTCTTCAATGCTATGCAATCAGTGGGATATTTTCTCTTAAACCTAAATACTATTGTAGTCGTACCCCTTTGTACAGTCGCGTAGTGGCAAAAGCTTTTTTAGTATCACCATCGTGACCCCGGCCTTATCGGCTTGCTCACCACAAAGTTCAAGGAAAAAACTCATCCGCTATTTTATGGTAAACTTTTGCAAATACTGAAACTGAAGAGGTAAGAGATTTCAGGGATAATAGCTGATGGTATTCACACGCATGACAGTGCTCTTCGAATTGCACATCAGACTTTGCCGGAGGGTCTCGTTTTGGTCACCGATGCGATTGCGGCTTTAGGCTTAGGAGATGGCATTCATAAGTTGATATGAGATTTTTCCTATGGTATCTAGAATTTTAGGTTGGGACAGCAAAAGATCATTGTCACCGGGTATGAAGCTCTATTAGATGGAACTCAAACACCAGCCGGAAGGTTTGAAATGAGATGAGAAAGATTACGATAGTTCTAGTGTTGCATCAATGCCTTTTTGTATTCGACATTTTGTTCAAGCTGCTCGATGTTCTTTACAAGATGCTCTCAATGCGGCTACTTTGAAACCAGGTGATCCGCAAAACTTGACAAAACCAAAACGTTTAGCAACACTTTTGGGAATCACCGACACCAAAGGAGTACTGAAAATTGGCGCTGATGCTGATTTGGTTTTATTGGGTAACGAAAATAAAAGCTTTCAATAAAAGCTCTAAATAAAAACAATCAATATTGGCTCTCAATTTAGATGATGACGTCACTGTTTTTGCCACTTTTATCGGCGGACAATTGGCCTATTTCCTAACAAATTGTTGACAACGAGAATAAAACGTTTTAACACAATGACTCAAAAATTGATCGCAAAATTCGAATGCATTTCTATTTCTAAAATGTTTATCCTTTTCTCAATGAGGTGACTAGAATTGATATACTTTCTGGGAGCTTCTGCCTTTTTCTTATCACCAAGTGATCCGTTTTTTTTTAGTTGGAGTGAGGTCTGTGAAAAGGGTCAAGAGAGAAAGAATGGTATTGATTGGTGTGCGAAAAATTTGCTTTTATTTTTCTTTCTCTTCACATTGCGAACAATGGAAGCTACTTTCTCTGAGCTTTTCGCTCCTTTCGCCCAACATAATGACGAGAAAAAGTTACCATCTAAAGTGTTTGATCTTTTGTTAGTTTAACTCATTTTCCTTTCATGATTTAAGAATTATTAACTTATCACAATACAGTCAAGCTTATTTTAGACGCTCTGGCTAAATGCAAATCATTACTTTTCTTACTGTTCATCAATTTATAAAGTATTCAGGCAACCAACTGATTATTTTTAGAGATTTTGAATTTTTATATTTTAATCAAGGTTTTCCTTTGTAACTTTATTTTGTTTTCGTAAGCTGCACGCTTTATTTGCTTCTTGGAAAAGTTGGTGGGTAGATATTTTTTTGAACTCGACATTCTATGCTCTGATGCTTTGATAGTGTTAAAGGCGCGCAAAGGGCAGGGTTGACTCAGCTGAGTCAACCACGAAATTGCCGACATCACCTTTTTCTCTTCACATCTTCAAATTCAAAAATCAATCCGTGGCAGGGACATACACACAGGAAATTTTCCTTTTCTTTCATCACCAGCACATAAAATTTCGATATTCGTTGAGTTTTGGCTAATTTGTATCCCCCGTATTACCTACCTATTTTTCTAGCTCATTTCATGAATATTAAAGAAGTTATTTTCGAGAACCCGTCAAAACTGACAGATCAGCAGCATCCGGATGCGGATTTACCCGTTTTTACGGTGATGGTCGATGAGAAACCTAGGTACCTTTATATAGGTCAGAAAAAGAAGACAACAGTTTACAAATGGCGACTCGCACCTCAAATCTCTTTGCAAAATATCTTGCTACCCCAACTTTCGTAACCGGATTTGAACAATAGATGCACTTAAAAATTTTTATTTTATCCTTGCATTTCACTGTGTTCCTTTCAAAATTAACGGTGACTTTGTAACTGTTGCAAACAATCTGTTTGACTGTAAATTTTCAGCGAACAATTCTCTAAATATAAGCCCCTTTGCATTGATTTTTTTGACATTTTATTTTTTGGCAAAAAGTTCAATGAAAAATGATTCAGGATGGAAGACGGGCCTCCGATAGATACGGAATCCTTGAATGATGGTCGAGCCCTAGTAGAACGTGAACAACGAAAAGGCGATGTGATTAGGTCAGTTTTATTTCACATTGATGCTTTTAATGAGACTCCTCTTCATTAAATTTTCGCTGTGATCTTCAGATTAATTTTTTTAGCCCGACCAGAGCTGTAATGACCCTTTCGAAGTCTATGTTCAATGCCGGATGTTTTTCTCTTCCGTATGCTTGGAAACTTGGCGGTCTTTGGGTGAGTTTTACTTTATTAAGTTGTTTGTGAAAATCTTTCATTTTAAAAATAAAAATATTTTCTTGTTTTAGGTTTCATTTGTGATGTCCTTTGTAATTTGCGGCTTTAATTGGTATGGAAACCATATTCTTGTGCGTTCCAGTCAACATCTTGCTAGGAAGTAAGAAATTAAATTTCTTTGAATTTTTAATTATATTTTTAGGTCCGAAAGATCGGCATTAGATTATGGTCACTTTGCTAAGAAAGTCTGTGACTATTCTGATATACGATTTCTTCGCAACAATTCGAAGGCAGTCATGTGAATCTTTTTTAGTAAATATTGTTTTACTAAAGCTTTCAGGTATGTCGTCAATATTACTATCTTGTTTTATCAGTTGGGAATGTGCAGTGTGGCAATCTTGTTTATTTCGGATAACATGGTAAAGTTATTTTGATTTTATTTGAAAACAAACTAATTTAGGTAAATTTGGTTGGAGAACACCTCGGCTCAACGCACCAAGAAAGGGTAATCAATTTATTACTTTGGCATCTGAAATTCATATCTAGATGATTGTTGCAGCTACAATTGCTCTTGTTCTTGTGGCTTGTACAAATATGTTCACCGAGATTCGAGTTATTTCATTCTTCGCATTGGTATGTAAACTCAAGTTTATTGTAAAAGAACTTCTCAGGTCTCTGCTATATTCTTCATGCTCGGTTTGTTGGTGATCATGCAATTCACTATTCGACAACCATCTCAATGGCGCGAATTACCTGCATCAACGAATTTTACGGGGACGATAATGATGATAGGAATGGTTATGTATGCGTTTGAAGGACAGACGATGGTAGATTTTTATGTTTAAAGATATGCATAATAAAGACACCTAAAATTCTATGATAAAGTGTAGTTGACTTAAGTTCGATTTGAACCTTTAAAAGTATCATTTTTAGATATTGCCCATCGAAAATAAACTGGAGCATCCCGAATATTTTTTGGCGACTTTTGGTGTTCTGCCCACAACGATGGTAATTTGTGGTGCTTTTATGACAGCTCTAGGCTTTTATGGGTAAGTTGCATTTTTCAAAAAATCAATAAAATTATTTTAGTTATACGGGTTTTGGAGACAAGATTGCTGCAACAATTACAACTAATGTACCAAAGGAAGGGTAACGCTTTGCTTTGTATAAAAATTCGAATTTATTCTTTAGCCTCTATTCGACTGTCAATGTTTTTCTGATGATTCAAACTTTGCTCGGGCATTCAGTGGCTTTGTATGTTACTGCTTTTTACATCAAAGATCACTTTTCTTTAGATATGTAGTCTTCGACATGTTTTATAACGGGTTCCGTCGGAAATTTTTGGCTAGATTCCCTAACACGCCAAAAATCGCAGTTGACAAAGGATTTAGGTAGTCTTTACTATTAGTGTATCAACTAAGAATAATTTAGGTTATTCTGGGTATTTCTCACTTATCTTATGGCAATCGGAATTCCTCAGCTGGAAATTATGATCCCTTTGGTCGGTGTTACTTCGGGGACGTTATGTGCCCTTGTTTATCCACCGTTGTTTGAAATGATAACATTTTGGACTGACTGGAAGGTATGTTGATTTGCATCACTTGACTGTTTATTATTTCGAATCTAGGGGCTGTTAACTTATCGCCAACGAGTCCTAAAAATATCATGGAACTGCTTCGTGATCTGCCTTGGAATCTTCGCAATAGTTGCCGGTGTCTATTCCAACATAGTTGCCATTGTGGCTTCGTTTAAACAACCAGAACCGTAAGGAACGTTTTTACTCTATTGTGAATTAATTTATTTGGCCTTTTTAATTCCATCCTCTTTTCATACTTGCTATTACGAGCTCTTTCTTTTTTAAAACGAAGTCATCTTTTTGGTTCGTAATAGTTCTCCGGCTTTGTGTGTGGCCCATTTTTGTATGTAATATTTTTTTAGTTTTTGTGATACGAGTCCCGGATTGCTTGCTGAATAGTAATGATCTTAGTTTTCTGATATTAATAATTTGACTTCTTTTCTCGTTAATGCATTTGATGTCATATGTCTTGTACTATTTGTTCTATACCGTCTTGTATGCTGCCTTTATGTTGATCGTTTCAGTTTTTAGTCCTTTCGAGCTTGCGTCCTATTATTCATTTACTTCAATTCTTCAATTCCGTGTTATTCAGACGAGTACATATTTTGTCAAATTTTACTGTGAGTATACGATAATAAATAGTTCACTTTTTAATAAAACGAATAAATGCGTATAGAAAACGATTTGCGAATTATTTTTGTTGGGCGGTTTGGGTGATGAAGTTAAATTCTAAATCTAGTTGATGGATCGGCATGAGTTTGCTGCTCCAGGCGGCACTTCTACTTCCGGCGGCGGCAGTCGCCGAACTTTTTTAAAGCCTTGTATGTTGAGAATTTTATTGGTTTTTGAGTATGTCATTGTAGCCGATGATCATCGACCAAGAACGGGCCCGTTGGTTATGGAAGAGCGTGGAGGAAAAGCGGTTAGCGGTGAAGAGGGCACCGTTTTCTACAATAACCCCTACACTGGGATGGCAATACGATCACAACGTGCTAGGCTTCCTATAGCAAAAGTGGATTCAGCAATCATTTGGCTTTTCATTGAAGATTTAATTTTAGAATAGAAACCACATCCTCTATGCCCTTGAAAAATATCAGACATTAATCGTTGTTGGAGAAACTGGGTGTGGCAAAAGTACACAAGTTCCGCAGGTATTTTTGAGATATTTGTTTCTTGATCAAAAGTTTCTAGTATTTGCTCGAAGCAGGATGGTGTGCTGATGGAAGAATGGTTGGTGTGACGCAGCCTCGACGAGTTGCTGCTATTACGGTTTTGAAATTTTATTTTACGAATCATTTGCAATTTTTAGCTAGCTGCTCGTGTCGCAGAAGAAGTGGACACTCTCCTCGGACAAGATGTCGGCTACATTGTAAGGTTTGATGATGCCACCGATAACGAAACGAAAATAAAGGTAGACATTTTTATATTTTGCTATTAGTTAACGTTTTTAGTATATGACTGATGGTATTTTATTACGCGAAATGTTCACGGATCCATTACTTTCAAAATACAGGTACATTTGATGGCTTAAAAACTTTTAATAAAAATGTTTAGTGTATTAATGGTTGACGAGGCTCATGAACGGACAACAAACACCGATATTCTTCTAGGATTATTACGACGAATAATTACTGTGCGCAGTGATCTACGAGTTGTAATTTCCTCAGCGACTCTGGATGCCGAAGTAAAAGATCTTTTGAAACTGGAAAAACTTGATTTTAGTTGTTTCGGAATTTCTTCGAATTAAACGAAACTAACGATCAAGAAAAGAACACATCGACAATTATTTCCGTCGAGGGTAGAACTCATCCTGTTACTGTGTTGTATACAAAAACGTGCGTTTATTTTTGGTACTTTTATGTACTTGGTACATGACCCATTTTTTTTTTCGAAATCGATCATTTGGGGGTTGTAAGGAACCCGAACTTCGCTATCCCAGGTCGGGAAAATGCATGAGTTATACAATTTTTGAAAAACTTGTGTTTTTAAGCGTTTTTGATGTTTTAAATGCAAATTTCACAAATCGAGTTTAACTTTAATTCTTTTTTTGTGGCCCTAAAGAGGGACGTTGGGTTGCGGTTTGTTGAGAAGAGACTTACTGCTCGCAGGGATACATGTCACGAACTTGACTCCAGAAGTTGAAGAATGAATCATGACCAAATTCTTGCTTCCATGGGAACTCATTGGTGATGTTGGTGTAGCGATCATTGGATCGGATGCTGATTCCGTTAGGCCGCTTAACCATCCACTTCTCAAATCGTGACCACATAGGTTCTACGTTCTGGGTGTGAGCCCCATTGACCGGATTGACGAAATTGAGCTGATGATTCACCGTCCCGTAGACATCCCGTAGAGTGTAATCTCTCATTGATTGATCATTGATTGTTGCCATTTCTTGCGTTGAAGATAATAACAAAGTTTTTGGTTATTTTCAATGCCTTATAAAGACCTTAAACGTGTTTGAACAGGTTAAACAAGCCACGCCCATTGGGTTAAGCCGAACCCTTAGTAAAATTTGCATTTAAAACATCAAAAACGCTTAAAAATACACGTTTGTTAAAAATTGTATAACTCGGTTGGAGTGCATTTTCCCAACCTGAGATAGCGAAATTCGGATCCAGCACACCTTAAAACCCCCAAAATGGTCGATTTCGAGAAAAAAAATAGGTCGTGTAAACCATACAAGCACCTTATTTTTTTTTTGCTTTTGTAGTATTACCGTCTTTCAGAAGCGTTCCAAGCTATTTGACTACAACAGTTGAAACCGTTTTAAAGATTCATCAAGATGAAATGCCGGGGGACATTTTAGCTTTTTTGACTGGTCAAGATGAAGTCGAAGAGGTTTTGTCATTTTACTTTTCAGCAAGAAATTTTTTCAGGTCTGTAAAAAGATTCGCGAACAATCAGTGCGTCTGAAAAATTGCGATAAGCTGTGGGTGGTGCCTTGCTATGGATCTCTTCCTCCACGAGAGCAGGTAAGTCTGATTAACACATATCATCTAGTTTTATTTAGATGAAAGCATTTGAAAGTACTCCGCATGGTACAAGAAAAGTAGTTATCGCAACCAACATCGCAGAAACGTCAGTGACGATTCCCGGAATAGCTTATGGTATTAGGGTTTTAAGCGGCTCTATATCTACTTATCTTTTAGTAATCGACTGTGGTTATGTGAAGTTGCGGGCACTGAATCCGAAAAATGGTATTGAAACTTTGATGAAGGTAAATAATGAAATCGCATCACTGGTATCATGCTATTGTTGTTTAGATTCCAATTTCAAGGTCATCGGCTGAACAAAGGGCAGGTCGAGCTGGTAGAATTCGACCTGGAAAAGCTTATCGACTTTATCCGGGTAATTTCTAACTAATTTATTGTTTGTTCAGCAAATATCAATGGCGGTTTAGAGGAGCAATTTGCCAAACTTCCCCAGAGTACTGTCCCAGAGATTCAACGTTGCGATTTGGCACCAACGATTCTTCAAATGAAAGCTTTGGGCATTCAAAATATTCATCGTTTTCATTATTTGAGTGTAAGTTGCGAAACATTTTTAGGTTGATATAGTAACATGGCTCAAATTTGCAACTTTTCCACTGCAACCTATTTGATTTAGAGACCTCCATCTGCATCCGTGATTTGTGCCTTCGAACTGTTGTACGCATTAGGGGCTGTGGATATTAAATGTTTACTTACAAACCCACTTGGAATACAAATTAGCGAGTTTCCGTTACCACCGATGCACTCAAAATGTCTTCTCAATTCTGGTAACGATTTTTTAAATCTCGAACTTTTATCGAAATATTTTAGGTCATGAAGATTTTACTTGTAGTGAAGAAATGGCTACAATTATTGCGATGCTGCAAATTCAAGATATTTTCATTACGCCGAGTGGGGGTGGAGGAGCACGGCATCGTGCGGTAAGATTCAACACTGTTTTTTCTTAAATTTTAATTTTTAGGATGTATCGAGACGAAAATTTTCCGTCGAAGAGGGCGATCATCTTACTTATCTCAACGTGTACACAAGTTATGTAGATGTATGGCTGATTTTTTAACTTTATTGATTGAAAATTTATTTAGCACAAAAGATCGAAGTCGTGGTGCGATGAAAATTTTCTTAATTATCGTGGTCTAAAGCGGGCGGATGCCGTACGTGCTCAATTGGTGGCGCTAATGAAGCGATTTGGTGTTCGCATGCTTTCCAGCCGAGGCGACATAGGTAACACTTCATTTTTTTTAAACTTTTTATCATCTATTGCAATCTTATTTTCACTTTGAAGAAGAAACTTTAAAATTTAGGTGCTACGGAAAGAATAACACGATGCTTGGTAACTGGCTTTTTCTCACAAGCAGCGAGATATCATTACACAGGTTGGTAAAAAAATTGTGTGGTTTTAATTTTTTTCTAGGAAAATACCTCACCGTAAAAGAAGATTACCCATTCAGCGTTTATAAGGGTAGTGCTGTGATGTTTTCAAGCGATTACCCCAAATGGTTGGTGATTTTAAGTGCGTTAACTATTGTTTATAGTAAAATGTCAAATTATGGTAATGAATTACTCAACTCGTACTGTTTAGGGTGATATTCACGGAAGTACTTGCCGATTCTATCAGGGACATCACTGTTGTGGATCCACAATGGTTGTATGAGCTTGCACCACACTATTACGAGTTTGGAACGGTAAGTTGCGTAGAATTATGATTTATTCTTTGATTCTTTTTAGGATAACGAGATCGCTAAAAAACGGGCGCGCAAAGGCAACGAGGACAATGAGAATAACAGTGATGAAGATAGCTCGTGAAAACACTTTGATAGTTGGAAAGATTATATACGTTTTGCAGCTATTTATTTTTTAATTAGACCTTTGGTCATTGTGAATTCTGTTGGTATACTCTGTTATTTGGAGTTCTCATTGTTATCATGTTCTTTGTGTACTCATGAATCAAGTATCTCACTAATCTAAATTTTCCTGAGGCATTTGTTGTTTTAGTAATTGATAAAACTTATGGTTTCCTTGTTCAAGCACGATCGCAAAAATATGCAGGCCTAGCAAACTAGCAACTAGTCCCTTTATTTTTAAACGCAATGCGGTTAAAACGATTACCTCCGGGAATCCAAACTCTCGAGAAGTGGCCATGACCGTCAAACAATAGCCGAGGAACAGTTTCACGGCTGGCCGCCTGAGATCGCCCTAAAAAGGGCGGAAGGGTTGAGTCGTGTCTTTTCTTCTGCATGCAATGCGCTAGTCTTCGAAGGACGTCCCCTCTAATAACGGTGTCATTACACCAATACGGCCACTACTCTGTCTTAGAAATTAGACGCGCCGACCCGCCCCGAGAGAGACACTTCCATTCAACCACCGGAAGCAAGGACGAACTATTTTTTTCCTTTCTTTTGTGTGCTTTCCTTAAGTGTTTGTTTTTTGCTTTAACTATTTCAGTTAAAACTCATAGTCAGCTTTATTTTTAGTCGGAAATTGAATACTATCTCATCGAGCTAATGCCAAGCCTTCACTATCATCTTCACTTTTTGGAATCCCCCTTGTTTTTGATTTCAGGAGCATAAGTGGGCGATGAAAGAAAAGAACACATTTGCACACGGTGACCGGATCATCCGACAATTCGCTAAGCCCATTAGGCTTTTTAGCGCACACACACACACACACTCCTTACCCTGTATTTTGCAGGTCTTCCCCTTTCTTCTTTGCGCCGCACACAGGCGCTTGGTGTCGATATGAACGGCGACAGATGGCTTCACGCTATTAGACTTCCCTCTCCTACCGCCTCATTCTCCCTTCTCCCCCTTTGCCTACCGTACTTTACCCATGATTTCAGTTGGTGTTGTTGTTGATGTATTCAATCTCATCTCTATTTAGTGTCCATTCAGCGTTCATAAAAATTAGCGCTTAAATGCACTGCTTACATAATACTCTTTTCAACAAATTTATAGAGTAAAAAGCTAAAAATATTGTCAATCTTTGTGTGTATTTGAAGATAGTTTTTCAGTACAGTTATTCATCTTAATCAAGGACTTTAATGTAGTCTTTAGCTTGAACACATTCGCCAACTTGATTACTGAAAATTATCCGCATATTCGGGAGTGGGACAAATGGGACCTTTTTTTTGCGCACTTTTTTTTCCGCACCTTGCCCATTAGCGCACCTTTTTTCGCGTTTTAAAAAAGCTCTAAAAAGCTAATATTAACCAATTTCTATTCCAAAAGTTGTTTTTCTAGGTAATTTTAGGGCGTAGAATCGAAATTTTGACATATCATAGCGTGTGGAACCAATTTGAAAGACAAAACGGCTAGATCAAATTACACAAAATTGTCGATCTTTCTCTTTGTATAACTCCGTCCGTTTGTTTCCACAAGCTCTGATATGTCAAAATTTGAATTCGACACCCTAAAATTACCTAGAAAAACAACTTTTGGAATAGAAATTGGTTAATATTAGCTTTTTAGAGCTTTTTTAAAACGCGAAAAAAGGTGCGCTAATGGGCAAGGTGCGGAAAAAAAGGTGCGCAAATGTCCGGGTGCGCAGAAAAAGGTCACATTTGTCCCACTCCCGCATATTCGATTCACTAATTCTCCACGAAATATTATTAGTGGTTTGATACAGTAAGCGCTGAGTGCGCGGAAAGAAGAAGAAAAGTGGCGTACGGGAAGAGAGCCTAATTGATCGTTGTTCCGGTACTCCCCCATCTCTGCTGCTTCAAGGTGACAATTTACACCGGGCAAAACGTTGACACAAGCTCGATTATGAAGGCCGATCATTGGTCGTAAGTGTGCCGACATGAATGACTTCTTTGAGTGTTTTGAGCACATCAAACAATCCCGAGAATTCTTGAAATTTTACGGAAACGTCAGTGCTAGATAGTTTTAGTTTCTAAGTCTTCAAGAATTGTACAATAAAGGGATGCACTTAAATAAGAAACGCTTAGCGTAAACAAGTTACTGTAACCAATTTTGATACCACAAATCCGAGCCTTAAACCCCCAATGCCTCCGTTTGAAGGGAATTGAGGACAATTTTCACTAGTGAAAATTGGCATTGCCTTTTTCTCGTTTTGTACGAGTCTGTAAGTAGAAGAGAGACAAGTCTAGCACCCTTCACACACTTCTCAATCCTCCATACACAACTCTCCCCTTTCTCTCCATTTTTTTTTTAAAAACCCCTCACCTCACTCGAGTCTTCTTATTTACAGTTAATTCCAAAAATCTTTTCCATACACTTTTTCATTTCTTTGTTGCTAGCTGGTAGCTGAGGAAAATTGCGATTCGTCTCCTCATCTGCCTAAGGCAAATATGTGAACAAATACGGGAAACGAGCCCCATTCCCGAGGCGCAATCTTCTCCGTTTTTGAAGCCGTTTCCACACACAAACATTGCCATTCTCAAGGAGAGATTTTTTTTTTGCGCTCTATGTGGAAGTAAGGAAAAATGGATGAGTTTTTGAGAAGATAGGTGCTAGGGGTACGATAGTTTGAGTAAGGGGGTGGGGGTAGAGGAAAGGAGGAGGGTGCAATGAGCCGCCTCCTTCCGTCACGCCTCAACGGTGACTTCGAAGGGTTGGGAAGCCGCCTTCTCATCTGAATGATGCCATCACATCTCTTGGGTGGTCTAAGAATTTTGAAGTAGAAAAAGTTTGCACTTTTGATTTATCTTACTGTAACTTTGATTGCCTTTCAATTCAATGTCTTTTGGTGCCTTTTGGAAAGATATCTTAATCCGTTTTCTTTTTTGGCCAATAACAAGAACAAGTGCAAGAACAATAAGAACAAGAACAAGAACAGGCACAAGCACAAGAACAAGAACAACGACAAGAACAACAAAAAAAGAAAAAGAACAATCCCAACAGTTCAACTAATCAATCAATCCAAATTCTCTGAAAATCTCTTCTCTTAAAAAAACAGACAGTAGATTTAGAAAGCAGACAGATTACGGTAGTTTGCCCGACAGTAAACAAGGGCATTGTTTAAATGAGACTTGGATGAAAGGGTTTATTTGGAAAATATCTTCTCTTCTCTTCTCTAACTTTTTTTGCACTTCATCCGTCATTTCTATTCAAAAATTCGATTTGTTGACTATCAACTCTTTTCGAAAAAGATTTGGCGATAGGGAAAATACGTTGAATCAGGCCAACCTTGACCGCAAGATGGCCGTTTTTGAGTGACAACCGGCGTGCGCTCTCTTTTCAAAAATGCGGATTACGGTAGCGAAATCACACACAGAGGATGGGGCTGAGAGCGCCGATGAGCGGCTGGGGATCTCAAATCTGCCTGTATACGTGAATCATCGACAAATGGATGGCAGTTTCTCCTTCTCATCTGCTTTTCTTTCTTTTTTTTTTTTTTTCTTTTCTTCTCAACCGTTTACACTCCAATTTTCGGATAAGCTGTTTTCTGACTGACTTCTGTTTTCTTTTTTTTTTTCCACCTTTTCACTACTACCACTCGAGAACACTAACGCAAATTTTTAAGTCGAAATTTTGACTGAACAATTTTGACTCAACAATTTTGACTCAACAATTCTCTAGATTCAAGTCATAACAAAAAGTCATTCATTTTTTCGGATTTTTTGATAAGCTCTTGACAATGTGTGGCTCTCGATTTCATTTTTTTTTTTTTTTTTTTGTGCAAAGCCGTTTTTCTCTGGTTGCGTCCATTTTTGTAACACAATGGTTGCAGTGAGCGACTTTTCAGAGAGCGGATTGCTTTCTTTTCTCGCTCAGAAAGCTTTCCAGCTAGCCTCAATAAAACTTGATTTCAAAAAAAAAAAAACATATCCATATAGGCAATAGATTTTGGCATTAAATGTAAGCTTTTAAAAGCTTAAAGCAATTCTTCAGTCGTTGGTTTTCTCTTGCACTTCTGAAAGTTACATTTTATGTACAATGTACAATAGCTTGTACAAGAGTACAATGTACAATAGCTTGTACAAGAGCACAAGTACAATCTACAAGAGTTTATCTTCATCGTTTATTAGAAAATTGTTGAAATGATGAATGAAAGCGATGCCCCGCCTCTCCGCCTTTCATCCACCGTACCCGTTTGATAGCCAATCATTGTCTATCCCACATTTCCCCCTCACTCCACCATTTTCTTAGATTTTCTTTTATTTTCTTTTATTTTCTTTTATTTCTTAATCTATTTTTTATGTTACTTTTGATTTCATTAACCAAAATGAAGCATTCCAGATCTCGTTTTTGCATGGATGGACCCGCGGTTGCACTATTTGGCACTGCACTTCTACAATCCTTTACAGGTGATTTTTCTTTTGAGATAGTAAAAACTAGCTTTATTTGATACTAGGCTTTACAATTTATTGACTGTACAATGTACAATAGCTGTACAATGTACAATAGCTGTATAATGTACAATAACTGCACAATGTACAATAGCTGTACAATGTACAATAGCTGTACAACTTTGAAAAACCCCCATTCAGCCACTTTTCTTCCGACCATTCAATCCAGCGGCAACCGCGGGTCATCTTCGACCTCTCCCCTTCACCAAAAGCATCACTCCACCAGAACAAGTACCTAATTGAAAGGAGAATTCCAATCCGAATCTAATTCCATCTTTGTTTTCTTCGCAAATTGCTCTGAAACTTTTTCTACAAAGAAATCGACAGCTTGTAGACAAAATTTCAGAGGAATCGCTCGAGAAAACGAAGATGGAATTAGATTCGGATTGGAATTTGAAAAAAAAATGAAATCTCATCTAGTTCTCATTTACTTTACAATGAAACTTTTAGAAACCTAAAGCCCCAAGCAAATTCTTCGTTGATCAGCTACTCTCATCACTGAGTTCGGAACGAGAAGCGATTGAGACAAAGAAACAAATCCCACAAATCTCTAAGTCACTAAAATCGATCAAGAAAGAGAAGCCAGAGACAAATGATTTGCGAATCCTTCCAAGTCCATCAACTGCAATCGCTCCATTATTGCCACAAGTAATCAATAGAGAAATCAATTTTACAACTACAATCCAGGTGCTACCAGCTACAGCAAATGTGGAATTCGTGAATGGTGGCTATGGAATGAAAAACCCGTTGGCGAGGAATAATGGGACGGGAATTGAAACTTTTGAGGCAAGGACTGGCGAATTTGGATGTGGCACTTGTGGGAAGGTTTTTTAAAAAAAACAAAAACCAAGTATTCTCAACTTCTAGAAATTCTCGATGCAACGTCTTCTCAATCGACACCTCAAATGCCACTCGGAGTTGAAGCGCTATTTATGCACATTTTGCGGGAAAGGCTTCAACGACACATTCGACTTGAAAAGGCACACCAGAACACATACAGGTTCGAAAATAGGAATGAGTTGAAATTTTAAAGCTCGACTTGATTCTAACAGATTATGAACAACATTATGAACAAGATTATGAACAAGATTATGAGCAAGACTATGAACAAGACTATGAACAACATTTCTAGGTGGTGGATTCTAGGTTCTATTGACTTTATGAACAAGATTATGAACAACATTTTTAGGTAGTGAATTCTAGGTTCTAGGTAGTGAATTCTAGGTTCTAGGTAGTGAATTCTAGGTTCTAGGTAGTGAATTCTAGGTTCTAGGTAGTGAATTCTAGGTTCTAGGTAGTGAATTCTAGGTTCTAGGTAGTGAATTCTAGGTTCTAGGTAGTGAATTCTAGGTTCTAGGTAGTGAATTCTAGGTTCTAGGTAGTGAATTCTAGGTTCTAGGTAGTGAATTCTAGGTTCTAGGTACTTTATGAACAAGATTGAACAACATTTCTAGGTGGTGGATTCTAGGTTCTAGGTACTTTTCATTGAGTCATTCTTTCAAAACTCGATCGTTCCGCTTTCTTTCACAAAATCTCTCAAAAATCTTTTCCTTAAGTGAGGAGATTGCTTTCTAATTTGTGAATAGTTGGGGGTTGAGAGGGTTTTCCGCTTGGGTGATGGTGGTGAATTGGGAGCAGAAAAAGGAGCCTTCAAATCGAGGAGAGACGGCAAGCGGTAAAACCTGTCAACCAGCAACCATTTCCCTCAACCAGCAACGACAAACATTCGTGTAAAACAAGAAGTACAGTTGAAATTCGATATAATCTCAAGGGATCGATCAAGAAAAAGATCGTTATATTGAATCGTTATATTGAAGCTCGTTATATCAAACGTTTGTTATATCAAACGTTTCCTTGTATCAACTGTAGAGCTTACAAAGCCTACAAAGATTCTAGAGCCTACAAAGATTTAACTCTAGTACTTAGTACTATTCAAATTTACACTTAGGTGAAAAGGAAAACTGTAAAGTAGGAAAAGCCAATGAATAAAGTTTGTTTCAGGTGTAAGACCCTACAAATGTGAATGCTGTGACAAGTCATTCACACAACGGTGTTCTTTAGAATCCCATCTCAGGTAACAAAAAAAAAACAAAAGAGCTTTAGCTTTAGCAAAAAAAGATTATAGGAAAGTGCACGGTGTTGAGCATCGATATGGATACAAGGAAAGGCGTAGCAAGGTAAGAAAATCTAGAAAATTTTCCAGATTTTATTTAGGTGTTCGTTTGTGAGGATTGCGGTTTCACAGCTGAACTCTTTGATGTTTATGTGCAGCATCTCACTTCAAAGCATCCGTTCTCAGCGGCTCTCACCAAGTTACAGGTTTGGTGTAAGGTTTTCAAGAAATATCACTAGTTTATGACACTTCCATAAAAAGCTCTCGAGTATTGGAACCGGATTGGATCAAAATAGGAACCGTATTGGAACCGTATTGGAACCGTATTGAAACCATATTAGATCAAAATAGGAACCGGATTGGAACCGTATTGGAACCATATTAGATCAAAATAGGAACCGTATTGGATCAAAATAGGAACCGTATTGGATCAAAATAGGAACCGTATTGGAACCGTATTGGATCAAAATAGGAACCGTATTGGAACCGTATTGGAACCGTATTAGATCAAAATAGGAACCGTATTGGAACCATATTAGATCAAAATAGGAACCGTATTGGAACCATATTAGATCAAAATAGGAACCTATTGGAACCATATTAGATCAAAATAGGAACCGTATTGGAACCATATTAGATCAAAAGGCGTATTGGAACCATATTAGATCAGACCATGGCAATAGGCCGTATTGGAACCATATTAGATCAAAATAGGAACCGTATTGGAACCATATTAGATCAAAATAGGAACCGTATTGGAACCATAGTAGATCAAAATAGGAACCGTATTGGAACCATAGTAGATCAAAATAGGAACCGTATTGGAACCGTATTGGATCAAAATAGGAAGTCATGATTTTACCACCAATTTGTGGACTACTTTTCCCCGTATGACATTGTCATAACTTTATGATACTTCTCTATGTAAATCCTTAAATCCTTGTAAAGGGGCCACTGTAAAGAGGTGTCGGAAATGTAGTTTTAAAGCACAACAACAAAGCAAGATCATCTGGAAATTAATTTGATTTCTAGAATCTGCACCCTTGATTACCCCCCACGGGGCACCAGGGGACGAACACGAAATAACAACACAAAACACACACAAACAGGCAACAACAACCCACGCAGACAGACGGCCCCCAACCAAGCCAATGGGGAACAAATAGCTTTTTGGTGGGAAGGGAAGATGACGATGAAGGAGTGGCTTGTCACTTAAAGAACTGGGGCCACAACCACCAGACCCCCCCAGAAAACCCAACCCGAAGGGAAGGCCGAAGGGGGTGACCATGTCGCATGTGGGGTTCGAACCCTCGACCTTCCGATTAAGATAAAAGACACTTAACCAGTCAGCCACACGTGCTTCCATATATTAAAAAAACACCAGAAAATTTGACAAAAAAAAGAATCGAAAATTCCATAAGGGGTATCACGTCAAAAAAAGGTCAAAAAAAATTTTTACCTTAAAACTTTTAAGAATCGATTAAAGTTTTTTTTCTTTTTAAAACAAACGTTATTTTTTACTTTTACAAAACGATCAAATTATTGTTTTTTTTATGCAAATCAAGCTAAAAGCTAGGGTGATAAAATGGTGGTGAAATGTTGTCTTAAAAGTTATTGCAAATTTGAGCTATAATAGTCTAAAGTGATTTAAGAGATGTCATAAGATAAGAAAAAAATTATGATCCCTCAACTTATGAAATTTTCATAAATCATTGCTGATAAAGCTATCATTGCTGCTAAAGCTATCATTGCTGACAAAGCTATCATTGCTGATAAAGCTATCATTGCTCTTAAAGCTATCATTGCTCTTAAAGCTATCATTGCTAATAAAGCTATCATTGCTGACAAAGCTATCATTGCTGATAAAGCCTGTAGAGTTTTCTTTATCAAAGTCACATTTCACACAAAATACACGTGATTTTAGCTAAAGTAAATTGAAAAAAAAAGATTCCCAAAAGCTAAACGCAAAAAGCCAATAAGTTAGGCTTAGAGGCAAGCTAGTGCTTAAGTACTTAAGCTAGTGCTTTGTAAAGCCAAAAGCAACTTCTGGAATGTTTAGCCACAATCTCGAAAAGTTTCCATACAAACCTCGTCATCAATGTCGACATCGCTTGGCTTGAGCTCATTCCTTTCACTCACTCCCATCAAATCCGCGTCGCCAGTTTGTTCCGAGATGGAAACCCCACTCAATGTTGATGATTGATTGATTGATTTTCGTGTTGAAATCGAAAAAGGCAAAACTCTAGTGGCAATTTTCTATTTTTTGGCAATGCTTTCTGGCACTAACTTGGATTTTCTCAATTTTCTCATTTCCATGACAATTTGATAAGTTTCCATGTCAAATTTTGTGAGAATTTGCCCAATTCGTGCATGATAGCTGCTTTATTTTGTTCTTTATCACTTATCCATTGGAATTGGCACTAACTATTTTACATTTCTCTCATCCATTCACTTATCAGATTCTTGCCGAAAATCTTATGTATTTCACTTCTTATATTCTTTTGTTCTTATATATTCTTTTTTTCAGTTAGCTTAGCTTAGTTTACAGCTTCAGCATCAAATGACTTTTAAAAAAAAAAAACATGACTTTCAGAAAAATTACACGGTTTTTTTTTCATTTATTGCCCAATTTTCCCATTTCCATGACAATTTGATAAGTTTCCATGTCAAATTTTGTGAGAATTTGCCCAATTCGTGCACAATGGCTGCTTTATTTTGTTTATTTTGTTCATTTATTCATTTGAATCTCTTATCGATAAAGCTTTAAGATTTATTCAGATCATTGCATTGCATTGCAAAAATACCCAGAATTCTAAGGTAAATCAAAAATGGACAAGAATTTCAGAGTTTTACACATTTCGCTTGGGCATCTCGTTTGTGTACTTGAGAAGCCAATCCGAGATGAAACCGATCGGATCGGCCGGTCGTCGCAATAGAACCTGAGATCATACAATTATCTAGACAAAGATCAAGGGTAAAGTACGATAAATCTCAATTTTCTATCTTTACTTTGCACTATAGTACACAATTTGTGGGGTAACTTTGAAGTGGAGGATATTGTTCAGCTTCAGTTGAGCCAAATTTCATAAAACCAAGATTTCATAACAGCTCAAAGAATCCCTTTAAGCGATTTATTGAAAAAGAATAAGATCTAACTATCTTGATAGTCCCAGGCACGAGCGGGAGTCAAACCCGAACAAATCCGCGACTGATTATCCCCGAAAGCTAGAGCACTACACCATACGACAGCTGGCCGCCGGAAAGAAAAGAGCTGTTTTAAAGTTGTAAAGGCATTAGCAAGGTATTTTAAATTACCCTGAATCTGCACTAAAAACTTTTCATTCTAACATACGACTCTATCAAATTGCTATGCAAGTTTTACCCTTCATTTATCTCACCTCAGCAAGAGCTTTTGTCAAAACGGGTGCCACCGTTCTCGCCAAATAAATCCCGTTCTCACTAGTGGGTAGATCGACCTAAAAGTCTCATTTTTTTTAAAAAAACGACCCATACCCTAGTATGAACCATTCTCTCAAAGCGATGTCGATCAAACTCATCCTCGTCTTCGTATACTCTCGCCGAGTCGACGTGTTCGCTGAAATTTCTTTTTTTTTCGCAAAATACTACATTTTACGTGTCAATGCTAGCCGAATCAGGTGATGCCGGACTGTCAATAAGTGGGCCGTCTTCTAAAAGCTCTTCGTTCAACAGCTCGAAGTCATCCTCTCTATCCTGTAAGTTTGAAAAGTTGTCGATTGTTTTGTTGATAGTTAAAATAGATAAAATTGGGAAGAAAAAGTAGAAATGAAAAATAAAAAGAACACAGAAAGCCACCTTATAACGCACCTTGATCATCTTCAAATCGATCACAGCATTCCGGCGATAATAGTCGGGCGTTCGGCCTTCCTGTAAAAAGATATTAGCTAAAAAGAGATTAGCTAAAAAATATTAAGCTAAGAGTCAGTTGATTTTATAAATTTCAATCCTTTTAACAATTTACATTATCCACAGCCATCGGATCAGCTCCAGCTTTGCCCAGAATTTTCAAATAATGTCCGCCATCACGAGCCGCTGCCGCATAATGCATTGCTGTGCGTTTATTCTAAAAAGATTTACATAGATGAGGAAAGATCTTTTAAAAGTTGTAATGTAAACTCACATAATCTGGAGCGTTTAGCACGGATGGGAAATGTCCGGCAATGAAACGTACAATGTCTGTGTGCTCGTGTACAACCGCCGCGTGCAACGGCGTGCAACCAAACCTAGAAAATGTTACTATAGATTTGTACTATAATAATAATAATAATATTTTGTAATACTTTAGATCTAATGCTTAGTTTTTAGAAGATTTAGAGAGGTGATTTAGAAGAAACAAACCGATCTCTAGCAATCGCGAGCTTCTTTGTCGTCATCAACTCTTTGACGAGCTCGAGATCGCCCTCGCGAATCGCTCGATGGATTCCATCGATATTTTCCTAGAATTGTTAAATGAAAATGAAACTAAATATCTTTTATCTGACAAACCAAATAATCCGGGAGTTGATTAAGGAAAAGACTCGTGTCTGAATTCGCACTCGAGCGATTCTGGAGGAGATCCCCGCAACCACTCAACACCAATTGCTCAAGCTTTGCAATTTGACCGTCTCTAAAATTTTAAGACAATTCCTCGGTTTGTAGAAGTCTAGTTAGATAATTTTTTGAAATTCCAAATAATTTGATTGAGTTTTAGCGTACCTAAGCCATTGCTGAATGGAAGATTCCAAGTATGAAGGTGCCACTCGATTGTGGAGGACCTGAATATTGTTTTTACTTAAAAAAAAACGAAAAATCTTATCTTATTAGATATTTTTTATGTTCTACTATTGATCTATTCTCAATCTATCTACATATTATTTACTTGTTTTAAAGCAGCTTTTGTGTCAAGACGCATCGCGGCGAGGTCGATTTCACCCGGATGCTTTAGGTAATATTTGGCTGGTCGACCGTGCTAAAATGTTTTTTTAAGAATTAAAAAGATCAATTGATTATTACGATAAATATTACAAAATAATCTACAATCTTATCTTATAATGCTTTTTTTTAAATAAACTCACACAATCGTAGACATTTGGATCAGCTCCACTTCTGCGCATCACTTTGTAGAGATAGCCACCATCTTTTAGCGCGGCCGCATAATGCAATGGAGTTCGCTTTTTCTAAAATTTAAGTTAAACTTGAATATATTTTAGATCTAGAAATTAAAATGTTAGATTTTGCATGAAAAATTTACCTGATCCATTGCATTAACACTTTGTGGATAGTTTCTGATAAGGTATTTGGCGATATCGGTTTTCTCGAAAACGATCGACTAAAATATTTACTTAAACATTCTATAAAAGAAGAAAACCTTATGCAATGGTGACAATCCTCGACTATCTCTACAAAGCGCCAATTTCTTTCGATCAGTCAACAATTTCACCGCTCGCAGATTTCCCGTTTCAACTGCTTTGTGAATGGCGGCGATTTTTGCCTAGAATTGGGGGTAGGCTAGTTTCCGCAATTTTTTTTTTGCGCAACAGGATCGTTTGTGCAACTCGCCATAACTTTCTTCTAAGTGAGTCAATCTTTATGATTTTGGTTTCATTTTGTTGCACTTATTGAGATCTATAAAGTGAAACCAAAATCATAAAGATTGACCCACCTAGAAAAAAGTTATGGTGAGTTGAGCAAACGATCCAGTTGCGCAAAAAAAAGCTGCGGAAACTAGCCTACCCCTAGAATTGAATTAGATAAGCTTTTCTCAAAAATTACTTGATATTGTGGCAGAACTTCTAGAAAACCAATACTGTCAGAATCTTCGACTTCATGATTTCTAAAGTTTGATTAGAAAATTAGAAAAAATTAGAAATCAAATACAAACCTTCCAAGTAAAAGATCAGCGTATCCGGTGAGGACAAGTTCTTCGAGTTTCCCGACATTTCCCGTATGAATCCAATCGTAGATATCTTCTTCCAAATCTAGATTTATTTCTTTATTCCACGCAATAAGCTTTAGAAAGTCCGTTTTAACCTTGTAGAAGCGGGCGGCTGAGCTGTCCAGAGATGAGTTGACTCATCACCGCGTTATCTTTCAGCGTTCGCACGTTCAACCGTTGCCCGTGCGTTCGATAGTAGAATGGGGTGTGCCCGTGCTAAAAGCCACAACTACAGTAAAATCATAAGCAAATGTTTTATTAGTTTAAGGACAAAAATTTCCAAATAAAACCTTATCCTCGATGAAGGCGTCGCCTCCACTTTTCTGCAAGACTTTGATCATGTGCTCTCCGTTTGGATCCGCTGCGGCATAGTGGAGAGCTGTTCGACCGGCCTAAATTTTACATATACAAGGTTTTATTTCAAACTAAAGTACGATAAAAGTTATGTAGTCATAAAGTTTTTACAAGCTATATACGAATCGATTTGGGTAATTTGAGTAAAAAGTAAAAAGTACATCAGTAAAAAGTACATCGGTAAAAAGTACATCAGTAAAAAGTACATCAGTAAAAAGTACATCAATAAAAAGTACATCAATAAAAAGTACTTATTTTTGAAGAAAAGAATTTCAAAGTTCAAAAAAAAAAGCTTAAAACCAGGATTAAAAATTCAAAAAAAACAATAGTTAAAAAAAGTGCAATGACGTGATATAAAAATGAGCAAAAGAGATAGGATTTGGGGATGAAATAGAAAAGAGAAAAGAAAAGGCGAAAGCATCCTCACAATTAACCCTTCAATTCTTTCCCAGCCACCACCAGACCTCTCAAAAAAAAGGATTTCACTTCAAATTCAAAATTTCTTGACGGGTTTTCCGATTTTGTCATATCTATGGATTAAAATCCATCAAAAGCCGTTAATTTCTGAGGCGAAATCTGAGATTATCCGCTCACATGGAGATGCTTTAATTTTTAAGCTGAAATATCGTTTAAACATAAATATCGCTTGAAAAACAAAAAATTTCAATAATGAAGTATATATTGATGGGAAAATGACGGGCTAAATGAGAAAATTAGTAATAGAACGAGGAATTATCGGTGAACAATAGAGAGAAAGACAATTGATAAAAGGATCGAAGAAGAAAAGGAGAATAGGGATGAAAAGATTCATTTTTGAAATACTTACATGATCGGCGGCATTGACTGCATTCGGATATTTGGCTAAAAGAAAGCGAACGGTGTTCGTTTGACCGTGAAGGAGCGCTTTGTGTAGAGGAGTCATCCCTGAAAATGGGTTTAGATGGACCGAGTAAATCATAACGCCCTCCCCTGGCAACCAGAAACGTGTCGGCGTAGCTCAGTGGTAGAGCGTTTGCCTGGTAAACGAGGGTGGGAGCGAGAGGTCGCGGGTTCGAATCCCGGCGGCGACTCTCGTTTTGTTCAACAACTCTGACAATTGGAAAATGAACTTGTAACCGATTATTTGGTTTAGATTACATATTACAAAAGAAAATTATAGCCTAAAATTCTTTTAACATTACTCGTTACCGTATGAGTCCCGAGCCGTTGCCAGTTGCGGTCGATCGATCAACGATTTCACTCTCCGCACATCACCATCTTCGACCGCTTTGTGAATCGCTTCAATCTTTGACTAAAGAAAAGAAATCTTGAAATGAAAAGATGCATCACTTGATATTGAGGAAGTGATCGCAGGAATTCTCGAGATTGTGCATTAAGCGATTGTCGATCAGCAAGCAGATGAGCTCGCCCATCAAGCACCAATTGCTCGAGCCGCCCCACTTCTCCCGAATTTACCCAAACGTCGATCTCCTCTTCTCTTGGAGCATCTAAATTGGGCTTTAAGAAGGTTATCAGATATTTGATACGCCCGCCTCTTTTCCCATTAGCAATCTAACTTTAAGCGCAAATTTCTTGGTGTTGGGCTGTGCAATTTAAATAGTTTTTGTACCAATCGACAGAGAAAGACTTGGCGCATCTAATGATACCAAGAATATTTAAATTCCACAGCCCAACACCAAGAAATTTGAGCTTAAAGTTAGCTTGCTAATGGGAGAATGTCCCAGAATCTTTTAAAAATATTGTGCTCAATTAGATCCACTTCTTTGAAAACTATTTTGCAACAAGCAAACCGTGTTCTTCTTCGAAAAACTGTGTCCGAGCGTCTCTCACAGGCATTAAATAAAAACCTTCAAACAAGGGAGCTTGGGTTAATTGCATTTTCAAGAATTTGCTAACAAATTTTTATGAAAAAGTCGATGACGATGAAGGTGTGAGAAAAGAGTGGAAGAGTCGGATAACCCGTGAAGTGAAAAAGGAGGGGGAACCCGGTAATGAGGCCCGGTCACGCGATTCGAAACTCTCAAACGGGGAAAACCCTCTTCCCCATTTTCTCTAACCCCGATTTCAAAGAAATTAAAAAATGGGCAAACTACCTGTGGGATCTTGAAATTTCATGTCATTGAAAAGCATCTTTCGTTTAGTGAATCGTGAATCGAATGAAATCTTTTCACATCCATTTCTCCCCACGGAATTAAGGGATCAAATCTTGAGGATTCAAAAAAGATTTCCATAAGCTTGTTCTCATCTTTTCCATCTTTTCTATCTTTTTTTCATTTTTTAAGAAAATGAAAAAAGATTGATTGAGAGCTATCAGCACTAAGATTACACGAATCGTCATTTGACTTACAAAAAGAAAAGAATTAAAGTTAACTGAGTGCCTAAGGTTTAATAAAGTCGAGCTACAGCTATAGTCGAGCTACAGCTATAGTCGAGCTACAGCTATATATATCGAGCTACAAACCTGGATCACACCAATCATCCTCCGAACTGCTGTGAAAAAAGTTGAAAGGTGATGGAGCTGATAGTGGACGAGACATTCGATCCGGATTCTCACGATAGAAACTTGCCGAGTTTCCTTCCTAAAACCTTTCTTCCTAAAAATTCAGTGACTAAATCCAGAAACAGAAATACAGAATCAAATTCATTTTCTAAAAGGCACTTGCAGGTTACGGTAGTGTTTAGAATAAGTGCTTTTTCGAAAAGAAATCCCAACTAAATCGTTGATATTCGGATCAGCTCCCAGTTCGACTAAAGTGTCATAGATTGCGTTCGGCTGCACGGCTGCATAGTGCAATGGAGTTCGGCCTTGCTGGAATACAATATTTTATTCAAATTTTCAAAACTAAATCCAATAGAATGTAGATTATGCCCGCTACGCGGCCGCACGGATATTCTACCTAAAGGTACTGAGAGCACCTAGCACAAATCTGATTTCAGATTCGAATTCCTCGTCTCCGAAGCCCCCGAGTACAAATTTTCAGCTTTCTAGCGCACTTTGTTGTCATTTTACGTTAACGCGTAGACGGAAAGACAGACGTTTTATTTTTTTTTATAGTAGATTTAAGATATTCAGTTGATTTCTATTGTAACCCGTTTCTTATGTACATTATTTCTTGAAAGGAACTATTTTCTAAAAAAACGAATGATAAACAGAAGTTTATTAACAAAAAAAGAAATGTAAGTTTAGTAGCAGAGAATTAATGAATGCAATGCTACGCGCAAGGTAGCAGTTCAAAAAAATGCATTTATTGAAAAACAATAATGTACATAATAAGATATAAAGGTCTAAAGACATAATTTTATGGCACCGCGGCATTTTATGGCATTACCCCTATTACCCAAATCTTGTGAAAGAAAAAACCCACTTGGAGGGAAAGAAACATTTTTGTTTTGCCAGCGTATTGAACCCTCGACCTTCCGCTTAAGAGACAAGACTCCTAACCAGTCGGCCATCTAGCCCATAGTAATAATTTTAAAAGCTAAATAATAAAAAAAACCCAATTTACTATGTCGCGCCTTTTTGCTCACGCACTGAGAACTAAGCCACACCCCTTTTTGCTAATGGCTGCGCACAGACGGACGGACGGATAGCCCTCAATTATATATTAGTTGATTATCTCACAGCATCTGGGAGATCGATGAAAGCGGAGAAATCAGTGGCTAAGAACTCGACAATCTCATGACGTTCACGCAAAACGGCGATGTGCAAGAGGCGCATGCCTTGAAAGCAAAGGAATTTAAAAATATAATGTTTGACTAGAATTGTTTGTTTTAGAAATCAGAGAAATCAAACCTCGAGTGTCCCTAGCGCCCACGAGATTCTCATCAACGAGTTGCCGCAATCGGCGCTCGTCGTTTTTCTCAATCGCCTCAATTGCACTATTTAGCCTCATCTAAAAGATATTCAATCAAAGTTTTAAGAAAAATTATGTAAAAAAATGATCATATTGTGGGGGTGGGACCAATGCGACCTTTTTTTGCGCACCTGGACATTTGCGCACCTTTTTTTTGCTGGAAAAGGCCTTAGGAAAGGTCGTAGAGCTTCAAAAATATTTCCATATAAGGGAATCGTATGCGTAGATTCCGAATTTCGACAAATCAGACCTCGCTGACACGTCAAATTTGGGCTAAAAGGCAAAAACTACGCAACTTAACGCTTTTCCGCAGTTTTTGCCTTTTAGCCCAAATTTGACGTGTCAGCGAGATCTGATTTGTCGAAATTCGGAATCTACGCATACGATTCCCTTATACCGAAATATTTTCGAAGCTCTACGACTTTTCCTAAGGCCTTCTCCAGCAAAAAAAAGGTGCGCAAATGTCCAGGTGCGCAAAAAAAAGGTCGCATTTGTCCCACCCCCACAATATGATCATATTGTTGCCCTTTTCAAGTTTTGTAAAATGATTTTACGTAAAATTTTACTTGTAAATTTCGAAAATCGTTCACAAAGCGCACCAGCTTTTCGTTGGCTACATTTTTCTTCACTGTTCGCCAAATTTGCTCAGCTTTTCCCTGATTTTAAATGATTTTAAATAAGCATTTCTTAAATATTTCTCATTTAAATACCTCGATTTGTAGCTCTTCAAGTACAGTGAAATAGGAACGATCCGAGGTGTCGATACCGAGGACCCTAAAAATTTTTGAGTTAAAAGAGCTTGCTTGCTTATAAGCTTTGAAAATATATATATATGTTGTGTTCGATTTAGATTGAACTTATCGCGGACGTCCGATTTAGATTACAGTCTATATCGGACGTCCGATTTAGATCCAATCTAAATCTTATATAGATTGAACAATAATATAAACATGCTTAATATATGTTCTTAAGCGTTTTCTGTAGTTTTCTGCATTTTTCAAAGGTCTGTTACTGTCTTTTTCTGAAAAGAAAACCCAACTATGAAACAATTTATTAGCGCCGGAGGCTCCGAGCGGTCATTGCAGCTAAAAGCGGACCTACAAAATATTGAATTTTTCGCCTCTATGTCTGTGCCGCCAAGACTTTTGTCCATTGTTTTTGGGACCTTTTTGTCGTTTACGCTTATTTTTGTTGTTTAAAATAAACTTTCGAGTTCAATGCTTGGTCATAGCTAAAAGTAGAATAAAAATGCTCAAAAATACTTGTGACAACTTTTTTATAGCCTCTCGGAAAGGTTCCTAAATTTTCATTTGAAAGTTGCCACCCAGGACCCGCCAAGACTTTTGTCCATGACTGTATATTTTAAAATGTTAAAAGAAAATTTCGAATACCGTATTTACTCTATTAGTGGGGTCCTCTCTAATAGTGGGGTCGTCTGGAGGGGGGTTGAAAAAATAGTGGGGTCCTCTCTAATATTGGTAACGAAAGTGATACATCAATTGTTGATCTCTTGGATTAGTTCTTTTACTGTTTGTTAATGTTTTGTTACGGTTAAAGCTAAATAAAATATGAAGCCAAACTTGTTTTTTCAAGAATTTCGGAGAAAAATTGATATCTTTTTAACTTAAAACTTTGGTTTTATGTTCTTTTAAATTTCTCTAATAGTGGGGTCGTCTGGAAGGGGATTGGAAAAATAGTGGGGGACCCCACTAATAGAGTAAATACGGTATTTCGAATATCCAACCGTATTTCAGTGTCCGCATCCTCGTCATACTCGCCCATCACCGGTATCCGCATTCGGGACTGAACATTTCAACATTTAACGACTGATGAGAGAAGAGATTTAAAGAAATTTACTAATTAAATTAAAAATAAATAAATAAATAATATAAGTCTTTAAAAAAAAAACTATACTTTCAATTAAATCTTTATCGTTTACTTTAGTAAAATCTAAAGCCCGTAACTTTAATTTTTCTGATGGACTTTTCTGACTTTCTGACTTCTGATGGACAAATCTATCAAATCGAGTCTTCCTAATTGACTTTCGGATGCTAGAAATACAGTTTACAGAAAAGTTTCACTAAAACAAATTGAATCGAATTGAAACATTAAAACATTGAAACAAAAATCCCCCAAATTACCATTACCCCCAAATTTCTTTGGTTCAATAAGTATATTACTAAACAAAAAGATTTGTATTTCAAGATGATTTCTTTTTTTTTGATAAATCAAAAGAGAAAAACAATAGAAAAGACTCAATGGGCTTAATCAGCATTATCCACACAAAAAAAGAATCCGATTTTGCACGGAGGTTTTTAAACATGAAAATAAGCTGTTTTTTTAGTAGCATGATAAAAGAAATGAGGAATTTCGATAAAAGAAATCATGGATTGTTCGCAAAAAGGTTAAATGATTGAATGTTTTTTTGTTTTTGGTTGACTCCTTGTTTGATTCGCTATAACGATATCGAAGAGATCGAAAATCTCTATATAACAATTCTAAAACGCGCCCCACATTTACTGCGTAGCTGGCCTGTGCGTGCAACGATTGCAACCTACCGTAAATGCTGTATTAGAATGAAATGTCATTCTGTTTTTCGAGCCCTCAAGATCGACTGATTCCAAAAATAGATAAGGGCATATGAATCAAAAATTTAGAATTCGTTAGGAACTATTTTAAACGATCATTATAATACGGTATTTACGGTAGGCACAATCCCGCTGACCCATTGAAATCTTGACTTTAGATCCCACCTTGTCGAGATTTCAATGCGTCAGGGGGATTGCAACTTACCGTAAATGCTTTATTAGAATGCAATGTCATTCTGTTTTTCAACCCATCAAAATCGATTGATTCAAAAAAATAGGTAAGGGTAAATATGCATCAAAAATTAGAATTTGTTAAAAACTATTTTAAACGATCATTCTAATACAGTATTTACGGTAGGTGCAATCCTGTATTAGAATGACATATCATTCTATTTTTCAACCCCTCAAAATCGACTGATCGAAAAATAAGTAAGGACCCATTGAAATCTTGACTTTAGATCCCATTTGTCAAGATTTCAATGAGTCAAGGGGATTGCAACCTACCGTAAATGCTGTATTAGAATGACATGTCATTCTGTTTCTCAACCTCTCAAAATCGACTGATTCAAAAAATAGGTAAGGGGGGGGGTATATGAATCAAAAATTTAGAATTCGTAAAGAACTATTTTAAACGATGGCCCTTTGTTCAAAAAGTACAAAAAAAAACAGAATTGAAACAGAATGCAATGTCATTTAAAAGTGAAATTATTTTCTTACCCCTTTGAATCTTCAAAAAAACAAATCCATCTGGGGGAACTTTATGATTTTTTTTTCTATGTTTTCAAAAGTAACCTTTTAAATTTTACTGCTGATAGAATATTAGTAGGTTTTTTGGGTTTAGATCTATCCATAGAATCCCCAAAAAGATGGGATCTAAAGTCAAGATTAGTAGTAGTATTAGTAGGTTTTAGGTTTATTTATTAGTATTAGTTTAAAATATTAGTAGGTTTTAGGTTTAGATCTATCCATAGAATCCCCAAAAAGATGGGATCTAAAGTCAAGATTTCAATGAGTCAAGGGAGTGTCTTTTTAATACATCATTTACGGTAATTGTGCCCCTGAAATCACGGGTACCTTTTTAGAATTTCAAAATAGAAAAATGTAGAAGATCGTTATAGAGTTCAGTGGAAAACAAGAAGTGTAAGGGATGAGGTGAGGGGGAAATTAGCTCTTGTAAGGATTCGAGAAAAGAGGGAGTGCCAGGTCCTCCATTTCATCAATCACCACCCAACCAAAAAAAAGAGGAATCGATTCCTCGCGACCAAGTAGGAAAAGGGGGATTTTTCATAACTTTTATAGACGCCATCACTTCTCAATCTCATCAGATTATCCCCCAGAAATCGTAATTTCCATTTCCGGATTACGTTGGGGGGAAGTCCTTCATCCTAGATTTTGATAACTACATTTAACATCTACATTTAACATCTACATTTAATATCTACATTTAATATCTACATTTAATATCTACACTAATATCTACATTTAATAGCTACACTAATATCTACATCTAATATCTACATTTAATATCTACATTTAATATCTATATCTAATATCTACATTTAACATCTACATTTAATATTTACATCTAATATATTTACTATTTTATATCGAAATACCTTATAATAATAACGAAATACCTAATATAATATTCCAGTGACCACAAAAGATAAAAGGAAGGTCAACCTGAGTTCCCCAATCCCCAAATTTGTCCCTTCTTGACACCGTAGTTTATATTTGCAAACAATGCAAACGGACTTAAGACGATCGCACTAAAAATACCTTATTCAAACGTCGAGCGGAAAGTCGTGATTGTTTTAAACGCTTTCGGCGGATATGCTGACGATTTTTTGCCTCTTCATCACTTTCGCTTAACAATGAATACTCGACCGGCAGACGATCTTCCTTCAAAACAATTCATATTGTTATTCTTGATTGATTGCTTTTTTTTTCGAGAAATTCAAGAATGATCTCTTTCAAGTCAATTTTACCTTTCCAACTGAACAATTGAACATCGAAATTTTGGCTTTAGTACTTGACCTTCAATGATCTCACTTACTCGATCTTTCGCATTGGCAGCTTGTGGGCAAACATAAAGAAGATAATCGACAATGTCAATCCGCCCGACAAGATACGCGACGTGAAGTGGAGTCCGACTGAGACCATCTCGACACAGTCCCATTCGTTGATCGCATACCTGCATTAAACAGGGTTTTTAAATGAGTAACAGTGCTTTGAAATTAGTTCCAATCGATTCCCAGAGCCCGAAAAGCCCCGAATACAAATTTACAGCTGAATATCTTTTTGTGCCATAAACAAAGCCAAAGAAAAATCCCTTGTAAATAATTGGCAATGTGTTCGTTGTGCGCGCACACAATCGCTTGCCTTCTGGCCCACCTTCCCAATAGATAGGTGTTTCCTTTTGGAATCACTAAAGGGAAGAACCACTGAGCCGATTAAGAATATTGAGCCCGATTAAGACTTCACTATGCTCAAATTTTTGGGATTAATTTTTCCGAATTTGACTTTATTTTTCTACAAAATTGAGAGAATAATGCAGATTCTCTTGATTTCAGCTTTCTTTTAGAATACAGTACAGATTCGATCAAAATCTTTGAATACAGTACAGATTCGGTCAATCAGCAATTTCTTGAATACCTTGAATAATATCTTGAATATCTTTTAGAATACAGTACAGATTGGATCAAAATCAGCAATTCTTTTAGAATACAGTTCAGATTCGATCAAAATCTTTGATTCAATCAAAATCTATTAAACAATCAATCAAAAACCTGCTTTTTTTTCTTTAAAATATTTTGAATCTTCAAAGCGCCATTCAAAAAACGAGCAAGAGTCAAGTATTCTTATAATATCTTGAATATCTAAGATATTTTTATAACCTATTATTATCATTAAGCTTCTAGACAAACCAAATGCTTTAATGTCCTCATATCTCCATCGTAAATCGCTTGCCAAACACCGTCCACCCTTGTCTACAAGTACAGTTACAGTACCGAATTTCGCTGGCTCACTTGTAAATCGAGTAGTCGTTGATGAAGAGTGGAATGTTCGGGCAGAACAGCCATTTCCGCAAAAGCATCATATTGACCATCAAGTACCTAAATTATCTGAAATTCTTTTAGAATTTAAGTTCAAACCATGCTCTCTAACGCCTCTTCACTCATCATCGCCAGGAGAGATCCGCCATCATCTTGTAAAGCAACTGGATCTAAATTAAAACTTAGAAATAGAATTCATAAATGATCTAAAGATAAAGATAGAATTGAATTTTCTTATAAAACAAACATCGATTAGCGAGACGAATCGAGTTCATATCAATTAGCAGCGGATCTTGTCTCACATCAACTGGAGAAAACGCCTCATAGTCGAGGGTTGATTCTGAGGCGCCAGCCTAGAATTTGTAGTGTAATATTCAAAAGATTTAAAATATTTTTTAAATTCAAACCTCAATAAGCACAAAATATAGAGTGGGATCGTTGTGGATGCCGGAGAGAGCCGCCGCGTAGTGTAAAGCCGAACGACCCTCCTGAAACAAAAGAAAACTACGAAATTTTCGTTGACTACTAGAATATACTTTAATCGATATTATAAATAGAAATCAAGCTATATTTACTGTAAATTTGACACTTCTACAAGTCTTACATAGTCACGAAAAAGAATGGGACATTCGGGTTGTCGAAGGAGAGTTTCAACGGCTCTTGTGTTCCTGGAAAAGTGAATACATATTGAAACTCTTAAGATATTCAGCTATATTACTGAATATTTTACGCATTAATTACAATAGATCTTGTTACAATAGATTAGTAGCGCAGATTGTTAGCATTTTCTGAGCTTCCTGAGCCTTTCAAGACAAATCGTGACTTGACTCAGTGCCCTTTGTAAACTTTTTTTTTGAATTCTAATAGTTGCCTCTTTTTGAATGCTGATAGTTATAGACTGTCTACACGTCTAGTTACCGTAATCTAACTAGGGAATGTTACCAAGTTAAGGTGGGCTTTTCGAACGAGATCAAGCCTATCTGATAGAGTTTTTTACGCTCATTTCGAATCCGGTTTTAACTTTCCCGGAAGAGCTCTGTAACGCGAGATATTTGGCGTAAAAAAATTGGCCCCAATTTCGGTAAGTTTATAAGGTTGGCACGCCTTCCCTCAAATGTGAGCTGGTGGCCTAATGGATAGTGAGCTGGCGCGTGAGTTTTTTTGTTAGTTTCTGGTTCGAATCCGCTTAACTCGCAAGGTTTTTTGCTTTTTTTTTTTTCCAAACATTTTTAAACACTTTTCATGGTATTGCAATTCATGAATAAAAGCGTAGATGCTACATGAAACTTCACTAAAATCATTTGAAACAATTTCCGGCTGCAAAGCAATATTTTCTATCTACCTGTTTCTAAGATCTATCTGTTTCTCAAGAGTTTGGCGCTTGTCAGCAAATTCAATCTTTAAAATAACAACATCTAAACCTGAATTTTCTTATAATATTTGTAATTATATCATGTTTATGTGAAATTTTAGGGTTTTTAAGCTAAAAATAAAAAAAATCGAATCTTTTAAGATCGGAATTTATCGGAATGAACCAAAATTTCTGTTCGCACTGAATTCCCCTCAAAAAACAGCTGAATTTTCTGAAATTTCAAAGTGAAACACAGTCATTTAAATGAAATCCTATTTTCTGAAAAAACTCTTTCTTAAATACCAAGATTTCAGGTTGATTAATGGTGAAACCGAAAACTTGTAGCTCTCAAAAAGTTGGTGAGTGGCTTCGAAGTGGCTTCGAACTTCGAACTGGCTTCGAACTTCGAACTGGCTTCGAACTTCGAACTGGCTTCGAACTTCGAACTGGCTTCGAACTTCGAACTGGCTTCGAACTTCGAACTGGCTTCGAACTTCGAACTGGCTTCGAAGTGGCTTCGAACCTTTTTGAGCTGTATTTTGGATAAAATCTATCAAAAATTTACTATTTTATCATTTTATAAATCATTTTATAAATGATTTCTTTGAAACTTTTAATTTATTTTTATAAACGGCACAGTTCTAGTTGTAAAAATGTCAAAATCAAAAAGCTAAACTTGCCCAAAGATCACAGCCAAATGAAGAAGTGAGCTGCCGGTCAGTGGATGGCAGGCTTGAAGCCAGAACGATTTCTATTCAAATTTTGAATTGAAAACGATTTAAAAAAAATGATTTCCGAAAACCTTTTGTGTGATTGGATGGTCGAGGAGTTGTCGAAGGGTTTCTGAGTCGCCCGTGACAGCCGCCGTCAGCAGAGATCGCACTCGTTCTGTTGATGAAGACGAAGCGTTTCCCTCCTCAAATACAAATCAGTTACTACTATCTAATTATCAATTATTGCACCAGTTCTTGCACCAATTCTTGCACCATTTATTGTACTAATTATCATTTCGTATTCTTTTGCTATTTTATCTGAAAATCTCAATGAAAAAGTTGCCAAAGATCATCGATCCCTTGCTCCCTTGCCTTCCTTGCTCTCCCTTGCTTCCCTTGCTCTGTCATTTATCCCTTGCTTTGTCATTTATCTTCTTTTAGAGCCAAATTCGATTCAATTTGTAATCGTTTTATTGCTAATTTAGATCTTATTATCAAAATTTACTATATTCTGATACTAAAATTTGATTTACCAAACGAAAAGTGACGGAAGCCTTTGGAGTGGTTGTCTTCCCATTGTTGCTCGTCTCGGCCGGTGTCGCCGACTCCACATTTGGAGCCTAGAGAAATTTCGAATTTTAAGAAATATTAAACAAAAAAAAACGAGATAAAAAAGAAAAGAAAAACAAAATTGGATCTCATTGTCCTGCTATGTAGAACTCAAGTTCAAGCCAAATTTAAGGCCAACATTGTTCCCAAAATTTCAGCGTAAAGACGCCCAAAGACAGGCAAAACCGGCCGAGTTGCTGACCTTTGCGGGCCTCAAAATCCAAAAAAATGATCGTAAAGGCTTTTTTACAAATCCCAAAAGGGATGAACTAAAGTAATTTCTAAAGTCGTAATTTCTTCATTTAATAGTCTATTTAATTCGATTTTTCTTTTTCTATTTAATAGGCTTTGGCTTAGGATCTGTTCTTCATGTTAGCTAATGACCAAGGGTATGGGAATACCTAAGGGGAATTGAAAACGCAGTAGAAAGGGGTAGACACAGAAGGAAGGGGGCTCGAAAATAGACTTCCCCCCAGTTCCACCTCTCTCCTCTTCTTCCTTTTCTTTAGGTTTTTAAAAATCAAAAGCTCTTACCATTGGCTCACCGAGTACACGCTTTCGCCGATAAATCTTCTGTGCTTTCGTCGAATTTTCCTTCAATCTAAATGAGAAAAATGAGAAAAATGAGAAATGTTTTGTAAAAATTACGTTAAAATCTTGAAACTAATAATTTTCAATGAGTAATTATGGGGTGTAAAAACTTCTTGACGACCTTTTGGTGTTGCTAGGTCGAGGGTGAAGCGATAAACGATGACCGATCACGGTGAGAATCGTCAACGAGTGAGATTTGATCAGAGAATTTGCATATACGATCACACAAAATTTGAAAAGAGAAGCCTTTTTTTTTTGTTGCGAAGCTAATTGTTGAGCATTTAAGACTGAGTGTCGATCGACAGGCTTTTTTTTGATTACCTTTTGATGCTCTTCTCTCTTACTCGAGCAAAACTCTCATCATCATCCTAGAAATCTCAATTAGAACAATTGAATTGTTAACTGTTTAATCAATGCTTTAAAAAAATGAATAAACAACAGATTACTATAATTTGAAGAGGTCTCTAGAATCTCTTTTGTCTAGATTTTTTTGGAAAAGAGGCAAAAGATTTCGAGATGTCGATTCTCTTCTCTTCTCTCCACTTCTCTTCTCTTCTCTTCCCTTCCCTTCTCTTCCCTTCTCTTCTCTCCACTTCTCTTCTCTTCTCTGCACCTCTCTTTCCTTCTCTTCTCTTCTCTTCTCTTCTCTCCTCTTCTCTCCACTTCTCTTTCCTTCTCTTCTCCTCTCTTCTCTCCTCTCCTCTTCTCTCCTCTCCTCTTCTCTCCTCTCCTCTTCCTCTCCTCTCCTCTTCTCTCCTCTTCTCTTCTCTTCACTATCCATCTTTTCTCAAAAACCCAAAATCCTCTCTCATCTCAGCTTTTTTCTTCTTTGATATCTTCCAAATGGTTACCATGGAAAGACCGTGAGGAGCACAAATTTATCTCCTTTTTATCTCTTGCCCCTAATTTTCTCCATCTCTTTCCCCATCTACGGATTCTTTATTCGTACAACGTTATTAATTTTTGATTTATTTGACATTTGATTGAGAATCTATAAGAAAAAGAAAAGAAATGGAAAGAAATGGAAAGAAATTTGAGGGAAATAATAGAGAAGGCACTGGGCAAGAATCGTTTCAAGGGAACATCAAAGTGAAAGAAAAATGAGTGAAATAAGTTGGGAATATTATATTGATTTTCTGACTAGAAACTATATGTGAATCATAGAAATTCTTGAAATTATCTTTAGAGATGAACGGAGAGGGCGGTGAGAGCGTCGAGGGGACGTCGAGAGAGACACGAGGCGCGCACTGATTCCACCCATCTGAATTTGTTTAACAATGAAAAGTGAATTTGATAAAGGAAATAGAAACAATAAAAAACAATAAAAAACAATTTCTCAACAAACAACAACAATTATGCTTTAGTTTAAAAGTTTAACTAGTCGAAAGGTACTCGTCTACTTGTCATCTACTTTATTGTCATTAACTAGGTACTCGCCTACTTGTCATCTACTTTATTGTCATTAACTAGGTACTCGTCTACTTGTCATCTACTTTATTGTCATTAACTAGGTACTCGCCTACTTGTCATCTACTTTATTGTCATTAACTAGGTACTCGTCTACTTGTCATCTACTTTTTTCCCACATTAGTACTGAAATTTCTATCAGTAAATTACTGAAATCAGTACCTTGCACAACTGTGAAAGTTTTATAGCCAGATTGCTCACCTTAGAAACGAATAATGCGAATCGGTACGGAAAAAATACGAGAGTTGTTGATGGGAGATTTTGAAGACATTTCGTTGTGGGATTTGATCGTGCAGAGTTGGAACTGAGACTCCGTACTCCAAAAGGCACAACGCAGCCAATGGATGACTGTCCTGCAATACTAATAGTAAACAAAATTTAAGATAATGAAATAAGAAATGGCAAAGAAGATTTCCAAAGAGGTGATTGAACCCTCGATCTTTTTGCTTTCCAGTCAGATGCCCCAATCACTGAGCTATCCGGTACCTTGTTGCCAGAGAAGAAAGAAGAAATACAAAGGAAAGAAAGGAAGAAAGAGAAAGGGAAGGAGAAAGAGAAGGAGAAAGAAAAAGAGAAAGAGAAAGAGAAAGAGAAGGAGAAAGAGAAAGAGAAGGAGAAATAAGTTTAAATGAAACAGCGCAAAAACAAATCTTAGCCCATTAACTAGATGGTCAAAAGGTTCTACAGTATTATAAAATATGAAAAGCACAATTTGCATAGAGTTTTCTAATCCAAGATTTGCTAACTTTATGTGAGTTGAAGAAAAAGAGATGCCCATGCGAGTGAAGGACGAAAAGACGCTGCCATCCCGATGATGACCGCAATCTCCGCAATAAAACTCCAACTCTCCATTTCTCAGCCATCTAAAAAGATGATTTTCTTATAAATATATATATCGTAGCCGTTTACGAAATTCAGCGAATGATTGCTTAACAGCTAGTCGCTAACGAATCATTGCTTAATGGCTAGCTGCTAAAGAATGATTGCTTAACAGCTAGCTGCGAACGAATCATTGCTTAATGGCTAGCCGCTAACGAATGATTGCTTAATGGCTAGAGCTAACGAATCATTGCTAGCCGCTAACGAATGATTGCTTAATGGCTAGCTGCTAACGAGTGATTGCTTAATGGCTAGAGCTAACGGATGATTGCTTAACAGCTAGCCGCTAACGAATCATTGCTTAACGGCTGAATTTCGTAAACGGCTACGACATATAAATATTATATTAATTTATCTAGAAATTTATCTATAAATTTATCTATAAATTGCAATTATCCTTATCCTTATCCTTACTTGATGTATCTCTTCTCGACCAATCGTCCCGCCTCTCAACCAACACGCAGACATCAACGTCAAGCGGCCATACGACAATTCTGAAAGTAATAGAATAATTTTAAAAGCTAATAATTAATAATTAAACTTTAAAAACTTACTATTTATTTCCCCTTCACTATTTCCTTTTCTTTCAAGCACCAATTGCAATTTGAGCAAAGCGGGCGGATTTCGATGATACATTCGAATCCCTTCTGATACAGTTTCTAGAAATTTTTAAAAATTTTAAACCATATTACATTTACATAAAAGCTATATCAATTATTGATTTATACCTAATTTTGCACTCACCTAGCCATAAAGATGTAACTTTAGCGGTAAAAATGAATCGCCCTTCCTCTGAATCCACTAAAATACATGTTCGCGAGTTCTGCGTGATCAAAGAGGCACTGCCTTCTTTCTAAAAGATTTTTTGATTGTTTTTTTTGATTGTTTTATAGATGATTACCGTATTCTCTGTAATAGTAGTGCACCAAAAGCTTTGCCTAAATTCCTCGAAATCTCGACAACCGCTTATCAGAACCTATCGATGTGGGGTCGGAAAATGTAGCTGACGATGAGATCTAGTGGGGGATTAAAGTGTTGAGCTTCTGTGAAAACTTTGAAAGCCGTAAAACAGTCATCAACTCGGCTAGCCGGAGTGCACTATTAGAGAGAAGACGGCAATTACCGTATTTTCTCTATTAGTGCACCAAAAGCTTTGTCTAAATTCTTCGAAATCTCGAGAACCGCTTATCAGAACCGATCGATGTGGGGTCGGAAAATGTAGCTGACGATGAGATCTTGTGGGGGATTAATGTGTTGAGCTTCTGTGAAAACTTTGAAAGCCGTAAAATAGTCACCAACTCGGCTAGCCGAAGTGCACTACTATTAGAGAGGATACGGTATTCCTTTTCTCAAATTCTTTGCACTTACTAGATTTGAAAGATGAATGAGTCGAAGGATCGAGAAAGCATCTCGATTCTCGGTTGTCACCATCAGAACATCGTTGAAAAGAAGGAGGAGGCGAGGCGCAAAACCGTCATTCAAAACTTCGCTGACTCTTCCCAACATTAACAAATGCTAAAATGTTTTATGGTTGATTGATGTGAAAAAGTTTGAACCCGATCCGGATGCATGATCGGAGTGATTCCGCAGAGTTGGCTTTCGATCTCAAGAAGCACGGCAAAGTCGTAGAGTAGTTTTCGCTAAAATCTTGATGCTAAAAGCTAAAAGCTTCGCTTTTGATGTATTATATTATACAATTGGCTAATCTAGGCTCAATTTTGGTCAATCTAAACCCTCTAAATCTCGATACTTTCTTCAACAAGTCAAGCAACCGGATAGCTTGGTTAGAGCAATTGCCAGAAAGTAAAGCAAGGGTTCAATCCCCTCTCCGGACTTTTCTTTGACAATTCCTTTACTATTTACTATTCATTATTCATTACCGTAGGTGCTGTAGAAGCTGAATGATGAGCTAAATGATCAACAGCCATTCTCGCCGTCCCAAGCGCCCCATTCACATGACCGTTCGCTAACAGAATCTCTACCACTCGGGCACAAGCCTAGATTTTCAATCATTTACCAAAAATAAGCAACTCCATAATCTACTCTATAATCTTTTCTATTACTTAACAACAAATTCGAACCTCTTGCCAGTGCAGTAAACGATTCAGCACCCGAATCAATAACCAAATCACCGGCAAATAGCACTCGGATGATGCTTCGAAATCGCTGAATTTGAAATCAATTTTTCCGATCTTCAACTACTAGTTTACTTTAACATCATTCGAAAGGCAGCATTTGAGTGCTTTAATTGGTACAAAGCCGAGATATAAGTGGTCATATTTCTAGAAATTTTGTAATATGGAATACAAGAATTGAAGAAACCTAAGTAAAGCATCCTGTTTTGTTACAGCTGTCCCAATCGATTCAATCATCATATTCATTAGGTTTCCCGTTTGACTTTGAGAACTAAATGTATAGAAGTTTTTCTTTTTAAATTCTACTTCAAGATCAACTCTACTTTAAGAGTTGCAGAGAATCGATTTCTTGAATGAATTTCGAGATCGACGTTGCAATTGAATCAATTTGAATAAACATTTCTTCAAGCAGGTGATAATCTTTTGTCAATGAGTGCACACGTTGATGGAATACCTGAAATTTTAATTATAGATATTTCAATTATAGATAATTCTATTATAGATAATTCAATTATAGATAATTCAAATATAGACAATTCAAATATAGACAATTCAATTATAGATCATTTACATGGGGGTGGGACAAATGCGACCTTTTTTTTGCGCACCTGGACATTTGCGCACCTTTTTTTTGCTGGAAAAGGCCTTAGGCAAGGCCGTAGAGCTTCGAAAATATTTCCATATAAGGGAATCGTATGCGTAGATTCCGAATTTCGACAAATCAGACCTCGCTGACACGTCAAATTTGGACTAAAAGGCAAAAACTGCGGAAAAGCGTTAAGTTGCGTAGTTTTTGCCTTTTAGCCCAAATTTGACGTGTCAGCGAGGTCTGATTTGTCGAAATTAGGAATCTACGCATACTATTCCCTTCTATGAAAACATTTTTGAAGCTCTACGACCTTTCCTAAGGCCTTTTCCAGCAAAAAAAAGGTCGCATTTGTCCCACCCCTCATTTACATAGGTAATACTACAGTAATTTTATCGCCATAAAGTTACTGTAGTGTTTAGAATTAAAGTATTCAGTTGGGAATAGAATAGTTGGACTGAATAGTCCCCAAATACGCCTGTATACTTGGGTTTTCAATCAGAGCTTTACATTTTAAAGTTTAAGTTTAGTTTAGAAGTAAGTTTAGTTTCATTTTTTTTTGAAAACTTGTTTCACCTTTGCTATCAAAAGTGCATCACGCAATAAAGCTCTCTCGTGGACGCGCAGATCTTGTCGGATCTTTTCCATTGCTTCGATTTCCTAAAATTAACACGATTTAACAAAATATTTAACATTTAACATTTAACAAACCAAATTAGAATCTTTGAAATCACTTTCAAAGAGATCAATGCTATGATTCGTATTGAGAATCGCTTCCAAATCACCCTCAGAGTCCATTTTGCATTCCGACTTTTCCACGCTCATCAAATCAACTCCATTCACAGCTAACGGTCGAAAAATAGTTCCTATAAAAAAATAAAATGCCTTTAAAATAAACTTAAAATACCATATCCATTCGGTTTTGTTTCCTTTTTGAAAACCCCGTAGGTTGAAGTGGATCCGGAAAGGGGATGATTCGGTGAGAAGCCCTCATTGGCTGTAATCGAAATCACTCCGTATTCACTGGAAGCGCCACGAGACGACGAGCTCGACAGCATTCCCTAAAACCACAATCTATCTATATAAAAGAGCAATTTAATTGGCTGGAGCTCAATTAAATTAATTATTAAAGTGTGTCAATCACTCGGTTTTCTAAAAGACATCTATTTTAGTCTATCTATACGGCCATTTTCTCGGTCAATAAAGCTTCTTTTAACCAATAAAGCTAAAACTTATTTTGAAAACTTTAGAATCCTTTGTAGTTGTGCATTTGAAATCAAAAATTTAAAAGTTTATTTAAAACTGTCACTACGGGGGGTCGAACCCGGGATGGTGTGGGCTGCAGAAATTTGTGCTACCGACTTCGCCAAGGCGAGAGTGGTTGGTTGGCCAGAAAAACTGGGTTTTTGATGATTACCCGGGTTTTTTTGGCTGGAGCTCAATTAAATTAATTATTAAAGTGTGTTAATCACTCGGGTTTCTAAAAGACATCTATTTCAGCGAACTATCGTAATCTTATCCCATCGTAATCTTTTGTATGATTGACTGAGCCTTGTGATACACCGAATGCTATCAAAATCACCGCTAACGAATGATTGCTTAATGGCTAGCTGCTAACGAATGATTGCTTAACGGCTAGCCGTTTATGAATGATTCGTTAGCGGCTGAATTTCGTAAACGGCTACGATATATAAATATTATATTTTATTTAGAAATTTATCTAGAAATTGCAATTATCCTTATGTCAATCACTCGGTTTTCTAAAAGACATCTATTTCAGCGAACTATCGTAATCTTATCCCATCGTAATCTTTTCTATGATTGACTGAGCCTTGTGATACACCGAATGCTATCAAAATCACCATCTTTTACTATAATCTATTACGATATTTTTCTGATACAAAAAAGCACAATCAAATGTTCATTATTCTTATCGACAAACCCGTAGATTATCATTTGAATCAACGGATCGATCGGAAAACGTCGAATTCACGCCGTAGATCACGGATTTTCGTCGCACTTGTCGCGTTTCTAAAGAAAGCAACTCTCTGTAGAGTTTTGTAGCTTTTTATAGTGAAAATTCTTTTTTTTTTCTATCAAGTTTTCAGTGGAGTTTCTTTGGTGATTAAATAATGAACATTAAATAAATAAAATCTTAATTCTCCATCGTTAAAGATTCTTTATAAAGGTATTAGGTTGGTGAATTGAAAACTGCCGGCTATTGTCATATGTGACAGTTTGAGCACTTTCTTCAAAAGAAACCCATTTTGGTGTCAATGGAAAAGTTGTAGAGAATCAAAAATCAAGCTTATATCCAAATTTTGAGAACATTTCAAAAACTGGTTTTCAAGAAATGCGAAATTTACAAAATTTTCACAAAACTTACATTTTAAGCGAAACTACTAAGTGTATCTTTTTGGAAATTTGGCTATAAGCCTCATTTTTGATTCTCTACAACTTTTCTATTGACACCAAAATGGGTTTCTTTTGAAGAAAGTGCTCAAATGCTCAAACTGGGAAATCTCCAGCTCAAACTGGGACATCTCCCCTTTAAAATCTCGAATTTCTAATTTCTAATTTCTAATTTCTTTTGCTTTTTCTTCAAATGCAATAAATCTATCAGAATTTATTTCAATCTTCAGTCACAATTTCAAAAAAAAAAAAAACAAAAATAACGTCACATTTTTGAAAAATTTGTTTGTCTGTGAGCTCTTTTGAGGAGAAAAATTAGATTATTTTTTTAAAAAAAGAAAGATTTTTAAGAAAAAGATCCCGTGATCTCGATTTAATGGATATAAATAGTGCTTGAAAATGAAGAAATACATCTATTCTATGAAAAATTCTCAGGGAAAAGTCACGACAACACAAAGAAAACCAACTAAGAAAAAAAAAAACACATTCTCCTGAATGAATGATTTGACGATCCAAGGAAAAAAAAAACTCTTTCTCTATTCTCCGACTATTTGAATCTTTCTAGTAGTATATTGTATTTATTGGCTTTTTTAAAATAATGATAATGCAGTTATACTGTAGCTAGTTACAGTAATGTAGCTAGGCTAATCACAGGAATGTAGCTAAGCTAGTTATAGTAATGTAGCTAAGCTGGTTATAGTAATGTAGCTAAGCTGGTTATAGTAATATAGCTAAACTAGTCACAGTAATGTAGCTAAGCTAGTCATAGTAATGTAGCTAAACTAGTTATAGTAATGTAGCTAAAACCCTTAAAGTCCGGTATGTCACTAAAATTCTAACTTTTCCAAATTCTAAATCAAGCTAAAACCGAAAAAAAAACTCTAAAGGTAATTTAGAGAAAGAGTTTTTATTGAAGGATTTGAGGGTGAAGATTGAAAGAATTCTAGAAGATTTCTTTTTTTTTTTAGAAAAGAAAAGGGTTTTGTTTTGTGCGTGTGTGTTATTTCTAATATCTACAGTATTTTTCTTTTTCGTGAAATTCTTTGGATTTATCATTTTATTTGCGAGTAAAAGTTCCAAAAAAGAAAGGCAATATAATTAAAAATCGAAAGAAAGAGAAATTAAAGCTGAAGAAGCACCAATGAAATATATGTTTTTAAAAGAAAGGGCGTTTAAAAATGGAATTTCAAGAGAGGAGAAATGAAGAGCCAAGCGAGAAGGCACTGTGCTGCGGCTGGGAAAGAGCGCTGTGTTTTCTCTAGACTTTTCTCTAGACTAAAATCTTTCCTAAAACGTGTCAACTTTTGAAAAGCTACCTACTTGACTCTATTTATCTAGCTGTTTAGATCTTTTGTCATCAAAGAATCAGACAAAATTCGTTAGCTTTGAATAAAACTAGAGCCAAAATATGATAGCTTACAATAGCTTTGAAAGTTGACAGCTTTAGAAAAAAGAAGATTAGTCAAGAAGAACACACTCTAGGGATCTTGATCTTGAGCTTGATCTTGATCTTGAGCTTGATCTTGAGCTTGATCTTGAGCTTGATCTTGATCTTGATCTTGATCTTCTCGAAAGTAGATCTTGATATTGAGCTTAAGAGCTGAATACAGTCAAACCTCGATTTAATGATTCTCAATGAACCGAGATTCTCCATCGTTAAAGATTCTTTATAAAGGCAAATAGCTTTCAAGGGACCAAAAATTAACATCGTTTGAATCGTGGTTTGACTGTATTTTAATTTCAATCAAAAGATCTCAATCAAAAGATAATCAGTTTCCTGTTCAAAATCCAAGTCCACTTTGAGAATGTCTAGCCAAAACTATAACGGCCAACTACAAACAAAAAAATAAAGAAGAAAAAAAGCAGTGAAGCTAATAAAGCTATGAAAAGTTGTTGGTGAAAGTGTTGACAAAGAGATTTTAAGTGAAGAGCTTGAACTATCGATTTAAATCTAATGATAAACTATTTGCTATTCTATTTTCTTACTTTAAAGCTCAATCTGCTCAATTTGACATAAGCTTTCTTTCAGAATTCAATATAAATTCATTCAATATATCATTCAATATATCATTTCTATTTGAAGTAATTTCCTTTTTATTCTATTCTATTCGATTCTATTCGATTCTATTCTGTTCTATTCTATTCTCTTTAAAGTAATTTCTATTCAATTTCTAATACAAATAGTCAATCGAAAGCTCTTCGAATTCACCTCTTCATCATCCTAGTGATAGAAAAGAAAAAAAAGGCAAACAAAAACTTTTTCTTTGGTGCATTAATTTTAAAAAAAAAGCGTAGTGTGGAGACTGTAAATTTGTGTGTTTTAAGGGGAAAGCTTTTCTTAAAAACAAAACAAAAAACAAATCCTTCAAGAAATGGGTAAAATCTAGGGAGATGGTTAGAAACTAAGGTTAAAAAAAGGGAAACAAGGGAAACATGCGAAAGCCAAACAAAAAGAAATGCTTTCCAAAAGGAAATTCGACAATCGTATACAAATGGCAAGCGATAAAACCCGTGCAAATAAAATGAAAAAAAAAAAGAAAACTCAACAAGCTCATGCTAGATATACAGTACTGGACAATGAAATATCATATCTGAAAAACGATCGTCACTTTCGCGCGTCTGTAACTCCGTTGTCTTTGAGTTTAAACAATTAGTGTTATACATTTTCTGAAAGCTCTTTTCAAGGGCTACACAATGGTAATATTAATATTTAGAAATATGGTAAAGACAAGGGAGTTATAGACGATCGTTTTTCAAATATGATATTTCATTGTCCAGTAGTGTAGGCTTGTGGGGGGAGAGGAGAGGCTTGTGGGAGGAGGAGGAGAGAAAAAAGAACTCGTCTTCTCTCGTCTTCATGCTATTGCAGTACAAATTGGGAAATGAATAGGATTAAATAAATCATAAATTAAAAATAACGATTTTTAAATCTAAAAATTAGAAATCTGTCCACAAAAGGCCGGTTTTTGTGCGTCGTGAGGATGGCAATTGCTCGTCGCTCTTTGGACTCTCGTCGATAAATGGCGGAGAATCAGTTTTCACTTCGGTTTCCACTTCGGATTCGATTTCTTTTCTCATTTCTATTCTTGGCTTCTCATTCTTTTCCACTATTTCACTCGTCACATTCAAGACAGCAGTTGATGGACTTTGCACAAGACTTTCTCTCGGATCTTCATGCACGGCTTCCATTGATGGAATGAGAGGTGTTGACATTGCTGTCACACCAGCTGTCACACTAGCTGTCACTTTCAATTGAGCCACACGTTCAGCTGCATCTTTTGACTTTGGCGGTGGTGGTGGTGGAGTCTTAGATTTGATTTTTCCAAGTTTCGCTAATTCAGAGCTAGTAGAGAGAATTGGTGGTGGCGGCATTTCATCATCATCTTGTTGTTCAAGAGACGATTGTCGATGAAGAGCTGGAGTAGAGCCAACGCTCTTTATCCCACTCAACTCCTCACTCATTGGTAGAACAAAGCGAACAGGTTGCGTCTGTCTTCTCGGATCCGCTCGTTTTCCAGTTCTCTTTGATAACGCGGATCTTTCCTGACTCATAGATCTTTTCCTCAATAAGTATTCAAGAACATCACCAGATTCTGGTGTTGTAGGTGAAATTGTGTGATCAGTTGAAGAAAAAGAAGAAGGTGATGGTAATTTCTTTCTTGGGACTAAATCTAAAGATTTTCTTCTAATGAAAGATTCAGGACTTTTTGAAGAAGATCGTCCAAGAGAATTTGTTTGATCGACTTTAAAACTCGAAGTAGTAGATTGATTATTATCCAATTTTCGAACAGTTAATGTATAAGGAATTGAAGAATCATCAAAGAATTGACATTTCTCAATATCAGGTCGATCTTCACTTTGTACAGAGATTAGCGTTGGTTTAGAAAATCGATGTTCAACTTTTTCATGATGAGGTGGTGGTTGGGGTTTTTCTTCTTTTTCTTCTTTTTCATCATCCATTAAAACGGTGGCTAAATTAACGACTGGATGATTTGTTCGTCGCTCAACTTTCGCATATCCATCATCATTATTCACTTCATCATAATCTCCAGATATTGGTCGAATTGAGCTAGGCTTTGGTGGCACAATTGGTTTTGTTTTTGGCTTTGATTTAATCGAGCTTTGTTGTCCGTTTTTCTCTTTTATTCCTTCTGGTGTGATGACCATTGTATCTTTTGTAATGACTTTACCAGGTAAAGGACCAATTGCTCCATAAGTTTGTGGAGACGTTGATCTTTTCTCTGTGTTTCCATAGGATACATAATCCGGTGAAGCTGGTCGACAAGTGACCCGTTGTATTGTCGAGTATTGATGAATTTCACTTGTTTCTTCAATAGATTTGATTACTTTTGGTTTCATCAACAAGGCACCAGTTGCTGTGTAGATTGGAGTATTCTTTGTGAAAGTTGAGCTAAGAGGTGTTGTTGTTGTTGAAGAGTAGCCGGAAGTCGGCCCAACATTCGGCCCGACATTCGGCACAACATTCGGCCCAAGATTCAGCCCAACATTCGGCCCATCAATCTCAATAGGGACAAGATTGTTGCTCGGAATCTGATTGAATGGAAACTCTTTTAGCCTCTGAGATTTTAAGCGATGACTTTGAGTTTCTTCATCCATTGAGCTCACTTGAGATTTCGTAGAGACAACACGTTTCACCACGACATCGCCAACTCGTTTCGCTGTGAATGTCGTATTGGCTAATGTTTCATGATCTCTTAACCGATCATGATCCGATAGATTGTAAGAATCTTGTGAAACATTATCAAAATCTTTTGAATCTCTGCGATTATCAAGAAAATTGTCACCAGAATGAGATTTGGGTGGTTCAAGAGCCGACGTCGAAGGAGTAGGTTCATCAAGAACATTGGGTAAAGAAATGGACATATTTTCTGGGGTAGATGGATGAATGGGAGGACGGATCTCTCTAGCAGAAGATGGTCCTTCAACATCAGAGATAGCTCCACGATCATACATGCGATCGTAAGTATAATCTCTATGATTGCGAGGGGGGCGATTTGTGCGGGCATCAAGGGTACCTGAGTCGACAGTGGTTGACGGATGCTGAGAAAGGGGTCGGGAGACGTGAGGCATTGACGAGTGTACACGATCACGTTGTAGATTCGATGCTGGAGTCGACGAGGCCATCCCACAAGTGTGATAACCAGAGCGTAGGGGTCTGAAAGGGTTTATTATATATTTCGGTATTTCGAGAAAAAACCTGGTGAACGGCTCACGCCTTTTGTGATGCTCGCGGACATAATCGATCAGCTGTTTCTGGGTTCGACCGTGAAATCTAGAAATAGCTGAGTGAACAGATCAAAGCAGAAATTAGCTAAGTCTATAGAAAGCTATCGTTAATTTTTTGATCTCTCTGAAAAAGCCATACTCTATCGTTTATATGATTGCTAAAGCTTAAATGATAGTTTATATGATTGTTAAAGCTCAAAGCAGAAATTAGCGCTAAGTCTATAGAAAGCTAGTGTTCATTGTTGATTTTCTCACCTAAACGAAGATCCTTTGCTAAAAAGCTTTGTGTCTTTACGTGGAAACTCAATCTGAACACACCTGAAACACTAATACTTTTCATTATCATTTTTCTTGTCAAACCTGAAAAAACCGTGATGTTCAACGCATTTTTTCCAGAAATTCTTGCACTCATTTCTCGTCTCAAAGTAGAACTCAATAGTCTCTTTATAGCATTGCTGAAAAGAATTAAAGGTATTCATTTAATCAATATGAATAGTGAGATAAATAAATCCACAATCTCTAAAGATTTAGAGAGAATTAGAGAAAAAAGATTTAGAGAAAAAGAATGGAAAAAAAGACTGAAGTTCTTTCGTGGCTGGGATCGAACCCTGGACCTTCGCACTAGTAGACGAGGTTTCTAACCACTCGGCCATGAAGGCAGTGATCCGGATGAAAAGAGAATAGATTTTAACTCACATAGCTATCCGGGTGTAGCTTGATGAGAAGCTTTTTCCTTTTGAAAGACAATTTTCTGATCTTCGCCCAACTGAACGTGGAAACACAATGGAATTGATGGAATACCTGGAAATCCGAAATTTAAGTTCCAATGTGTTCCAATTGATCATAAATCTTACACATCTTATCTTAAGATCTTACAAACCTTGATCCCAAGATGCATGACGGCTAGACAAGCCTCAGTCCCCTCAATATCCTGAAAGTTCCCAATGTTTCTTAATTGTGTATTTAGAATTTAATTGATTTGATTAGTTGAATGTCGAAAATCTTACCTTTGCCGGATGTAATCGGATTCCATAGAAATCACATCTTCTCCCAACTTCCAGCATTTGCATATCCGCGTCTTCTGGACTCAAACCACTAAAATTTTCAGATTTCTTAACTTCTAGAAACTATAAACTTTAAACTATAAACTATAAGCTATAAACTTTAAACTCTAAGCTTTAAACTTTAAACTAAAGAACTATAAACTTTAAACTATAAACTTTAAACCTTAAACTTTAAACTTTAAACTTTAAACTAAAGAACTTTAAACTATAACCTATAAAATTTAAACTATAAACTTTAAACTTTAAACTTTAAACTAAAGAAATGTTTAAACTTTAAACTATAAACTATAAGCTATAAACTTTAAACTCTAAGCTTTAAACTTTAAACTAAAGAACTTTAAACTATAAACTATCAACTATAAACTTTAAACTTTAAACTTTAAACTTTAAACTATAAACTATAAACTTTAAACTATAACCTTCAAAAGTATTCAATTAATTAAAATAGTCAGAATGTTTTAGAGCTCTTCTATAACTTAGAACCATTTTTGCAACATTTTTAATGCTTTCAGGCTTATAAAAAGAGGTTTTAAGAAAATTTTTCAATAAAAAAAATGAACTCACATCAATTTCTTATGACAATCCATAACTTTTTGTTGAAAATGAATGGTTTGATTTGGGATAAAGCGAGTATGAGAGAGATAGGAGGCGTCTGGATAGTCATCAGCCGAGAAATCGCCGCAATCTGACTGAAAATTTTTCGTAATAATTTCTTTATTTTACTTCAAATAGATATTAGAGTAATTCTTAAGAGTAATTTTTATAAAAAATAGCTTTTATTTCAATTTTGTTTTCAATTTCCAGTGTTACCTGTACAAAGTAAGCGGCCAGAAGTGCGGCAGTGCTTTCAGCGCAGAGGAAATGACCTTGCGAGAGGTCTCGACGGATTTGCAATGATAATAAGTATCTAGAAATTAGATTTTCTTGTAAAATCTTTATCTAATGGAGCTGTATTGGAACCGTATTGGAACCGTATTGGAATCGTATTGGAATCGTATTGGAACCGTATTGGAATCGTATTGGAACCGTATTAGATCAAAATAGGAACCGTATCTTTTTTTATAATCTTTTTAATCTTTACAATCTATAATCTTTTTCTAATCTTTATAATCTTTATTTCCACCTCGTATATTCCTCTTCGAGATCCATCGGGTTTGGGGTGTAAAATTTGATGATCAAATGGAATTTCACGTCAGTTGTGCCGGCGATTTGCCGCAAAATTGGCTTCTCCATGTCTAACCAAACCTGAATTATATTTTGTAATATTAATTCAATTTGAATTCTTAAAGGTTTTCTCCTTACATGGCATCCCTCATTGTCGATAAATTCAAGTCCAAAATAATCGCCTTCAAGAAGATTTAAATGTCTTGATACTTCATCCATTAACGTCTGTCCCAAAGCTTTGTGCTAAAGAATGTTTGTTTTTTGATTTGTGCTTTGTTCAAAAGCTTTCAAAAGCTTTCAAAAGCTTTTACCAGTCAAATTGTTCAAATTGTCTTTTTGCTAAGAATTCTTTTCTTTCTTTAAATTATGTAATTAGTGATAAAGTGTTGAATTTTCGATATTTTCGATATTTTCACATATCAGCTGACTGATTCCTTTTTCTTCTTTAACTCTGCATTGGTCATTCTCTTACGGAGTAACTTTCGATAAAGAAAATCGGAATATTCAATTGAGGTTTAGTGGGGTGAAAGGCAAGCCGAGACGTTCCCACAATCCTCTTCCTCTAGATCAGATTTCACGTGTCTCTTCTCAATCTCTTTTCTTTTTAAATCCCTCTTTTAAATCTAAAACCCTAATCCCAGAAACTCTTATTGTTCCCAGAAACGTATTGTATCCCAGAAACGATGCTTATTGTTCCCTCTAAACTAGAAAAGAAAGAAAAAAGACTTACTCCAAGATGAAAGACAGCCACCGAATCGTCGAGTAAGCGAACCTAGCAAAGCAAAATTGTTTTAATTGTTTTAATGAAGTAAAATTCGATTTTATTTACCTTGACACACATGAGTTTCCCTCGCCGGGGATCGACATCTGGTGCTGGCCGAGGGCCGCCCATTGGGACCGCTAGAAATTCTTATTTTTATAATTTTAGCTACAGTAATAGAATGTGATTCTTGCAATAATATTATTCTATTGCTAACTAGACTAAGAATTGAAGTATCTTCACGAATAACCTGAATGCGGAGCCACGGCGTCAGGCCCTCGATATCGTCTCGCAATCTGGAAATTTTTGGAATTTTTTTTTTCAAAACTAACAAGTACAGAATTAGGAAAATGTTTAAAAATGCAAGATTAATAATAGATTTCGATTGTTTGCTGTGACTGCTGGGAATCAAATCGATGTCTCGTCACAAATCAAGAGTTCCACAAATAAACCCTCACTCATCCCATCCATTCATCCATCCCCCCATTTCCCAAGCCACAGCGAACTCCCCAAACAATTATCAAAAATCTCTACATAAAAAGAAATCTTTATACATATCACATTCAAATAATGTCTAATTTTTGAATTTCTTAAGCTAATAATTCTAAAAATAAATTTCTCATTGGTTCGAAAATTGTCACGATCACGAGTTCAAGTTTAAAAACGAGGAATGATGGCTAGCAAGCAGCTAGCTCTGACGCTCGCTGGCAATTTTTTTAAAGTTTAAAAGCTTAATGATAAGGAATATATAAAGAAGTCAAATAAAAAGTAAGAAGAAAGATTTCCGGAAAAAGATTGCTTAAAAAGATAGCTTTAAAGAATGGCTTTAAAGGATTGCTTTAAAGGATCGCTTTAAAGGATTGCTTTAAAAGATTCCTTTAAAAGTCCTTAAAAGATACGCTTTAAAGAATGGCTTTAAAGGATCGCTTTAAAGGATCACTTTAAAGGATTGCTTTAAAAGATTGCTTTAAAAGATTGCTTGTAAACACATAAGAAAAAGAAGTAAACAGCTCGAAAATGTGTATGTATATCATGGCTTTCGTATTTGGGGACGGGGAACGATGGCTAGCAGGCAGCAGCTGTGGCGGTGGTGGCAAAGGGAGAAAGAATCGGTGGAAAAGAGGAGAAATTGAGGGACAAGAAGAGAAGGACATAGAGAAGGCAAAGAGAAAGGGGTCCACACGAAAAAAAAAAAAGTGCCCAGCCGTGTGCCCGAGTTTCCAGCCGATATAGAAAGGGGCTTGAGTCCAGGGACGAGACGCGGAGGGGAGGAGAGGGCCCGACATCGAGCCCCCCTCCTCCATTCTTTTTCCAGAGAAAGCCCCCGAAGCCTTTCCCTCTTTTTCCATATTTCTTTTGCCGAAAGGGATACAGACCGATTGCATAACAAATGACCAGCCTTTTCCCTCCACAACTCCACTCATCTCCTTCTCGTGTCTCCACTTTTTTCACCTAAATCCGAAAAATGTCACAGCTTTGTGCCCTAGGAATTTGTCTTCTTAAAGTCGCTCGCTAGGGACTTTTTTATTTTATGATAGTTTAGATAACTTGTCGTTTTTAGATTTTGAATTGGAAAAGGCATTCATATTGGAGAAAGAGAGTTGATTATTCCCACTTGAGGGAATGGCCGAACGGGGGGGAATGATGGGAATTGCGAGCCTCACCTGCTTCCTCTCTTTCCCTCATAAACCTCATCAATAAACTCAATTTGCATATACTTGAATGAGAAAGGGATTCCTTTTTTGTTGAAAAGGGGTTTTATTGTTAATATATGATATATAGTAAGCTAATATAGTAAGCTTAATATAATAAGCTAATATAGTAAGCTAATATAGTAAACTAGAATACCAAAAACAAGATTTTGAAGGTTTAATAAGTTTTCCGAGAAGATGCCAAATGCAGTGAAATTTTCAGAACAAACTTTGAATTGATAAGCAGTGAGAAAGAAGATAAAGCTACAAAGATAAATAAAGATTTTAAGGTAGTAGATAGTAGGTGAAAGTAAAAGGATTGGGTGAATCTCCGAGTGCTTCTTGCCCATCCATTCCCCTCCTCCTCCTCCTCGAGTCCTTGCCCATCCTTTCCCCCTCCTCCTCCTCCTTCTCCTCGTTAGCACCCTCTTAGAGGTTCACTTAGAGACTCTCGTCAGGACGATGTCCGCTTTTCTTCGGATGAAAGAATAAACGAAAAAAGAGAATGGAAAACGATGTATATAAACGTTCATTCACAGCTATACCCTGCAAGAAAGATATTTGCACTGACTCGACTCGACACTTGACTCGACTTGCAAATGAGAATGAGAACCATGATTTCATAGTTAAGTGATTCACAATTTACTTTGAAAACTTTGATAAAATAGTACTATTTTATGGGTTTAAAATTACCAAAATATTATGCTGGTGCTTAAAAATGAAGCATTAGCTAGCGATAAGGGAATCAACGTTGAGATTAGCTAGCGATAAAGGGAATCAAGGATAAAGCTAGCGATAAAGGCTAGCTTCAGCTAGCGATAAATGGAATCAATGTTGAGATTAGAAAATTCGAAATTTAGATAGAAAAATGTTGCTGACTATGATGAGCCCCATCGTCGGTAATGAGTTGGAAACGAATTGGGGTTTGAGAAGGCGAGTGAAAGAAGAATAAGAAGAAAAAGAAGAAAGGGTTTATGAAAGGAAAGGGCAGAAAGGGTCAGACACACCATTTCCCCGCTCTCATTTCTCATATTCTCAATTTGCCCATTTCAACGGCGAACACCATCATTTTTCTTCCTATTACCGAGCGATATGATGGAAATAGAAAGGAAAATGATGAACACGAAATTTTTGGAGAATGACTTAAGATGAGAAAGGAGGAGGGTTTTCTTAAAAAAAAAGATTTCAGATTAGGGCAAAGCCAGTATAAAAGCCAGATTCTAGACCTAGACCCAGTTGAAAAATTAGACAAAGCTCACCAGAAGAAAGCCTTATTTCATTTGCAAGCTTGAAACGAGAAACACGAATTTATCTTTCATATAAACTTTGAACTTTTGTTTTGATAAATTTAAATAAAACAATAGTAAAAAAAAGAAGAAATAACGTAAAAAGATGGGTGGAGATTGAGGGTTGAAGAGTAGGCGAACGAATGGTTGAAGGCAGGGGAAAGGGGTTCTTGCGCGACTGATTCAATTTGTCCGCCGTCCAAGCACGTCCTTCCTCTCCTCACGATGGGGCAGACATCGAACTATCGCTACTTGAAAAGACTCTCTAATTCTGCTTTCAAGTCTTGCATCTTCAATTTTGCTTGCTTACAATCTAGAAGTTGCGCCAGAAATACTCAATTCTCACAACTTTCACAAGCAATGGCTTTATAAGTGGCTTGTAACAATAGATAATAGTTAGCATGGTTAAAAAAATGGTTAAAGGGATGGTTAAAGGGATGGTTAAAGGGATGGTTAAAGGGATGGTTAAAGGGATGGTTAAAGGGATGGTTAAAGGGATGGTTAAAGGGATGGTTAAAGGGATGGTTAAAGGGATGGTTAAAAGGATGGTTAAAAGGATGATTAAAAGGATGGTTAAAAGCATGATTAAAAGCATGATTAAAAGCATGGCTAAAAGTAAAAACTCTCATTCTGGATAAGCTCCCAATGAAGTCGATGTTGTGCAGAATCAAAAAAACTACTCAAGTTAATATAATCCTTTAAAGTAAAGATATTCAAGCTATTGATATTGTTTCAAACAATGAAACTCACTTTTCGCTTTCCTTTCGTATACTGAGCATAGCGTTGAATCATTCTTTTAGAAGCTTTCATTAAAAATAGTAAAAATATTCGACTCTCAGTTTTTGAGGAATTTGATGAGTAACTAGGAAAGCAAGTTTACTTTTCAAGAATTTAGGAAAGCAACTTTATTTCTCAAGAATTTCCGGTGTTAAACCCTTTTAATCCTAATCAAAGAGCTCTCTCTTTTTCTGCATTTTTCCCAAATCTGTGATTATCAAACCTCAACAACTTTTATTTTCTCTATAACATTTTCTCAAACCCGTACATAGATGAGATTTATTTTTTGTTTTGGGGGAAATCACACGTCAAAGTGGATTCCAATGATGCTTCGTCGAAGGGGGAACATTTCTAAAAGATTCAAATGATTTTATCTTCAATCTCTTCAATCTTTTACCTCATTATAGTAAAGAATATTTTCAAAATTCAAATAAAGAATTGTTTTAAGCTATTAGTTTAATGGAGATAATAGACTGAGATCAGAGGCGTAGCCAGGCTAGCAAGCAGCTAGCTCTGACGCTAGCAAGCAGCTAGCTCTGACGCTAGCTGGCAATTTTTTTAAAGTTTAAAAGCTAAATGATAAGGAATAGATCAAGAAATCAAATAAAAACTAAAAAGAAAGATTTCGTGACTTCAAGTCTAACGGCCCGACCTCCTCAAGACTTACCCCCAATCAATTATATTTTTTCCGATCAAGGAATTATATTTTTGAAAGATTTCAGGCTACAAAACTGTCTAAAGAGTTTTTTTGAAAAAATTCAAAGGACTCGAGATTTTTGCATTTTAGTGCTAAAAACTTTGATAAAACAAGTTTTTAGGAATGAATAATTGATTTTACAAAACTAACGTTATGATTTTCAGAAAGTAGAGGAAATTAGACTAGTTGGAGCCGATCAAACGCAAAATAAAGCCGAACATAAAAAAAAAACGGCTCGTCATCTAGTTTTCGAGATTTTTGCATTTGAAGTTGGCCATTTTCACTTTGCTTTTAGTTTTTTTAATTTTTGATCGCAAAATTGATTGGGGGTAAGTCTTGAGGAGGTCGGGCCGTTAGACTCAAAGTCACAAAATCCTGGCTACGCCTCTGGACTGAGATCAGAATCTTCTAGTCGCAAGTGACAAACTTTTCTGTGGTTTTGTGGCTTTTGATGGTCGAAATGTGGTTGTACACTGTCCACATGATTGGCGACAAACGATAAATCTAGAGGAAACCATTTTTCACTATATTCTCTCGAAAATCGACTAGAAAGTTTCTAAATTCTTCTAAAAGTTTAGAGCAATTAAATTCGAGATCTAATTGCTTAATAAAATGAATACCGTATTTTCTCTAATAGTATTGCACCCTGGGCGTCGCCTAAATTGCTCGAAATCTCGAGAACCGCTCATCAGAACCTATCGATGTGGGATCGGGGAATGTAGCTGACGATGAGATCTTGTGCATAGATGAGGGATTAAAGTGTTGAGCTTCTGTGAAAACTTCGAAACCGTAAAATAGTCATCAACTCGGCTCGCCGGGGTGCACTACTATTAGAGAGAATATAGTAAATTGAGACCAAAACTAATTCCACTCGCTTGTCGGCCGTTTCTTGAATAGGCATTCATTTTATTCATTCTAGTATTTATCACCAAAAGTTCACTTTTCCATTGACGTCGCCAAATTCCCGAATCCGGGACCGCTCCAGAACCTATTGTGTGGGGTTGGAAAATGTAGTGACGATGGATCTTGTGGGGATTTGAGTGTTGAGCTTCTAAAAAGCTTTGAAACCGTAAAATCGTCATCAACTCTCGGCGGGTGCACTATTGAGAGAGACGGTAATTACCGTACTTTCTCTAATATAGTGCATCCAAAGCTTTGCCTAAATTCCTCGAAATCTCGAGGACCGCTCATCAGAACCTATCGATGTGGGGTCGGAAAATGTAGCTGACGATGAGATCTTGTGGGGGATTTGAGTGTTGAGCTTCTGCAAAAGCTTTGAAACCCTAAAATCGTTACCAACTCGGGTCGGTGGGGTGCACTACTATTAGAGAAAATACGGTAAAATGAATATGGTATTCAAGAAGCAACGGCCGAGGCAAACGAGGGTGGAATTAGGTTAGGTTTGGAATTTCTTTTTTGTCTATTATATAATGGTAATACGGATTGGATATAACTGGATAACTGGATTTTTTTTAGGATTCCTTTTTCTCACCGTATCTCTTCAAAATCCGAGCAAAAATCGTAGAGCATCCAGAATGGACATCGCCAATTCTCGTCTCGACACTACAAAAGCTTTAGAACTTTAATTAGTTTGAGAATATTTTGTAAAATCGAAATTTTATCATTGATAAGACGATCACAGAGACTTGAATTCACACCAATAGAAATTAGAAATTACTGATAGAAAAGCACACATTTTATACCCGAATTTCTACGAGAATTGAAAGAATTTAAAAACAAACAAAAACAAAAAAAAACATTTGAACAGGACATTTTAACTTACATACACTACTGGACAATGAAATATCATAATTGAAAAAAGATCGTCACTTTCGCGCGTCTATAACTCCTTTGTCTTTACCGTATTTCTAAATATTAGTATTACCATTGTGTAGCCCTTGAAAAGAGCTTTCAGAAAATGTATAACACTAATAGTTTAAACTCAAAGACAAGGGAGTTACAGACGCGCGAAAGTGCGAAAGTGTTTTTTCAAATATGATATTTCATTGTCCAGTACTGTACATGTGAACAGGACATTTAACTTTTAATTTTAACTAACACTTAACATTTTAACAAGACAAACATTGAGATTACGAATAAAGAAGAAAGAAGAATAAAAAAGCAATAAAAGAAATCTCCCTGAAAGTAAACGTAAAAGAACAAAAACAAAAAGATCAATGTTAGCCAACATTAGCCAACATTCAACATTAGCCAACATTAGCCAACATTCAACATTAGCCACCAATGATACGAATTCTTTTAGAGCTGTAGGTGCCGATTCGAAAACCCCCATTTCGATTGTTGAAAGTTTGAGCGGATTGAGCGACAGGAGTCTGGTTACACATAGATTTATATAGGCTTTTTTTTTGTTATCATTGATAAGCTTTCTTTCATTTCTACACAAAGAAAGCAAGAGTTAAGGCATTAGTGTGCACAAAGTACTCAAGGAGTACTCAAGATCACAAAAAGATCACGCATTGGTGCTTATTTCTCGACACTGGACACACTTACCAGGGTTAGAATTTGAGCATAAAAAATTGGTTAAAGCTGTTGACAGGACAAGTTAGATGAAGGTTTTCACTAAATCGGTTTTTGGAGAAATCTTTGCGGGTACCTGATTCTCAATCACGGAGTTTCCATTTACTTGAATTTGTCGTATAGGGCATTGATATAATCTATTGATCTTTCGCAAATCGATCTCGGAAAAAGCCACCCGTTGACCCATTCGTTCAGCGTTTCCCTGGAATGATCTTAGTCATTTAGACCTGTTAAAGCAATGAAGTCTGTCAGTATTTTATGTCCTGGATGTAGTAGTGCCAGTTCTTGTACTAGTCTTGTATCAGTTCTTGTTCTAGTTCTTGTTCTAGTTCTAGTTCTTGCTCTAGTTCTTGTACTAGTTCTTGTACTAGTTCTTGTACTAGTCTTGTATCAGTTCTTGTACTAGTTCTTGTGCTAGTTCTTGTATCAGTTCTTGTACCAGAGCGATAGAATAGTGCTTTAGCCATGGAAAAACTGACCTTTTTCGGTTGAAGTGTCTTCTTTCCATTTCCACTGAAAGCGTATGGGCCTAAACAATCATTTGATTCCCGTTTCCCGTTCACCGTTACCATAATGCATAATCGACGAGAAATCATAGGGCTCTCCAAGGTGATCAATGACACTATTCGTGTACTTCTCGAATTGATCATCGGCTCCTTTCATCACATTGCTCCAAACAATATCCAAATATTCGTCACGATCAGATCTGAGTGAATGCGATGAATGAATATTTCAGTATCACTTTCTAACCTGCTTTGCTCGTGGAAAAATCCGACAGCGTGCATGAGCTCGTGCACAATTGTGCCAACCTGAATACAGCCAGAGTCCAAAGAGAGCGGTTGTCGGCCACCAGTTCTGCCCACCTAGACTTGTCTGATTCATTTTATAATTAGAATTGCTATCCGGATATAAATGCAAATCCTAGAATGGTTACGATAGAAAATATCAAAAAGACAAAAAAGAGCATTGCACAACTCACCAGCGAATAACAGCCATCATCTGGATGTATGTAAACGTAGTCGGCGTGTCTGTTCGGATCGCGGGGAACAAAGCGAACACACGTTTTATCATGGTATTCCTATATTTGATTCTTTCAACTTCTTTCAAATCTTCTTTCAACTCTCACCTTGATCGCTTTGGCAATCACTGAGCGAGCGTATGAGCCATATTGCGAGGAAAGAGTGTACGGGATTTCACCGTTCGGCCATCGACTAAAGTTTTCAATTTTAGTTTCAGTTTTGAAAGCTCGGCTGGTAATTCAAGTCATTTTACCGATAAGTTTGTCGAATAGCGTTCCGGGTGGATCGGCGAACAGCATCGGAAAGCGGTTTCTCATCAACGCTCGTCGCAATATCGCCTTCCATTTTATTTCCCATTGTGGGATCTTGTTTCACTTCGATGCCTAGAAATTGATTCAGGTTCATTTCGTAATTTTACAATTTCATTAGAATCTTGGTCATTATTCGGTTTATTTTATCATTCAGTTGGAAGCGCCAGTTTTATGGCTGGGAATCCAAAAAGTGGACCTCGCTGGGGTTCGAACCCACGACCTGTCGACCCAGGGGAGCGCTTACCAGCCGAGCGCTCTACCAGCCGAGCGCTCTTACCAGCCGAGCGCTCTCTACCAGCCGAGCGCTCTTACCAGCCGAGCGCTCTACCAATGAGCTAAAGCCACGTATCCCCTTGCCACCAGGGAAGGCTTTATCCCTTCGCCATGCAGGGCTATTCGTCTCAAACATTGAAACTTCTAGCAAAACCGTTTTCGGGACAAAACACTTTAACTTATAAGAGCTAAAACAAAGTCAATATTTACTAAAAATTAGTGTTAGTTTTTTGATTTTCAGATCTTAACCAACCCAATCTAACAAGATCCGCCGGCTCGAGCGTGCTCTTTGCACTAAAATCCGTCTCCTTTAACGTAGTCTCAAATTCGGGCCTTTCACGATCAACGATCTAAAGTTTCACTTTGAAAATTGTCTTTTCCTTTGACAACTTACATCTTTTATCGAAACCACTGATGCAGTAAAAGCCAAAATCGGCATTGCCACGAAAACTCCCACAGATAACCACATAAATAACTCTTTTTGATCTAAAATCGATAATTCAATATAATAAGTATCTCAATTGAAATAGTTAGAGTAAAAACTTAGGTCAAAGGAGAGGAAAACCTATATATGGGGAAGGCGGAAAGGCGCGCGTGCACGGCGGAAGCGCTGTGCAAAGAAAGATTACCGCCTAAAGGTCCTAGTCTGAAAAAAAGAAAGGAAAAAAAGGAAAAAAAAGGAAAGAAAAGGCGAAAAGAAATAGGCTCCTTTATTTTTCCCTGTCCCAAACCGTTTTTTCTTTTTTGCGCAACTTACAGTGAGAGGATACGAGCCAAAAAGAGTTGTGACTATTCACAAAGTAATCTCACGACTGGTCGCTTTCTGAACCCCGAAATGTCGTATTTGTCTATTCACATCTATTGTATTGCCAAATTCGAATTGTTAAATCATTTTTAAATCATTAAAAGAGACTTATTTTAATAAAGTACGAAAAAAACGATACAAACGATAAAAAACGAAAAAAAAACTGTTAGATCTCACAAATTGAAGAACCTTAAACTAGGGTGAAGCACTAATTTAGATAAGACAGCTATTTTTGACTTCGAATCACTTACTAGGGAAAGCCACCACCTTAAGGTGGAGTTTAAGCCTATAGAATTATACCCTAATAGAGTTTGACGCGCGGAATCTGAGTCCATCTTTAGTTTTTCCTGCGGACGCCCTCAATCGCCAGAAATTTGGCATCAAAGTTTTTGCATTGAAATTTAGTGCGCTATCTAGCGAAAGAAAACACTCCATCAGTGGTGTTCACAGGAAAAACTAAAGACGGATTTGGATTCCGCGCGTCAAACTCTATTAGGGTATAATTCTATAGGCTTAAACCCCACCTTAAGTTGGTGCCTCTCCCTAGTAAGTGATTCCAAGTAAAAGAACAGCTGTCTTATCTAAATTATATGATGGTTTAAGGTTGTAAAAACTAAAATAAAGACTTAAATAAAGTTTTTTTTGGCTTTTTGCTCTACATTATTTCATTTTTTTGGCCCACCAGATTTGAAAATTTATCGGAGAAATCCGTAGATCATTCCAAAAGCATTCGGTCGCCCCTGAGGTGAAATACACAAATTTCAAAGCCTTCATAGCTTGAAATTGGTAAAGCAAAAACTTACTACATCTCGAAAGCCCGTATCTCGAAAGAAAAAGGTGCTCACAAGAGAAGGCCAACCGGGTGTGGTGGCCAAATGACACGAGCCAAATGACATACGAACTATTCGACGCAGAATTTTGCGCTCATTCCGAATCTGTTTCCCCGTTTATGCAACGCAACACTCTGTCAGAAGTCATAAGCGCTCAAAGTTTTGTATGGGATTTCAAAAATCACACTCCGAATTTATAAGCACATTTCCAGCAGTGGTGCCCGAGTGGCAGTAGGTTAGAATGCAAGACAGAGAAACTCTAGTTCGAGTCGGCCTTTCCACTTTTTCTTTTGCTTTTTTTTGGATTTGCAAAGTCTCCGTTTTAGATAAAATTTTATTTTAAGCTACTTTTTAGTAAAAATGTTTACTTTTAACTATGAGCATCAAAGAGCTAGCATTAAAATCCAAAAACAACAAAAAAAAACTTTGACATTGATGACAACATCGTCGATGAAAAGGTGAAAAGGGAAAAAAAAGCATAGTTTGACTACAATTACGACCGGCACAAGGCATAAAAGCCAAAGCCAAAGCCAATTTGTATCCTTACAAGGCAAAACCTCAACTTTGAACAAGCATCGTTTGGAGTATTTAATGAAACTCGTTCATTGTCATCAATGTCTAAGGACAAATTTTCATGTTGATCCTGCACTAAAATCGTTCTGGTCTCAGAGGCCAAAACACGGAAAAATGGAATTGTCGCATGGAATTGTCGAATGTGTTAATTGTGGATAACGTGTGGGGTTATAAAAGGATAAAACCGAAAAAAGTCTAGACTTCAAGAAATTTTAAATGAGAGCAAAAGTACACGGAAAGTTGAATCAAATGATCGATTTTGCCCGGCGGGTGAGAGGGAGAAACTGTTTAGATGAGATGAGGTTATTATGAAAATGAGGAAATGAACAATACTCCTTGAGGCGTTTTCTATCTTCTCCTCCACTTATCTTTCTATGAAACAAGACGCAAAGGTCGATTTCTCTCACCCTTTTCCTTTCTTTTCTTCTTCAACCACTGCCCACTCATTTCAACAATAACTTTTAGGCAGAAAGAGGCATCGGAATTGTTATTTTTGCATTTTTGCCCACCTCATTTCTCTGTACTGATTGCAGCTCAAAGTCGAGTCTGAATTCCTTTCCACGTTAATCCAAATTTATTCAGAAAAAAATACAAAATCACAGATCAGAAATCAAAACAATAACAATATCTAACAAGGGAATGGTCTGAAGTTAAGATGATCTTTTGGAATGAGTGATACCCCATTTGACAGATCTCATGATGAATATTGATGACCAAAACAATTAACTGCTGAAAGCAACTCTACAAGGAGAAATGGGACAAGGAGTAAAATAGACGTTTTTAACCCTCCTTGACAAAGCTAGAGCTTGTTACTGAATCAATATTTTTAAATAATCTTTTTTGCATACAATAGAAATTAAATGAAACTAAAAAATACTAAAATTTGATTCCTAAAGTATTTATAAAATTTTACCTTTCAAAGCTACTGACTTTAACCAAAGTTTACCGAACTTTTTTTTTATAGGAAAATCTTAATTTTCTATAATTAATGAAAGTTTCTTTTTTTAGTTTCATTTAAGTTCTATTGTATGCCAAAAAACAGATTATTTAAAAATATTGATTCTGTAAAAAGTTACAGCTTTGTCAGAGGGTCAAAAACACCTATTTGACTCCTTGTCGGCCGCATTTCTCGTTGTAGAGTTGCTTTCGGGAGGCTAATTTTTGGTCATCAATATTCATCGTGAGATCTATCGAATGTGGTATCACTCGTCCCATGTGGTATCACAACGGTCATCTTAACTTTGGATCATTCCCTTGTAAGTTTATCAAAAAACAACTTTAAAGAAGCCCTTTCACGAAGCTGGCCACGAGTTCCGGAATCGCGGCATCGAAGCCACAAATGTCGAGCTAAACAAAAGAAGAAAAGTCAAATTTTCAGCAAACATTTTACCATTCCAGCGTCATTTGGATCCGCGATTGTAAAACCTGTGCTAGTCATGCCGAGCACAATTAGTTTTGCATCTGCAATGCCCGATGACTCGCGGTATTTTTGCAGAGCTTCGTATGGATGCACCTAGAAAGCTTTTCGGTCTATGATTCAAAGCACATTTCGAAGATAAAGACGCCAAGTTTTTCCTTAACCTGCCACTTCTCTAGAGCAATGATAAACCTTTTTGATTTTACAAACGATGGATTATGTGGAGCTTCTCTGCGTTCCAGAAAAATTTTTGAAAGTCGGCGCCATTTCCTTCTACCAACCCAATAAATGATAAGATCACTTCTTGCTATTACCTCGCCAAAGTACGTCTCGTTATCCGTGAAAACCATGAAACAGTCAATATCCTTGCGATTCTCCCTCGCCCAAATCATCGGCTGGGCACAATCCGTTGACCCGAAACTGAAATAAGGCTTGAAATTATATATACAGAGACAAAGAAATGGAACTGAGCCCAAAGGAAAACCACAAACTCGAGGCGATCAAAATAATTGCACGTCTGCTCGAGTGTCCACGACTTATCAAACGGTATCTCAGTAAGTTGATCGCAGAAAGCAACGACTTCAACCTGCAAAAAATGAACTCCTATTCTCGTAAATAAGATAAACGAACATTTTCTTCAGTTCTCAAGCCAATCATTCCCATTGCCACCGATGCTTTGCGATTCGTGATTGACGATCCAGATACACTACTATTCATGCTGCCTAAAATATGAAATTTGTAGCTATTTTCATTTTTCAACTAACTGCTAACATCGAATGCAAAACAAAATCGTTTCCCCGTTGCTTCGACATTTTTGAAGGACGCGTAAAAAGCCTGCAAACAATGAAGTTAAATAAATTTCAACTCTTGTATCCAACTTTTTCCAAAGCATTTTCTATTGTTGGATTTGGACGCCATGTCAATTTTCCTTTGTCTCCGCGACCTTGCGAATACATGTGATGAGCGATGAGAATCTGGAACTTGTGTTCAATTTAGACAAACTAAATTTACTTGAATTGGATGGACCCTGGATACTCGGATAGCCGCCTCATCGGTGAGCTTGTCGCACAACTCGGTGATTTTGGTTCTAGACAAGCTTTTGACAACAAATTTAAAAAGGTATTTACCCTTTAAGCATATCCAATGCTTGCATTTTGCTCAAGTTTCGAAGCATAGCCGTCATGGGCATTTTCTCGAGCAGCGCTTCCCAGATGCTGACCGAGTTGAGGTGTTGAGAAGGAATATGCTCCCGTACAAGACCTAGTTGAAAACATTGTAAACATTGTAGCTACTATGAACCTTTCTTCTTAATTGCGTCTACTACATCATTTTCGGGAGTCTCCTGCGACAACGATTTGAATGTTTCGATAAGATCCAAAGCCTCGGAATCGTTTTCTCTATAACGTAAATACTCTAATAGAAGCCCCTTATAAGAGCGTCGCGTAGCCTAAGTTTACGCTCAAAAACCGTTCATTTCTCGACACCAGTAAGTTTGTTTCTGCGCGCTTGGGTATCAAATCAAAGTAGAAAGGATGGGTGATTTTGTGAGATATAACACGTTTTTAGCATTAACCAGCGCTTAGAAAAAAAATTATTGAACAATGATGAAAAATCGGGAACTTTTTTCTAAGCGCTGGTTAATGCTAAAAACGTGTTATATCTCACAAAATCATCCATCTTCTCTACTTTAATTTGATACTTACACGCGTAGAAACAAACATACTGGTGTCGAGATATGAGCGTTTTGAAAGTAAACTTAGACTACGCGCCGCTCTTATTCTATTAGAGTATTTACGGTAGGTTAAGAGTCACATTTTTGACAAAGCTAATACCTATCCATTTGATCAGACGTATACGTGTTTGCAGGTTGTTGCTCTGCTTGTTCAACTGCAGAAAGACGGCGCTTTCTTGTCTTGAGAGTGCCTTTTACAATATAGTGATAGATTTGCTGTAGCTCTAGAAGTGATGGATCATCGGCTGACACAGGAACCTAAATTATCCATGAATCTTTCATCCTTTTAAAGACACCTTTGGATGGCTTAGCCTGAATAGATCACGATGAGACCAACCACCCCGTTGCCCATATTTTGTTACAGCTTGAGCCAGCTGTTTTGGCGACTTTGAGGTGTACCTACATCCAAATATATCATAAATAATTGTATTACAGTTTGTTATTACCAGTTGCAAATGGTTTCTCGCAAAGATCGGCCCCATCCAGTGGATTTCTGGGCCGGGTTGGCGGCCGTTTCCCTTGAAATCAATTCGCAATACTCGACAAAAGCGAAAAGATGAGTGGGAATGCGACAAACCTAAACAATTTCAAAGGTTCAATATTTCAAGTTTCAAATTTCAAGACTTACCTCATTCACCAGCGAGAGTGCAGCTTTGTGCATTGCTTTCAGATATGCTGTGTAGAGGTTTGAGAGGTCGGCATGAGTTTTATTCACGTCACAGACACGATATCTAGAGGATACGGCTGCTTTCAGAGAATGCTTAAAAATTCAGCTTCACCTAGCACAGAGCGCCAGTGCAAACATCAGCGGATCTTGCTTCGGATTTCGGCCAGCTAGAGAAATTTCCCGCAACTCATGAAGAATCATTGTAGCGCTGCCTGGAATGGTTGGCTCTTGCTTGTATCCGTGTGAAAAACTCCCGTCTACCACGTGATAAAGCTACCGCATGTCCTATCGCATGCCCGTGTAAAAACTACCATATACCTTTCTCGATAATTGCAATCAAAGCCGCAAGATTGTCCATAGTCAGCTCCTTCTCCGACGCATAAAAAGTGCCACCGGATGTTCCTGAATAAAAAAGTCTTAATCAACCAGAAAAAGCTCACCCAAAATCAGAAAACGCCTAACGCGAGTTTCATCAGAAACCGCAAACACGTAACCGCCAGCTGTATTCATAACCTAAATAGACGAAATTTACTTCTTTTTTTCTTTCGCACCTGATCATCTCGATTCTTTGTCATTTGACCAGACGGTTTTCCATCATTACTAGCCAAGAAGCCCTCGGTTTCAGACCCTTCTGTTCTTTCCGCTTTCTCCTGCGGTACAGCTAGCTCAAATCCAGCTCCTTCTTGAGGAATCATCTGAAAATTGATGCGGTAAACTTTGAACAAACTTTTCCCTATATCAATTAAACAACTTACAATCAGAGCATGTTCCTTTCGCTTCTCACGCTCTTGTTCCAAGCATGCAGAAAATTGTAACCCAACCACACGCAGTTGCTCGATGAGCTCAATGGAGGTCATTTTTCTGAAAATTACTAAATTTTTTCGTGATGTGCATAAAGAAACAGCGAACAAAAAATTGATTTTACATATATTTGAATCGGAAAATGAATAAGTGGACCAGCAAAATTTACACAGAATAGAAAAGAGGGGAAATGGTACTGAGAATAACGAAATTCAGAGCGCAGAGCGCAGATTCTCAAAGTGGATGAAATGGACAAACTAGCTAACTTTACGAGTTTCAACAAAAGGGTGGAGTCTTCCCAGGTAATCAAATACTTAAGGACTTTTCCCAAGTCTATTTCTTTTAAAATTTTCACAATCTACACGGTAGGTCAGATTAAAACAAAAAAGGATAAAGTTTATTATTTTGCTAGCAAGAATTGCTCTGTTAAAAACGGAAAGAGGTCAATTTCTAATGCAATTGGTAGGGAGAAATTCCTTGGTTGCGGTTCCAACACGATTTTAAACAATTCTAAGCTAACATCAGAAAAGCTCTACGATAGTTCAAAAATATGCCTCTTCTTGATGCTTGTGGGCCAGTGGGATGCATTCAAATTTTCTCATAAATTTTCCTCATTTTGTTTGCAAACTTAAGGATTTTAAAACATTCTAAAAAGTGGAGTTTGACTAGCCGTCGGTGTTGCAGAGTATCTAGTTGGAAAAATTTCAGCCTTCTGTATATAACTATAGTTATGATACTTCTCGCAATCAATTTTTAGGAGGGCAATTTTAGTAAAACGCTTTTAGATTGATTCGATTCTGTTAATAAGACAAGTTTTAGAGAGGGGCCATACTAAGGAAGCGTATTCTAAAATGGGTCTAACATAAGAGATAAAACAGCGTCTATGTTTTAATATTAGGGTTAATAATAGATTTAAGGATTCTACTTGTAGAGTAGGAAGCTTTCAGAGAAATTTTGTCTATGTGACAGCCAAAAGAAAGGAGATGAAATAAGTAGCCTGGCAAATGCAAAAATTTTCCCTTGGGGCACAAAGGCAAAAACTCAAAAAATTTTTTTTAAAATTTCGAATTCGGCGATGAGATGTAGATATTCGTAATCAGCGCAAATAACTGAGTCCGAAAAAACACTTTTGGTGGTCATGGGCTGGAGGGCGGGGTACGCTGCAGTCTAGCCAAGTATTATTTATCTTAAGGAAAAATGGAAATTTGTCCGTCAAAAATTGAATACTTTTAGATTCAGATAACTTTGGTTCCCAGGTTTTCGTCCTTTTTCAACTTCTTCGAGGTCTGCCTGGGCATTATCTAGGGTAAGTTTAGTTGCATGGGGATCGTTAATGGGTAGTTTAAAGAGAATTTTGACATCGTCGGCAAAAAGCGATATCGAAGCAGCTGAGAAAGTTAGGGTAATTTTTGCTAAGTCATTTATGTAAACATGATAGGACCTAGAATTGAACCTTGTGGTTGGGACACGAAATTCTAAAGGTACGGCTAGAGATAAAATCCTGAATAAACGCCCTTATATTGCTGCAAATTCCATAACTCTCAAGTTTATAAATGAGTAATCTATGTAGAACAGTATCAAAAGCAAGAAGTCAGAAAGATAGCTTCCGTTTGGAACTAGGCCCTTTGGTCTAAAGAATCGGCTATTTCTTTGCGAGCTAGAACTAATTGAAAGGATGTAAACTTTCCTTTTAGAAAATCAAATTGCTTGAGTGCGAGGAGACTATGCTCAATAAGATGACAAAGAATTATCGCTGATGATTATCTCGAAAAGTTTGGAAAGGGTTAGAGAAATGGGCCTATAGTTTTTAACATCGTTTTGAGAGGGATTTGAGAATAGGAATGATGAAAGGTTGCTTCCAAAATTTTGGGAAGGGACCTAGTGACTAAACTTTTGTTAAAAAGCTTACAGATCGGGTAGACTAAAGACCTCGATAGGTTTTTTAAAACAAAAGAGGTCACTTTGTCCAGACTAATAGTCTTTTTAGGGTGTTTTTGGAAAGCTGCTTCTATATCTAAAGGTATAAGCAAAAAGTTTGGCTGGACTGGAACATTACTATTTCCGGTTGCTGAAAAGGTTGGTAAAGAATTACCGCCATCATCGGAAAAGGTAGAGCTAAAGAATTTCGCAAAGAGAAAAAAACTTTCTAGGGATGTTAGAATTCATCGTACGTTTTTCTATATTAGATTCGAATTTATGAGAGAATTTAGACAGTAGTTTCTGTTCACGAGAGATCCTTGGATCGTCCCTTGATGGATCTGAGTAATGGGAATTTGCTAATAGGTCTCTAAGTCGTTTTTAGCTCTAAGAATGTGGGGAGGAAAAGAAAAAGGTTCGTGATTACAAGCTGGTTGAACGGAAGTCAGTATGCTAGAACACAAGTAACTATAATCGGAGTCAACAGTTGTTGAAACCGAGCAGCACGTAGATTTCGATAATTTTTCGGTTAGTAACACAGCGGCTAAGTCAAAATTTGTCCTAAAACGCAAACACAAATTGATACCCTTCCCACAAAGTGAGTCGCTGAGTCCCTCGGCTTGAATTTCAAAAGTAATCGAGTAGTGAATCAGCTCCGGGAAGAGGGGCACATCTTTTGACATCTTTGATCCATTCTGGGGTATCAGAAATCACCACATCTAGGATAAAAGAACGAATGAAGTAAAACTATTTAAAAGAAAAAGACCGTTTAAAAACAAAAAAATCATGAAAAAGCTTGCTGACTGGTGATTTTGAATAAGATCTACTTGTCAATTTATTTGACTTGAATTCAATTCGGCAGTTCCAACCACCCAATAGTAAGTTAGAAGGCTGGTTGTGAAGATAAAGCAAGATTAAGGCAAAAATCCCAGATGTTTAGGCATAATCAGTACCGGGAGGCATGTAAAGCAGAAAAAAACCGACAATTTGTGACCAGTAAAAGATCAAGGATTAAAATTTCACAACCAACAAGTTTCTAGACAGAATGGAGGTAAATTTAAGAGATTTACACAATAAAAGCGTTACGCCTCCACCATGGGAACGTTTAGAGGAAACCCTATCACATCTTACAACATTAAAATGATTGCAAGGGTCCAAAATAGGGCTAGAGAAGCGAAAGCGCTAGAGAAGCCAGGTTTCAGATAAAGGTTTTCGAAAAATTTTGAAAGCTTTTGAACGAGTCAAGGAATTGAAAAGTGGCTAAGCGATTAAAATTTTGAAACATAATCTACCATATACAAAACAGAAACAAAAACAACAAAAAACAAAACATATGTCTGTGTCTGTTTGTCAACGTGCGCAAACGTAGCGCTCCGTAATTACGTTTGCCCTATCGGTTAAAGGGCAAAGTATTCAGCTTTTGCGCGCGATATTTTGCTCTCGGGGGTTTTCAGCTATGGGGAATCTGATTTTTAGGTCCATTTTCAAAAATGGGTGGGGCTTAACACCGGTTAGGGTGGTTTTAGTCATTTGAAGGGGTTCCCCGCCTCTCCAGTGGAAGCAAACGCGAACAAAGTGAGGGTTTTCCGCTGGTATATATAATTGGTATATATAATTGAGGACTGTCTGTCCGTCCGTAGAGCACGAAAATTTTTCGAGGCTTGGAGGAGCAGGTGTAGCTGAGGGGATAGCGCGCCGGTCTCCAGATCTAGGGGTTGTGGGTTCGGATCTAGACCGCGGGATATTGTTTTTCTTTTTTGTTATTCCAGGTTTGTAGTCCTATCTCCTGGGATACAAACTGCTCACGTTATCGGAGCGGAGATGGTGATTGGTTGATTTGATTTCATTCAAAAGCCCAAAGATGGTGATTTTTTGGGAAAAAAAAATTAAAAAATTATTGTAGTTGTATGAAGAATAAGGAAAAGGAAAATTAAGCAAATTAAAAAAACACGGGGGAGGAAGAAGCAGAGGGGTGGGGGGGGGGGGGCACACAAAATAGCTTTTCTTTGGGGGGTTTTGGTTTTTTTGGGGGGGGGGGGGGGGGGGGGGGGGGGGGGGGGGGGGGGCAGGGGGGAGAGGGGGGGGGGGGGGGGAGGGGGGGGGGGGGGTTTTTTTGGGGGGGGGTTTTTTTTTGGGTTTGATGAGTTGAGCCGCTTGGGTTTGCGATTTGGAAGAGTTTGCGTAACAGCTGTCGACTTTGAGACGTCACCGATGCAGAAAATTGAATAGGAGGCGTATCATGGAAGCTTTGAGTTGAGGTTTTCTCGGGTTCCTTAGTGCGAAGATTTGGAGGCGTGGATCCTGTTTAAGGTGGTTTCGTTGACGTGGTTTCTTGGTTGGTCACATCTTTTGCCTTGTAACGAGCAGGATCCGCTCTGCAAAAGACGACTCTCTTGGCCCACCATGGTTAGAGATCCTTGGAGAAGCGATGGAACGATCTGACAGTCATAGAGACCCCACGCGTTGATGCAAGGATGATTTTCATCGGTCGAGGTTTGTGGGAAGAGTAGACTACCATCCGATATGTGTGCACGATGTGCCCGTCGAGAAGGCAGCTCTTGGCTAAGAGGATGGCGGTCACAGTTTGAACGAGTTTCGGAATGAGGCAAGACTCAATAGCAACTTCGGGGAATCCTTCCAAAACGACGTGATAGCTGTGGTCGAATTTCTTTGCAAAGTCCGGAGATTGGTCAATTTGCTTGAGGGAAAGGTGGCAGAGGATGGTTTGCCAAGCGGCCCATCGTCGATACAGCGACAAAAATTGATTTGCAAGCAGGTAAACAAAAAATTGTATTGCACGCGGTCAAAAGTTTAGCTGCAGCTAGGAAAAGCCCAAAAAAAGGCTACTCAATTTTGGCCCACGAAGGCAATCCCCGTGCCTAGGGTGATTTTGTTGGGTGAATGTTTTGAATATCAAGCAAGTTAAAGTATTCGGTTCAAAATCCCAGCTGTTAAAAAAGATTTCCAAAGTGTGTGTGAATGATAAACAAGGGATTTTACTGATTTTACTGACTCATAATTTCGGAAGGAGCAAAAAAAATATTGCGCAATCTTTCACATCCTCGAATTAAACGCTGCTTTAGGTAAAATCCAGCTTTTTTTAAAAGCAATATAGCAATATATAAAGTTGAGAATAAAATTTCGTATTTCTGAAGGAAGCTTTTTTAATGGGAAATGATTATTTGATGTTTTTCATGGCTAATTTTATGAGTTGAGAGTTGAAAAATAAGGGGCTTTCTGCAGAAGTTGCGACTCCGTGTCCCTCCACACAACAAGTAATCCAGGCGCCTCATTCGTATTTACTACCGAAAAACCAAAGTAAACATTCGCTGAATCTTTTTTAAACTTTTACAATGATTAAATTCATTTATTTACAATGAAAACTCAATGGTTAAATTCTTTATTTTCATTTTTTTCATTTTGCAAAAAGTCAATGTTTGAGCAAATATGGAAAAATCGAATTCAATCGAAAATCAACAAAGCGTGTCTTCAGTTTTTGACTGTGGTGTCGATTTCTTTTTGCTCTCACGATTTTCTTCAAAGATTCCTGTTGGCGGGAATCTTCTGAAGGGTCTTCTCCCAGCTGCTCCCTCTCGTTCCCCTTCGGCCACTTTCATAAAGTTGTCAACCTGAAATTTTTGAGTCTCATCCTCAGTTGACAATCACTAGTAAGAGATTTTATTTAATAATTCCTATTTACTTACGATAATCGTGATCGGCAGTGCAAGTACCAAAACACCGCACGCAATCGCTCCCGTTGCCACCAATTTTCCAGCTAAATTTCGATTTAAAAAAAAACTCATTTTAACTCATTTTTCCTTCAGAAAACTTACGAACTGTGACAGGAGTCAGATCGCCATAACCTAAATTATATGTTTTTTTGTTTTGTTTTGTTAAAAAGCTCAAGAAATTCTTCTTTACAATCAACCACGACATTTTCCTTACCAACTGTCGTCATTGTTACTATGCACCTAATCGAATTTTGTCGTTATAAAGCTTACAGAAAAGATTTCTTACCACCAACAAGCAGCCGGAATCGAATAAAATTGTGAATTCGGCTCGTCTTTCTCAAGAAAATAGACTAAAGTCGAGAAGAAAATGACGCCGGTCAAAACGACCATCGCCATCATGCCGAGTTGACGGAATGACGCCTGGAAAAGCATTTTAAAAAAATATAACTTTTATCTAATAGGCTCAAAATTTTAAGCCTATTAGATAAAAGATAGCCTATTAGATAGCCTATTATTACCCACTTTCAGCGTTTTACCGAACATTTGTAAACCCGAGCTGTAGCGACCAAGTTTCAGCACCCGGACCACGCGCAAAACTCGCAAAATCCGTATTACCAAAAATGCACCCTGGAATTTAGAGCTCTTCATTTTCAGCTCAATTGTCAATAGGTGTAGAACGGAAAAAAAACGAGTTTTGATTACCTCAATGAACTACTTTTATTCAAGGATTTTTCAGATTAAAAGATAAAGCTTGAAAATTCTATTCTCAAGAGATCCTCAAAAAAAGTAGTCGTTGAAGTGGTCAAAACTTGTTTTCCCATTGTCTATTGACCTTAAATCTATTGGCAATCAGACTGAAAACTGTATACATTTGGTGGTAAGTATACATTTAAAAGAGTTTAAGTCTTTTTTTATCTCGCCTTTAAATCCCGGAGCTGTTCAGTGTCAATACCGAAGATCATCAGAGTCATTTCAATAAGAAATGGCAAGATGGCAAACAAATCGATGAGGTTAAGCAGCTGGAAAAATGTTTTTCGTCGATCCGCAGCCACTAACATCTTCATGCCTAAATCAGATTTTAAAAAATCACTATTTTCAATGAATCACCGTATTCAAACGTGAACCAAACTATACAAAGATATTCAAGCTGCTGCAGATATGGATGTGGCTCTCTTTCCACCGGAGCAGAGCTATCTGGAATGAAATTTGCACGTTGAATGGCTACGGTGAGGTTAAGCTACAGTATGCCAGAATGTCTGTCTGTCTGTCTGTCTATCCGTCTGTCTGCCTGTCTGTCTGTCTTGTCGGCTACGGTGTACTGTAGTTTATGGTGCCGATTTTGAAATAACCCCACTCTTATTCGCATCTCGACGAGGCGCCGCATCGACTTGCAATTCGGGGAGACTCCCCAGCACCAAACCCGATATCGAGATTAACACAAAAAGCACCGAAACTGTAGCAAAAATTTGAGCCAATCGAGAGCTTGAAAAAAAATAATTCAAAATTTGAAGTGAACTCAAAACCTAGTTGGCTCTTCCATAGTGTCCCACATTCTCCGTCGTATTTCACCAAAGCGCAAATGCTTGAAAACGTTTGCCCGCTCTTCAGTGGTTGACTCAGAGCATGTAGAGTCGACGTCATGCTAGAACTTTTATGATCTATACATGATTTTCACAAATTTACTTTATCCTCTTGACAACAACAAGGCGCCATATGGAGTTCGGGCTCGATTCCCCACCAATCAAGCTCATCGAGAATATCGTTTGGACACAAGTGTGACGGTTGATGGATTTGACCTGAGCTTTTAAAGGCGCAAATTTTGAAAAACTTTCCTCCTCACCGGTAAGATAGAATTGAAAAATGATATGAAAAAGTGAAGGAGCTCTTTCGAAATAATATTCTGATGTGGAGGCAAAGAAAGCGTCAGCAAGGGCAGCTCTTTCCTCGTGATTCACCGACACCATCCAGGTGAGACGCCCTGAACTAGATTTGTAACGAAAACAACTGTCGGCTCTTTTTGGCAATTTAAGGCTTTTCTCAGCATCAACTCTTTGATTTTGACTATAATTCGATGCAGAATGAAATTGCGCATCGAATGATATCAAAAGAAACTCAGAATATAATATCCATGCAAAGTTATAAGGTAAAAGGTCAAGTCTCGTCTAGAATGAGCGAGGGTGAGGTTTTTAGCCAACAGCTTTCCATGAATATTATATCTTGAGCTTTCCAACAGCTTTCCATGAATCTTATGATCTTATTCCATGATCTTGAGCTGGTTTTGGTTTAGTTTTTGTACCAATTGATAGAGAAAGACTTAGCGCATCTAATGATATCAAGAATCTTTAAATTGAACAGCCCAACACCAAGAAATTTGCGCTCAAAGTTAATGGGAAAAGGGGCGGGCGTAGCAAATGTGAGCCGATATATTGCACTTTTTTTTGAGGCCGATTGGGTTAAACATTTGCAATCAGGGGTTTTTGAGGATGAGGAATTCGAATTTGTTATCAGTTTTTAAAGAAAACTGCTTTAGTTTTGAATATCTCATTCGGTTTAATTACCCAAATGTAACCCCAAATCCCGAAGGTCAAGCCGAAGGTCAAAATTTTCTGTTTACGTAATCGGGCGGCTTCTGGCATAGCTGTCGTGCAGCCAAGCCAAAAATGACTTTGTAAATGTGTAAATGTGTAAAATTCTTTTAAAAGCTTATTTTCAACATTCCACATAATTCCTTTAACGCACCAATATTTCTTTTTAGCACTGTTTCCCGTCTCAGCATGAATCGTTGACCGCCAATGTTCAGCCGAAGGAACTCCTCGTTTTGTGCACTTTCCACAATCAGACCACGAGTCTAAAAGTACAGTAGTATTCCATTTTATAAGATTTCCTTACCTTATTTAAAATACATGAAGGTTCTTCAAAAGATTGCTCAGCAAGGAGGTTTCCATGTGGGGATCCGTCCTCGTCCGATTCATCGAGACTTTTCAAAGCGTGTCTAGAATAGTACAACTATTTTCTATAGCCTCTCTTTCTATTTGACTTTCTATGACTTTGAAAACTATTTTTTTATTAGCGTTAAAGAATAGTTAGTGATGCTTTAGCCTTTCTAGATTAGATAGATTTTTTCTAGATTAGATTAGATAGACTTTCTAGATTAGATAGACTTAAGAAAGCACAGTTTATATTTTTAAGCATACCTTATTTGCTTAAACAATTTGAGCGTCATGAAAAAATGCAAAGCTAGACAAAAAAATGAGAATCGAATGGGGAAAATAGCTTTGAAGGGAGAATATTTTCAAGTACTCTCAAAAAGTACTCTCAATTCTCTTTTCAAGTACTCTCAATTCTCTTTGAACAAGGGGTAAATAACAAAATGTTAACAAAATGCTAACAAAATGCTAACAAAATTCTAACAAAATGCTAACAAAATGTTTGTTACAAATCTCATAATCACTTCTTTGCTGAAGCTAATAGCCGAGCTCGTGCACAAACAGCTAAACGTTCCGAGTTCGGTATGTGAAAGTGTCGCTGCTGTTGGATAGCTTTGTGTCGATTCAAGCGATGAATCCCATGTGATGTGGCCATTACTTTAAAGAGAAAAAAACAAGCATTAAAGCAAAAAAAAACAAAGAAAGATGCAAAGACACACCTGAACTCTGCAGCACGACCGTGTTCATTTTAGAAGATTTCAATTATCTTTTTATCTTTTCAGTCTTCTAAACAACGCCTCTTTCTCACGCAAAACCATGTGCTTCTAAAGCGGGGTAGGCTAGTTTCCGCAACTTTTTTTGCGCAACAGGGTCATTTGCGCAACAGGGTCGTTTGCGCAACTCACCATAACTTTCTTCTAAGTGGGCTAATCTTTATGATTTTGGTCTCATTTTGTAGATCTCAATAAGTGCAACAAAATGAAATCAAAATCATAAAGATTGGCTTACTTAGAAGAAAGTTATGGCGAGTTGAGCAAACGGTCCAGTTGCGCAAATGACCCTGTTGCGCAAAAAAAGTTGCGGAAACTAGCCTACCCCTCTAAAGCTTTAAGAGAAAATTGAAAATTGATTAGAAATTAAAATTTTTAGAAATTTTAGAAATTTTAGAAATGATTTTCGAAAACTCAGCAAGATTATTTACTCTATGAAAAAGCTTTTTAAATCTTTTTGATTTTGATTTTGAAGATTTTGAAAATATTGAGAAAAAGAAAGAGATTTTAGTATTAGAGGTTTTAGAGAATCAACAGATTGTAATACAAAGAACTTATAAAGAAAGAAAAAAAGGGGAATAAACATCAAAATGAAAGAAGGGATTGTAGAAATGATCCCTAGAGAGCCTTTTCTATGAACCCTTTTTCTAAAAAGGGAGCTCGAGAGCAATTCATCGGATCGGTTGCCCGGTAGCCGCTTCTTTCTCTTCATTTCATTTCCCTTCGCTTCACTATTTTCTTATATATTTGAAATCAAAAGAGAAAGGAAAATAATAAGCTTTCTCTCGTCGATTTTTCTTTTTTTGAATTAAGGCCCTTTGTTTCTGTTTGGATGCCTTTGATCAACAGCTTTCAATTGTTTTTTTTGTGGCTAAAGAAAAGAAAAAACACTTCCGCTTTAAAGAGATTGACTGACTATCGGATTTTTTTGCACAAGTATCAAAAAAGAAAGCTATGGATAGATTTAAAGAGAAAGCTTCTCAAAGACAAAACTACCGTAAATACTGTAATAGTACCCCACCCCCCATAATGACGGTGCGGAGTGTTGCGTAGTCTAGCTTTGAACGAGTTTTTCTCGACACTGGTTTATGCTACAATAGCAATACAATTATCAAAAAATAGCCCTGAATTTCAGCTATTTTTTGATACCAAAAGACGCATTTTTTGAAAGTACGGGCGCTTTGAAAAAAATGAAATACTAAAAAACTTTTGCGACTACGCGACTGTACGAGAGGGGTGGGGTACTATTACAGTATTTACGGTATAACCTTGGGTTATCAAGTTATTGATTGATTTCTCGTGAAACATCTAAAATCTCAAGATATCTCTTATATAGGGAAAAGAAATATTGAGTTGAAAAAAAAGAAATCGGGAAATGGAAGAAAACAATCGGAAAATGCGCAGCTTTTCACAAAATTCAAAACAAAGAAGTGATGTTAATCTCGAAGAATTGTGTAGAAAGAGATTCGAGAAGTGAAGGGAATTTAGATCGGCGGAAGAAAGTTTGAAGATAGACTGAAGGCGATGAAAGAAGGGATGAGAGATAATCCGATGTGCTGGTAGATTCATCCCTTTTCACTCGCAAATCCAGGCAACCTCTCGAAAAAGAGCGCTTTTCTTAATTGGATAAACAGCGCCTACAACACAACCACTCAACCACGTCACCTTTTGAGAAAATTCTAATTTCTAACAACTTTGCTTTGATTTTCTTTTTTCTTTTCTTTTCATTTGAGCAACTGCAATGAATTTTTGAAAGAATCACCCAATTTTAGGGCTTTTTTTAGGAACTATTTTACTCTAGAAAATCAAAAACAAAGCTGAAAACAAGAAAAATATGCAATTGATGAGGTCAAATATTGATTGATTTGATGAATTGATGAGGTTGAGGTAAATAACTTTTCCTAAAACACTGGTTTTGCATAGAAAACGGCTAATTTCCTTCCTAAAATGTACACGATCGTTTTGCTAAACACAATAAACAAAGAACAAAAAAAAAACAAAAATAAGCATTGTACAAATTTCTATAGATCTCTCGGAAATCGAAATCAATTCAATGCCAACCAAAAAAAGCGACTCAATTCAATCAAAGCGCAACCATTTCTCCATCTATCGCCAAAAAACAAAACCCAAATATAACCAAAATAAACGAATGAAAGCAATTTGTATGTGTGAACCATCATTAAGAAACAGGTGCAAAAATAAATTCAGACTTTCGCCTGAGTCTAACCTTTTACTGTCGAAAAGATCACTGCTTCCACCACTGGCACCATTTTCGCGAATGAACGCTAATGTGCTTGAATCTAGGGTCGACTTTCAGAAAACTAAGAGAAAATGTTGATTACCCTGTGAAGTGTGTTCTTGGTGACGCTTTCGGTGAATGCCAGCACCGCCCAACTGAGAGGAGATCATCTGAAAAAATGTTTTCTTGTGAGGAAATGAAATCAAAGACAGAAAATCAAAAATCGAATCGAAAATCGTTTCCCTAACTTGTTGAAAACTTGAGCTTTCAATTGTTTGTATAAGTCTCTATGAAACTAGAGCCTTTTACCGTATTTTCTCTAATAGTAGTGCGCCCTGAGCGTCGTCTAAATTGATCGAAATCTCGAGAACCGCTTATCAGAACCTATTGATGTGGGGTCGGAAAATGTAGCTGACGATGAGATCTAGTGGGGAATTTGAGTGTTGAGCTTCTGCAAAAGCTTTGAAACCGTAAAATCGTCACCAACTCGGCTCGGCGGGGTGCACTACTATTAGAGAGAATACGGTTTTCAATTTACCGCTTGTAAGCTTGATTAGGCATCAGATTTTCATGATTTATCACCAAAAGTTCACCTTTTCCATTGGTGCCATTATTTAGTCATTATCTTTTAGGCTTTTAAGCATAAATAGATTCAAATGTAAGATACCGTATTTTCTCTAATAGTAGTGCGCCCTGAGCGTCGTCTAAATTGATCGAAATCTCGAGAATCGCTTATCAGAACCTATCGATGTGGGGTCGGAAAATGTAGCTGACGATGAGATCTAATGGGGGATTAAAGTGTTGAGCTTCTGTGAAAACTTCGAAACCGTAAAATAGTCATCAACTCGACTCGGCGGGGTGCACTACTATTAGAAAAAATACGGTATATAAATTTTGTTGTCTTCTCCTAACATTTTTCTAGATTTTTTGACTTTGAATGTAAATATACAAAGAAAACTCACATGCAAATTACTGCTAAGACTTCGATTCGATTGTTGGCTCTGTTTGCGCTCGGCGAGAAGCGTTGACAATCTTGGCCGATCCTCTAGAGAACCTAGGGTTATAGGTTTTCAGAAAATTAGGTAAAAAGCATGCACTTTACAATGATCTTGTCAATTTTTATGTCAAAAAAAACGTTTAAATGTGCAAAATTTCAGACTGAAACCCTTTAATGGTTTAGTGCTGGAAATAAGGGATAAGCTAAGAAAGAGGTGGGCGGGGATCAACAATTCGAATAGGGCAACAGGCAGAGACAAAAAAAATTGGCTTTTTTTTTTGGTTAATCGAAAAACGCGATGACACGCGGGATAAAGTGAATGAAGTGCCGAGGGAAAGGGGATGAATGAAAGGAAAAACACAAACACACTCTTGTCAGTCATGCATTCCAGAACGGAACTTTCTCCTTTTAGTCGGCTCATTTATAGAAGGATCATGTTGTTTTTTTGCGATTCATAGCAATGGACTTGATTAAGTGATTGTTTAAAAATACAGTATGCCAACAATATTTAAAAGATATTCTGTCAAGCGCATTGTCTTTTTACAAAAATCACCTGAAGTTCGGAATTTTTGCTTCCGATTTGCGCCGGCGGGGCCCAATCGGATCGCTTGATGACTAAAAAGATTCGTTTTTTTTTTTTTTGGAGAAATGAGTAATGAGAAATGAATATTATAGGTAGCTGGATTACGGTAGCTTTTTCTTTTTTTAAATATAGTGATTTTAAATAATTAAATTTCAATATACTAACTTGAAACGTAGAATTTTGATTCGTTTTTAGGGTTGAATTTGGGGAAATCGGGAAAAGAATGGGGAAAGGAATGGAGGCCAAAAAATCTCCCAATTTCCCTCTTAACCCGAGAAATTTTATTACCAAAAAGTAATATTTCACAATTTCTTAATAAAACCTCAGAAAAACAATTAGAAAATGAGATTTTATGAAAAATTTTTGCTCTTTCCTTTAGAATGAACAAAAATGTGACTAGAGAGATGTACAGGGTGTCCCAGGATGGTGTCCCATGGCCACATGTCCCATGTCCCAGGTGTCCCATGGCCACATGTCCCATGTCCCAGGTGTCCCATGGCCACATGTCCCATGTCCCAGGTGTCCCATGGCCACATGTCCCATGTCTCAGGTGTCCCATGGCCACATGTCCCATGTCTCAGGTGTCCCATGGCCACATGTCCCATGTCTCAGGTGTCCCATGGCCACATGTCCCATGTCCCAGGTGTCCCATGGCCACATGTCCCATGTCCCAGGTGTCCCATGGCCACATGTCCCATGTCTCAGGTGTCCCATGGCCACATGTCCCATGTCCCAGGTGTCCCATGGCCACATGAAGACTTAGTCGATAAGAGCGACCAATAAAGAAAAAAAAAGCAAAATTTTAACTCTATAACATTTATTTATATTTAAAAACTATAAATGAACAATTGAATGTGAATAAATCACCATTGGCGTTGCTATAGGCCTACAAACGTTTGGGAAAAGCGTCCACGGTGACGATCAAGTAGAGGATGTTCAACTCTTCCCATGCTTTAAGCAAGGCTTCAAGCTTTCTTCAAGCTATCGATTGGAATTGAATATCGAATTTTTGAATGCGAAAAGAAACCGCCTAGCTAGAGAGGTCAAATGACGCGCAATATCGCTATAATCTGTCGCTATAATGTCGCTATACCTGGGACATCCTGTATGCTCGTCTTTTTTTTGGGTTATTTTTCCCAAAACATCTCAACTTTCGGAAAACTATCGTACGCTTTTGTTCTAGTTTTTATCTAATCAATCTATTTTCTTTAATCGAATTCTGTGAAGCTCGATCAAAAGTGATTAGATTACCGTAAATACTGTAATAATACCCCATCCCCCTCGTACAGTCGCGTAGTCGCAAAGGTTTTTTAGTATTTCATTTTTGCAAAGCACCCGTACTTTCAAGAAATGCGTCTTTTGTATCAAAAAATAGCCCTGATTTTCAGCTATTTTTTGATACCTAAGCGAACATTGTAGCATAAACCAGTGTCGAGAAAAACTCGTTCAAAGCTAGACTACGCAACACTCCGCACCGTCATTATGGGGGTGGGGTACTATTACAGAATTTACGGTAGGTGAAAATTGAGGTAAATTTCAAAATAGCCTTTCGAAAATTGGCCCTCTAGATACTCTAGAAACTCTAAACGAATAGCAAACCTGTGAATCCGATTTTAAACTTTTATCATTAATGCAAAATCCCTCGAATACTCATGTAAAATGTTTAAACAAACCTATGAAAATGCATTCTCTCAAATCGAAAGCAGCGTTTCTCAAATCAGATAAGCAGCGTTCTCTCAAATCGAAAGCAGCGTTTAGAAAGATCGCCGAATCACGTGAAAGCTGAAAATTTTATGTTTTAACAAAAGGTTTCAAATAAAAAAAAAAAGATATCTTTTGGAAAGGCGAAAATGTGATTTCTTTTAGATCCGAGGCGAGACCGATACGCATAAACACGAGAAATGACAACAATATTGGGATCTCTTGAAAAGGCAATCTAAAACACTCTGGACTTCTTTATGGACAAGCAAAAATGGGGTAAGGAGAGGCATTTCTCGGGAAATCCCGTCACAATTTCGGATTTTTCGCTCTCACAAAAAAAACACGCTTGAATTTTTGATTGGCAAGGAAGCCAATTTTTGATTGATCTCCTTTTGATTGGCAAGGAAGCCACTTCTTCGAACTTTACGCAAAGTGATCGCTGTCAAAAAAAAAGAGCAAGCAGGTGAGAATCAAGGAAAAAAAAAAGAAAGAATTTTTTCTTATAAAACGAAATGCTGATCGGAAGAAGTAGACGCTCTCGAGTGGCTCATATAGATGTGGATATGTGTGTGTGTGCGAGAAGCAAAAAAAAAAGGGGTACTTCATGTCATCCCATTCAACCTCGGGAAATGAGACTTGATGGATCGAGGCCACACTCATTTCACACGAAGGGCAAGAAAAACACACACAGAAATCTATTTTTTTTGTTTTCAAACTTCATGAACTATTCGAGTTCATGAAGTGCGCTATCCACAAAAATGTGTGGTAGGTTGTACCTCAAATCTCGAATTTCTTTCCTACTGTATTCAGTAATTTGTATAATGAATTGGGAGAATGTAAAAAAAAAATGTAAAGTTCAACGAATTTAAAATTATCTAATCCGGAAGAAATTACAAAAAGCTGTGGGTTCTGTTTCCACTTGGATGTCGCCACAATTCGTACTGGCAGCATTTTGGGAAATTAATTTTTTCCTCAATTTTTTATGGTCAAATTTTTGAGCCATCATTCGCGATGCAATCTGCTAAAGGAAATCAAGTGAAAAAAAAACTCAACAAAAATTCTTCACGTTTCAATTTATTCTTTTTTCTTCAGAAAGACTCAAATCCTCTCACCAATTCATTTCCATTCCTGGTTTAATTAATCTAAAATTCCAGAAAAATTTCCACCTAAATTTCGAAAAAAAATTTCTGTCATAAATTGAAAGTGTGTCACTTTTCGATAGAAATCTAATATTAACTTTTATCGACAATCACCAATTTGGCTGAAATACACATAAATGCATCACAATCACTAAATCGTGCAATACATTGGGCACCGTGTTAACGTCTAGGGAACACTAAAATACACTAGAAAAGAGTAAAAACCCATCTACCCAACATCAACTTATGAAATAAATAAAAAAAAAACAAACGAAAGAAAAAACTATATAATTACAACAAGACGATTGAGCAAAATTACATGCCATTGTACTTTGGACCCTCTCCTCCTTGTGGTGTCACCCAGTTGATGTTTTGAGTTGGATCCTGAAGATATAATATGAACATAAAATGATGGTCAAAAATGCCTTGATATCACAGGTTTTGCAATGAATACAGTTTTGAGCGTTGATTTGCAGGCGTTTCTCATTAGCATTGGATTCGGATGGCACAAACTCGTAAACACCTGCAAACAATAACTTTATAGAAGCGAAATCATCTAAACCTGCAGGACAATAACGAGATTCCGGTCCGTCAAACTTTGCTAGATTTACATCGACTGGAACATCATCATTCTAAAAACCACTAAGGTTACTAATCATTTATCATGACGAAACCTTCAATGTCAAATGTGCTGGTTGATTATCTTGATGAGTTGTTCCTGTCAAAGACACCGACGTAAGGAGGTCAAAAGTGAGTTTCCCGTCAGGTTTTGGATAATCAATCTTCTAAATCCTGGAAATAATAACCCCTTTACTGGTCTTAACAAACCGGAGCATCCTCTTTCTTTACGAGCTTTTCGTTGTCAGGTTTTCCATGATCCAATGTCCATGGCTCAAATCCACGTCCTAGCACAAAGAAAAGACCGCTATAGGCCAACCCACCATAAAAACCTTAACTTGTTTGTATTTCATCAAACTCAAAAATTTTTACCAAGGGAAGTGTTGAAAGATGGACGAATATTACGCGTTGCTTTCAATTCTTGCATGACATATGTGTTTTCAAGTTCCTTTGGATAAGATTTTGGCTCGACGGCTAAATAGCAACAGGTAACCACAATATTAATTAATCAGTTTTACATGTTGCATTCTCGTCTTCTCCCAATTCTTTAAAGATCGATTCGGCCGCAACCATGCCACTCTTCATTGCATTATGTGTTCCTTTTAACTTCGCCACATTAAGGAAACCAGCCGTACATCCAATAAGACATCCACCTGTGATTCAGTTTACGGTCAAACTTAATAAGATATGGTACCTGGGAAAGTCAATTTTGGAATACTTTGATATCCCCCTTCATTGAGGGCTCGTCCTCCATAACCAATGCGTTGTCCTCCCTCAAGTTGGCTGCGAATTGAAGGATGAGTCTTGTATCGTTGAAATTCCTAGAATAATTATGTATAAAAGAATTAAAGAAAAGTCACCAAATATGGATTCATGTTGGGATTCTTATAATCGAGAGCCACAACAAAGCCCACTGCCACCAAAGGTTGTCCTTCATCTTCGATGTGATAGAGGAAGGAGCCACCGTAAGTTTCGCGAGGCTTAAAGTAAAAATTAAAAATAACACTGCTAAATTTCGTACCAATGGCCATCCCATCGTGTGCTCCACATAGCCAGGTCGATGCTTTTTTGGGTCGATCTGCCACAACTCTTTAATTCCAATACCATAAGACATCGGATGTTTCCGTAAATTATAGCGATCGAGCACCTAATTTAATCACTTTCCATTACTTGTTTTAGGGCAACATACTTGTTTTGTCAAATGACCTCGGCAACCTTCAGCAAAGATTGTACATTTCGCGTGCAACTCCATACCACGTTCAAAACCTTCCTAAGGAGAAATATTGCTAATCTAGTGAAGCTGAAATCAGACTTTTGGTGAGCCATCTTTATTGATCCCGACATCATTTGTTGCAATTCCTTTAACACTTCCATCGTCGTTATAAAGAATCTAAATAGCAAAGAACTTTCAGCACAAGCTTGACTAATAAGATTAAAACGAAAGATTTTCCTTCTGAATAAATTATAGCAAAAAAGGAAAAAAAACCTCCGATGCAGCATAGCCAGGGTAAATCTCAACTCCAGCAGCTTCTGCTTGTTCACCCAGCCATCGAACAACATGTCCGAGACGAACAACATAATTGCCTACAAATTATTATTGAAAAGCTTACAAAAGTCAGCTTACCATGATTATACAGAGGCACACCAGGAAAGCAAGGAACCGGAATCCTGCCACTTTCGGTTAAAATGGCAATCGACTCTGACTAAATTCTTACATGTTGTAACATAATGACTCAATAGTTAAAACCCTACCGTGACTTGCTGTCTAATCGGAGCGCCAAGTTCTTTCCAATTCGGCAACAATTCATCCATTGCCTTTGTTTCAATGACGGCGCCTGACAGTGTGTGAGCTCCCAATTCGGGTGCCTTCTCGACGACACATACACGTACTTCTAAACAGGTTCTATAAAAGCTTATATTCGTCACAAACGCCACCTTTCCCTGCCTTCTCAGCGAGTTGTCTCAACTTAATTGCAGCCGACAAGCCTGATGGACCTAAATTATTAAAAAGTAAAAAGTCTCTATATTATCATTTTTAAAACATTTACGGGCACAAGCTTGAATTTAAGTTCACCTCCACCAACTATAACAACATCATATTGGTCCGAAACACGGGTCATATCAATATCTTTCCATCGCGGGTCTTTGGAACGATCCTAAAAGAAAAAATTAATAAGCTCATAAGAATTTGAGCGTCACAAAGTGTAAAAACCACTACCTTTATCGTGTAATGAGTAGTAGACCATTTACCGTTGACAACATTTTGTAGGGTCCTGCTGAACTTCAGCAATGAAATATTGCTCAAGCGCATCTGTCTAAAACAAACATTAAAGTGATCCACTATCAAAGAATACTGCAACATATAGAAATATAATCGCTCAAAAAAGCCAAAAGTCTTTAAACTGTATTGAAAATAGCTTTATCTAAACCCGCCAATGCAACATTACAACCAAATGAACATGCAATAAGTTAGCTTTTGCTATTGAGAGATCCACAACAAATTTAATAGTGCAAACAGTCAGCAAACTAAATACGCATAAAAAAACAAAAATATCTTAGAAAGATCACATATTAGATGACTAATTACGGAGATAGTGTTTCACAGTTTATGAGATCGTGACATACATTTCTTTCTTTCTTTTTTTCTTTCGAGCTAAATGAAACAAATTCATAAATGACAGCATAAAAAAATACTAATGCTATCTTTCTTTGGCCTCAACGGCATTATCTACCACATCATCAGTTTCAACATTTTCCCTCGAGTTTGAAACCACCATTGACCCACCCTAAACACAGTTATTTATTTCAATCGCCACGTTACCAGTTCTTCTCACCTGTAGTTGTCCTGCTGCTTGGCCTATGGCCGAGGCAGCTCCGCGGATCCAAGTGGTAAACGATTCTTTCACTTTAGTTCCTTAAACGCGCATTAAATGAGTTGTAAATACAATATCGTATTTTCAAACCAAAGATTATTTACCTGCTTCTCCTAAATTTCGACCAGTGTTGCTCAAAGCATGCATAGCCCGTTTAGCTCCGCCGCTACCATGAACAGCGTGCTCCATTAAAATGCCAATGTCTCGCACTCCAACTTGACCCGAAAACGTATGACTAAAAACTCGTTACAAAGTCATACGCAAAAAAACAAACCCTGGAGGTATTGAAACCAACTCCCGTGGTGACGAGGCCATCCAAACTTGAAAGTTAAAAGTTTTTTGCCAAGCCGAAATAAACGATGGACCAAAATCGGCAACCATATTCTAAAACCTTGAGTGGACCAAACCATCGAATTTTACCTGCAATTTACTACGAACTGTAGCTCCCAAAGACAATAAATAATTTCGGAATTGTAGTCGAATCCATTCATCACCACCTTCCCAAGCTAAAAAGCGATAAATATTGCCAAAATGACCCAAACCCACCCGCTTCAAGGATTTCATTTTGTTCGATATGCTTGAGCAAATAATCACCAAAGCGTAAATCACTAGTTGTAAGCACAAGCTAAATTACAAATAAAGCTTTGAAAAAAAAGTAAAATACAATTACTTGTTTTTTAAGCTCGGGATCAGTAATGTCAATGTTTATGTTGCTTTTATCGTCCAACTAAAGCCGTTTAGTGTGATTTTTTTTAATAAACTCACTGTAACAATAACATCTACGTGATTGCGATTTTGAATAAATAAGTGATTTGTAGCACCAATCGTATATGCACGAGCATTTTTAGAGCGTATGACGTCCAAAAAATTGATGTTTACATACGGATGAAAAATATTTCCCTAAAATTCAGATTAACGTTTTACAACAATAAAGTAAGTCTATACCGTCGTGAAAATGCTGAGCGGAAAGCCAAAACCATCTTGGGTTGTGCGCAGAGAATCGTTTGATAAAATTGTGTTGGTACAACAACTAACAATATCCTGGGTTTCCTCTGGGAGCGAGAGTGAAGACTGAAACATCTATAAGTTGTCAAAACTAGCAAAAAAACTACCATCTGATCCTTTGTTGTTGCGCGATCTCCGGTGGCTTCATCAATACTTTCATGAGTATCCGATGATTTGAATTCCTTGTGACATTCATCTAGCTGCTGACAGGGAGATGCCGCGTGAAACAGTCCTTCCTCGACCATTCCTTAAAAACCTTTAAAAATCAGTATTGATCACCAACTTGGAAATAACGACAATAGAGCCAGCATGGTATCACCAAGTACTTGTACAGGAAACATGTTGAATACAACCTCAAATTTAAGTTCTTCAGGGCTACTCGTACAAAATTTTACCTTTCTCTCTAACAACATCAACTTGAAAAGTAGCAAAGATCTATGTTTAAATTTTTTCACAAACTCTTTCGCCGATATATCTAAACTTGTATTTATCGTTTTTAAAACTCAAAGCATTACCTATTATAGGTGATTGGCCATCGGTTAAATCTTCTTCGAACATGTCAACCAAGTTTCGGTACATCTGTGAAAGAACTTCGATCTAATAAAACCCTTTATGGAAATAATCTAATCAAGCAAACCTTCGAAAAATCTCTTTCATTGAAATATGCCTGTGTAATCACTTGTAGTTTTGCCTTCAGAGCTCCGAAAAGAGGTATTTTTGATATGACACACACGGATTTTTGAACGGTACTCCTAGTAACATCGTCAGGTCGAGAAACCAGCTCCTAGAAAAATGAAAATGGTCGACACAACTTTTCTCTCACATTTGCATTGATTTGTCGATAACATGAAATCCCAAAAATGCTTTTTTCAACATCCTCTCTCGACGGGAGCAGAAAATACACGATGTCTGTCAATCAACTATTTTACTAAATAGACATCAAACAAACCGCTTTCGGCATTGTGTGCACCATCGGGTATTGCTAAGGATGGTAAATTGGTCCATTCTACAGGCAAAGATTGTGAAGAGTCATCAGCCAGTGGAGGATAGGCATATTCAACCTAAATACCAAAAGACCAAATCGTACTAGCACAAAAGTTTTTCCAATTTAGCTTTCAAAAATGAACCTGGCAGCCCCTCTTGTGATGAAATCCGACAACCACTACATGAAGAATTACGCTGCCGGTCATTTATCTAGATTACTAACTCTATAAAACAATTTAGACTATAAAAACTAAAAAAATAAAGGTAACTGTAATGTAACAAGCTTGCTAACCTCAAAGTGTACTTTTGAAATTTTTATTATAACCGTTTTTAGTATGCAGTGCAAGGTAAATGTGAACCGAATGCTTTATGTAGAACAAAATTGAATGTTGAAAAATCAAAATGATTTTACAATCAAAAGTGTTGGATTTTCTGTTGGGTTTCTCCCTAACATATTGCCAAAAATTTCAAAGTTCTCGAACTTTTAATCACTTTTAATTTTCGAGGCTTCTATTCAAAAAATTCTTGAACTCTGAGTAACATTTCGGTAAATGAAAAGAATTTAAAAAAACAAATAGGCGGCAGTGAGAAACAATGAAAGCGCTTGGGATAGAGCTTAAAGTCATTTGTGATTGGGGTTATGAAATGGGAAAGTTGTTGGGATATACAAAGAGATCAATACTGTTTAAAACTAAACATTTTTGAGATTTAGAAAAGTGAATTTGCAAAAATAAACCACATTTTGATGATGGGCACAAAAAGAGAGAATGATGGGCCGGAAAAGGACAAAAGGTTAATGATTGAATTTTTCACTAAAGCTGATACTGCTGGCAAGTGATTATAGATAGGCAAATACAAATATTTCAGCAAAGCAATCGTAAATACACGCGTTGCAATTATTTAAGAAAAAGGTACCAGCAAAGAATGAGCCAAAATTCATATCAAATCATGTATTGGACAAAAAAAAGAGTAAATCAACAATTAAATGGTCATGATTTTCATTGAGAGACAGAACATAAAGAAGCGAAAGGACAGAAATTTGTGTCCATTAAGTTACCGAGCTTACCTATTCGAGACCAACGAAAATAAATTACAACTGCGAATTATTTTAAAGAACATTTGTTTCAGAACAACAAAAATAATGAGCCCAATAAAAAAGACCTTGAGAAAATCGCAGTTGGTAACCTGGTTAGGATGAGATATGCTGGGCACTATTTGAGCCCTGAATAAAGTGATATTTTGCTCATCTAGACATAACGTAAGTTATTATTTGCAAGAGAATTGGCATTTAAGCAAGATATCACCTTGTCGTCTACAAAAAGGCCGAAATCAAAGTGAGATCAAAAAGAAACGTGGCAAAAAACTTAAATTGTTGATAACTTCAACCCTTAAGAATTTACAAGCCACGGAGAATGAGCGATGTTTAGGGGATCACGGTCTCCATAATCGTAGAGCAGTTCTTCGCCTTCCTCGATGTCCCTTTTCGCTATTAAAATTAAATGGTGACTGCTGTCGACTTCAACAACCTAAAAAGTTAATGTTGGCTCAAGTTTATTCGATTATTCATTTTAAACATTTCACTAGTTTACCTTCGTCTTCAAATTTGGTCTCAAGGCAGAATGATTGATAAGTCTTCCTTTATACTTGGTCTCGACGGTAGCATCAACACACCATTTTTTGTTCTAAAATTGAAAATTAAATTCATAGATACTTCATAAATCTTTAATTAAATTACCTTGTATTCAAAAAAATACATATATGATCCAAGGTTTGGGTTTTTCGCATATTCCATCTCTCTTTCCTTTGCCTCGGTGTAATCTATCATGTCACCTAAATGTAACCACATAGACATCTTAGAACATTTCCGTTATTACCTTTATATTCAACAACGAACTCGTTTTTCTTAAAAGAAGAACCGGCTTTTATTCCTCTCCCTTTGATCTGAAGAAAATTTTAAAATGGAAACAGAATGAACTGTATACCGGACAAGTGTAGATATCCAGCAATTTCTCATTGCAGCATGAATGTACAGCATCACGTAGGTGGCAAATCTCTTCTTCCTTAAATAGAAAGATGCAAAAGAATTATTCAACTACCGTAAATACTGTAATAGTACCCTACCCCCATAATGACGGTGCGGAGTGATGCGTAGTCTAGCTTTGAACGAGTTTTTCTCGACACTGGTTTATGCTACAATGCGCGCTTAGGTATCAAAAAATAGCTGAAATTCAGGGCTATTTTTTGATACCAAAGCGGCATTTTTTGAAAATACGGGCGTGAAAAAAATGAAATACTAAAAAACTTTTGCGACTACGCGACTGTACGAGGGGGGTGGGGTACTATTACAGTATTTACGGTAGGCATTTATGCACCGAAACGTTGAAAGCTTCGCGGCTTACCTCCAGTTGTTTGCCAGTCTTGCGACTGCTACGACGCACAGCGAAGAATTTGGTGATCTTCTGATTTTGATTGGAATCTTCTAGCACTTTTTTCCTAAAAAAATTTTTGTAACTGAAAAACATTGCTAAGTGAGCAATAAACTGAAAAAAAATACAAACCTTTTGCTAATAAACCCTGTGGTGACAGCATTGTTGTTGTTGTTAGTTTGTCGCATCGCTGCAAGCCTTTTCGGTCTTCGTTTGGTCTCCACACAGCCAAGCATGAGAAGCTTTGAGTTAAAGCTACTATGGACTTGGTCCTAAAACAAAAGTTGAGATTGACCGATTTCAACAAAAATTATTACAGAAAAAGAGAACGTGATTCAAACAAAACAAACAAAAATTTTTACAAAGATTTACTTAATTTTTTTAAAGACGGTAAAGAATTCAAATTATCGCATGTTTTGAGTCTTTGAGTTCTCCCGTTGAAAGAGCAGACTTTAGAAAACCAGGAAAACTTGAAAACACAAAAAAAATAACTGTGTTAAACGAGTTAGACAAATAGGCATACATAAAATATGAAGGTATTCAGCTGTTTGGCTGTTTAGCGCTTTGATAGCATTTTGCAGTTTTTAAAAGCTTCTTTTCTTTTTGTTTGTCAGCTAACCTCTCACTAACGTTCGCGTTTTCCACTGGAGAGGTCCACGTTTTCCGCGCAATCTAAGCCGCGCCCCTTTTTGCCAATGGCCAATGGCACAGACGGACAGACGTTTCTTCTTCTTTATAGATAGTAGGTTGTAAGGCAACTTTGGAGTCCCGAAACTTGGTTTAAAACTCATTTCCCCAAGCTCTCGTTATGTTTTTCGGAATCTACGCATAAAACTACCCTAGAAAAAGTGGTTTTGGAGAAAAAATAGTGCCTCCCCCTAACTAGGCTAGTACCAATGTTTCCCCTTTCCCCCGTTTTGCTTTTGTTTTTTCTCGATTTCTTATATTTCTTCCGTACATGGATATATTTTCAGAAGTAAGTCACAATCTACGATGCCAATAACCTGGAGCACTCACCACAAAGGTTCGAATCCATTGGTAAGGTTGTTACTTTGTGCTTTAGTAAACGTAGAAGTAATTTCTTTGGAAGTTCATAAAATACGGTTAAGATGCATAGCGAAAAAAAAGTAAATTTTGATGGTTGCATAAGAAGGGAAAACTTGTGGTTTAAACCATGTATACACACACGGGTAATACTATGTCCACTAGAACGACGCCTTTGCTTGGGCGCAACGCTGCCGCTTTGCGTGAGAAATTATAGTGGTGAAAGGTTGCAAAATTACCACCGAGCAACTTTTGGTTTCCCTAGCATAACCAAAAAGTTATTTTCAAGGTGAAAATGAAATCAAAGATTACTTTGTCACACTACCAAATGCTATCATACATTTCATAATTAATTTTTATGATTCAATGAAACCAAGTGTTATAAATTACAAATCAAATCTTAAGAACTGTTGCCTTATGTTGATATATTACATGAAATTTGATCTTTTTCGATTTTAGCACTTGAATTTTGATGGCTTGATGGCAAATCAAACAAATGATTCTGGATTTGAGGAGCAGCCTATCGACACAAATGTTCAAGAAGCGCCAAGCCAGAGCAATGGTAAAATAATGGTCTTAATTTTTACATAATGTTTTGCATAGATATTTATTTAGCCTAAATTTTAATTTAGGGACTGTTTTCAATGCTGCAATTGCGAAACCGGGTTTCAACAATGTCAGGACGCATTTGGAAAAAACAAAGAGCTTAAGCTCTTTTAACTCAGTAAGAAACAAAAAATGATTCATTATATTTGGATTTAGCTTCGATCGCCTTCACTCTCGCTTTTATCAACTGGACCTTCTGCATCGCACAGTATTCAGTGGAGAAGTGATATTTCACAACAGAGGCGTAGGATTTACCCTCCAGTACCAGGGTGATTTATAGGCATTTTTTATGATGACTTTTATTTTTAGAGCACAAGTTAATGGGCAACAATATCGAATAACTCCATCTCAGCACTTTAAAGTGCATTATCAAACAGGTAAAATAACAATGTTTTGTTGTCCTTTTAAATGAATGTGCTTTAGGTCATCAGTATTGTGCCGGCTCCGTAGATCCGTTGAATTCCACGGCGAATCCTAGTCATTTGTATAAAACACAATTCCCAGGTTTTTAACTCGTGTTTTATTTTGTATAATTAAATACTTTTAGGTTTGGAAAGGCCTCTGAGCAATCTATCGTCTACAATCACAGGGCCTAACGGCCATTTACCATCTTCATCATCTATGTCTACACTCCCATTAACATCTACATCTTACAGACTGCAGCCACAATATACGGTTGATTTTAGACAATTTTCTTGTTATATTTGATTCTAGGCAAGGGTAACAAACAAGCAACTGCCATCAACTCTCAAAGTGAATCCTGTTTGCTAAATCTTATATATTATTTTTAGGAACAAATGGCTATGCCTATGCAGCACGTCGATATTGTTCAACGGGATCTAGAGGAAGAAGTAATTAGTCACTTAATGAATTTAAATCTGTCTTGTTTAGGAAGGAAATTTTGGTTACACGGACACGTATTTTGCATATCGACCTTCAAAGCTGCGTTGTGGTTTAGCCCATCCGGACAGCGTCATAGAAACTTCATCGCTGAGCTCCGTACAATTGCCAGATATTCATTATGTTTCAAGAATCCCAGAACATGTGAGTTTTTGTACTAGAATATATTTGAAATTTGCTGCGTTTTAGGTAATTGATACCGGAGCAATCTCTGCTTTGCAATACGAAGCTCTGATTTATGCATGTCAAATGCACGAGAGGCTACTACCAAGCGGAGAACGAGCCGGTTATCTCATTGGTTTGTTAATTTTTAGCTCTCTATAATAGCTTTTTAGGAGATGGTGCTGGCGTTGGAAAAGGACGAACAATCGCAAGTTTGATCTACGAGAATTATTTGGCTGATCGTAAAAAATCGATTTGGCTGTCAGTTAGCAGCGATTTGCGATTCGATGCTCTGCGAGATCTGCGAGATATTGGCGCTACGAATATCAAAGTAATATATTTGAATGTTCAGGCTGATCTTTATAATTTAGGTTCATTCTTTAAACAAATTCCGATATACGAAAATAAGTAGCAGCGAGAATGGACGTGTCAAAAAAGCAAGTTTCAATAGATGTTGTAAGATTATTTTTGAAATCTTAGGGAGTGATTTTTGCGACTTATTCCTCCCTTATTGGTGAATGTAAAACGGCGTCGAAGTCCTATTCATCACGAATAAAACAACTCGTGCAATGGTTTGGAAAGGTAAGCTTCACTATCTAAAGTAAAGATAGGATTTTCTAGAGTTATGATGGATTGATTGTCTTCGACGAGTGTCATCGAGCCAAAAATTTGGTTCCCGGTGTTGGTGGAAAGACGACAAAAACTGGCCGACTGGTATTGTAATGCTATTGACCAATCCATAGTACTACTTAAGGTGTTGGAATTGCAAAAGCTACTTCCGAATGCTCGAATTGTTTATGCATCGGCAACTGGTGCCACAGGTAGCTTAATAGTTGATATTTATGGAACAGATGTCTTTAGAACCTCGGAATATGGCTTATATGACTAGGCTTGGACTTTGGGGTGAAGGAAGATCCTTTTCAAATTTTGGCGAGTTTCTTGGAGCGGTCGAGAAACGCGGAATTGGAGCGATGGAAATTGTCGCCGTCGAAATGAAGGTGGGTTTTCTTAAAGGCAAAAGAACCACATGTTTATCTACAACAAGCATTTAATTTTAGCAACGAGGGCTTTACCTTTCACGTCAGTTATCATTCCATGGAGCCGCTTTTCGAGTCGAAGAAATTCAACTTTCAGATGAATACATAAAAGTAATCTTTCCGAACAGTAATTTTCTGATGGCAAATTTTAAGATTTATGACAATTCTGTGCGACTTTGGACGGAGGTGCGATACCATTTTCAAGTGAGTTTTTTAATTTCATCAAAGTTTTATTTATATTTAGAACATCGTCGCCAAGATTTCACAAAATGAGCGATCCACCACGAACAAATTTTTGTGGAGCCAATTTTGGGCTAGTCATCAAAGATATTTCAAATATTTGTGCATAGCTGCAAAAGTAAGTTAATCTACCCTTAATGAGGCAATTAACATTTTATTATCAAATATAATATTATGTTTTTAAGGTTGATGCTTGCGTAAGACTAACCCGTCAAGCTATTTCACACGATAAATGCGTTGTTATTGGTTTGCAGTCAACTGGCGAATCTCGCACAAGAGAAGCCATCGAAGAGCAAGGCGGAGAGCTCAGTGAATTTGTTTCGACGGCAAAGTAAATAAATTTAAAGCTGACTTTTTTATTTGGTTTTTTAGGGCCGTTTTGCAGAATTTGATCGATAATCATTTTCCTGGAATTGATGATGATCCGAATGACGAATTTGATCAAGATTTTTTCGATTTCGACAAGAAAAAGAAAAAAAGAAAAGGTAGAACCTTATTTTGTAACTGGGAGTTAATCAAAAGTTTAGCGGGCGATTTCGACTACACCAACTCACGTGGCTTTCAATCAACTTTGTAAGTTGTACATTTAAGCTTTTATTTCAAAGTCCATCAATTTTAGCGATCTTGATTCGAAGCGGTCGAAAATAGGGTCGCCAGAAGAATCTGCTGCGAGTGATGATGACGTTACAGTATCAAGTGAAGCCTCGCAGGAATATGGAGGGTCCGATGAATCCGAAACAGAAATGAATGGTGAAGATGGTAAGTTTATGGCTATTCGGGTTTCAAAAAATTACTTTTTTTGAGCATTTACTTATTGTTTAAAAATGGGTAACAATAGTTTTCAATGCACTCAACATTTTTTATGAACCAAGTTTATTTGAAATTTCAGAAGATGATTGGATCAAAACTCTGTACGAGGAGGCGGCATCAGGAGATGAATCGGAAACAACTCGAGTAATTATATTATTTTTAGCATTGTTATTTTTGCTTAGGATGATGAAAATTCAAGACCAGCATCTGGAATCCCTATGAGTGGAATGAATGCTCTTGACTATGAAATGGAGTTATCTATCCTTCAAAGTTATCTGGACGAACAGAATGCCTCGTTTTTCGAAGATGAAGAAGTGGAAGATGAAATAAATCCATTTTTCGCTGATCTTACTAAATGTTTTTTTGTTTGTTTAAGTATTCTATCTACTTTATTAGATGACCCATGGGCGGACCGTCAACGAGGCGTCGTTTCTGTCGTAAAAGCTGATGAAAAGGACAAAAAGGAGAAACGGTTTGGTGTTTTTGTGCTAGTTATTTACAATGCGCCAGTTTAGCCGAAAAAGCAAGAAGAAAAAGAAGCAATTTCAACTTGAACTTCAAGAAAAACAACAACTCGAGGAGATGCTCAAGAAACGAGAACAAGCATTGGAAGATGCTTCGGTATAACTTTGGGTTCATTCATGATAGCCTCAAATTTAGAAGCATACCGCAAAAGATTTTCTAAACTTATCGCGAGTTTGCGAAGAACTTGATCACGACATCAATCCTTCTGAAATCAAAGTATATACCATTAATGTCTTGTTTAGCTAAAATTTGAAATTAGGCAAAACTTCTTGTTGCTGTAGAAACGTTGGGACGTAGTTTACCGCCGAATACTTTGGATCATCTAATCGATGAACTTGGTGGACCCGAATTTGTTGCGGAGGTAAGTATAGTATTGAAAAAAGATTTTTAAAATTTGTAGCCATTAATAACGCAAGAAATTCTAGATGACCGGTCGTCGCGGAAGGTTGGTTCAAAACGAAGAAGGCAAAGTTATTTACGAGCTACGCCACAAAAATTCGGATGTGCCTTTAGGTATGCTTTAATTCATTCAACAGTATGCTTTAAAGTGCACGTTTAGAGTTTATTAATATGGAAGAAAAAGAAAAGTTTATGACGGGGCAGAAAAAAGTAGCAATAATCTCTGAAGCCGCTTCTTCTGGAATATCATTACAGGTAAATTTCAAAAATAAACGAAATACATGCAACTTATCTAGGCAGATAAACGAGCAGAAAATACGCTGCGACGAGTTCATATCACATTGGAACTTCCATGGTCTGCTGATAAGGCTATTCAACAGTTTGGTACGTTGGCTAAAGCAAATGATTTTATGATTGAGGGATTTAGGGCGCACTCATCGTTCAAATCAAGTTAGTGCCCCCGAGTATGTGTTTTTGATCTCCGAACTGGCAGGCGAAAAGAGGTTTGTGTCTTGTTGAACAAAGTTCAACATTTACCGATTTTTTTTCAGATTTGCTTCAATTATAGCGAAAAGATTAGAATCTTTGGGAGCTCTTACTCATGGTGACCGCCGCGCAACAGAAACTCAAGACTTCAGTCAATTCAATCTGGACACGAAATATGGACGTCAAGCATTGGAATGTCTACTTCAGTAATTTATGAAAGTTTTTATCATTAAAAAAAATTTAGATCGATTATTGGAACATTGAAACCGCCATTGATTCATCCCCCAAGAGACTATAAACCTGGATCTTTCTTTACAGGTATCTGATCTTTTCTGAATGGTTTTAATTTAATGATTTAGATATGGCTGTCTATTTGGAAAGTGTTGGAATTTTAGTAAGAACATCGACTGGGGCTTACGCGATTGAAAAGTAAGTCAAAAGATTGCCTATTTTTATTTTTTCGTGTGGATATCCCTACCTAATAATTTAGGGATGGCCAACAAATGTCTAAATTCTTGAATCGACTGTTGGGAATTCCTGTTCATGCTCAATCTGCACTATTTCAATATTTCTCGAACATTTTGGCTGAACTCATTTCGCAAGCAAAACGAGATGGCACATTTGATATGGGCATAATGGGTATTCTGAATTTAATGATCACATCTAACTTCACTATGGTTTAGATCTTGGTAGTGGAGGAACTCAAGTTCAAGTTCAAAACACTCGGGTCTTTCTTGGTAGTCCTGAGAGGGGTTCATTCCGTGTCGAGATGCACAAGATAGCGGTAATCATAACCAGACTATTTTTTCTATAGTTCCTTAGGTCGAGCGTGGGATTACTTGGGATGAAGCTCTTTCAATTTCAAAGCTCCATGTTGGCAAAGAGGTGAAACAATATAGAATTACCGGTCGTTTTATTGGTTTGCTTTTAGGATGGTTTCTACGTTTTGCGAAAAAACACGTGCAAGCAGCAGGCATGCATTCTTGCGTATGGAGTTGAGATGCTAAACGGTGACAACAAAAAGTTAGTTAATTTTAAAGGCGATTTTGCGATTTTGCTAGCATTCTGTGCATTGAATTAAAACAGCTAAGGTTTATTGTTAGCATAGTTTAAAGCCCACTAGGACTAAAGTAAAATCTAAAAAAATTAAGGGGAATCTTATGAATTCCGTATCAAAGGCGGTATTACTCGTACTAGTTTGATCCAGGATTTTTACCCCAATGCCATACTCCAAGTTGTCTCTTATCTACTACATATAATTGAGGGCTGTTTGTCTGTTCGTCCGTCCGTCACACTCTGGATCTCGGCTCCAAGTGAACCGATTTTCATAGATTTTTTTTTCTTAGAAAGGAAATTAAAAATTAATAGGTACATCCTGTTTGAACAAAACTATCATCTAAGTGTACTTCCTGTGCAAAATAGCCATCACGAAGGGAGGTAGCTCTGATCGTCAGGCAATGGGTGGTCGAGAGGATAGCGCGACTGTCTCTCAAGCAGATGTCTGTCTCAAAGGAGGCGACGGGTTCGACCCCTCTCACCGCCAAACTTTTTTACTTTTTTGCAGAGAAATTAGACAATTTATCGGTGCGGACGCCCAGCGCAGCTGGTAAAGTTCTTAAAACTTCCATCCGGTTTGACTAATAGCGGCCATACTAGGTGTGATAACCACTTTGGCAACCCTAAGATTCCCCTAGCTCCAGAAAAGCGAGCATACCTGATTGCTCGGCAGAGTAGTGTTGGTGGTGAAACCATACAAAGCCTTCTGGGGCATATCCAATGCCGCATACAGGCAAACGCGTCCTCTCCACATGCTGGCGTTGACGGAAATCTAGACACAAATACCTTACACTTACTTTTACTATTATTTTCATTCGCAAACAAGTCTACAGTGGGCCTATTTGCCTCCCATGGTTTTTGCTTAAACTGTGAGACAAAATGTAACTGGTTTCGGAGACAATGCCCTACGTCAAAACTCACTAGGTCCTTTGCTACGCCAAAAATCCACACTTTTACTAGAAGAAATAGAATAACGGCGAGAAAACACTCTGTATACAATATATACTTGATAAACTGTAAGCTAACAATCAACCAGAATGAAAATTTTTCCCTTTTATACTGTAATCCCGACAAAGACTTTTAGGGGCACATTATAGAATTCAGCGGAACATCCCAAATGCACAAAATCTTATTATTGTTTTTAGATCCTACATTATCACACGTCCTTCGACGGGAAGAAGTGCTAAACTCGAAAGCATTGCGGATTTATCGCGGAAATTTGTCAAGACTCAAATCGATACTGCTGAAAAACTGTGGAAGGAACAATTTGACGGTATACTTTTTTTAAAAGCAATTCCATTTTTATTTAGCATCGGCTAAAATGTGCCAACATCACTACATTTGGGGTAAATGTCGAACTGAGGAAAGTGGGCGATTTTGCGAAGTTGGGCGCCGAATGCGCACGTATTTTGTTCTTTCCGGATCGGTTCGTTATTTGCAGATATTTTGAGTACTTTTCGTTATAGATTTTATCCGTTTGGCCCATTATCGAGAATGTGTTTTCGTCAATTGAAACGGACAAGCGTAAACGGCAAATTCAGGTATTCGACTCGAATTTTACGTTGTTTAGTTATGGTTTAGATGATACGTGTCTCCACCGAGCAAGGGCAAAAGATTGTCGGCGTCCTTGTATTACCACTCTACGTGAGGGCTCTTGTAAGCGAGCTAGAGAAATTTTGCGTGCGAAACTTTGGTAAGAAGCAATAACATGATTTTAGGTGTATCTAATTTTATTTGTTGCTCCAGAATTTCTACTCATAAGTTGTTTTTCCTAGACCTCTTGTGACCGTTATGGGTGTGATTTTCAGGGTTTTTCTTGTTCGGGTTTTCTTGATTTGCAGATACATGTATTCTTAGATTTTAATACTCCTATGTCCCCATTTCTCGGTGCTTTTTTTCAATTTTTCATTCATTTTTCGCTTTTCACTTTTTTTCGACTGTTGTTATTTGATTGTTGCCTTTGAATTGTTGCCTTGTTAAATGGAATTTTTTGGAATTTCCATTTTGTTTGTTACAGATTTCTATGTTGATTGTTGTTGTAGAATTATTACAGAGATTTTTCCCCCAGTATGATCCAGTCAATGTAAATAAAACTAATTTTCAGTCAATTTCAATTGCAATCATTTACATAAAAATGGCCTCAAAATGTGCATATTGGTAAGTGAATCGCCAGTATCGATTGATCACGTACAGACAGACAGAACAGGCTGCACTCACATTCGGCCTAGAGAAAAAGAAAGAAAGAACCTCTGTGCTAAGTCTACGGACAAATACAGCATTAGTCATTCCATGATTTTCGCCGGTTCTCGTTTTTGAAGCAACTTGATTATTCAATTTTTCAATTTCAATTAATGATTTTGAGCTATTTTGAAACCACGTCTTTCAAACTTTAATCTTAGTTTGTGCCATGTTCTTATTGTGCAAAATTTAACCACCCATCTATTTGAATTCTTGGTTTCTAAATTTCCAAATAAATGAATGAATTAGACTGCGATGAGTACAAATGGAGTAATGCCGGCTGAGGCTGATAATATTATCGCAAGAAAAGCACAAATAAAAGGGTTAGTTCTTTTGAAAACAATAAGATTCATTTGAAAAACACTTTTTTTTTCATTATTAAGTCAGCTTTTTAGGAAAATTGATTCAATCCACTCCAGAAAAAGATTGATAGTCGAAAAGCTGCGGGAATTTCACGAAAAGGTAACAAATTAAATTTTACAATAATATGTATTTGTTTTTACAGGGTTTCGAAAACGATGAGCTAAAAGAGAAACTCCTCGAGGCGTATGATCAGCTCGATTCACAAGAAAAAGAATATATGGAGCTGTTTGTCGACATTACGGTGAGTTGAAATTTAGAAGTTTTTCTTTGCATAACGACAATAAATAAGCTTTTTTCGTTTTCTGTATCGGCTTTAATCTAGATTTTTTTAAAAGCTTTTATTTTGATCTATTTAAGTTTTTTTTCTTTTGTTTAGCGAATTCACGAACGAGCCACCGAGGATTTTACCGAAGAAATGTTGGATATGGTTGATCGCCTTTTGGAGGTGCGACTCGAGGGAATGGAGGCTCAGCCGAGCAATGATGACACTGAACAGTTGACACTTGGTGGGGAAATTTTAAAGATTAATTTTATTAGCTAGTGATCGGAATTCAAGTGTTTGTGCGTTTTCTCATCGTACTTTTTATATTTTCCATTTTGCACTGGATTTATTTCGTAAACAGTTTCGGTTGGTACGTTGGATGTGTTTACATCCAAATGTTAAGCAAAACGTCAAAATGTTTCCCAAAGTTTTACTGACTTTCGCTCGGTGAGAAAGTTTTTGTTCAGGGCTAAACGACGAGATTGCTCGCCTACAGAATGAACTTCTCGACAATCAGTCTCGCGCTCTCAAAGCCACCATGATAAACGAGCAACTCATTGAGCAACTTTCGAAAGAAAAGACGAAAGTTGTTTTCAAATGGTTTCCTTTTATTTTTTTTGACATTTTAGCAAGCCTATTTCAATGAGTATCGCAAGTCGTCGAGTGGTGAAACGAAAAGCAAGTCACAAGAAGCGCATCATGACGTGCAAGCGATGCGAATTCGAGGTTTAGTGACAATGTGAAAGATTTAACAAAGCGAAAATGTTTAGTGCACGGTGAAAAGCACGAAAACGACCGTAAACAGAAGCAACTCGAACGCCTTCGACGAAAAGCCGTCGAAAAGGGGATCATGGCCGGGAAAGAAGATGAGGAACAGGTTGATTTTTAGGTATTTTTAGATTAAAAAGCTTCTTTTGCAGAAAAACGCTCTTTCTGCTCAAGTTGACGAAAAGACGAGAGTGCCGAAGTTTGAGAGCAAAGAGAAAGAAGTGGAAGAAAGCGAGGAGATCGAGAAAACCGATGAACAACTACAAGAGGAAAAACGGCGCGAGATTCGGGAACGACTGAAGCAACAAAGAGAAGAGTGAGCAAGTTGATGGGTTATGAAACAAAGCTTAGTTTAAAAGTATAGAAGTATCAAGAAATTCGATGATATAAGACTTGTTCTTCTAACTGAACGACTAAGCGAGTGGTGTGAAAAAGAAGGATATCTCACTCATCGAGTAGATTTTGTTACTACCGTATTCTCTCTAATAGTAGTGCACTCTCTAATAGTATTGCGGTCCAGGAGGGGGTTGAAAAAATAGTAGTGCGCTCTACTATTTTTTCAACCCCCTCCTGGACCGCAATACTATTAGAGAGTGCACTACTATTAGAGAGAATACGGTATTCGGTTACAGCCAAATCAAGACATACATATTTTTGTCTTGTTTTATTCAAATTTGCGCAACTTATTCATTCTAAACCAATACCGTTCAATCAATTCGATCAATTCGATCAAAGATCCGATTTTTTTAGAGTTATAGCCGGATAGTACCAAAAGTCTATTTCTACAGAATAATATTATTTTATTTTGCTTATGACATTGCGTTTCCCATTGTGAAATGTCTACATCAGTGCCTCCGTCAAAGATTGATTGATTTTGAGTGGCCCGAGAGGCGCTAGAGAACCCAACAAGAAAGAAGAAAAGGAGAGGCTTTACACAGAAAGACTCTGACTTCTCGGATTTTATTTGAATTGAAATCTTTACTTATTAAATTTAATAATCAAAATTTTAAAAAAAAACAATTGAATTTCCAGAAGAGAGCAATACTCGTCGATTCGAGAGCGTTTCAAAGCGATGGAAGAGCGAAAGAAAAGAATGGAAAATATCCGAGAGATGCTCGCCAAAATGCAAGCCATTCAAGCGGTAGATTTTTGTTAGCTTAAAAGTTAGTGTACTGTATAATCTAAAGTATTCGTAGCGAAAGATTCATTTAAAAACCCTTAATTCTCAAAATATATTTCAGCCATCATCAACTACGGAAAATGCGGATGCTCCAGCTCCAGCAGAAGAGGTGAGATTTCAAAACTTCAAAGTATTCGGTTCTTTTAAATTTTTATTATTATTTCTATTTTAAGATCGATGACGAGGATCCAGTGAAATTTCTTGAGGACACCTATGCGAATGCGAAAGCAAAACTGAGGTTTGTCTACTGGTTTGATCATCAATCCAGAGTTTGTTCGAGGCTTTTTCTCAAGAAAAAAAACGATCCCCATCCTTATAATATCGTTTGTGTTGAAAGGAAAGAAAAGAAAAGATAAAATGAGGAAAAAGGATCGCCATTTGGTAGTCTCAACTAGTGTAAAGTGTGGTGAGGAAAAGTAGGATTCTTCTTTGACAGATGGCAGGTGTTCGGGATGAAGGAAAAGAAAAAAGATGCGAAAAGAAGAAGTATCTTTCTCCTCAATCAACTCCCTTTCTGCATCCATTGCCTTTTATCCATATGACTTTTGAGGACACAAAAATCTGGCCACTGTCGAGAGGAAAGGAGATACTCTGCGGATACTTTGTGCAAGGTCTTAAACTCGGCAATTTGACTCTTTCTAGATGAGTACGGATACAAAAGCTGATTGTAAAGAGAGAACTCTAAAACGATAACAGAAAATTTAGCAAAAAAATCTACAGGTTATTTGTTGGGTCAAGGGTAAAATTCAACTTTACGGTCTGATCGAGATTTTCAACGAAATCTGATTTTTATGTTTTCCCTTTTCCAGAATGCACAAAAAATATAAAATTATGAGAGGGAAATGTTTTTAAAGCAAGAAAAAATGAAAAAAACTGTCAAATAGAGTGTCAAGTAAAGTAGACCGTAAAGTGCACTTTATTCTCGTCTAAATTCTAAATTCTCGATCAGACCATAAAGTTGAATTTAGTCGGGTCAACATTTTAAAGCTTCAAATGAAAAAGTTTAGAGAGTTGACTACGATGCGGGAGAACCTCGAGAATATACGTGATCTCACAAATCAAGTTGATTCTGGTGAGTAACAAATAATTTATTGAATAACAAAAGTTTTAGAAGCAGAAGCACAATCAGTTAGTGCAGAGAAGACGGATGAGAAGCAAGAATCAAAGCAAGAGTCAAAGCAAGAGTCAAACCAAGAGACAAAGCAAGAGTCAAACCAAGAGACAAAGCAAGAGACAAACCAAGAGTCGACAATTGACTCAAACGCTAAAGAGGCACAGGTTGGCTAATGAGAGAAAGGTTTGGAGTGTACTGTTTGATTAATAGTGCGAAATCGAAACGAATTGTATATTTTGAATCTATTCATTCACCATAATCGTACTATTACCAAGCGGGGATATTTTTATTCCTGAAAATCTAACGGGTATATGCGAGTTTATGCAACTAATCGCAGATGAAAATTAGATGTTTTAACTTTGATAAACTTCTCTAACTCTCTGGCAAGCGTTGTAAAATCAGCTGTAAAATCGATATCGTTTGTTACCGTTTTTTGTTTTTTTTATTGTTTTCTGATTTTTTGCATGTTTTCTTGATGTTTTATTGCACTAAATGAGCTTTTTTTTTTCAGTCGTCTCGTTCGGATTACTGGTACTATCCAGAGAGTGAAATCACAACGGCGGTGAGGGCATGTTTTGAAGATTCTTTGCACGATTCGAGAAGAACTTCAGCTGCAACGTTAAGGTCAACAAATGGCAAATTGTTTTAGATTAGATTGACATTTATTTGAAGCCAAATCTATTACGATAATGTTTTCACTTTTCACTCAAAGAGCTGAAATTTTCAAAGCACTTGTCATCAGTGATTTTGCAGTCATGCTACCCTCTCTCTGGACACAACTCTCAAAGAGAATCCACAAATTTTCGCGAGATCTTGTGCGAATAGTAAACTCGAGAAAATATGTAAACTTCTCGAATCACACTCTGCCACTCTTGCCGACATTCAGAAAAGGGTTAGCCGATATTTCTTTCATTTCGCGAGAACAATTTCCAGGTTGTACAAATTTGCGCCTAATCTCTTCTAGGGAAAATTTGTTTGAAAAGGAAGGAAAGCAAGCGAAATTTGAACAATATCGCTTATAAGATGCCTCCGCGTAATTGTCTAGCGAATAAGAATAAGAAGAGAAAAGAAAGATGAAGGGTCGGATACGATAGGTTGGACGATGGGGGGAGTGGATGTGCGCTTAATTCGGGGCTTCCCCCGCTGTCTGTCTGACGGCTCTGGGCTGACTGATTCTGGCGAGATTCGAGGCGCTCTTTTTAGCCCACTCCGAATGTGTATACATTCATTGAGAAGAGGAGGAGACGGGAGAGCTTCTCTCGGTCGCACTACATTATGAATTGAATTGATTCCGCCTCTTGGTGGACGGGGCCCTCCTCTCGGCATGCATGGAACTGCCGACGAGACAAAAAACATGGGTCTCTCGGAGAGGAGTGGCCCGACCGACCCTCTTTCCCCCGTTTACTCGGGAATCGAATTCGTCCTCAGCCCACCCAGCGGGCAGCGGAGTGGAGCCCACTCTTGGGGTCTCTTCTTGTCGATCTCATCGTTGCCCTGGAGACGAACATTCTACCGTTTACTTCCTCTATTTTATCCTCTATTTTGTCCATTTTTTGCAACATCATTCACCACTTTACTTCTATTCATCTAGCGATTGTTTACTATTTATTTCTATTCTCTATTTTTCTATTAATCCAAATAGCTTCTATAGCTTCTAGCGTTTGATTTTAAGCACAATTTATTAGAAAAGGCCAGGTCGAATGCTCGCTTGGCTAATCGAATCCATCTGACCATAGATTCCTTGCCTTTCCCTGACAATAGTGGATTCTTTGCCTTCTCCTAACAATAGGGATTAATCCTTTCCTTATCAAAATCTTTCGGCTTATTGTTGCCATAAACCTATCGATGATCGGTGCGGATAAATCAGTAAACGAATGGAAGAGATGAGCGAAAAATCAAGAGGAGAGCTCTCTCAATTTCACACGTTGCTTTGAGGCGAGGGAGAGAGACGAGAACGAGAAGGGAGAGGGCTGAGACGACTGAGACGACCCTTCACTGCCATTTGGGCTTCTCTGCAGCGGTAGGGGCGAGCTTGTGCTCTCGGGCGCTTCTTTTCCTCTTTCTATAGGACCCGCCTCCCGTCGCTGCCTCTTTTCACTCCTTCTCTACCCCGACCCGCATCGGCATCCGCTCTGGCCACTCCTCTCAAACGGCACTCGGCTTCTGCTCCCCTCCTCCTCTCCCCCCTTCGGAGATTCCATTCCACTCTTCTCTTCCAATCCATTCACCCCATTCGTCTGCCCACCACTTGCCGCTAATCATTCCTTTTCTATTGGCTCGATGTCTTCCCCAATAGCTATTCGAATTCTGTCCTGGAAATTGTTCTCGAGCTTCAATAAATATGGTTATTTTTAGTTAGAAAATGAGAAGCCAAGGGGATCACTGGGTAAAACCCTTCGCAAAGTGATAGTGACAGCACCGAGTGCAGCGTTGCTTTCGTTTGGCTCGACTTTGCAACGGGTTGCCGAGCGGGAAGTACCTGCGGATCTTGATGAGCGAATCGAGGCTTTTCTCTCGTGTTCACTAGAGGTTTTCCCAAATTTCTTTTTCTCAGCTACTCCGCCGGTTAAGTGAATGCTTTGCCACAGTCTTAGGAAAAGTAAGCTGGGCTAAGGTTCGCTTAGGCCGGAGGGGGAAAGCCAATCGTTTCTCGTTTCTTCGCTTTTCCTTTTCTTCATTTCTTTTGGGGGCGGGACACCACTGCGTTTTTCTTTTTAGTCATCAACTATTGATGATAATTCATACGAAGAAGTCGACTCCTCGTCGACTCCAATCGCTCGATCTCTTGTACTCGCAAATCCACAGGTTTGTCTTGAGAAAAATTCGATATTTAATCGACTATAATGCCTCTAGAAATCAAAGAACTCTTTCATGAAAATTATCCCGTATTAGGTGAAAAAAAAATCCAAGCACAAAAAAAACTAATCCCTAATATTGTCTAGAGAAAATATGAAGCATATAGAGATATAGAAATTGAGAAGGAAGGAACTTCTTCCAGTGTATGCCTCACACTCTCTTTTCGTTTACCCCCGTTTGCCTTCCCCTATTAGATTCACTCGATTGGATCACATCTGCGAATTCTCTTCCCATATGGGAAACCACTTTACAGAAGTTTTCTTCATCAGCAAAAAAAAAAGAATTTCCCCTCTCTCTCTCCTAGAAATCGAATTCATTTTTAGTTTACCTTTTTTTTTGAGAAGCAGTCGTTTCACTGACTAACCCTAAAAAAGGCGAGAGTCCTTCAGATTCTAGCGTGAGAAAAGAATTCCTAAAAAGCGCCCCTTTGCCCATTCATTTCCCCGCAACCTTTTTAATTTATTCTTGAGGTTGAAAGGCTAAAAAAAAAAGTGAAGTCAATTAATTGTTTCAGACGATAGAAGCAGCTCGAAAAGAATTGAATAGCACATACGAGAAAGAGAAAAAAGAGAAGACATTATCAAGAGTGATACATCAATTAGAAAGTGAAGAAAAGGAAAAGAAGAAGAAGAAGAAAGTTGAAGAGGTAAAAGAGGTAAAAGATTCGGTTGAAGAAGCGATGCGGAGTGTGCTTGAGCAAGTTCGGCCATTGATTGGCGGGGATTTCGACGTGGAAACGGCGGAGAGGTGAAGAAAGCATTCGTATTGTGATTTGCATGTGTTTATGATTTATATTTGATTACAAAGCATGTTCGTATTGAGTGGATTTGATCCAAATTTTACAGTTCATCAAGAAAATTTGAGTCAAAGAGCTCTAGGCAAATGTTGTAAATGAATGTGGTGAGGTTAGTGGAAAGGTAAAGAGAAAAAGATGAAGAAAATGGAGAGAGAGAGAGCTTACAACAAAAGGAAAAGAGGAAAGGAAAAGCTTTCCGGTGAGATGAGGCCAATAGGGAAATGTGTAATCTCGTGTGGTCTTTCTTTTAACCGATCTTTTTTCTTTCAAATCACTCTATTCAAAGATTCCTTGTGTCGTTCAGTTGATGATCGAGTGTCTGGGCTTTTCGGTGGAAATATATTGATTGTTTTATTGGGTATTAGTTGATAAAGAGCATTGAGTATTCAAATTGAAATTGTATAAAAGTTTGAGAAGTTCAAGCGCATTTTAATGATCAAATCATAGCCTTTTCAACCTTTCAAATCTTTCAAATCATTCAAATCATTTTAGAATCCTGTACAAGTTAGATAAATCACTGTTGCGATTAGTTGCATAACGCATGTACTTTTTAGAAGATTTTCAGGCTTTTATTAAAGCTTATTAAAGCTTATTAAAGTTTCAAAATCACATTTAGCATTCGTGAAATCGTGATCGCTTCAGTGACCAAATTTTGCTCAAAAATCACTGACAACTATACGCGAGTCCAGCTGGGTAAGACGATATATATACACTACTGAACAATGAAATATCATATTTGAAAAACGATCGTCACTTTCGCGCGTCTTTAACACCCTTGTCTTTGAGTTTAAACTATTAGTGTTATACATTTTCTGAAAGCTCTTTTCAAGGGCTACACAATGGTAATATTAATATTTAGAAATACGGTAAAGACAAGGGAGTTACAGACGCGCGAAACTGACGATCTTTTTTCAAATATGATATTTCATTGTCCAGTAGTGTATAAGATGATATATAAGACGATATATAAGACGATATATAATACGATATATAATACGATATATATAAGACGATATATATAAGACAATATATATAAGACAATATATAAGACGATATATAAGACAATATATAAGACGATATATAAGACGATATATAAGACAATATATAAGACGATATATAAGACGATATATAAGACGATATATAAGACGATATATAATACGATATATAATACGATATATATAATACGATAATAAGACAAGACGATTTATAAGACGGGTAGAATACTTTGAAACATTTAGCTTCTACATTTAACTTCTATAACTACAACTAATTAGATTAAAAAAAAATTAGATCTATCAAAATATAAAGCTATATAGACAGATATTAGCAATAACTAATCGACTAGAAAAACTCTTAAACCTATAATATTGAAATGAAAACTTTACAGGTGTTCTCGTCTCGCATAGTCTCGCTCCGTACATTGGCTGTTCATTAGATAAATGTCGTGAAGAGTTTCTCATCGATATCTCTGATATTCTTTACAATGAACTCGCTTTCTATCACCTGCTCCACTCGCTAAACTCTATCACCGATTCAGCAAATTTTTCTTGAATTCATCTCAAAACATACTTACAAAATTTGACTCTTTAAAACATTTGATGTTTGAAATTTGAACAAAAAAAAACAATGAAATTTCATTTCTTGTCTTTCCGATTGAAAAATGTGAATTCCAGCTTGTCGTGATACTTTAATTCAGTTTTATTCTAATTTCTATTTCTATTTCTATTTCTATTTCTATTTTTATCTAATTTCTATTTCTATTTCTATTTTTATCTAATTTCTATCTCGATCCAATTTCTAATCTTCTTCTGTGCCTTACAATTCTTATTTAAAGCTTACTTTGTTTTACTTAAAATTTGTTTCCATTTTGAAACCCAAATGCTCATCAATTCATCAATAAATCTTATTCTTTCTTGAAAACAAATGCAACTTAAAAGTTTAAAAGCGTTTTGTTTGTTTGTTTGTTTGTTTGTATTTGTTTAAAAACGCCTTACAACTTCTTATCAGATTTACCGACAAAATTTTTCTGATTCAAAGTGCAAAAAAAGAATGTTTTAAATATTTTTTCAGTTTTTTAAGACTGTAGACTATTTTGAATTTGATTTGATTAGAAAAACAAATTGCTGATTGAAGATTTTGTCGAAATTGAGAAGACTATCAAACGAGATTAGTTAAAAGAATTCAATAGAGACAGCTGCAACGATTCAGAGTTCGATTGGAAACAAATTTGCAATGCTGACAAAAGCTGTGATTGGGTATTCCATTCAGAGCTTCAATTATTGGATACAAGCAAAAGAAACATGACTTTTGCAAGAAATCAATTACCGTATTTTCTCTAATAGTAGTGCACTCTGAGCGTCGCCTAAATTCCTCGAAATCTCGAGAGCCGCTTATCAGCACCTATCGATGTGGGGTCGGGAAATGTAGCTGACGATCAGATCTTGTGGGGATTTGAGTGTTGAGCTTCTGCAAAAGCTTTGAAACGATAGAATAGTCACCAACTCAGGTCGCCGGGGTGCACTATTAGAGAGAAGACGGTAATTACCGTACTTTCTCTATTAGTGCATCCAAAGCTTCGCCTAAATTCCTCGAAATCTCGAGAAACGCTCATCAGAACCTATCGATGTGGGGTCGGAAAAAGTAGCTGACGATGAGATCTTGTGGGGGATTTGAGTGTTGAGTTTCTGCAAAAGCTTTGAAACCGTAAAATAGTGACCAACTCGGCCGGGGTGCACTATTAGAGAAAATACGGTATCTCTTGTTATTCTTTTACTAAAAGTAGCCTTATTTACCGTAATCCGGTCTCTTTTAACCGGCTAAATTAGCTAAATTAGCTGTCGAATTTATCAGTCGAATTTTTTTCTTGCTTACATGTAATTTTTCATGTAAAATTTGATTGTAGAAGTTGTGTGTTTAATAAAATTGTTGGCACTTATTGATTATTACTAAATTACATGTCGTAATACCTCTAATAGTAGCGCTCTCCCCCCATAATGACGGTCGAAGCGTTGCGTAGTCTAGATTTAAACGCATTTTTCCCGCCACCCTTTTATGCTACAGTGTGCGCTTAAGTATCAAATGAAAGCTGAGATTCAGGGCTATTTTTTGATATCCCTGAATATCTTCTAATTCACAAACTGCATGCTTACCGGCTCAGCCCACTTGTAATTTCGGTCGTCAAAAATTTTCTTTCTCAGCGGACTTTCAAAGTAATTCTAAATAATGTTCTTTCTCCCTCTTTTGATTGTCCTAGCGGGGTTCCTCAGGGTAGTATTCTTGGTCCTCTTTTGTTTACTATCTATATTAATGACCTGCCTAACTGTCCTTTCAAATCAAAAAATTCCTCCATCTGGCTCTATGCCGATGATGTTAAGCTTACGTTCAAAATTCCCATCGGAACTCAAGTAGCTTCGCTTGCGGCTGTAAAAGATGCAAACCATGACTTAGAACTTATTAATTTGTGGGCCAAAACGTGGAAGCTTTCCCTATCCCCTTCAAAATCTCAACATTTTTCCACTGGTAAATTTAGTTTCTCTTTGGTAATTAACAATATTCCTATCAATTACATTAGTAAATTAGATTTTGTTAGAGATTTAGGTGTCCACATCTCTCCCCCTTTTAATTTCACTAAACATATTGAAATCATTTGTCGAAAAGCTTCTTTTGTTTCTAGCCGTATTCTCAAATCAATTGTTCATCCTAACCTAAACTCTTACCGCAAATGCTTGACGACTTATATCCGGCCCATCTTAGAATATGCTTCTATTGTTTGGTCTCCCCCGCGCACAAGTCTTTATTGAACGCTTGGAGAAAATTCAGAGGAGGTTCACAAAAGTCGCTTTATGGAAAATTGACTATTCTAAATATTCCAGCTTTACTTATGAGGAGAGACTTGCTTTTTTTGAACTAAAAACTTTACAGCATCGTCGCTTTGTCATTGATTTAGTCGAAACTTTCAAAATCCTCCGTTGTAAACAGATTAGCCCTTTGTTTATAGACTTTTTCAAATTTAAACCGCGGTCAGGGCCCAGAAGTGGCTCATTCCTTTTGCAAATTCCCTTTGCTTCCAATGCCTCTTTATCAAATTCATTTCCCGTTAGAGCCGCTAGATTATGGAACTTGCTCCCAAACGACATACGAGAAATTCAGTCGCTTTTCATATTCAAGAAACGTATCGATGCTTTAGATCTAGTGGCTCTTTGCCGTAAGTAATTGGCTTATTGATTTCAGTATGTATTGTATGATTAAGTATCACTGTGCATTTCTCTATGATTTCTTTCACTTTATCGTTTGAATAATGTATTATTATTATTATATCAAAAATGCGTTTTTAGAAATTATGGGTGCTTAGAAAAAAATGATTTAGTAAAAATTTTTTGCGACTACGCGACTCTACGGCGAGAGGGGCTACTATTAGAGGTATTACGGTAAGCAATTCATATAAACTGTCAACTTCAAAAAGCAATTCATATTTGTCATATATTTATCGATTGTCAACTTTATCTAGCTGCTACCAAAGGTTACAAAGGTAGCAATACCTCAGAAGTAGGAGAAAATGAAGGCCAGGGAAGGGAAGGGAGCGCTATTATTACTACTCTTACAGTAAATCATTTCATTCAGAAGCATTTTGAAAAGCTTTTTCAAACGAAACTTTTGTGAGTAAAGAGCAGATTATTTATTTTTTACAATTTTATTTCTTGCTTTGATGATATTTGTTAAACTGTCTGCACAACTTGCACGAAATCCGAAAAGTCGAGCATTTCTAAAAAAAAAAAAGAATGAAAGAGAATGAGAAGAAACAAAAGAAACTACCGTATTTCTTCGAATAGAAGACCGGGTAAAGAGTATCATCGCGTACTCCGCGTACTCCTGCGTAGCAGCCCTTTTTAAAATTTCTTTTCTGCATAAAAGCTTTCAATCAAGTGCTATAGAGCTGGAAAATGGCTCAAAAATCTGTTAGCTCATGTGGCATTTTTGAGTCATTTTCCAGCTCTATAGCACTTGATTGAAAGCTTTTATGCAGAAAAGAAATTTTAAAAAGGGCTGCTACGCAGGAGTACGCGGAGTACGCGATGATACTCTTTACCCGGTCTTCTATTCGAAGAAATACGGTATTTAAAAAGAACTCACGCATTGATGTGTAAATAGTTGCCGATCGTATCGTGTGATCTAGTTCCTCATTTTGTTGCCAAACATCTTCATTCGATTCGCTTTTTTTTCTTTCATCCTCTTTTTCTCGATTGTTATTCAACTCAAAATGATTGTTTTTTTTTTTGCAAATAACTACCGTAAATACTGTAATAGTACTCCACTCCCCTCGTACAGTCGCGTAGTCGCAAAAGTTTTTTAGTATTTCATTTTTTTCAAAGCGCCCGCCCGTACTTTCAAAAAAATGCGTCTTTGATATCAAAAAATAGCTGAAATTGAGGGCTATTTTTTAATAATTGTATTGCTATTGTAGCATAAACCAGTGTCGAGAAAAACTCGTTCAATGCTAGACTACGCAACACTCCGCGCCGTCATTATGGGACTGGGGTACTATTACAGTATTTACGGTAGCTAATTTACAATAAAACAGAAATATTCTCTTAGTTGAATAGGTTTTTTCTTTGGTGAGGACATGGCATTAAGAAGTAAAAAAAAGATCATAACTTTGTGAAGTTTCAAATTCCATACACTACATCAAACATGTAGTGAGCACTCGATGATGATGAACTGTCACACTACAAATGCTTCTAACTTGCTTCAAAGCTGTCGGATTGATATGATGCATAGCTTAAAAAATAGAGAATCTCAAAAGCTTTCGAATGATTTAAAGCACACTTAAAAAGATTAATGCTAAAGAAAGTTAGAGTGATTTGTCGTTTGATCAATCGTTTCGACTATCCGCGAGTACGATCAAGTAATTATAAATAACTGTAACTTTGTTTACCATTCATAGTTTTTGGTGTGCTTTAGTTTATTTGAAAGCTCTTGATATTCTCTATTTTTTTAAGCTATAAGATCATGTCAATGCGATAGATTTGAAAGAAGTTAGAAGGGTTTGTAGCTTGTAGTGCTTTGTAGTGTTTTGTGGTTCGATATTGAGCATGTTAGACCAAAAATTCACAACTTATTAGAGCTAGATCTTGCCTGGAAATTGTGAATTTTCAAATAAATAAACATAAATTTAGCATTTAGCTTGAAAGAATAATCGTTTTATCAGTTTTTTTTTCTGTATTTTATCAATATTTCCCCTCTTCACCTCATGATCTCCTCGATTCTCTATCAATATTCCATCAATATTTCCCCTCCACCTCATGATCTCCTCGATTCTCTATCAATATTCCATCAATATTTCCCCTCCACCTCATGATCTCCTCGATTCTCTATCAATATTCCATCAATATTTCCCCTCCACCTCATGATCTCCTCGATTCTCTATCAATATTCCATCAATATTTCCCCTCCACCTCATGATCTCCTCGATTCTCTATCAATATTCTATCAATATTCCCCCTCTTCACCTCGTCATCTCCTCGATTCTCTATCAATATTCTATCAATATTTCCCCTCCACCTCATGATCTCCTCGATTCTCTATCAATATTCTATCAATATTTCCCCTCCACCTCATGATCTCCTCGATTCTCTATCAATATTCTATCAATATTTCCCCTCCACCTCATGATCTCCTCGATTTTCTATCAATATTCTATCAATATTCTATCAATATTCTATCAATATTCTATCAATATTCTATCAATATTCCCCCTCTTCACCTCGTCATCTCCTCGATTTTCTTTCCTTTCAAACTCTGGTGACGTGGGCACGCTGTTGATTGCCTAAATACTTCCAAAACTTTTTGAAAACTTTATAACTTTTTCACTTGTCTATACTCTTCTCGCATTTTATCTTCGTATTTTGCCGCAAGTTCTTTGCATGGACGGTGTTGTTGGCATGTTAATTCATCCTGAAATTTCTTTTCTTTTAAACAAACAAAAAAAAAACAAGCTCTCCCACAATAAAGACAATTTTTTTTTTGTTTTACTGGGAAATGTTTTAAGAAAGAATTTTCTAACATGATGGATGAAACATGCTTTTTTTAAGCTTACCACACACTCGTGCTTCTCCGGATCCTATTAAATCAAAAAGATATCAATATTGCAAATTTCTGTCTCAGTCTTATTTTGAAATAAGAATTGAATCAATATAAAGCTGAAGACTTTAAAAGCTATAGCTTCAGAAACAAACTTCAGCGTGTATTTGCTCTTCTTCCCATGGACAAACGGGTAGATTTTTTTGATCTTCCGTATCGGAAAGCACTTGTATTTCTTTTTTGTTCCCTTCAGATGTCGCTCCATCTTGCTTAACTTTTTAAATTTAAAAGCTTTCCTTTTCTAAAAAAAAACCTTTATTTTACTCGTGACAGCACAGAGAAACTCCTCGAAATTGATTTCCCCGTCGCCATTCACATCCGATGTGCGCATGACTGCTTGCACAACCTAGAGTTAGGTGATCATTCTTGTAAAGAACATGGCTATGACTTTTATTGTCTTTGCTAATTTTCTTTTTTTTTTTTGTTTCTATTTTAGCCTAATTAGACGTGTGGATCAATGAGATCTTGTAAATCGGAAAATGGACGAAAACTATTGACTAAACTGGGAAATGTATCTTGTAAACTGACGAAATGTATCCTGTAAACTGGGAAATGTATCTTGTAAACGCGGCAAATGTATCCTGCAAACGCGGCAAATATATCCCTTAAACTGACAAATGTATCTTGTAAACCGACAAATGTCTTAGTTTTTCGGGTTTTGAACGTTTTACACAAAAAAAATATTCTTTTCAAGAGAATGAAACAATCAGAAAGTCCAAATCAAGCTCTACTTTTTGACTAAAATCACTGTTTTGAGTACCATTTTTTTTTGTTCAAATTAACTTTTAGAAAAAAATGCCTGAACGGATTTGGCTGAAATTTTTACTGAAAATGTATAAAGAATTGCGCTTTATTTTGGGTAGAAAATTGAAATTGATACTTGTCGACAAAGTTGTCAAATCGACGATTTGATCTTTTCAACGATTTTAATTACCCTTTTGAGGTTACTTTTGAGGTAATTCCTTTGAGCTTTTCTTTTAAAATCAAATATTTTTCCATTCTCGACTAATAGCAATATCATATTTTAAAAGTATTAGTAAACTTGAAATCATAAAGAAAAAAAAAGCCGACTTTTGGCGACACATCACAGCCGAATCCCATGAGCATCGTGGCGACCTCATTTGATGAGATTGAGCCGGAGCCGTCCTCGTCCATGGCCACGAAAATCGCGTGTACCTGAAATGAAAGATCATTCGAGAAGTGATTTGACATGAAAAGAATGCAATGATCCGCCCCGTTTTGCAAAAAAACAAAAAAAAATGAACACAACTTCACTCAAAATGAGTGACAGTTGGGGATCGGCTCGTTTGCTGTTCTCAACGTTTTCATTCTATTTTCACAGCAGGGGATATTGAAGTTTTTTTTTAGTTTATTGATTCTTGAGTTTACCTTTTTCACATCAACTTCTGAAATTTGAAATCGATGCGCTAATTCGTTGACAAATGCGCGCTCAAGTTTTGGTCGTCTTCGGAAAATGTTCAAGCTTTTTTTGATCTGAATCAAATACGGAATAGGACAACTTTTATGATTGAGATGCTAGAAGGAAAGAGCTTTAAATTAAGACTGATTAATTTAAGACTGATAAATTAAGACTGATAAATTAAGACTGATAAATTAAGACTGATAAATTAAGACTGATAAATTAAGACTGATAAGTTAAGACTGATAAGTTAAGACTGATAAGTTAAGACTGATAAATTAAGACTGATAATTTAAGACTGATAAGTTAAGACTGATAAATTAAGACTGATAATTTAAGACTGATAATTTAAGACTGATAAATTAAGACTGATTAATTAAGACTGATAAATTAAGACTGATAAGTTAAGACTGATAAATTCTTACTTCTTAAATTCTTAAATGAAAGATTAAGCTTTACTTTCACATTCATAATAGCATTCCAAAAGAGATCATCTTTTCGCGGTGCCATCCCGGCTTCGGATTCATTCGGCGAGTCGCACTCTGAACAGTCTTTTTTCAGTTTTTAGCTTTTCGAGAAAGAAATTCAATTCCATTCTTTTGTATCTTTTCTTCAATTCTTTTCTACATTCACATCTAAAGCCTTCTTCATTTCTTTTTCTTTGATCTCACCTGTTCGCTTTCTTGTGCACAACATGTGGAAGTGAAGAGAGAAATGAGCTAATCCAAAAGAAATCTATCCAAACTAACACAAAAGAAATCTATTTTCAAACAAAATTTTGAAGTATTGGGGTTGGTGACTTGAAAACGGCGGGCTATTTTCATATGTGACAGTTTGAGCACTTTCTTCAAAAGAAACCCATTTTGGTGTCAATGGAAAAGTTGTAGAGAATCAAAAATCAAGCTTATATCCAAATTTTCAGAACGATTCAAAAACTGGTTTTCAAGAAGTGCCAAATTTACGAATTTTCACAAAACTTGCATTTTAAGCGAAACTACTAAGTGTATCTTTTTGGAAATTTGGCTATAAGCCTCATTTTTGATTCTCTACAACTTTCCTATTGACACCAAAATGGGTTTCTTTTGAAGAAAGTGCTCAAACTGGGACATCTCCAGTCCTCCATTTTTGAGTCTCACACAAAAACCAAAATCCTACCACGAAAGAGGAATCCGCAAATTGCCTGTAAAATGGGCAGAAGTCGTCAAAAATAATGGAAATTATTTCGAATGAATTCATGGTTTTATGTTCAATAAATTTTCAATTCAAATTCAATTTCAGTTCAAAGTCCCGCAGTTTTCAATTGACCAATCCAATAAATATAGGGTTGAGCATAATACCGGACCTTTGCGTGCTTGTATCTTTTGTTTTGAAAGCTTTTGTCTATTTCTTTTTAAAATATTCGTTATTCTTTAGTGAACAAAATGCGTGTCGACAACATATCCATCTTCGCCAATCATGCTCTACCACCTCGAAAAGGGATGGTCTGCCGCAGAGTCGTTTCGCGATCTCAAAGAACTGGAGAAGCCCCAACGGACTACCACGTCAATCGATCGCTCAAAAATTGGCAAACAAATAAGATCTACAACGATTTGGATGACTTGATAGACGATGTTAAAGCGTGGATTGCCTCCAAAGATCGTTTATTCTTCGCTCGTGGAATCGATCGTCTTCCAAGCAAATGGCAACAGTTATTGAGTAGGCGGTGAAATGCCCAGAATAACAATAAACATATTTTCTAACTATTTATGTTATTTTTGTAAATAAAACATTAAAAGAGCCGGAATTCATAACCCAATAGAATAATTTTCAGATCTCTATTAGCAAGGTTGATTGAAATTTAAAATAACTTAAAAAAAATGAAAATTTTTCAATTTAAAAACTCTTGTCCATGTTGATTGGTTTTTGGAGAAAATTTTGAAGAAAATGAATAATGAGAAGAATGTGATGAAGATGAAGATTCAATATGTAATCTTGTCCTCTTTCTTTTAACAACAAATTCGTCTTCTTTCAAGAAATTCGTCTCAAATTTCTCGCCTAGAGTTTATGAGTGATCTTTAAAAGAAATGATCGAAGAAAGTGAGTTGAGTTTAAACGGGAAAAAAATATGAATTAAACTTACAACAATGTTCTGAATGGTCTTGCAACAATGGCCAACAATTAAACTTACAACAATGGTTTGAATGGTCTTGCAACAATGGTCAACAATTAAACCTATAACAATCGTCTGAATGGTCTTACAACAATGGCCAACAATTAAACTTACAACAATGTTCTGAATGGTCTTACAACAATGTTCTGAATGGTCTTACAACAATGGCCAACAATTAAACCTATAACAATCGTCTGAATGGTCTTACAACAATGGTCAACAATTAAACCTATAACAATCGTCTGAATGGTCTTACAACAATGGCCAACAATTAAACCTATAACAATCGTCTGAATGGTCTTACAACAATGGTCAACAATTAAACCTATAACAATCGTCTGAATGGTCTTACAACAATGGTCAACAATTAAACTTACAACAAAAGCCTCTTAAACAAGTCAATTCACTATCTTAGATTATTCTTTTAAATCATTTACCATCAATCATCAATAAATCATTTTTTAAAAAGTTTAGAAAACTTTTTGAAGCTAGAGAATTTAAAGTTGACAATTTATAAAATCTTTAAAGGACTTTCAAATAGCTTACAGAGCTTAGAAGAAAAAACCAAAATTTGAATTTTTACTTAATTTTGAATTTTGAATACTGAATATTGAATTTTGAACAAAATTTAAACAATAATTATCTACCAGAGAGAAAACTAGAGTTAAAACAAGAAATAGAATAGTTTTTTTCAATAAAAATCAAGACTTAAAGGTTAAGAATTGGAAAATTTAACAAAAAAAAATCAACGAACTCATTTCAGAAAATAATCAACTCCAAAACACTGAATATGCAAATTCTTTTAAGGAAAGAGTATGAAAATTGATGTGTGACGGGTGAAGAAGAGGAAGAAGAAGAGGAAGAAGAAGAGGAAGAAGAAGAGGAAGAAGAAGAGGAAGAAGAAGAGGAAGAAGAAGAGGAAGAAGGGAAGGAGGGGGGAAGAAGAAGAGGAAGACAATGTGACGAGGCTCATGTTCAAGAATTTCCTTTTTCCCTCTATGTCGTTTTGCACAGGAGTCTCCTGTCCTTCTCCCCTTTTCTCCTCCTTTTTTTCGAAGTCCCAAACACTAACTAGGTTCGCCTCAATTGAGTATGTGAGTTGACTGAATGGACAAAGAGAAGACGAGTCACTCGCCGCGTTCATCCGCGTCCCTTCATCCTGCTGAATCTTTCTTCTGTTCTTGTCGTTGTCTTTGTCTTTGCTATGTAAAGCTTATAAGATTTACAAGTTATCCCAGGCTATTGTCTAGATAAAGAATGGCTAGATAGATTCTGCAGTTGCCTTGCCGTTTTCTTCTAGCCAGCAAGATATGAAAAAGCTAAGTACTGGGATAAAGTAAAGGATAAACCCCTCGCTGGCGGTAATGGGATACTTGGTGATGTAGCTCATTGGTAGAGCATTCGCCTGTTAAGCGATAGGTGGCGGGTTCGAATCCCGTCGCCGAGCATTTTTTGGATTCCCGAATAAAATTCATTTTGGATTCCCGGCATGTCCAACAAAGCACAGCGTCGATTCCCTTTATCGTTTAAAGCGTTCAATATGAAAGGATAAAGTTGAACTACTAGCCAAAAGAACGATGTTGAAAAGTAGATGAATGTAAAAAGTATAATGATCACTATAAAGTTCGACAAGATAAACAACACAGCCCGAGCCGAGGACAGGCGTTAAAGCGGCGAATACACGTGGTAAAGAGAAATGGATGGATGAAATGGATGCTGAAAAGTGCGGAGAGGACATTACAACATCCGTTAATTAACGGAGACTCGAGCTTTCCATTTTTCTCATTTGAACAATCCTCTGGTAGAGGATGACAATCATCTGGGACATCTGGGAAATCGTGAAAAAGACTAGAGTTGTTTAAAAGATTAGAGTTGTTTAAAAGAAGACTAGAGTTGTTTAAAAGACTAGAGTTGTTGAATAGACTAGAGTTGTTGAATAGACTAGAGTTGTTGAATAGACTAGAGTTGTTTAAAAGACTAGAGTTGTTGAATAGACTAGAGTTGTTTAAAAGACTAGAGTTGTTTAAAAGACTAGAGTTGTTGAATAGACTAGAGTTGTTGAATAGACTAGAGTGTTGAATAGACAGAGTTGTAAAAGACAGAGTTGTTTAAAAGACAGGTTGTTGAAAATAGGTTGTTTAAAAGACTAGAGTTGTTTAAAAGACTAGAGTTGTTTAAAAGATAGAGTTGTTGAATAGATAGAGTTTTGAAAAAGGTGTGAAGAGTAAAAGTAGAGTAGATGAGTTGTTGAATAGATAGAGTTGTTAAAGTAGAGTTGTTAAAAGACAGGTTGTTAAAAGACTAGAGTTGTTTAAAAGACTAGAGTTGTTTAAAAGACTAGAGGTAGTGGCTCTCTGTTGAATTACATTTGTGAAATATGAACCTAGTTGGATTACTTTCCGTATCTTCTCAAAGCTTTTTTCTTTCAATGCAAACAAATTGTTTGACAGTAATTTGTGAAATCGAAATAGCTGAATGAAAGAAATATTTGTAAAGTATCGATGACAATATTGTAATCGAAATTTTAGTGAAGAAGGCTTTTAGTTGTGAATCTTTAAAATGCATTTTAGTTTGAGTAAATGTAAAATACTTATCAAACAAGAATTGAACGACCTCTTTCCCTTACCAGATCAATCTTTATGCTGTAGCTGTGAGTGACGATCGTTTTCCCCCTAAAGAAACACTAATAAATAGACAAATTTCGAGCTTCTTTTAAATACTAGACAATAGATTTGAATATTTATTGAACAAGTGCTGATGATGACACTTTCAAGAGACAATATGTGGGGGATGAGAGGTGAGAAAAGACGGCAAAGAAATGGTGAAGAGGGGGGATCGCAGTTGTCGCCCTTCCCTTAGCCATTCCTTCTCATGGCGGTTCAAAGAAGAAATTGATATCCTTGTCAATAGATGAGTATCTTTATCATCATTTATCGATGTGTTTGTTTTTCGAGAATTTCCACAATTTCCACAATTTCCACAATTTCCAGAGTTTCCACAATTTCCAGAGAATCTCTTCTTTCTTTGAAGTCTTGTGAATCCTTTTTCCCCCTTTTGTTTTCCCTTTGTTTTCTTTATACAATGCTTTACCATAGCATTTAGATCAACTTAAATGGCTTAAATAAAGTGCAATCGTTTGGCTTAGTGCTTAGAATTTATCAAATCAAATTATCAACAGTTAGGTGTGGAAAATTATCGGCAAAAATCTCGTAAAAAGCTTTTCAAAAGCAAACAAAAGTATAGCAAAAACATTTTCAAACAATTCCCCGGCTCTATAAATCTCACGATACAAATTTTAAGCTCAATATCTTTTTTTAATATCATCTAAAATATAAAAAAGAAATCGCTGAAGCCGAAGAGGCAAAATGACTAGCCGGCTGAACTTTGTGTGCGAGCACAATCGCTGGCCATCTGGCAAACGGGCAATGGGTAATAATGATGCTCTCCTCTTCGAATCAGTAACTGAAAAGCCCTAGCCGGCTGAACTTTGTGTGCGAGCACAATCGCTGGCCATCTGGCAAACGGGCAATGGGTAATAATGATGCTCTCCTCTTCGAATCAGTAAAGGAAAAGGACCTGCCACTGAATGAGCCTTTCTGCTCACTTATTTTTTCACAGATTGACAAATTACTGAGAGCATTTTTTCCATAAGTTCGGCTTTATTTTTCACCAATTATTCCATCCGCTTTTGGAACTTGGATGTTTTCTTTAGATTTGTTAAAATCTTTCTCAATTGAGATCCAATTAAAGAACCAATCAACTCAATAGAAGTTTTGTTCCACTGTAATTTCTTTGTTTTATTGCTTTGTGTGAGAAATTTACAGAATATTGGTGGGCATGCTTAGGGATGGAGGGGAATGTTTTTGGAATGAAAGAGGGAAAAGGGCTGTCATCGGGTGAGTTGTCCCGTCGCCGTTTTCCCAATATGTTTCATCCCGTCCCAATATGTTTCATCATTTCTTTTTCCTTTCCAAAAAATAAACCGAAATATTGAAATTTTCTTTTGAACTTTTAAAAAAAAATTCTCTTTTACGCTTTTTTCGTGATATTTATTTAAAAATTTGCTAGCTTATTTGATTTTTATTCGAATTTTCGAATCCTTTCAATCTCAGGCTTGATTCAAATGATCTCGACTTTCCATTTTTCCATTTTTCCATATCTTAACTGTTCACTGCTTTCAATAACTTCAAGATAAGTGGGGAAAGTTTCAGGTGATCGAAAAACGAGGAAAGATAGATGAGAAGAGTCTTCCCCCCCGGAGTCTCTCTCAATCTTTTCTTTGGATTGCGATGAGGAGAGTGGTGAAGAAAGATCTCTATTTGCTTACCCATCCACCCTCTTTTTTCTCTTTTCTTTTCAACCTCGATTTTTCCATTTTTCCATTTTTCCATTCCTCCAACAAACTCGGCCCCTTCTCAATCCTCGATTTTTTTCAATTCCTTTAAATTTTTTCAAAGTTTCTGCTTTAACTGCTTGTATTTTACATCTGAATTTATCATTTATTTATCATTTATTTATCATTTATTTCTCAATTTATCAAGCTTGAGAATTATCAATTAAGCTTGAGATTTTAATATAAGTTTAATTTATCTTTAAAAACTGAATCTATCTTATTAAAATACAGAATATTTTAGTAGAATATAATACAAATATACCGTATTTCTTCGAATAGAAGACCGGGTAAAGAGTATCATTATATTTGGTTCCTTATCTCTTTAAACTTGGTTCCTTATCTCTTTAAACTTGGTTCCTTATCTCTCTAAATTTATTTCCTTCCCTCTCTAAATTTGGTTCCTTATCTCTCTAAATTTGGTTCCTTATTCCTTCGGTAAAGAATACCGAAGACCGGGTAAAAGTATGATCGCGTACCCGCGTAGCAGTTTTAAAAATATTTAAAACAAGCGTGAAAGAATTTGGAGAGTACAGAAGAATACGAAAAGCCGGGCATTTTAAATGACTCAAAATCTGTTCGCTCATGTGGTATTTAAAGTCACTGGTAGTTCCAGATCGAGCATATACCGTAGTGTCTGTCAATCTTTCGTCTGTCAATGTTTGTCATTGTCAATGTTTTTATTCTTTACCCGGTCTTCTATTCGAAGAAATACGGTATTCAGGTATTCTTTTAAGTTTTACATTAAACTCTTCGGTAAAAGTAAATGAAATTTTAAAAAATTTTTTCATTTTCATTAGATCACTTCAATTCATCGAAGGATGCTAAAAGATTCAGTATTCAATTTTTTTTTTTCTAGAATAAAATGGATGAAAGAAAAGAGGTGTGGTAGTAGATTATGTTGACAAGAGGTGCCGTCGAGTGTTCGGCATACAACTCTTTGACAAAGAGTGGAAGGGGTGGAATGAAAGGCGGATCCCCCGTCCTGCTTTACCCCATTTTTTTTCTTCTTCTTCTTCCAATTGTGGCAGCTTTCAATAAAAAGGAAATAGATGGGGGAAAGGCTTGGATTTCGTCGAGACGGGGGGATGACGGAGGGGATGAAGCTGTCATCTCCTTTCTTCTCTCTTTTCCTCTTCTTTTTCTCTTCTACCTCATCATCCAACATCCAATTTATTCATTCTTTCCCTTCTACAGTCCAATACGCTTTTTATTTAATTCTTTTTTCTTTAATTCTTTTTCTAAACTTTTCCTTCAGTTTTTAAGCTTTTTGCTTTTCATCTTTGGTTACTGTATAGTTTCTATTTAGTTCCCATTTAGTTCCTATATAGTTCCTTTATGTGTCTTGTGTCTTTGTGTCTATTTAGCTAGATTTATTTTGTTTAACTAGATTTCTTTTGTTTAACTAGATTTCTTTTGTTTAATTAGATTTCTTTTGTTTAGCTAGATTTCATCTGTTTAACTAGATTTCTTTTATTTAACTAGATTTCTTTTGTTTAACTAGATTTATTTCTATTAAGTTTCTAAATTTCAAATTCATTCGTGATTTTCTAACAGACAGCTGTTTTAACCTGACTCATTGTTTTAAACAACTACTTTTCTAAGCACCTGAAATTGCTTAGAAGTTTTGACGGCCGAATTTCTTCATCAATATCCGGTTGAAACGAACGAGTCATCGGTTGGAAAGAGGAAAGAGGAGAGAGGAAAGAGGAAGAGGAAAGAGGAAAGAAAAACGTGATGGTCAATGGTCATAAAATGAGAGTAGAGTGAGAAGCCAGAGTATTACACATTTGCGAGGAGGAGAAGGGGTGAGGGTGAGCCCATCCTGGTACCCGTCCTTTGTCCACTTCATCCCGCCAATCTCCACCCTAACCTTTCCCTTTTGGCTCTGACATTACTGCGAATCCAACTTCGACCCCAATCCCCATTCTTTCAAATCTCTACACTCAAAATTCTATACACATGTGTGTATCTCTCGCATCTTTACTAGAAATAAACCCTAGCTATCGATTTGTTTATGTTTATTTGCGATACTTCATTAGTTAAAAGATAGAAAAAGTATTTATATCAATGATTAGATTTGAAAATCAAAAATTTTGAGTATCCCATCTTGTGCGCGCTGAAATGCGTCAAAAAAATACCGTATTTACCGTAAAATACCGTAAAAATATTCTTTCATTAGATCAATCTTCATTAAATCGTCATTAAATCGTCATTAAATCATTCTTAATCAAACTCTTTCTTCAGTTTCTATTTCATTGACAACTTCTCTATAGATAAAACTCTATCATCTCCAAATCTCTCTAACTTTTTTGTTGTGCATTTGCAAGAGTTCATTCCTAAAGAGAGATTTTCATTAAGAATCACTTGATCAACCCACCTTTTCCAATTTGTTCATTGCAAATTTTCATTCATTTCCTTTCATCTTTAAAAACTCGTTTCAAAATACGGAAATTCCAGAAAACAAAAGGGTAAAGCAATGCCGTTCAAGCCAGTCGAGCACCCGAAATGCCCAAAATGCGGGAAATCGGTTTACGCAGCTGAAGAGATGGTCGCTGGTGGATACAAATGGCACAAATTTTGCTTCAAATGCAGTCAGTTTATTGGAAAAACCCCTTGTCCCGTCACTTGTCCAGTCTAGATCTAGATCCAGCTCTTTTGTCTTCGAGGATTAACCCAAAAACGAGATCCTTTTGTCTTTCATGTCTAATTATATTTTCATGTAAATTGTAGCAATGTGTAACAAGTTGCTGGACTCGATGACGTGTTGCGAGCACGCGGCTGAGCTCTACTGTCGACAGTGTCATTGTCGTCGTTGGGGTCCTAAAGGAATCGGCTTCGGAATTGGTGGTGGTACACTCACAATGGACACTGGAGAGCAATTCGGAAACAAGGAAGTCGATATGACGTCAGTTGATTCGAGATTTGTTTTGTGTGTTTTATATTAACCTTTATTCGTGAAAAGATTCAACTAATCCCTGGGGGAGAAGCATCAAAATGAAAGCAATCAAAGATCTCGATTCTGTTTCGTTTAATGTTTTCTGAGCTTTGTTTCATCAAAGATTCTGCTAGAAAGAGTTTACAAAGTTTGTTTGCAGTTTTAAGTAGTTACAAAGTTTGTAAAGCACTAAAGTGCTTTAAAAACCGATTACACAACAAAAGAATTTGTCAAAATGTTAGGATTTGTCTAAAGATTAAAGATTAAAGCAATCTTTGAAGATCTTCGAAGAATCCAACAAAACAAGCATGCTGTATTGTGTTAACACTTTGTCCCAGTCGATAACGAAAACTTCTACCCTATAAAGCCTTTTTCCCATTCAGATATGTGCAATAAAATGCTCGACTCGGTGAATGTGGCTCCGCATGAGGCGGAACTCTATTGCAAGCAGTGTCATGGAAGGAAATTCGGTCCAAAGGGTGTCGGTTTCGGGCTTGGTGCTGGTTGTCTCACTACGGATAGTGGAGAGCGTTTTGGTGGCAGCTCGAAGCAGTGAGAATCTCAACTCGTCCAAATTTCGCCTCCTTTTCTTCTGCTTTCACATTTCTTGGTGATTTCACTTTTTTTGCGGTTTGCTTCTTTTGCACGCTTATTACTTCTAGCTTGGCTTAGCTTAGCTTAGCTTAGCTTAGCTTAGCTTAGCTTAGCTTAGCTTAGCTTAGCTTAGCTTAGCTTCTAGCTTAGCTTAGCTTCTAGCTTAGCTTCTAGCTTAGCTTAGCTTAGCTTAGCTTAGCTTAGCTTAGCTTAGCTTCCAGCTTTAGACTTGCTTATCAAGAAATTCAATGACCAAGGTAAAGACTAAAGTCAACAATGAATCTTGGTGTTAATTTCAATTTCAGCATTTCAAGCAATGAAATTTCTTTAAAAAGACTCTTCTCATAATCTAAACAATACCCGCTACTAATTTCTGCATGTTCACTAACAAAAAGTAGTCAAATTTTCAGAATCATAAAATTTCTAGCAATCGACCAATGACGGCCGAGGCTTTCACGGCTCCAATCAATCCGCAACATCATTGATCAATAAACCATCCTTCTCTTTTTTTTCTTCAATCTTCATGTTCACGGTTCTCTCGCACATCACTTTGTGATCGAAAAATGAATTTCAGAATGTCAGCTCTTTTCTCAAATGTCTTTTCTATCTGTTTTCCTGGTGCCTTCTCTCCTCCCCCCAGCCCGATCTGATTCGTGTTGCCATAACATTTTCTCTACCCATCTTTTTTTTTCTATCATTCCCCATGCCTTTTTTTTTACTTCTTGCTAACATCTTGTGACCGTTTTGTGACTTTTTTTTTCATTCGCAATTCATTGAAATGCCAGAAAGGCGCTAATAAAAGAGTGCTAAATGAAATAAATGTAATTATAACGGAACAAATTTTACAAGAATTAGATGTAAATTTCATACACAAACAGAGGGTGAGTCTCTTTGAAACTCGAAGAAATCACACTAACGAGCCTATTGTTCGAATTTGAAACCTTGCACGGACAACAAACAAAAAGTCAAGTAATCTCATTTTTTGATGGAAGCAAAAGCTTTACTATTAGCGAACACATTTTTCATTCTTTTTCTATCATCATTTTCAGAGAATTGGCTCTTATACAAGGTATTAGTTAAAAAAATTTTTTTAAAATTCATGAAAAAAGTATTACAGATTCGACAACACACTCCAACAACTAGTCTTTGTATTAAGCATACGGTACTTTTTTTTTGGTTAAATTTTATTTCACTAGTGTAACAGTCAGTTCATGGAATTTCCTATTTGATGTGTGGCAATGAGTCACACGTTCTCGTTGAGCAGCGAACCTCGCTTTTTCGTCTCTGTAATGATCTCACCGGTTCGTCAAAATAAGAAACAAATTTTTCATTGAAATGTGCAGAAAAAACTCGAAAAAACGTTTCGAGACATCGTTTACTTTATAAGACCTCATGTCACTGGTGGGTTTCAAAATAGAAAGTTATATTTTAAAAATACGACAGGCTTCTCTGTGATCCATGGTCCTCGTGGGCTCCGGTCTCGGTCCCATATTGGGAGTTCCTTCTTTCAGCCATTTTATCGGTCTTTGCTCTTGGAAATCTTGCGTATGCTTCACAACAAGCAATCAAAGTAAGAAGAATTCGCGACGATAAAGATTGTTTGAAAGTTAATTATTTGATTTTAGGGTAAGGTTGAGGGTGCCGGAAAGGGTTCATCTGCCTGCTGTGCCTTTTTTACTTTGGCACTTTTAGCTCAATTGCACATCATGCATAGCGTAAACACACATCCACCGCGTAATGAAGTAAAAAGTATTAGAAGATTAAATAAAATTTCCGTAACAGGGTGAATCATTGCATTATTGTGAAGCGGGTTGGAGTCTATTATCGGGATGTTTGGGAACAACACTTGCAGGTTGGCGACTTTTCAAAAAGAAGACCAAATTTTTTAGGAATTTGCGGATATCTCTACCTATCGGCGGCTCAAGTATTTAGGGAGAATGCTTCTTCCAATAAAGAAATTTTCAGTTATTAGCCGACAGAGAGAGAAGTCAACGGAGACGCCGATTGATGCACAATGCAATTATGAGCAGTTGCCGACAAGAAATCGCTCTGGCTATCCGTGCGAAAATGACTGTACTTTAATGATATTTCATGTTTATAGTAAACGTAAACTGACAACAACGCAACGTAACTATTAATACAATATTGAGCATTCTATAGCGAAAAAAGAAGCACATCATCAATAAAAAAAACAAAAACAACCCGAGATCAAAACCACCTAGAACGAGAATTCAAAGACGCTAACGCTTGTTCAACGGTCGAGTGTTCGTGGAGTAAATTGCCGACATTAGCTCGTCTCCTCACTTCATTTTTGGAACCGATTGTTCGTTTAACCTATTAAAAAACACTATATTGATCGAATATGAATAACTATGTACCTTTCCTGGCATTCGGCGTGCTTCTATCAAATTAGCTTCTTTGGTTCTTTGTTCTTCTAGGGAAGAGACATTTTTGCTTTGAAAATAGGCAAGTTCAGCTTCCTAAAAAATTAAATAATTTTATTAATATGGTAAAACTAACTTTTGTGACATATGGCCTCGTTAGTTGTCTCATCACTTCCCATTCTCTGTTTAATCTTTCTCGTAAAAGATTTTTGCGAGACTCAGTTACTGGATAGTCAGGTCGACCCGTCCTAAAAGAAGAGGCATTACGTTACGAGGGTGAAGGCAAAATTTTTATTTGTGACTTCAAAAAATAACTAACGCTTTTTGTTGCGCCTGAAGAGGTCCTCGATAACCAATATCCCAGGGACGTCGATCCCAATGTATTCTGTTGAGATTGCGACACGATGCTCTTGAAAGAAACATCTAAAGGTGACCATTTGAAAAAAAATTCTTTGTTTTTATGAGCAAAAATAATAATAATAATAATAACGATGGATTTAACATCAACAAATTTCAATGGATATTTAAATATAGTTTATTTCTGATGCAACATCCCATACCACCAGCAAACCCAAGTAGAACTATGGAAAAGAAAACAGGATAAATACTATTACCCATTAAAAGATTTCAGTTTAATGGGAGACAAAATCACGGCTGCATATTAGTACATTAGTAACAAATTTATGAAAGAAAGGTAGGACTAAAAGATAAACACGGTTAAAACATTAAAAAAAGATTAAGGGAGAAAAGAAGAAATTATTGCGTTCGCAGTCGTTGGCTTCCAGCGCTGCCAGTTCTTGATGGAGAGCGTTTCAATTCAGAGATGAGTAGCCGAAGACCATGTGCCCATGTTCCTAAAGCAACAGTAGACTTAGTTTTTGCATTGGGATTTTCCCTACAATCACCTACCCATTTCCGTAGGAAAACATTGTTGCAGTTGTTCAAAAAATATCCAAGCCTCTTCATATTGTTCCCGATCTACAGCTATAAATTAACGAGGAATATTAAGGTGCCAAAAGAAGCATACCATCAACAACGAAATTTAACTTCTTTATACAAGAATCCGTGATCGCATCATTCATGACCTGCTCTTTTAACGAAGCTAGTCGCAGTTGAACACCCTCACATTTTACCTATAAAAGAGAAAATTATACAATTGGCTGGTTGACTGCTGGCTTACCGGATGCAATCGCATTGAAGCTTTTGTTAAAAATGCAACACATTGATTTCCAGAAAGTGAAACATCACCGGCTGCCTTAACAGGGGCGCTGGAAAGTGAACGTTTATAAGGCCAAAATGTCGAAACATTTACCGATAATTCAAAGAATCAATCGATGCAAGCGAACTTCTTAACACACCCTCGGCAATACAGTTGGGCGCCGAGTAAATTAGACTCGTCGGTTGTCGCTCCAAAGAACTCTATAAATCAAATACTCACTTTTTAAAAATCAAGACACGATATTACACTAGGCGTTGGTGTTGAAGGAGCTGTAGATGATTGTTTCGAATCCCTCCTTTCCGGAAGCGAGGCACTCTGGAACAAAAAGTATAAGATTTAAAATAGATACTAACCTTTTGATTCAAAATTGGAGTGGATTGCGTTGACTGTGGGGTATCAAATTGACCAGCTTCGTTCCATTCAGTTGAAACATCGGACGATTGCTAACATTAAATACATGATATAAGCAAAGTAAATATTACTTACCGTTGTCAGTGAGTTTCTTGTACCAAAAATATCAGATTTGCCTTCTTTTCCTAAAAAAGCAGTAGTTTAATGATCGAAAAAAACGAACTGTTAACGCTGAAAGCATCAAAGACGGGACGATATGAAGATTGACTTGTTTGAGCGGTAGTTACCTCAAATGTCCATCATAAACAAAAATAATTTGCTTAAGTCTACCTGATGATCACCAAGAGTTGTCGGTCCCATATCTATCACAAAGTTGAGGAAAAGGAAGTTGTTAAAGAATTGACGAGTGACGACTATCTAAATGAATAAGTTATAAAGGAATGCTCGTGACTAGTCCATAGTCTGAAATTCAAAACTACAAAAAATGGCCTTTCTCATAGATCCAATTAAGCAAAAATTTTTAGAAATTCCCATAGTAAATACTAATCGCAAACGTAAAATACCATTTTGCCTTCCCATAAATACTAGAATCTTATTATTAACATTGTTTAAGTTAAGCAAATCATAAAGAAACCCAGTTTTTTTGCTTGTTTATATTCAATAATAATCAATAGGAGTACAGCGGGTACTGAGCTCTAAAAATTTAAAAAGTTATTTTGAAAATGGGTAGTCAATAATCAAAAGTAGACCTCCCGCAAATCGGATAAAATCACCATGAAAAAAAAAGACAAATAATTGTAGGTCTTGTGAAAATTTTCCTTTCGGAAATTTAATTGTGGAGGTGTGAGCCCAAAGGAGGCACCGATTTCAAGCTCAAATAAATGGATTTCCGTATTCGTTTCAAAAACAATCATGTCAAATTTCAATACGTGAGGTGTTTGGTTATGCAAATGAAAGTTAAGCTGACGAAAAAGTGTGGTTAGATTAAACATAATCTCTTTCTTTTTGAGAATTCTATTCAAAATCAATAAGGGGAATTAACGAAATCATTGAATCGCGAAAATAAGGAGTAGATGAGGGTTTTGTAAGAAGAGGCGATAATAGGTTTGTTAGACGGCGTAATAACCTTGTCGCCGCTGATCCGTCTTTTGACGGGGGCCAATGAAACCATGCCAACGGATAGGTGAGCCGCTGCAGAAGAAAAGGCCGACCAGGCTCACACAAACAAGAATAATGGGGAATTTTTTCCGACTAAAAGCCAAGAAAAAATTGATCTCCCTAGTACGAGATGATCATCGAAATTTTTGTAAAAAGTTGAGACAGAGTTTGTTTGGAGAGTCCTTTTTTGTTAAACGTAAATTTTATCACTTGGCTGATTGCTCTCTAGCTACACCCAAAAATATTGTTCCACACTTGACCGGTAAGTATTTGTACACAAAATAGCTTACAAGAAAATTGGCGAGCTTGTAGAAATCATAAATTTTGTGGAGCAGAAGAATTGTAATGAGGGTGTCCACTGTTTGCTGGAAGACCCTAAACAAAAACAATGTATCATCGCAACACAAAATATAAAATACCTGCATTGGGAAAGCGCTGCCGAATTCCCCGCTGGCAGCTGCGGGGTAAGCCGAAAAACTTAAGCAAAAATTAGAAGGGTTTTAAATTAGACTTGCAAACCCTGTTGAGCCATCGGTTGTTGTTGTTGTTGCATCGGCATGTTTTGACCAGGCTGCTAAAACTTTTACGTTCAAGAAATAAAAAAGCAAAATACTTGGTGAACCTGTTGCACAGGAACGGGGGATCCATAGTGATGAGCTAAATAAAAAAAAAATTTTTTTTAATTACTTTTGCCAAAATATACCGGGGGCACTATTCGTCTGTTGTTGGTATGGCTGTCCGGGACTTGCACCGAATTGTTGCTGACCGGTGCCCTGAAAATAAATAATATGAAATCGACACTAGATTTGTAAAAATAGCCGACTTACTGACAAATTACTTAATAATCAAGGCCTAGATCCATTACAACAATCAATTCTAGTTCATCATGATGTTTGTTGTTGAAATTTCAAATTCAGTGTATTAAGTTCAAGTAGTGGTACTTGATATCTTTTTAATTTGACGCCAAAAAGTATGCTCACATTTATCGACGGGTCGACAAGTCGCTTGTGTCGTGAAAGTCGGCTTGAAGCTGCACCTGAACGACACAAAATAAAATAAGCTTACAGGAAGTTTTTCTTCATTATCTTTACTGGGTTACTGGTTTATTAACATTAAATTTCCTCGTACTAATATAACGTTAAAATTTGTTGACAAGTCACAGCTTAATTTGCATAAAATTTACCTGGCCCAATTGAAGGTGGATCGTTCCATCCAGCTGGAACCGATGATGGGAGTTGTTGTTGATAGGAGCTCGGCCACGACATGGCTTGTCGTCGACACTCCACCCAAGTGTTTTACTAAAACAAATGTTGAATTACTGCTTTTAAAACAATAAGAAAAGAAATCGAGAAAGAAATTGGCAAGACCGCAAAGCTTTTAGTCGAGTGTTTTACGAGAATATTTAACCATTAGGTCACTTGAGCAACTATAGAGATTTCATTGTGCGAAAAATTGGAAAAAAGTCTGGGAAAAGCTGGCGTCGTGTTATGTGACGGTGGAGAATTTATACGAAAATTTATTGTTTACGAGCTTTTAGGTGTGAGCGCGGAGAGGGGAGTGTGGCGTAGTCGTCGGGTTTTTGACAGAAAAAGACCGGCTTTTGGTGGTGCATAAGAAGTGACATTTGAAAAGAAAAAGAATGTATTACCACACTTTCATGTGTCATCTGGAAAAGCTAACTTATCGAAGTATACTATTTTTTACAAATGGCTGATTTTGTTTTGTAGCTTGTGATTTTGTATGCAAACTGCAGCCAACATTCAAAATTTCTTTGTGGAATGCTAAAGTTTTATTTCGAAGGCACAAAAAAGATGTGTAAGGTCTTGGAACCTTGAGTGAAAACGAGAGAAAATCACAGAAAGAAACGAAAGTGGTCATGGATCAAAGATACCATAATTTTTTTCAAACAAAGTCAATGATATGTGACATCAAAGCAAGACAAAAAACTGAAAAAAAACAGATGTTTCTAATTATTCACCAAACGTAAGTGAATGGAAAGAAAAAATATAAATTAAGACCCGAGTAAAAAGGTGAAAAAGGTTTTTAATTTAACAATCGGTGATAGGTCCAAGGAAATTTGAAGATTTATGGGCTGCAGGATTGGGTTTTTTGGGGTGATTAGACTGATTTTTCGACGATGATGAGCTCTCTGGGTCATTAGATTGCTGAAATTTGCTTTAATTCGACGATATTGTCTATCTGAAATTCGACAATACTCAAAGATCAATGGTTTTCCTATGCCAACTCACTTGTGAATGCGCGGGGGTGCCTGTTTGGAGGATGAAACTCGATCGATTCGACTCCTCATCCTCATACATCGAGGTCGCAAATCGATACGAAGGAGTTCGATGGGTCATCGATCTCCTTGCCGACGATTTATTGTCGTTTAACGGGTCTCTTGATTTCATTGGAACCTCTCTCAATACGGGAATCGGGTGCCAATTTGCTGGAATGCCTAAAGCCTCTTGTTAATTTATTCATATTGTTATCTTTTCTATCACCTCCATTCGAATCGTCGACATATTCGGAGCGAATCTCGCGGCGATATTTTTTCTTTGCTCGCATCGAGAGACGCTCCCCAAATTTGCCAGCAGGAGCGAGAGAAGTCGCATGAAAAACTCTAAGGTTGAAAAATCATGATACCTTGTTTTTTGCCAAACCTAGAAGTGGGAAAAATAGGTTGAAGGGGCTGGGTGTGCCGGGGTGAAGACGCCGGTTGCTGGCGCGGCGTATGGGGGATCTGAAATGAGTTCAATGAGTCAGTGCTACCATTTTCAGTCACTCACAGACTCCAGGGGGAAGATCCGATGGGGCGATGAGTCCGTGAAATTGCTGCTGGGGCGTGTAGACGTGGACGGGCTCGGCTTGCGCATAAAGGAGTTGTCTTGGCCAGACACTCTAAAAGATTTGCGTAAAGGGAACCGAATTGTCGCCTTGCCTGTCCAGGTCTGGGGTAGTACTGTTGCTGGGGTGTAGCGGTCGAAGCACGCGTTGGGGCTTGGGATTGAGAAGTAGCGGGGAAGCGGCTGCCTCCAGCGAATGCGGTCTGAAGCTTGTTTCTAAGAGTTATTTCGAAAAAGGAAAAACCTGGACACTCGGTCGTGCTCCAATTCCACCGCCTCCCGAGTATGCGAACCACGCATTGAAAGCATCGTAGTAAGACGGAGTGGCGACACGAGTACGGGCTCGGTCTTGTTCCCGTGTCCCTTCTCGACCCCAGCCGGCATTGTCACGCTCGTCTCCGTGGTATGAGTATGAGCTAAAAAATTACCGTAAATACTCTAACAGAAGGCCACCATTTCATCCAATCACGTAGCTCGTAAGCAACGTTATGCAACCCTTACTTTGAGACGACATAGTATGGAGGTGGTGGTGGTCGTTCCGCGTTCCGACTTCCAGCACTGACACTTCCGAATTGTTGATGGAATCCGGTGGCACTTCGTCGATTCGTTTGGAATGCGGTGGGGGAGGAGGAGGCCTAAAAGTTGTTCAATACAAAAAGCTGTTCAATACGTAGAGCGAGTACCTGCGCGGTGGCTGTCTGCTGGGGCCAGCGGTGCTGTTCATATCGGTTGACAAGGCCGAAGTCGTCAATAGTGGCTGAATGGATCGGGCCATGGCCATTGCTCGCGCCTCGGTACCCCTAAAGTTTTAGGCTCATAAACGAAAGTTTACTATTGAAGACAAACAAGCAGCATGCTAAAGGAGGACAGACGACATTTAGATGCGAGTGTCTAGAGTAGAGTGTGTTCCTCGCGGATAATGCGTTTTTTAAACTTGGGAAAAATTGTCGTACCTTTAGCGAAAACCGGGAGTGGGACAAATGCGACCTTTTTTTTGCGCACCCGGACATTTGCGCACCTTTTTTTCCGCACCTTGCCCATTAGCGCACCTTTTTTCGCGTTTTAAAAAGGTCGCATTTGTCCCACTCCCAAAATCGGCGCGAAAAAAATCATGAGCACCAATTTATATGAGTTCTTTTAAAGATATTCAGCCGTTTAATTGATTTGATGGGAAATTCTCGTCAAATGTAAAGATATTCAATTTACTCGGCGTGTAAAGAGGATTACTCGTAGTTAGTGAACGAAAAGCGTCGATGAATCATACTTTCAAAGTCCCTAAGCTAAGTTGAATATCTTAATTTTGTGGGGAAATTCAAACAAATGGGGCAACTATGAAAGCTACGAAGTCCCGCCCCTTTTTCTGCGTAGATTTTTCGTAGCTGCCTCTTTTGTTTGAAATTTCCCACGAAACAAGAAGATATTTAGCTGAGTGAGCAAGGGGGACACTTTGATTAATCGAGTAAAAATTACTTAAGTAATTACTTCTTTGCAAGAAACACACTCTAGTCTAGAGGTAGCAATGCATTTGTGGACTATGACAAAAAATGGGTAATCAGTCATGCACAAATTTGCAAAAACAACAACAAGAAGGGGAGAATTTGGAGGCAAAGTCGGAGTGAAGCCCGCTATTGTTCGGGATACCTCGGTGCAAGACTTCGATAGAATCTCGAATTCGCCACTTGAAAACCCTCTCGACTTGGTGAGGTTAGTGCCGTATGCTAAAGATCAATCACACACACGCAAGAAAATGAAAGAATGTTCACGGAAAAGAGTTTACAATCTTTTATCGTTCACTATGCTGTTATGCATGCATATTTTGTCAGTGATTAGATCGAACTCAACCAAACGTTAACTAATTGAAACTCAAGGCGAGAGCTGAGACAAGAAACTTTCAATTAGGATTTCTTTTGTTGATAAATGGATTAAAAGTTTCTTGAATATTTGACTTTAAAATGGTTCAAACCTCAGCAAAAACGGGATCGTATTCGGATTTGACTTTTTCTCTTCTCAAATCACGATGATTCAATCGAGGAGACGAGACTACGCCATATTGACCGTTAGTTTCTATTTTTCTAAAAGATAATATAGCATTTTTTAAATAATAATTACAATATTATAATAAAAATATAGATACTTTTAAAAAAAATTACTTATTTTCCTTGTAATCTTTCGATGAAGATGGGTCTCTTTTCTCTGGAGATCCCTCTCTCGAGCGATTCCCGATTCGGAACCAATTTTTCATGGTACTAAATTGATGATTAGATAATTGACAACATTTTATAATTATATTAGAGCTGTTTTTTTTAATATTTTGTTTATTTCATTCATTTACCTTCCCATACTCTTTCTTCGTTGTTGCTTTTCAGCGTTGTAATTCGAATTGTTGCGACTGGCAATTAAAGCAGAAATATCTGAAATGATATTTTTATTATAAGCTGTTTACCGTAACCCGCCAAGGGCTAGTTCGTGGTTAATCGTGTTTAAAAGGAGACTTTTTGAAACTTTTCAAAGGAGACACTAGGTTTTTGAATAAATTGTCCAACCTCAAAATTGGTGGACAATACATTATATCGGAAAAGCTTATGAGAAAAATGATATTATGTTTATAGCGAGTAAAAGCTCGCAGAGTTTGGCGAGCAAACATAATTGTTTTTTTTTACTTAAATAAATAGATTTTATCATTACCTTGCGAGTTTCCCGTCTCACCAACAACTGCGTGTTTAAATGATGGGTTTTTAAATCCAGAAGATAGTGATGAAGGTATAAGTTGAGAGGAGGGATTCTCTTGGAATCTAAAGAGTAATTTAGGCTTTTTTTAAGTTTAATCAAGTAGAATTTAATTATAAATAGATTACTAATCGAAAGGTTTCGATTCACTTTCCATTCACTTTCCATTCATTTTCCATTCACTTACATTGCCTCTTCTCCTGCTCGGATCAAATTCACATCAACACTTCTCGATCGTCTTCTTGTCGGCGAGCCTAAGGAAATTTTGAAAATTCAGTCATTTCTTTGTAATTTTTATATCAAATCGTTTTTTTTTCAATTCAAACGTTATAATAATGGTTAAAGAGTTGACAAAGTTTCTTATTTAGATTGATCAAAAGCTTTAAAGGGATTGCGTAAAAACCCATGCCATTTCACAGATTTCATAAGCCGTAGATCTTAAGCAATAGATCTTAAGCAATAGATCTTAAGCAATAGATCTTAAGCAATAGATTAGGATACTTGTGACTTTATGGTTCCCTTTTAATTCAGATTTTTCGTTACAAGATTCAAGTGATAGAAGTCGAGTTCAAGTCACAAGTATCCATTGTAATTCACTACTTAGAAAAACAAAGGATAGAGAAAGAGGAAAAAAAGCGGGTACCATTGGGATCATCGGTATCTTCAAGATAGTCGATATGAGGTTCGGGTGGAAGAGAATCTTGTTGTTGATCGATAGCTTTTCTCGATTCCCCCTTTTCCTGGATGCATGGATAAAGAACGAGCTCTTGCTTGAGCCCTTGCCGATGCTGATCTGCCCGCAAAGCCGTGAAATGATCGAGTGGCTGCATTTGATGTCGGCGCTGAATCTATTACACTACAAAGCTATAGGTTTCCTCCCTCAAACATGCAAAGGGTTAACATAACGAGAGTCTTTCAGCCGAAACAAAGCAATCAATCATTTTTCTAAAGAACACAAACCGCTCGTTTGTCGCTGGTGTCGAATTTTTTGATAAGTTGTTGAAGTGGATGGATCAAGAGTGGCGCCCATTCCACGTTTTTCGCTCATCGACTAAATCTCGTTATTCTCAGCTCAAAAGCTTTTACGAACTTTTCGATTGGGTGCTTCTCGATCAAATGGATCGATATTCGATTGTGGCTCATCGTCAATCTCACTTCTTTTCGTTGAAGTGCTCGCCGAGCTGTTTCGTCTAACACGTAGATTCGTTTCCTGGAAAAAAAAGAAAAAATGAAAATCCCCAGCCAACAAACGGTTGGTGTTGATGAAAGAAAAGAGGATCCATTCGAAGATGGGCCAACAACAAGTGTCGCATCGGGGCCATCAACAGTGATCCGTGTTGATCCATCCGATGACAGTGCCGGTGATGTGTTTTCATTTTGTCTCAGTACTCGTAATCTAAACAACTCATCAAATTTGCTTTACCATTAAAGCTTACCTAACATGCGTCGCATTGTGGCCGATTTGTTTCAGTTTTTTCGTCACCGCTTCACAAGCTTCTGCATTTCGGGTAAACTTTCGCAGATCAATGTCCTAAAGTACTATTGTATACGTGTACATTAATATAATGTACATTAATGTACTGTACATTAATATACTATATAAAGGTGTAGATCGTATTGATTGTATTCGCTTACAAACCTCAATCGATATCAACTGATCATCGACCATCAATCGACCATCTTTATAAGCAGCTCCACCAACAAGAAGCTAAACAATGACTCTTGTAAACTATTTAAATTGGTTTGGATTTGGTTTAGATCTGAAAGAAAAACTTCTGAAAGAACATTCTGTAATAGTAAATAATGGAAAGGAAAGGAATGTAATAGTAAAGAATGGCAAAGAAAGATTTCCGGATACACAAATGTACACAAATTTGTGGATAAATATAAATAGATAAATGACTTATACGAAAAGCTCAGTATACCTTTTTCACAAAAATCCCGCAATCTCTTCTCGTCTCATCGGATCGCACAGAGACTCTCGCTTTTAACGACACTCCCAACCCAGCCGATCCAGTATCATTCAAAGGAATATCAAGCACCAATTCCTAACACAATTGTTTCAAATCAAATTTCTTTTCTTTCTTACTTGAACATTGTTTTTAGAGTTGACTAGTCGTGCTCGATGAATGACGGCCGGACTCTTATTCGCGAGCTCGTCCTCTACATCGGAACCTCTTTTCACTTGGATTTCTTGCAAATCCGAACTCTCAGGCGGGATATTTTCATCGTTTTGCTCAACCTGAATTTGTTGTTATTTGTTTTTATTTGTTTTTATTTGTTTTTATTTGTTTTTATTTGTTTTTATTTGTTTTTATTTGTTTTTATTTCTCTCTCATTTTCTACGTACTCTTGAGATCTCTAGTGTCACCGATGCACCAATTGAAGTCTTCTTCAATCTCTCCACCACATCACTTTGTTGCAATTCGGCGGTAGCCACATCATTGATCTAAACTTTTCTGTGTGAATCGATATCGATATTTTTTTCCTGTACCTTTATTAAACGATCTCCGGCTTTCAGTTGCCCAAATGCGGCTCCATCCGGGCGAACAGTTCCAATGTAGAATAAGCGCTCTCCACGAGCCGTTTCCCGGCCAGTCACCGTGAATCCGAAACCGTTTGAACCTAGATAATTACTTTAGAGTACTTTAGAGTTTAACAATTTCTCTTAAATTCTTAAGACAAACGTTTTTGTACGTAAACAATTGAGGATTGTCCTAATTGTTGGGTGTTTGCTTGTTGAAGAGCTGATAAGATTGGCCTTTTTGGAGGGAGAGATGAGGTGGATGGAGACGGTTCAATGCTGAAACGTTTTCTTAAATTATTATCTTTCAAATCTTATATAAGAAGTCATATTAATGTTACGTCCGAATATGAGGAGACGTCCATCTCCGATCCGGACGTCCGACTCTGAGTCGGACGTCCATCTCTCTCCGGACGTCCGGATCGGAGATGGACGTCTCCTCAGATTCGGACGTAACATTAACAATCCCATTAACAATAAAAACAATTGTAAAAGATTTCTCATTTCAATAATATCATTAAACAAACGAGGGTTGTAAAAACGAAGTGATCGGTCGAGAAACGGTTAAAGTTGGGACACCCTTTGTGCTCATGTCAGAGATCAACGCTCGAGCTCGGAGTTGAGTCAACTAAATCTCGATTTTTATAATAATATTTATTTTATTGTACCAATTTAAAATTAAATATGAGAACAAACTTCTCCAACAGGTCGCCCATCAATAGTCACAATGTTGTCACCGACACACAATCGTCCATCCACTCCAACACGACCATCCGGCTCAATCTAACAAAGAAGATAATGCCTTTATAATATTATTGAAAGGATTTAGCAATGTTTTAGTTTGTTGATTGTTTAGATTGTTTATTGTCTTGATTGTTTATTATTTTGATTGTTGATTAACAATGATTCTTTTATCTATATTTTTAAACCAACCTTGATAATTTGAAGAGATGACAGCTTCCCCTCATCATTCATCATTCCAGTTACCTAATGTTTTTCATTATTAAATAATTTTTAAATATTCAAACTTCAATGCCCATACTCATCGCTTCATCATCGGGAAAAGCAATGACTGTATGTTTTGAGTTCTCAATCGCTTGTAACAATGGTGCTTTCTTTAGATGATTTCCAGTGCCTAAATGGATAAAGAAACATAAAGAATTCTTTAATAAAGATATAATTTATAAAAGAAACAGTTGTTTTTTTCATAGATAATTAAGTTAAAATTGAATTCCGTTTACCTAAATCCGAGGCCGATCGTGGGAAACCTCTTGGCGGCGAGTGAGAGGATTTGAGTCGATCTTGTAGACGGTCCTGAAGTTCCTTTACTTAATAATAGAAATTTCTAAAGCTTATAGAAGCTGTTTGGAAAGGTAGACTACAAAAATAAACTTGAGCATCGTAGAATTTGTCGGATATTCTCGATTTCCTCGTTGAACCCCTTTCCAATCCACTTCGCGCTTCCGCTGTGCCAAGTCTTCTTTCCACATCTGGAATACAAATGCTGGTGTATTAATGGGAAAAAATTGAGTTTAAATTAGGAAAGATTTTTAATAAATCCGAATTATAAACGATTTGGTGTAGAAGTTAATGATAAAGAGCTTTTTAATAAGAAATTATTGATAAATGTGGAAATGGAAGTACACTACTGGACAATGAAATATCATATTTGGAAAAAGATCGTCACTTTCGCGCGTGTCTTTACTGTCCCTTGTCTTTACCGTATTTCGAAAATATTAATATTATCATTGTGTAGCCCTTGAAAAGAGCTTTCAGAAGGTTTGCACACTCGACCAGTAAGTGGAAGTGCCCAGTAGGGTCGCGGGTTCGAGTCCGGGTGGCGCACAAGTTTTTGATCTGCCCTAATTCCAACTGTTTGGTTGAGAGCATGAATTTTCGGTGTAATGTGACGTAAATTTTACATTAAGAATTTAAGCATGAATCACTCACAGATATAGGAATTTTTAGGAATTGTGCTCATTTTATTAATAGAAGTCTAATATACACTACTGGACAATGAAATATCATATTTGAAAAAAGATCGTCACTTTCGCCCGTCTGTAACTCCCTTGTCTTTACCGTATTTCGAAATATTAAATGGATAATGCAACAAGATGAAGTGATTTTTCAATGTTTAGATATTAGATAAATAAGGCTAGAAATTGATTCAGAGCTGATAATGACAATTTTAGGTGATTGTCGTTTTGCGGGAAGGTCCAGACAGTTTTGACATGGAACCAGTGCCACAAAAAGGTCGAGAGCCGTCTGTACAAATGAATATTGTAAGAAATAGCTACACTACTGGACAACGAAATATCATATTTGAAAAACGATCGTCACTTTCGCGCGTCTGTAACTCCCTTGTCTTTACCGTATTTCGAAATATTAATATTATTATTGTGTAGCCCTTGAAAAGAGCTTTCAGAAAATGTAAAACACTAATAGTTTAAACTCAAAGACAACGGAGTTACAGACGCGCGAAAGTGACGATCGTTTTTCAATTTCATATATGATATTTCATTGTCCAGTGCTGTAAATCGTTTTTCTTTACTCATTTCTACAAGCTTCATTTAGTGAGAATCATTCTTCTTATCATTCTTATTCATTCTTATTCATTCTTACTTCAGATTCCTTCTTTAACAAACAAAAAAGACTCTACTAGTAGTTTTATAAATTGAGATATATAATAGATTTCTAATCAAAGCACCTGGGCTTAACGTGACTCGATTTGTGATTCTCGGAAAATCTCCATCCTTTTTCTCTGTTTTCAATGATGAACGCAATGGACCCTAAGAATGAATTGATTTTCTTTTTTGATTTATATCTTCACCGTTAAAAGCTCTTTGTGTAATGGATTCGTCATTGGTGGATTTCGAATAGCCAATGCTAAAAAAAAAGATTTCAAAAGTCCCTTTTAACAAACAAACTTGGTGGCGATCCAAAGAATTTAATCTCGACAACGCTATCTTGAGCTGAGCTTCGATCTAGAATTGTTTGAATAGAATAAATAAGCTTATTAAATATAATTGTTGATTATTATTAGTATCATTATATAGTAAAACCTTTTCTTTACCTAAAATCGGTCTCGGAGAAGCCGATGAGGCAGTCGAGGCACACGCTTGAGCCTCGTCGTCACAAATGGCTAACACCTGAAAGGTTTGAGGAAATAAAAGAAGCAAAATGAAGGGATGAGCTGAGAAGAACTCTTTCTATTTACCGTTCTTTCTTCACTGCTTTTTTCCCTTCACCAGTACACAAGCAAACATCCCATCAGACCTCCCCTGTCCTCCTTTTTCTTTTACTCGCCCTCAAGGCTCTACCTCTTCGAAGTTATTTTATCTTTATTCTACTCAATATTTTTCGTTTATAATGGTTACCATTTTCCTTCTTTTCTACCTGATCAGTGTCATGATTGAGTACATCGTCAACCACATCATCTGGATCAAGAATTCCCCCACTTGCTAACTCTAGCCGCAAAACCGACATCTCGTTGCCTTGCTTAAATAAAAAAAAAATAAACACACCGTCACATAATCATCAGCTTTTTGTTGTCGCAAGTAAGAAGAGGTCATTCTTGAAGATTAATGATTAAGCATATTGATCAGAAAATGAATATGAATATGAATATGATCATGGATATGTTGTGTCTGTGTTGAGGGGAGTGTGTTCACTGTGTTGTCTCGTTGTGGTCTTTTCCCTATTCGTTTTCCCCTCTCCGCGCACCATACACTCGCATGCAAAAAGAGTGAGAAGAAAGAGAGAGAGAGAGATGGATGTGTGTGTGAAACGCGAATGGGAAAGAGTTTTTCGCATTCTTTTCCCTTTTTGCCACAATCCCCTACAGTCATCGATCAAATATTACCAATCACACCTTATTCCCACAACAACAGCTACACTAAGCGCTGCAAATAAGCAGTAAGAACATGGAGAAGTGAGAATGGGTTAAGGACTAGTTACTAGATAATCTAGTAAGGACTAGATTATCACTCTTTAGCTCTGATAACATATTGCTCTTTTGACTTTTATTTAAATAATAATAGCTTTTGGAAGGTTATTGATTACTATTGAATAAAGTTATGGAAAAGAGTGATAATCTAGAGAAATGCTTAAGCGGGTGAAAGCTAGCAGTTGATGCTGTTTTTAATATAATATAATAATTATAATAATTTAATATAATTTAATATAAACTCTGTACTATTAAGTGTTTAGCTATGAATTTTATTGTTCTTTTTTTATTGTATTATTATTCTTTTTTTTTAATAATTATCGATTTTTGGCTAAAGTTGTGAAAAGGATTTTGAATGGTGTTAACGGGATTGTATGGTTTGTGACCTTGCAAGTGTTGACCAATGAGAAAGAAAGGGGAAAAAAAAGAAAAAGGAAAAGAAGAAGGAAAAGGAAAAGAAAGAAAAAGAGAATACTCTTAGCTGATATGCAAATTGCTTGTTGACACTATGATGCCAAAATCAAGAGGAGAATATTGTTGTGAAAAGGAAAATATTAGAGATCAAATATTTGAAAGGCTTTACGAAAACTTTTAAAGAAAAAAAAAGATGAAATTTTTTCAAAATTCAAAATGCAAACCATTCCAGTGGCTCTCTGATATCGAGCAATGGCTGCTTGGGTCAGTTCGGTGATAGTAATCCCCTCTCGATTCAATGGGACAACCACTTGAATGTCTAAAAATATGTTTTTATAAAGTTATTATTGTTTAGTTGATTATTATTGTTTAGTTTATTTAGCTTCAAGTATTACGATTGAAATGAACGGTGACACGACGAGGCCGCATCACTCTTTTTGTTGTTGATTAGAGAGAAAAAAAGAAAAGAAAATGAAGAAAGATGAAGAAAGCCTTTCTCGGAAATCTATCTAAATGAATCATTCTATTGAAAAATCATCAAGTTACAACAATTTACAACAAGATCATCAAGAAAATTGAGAAATAACGAGAGATTTAAACTTTTCAAAGAAAAAGATCGAAGTTGAAAAGTTCATTTGATGGCAAAGTTTGCAAGCAAAGTTGCAAGCAAAGTTGCAAGGTGCAAAGCAAAGACAAAGCAAAGTCAAAGCAAAGACAAAGCAAAGACAAAGCAAAGTCAAAGCAAAGACAAAGCAAAGACAAAGCAAAGACAAAGCAAAGTGCAAGTTTATTGCAAAATTGAAAACTGAAAATGAATTTAAAATGGAAACAATGATAAAAACAAAGTTTTTTTAATTTTAGATTAAAAACAACAAAGAACAGAACAAAGAAACAAAGAACAATGCAAAAAAAATCTAAAAATTTTACCAGAAAATCCTTTTAAGAAATGAGAAAGATTTAAAGGAGAATAAACACAAAAAATTTATTGATGTGTGTGGAAGAGTGGAAATCAAGAAGGGGAATGGACCGGCTTCTTTTCTAAACAAGCGCTTGATGGCCTGGGCTCTCGAAGGCCAAGCCGCATGTTGAGAGGGCCCATCTCACCTATCTCTTTCCTCTTTCGCCTTCAGTAATAATAAATGAAGATCTCATGATATCCGAATATCAAAAAAAGAAGCAAATCTATACTTTAACATCTACAACAAGGGGTTTTTTCCCTTATTTATTGTAAAATCCAGTTTCTCAATTTGAAAGGTTCCCGGGCGAGTTCGAAAAAATTGATAAGTCGAGCAGATTAGAGAGAAAGTATTAACTAGTCAAAGAGAAAGAGTTAAAGAGAAAATGCTAACTATAAGAAGAATGATTTGAGGAATTTCCGTGTGTGGGAATAGGCAAAAAGAGGAGGGGAAAGGCCTCAGCGAGGGAGAGGCTGTCTCATTCGATTGCTTCAATCGTGATAGTGCGCTAATGAGCGAATCGAGTGAATCAAGAGTCTCCTTTTTCTCATTCCTCCATTTCCCCCTCATCATTCCATTTCATTTCACTTTTTTCTTTTGTCAATGAATTTCCAGCTTTTTCTTTAACCCTAGCCTCCGATTTCGTACATCGCAAAAAGGCAGTTTTCAGCATTTTTTCAGCATTTCAGCAATTAAGCCAGCTTCAAACTAAGCCAGCTTCAAATTAAGCCAGCTTCAAATTAACCTAGTTTCAGATTAAGCCAGCTTCAAATTAAGCCAGCTTCAAATTAACCTAGTTTCAGATTAAGCCAGCTTCAAATTAAGCCAGCTTCAAATTAACCTAGTTTCAGATTAAGCCAGCTTCAAATTAAGCCAGCTTTAAACTAAGCCAGCTTCAAATTAAGCCAGCTTCAAATTAACCTAGTTTCAGATTAGGCCAGCTTCAAATTAAGCCAGCTTCAAATTAAGCCAGCTTCAAATTAACCTAGTTTCAGATTAGGCCAGCTTCAAATTAAGCCAGCTTCAAATTAAGCCAGCTTCAAATTAAGCCAGCTTCAAATTAAGCCAGCTTCAAATTAACCTAGTTTCAGATTAGGCCAGCTTCAAATTGAGCCAGCTTCAAATTAAGCCAGCTTCAAATTAACCAGCTTCAAATTAACCTAGTTTCAGATTAGGCCAGCTTCAAATTAGCCAGCTCAAATTAGCCAGCTTCAAATTAACCAGCTTCAAATTGCCAGCTTCAAATTAAGCCAGCTTCAAATTAAGCCAGCTTCAAATTAAGCCAGCTTCAAATTAACCTAGTTTCAGATTAGGCCAGCTTCAAATTGAGCCAGCTTCAAATTAAGCCAGCTTCAAATTAAGCCAGCTTCAAATTAACCTAGCTTCAAATTAAGCTAGCTTCAAATCTTGACTAGGAATCAAATTTGAGAAAAGGAACTTTTTAAAAAAGATGACTATAGAAAAAAATTGCAATTTCAAAAACGTTGTTTATATGATGGGGGAATATTGATGGGGGAAAAAAAGCAGGAAGGAGGAGAGGGAGGGTCGTGAACGGGCAAGACGCGCTATCAGATGACTCATTTCAGCCCCCCGTCCCTTCAGCCTCCTTTTTTTTCTTCAAAGAACCCTTCTGGATAAGCTATGTTTCCCCTTTTTTTTTCGTCAGTTCATTCCAAATGTTTTATAGAAGAGAGCTTTATTGCAACTTCTTTGTACTCTTTTTTCGGCTCCTCCAAAAGGTGTGACTAATTTTGGAGAGAAAGTGTAGAAAGAATTGACAATTAAAATCATAGAAATGATAGATTATTTAAGATTTTCTATATAGCTAAAAGGGAAATCAAAGATTTTCGAGAATTTCTCAGTGATCTGATTATCAGCGATGAGTAAAAGAAGTCATAAATTCTCGATCTCGATTTGCCTTTTCTCCATCTTTTCCCTTCATCATCCAGCGAAATTATTATCCAGATTTACACTCAAAATGGGGAAAGTTTCGCAATGGGGAAAGTTATTTTGAAATTTTTAGCATACCAAAGCTTTAGTTTATTTGAATTTCTTTGAGTTTAAATATTAAATATAGCAATGATCATATTGCCGTAAATACTGTAATAGTACCCCACCCCCATAATGATGGTGCGGAGCGTTGCGTAGTCTAGCTTTGGTCGCGTTTTTCTCGACACTGGTTTATGCTACAATAGCAATACAATTATCAAAAAATAGCCCTGAATTTCAGCTATTTTTTGATACCAAAGACGCATTTTTTGAAAGTACGCGCGCTTTGAAAAAAAATGAAATACTAAAAAACTTTTGCGACTACGCGACTGTACGGGGTACTATTACAGTATTTACGGTAGCTTATTGTTTAATATTAAATATAGCAATGATCATCTTATCATAATCTTATTTCGATTAAATTTCCAGTAAAATACACTTTGAAAAAAAGCAATCGTACTAAAGCTTTTAACAATTTTGAATAAACTATTGAGCTTACCGTATTTACTCTATTAGTGGGGTCCTCTCTAATAGTGGGGTCGTCTGGAGGGGGGTTGAAAAAATAGTGGGGTCCTCTCGAATTGGAAGAAGATATTGGTAACGAAAGTGATACATCAATTGTTGATCTCTTGGATTAGTTCTTTTACTGTTTGTTAATGTTTTGTTACGGTTAAAGCTAAATAAAATATGAAGCCAAACTTGTTTTGTCAAGAATTTCGGAGAAAAATTGATATCTTTTCAATTTAAAACTTTGGTTTTATGTTCTTTTAAATTTCTCTAATAGTGGGGTCCTCTCTAATAGTGGGGTCGTCTGGAAGGGGATTGAAAAAATAGTGGGGGACCCCACTAATAGAGTAAATACGGTATATTGCCAAAACATTGGGCTACGGTAGCTTTTTTTCCGGTACTATGCTATCCTCAGAAACTTGCTTATATTCCACATTTTGATAATAAATAATCACATTGATACCAATGTGATTATTTATTATCAAAATTTGCATTCACTAAATTTGCTTGTCTTAAAGCACTTTTATATAGATGCTTAAAGTGAAATTACATCAAAAATTTATTGGTTGAAAGTGGGAGAAAAGTTGTGCGAGCTAATTTCAGTCTTTTTTTGTTCTAAGTTGGGCACCGCTCTGAAATCAGTCCACGCGCCATTTATCTCACTTACAAAAGACAAATGCCAGATGTAATTTCAATTTAAGAATCTACATGAAATTTGCAACAAAATGAGCCATTACGCAACTTTTTTGGTTCAATGTTAGCTATTGTGAATTTGCGGAGATATAAACCAGCGGAAAACGCTCACTAATGTTCGCATTTTCCACGCATCCTCGGCTGTTTTTGCCAATGGCCGCGACGACGGATGGACGGACGTTTCTTCTGCTCTCGACGGACGGACGAACGTCTCTCGAACGGACGAACGTCTCTCGAACGGACGAACGTCTCTCGAACGGACGAACGTCTCTCGAACGGACGAACGTCTCTCGAACGGACGAACGTCTCTTCTCCTCTCGACGGACAGACGGACGGACAAACGGACGGACGTCTCTTCTGCTTTATATATAGTAGATAGTACCTTTTTTTCTGTAGGCTACTTTTTAGAAAACTTCGTAGAAAAATCCAATTTGATCTCTGATATGTGGAAAAGGTTTCAAATTATAGCAGCAATTATTTATTTAAGAAAATTATGTAAAAGTTAGATTTTATTTAATGAATACAATCATAGCTTTCCTTGTCCCAAGTGGTTGAAAGTTCGATAATTCCGAGATCAAAGATTCCCGCCGGGGTCGTCGATCCATGAGTGACGGCTTGCTCGGGCAAATCGATCGACAATTTCCGGGAACACCACTTGAAATTTGTATTGAAGGTATTGAAGGTATTGAAAGTATTGAAAGTATTGAAGATATTGAAGATATTGAATTCTTATGATTGAATATTACCCCATTGTAGTTGCACTTATGATAAATCGAGACATAAGGCTCGATATTCGACCATTCTTTCGTCCATCCACGCAACAGGAACACCCCGCGAAAATCGCTGTTTGTTTGGTCCATCTTATCGTCAGGATCCACTGGAAAAATACGAAAAATTGACGAAAAATAGTCAACCTTAAAGAATTCTTGAAAAAGATGCTGTTTTCGGAAACTTACAAAGATCCCAATCCTTCATTTTCACAAGAACTCCCGGAATGGGCCGACCCTGGCAAAGGAGCCTCCCAGTGGCAGCAGCTGACTAAATCGCTTTGCTTTTCTTAATTGGCTTTGAGTACTTTGTGCTTAAAAGTAAGCACACCTCTTCTAGCACATGTTCATGTGCTTTTTTTTCAGTTTTACGATTTCTAAATTTTACCTGAATATGTCCAGGCCAGATTCCACACGAGATCACTCCAAAAAAGGAGAGTACAAGTACAAGTACAAGAATACAGTTCATGATCCAAAAAAAAATGAGGATTTGAAATTCAAGAAGCTAAGAAATATTGACCCTCGAGTTTTCAAGTATTTGGAAACTTGGATTCGAAATTTGAACAGGTCAAATTTGAATACGAGTTTTGACTCCGCCCACTTCTCGAGTGAATTTCGATTACCCCGATTCGTCATCCATTTCTTTTTTCTTCTCCTTCTTCTTCTTCTCCTTCCTCTTCTTCTTCTTCTTCCCATTCAATCCCATCTTTCTCTCTCTCGACACGCACAATTATGAGATTTGTCTCTCTTTTTTTTTTCCTCCATTTCTTCACCTTCTGACTCAAAATTTTCAATGGTTCGTTTTTCCGACAAACAGTAAACACCGGTTTAATCATTCAGCGAAATTTAGCGAATTGTCGATGCGCAATGCTGTGATGACCAATAGACTGATGGGAAATCTAACCAAGGAACCTTACCAAGTTACCCACGAGTTACAATACAATACAAAGTTTCTGAACGTACATTTTCAGGCCTTTCTTTTTGCACCTACCTCATATTGTAACTCGTGGGTAACTTGGGAAGGTTCCTTGGTAAGCTAAAAAGAATTAGAATTAAAAAGAAGAAAAAGAACTAAAAAGAATAACTTTTAATACACGGTATATTAGGTTAGCAAGAAAGTCTTTTCGCTTCACCCAAATTTTTCAATCAAAGCATCTAGGAAACTTTTGTATGGTTAAAATTAAAGATCAATTAAAGATCAATTAAAGATTGATTAAAGATCAATTAAAGATTGATTAAAGATCGATTAAAGATCAATTAAAGATCGATTAAAGAAACAAAAAACATCATAAAAGAGCTTTTTGATATTTGGTGATTCAGTTTAAAGTTTAATCATTAACAAAAACATCTGAAAAATCGAAAAAACTTGTTTGCTAACCTAATAGATATTTCATTACGAAACTTTAAATCATAAAAAGCAAAGCTTTTGGCATTTCTGAATACAATTCTTCAAAATGATAAAGGGAAATAACTAAACTTTAACGCAAACTTAAATCCAACTTTGAGTACAATCAGACTACTGAGTACTTTGAGTACTGAGTACAATCAAACTACTGAGTACTTTGAGTACTGAGTACAATCAAACTACTGAGTACTGGGTACTGAGTACAATCAAACTACTGAGTACTTTGAGTACTGAGTACAATCAAACTACTGAGTACTTTGAGTACTGAGTACAATCAAACTACTGAGTACTTTGAGTTCTTAGTTTTCCTTTTTATTCCTTTTAACGAATCCTTTTTATTCTTTTTTATATAACTAGTTTTCAGCTTTGTTTCTCTGATCGATTTTCTTTAATAAATTTCGAAGCGTGAATTCTCAGTGCTACACACAGATAGCTTTTGGCAGGAATTTTGCGCCTGTGCAAAAATTGAATGCAAAAAGTGGCGGAGGTGCCGAGGATGGGGTAAAGGGAGATGTTGGCGCAGCTGGGTGAAAGGAGGAGGAGAAGGAGATGAGGTGAGAATTCCTAAGCGGTCAATACCGTTCATTCATTTTGGGTCGACTTTTCCCATTTCATTTGCGCCTCATTTGCCCATAGAAATGAGCTACCGTTTGCACCTTATATTCACCCTATTTATCAGTGGCATCTTGGCCAGTAAGTTTTTTTTTTCCTAACTTAATCAATAACTTACTTAATTATCTCAATTTAGCCTACGATGAGGCGTGTTCACAAGGACGTGAGTGTTTCTAGAAAGCTTTACTTTTGGGTGACTTTTTTTTTTTCTTAAAAAAAATCTTTTCCAGCTTCTTTTGATGGAACATGTGATGCGGATGGTGTTTATGATCCGGATACAAGTGAATGCTATTCGCTTGCTTGCTTGTATCCCACTACAACACCACCGCCAACTACTGAGGTACAGTAGAGTTCTGGAATGAGCTCTGGAATACACCCTCTACACCCACCGGGAATCGAGCCCGGGACCGTTGGCAAAAGCAAAAGCAAAAGCTCCAGGCAAAAGCTCTACTACTAAGCTATGAGCGTACAGAAAGCTCTCCTTCCAAGAGGCTGTTAACAGCGGCCGTCCATGAGCTCTCCCCTATCCCAAAATCAGTCAATATAACTTTATAAAACCAGCTAGGAAAGCTTAGAAAGGTTTAGCCAGCTAGGAAGAAGCATTAGTTCAAAGAACCTTGTTGTTCAAGGCTGCATCAACGGTAGCTGGAGCCACAACAGCGGCAGGAGCAACAACTGGAGCTGTCACCACTGTGGCAACGACAATTCAAACGACTACCACTCCCGTTCCTCCCACTACAACGCCATGTGTTGATGCGAGTACCAAGTATTTCTATTCATTGTTTCATCCATTAGACTCTCTTGAGCTGTGTAAACTGGATCAAGAACGGTTTCTGCACCTCCACTTTCTACACGCTGGCTCAAAAGCAACAGTATTGCGCAAAGGGTTGCAGCTATTGCGGAACGTCCACCACAATATCCGGTTGTCAGGATAACGATGAAAAGTTTATCTACTATTTTTTAAAGATCTAAATTTTTCAGCTGTGCTAATTTCGCGAAAAACGGTTTCTGCAACTCGACACGTTACACTCTTGAGCAGGTAGAAAAACAAGAATTGATTGAGTTGATTGAGTTGATTGAATTGATTGAATTGATTGAATTGATTGAACTGATTGAACTGATTGAACTGATTGAACTAAACAAGAACTGAAAGTGTTTAGAAGCAAGCACTTTGCGGAAATACGTGTGGAATTTGTCCATCAACAACCGTCGCGCCAACAGCTCCTGTTTGCGCTGATATGGATGCAAAGTGAGAAGAATCCCGAAGAGATTTCTAAAATGAATTTAGTTGTCCAACATGGGTTTCGAATGGTTTTTGCACATCAACTGGCTGGACTCTTGCTCAGGTGGTGTTCTGCTCAGCCTTAGTTTGCTTAGTCGAGCTTTGCTACAAGCTTGTCTAGAGGGCTAGCCGTAGCTTGCAATTGGCATAAATGGCTAGAAAGTAAGCGCTCTTTTTAGTAAGGGTTTTCCTACAGCTGGTGTATTGGTTAGCGTCGCGACGGCTTTTTGGAAGTAGCGACGCGTCGCTACTTCCAAAAAGCCAAACCCACGCGGGTGACTGGCTCGACTCCGGAACTGACTTCTGGTTTAAACCTCTTACAAGGACAAGCAAGCCTAGCTTGCCTTGGCCATTTTGGCTTAAAACATTTTTCCTTTTAACTAAAAACTTCTAGAAAAAGCTTTTCTGTTCGATGTCGTGCAATTTGTGCGTTCAAATGGTCACCGGCGCTAGTTGTATCGATTCGGATAGCAAGTTCGTTTAGGAAATTTTTCAATTAAACAAAACTACAGTTTTCAGGTAGTTTAGAAAAAAAAAATGAACATTCCAGTTGTCCCACATGGATTTCAAACGGTTTCTGCACGAATCCTAGCTATACGACTGATCAAAAACGATCGTATTGTTGTGCGTCGTGCAATCTTGGAGGATAAGTGCTCGTGAGATAAACTTGTTTAATAAAAATTGCTTTTTAAAAATCCATTAAATGCCATTAATTCTTTAAAAAAAAACAATTTATTAAATACATTATACATGCAAAACAAAATCACAAATTGCTATCAGGTGTTTAAAAAAAAATGGATTTTAAAAATGGAAGACTGAGCGTAAAACAGAGAAAGACATGAAGGCAAAGCCAAAAAAAGAAGTGATTTTCAAAAAAAACAACTGAGGGGGGGGGGGGTTTTGGGGGCTCCTGCTGGAAAGGGCCTTAGGAAAGGTCGTAGAGCTTCAAAATGTTTCCATAGAAGGGAATCAGGCGAGATCGAATTTCGACAAATCAGACCTCGCTGACACGTCAAATGGGCTAAAAGGCAAAACTACGCAACTTAACGCTTTTCCGCAGTTTTTGCCTTTTAGCCCAAATTTGACGTATCAGCGAGGTCTGATTTGTCGAAATTCGGAATCTACGCATACGATTCCCTTATATGGAAAAATTTTCGAAATATTTTCGAAGCTCTACGGTCTTTCCTAAGGCCTTTTCCAGCAAAAAAAAGGTGCGGAAATGTCCAGGGCAAAAAAGGTCGCATTTGTCCCACCCCCACTAACGAACAATACAGAATCCATCTAACCGCTAAGAAATTGCTAGAAATGTTGTTTTCTAAAAATTTTCTTGAAATGATTGCAGAGCCGAGAAGGATTTTTGTGCTCTACGTTAAAAGAGGAGTAAAAAAAATAGAAATCGTAGCGATTTTTAACAAAACTAAAAATGATTTGTGTTCCTTTTGAATATTGTCTTTTCTAAAAGATGTCAACTTTTGAACATTACCGTAATCTTGTCTCTAAATTACTTTAATCTATCTACTTTTGGAAAGACTTGGCCTGACTTTACTGTAGGCTTGCAGAGCTTACAGAGCTTGCAGAATCCCTAGGCCTGACCTGGCTAAAGGCTATAGGGTCCGAATAGATTGGATAGATTATAGAATAGACTATAGAATAGATTATATAGCTCTGAATAGATTAGATTAGATAAAAGAGACAAAATTACTGTAGTTTTTGACACGTTTTAGAAAGCTTTAGCCGACATTTTAGCAGACGGAACATATTTTAAATCAAAACCTCACCTCAAAGAGACTGGAATTACGTAGGTTGAACAACGAAAACACATCCCACAAGTGAAAAGGAGAATATTGTAACCCTACACCCGTTAAAAGTCACTCAAGTGGTCGATAATATTTCGAAACCATAAGGGGAATTGATGAAAAGAAAGAAATCAATCAGATTCAGTGTAGACTTGAACGATAAATTTAAGTGCAACATAGAAATCACTGATTCTTATGCTATTATTCTATTATTCTAGTATTCTATTATTCTAGTATTTTCTACCATAATTCATTCTCTATTTTGCACTTTAATCCAAATTCTATGGTGAAATGTTTCCTAGAAAAAAAGCAGAATCACAAAAAAGCGTCGTCGAATTTGCTACCTACTTTATGAGAAAACTTTTAGAGATAAAATTATCAATAAACTAAGAAAAAAAAGAGGAGTAGGTGAATACCCCTATTGAGATAATAAGTTACTGTCCACATTTACCGTATCTATAGCGAATTCGCTCTTGTTCAGCACCTCATTTGTACCCGCGGTTGCTCCACCGGAACCAGTCGCTGCTGTAGCACGGTTTTTATCATTTGATAGTGAGATTGTGTTTCGAGGAAAACCCCTTTTCCTGTAAAATGTTGTTACTTTATTTTCTCTCGTCATTGCAAGTCACCTCTTGTTTGTTTCATGAAAAAGAATTGGTTTATCACCAGAAACACCCGAGTTCATTGTATCATCGGTATTTTTTGTTGGCATCAACACTCGAACATTGGGCTTTCTAGAATAAAGTTGAATATGAAAAGATATAGTAATTTGTTACTTCTTCCCGACTTCAGATCCTGCGGTTTCTGGAGCAATCGCGCGTTTCCGAATGGAAGATGGCTCTGATTCGATTGATTTGAGCAAATCGTTTTGTTGAGCTACCTGTAATTTACTCTTTGCTAACTGTAGAATAAAAACGATACTCTTAATATTCTTTTGATGTTCTTTTATTGTACTAGTGCTGGTTCAGGGTGTTGTAAAACCATTCCAGAGTCAGGGTCAAGTCAGAAGTCAAGTTCTGAGCTGATTTTACTGCAGGTCTGGCCCACAAAACAAACGAAACCTATATTGGTATCAATAGATAAAAGATAGAGCATAAAAAGTTTGGTATATAGCAAAATTTTCAGAGAAATTCATTTAGCCAAATCCTTCATAGAGGTTTTTATCGATTTTTTTTTACGAAAAACAGGTTTTCAAGCTCGAATTTGTTTGAAATTAACTTAAAAAGATGGGAAATTGAGCAATAAAAACACTTTTTATTTAGAAGAAACCATTGGTTAATTAGTGAATTTATTAGTTGTAAATGAAAGTACGAAAAGAAACGAAAAGACTTTCTGGGAAAGCCTAAAGATTACTCACCGACAGATCGCTGTACTCGAGCCAACTTTTTCGTAAACGATCCACAGCCACCCATTGACGATGAGACCATTCTTTCGATGAGCAGGCAACAATTTCATCCTCATCTTCTTCAACCGGTGCACCATTGCCATTCACATGCGCTTTATTGTTTGCACTCCTTGAGCCAGATCGACGTCCCGGGTAAAAGCGCGTGATCTTCGACTGAATCTAGAGTATTATGGTAAAATATTATGATACTTTAATCATTGAGCAATAAAATCAACTCACTCCTTCTTTTTGCTTTGGAATAGTCATGGAGAGTTCTTTTTCAAAACGAGACGCTACCCATCCGCCCTCTTGAACTATCAGCTCCTAAATTTCTTTTTCTTTTCACCAATGAATAAGTGTCTACATGTATATGTTGCTTTTTTGTTTAGCTCTTGTTTTCTAAAGCTTGAATTACATAGCATTATATCCATGCTTTAGAAAACGTGAAACTGACTCGTTTTCTAAAAAAAGCCCATGTTCACCTACATGTAATCGTGGCTTGTCAAAGTTGGGTCGATCAGGTAACGGAAAATCTTTGCCATCATATCTAAAAATGAATTGAATGAATTTGAATTCGCATTTGAACTCACAAAAGAACATCGGGAAGTAAAAATATGTTTGAACAAGCAAGAAAGCCATCCGAATTCGGGAAACCATCCGGAAATGCATCGACAAAGAATTTCGTCCTCAATTTTACCTAACAAAAAAAAATATAAGGTTTTTAATTCTTTTGAAAAAGTACCTTGACATCCGTGTCATTTTTTCGCTCCGGGATTTCCCTCGTTGAGTAACTCCTGCAATATTTTTATATTCAAAAACAAATTTCAAATCCAACCTAAAGCGATCGAGAATCGTGCTAGGGTGATCATCTGGATGCATGGAAAATTCGGAGATGATTTCAAGAGCACTAATGAATCCGATTTTTTCTAAAAATATATTTTTTGATATGCTACTGTTTGACTTACCAATTCCTCGCTCATAGTAGTCATTTCCAACCAATATGGCCATAGCGATTAGTCGATTTCGCGTGAGAATTTTGATATTCGCGCCTTGGCCAGCTGCACAGACACGGCTGAATGCAAAATGCGTCACCACCGGCAGAGCTTTTGCGAAGTCAATCTGAAAGAAAATTACAATATACATACAATAGAGATTTAGCTACCATACTCAGCTTTAGAAAACAAATCTTTTAAATATATAGACTTATTTAACTGAAGATACTTGTCAACATTAACGAGCCAGTTCCGATACTTTTAGCTAAGCCTAATAAGATGTCTACCTATTCATCTTTTTTGCTTTCTAAAGTTGGATATAATAGCCAAGCCGATTTAAGAAAAAAAAAATCCATATCTGGCTTACTTTATACAAATTTTCGCCACCATAAAGAAAATAGTCGTAATCGAGCGTGACGCAGCCTTGCACTAGACCCGCCTGGAACTTTCTTTACAAAAATCAAACAATTTTCTTGTACTTGTTCCAATTGAGCACATTGCGCTTCACCGTCTTCTTTTGCGTTGATCACCCGAACACCCATCGCTTTGAGAAGATTCTGGAAATAATTATATTTTATACTTTATTGAAACTAAAATTGTTATAAAATGCTATAAAAACTACCGTGACGGCTCCAATTTTTGCGCTCAAATTCGAGAACGTGTGCACATTCCAGACTTTCCCTCCAGCTCGCTTCGTTCTTTTGATGCACTTCTAAAAACAAGATAGGTTTAAGAAATTCAAAGAATATTGCAAACATACATTAGGAATAGCTGGTGGTGGGAATTCGGCTGTCAGGGCATCGAAAATCACGATAGGCTCAATTTCAAGCTTTTGTAGGGTTAGAATTCTTTTGAAAAACGTCGTCGTGTAAGTTTTCCCGTTTGATTGAGGACCCCGTACAGTCTCGAACAGCCAGATATGACCATCTGAAATGGTGCATAAGCTTTTCTAACATCAGTTGCTTATTCATCAGCTCAAATGCTATTCAAATAACCCTTTATAACCCAAGGATTGGGATTTTTAAAACTAACGTCTAGCAAAACATTAGGCCAACCCAATAAAATATTTCTTAAAATCTTCAAAAAAATCTAGAAACTATTACACAAATCACTCACCTATTGCTATTGTTTTTCCACGTAATGTTGTAATATCAACGACTACACCGAATTGATTAACAAAATCATTAAAACCGGGAATTCCCATCTTTCATGTAAACATCGGTAGAATCGCCGTCTAAAATATAGAAATCATAAAAAATTGATGAAGAAAAGATAATTCATAAAGCCAATGATCATTTTTATAAACAAAAATGAAATAGCAGTAAAAGCTCAAAAAAATGACTAAATTTCGGGGATCAGTGTATCGATTTTTCCCTCTTTATTTCGTCTTTGAATTACTTAATGTTAATCATATTATTTTCGATCGAATGGGCGCTGTGGGTGACGTTTGGGAGAGGCGGCAGGGCCGAATTACTGTGTTGGGAACGAAATAGCGGCTACGCGCCGATCCACGCGACGCCCCTTTCGCCGCTTACTCTGTGACGTTTTTCTTCGGTTTGCGTTAGTTCATTTGTATTTGAATTGTATGCGATTAACGGTCGACTGAAGCGCGCTTGCTTTTCGCTTTTTTTTGCATTAACGAGTTTGATTTTAAGCTGATTTCGGAAAGGTTAAAGAAGAGGCTTTAAAATGATAACTGAAAAAGTTTTTGGTGATTTTCTTTCATTCATTCAAATATAGTTTTTTCTTGTAATTCAATTCATTCAAATTCTTTTCCGAAATATTGCTAATTAGTAATCTTTTTGACTCATGTAAAATATAATGTAAAAAACTTATTTATTCACTTGTTAACGCTAATTTCTAATCAAGTTTCGGTAGTTTTTTTGTTGATAATTTCTTTGGAAAAGATTGAGAATCAATTATGTGAATGAGAAAAACGATTGAGAATCAATTATAAATCAAATGGGAATTAATTAACACCATCTGCGTCATCTACTTTCTCTCGATAATTTGCCTTATTCTTATTCTTTCTTGAATACAAAAATTAGCATTTTATGAATATGATCTTTTGTAAATTTTTTAACATTCTATTCTTTCAAAAAACTTATTATTTTGAAGTTTTGACTAGTTTTCATTGACTCGACTACTTTTCATTTTACATTTTTTCTTTTTTTTTTTACAAACAACTAAAACATTTCCGATTCTTCTAAACTTCATTTACAATCTTTATCATAAACAATCTTCTAATAAAGATTACAAATTTCCATTTAGAAAACGAATGTCCGAGTCGGGGAGTCTCGTCACCGGACCGGTGGGACTTAATTCTTCTCAGTCACTTATTGCCTCAATGCCTAGCGATATCTCGACTACCTCCATCACTTTGCCTTCTTTGAACACTTTTCAACGACGTGAGCTCACGTTAAAACAACAATTTACATAGCTTTTCAGCCACAAAGAACGACGTCCAGCAAATCCCATCGCAGCCATCTCCACTGGAAAACGGTTAGTCATCGACTTCTATGAATTAAATCCCTTTTCTCTAGTGAATTGTTTCTCGTCACCGATGCCAATGTCGCCCCATCAATCACCAGTTAGTTCTATTGCTTCTCCAATGCCTCCACCCGCGCCCTCTCCTCTTCAACATCAATTTCAGCAGGCGGATCCGAGACGTAAAAATTTTTTCATTTTTCTATTTCTATTTTTTATTGCTACAGTGGGTAGTAGACTTTAAAAGCTTCATTTTCACAAAATCACATCTAGAGCTGGTCGTTTATCTGATTACAGTAATCTAGGAGTAAAAAGTATTAGCTGACAAGACGAATATATTTCTTAAGTCTTTGATTAAGCTACAGCATACTGAGACAAATGACTGGGATTTACAGTACCTTTAAATTTGTTTTCTATTTTGTAGAAAAATCACAAATCGATTTAGTAGGCACAAACGGGAACATTCCGCAATCATCACCGGGATCTCATTCAACGATGAGCGCTCCATCAACTCCAATCCCACGACCGCCTCAGTCTCCCTCGATGCACATGCCCAACCCGGACACAGCCACTTCAATGCCCCATAGTGGAGTCCCATCATCGCCACATCACCACACTCAGGTAGAATAAAAATTAAGACATAAAGCCCTACTCTGGCGGCAATGGGATGCGTGTCTGTGTAGCGCATTGGTTGAGCCGTCGCCTGGTAAGCCAGAAGTCGCGGTTCGAATCACCGACCATTTTTTTGTATTCCCAACCACAAAGGACCGGCGTGTCCAACTACCATAAACATAGAAAATCTCTACACAATTATCTAGGCTCCCCTACCTCCAATGACGTTATATCAACCGCAAAATCACATGACTTCGACGATCAACGATGTGGGCACAAGAATAGTGACACAAACGAAGTTGGCACCAGCTCCTCGTCGGAGAAACAATCAACAACAAAGGTTTGTATAATAATAATGCTATTAAGATATTTATTTTACTTTGCATTAAGATTATTGTTTAGAAGCATTTCCCAAATGCAGGCAAGGGAGTTCCGGCAACCCGAGCGTCCCATGGTGGCAAATGGACCACCGATAAGACAAAGCCTCTCCTCACAATGTATGTGAACTTGTTTAGTCGAATTACTGTCTTAATATCTTAATCTTTTAGCTCTATCAAGTGATGGGCCGTTCCGCGGGAACATGACCGTTTACCCAGGTCCATCCAATCCGCAACCGATTGGCACAATGATGCCACCGCCGCAGCCATCGCCGAATGTCATGCAACAGGTTTTTAAAAGAAAAAAAAATATATTTATTTATCAAATTTTAGTCAACCAACATGCAACCGATGAATTCTTTGCGTGGCCCTCCACCTCCTCAACAAGGCCTGGTAAGAACTTTTTAGAACTTTCGATCTTTTTTTAATTATTTTCTTGATTTGTATTCCGTTAGAGCTATTATTGTACAAATTCAGCCGGTTCAACTTTCCCGAATGAGTGCCTCAACGAGAAACGTTCACCCTCGAGTTCTCCTACAACAAGCTCCCGTTCAACATCAAGTTCCACCCCAATCTCCGCAACAATCACACCAACTACCTCAAAATCAAGGCCAATCTCAGCAAAACATAGTGATCACACAACAAGTTAGTTTATATAGATTTCAAATTATGAACAAAAATTCTAGAACGCCAACTTCTCATCGCCTGCAAAGCCGCAAATGAGCCGAGGACAGCCGATTTCTCAAGTAAAAAGAATTAATTTGAAAATATGCTTTTAATTTCAGCAAATGACAATGTCCAATGTGCAAATGAGGCCAGTCGTGCAAAACGTAGTAGCTCAACCTATACCATGGTAAGTTTCAATAGAGTTTTCTTTACTAAACTAGAAATTTTAGCACAATAGCGCCTCAAATGGTTGCAGGAGTATCGCAGCCGGTCACAACTCCAACACCCCGGACACAGGTAGATTGTGCTGGATTTTAATAACTATCTTTTAACAAAAGCTATCGTATTCCGAGTTCAGGCTAAAATGTAACTTAAAAAGAATCTTACTTTAGTTGATTCTTTCAAAGATATGGTAGCTTTTTCCTAAGAGTACCTTTTGAAAACATCTTTAGTTAAAACATCGTTTAATCTAAAACTTTTTAGGCAACAGCTGCTCTTTTCAACACCGATGACTCAACTCGTTTACCTCCAAAAGAACAATATCGAACGTTAAAACGGAAATTCAAATTTCTCGTCTACGTAAGAAATTTTGGTTGAACTCAAACGAATTCACATTTAGGAAAACGAATGCTACCAAGATCAACTGCGCAATTTGCAAACGAAGTTGCTAAAGGTATTGTAGTAATGAAAGTGAAAGAAAATATAAATTTTCAGTTGTCACGTGACAAGAACTTCTTGCTAGATCGTTTGTTGCAATACGAGAGACCATCTTCGTCTTCCGATGAAGATTCGGATTCTTCAGTGAACACTCAAGTCGATGAACGACCTAAACCGAAAAAGTGAGTCAAATTGATTCCTTCTGTTAAAACCTTCAATGTCAAGCTCGAATCTAAAGCTAAAATCAATTCTTTAGTTTTCAATATTTATAAATTGGCTCATAGAAATTTTTTGAATAAATTTCTAGGATATCTAGAGTTTTGGTAGCCAAATTTCAAGTTCAAATTTAGAAAAGCTCGACCAAATCGAAGGCGACCAATCCCTTCTACATCGGGAACGATGATAGCTTCTCTACCGGGTACTATATTTTTCTGAAACTATTTTCTGGTAGCAGGAAGAGTTTTATTACTGTTTTGGTACTCTTATCTCTAATTTTATAGGACCCAGTGGAGCACAAATGCTCGCCAGTATCGGCAATGGTGGACCAACGCTCGGCTCAGTGCTGACGGCAAAAAGGCAACCATCACAAGTGGTCGGACAATTGCTTGCCCAAGCGATTGCCCCCACCATGCAACAGCCATCCACTAGTCGAATTGAGTTTTGCGATTCGTCGAACGCTTCTCAAAGTATCTCATCTCAATCTCAGCCAATGCATGGTAGGGATTTGTGTTCTTTAAAATGAAATTTTCTTCTTTATCAGCTCAAGCACGAGCGATGGTCAGTCAAAATATGATACCTAATTCCTCAGAGATTTTATTGGAGAGGGCAATGGTGAGCGATGAGCCTGTTGCAGGTGAGTTGAAATTGAAGATAAAGATAAGAAAATTCAATAACAATCAAAATATAATTAAGTTACCCAATCTTTCATTTTTAGAGGCGAATCTTGTACCTAAAGAAGAACCGCTTGAAGGCAATCAGCCAAAAGAAGGTAAATCTATCTAACTAACTAATTTAAATAAAACAAATAATCCTAAGAAGATCTAGTTTAATTTTCGATTGTAAACGTTTTCCAGTGTTGACACAAACGACGACGACACCGGAGATCAGTATGACCGAGCAAAAGACAAACGAGGCTGTTGAGGAGCTGAAGACGCTGGTGAATGGACAAAATAATACGTCACCAGTAAGTACAATGATCTCAAAATATAGAACTTTTACTTTCGGTTTTTGAAAATAAACTTTATTTAGGTCTTTTCGATCAAAGAAATCGAGAACAATCTGAAAGAAGTGGAGAAATTGAGGTGAGTGAAATTTTCTAGCAACCCAAAAAAGTTACCTTAATCTCAGTGTTTAAAGCTACGATAACCCATTGAAAATAGCCAAAATAACTAAAGAAACGATAGTTTTTCTGAAATCCATCTTTTAAAAAACATTAACTTACAAAAGACTTGGAGAAGGGATTGGAATTGGGATCGATTCTCACTAAAACCAAATTATTGCTCAGTGGGTGTAGTAATGGAATTTTTTGATGAAGTTTTATGTAGAAATGACTAAAATGGAAACGGTTATTCATATCTGACAAAATGAAAACAGTCAATTGATTTCATATTTGAAAATTGATCCCAAAAATTTGGGACTCGTGACGCTCAGAAAGCGATCACTGATCGCTCTTTCCCCTTTCGTTACGGATTAGAAAAGGAAAGCACCGTTTGCCAGATGAAAAGCGATTACGCAGCCGCACAAAGAACACCTCACCAAGCATTTACATAGGGATTTCTCTTTTGCTTTTAGTTGATACAAAAAGATGATATTCAGTCGTAAATTTGTACCCTGAGGTTTTCGGGGTCGGCGAATCGATTGATGAATTGAAGCGATTGAAGCTATTCATTTTGTCATCATATCGATGATAAACCGATTTACTTTAGTTTTAGTCATTTTTATATAAAAATTCATCAAAAAATTCTATTACTACACTATTAGCTGCCGATAATTTGATTTTAGTCTCTCTCTCCTTTAAGCTTTGCATATTTTAAAATTCAATAACTTTTGAAGACTTTTTTAAATCCACAATTTAGTACTATTGATGTGAAAAAGGAAGAAGAATGAGATCAAATTGAAACGGGTTTTTTTCATGATGCTTTCTTCTCATCTGATTTTCCTTTTATATTCTGCCTTTTGATTTTTTTCTTTCCTTCATCTATAAAATCTTTTTTTTATTTCTAGAGATAAAAATCTAGAGATAATCCAATATTCTCAATATTTTTGCAAATGTAAAAACTTCCGTTTGCATAAATCGAAAGAATTTCGTCAATTTTCTTGGCTCTTATTAACGTTTATTTTACCGGTTAACACATGATCTTCAAGTTTTTTTTTTCTGATTATGTAAATAAAGATTATTATGACACACACAAAAAAAGTTCATTTTTTTCAAGTTCAAAATTGCAGTTTAAACTCGCGGAGAATCTTTAAAAACAAACGGAAACAAAGATGAGTCAAAAAATCTGGTTGCTTGGCGATGTTTCCGAGAGAAAACGCAGAATTTACAAAGTCAATTATTTCGTCAATTTTTCTTTCTTTTCCACAAAAATCCCTGATCATCAGAATGCACAATGTCGGCTCGAATCTATTTTGATAATGGTGGGCATTTGTGTTTCGTTTCAGTCGCCGAAAGATCCGTTTTCTAAACTACCGCTGAGTTTACGCTAATCTACGCTCATCTAAACGATGAGATCATCGTCACTTTTATTCGATAGCCAATTTTATTCCCATTTTAGTTCAATTCGAAGAAGCTTATTTCAAAATTGAGTTGATTGGATAAAAAAAAATTGATTCGTAGAGATTATGGTAGCTGTCTATAAGACTTTTTCAAAGTAGAATCTTATTTGAAAACGATTTCAGAACGTGATTATGTAGAGGATATCTATCATGACTATGATGATGACGTTGAGAGGTGCATTTTGTTGAGATTTTGTTGAGAAATTTCAAACATCACCTTTTTCCAGCTATGCTATTCGACCGTATTCAGCTGAGCCATTAGATGGCTATCCGTATGATGATGAGTATGACAATGATGACTATTCGGAGCCAACATATTTCGGTTGAAAAAATATCAAACATAAAATTTTATCGGTACACTTAGCGGCTAATTTTTTCACTTTTCTAAGGGTAATCGAGGGCGCTGAGCACGAATTTAACGGTTTTAGCATAGATTTTCAAATGAAAAACCGACATTTCGAAATTTACACTTTTATTCTCCTAGGCCCGACATTCGGAGACTTGACTGAGCACAGGCTATAGCCCGATTCGCTCAGCCTCGGCCTTCCCTTCACCCGGAGACTTGACCGAGCACAGGCTATAGCTTCCCTTGCTGACTCACCAGCTTCGTTACGAACTCACCTAAGCCTCCCGTTTGCATTGAAAATGTAATTTACAATGTGTCAGTTCAAAATTTATGCTAAAATTGTCAAATTCGTGCTCAGTGCCCTCGATTACTATTAAGAAAGTGAAAAAAAATCAAAAATATAGATACCCCAACCCACAAACTGCCAGTTTATCAATCAAATAATTATCAACAAAAGATAAAATATTCAGCTTTTATCCTTTTTTTAATTTCAGACGATGGAGAATATCACTCGTTTGTCGACGACGCGGACCCAGAGAACGATTACGATGATCACTACAATCCAAATAAACATCCCAATGCCTACATGTAGCAATGATTTATGCAAAGATTTTATTTGCGAATTCTTTAGGGAACGCATGCAGGCCGTGCCCTTTCATGGAGAAACCACATATCAAGATGCATATCCATGGAAAGAACCGCAAATACCAAAAAGGTTCGAGACCTTTACCTAGACTAAATACCGTAATCCTGCTAATCTAGACTGAATACCTTATCCTAGACTGAATACCGTAATCCTGTTAATCTAGACTGAATACCTTATTCTAGACTGAATACCTTAATCTAGACTAAATACCGTAATCCAGCAAATCTAGACTGAATACCGAATCCAGATTGAATACCGTAATCCAGCTGATCTAGACTGAATCCCTTTTTCTTGACTGAATACCTTAACCTGGACTTAACCAAAGAAAACTTGTAATTGCAAGCAAAACTTGTAAACGAACTCAAGGAAAAGCTATCGTACTTAAAAACTTACAATTCAAAAGAAATTCAGAAGACGCTCAGCCTCTGGCCGTGACCTGCCACCATTCTACGATGACACCACAAACAAAGTTGACTACATTCCCAAAGTCCCAAAAGCAACGAAAACATTCAAGTCAATTTTATTTTAGAAATCAATAAGTTTAAAGATCAAGAAGCATTCAATATTGTTATTTTAGAGATCAATTTTAGACCAAAATACGAGGGACTGAGCAACGAGATCCCGTTTCACGGCCAAACATCCCACAAAGTCGACTACGTCCCCCGACAAGCACAACGACAAAAAGCTATCAAAGTTTGTAAAGAAAGTTTCTTTCGAAAACAATTTCTAGAAAGAAAGCAATCTTGGCCCATCAAATGCAGATTTTCACGGGAAAACTCTACATCAAGTTTGTTCAAGTATGTGTTGAATGCGATTGCGCGAGTTTTAGCTCGACTACGATGGACGCAAGGGGGAAAGAGCGAAGCCAACCCGAGTCCAGTCTGAGCCACTTTTTCCCAAAACGAATACGGTAATTGATCAATTAATTGATTAAAAGAAAAGAATAGATCGATTCTACCACACATAAAGCGTCGTATGTTCGACTGAAGAACGAGAACTGCCCGGCGGAGGCGATTTTGAACAAAGCGAGGGGGTGGGTTGTTAAATGAAAGTTTTCATCAGCAAAAGCATAATTCCATATAATATTGTAAGTAAAAGCATTTATTGTCAGTTGAAAATCAATTTTCAAACAAAAGCCAATATTTTCAGATGGGAAGGCTCAAAATTCGACGGTCACTACTATGTGAAAGTTCGCCCAAAAAAGAGCGTCACAATCGCGCAGAATGATGACCGAAAAGTGGAAAATAGGGGAAAAGCCCAGCAAAAATCTCATCCAAAATCGGCATTGAAATCTCAATCAAAACTTCCGTTAAAAACTCGACCCCCAGAAATTCCTGAAAAGTCGAATGAAAAAGCGATGAAGCCAAAACTCGAGTATTTCCCGGCACACGATCGAAGTCAAACGAGTCAAAAACCTCTGCGTCGTAGCCGCTCACAGCCGAATTTGAAAAAGAAACCCTTTTATTGAAGATCGACTTTTGTACAAATGTATTGCTTGCTTGCTGTTGCTTTTTTGCTTTTAAGATGTATATAAACTTTAATGATTTATTTCTTATTAAAAGAAAAATCACAAAAATCAGCCGGCTTTCCTCATCCTTGAAGCTGAGTGAGAACCGACTGGAGTCCGCCGAAAAAAGTGCCCAAAGTGCCGGTGGCTAAATCCTGGGTGTTCGCCGTTGCTTTCGCTGCCTATAAAAAATAATATCATAGATAATTTTGAATTAATCAACCAGTAAATAGATTTGAACATTTATTATTTTATATGCCTTGTATTGTTGAAGTTAGACTGGGTCTAAACTTGCGACCTTTTTCCAAGAAAATCCTGGGTTAGCGCTTTAAAAAGATGATAAAACTAAAGTAAGCCTTCGAATTTGCATGTATAAAAGATAGCGCAACTAAAAAGTCACAAAAACAAAGCTTCCGCGATAGAAAATGATAAAAAGCACTTAACTTAACATTAGTTGGCATCAAGTTCGTGGAGCAGATTGTCAAGAAGCAAATGAGACTAAAAAAACTTTATAAACAAAGTTACAAATAGGAAATGTAGTTAAAAACGTAACTTAACTTTATCCTCTTTGTTTCTCACAAAAAAAGGAAGCGCATCAGAAAAACGCAAAAAGAATAGAATAAAATGAACAAGAATAAAAAAAAATTTTGCGCTTGGGAGGGTACGGTAGTTTTACCACGCTTTAAAGCGCCAACTGAGAATTTTTTCGGAAAAAGGTCGGATCTAACACTCAGATGCGATCATAAGTACACAAATTCATCTTTTTGTTTTATTTTTTTGTTTGCTTTTGTTATATTTGATATTTTTTCTTCAAAAGTGAATAATTTGCTGTAGTTTTTCTATTTTAAAAGCTTAAACCTACCTGGTTAACATTATTTTGGTGCACATTTTTCATAGCGGACATGAAATTGTTGAGCATTTGCGAGAATTGATCACCGCTTGTCTAAAAATGATTGGTTTACTGTAAGGGAAGGTTGAATAGGATTTTAAATGATTTTAAACGATTTTAAACGATTTTAAACGATTTTAAACGATTTCAAAGCGATTTCAAAACGATTTTAAACGATTTTAAACGATTTTAAACTATTTTAAACTATTTTAAGCTATTTTAAACGATTTCAAAGCGATTTCAAAACGATTTCAAAACGATTTTAAACTATTTTAAACGATTTTAAACGATTTTAAACGATTTTAAGCTATTTTAACCTGTGCTTGTTGCCCTAAAGCCCCTCGAAATGCGGCGAGAACATTGCCCGATTGAAGGAGTTGCTTCAGCAAATTCATTGTCGAATCCGAAGCTCCACTCTCGCTAACAATCTATGAATTTTAAAATATATATATTATAAATAAGTAAAAAATTAGATTAAGTAAATCTTTTTGTTAAAAATACAGTCGAACTTCGATACAACGAATTTGAAATTCTAAAATGTGCTCAAAATTTCTGCGTAACTTCCCCAGCCAAATGCAACCAGTGGCCTGGATGGCCCAGGGCAGCTACGCAGAAAATTTGAGGCACTTTTTAGGTTCGTTATATCGAAGTTCGACTGCATTTTCGTTTTCCACCTCTTCCAACTCTTTGGCCGCTGTCGAGTTCTCCCCACCCTTGCCCAAGTCTCGCCAGTTATTCTTGATCAAATTCGTGAGGTTTTCCTAAACTTTCAAGAAGGATCCGATCATCTATTGGAAAGCATTTAAACAAGTTCCCATAAACAATTCGATTACCCATTGATCATCGGTGAAATTGAGGCGAAACTTTTTCCAGAGCGCATCTCGGACACCGCCTCCTTGCAGCTGAAAGAATTCTTTTTCACATTGATCACTTCAACAAACTTCTCCAAAAAGATTCGATCCAAAGCCTTTTGTAAAGTTCTGCAGGGTTTCATTGTTCCAAGTCTAAAGGATTTTAGCTTTTTACATCTTTAAAAGTACTTCATTCGATCTGAAGCGCCAATGACGATCGGGCCATCGACGCGGGAGTACAGTAGAGTTCGATGGGGTCTAAATGGTCTTATTTGATTACAAATTTGCGTATATTCTTCTATAGATAAGATTTCTTTCTCTACAGTTCTTTCTTACAGTTCTTTCTTACAGTTCTTTCTCTACAGTTCTTTCTGTACGGTTCTTTCTCTACGGTTCTTCCTCTATAGTTCTTTATCTACAGTTCTTTCTCTAGTACCCATAGATCACTGTCACCAGCTCTCCAAGCTTCAGAAGCGCCGATGAGATGAGCGATTCGATCGAAAGCCGGGCTCAACATTGGCGAACTGAAATGAGAGCTTTGTTTTCGTTCAATTTTCCATGCGAAATTAGATTCGAATTGCTATTGAAATGAAATTATATTTGAATTTTCGGATTTTCAGATTTGAATTGAAACTCACTGAAAATTCGGATAAAATCCGATAAGTTGCCCGAGACGATTTTTTTGAGACTTCAGCATTTCAATGAAAGTCGATCCGTTATTGAAAAGAGCTTCTTTTAAAGACTGGAAATGCAATTTGAAAAACCATTTTTGTTGTTGTTTTTGTTTTTACCGAATCATTAGGAATCATCTCGAGGAATTCTTCTGTTTCATTTAAACATCGTGAATGCAACTCGAAGAAATGATCACATTCGGGTAAAGAGCCCGTGTCGTTTGAGTTCCCGAAAGGAGATCGGCCTTTAATTTTTATAGGGTTATAAAATTGATTTTAAAGAAAAGGCCCGAATCAATCTCTCTAGCAGATCAATGCAAACAAAACCATAATAAAAACATTTCCAGTCAATTCACCAACCCCATTTCACCAGCCCCAATTCACCAACCCCAATTCACCAACCCCAATTCACCAACCCCAATTCACCAACCCCCAACTCACCAACCCCAATTCACCAACCCCAATTCACCAACCCCAATTCACCAACCCCAATTCACCAACCCCGAAAACCTCAGGGTACAAATTTAAAGCTGAGTATCTTTTTGTATTATCAACAATGCAAAGAGAAATCTCTATGGAAATGCCTTATGTAAATGCATATCGAGATGTTCTTTGTGCGACCGCGTAATCGCCTTTCATCTGGTAAATCGGCAGGGATGGGGTCCTTACGGTTGGCCGTCAGCGATTGAGCTTTCCCGCTTTCAAACTTCAAACCTGGGTAGCAAAACATGGCATTTCGATAGTCGCTCATCGCCGTTTTTTGTTGTTTCCAGAGATATTGAGCTGACGCGATTTCCCAAGCACGGAAGGCCTAAATTCTTAGAATATCATCAATGTTTAACCAACGAACAAATAGCTGAGTTCTCCACTACCTGGAACCTTTCAAGCGGCGTATCCGTTTCATTGTCTCCCCAAATCACCGAATAGATCGGGAACTCGAAGTCGATTCCATCGAGTGTGCGATCGGCGGTGAGCAAAACTTTCCACGCATTATTGAAGCCAAGAAAAGCAATGAATAAAAGGAAAAAGCGCATTGGAGTCAGTGTTATGCTGGCTCGAATTTTGATTTCGTTTGTTGTTGGTGAGATGTGTGTGTTCGTTTTCTTCGTTTTTTTCGTTTTCACTCAATTTTCCCTTCACAATGTTTCCATGGAATATCCACAGCGACTTGTGCATTTTTAAGAGAATCCTTTCCTGAGAATCGCCGTTTTTTCAGTTCAAAAGACGAATTTGAAAGTTTTAAGTTTGGAATTCTTTTTAGCTCTAGTAGAAACTTTGTTTTTATATATGAATTGGCTGAAATCGGTAAAAGGGTATTTTTTTCGGATTCAATCTTGCTAATTGAGTCACTTTTATTTAGCATACTGTAGACAGACAGACGAATTATTGTATTTTCAGACGTAGACAGACGAATTACTGTATTTTCAGACGTAGACGGACGAATTATTCTGTATTTTCAGACGTAGCTAGACGAATTATTGTATTTTCAGACGTAGACAGACGAATTATTGTATTTTCGTTTTTTTTTAAACAGCAAAGGCTTTATTTCGTGTATTTGAAAGAAAAAAAGGGGGAAAAAAGAGAAAAAATCTTTGGCACAGATTCGAGAAAAATCACAAAACCATAAAAAAACCATTTAAAACCATTAAAAACCATTAAAAAAAGTCAAAAAGTGAATTTGAGACAGAGATTTTTGTTGCTAGAAAAGTTGAAATCAAGTCAATTTTTGTTTTAAAGAAGAAAAAATCGCTTTGTAAGGCACCGAAATGGACAAGATTTGCCGATTATCAAAAAAAAGAAAATCTACCACAAAAAAAGATGATTCTCTAGATTCTCTAACAAGTGCTGAAGGGATAAGGCTAATTGTTTTTCAAGGGTGATTTGAGAGAAAGGCAAAAAAAGTGAATGCAAATTTGTATCCATCTGTAAAATGTTTTCGAAAAAGATGCGCTTGGGGGGGAGAAAGCTATTATACTCTTTACTATCAAGAAAGTTAAATCTCAATTGTTACTGAGAAGCTGGTTGGATAAAAATAATTGAAAAGCTAGTTGGATAAAGATAATTTTCGCAAAGCGCTTTCTAATCTATTGCATTTGCCAAGAAAGCTAAATATCTTGCTTTTAATAGAAATTGATAATAGCTGGATTACGGTAGTGGAGATGGAGATGGCATTTTGAAGAATCTACTTTACTTGCTAAGGAATGCTAAGCTAAATCTTGCTTTTAATAGAAATGTATTTGGATTACGGTAGCGGAGATGGAGATGGATACAATCTAATGAAAAAAATCGATGAAGATAGCAATAACAAAAGAGAAATCAAAAGCTCTAGAGTAAGTCCGATAAACAATGAATAGACAGAATGATCATAAATGTTGATGTTGTTGTGATCGAACGGGTGCAACGAGGTGAGTCACTCCACTCCACGCTTCTCGTAACGACTCAGTCCATCCCTAAATATCAAGCTCAGTTATATCTGAGTTAGATCTCAGTTAGATCTCAGTCCATCCCTTGTGCAGTTAGTTATTTCATTTGATTTGTTAGTGGAAAGGGTTTTAATATTTGCTTTAATATATCAAGCTTTCTCTAGTTACAGTAGGCTTAAGATGGCAATAGTACAGTCGTACAAAAGTTCAGTTCGTTACAGTACACTAGTTACAGTCAGTACAAAGCTTTCAACATTTCAAGTGAAGACTTTAAAGCTATTCCCTAATCAGACTGTTTATTTTCTATTGTAAAAAGAAAAGAACTGTTAATATATATTGTAATCAAGAGTAAAAACGTAATCAACCGTTCAGTAAACTTCATCAAGAGAAAGTTTGATATATTAAGCTAAGAAAATGTTTTCCCTTTTCGTACTTTCATTTAAAATCAACAATTAAACGATTTGTTTCATGAAAAAGCCTTATTTTTCTGCAAAATAACATTTACCGTTTTTCTCTAATAGTAGTGCACCCTGAGCGTCGCCTAAATTCCTCGAAATCTCGAGAGCCGCTTATCAGAACCTATCAATGTGGGGTCAGAAAATGTAGCTGACGATGAGATCTTGTGGGGGATTTGAGTGTTGAGCTTCTGCAAAAGCTTGGAAACCGTAAAATAGTCATCAACTCAGCTCGCCGGGGTGCACTATTAGAGAGAAGACGGTAATTGCCGTACTTTCTCTATTAGTGCATCCAAAGCTTTGCCTAAATTCCTCGAAATCTCAAGAACCGCTTATCAGAACCTATCGATGTGGGGTCGGAAAATGTAGCTGACGATGAGATCTAGTGGGGGATTTGAGTGTTGAGCTTCTGCAAAAGGTTCCAAACCGTAAAATAGCCGCCAACTCGGCTCGCCGCGGTGCCCCACTATTAGAGAAAATAAAATAAACAAATTCGCCAATGTATGAAAAGAAATGAAAAGATTTTCTGGACAGTTTAACAGAAAAAGTTTGTGCGGGACCTTGGGCGAGGGTGCATGCGGGGGAGAGGAGCATTGTGAAGAAGAAGCTGATGGGGAAACATTTCCTATCATCATTGGATGATTCTCTTCCGCTCTCCCACCTGTCGCCATCGGGAGAGCCGCTTGTCCGCCACTCGACAGACGTCCCGAGTGTGCATCTAACACCTAAATTTCCCCCATTTCTCCTCATTTTTCTTTTCCTTCTAACTCAACAGATTTAGATGTTTAGATCGCAATGAATTCATAAAAAAAGCTGGGTTCATTGGTATTAAAAGAAACTAAATCTGTTGGCATTTGATAAACAAATTGAACTGAATTGAATTCCTTTGGGCTTTACCTTTTGATAACGCAATTTGCAAGCAGCTTCAATGGTTTTCGCCATAACGGCAGCGCTTGGCTCAACATGAAAAACGTAGCACATAAAGTTCTCCGAAGAGGTGTGCATGATGAAAGCACAGTGTCTGAAAAAGGAAACAATGAGTAGCAATGGGTAACAATGGGTCTAGTCAATTTGAAACAAGCGAAATAACAATGAGAACTCTAGTCGATCGATAATAGAAAAGGTAGAAATACTTACTTGACATCTTGACCGATTCCCAAAAAGGAAAGATAGCGGACTCGGCATTGGGCTATTTGATTGCCATTCACCTAGAATGATTTTGATTCTAGAAGATCCAGATTTTGATTGAAATCTCTTGTTTACCTCGTTGATTGAAATACTTGATGGTGCGATAGCGACATCAGCGAGAATCCATCGCTCAGGGCGAACCTAAAATACTTCGGTAATACGAAGCCTTCGGTACCGAAGGCTTATCTTAAGGCTAATACGAAGCCTTCGGTACCGAAGGCTTATCTTAAGGGTAATACGAAGCCTTCGGTACCGTAGGCCTATCTTAAAGGTAATACGAAGCCTTCGGTATCGTAGGCTTATCTTAAGGCTAATACGAAGCCAAGTACTAGCGAGATAAGCCAATCATCAAAGCAATTATGATTATTTTAAAAAGTATTAGCTGAGTTGTCAAATAAGGTATCAATCTTCTATTTTGTTAAATAATATACCTGAGAAACAAGGCGATCAACGGCTTCGTTGAGAATGTCGATCCCAGTGGCACGGGGCACTTGAGTGACACCAAGGAAATTGCATCGAATTACCTTTCTCGGCTCCTCGATCGGTGTGGTGAGTTCACCTTGAAAAATTCAATTCATAGAATATAATGTCATATTCTAGAATATTCTCGAATCTTCAATTTCCTCACTTCTAACCACTCGACGTTCAGGCGCTTCGATTGCGTGCAAAGAGCTCGGCCTTCTGTGCAACATCAATCGCTTGCAAATGTCGCTGAAACTTTTTGAGCTTTATCAAATTATCTAGTTGATTATCTAGATGATTATCTAGAAGATTATCTAGTTTATTTCTTTCATAAAGCAAGAAGGAGGCCATGGCCGAGTGGCTCCTAGACGGCGACTAGATCCTAGACGACGACTAGATCCTAGACGGCGACTTAGTCGAGAGATCAAAAATTCAATCCCGTCTGTGGCTATTGAATTATATAGTTTTTTCTATATTCTTAGGAATGCTTGTATATTGTTTATACTACATTATTCATTTTTTATATTTTCATTTAGTTTATTTCTTTAAACCAACCGCAAAGTGTTTGCAATTGTCTTTGCTGGGGTATCACAACGGAAAACATGGCACAGGAAGCGCCTTGAGGTTCGATCACGAGCAACATAGGCGAAATCTCTAAAAAATTGAATTTTCAAAGTGTTTCCACCAACACCTGCACTATTTTCACGACTTTTTCACAAACAATACAATAAACTCACCGATCCCTGAAGAAGTTACATAAAATTTCGATTTTATAGAATTTAATTTCACAAATTGCTTTATTATTTTAGAATTGCTCTAGTTTTGCAGAAATCACCACAAATTCAGCTTCTTTGCTTTTTTTGGCATTAACTTGATTGAATTGATTTACTTTTCTCTTCAACTAACCGTCCATTATCCCTTCCGACTCCCCAAACACGAATCTGTTGAATTCTCTCTGAGTGGATCACTTGCATCGAGTCGGGATCGATAAGCGACAACTCTTGATCGTCCAATTCCATGATCAACTCTCGACCCTATATCGGATTAGTTCACGGATTCTTTTTTTCCCTTACATCTCCCCATTTGCTCACATTATCCAAAACATCTTTTCTACCAGTCGACAAGTCAACGATGGCTCGATTCACAGCTCGCGAGCTTCTAAAGTGTTCCTGTTATGGGTTTATTCTTTTGAATAAAGTAGAAAGTAGGAAACGGTAAAGAAAGAGAAAAAGATTCCAGGAGAGGGGATTGAACCCTAGTCCTCGCGGTCGACCCCCTGCTTACCAGTTAGATGCCCTACCCACTAAGCTATTCAATCTCTTACGAGCAGAGAAGAAAGAGGGAATACAAACCTTTCAGCGGTGAGCTCCTCCTCAGCGATCTCGGTCCATCCAAGGGAACGAACGGCGAAGCGGATTGGCTGAAATTGTCGATTAAGAATTGAATATAATAAATCTTTTCCTGCTACTACTAGTATTATCTTAGTACTAGTATTATCTGCTACTAGTATTATCTTGGTAATCATTAGCTTTTGGGGTTTACCCTAGAAAATTTTCGGTTTTTGTAAAGTTGACTGGGTTTTTGAAGTGTTTCGGGATATTTCCCCCTAAGTTTTTTTTCCTTTTCTTTTAACAATTTATGATCTATCATTCTTTCATTTCAAAGTCGAATTTTTCTTTTTTTCTTTTTTTTCTTTTATTTTCCTTTTCCCAGAATAAAAAGTAGCTTTATTTAGAAGAAATAAATAAAATTATAAAATAAATTATAAAATACATTTTAAAATACCAAAATCTCATCTCATCTACATCTATTTTAGATAATATTTAAGTAGAACTAGAAAAGTTTATATTTTCTATTTTCTATTTTCAACTACAAATCGAAACCATTAACGCGGATCGAATATAAAGCAAAAGTTCGGGAAGAGTCGCCGTGCAGATGTGCGCCTCGTCGAAAGCGGTTCGAGATGCCGATCGACAAATCGGTGGCATGGATTTAAAGGAATAGAGTGGGAAATGAGGTGGCTTCTCCTAGAGAAATACTTCCAAAAAAAAAAACACTTTCAACTCTTCAAAGCAGCGCGAGAATCAATGGCGCCTCGTTTTTCAGTGTCCCCCGCATCTTTTGCGCACTCTCTCAACCCCTTTTTTAGAGAAAAACAATAAAAAGTTCTATTTCTTTTTTTCTTTTTCCTTTTCTTTTTCTTTTCTTTTCCTTTTCTTTTCTTTTCTTTTTCTTTTCTTTTTCTTCTTGATTCCCACCAGAGATTCATCTCCTTCTCATGCAGTATTTTCGACATTTGTTAAGCTCTCTTTTCCTCTCAAATGCTCAAAAAAAGCGTCTTGTTCTCAAGTTTGCTCAAGAAACGTAAAAATTTTCAAAAGATTTAAGTAAAATGGATAAAGTTTTAAAAAGCTTTTTTCCTTTACGATAAAAATCGGTAAAGGTTTATTCAAATTTTCTTGTTTACCGTATTTTCTCTAATAGTAGTGCACCCTGAGCGTCGCCTAAATTCCTCGAAATCTCGAGAAACGCTCATCAGAACCTATCGATTTGGGGTCGGTAAAATGTAGCTGACGATGAGATCTTGTGGGGGAGGAAAGTGTTGAGCTTCTGCAAAAGCTTGGAAACCGTAAAATCGTCACCAACTCGGCTCGCCGTGGTGCACTACTATTAGAGAAAATACGGTATATATCTTGTACAAAAATGAGAAACAAACCTTTCCACGGGGAGCCTGTTGTTGTACTGCCGTTTCTTGTGTCTCTCCATCACTTTCCTCATCTCTTTCAACTCTTCTTTTTGTTGTCGTTTGTTTAAATGCATGCTCCTCAATGACTGGTTGCTGTGGAGGTAATTGAATTATCTGAAAAAGTTGTTTTCAGTTCTCATTACATTAGTTAAATAAACTGACTTGTGGTGGTGGAGTCGGCGCATCAACTTGAACTCCTTTTGACTAAAAAGTCTATTATAAAACTTTTTTTAAAAATCCTAGATTATGCTAAAAAGTACAAAACGATATTAATGTCCATGGATACATGCAATGAATTCGAACATTTATGGATAGGGTTGCACTTGATTTCCTTGTCAAAGGGAAAGGTCAAAGGGAATGTTGAAGTTTCTTTTAAGGATAATGAAATCAAATGTTGGATATTTTGTAAGAGAATTCATAAAAGGGAAAAGGGATTTGGGGGGAAAAGGGAAAAGGGATTTTTACTCACATAAATGTGGCGTTCGATGGGTGGAGCTGGTGGAGGGGTTGGAGTCCGACGACGGGGTGGAGCACGCTGCAAACACGACAACAAATAGCCAAATCACCACACTCACACATTTGATTTCATTTTGGGTTTAAATACGAAAGAAATCTGATTAAACATTGAACATTAGGGGGTACAACGTGCTACTCTTTGAGTGTTTAAACAAAGAGAAATGAAAGAGAAGCTCACCGGTGGCTCGCGCTGGATCGTTCCACTGTCAACGTGCCAATAATAGGAGAAACCAGAAGGATCTAAGAAAGAAATTGTAAGAAAGAAATTGAAATTGAAAAGGATATTCTTGAAATACCTTCATGTTTTTCCCATCCAGGTGGAAGAGGTCGAGCAATTTCAGGTTCCGGCTGTCGAAGAGGTCGACTATATTGACTCTCAACCAAGACACCCGGAACTATTTCTGGAGAAAGAGGAAGATTGTTAATGTTTCTTTGAAAAACTACAAAATATATTCAGTTAAAAACTACAAAAGATATTCAGTTCTAAATACAAACCCGATTCATATGGTTGCGGACTGGGCACAGTTTCATGCGGTGGTATCTCAAACAAATTCATTAATTAATTCTATGCTGAATTTTCCCCACCTCTTCCTCATCAATCACATAATCGGCGTGTGGTGGAAGTCTTGGTGGACTCTCGCTTTCACGACGAGCCTTTAAAAAAAACTATGCATTTAAATCTATTTACAAAACATTATGTGTACAGTTTTCGCTCAATGTGGGTGGTCTAGAAAAGCTTGAGAACTTGAGAATTTGAGAATTTGAGAGAGAAAACCTTTATCTCTATATGAAACATTTCACACTATAGAGAAAAGAATTTGAAGTAAAATAGCTTAAAAATACTATTCTAGTAATATAGGATTTCTACCATATATCGAAAAACAAACTGACTTTAAAATGAAGATGGATGGTGAATGGGATTCAGTTTAAAATCAAATAAATTAATAAAATGAATCAAATAAATCAAATAAATCAAATAAGTTAGTAAATCCCTTTTTTTCTTCTTCCCCTTTCTTCTTCCCTTCCCTTTTCATTTTTTTTTTTTGTGGTTTGGTGGTTGGTTTGGTTTGGGGGGAAAGGTCGATGTTCAATCCTCTCCAAAAATCTACCTCTCCCTTCACTTCTTTTTATAAGTTTTTGTAAAAGGAGCTAGATAATATTCTTGATTCTTCAATAGTACAACAGTACAACAGTACAACAGCCAATGGTACAAAAGTACGTATTGATACCTTGTCAAGCTGCCAATAGAAAGAGTAGGGATCGCGATGCTCGGTGACAACAGTTGTTTCTCCTTGTTGCCGAACGCGAACGCCTTCTCTTGACAATGCGCCTGAATTTTTCTATACCTTAAATATTCTTATTTTAGATAGTTCGATAATTATTGAGTTTTTACGGGAATATGAATTTACGGTGATCCTATAAGAGATATATTAGACTTATTAGACTTCTATTAATAAAATGAGCACAATTCCTACAAATTCCTATATTTGTGAGTAATTCATGCTGGTAAACGATAATATCTTGGACAATGATAAAATTTCAAAATCGTCACTTTCACACGCGCAACTCCCTTGTCTTTTAGTCTCAAACTTAGTGTTAAACATTTGAAAGCTTTACAAGGGCTAGATCAATGATAATATTAATTTAAAAGGTAAAGAAGGGGGGGGGGGGGGGGGAGGGGGGAGGGGTTAATTTTGGGGGAAACTTGCAGAGCCCTAAATCCTATTTTGTGAGCGATTCATGCTTAAATTCTTAATGTAAAATTTACCTCACATTACACCGCAGTTGGAATTAGGGCAAATCAAAAATTTCGCCACCGGGACTCGAACCCGCGACCCTACTGGGCACTTCCGCTTACTGGTCAACTGTGGTAACTATTACACCACAAGGAACTTGACGTTCCCATCCTCCAGAGGGAGTTAAGTTTATCCAAAACTCAAAAACTCCAAACCTTCTCTTGCAGCCGCATCGATGGCGGCTAAAGATTGTCGAAAATCCTGATGAGAATAGTCGACGGCCATATTTTCACTCCGAGATCCTAACAATAAAAATTCTTTGTGAAAATCGAATCCTTTTCAATTCATCCTCAAAATTCAATCCTTTATGCCTCACTATTTTGTGATTGTGAATGTGTATGTCCTCCGTATCGAGCGGCTCTTGTCACGTACTCGTCCTCTCCTCGATAACCGTATCGCTCCTCTCTAATTATTTCTTTATTTCAAAGATACATTTAAGTCATTTTATTTAAATCAGAAATTTTTTGTTTTTTCTCTTTTCTACCTGGCGCCTCGGTGTTGCCGCGAGTTCTCGTAGGTCTCCTCTTGCTAAAGTTTTCTATTAGAAAATTCTGTTAGAAACAATTTTTATAAAGAAAATGTGCTATTCTAACTAATAAAGTTTTTGTGTTTTAAAACGCTAACAAAATGTGGACAGAAGATGGCTCAGTAAATACATAAATTACTCTCGTTTTTTTTGTGTGTGGCTCGTTGAGGGGATGCCTATTTGTCAACGAGGCGCGGGTGCCTCTAAGGGAAAATAGAGAAATGGTCGGGAAATGAACAAAAGACGAAAAAGAAGAGGATGATCAACGGGAGATGAAGAAGACAATGAAAGAAGAATCTCAGCAATTTTTAAACATCTCGAAAAGCTTAGAAAAGTTCGGGGGAAGTTGGTGAATCATTGAACGAGTTATAGCCAACAAAATGTTTCAAGTTCAATGTCAGAAATTTTTGGGAGATTGTTGAGATTTTCTAGAAATGAGTCGGCTTAAAGAAATGCTAAACCAATATGATTTTTGAAGCCTTTAAAGAAGAAGACTTTAAAAATAATGCCTTTCTAATGAAACAGGTTCAATTGGTTCATTAGAAATGGTTCATTGATTTCAAAAGGAAGTACGAAAAGGGAAAAGACTTTCTGGATCGACGAATGATATGCAAAAAGATAATATTGTGTGAAAAAATGATAGAAATTGTTTGGAAGACGGATTGGAGGAGATCGCACCTTCAAGCCGATCCGATCTCTTCGTGCCCCTTTCCTCTCCTCACAATCTTCGCCTCCGTTTATCCACCCCTTTCTCGAGACGCCGGGCAAACATTTTTCATTTTTCTATCCGATTTCTCTTTTAGCCCTCTTTTAGCCCCCTTTTATCCCTTCAATGCCAATTTCACTTAGTCTTCCTGCCAGCCAACACTTCAAGTATTTTAAGGTCAAGCCTAGACTTTTCACTGTTCAATAGTTTAAAATTTTAGTACCAGAAACCTTGGTGCTTGAGGCTCTTGATCATTGTTGAGATTTTCTAGAAATGAGTCGGCTTAAAGAAATGCTAATAAAACTTCCATAGACCAACAACAAGAAACAAAAAAAAAAACAATATCGACTTTGAAAGTGTCACTCAATTATAAATTATCAGAAAGAAAAGCTTTGCATTCACTTGAGCGTGAAAAGTTTTACGGGGCAAATTAGGCGGAGCAATTTACGGTTTTATCGCCAGAAACGAGTTGACTTCAAAAAAAGTGATGCCAAAAACGGGCGCTTTTATAATTGAGTGACACTTTCAAAGTCGAGATTGTTTTTATGCTATTTTTTAAAAACAAAAAGGAAATGCAAGGGAAGACAGCTTCAGAAAAGCATGAAGAAAACAAAAATTCTATTCTGTAAGTGATAGAGTAAAGTTGGAAAGTTGGGAAGTGAAAAAAAAGCTATAACAAAGTTGAAAGAGTAAAAGGCAATGCTGGTGAAAAAAGGGGAGAAAAGAGAAGAATTGGAGAAGAATTGGAGAAGAATTGGAGCACAAGTGCTAAGGAGAAGAATTGGTGTATAGAAGAAGAAAGGGAATGGGGGTGGATAGAGGAGATTGTGGTGGGGGGGAGTGAGGGTGGAGGGGAATCGATATGATGATTCTCTTGCAGCTGTTTGCCCACTGCCCACTCTCGTCTCCCCTTTTCTTGCCCATTCTCTCGCATTCGCCTTTAGGCACTCTAGCGAACTCAGCCTTGGCCATACACCTTTTTATCTTCGCTTTCCTAGAATGAGTTGGCAGTGATTCGGTTTTTTACAGGCATTGATTCTAGTTTTTTACAGGACTGACTGCCTGCCTACATTCTCCCAAAAAAAAAGCTGCCCACTTCTGATAAGAAAAATCATAGAGATGAGATTGAGATGATCAAAAATCTCAAAATGATATGGTTATTTGTTTGTTCACCCATTTCGATGAGAGGGAAAATGTCCCACAAAAGGCAAATGCGTGACGTACCCGGACTTGTTCATAAATTTCAAGAATAAAATCCCCAGCTCACCTCATCGATCTCTTCAAGAATAAAATCCCCAGCTCACCTCATCGATCTCTTCAATAATTATCTCATAGATCTCTTCCATTGTAAATATCAGATTAAAAACACTTTAGTGTTCAAGACTTTTGAGATCTCAGCAGAAATAGTGAAATAGATCAGAATCAACGCATCATACAAAGAATAGACGTTGAAAGAAGGTCAGGTTAAACAGTGATGGGTAAATGATCGATGCGTATGTGTGGGAATGGGGAGGACCAGTCTCCAACCAGTCGATCAACACTGAACAAATAAGGAGAAGAAGAAAGGGGGATCGATGAGAGGGAAAATGTCCCACAAAAGGCAAATGCGTGACGTACCTGGAGAGGACTGTCACAAGCAAGTCTCTAATATTATTGTGCAATGGTGAGAAAGAATTTAAATCTTTTCCAAAAACACAGCTCACCATTCGATCATCGTCAACGAAATCGATGTGTGCCGTTTCACTGCCTTCACTATTTCGTCGTCTGAAATTGAATTTTGTTGAATATTCTGAAATCTAATACCGTATTGATTGATAGCACAGTTCTATTTACTGATAATCTACCGAGAGATCTTTTTCTGAGTTTAAAAATTCCCACCTTCTCCCCTCGACGACGACTCGCTCGGATCGAGAAGACTCGACACGATTTGACGAATGCCGTTCACCTAACAATCAACTCATTAGGGTTTTTTTTGGAATAATGAAACTCGTATAACTGCACCACTGGCTATAGTACGATCTGCATTGCTGTTACTAATGGTAAATACAAATACAGTCTTGTCAGCTATCCTGTCAACTATCTTGTGAGCTAACTTGTGAGCTATCTTGTCAGCTATCCTGTCAACTATCTTGTCAACTATCTTATCAACTTATTCCAACCTGCACTCCGAATTTCTTCAGATCGAAAGAGTCTTTCAACAGCACTTCCCTGACGGCCTTCGGCAGCTTGTCTTGCTTCCAAGCTGCGTTCCGTCATTCAACCCGTCGATCTAGCAAAAAAAATTGAGAAAAACTTTAAATCTAAATGAAAGCATAAATTTTCAAATGATCAATAAAAAGGAGGCAATGAAATTTTAAAGATTCAAATGCTGGGCGTCTAGTGATAAAGGCAAGTGGTAATTCTTTAGGTATTCAAAGAGAAAAAAAAAGAGAGATGGAAACGACGAAGAGGAGAAGAGGATCGAGAGGGTGCCGACTCTGTTTGAATAGTAACCATGGACCAACCTCAAGTGAGGATTACAAAAGGGGGCACGCAGCGAGCATTTGCCCCCTCAGCTCTAGGCCCCCACGAATACTTCAACATACTTGCAGTGTCTACACACAAAAAAAAACCCTCAGGCTCATGATGACTTTTGAGAATACAGTCCTTTCGGCAAAAATACAGTCCTTGGATAAAAGCTTAGGCTAACAAGGTTGTAAGAAGGTCCATTCAGAGAGCAAAAGGGTGTCAGGAAATGCCATTGAGATTGCGACATCAAGACGAAACTTGAGCCCGTATCGAATGAGAGTGACGCGCGCGGCAGATTTGTCTGTCATTGAAGGAAAACATTAACGTGACTAAGAGGAGAAAAAAGAAGCCCGAGAATTATGCAACCACAAAAGTTTTTCCTATTTGCATTTGAATTTTAGGTCTCCTGATGGGCGAAAAGAGAAGAAAAGACTAGTGAAAAAGGGGCCAGTCATCTTGGCCTTTCTCCCCGATCAAGCACCACCTAGGCGCTGATAGAAAACAAATAATTCGAGACACAGAACCCCCACACAGCCTGCTCGACAGCTTTCAAGCAGTCACCCAGAATAATTTGCCTTTGTGTGAGTTTCAAATGTTTGTGTAAACTTGAATGTATTTTCTATGCTTAAAATTTATCAAACAAAAAGACGTTTATGGAAGGAACCTCAAAAATAAATGTGATTTCAGTGAGCGTTGACCGTGAAGACAAATTTTTTAAGAGATCACAATACGAAAACGTTTCCCTTTGGAAGATTCCATTCGTGCAACTGAGAAAATAATCAATAAATTCACAAAGTATGAAAAAATTTTGTTTAACAACAAATGGATAATCATTTGGATTGGTCCTTCTCGTCTTCTTCCTCCTTTGTGTCTTCGAGGTCAGGCATATCTTAAAGTAAATTTTTTATAAATGAATATGCATTAAGATCTTATACTACTAAATCTTTAATGAGTAAGCTCTAAAATTTACCATCATCATCCTCTTCACCCATATCGAGCCCATCGAAATCAGGTGCACCTCCGGGTGCTCCACCAAGTTGTGACATATAGTTCGACAAATCAAACCCTAAAGTGAAAAATTGGTGTAATTAGGATTAGCAAAAATCACCTGATGCACCGGCAGCGGGCTCATCATCGATATCAGACTCATCTTCGTCTTTCCATTTACCAAAATCAACTTTCAACCAATGGACCTATAATTAACAATACACTGTCTTATTAATCAAACTAGATAAGAGTAAAATAATACCTTTTCCTTGTTTTTTAGCAAACGAGACCACCATTTGCCAGTTGCCTTATTAACGGTCAATTCCAAGAAGCGCGTCCCACTGTACTTTTTCAACGATTCTTTGTCGACGTTCTCAAAGAATTCAAGGGTGGCCTCATAAGATCCAGAAGTGTTGTTGCCCCTAAAAGCAAAATAATATTAAAGAGTATGATATTTGTTCGTCGTGAAAACGATAATTCAATTAAGCTTTCCAAAAACATACTTAAAATGAAGGGATTGTTCGGATAACGTCAAATCCTCAATTTTGGCATCATCAACCTTGAAAATAAAAGATATAGTCAAAACAGAACTAACCATTACACAGCCACAAAGAGATAAAAGCATACCTCAATTGTCAAGTAGAGAAATCCCTCTCGTTGAGCCCACAGAACGCTTGGATGCTTGGTGGTTGAAGCCATGAATCCTCTAAAATAAATTTTAGCTGATTTTACCTATTCTCGAAAAACGGGAGTAGGACAAGTGCGACCTTTTTTGCGCACCCAGCATTAGCGCACCCTTTTTCGCGTTTTAAAAAGCTCTAAACAGATAATATTAACCAATTTCTATTCCAAAAGTTGTTTTTCTGGGTAATTTTTGGACGTAGAATCCCAATTTTGACACATCAGAGCTTGTGGAAGCAAACAGACGGAGTTATAGACAGGAAAAATCGACAATTTTCTGTAATTTGACCCGCCCGTTTTATCTTTCAAACTGGTTCCACAAGCTCTGACATGTCAAAATTTTGATTCTACGCCCTAAAATCACCAAGACAAACAACTTTTGAAATAGAAATTGGTTAATATTAGCTTTTTAGAGCTTTATTAAAACGCGAAAAAAAGGTGAGCTAATGTGCGCAAAGAAAGGTCGCATTTGTCCCACTCCCCGAAAAACAAAAAAAAAAAAGGTACAAACACTCTAAGCTAAGCCCCCAAAGCCTTTACGCAGATCGCTATCGCAATTGATTAAACAAGTGAATTTCCGTTTGATAAGATGAAACATGATAGCAAAAGATTAAACCGAGCGTGAAAGCGGTTTATACAAAAAAAATGCACCTGTATAGCGGGTTCTTAAGCCAAAACCCGTTGTGAAGCTAATTTGCGTATTAGAGTAATCCCTAGTGATGGAAAAACTGGAAAAGTCGAGAAAAAGTGGCTCGTTCAAAAAGGATTCCTCGCTGGGCTACGGTCATTTTAGCGCCTTTTAGCATGGACAGTCATCCGATTTCGTCGTCTAATGCTTTTTGTATGACTTTTTTTTTTAAAACAACCGAATCCATTGTTTTGCCGTTATTTGGTGTGGAATGTAGCAAATGTGTTAGTTCAACAATTCATTTTCCTGTACAAAAAATATCTATATTTTTGACCAAAAATAAGACCATAAGGTTTATCGGACATTTTGAACGTGAACAAGCCTAATTGATAATGCTATTTGTAGATCACCGAAAAGCCATGAGATCACCGAATATAAAGACAGGCGCGATTTGAGGTCAACAAGGTATGCTAAACCGGGAGAACGTAAAAGATTTCTCGCAATATCAAATTGATAAGCACAATCCACTTGTAAGCGCATTAAACTGAGGTAGATAGTAGAAATAGGCGCTACAAAAGCTTGTAGAAACGCGTAGAATGGCTATTTTTACAAACGGTTTTTACCAAAAAAAACAAGCCAGCTTTGGGCTTTTGAATGACTTCAAGATCAGACCAATTCACCATCTCTGCTCCCAACGTGCTATTTATAGCAGTTTGTAGTCTCGTCCTATGGGATAGGACTACAAACTTAGAAAAAATGTTATATTTCAGCGCAGAGATGATTGGTTTGATCTTTGTGCCAATCGAAAGCCTAAAGCTAGCTAGATTCTTTGGTAAAAACAGTTTGTAAAAATACCCATTCTAAGCGTTTCTACAAGCATTTGCACTCTGATCTTGTAGTTTGTAGCGCCCATGTCTAGTAAAGGCAGTAAATGGAAACAAAATGTTGGATTTGGAAAATAATGCCTGATTAGCTTTGTACCAACCGAGGTAGTATGTACAAAGAAAGCGCAAGGAGAGAACAATTCTTGTTTAAGTGAAAGTGAAATCTATAAGCTCCCAAAAAATTATTAAGTGAAAACCGCGTAAGAATAAGAATACTTCAATTTTTGACAAAATTTTCGCTATTTCGATTCATCGACGTGATCGGTTGATTGAGCGGCTTGCGATAAAGAAGCGACATGTGCAAGCATGTCCAATGGATTGCCATTCACTCCCTGCCAACCATTGTTCGTGAGATCGTCTTGAGTGTGAGAATCATTCCTGGAAAATCATTATCTTTCAATTTCATAATGAGTCTTTCTTTACTTACGTCACAGGTAGTTTTCCATTATTGATATGTGTCGCTACGGGTTCATCCTTGTTATTTGTCTAAAAATGTATTGAGTTTTGTATGTAGTTGGTGAATCTAACAGTTTACTTGATAAATAAAAAGCCATAGTAATCTTACTCACATGAAAATCGTTGTTGGGTACTGTAGCTTGCACGATTGATTGTGAGTGTCCATTTGAATCCTCGGTTTTAAAATCAGAAGCAGCAGTTTTTCCATCGCAGTTCTTCTCCACTTCGCCGCTATTTTTATGAATTAAAAGTCCATTTGAAAGTGAGTTATTGGGCACTGTAGCTTGCACGATTGATTGTGAGTGTCCATTTGAATTTCGATACTGAAAACAAAGTAGAATTAAAGAGTAAACTTTTTGTTACCTGAATATTTACTTTCTTTAGTTCTGTTTCACTTTGTGAAGCCGCTACATTAACTGCTTTATTTTGCAAAAATTCCCTTTGATAGAGTGGTAGTCGTAAAATCGGTTGAGTTGTTCGCGATGCCTGTAATTAATTGACTAATTCATCTCACAATTCTTTTTATAATACCGTTGTCAAAACTGGTGTTGAAACTGGATGAGTTAAGCCGTCAGTAAATTGCTGCGAATGACCGACGATAAATCGCGTTCCATTGCGTATAGCGACTATTTTTTTAGTCGTATTTGCCTAAAAATTTTTCTTTCGTTAACTAAAAAAATAATATTACAATTATTCTTGGCGTTGAGGCTGTGGTTTGATTAGCGGGTCGATAAGTTTCGCCTTGTGCTAGTCCAGACACAATGTGTTGCGATGAATGCAAGTTCTAAATATCACTATTGAGAGCTTTTTTGTTACCGATTGATGCAAAATTAGCTTACCTCATTATGATTTTCTCCAATTAACTTAGGAGAACTGACACTTTTCGCCGTTTCAGCTTCATTGCTTGCATTGGTCGTTGGATTAAGGCTTGTGCTCTCATTTGTGCTTTGACCATTCATCGTTAAGCTTTCTAAAAGTTTAGTATAAACTCTGAGCAATCCATTCTTCAATTGAAAACAGTAAAACTAAAAATGAATGTGCATATTTTACAAAAAAAAGTAGTTTAAAAGGCCCAAATGTGCCAAAGATCTGAGGATGAGAAGAAAAAAGGGGGACGCTTTTCAAAAGTCTTCCCCTTTTCTTCCCATCCCCATATCTCGACTCCCCTTTACTATCTTTAATTACTTTTTTTGCAAAATAGGCGCATTTAATTCTAGTTTTACCACTTTTATTTGCCATATACGTTTTCAATAAAAATCTCAGAATATTCAACTGTACACGTAGGTATATCACAGGGGGACACTTTAGGGAAAGTACTCTCCCCTTTACAATTTGCAAATTTTCTCGTCACCCAATAAGCCATTAGCAACGGCTTATACTTCAAAAGGTGCGCAAAAAAGTTTCAAATGGTATTTTGAACTTCCAGAACCACCTACTAATTTTTGAGAAAGGGACTAAAAACCGAAAACTCAGAGAGGGGGACACTCGAAAACTATAATATGTCAGATAGTGTTCAAAGTTTATCCTAGAAAATACGTGTAATAGTATTTTTTCAGGATAGACAATTTTTATCTAATAACAAATTGTAAGGGCTATCTACACCGGACAAGAGGAAAGAGAGGAAATAATAAAATAACATTTGAAAAGTAGTCCCTCTTCGATCGCTTCGACGATTCATTCATTTTTAGGACGATGACAACACTGTTGAATTCGAGCCATTTGATTGTAGATGGAATGGGAATAATTTAGTGTATCCATAGTGAGAGTCACAATAACACGACGTGGGATCAAAGCAAATGATGAATTATCCAGTTAGATCGCAGACGATTTAGCGCAGCAACTAACTAGGTTATCCATCAAGAGTTGAAACATTCCAGGCGATGTTTTAACACCAAATATAAGCCGTGTGTATCGATATAAACCTCTATATGGGTGTTGATCGTCGATAGTTCTTGACTTTCTTCATTGATTCTCGGTAGTCATTTCTAATGCACAGCATTGATCGATCACAATGATTTTGCAAGCTTCTTTGTTATTGCTCTTTTAGCCGCCATTGTTCGGTTTAAAGATAGACTTTCCATCCTCTTTTAGACTTTCGGCATTTACTCGGGAAGTCACCCAGAAATTGATTGATTGTCCATAAACAAAATGATAGGTCGTCATTTGGTTGTTGTTTTCAATCGTTAAAACTGAATAATAGTGAAAAGCGGACTTTTCATGGAGTAACCTAACAACAATTTATGGCTAAGATCAACACTTACCAAGAGAGAGAAAACAATAAAAGAAAACAATAACATAACGAAGACAACCGACTAATTCGCACCACAACGCAGAACTTTAACAAAACAATGTGCAAAATAGGTAACAGTTTATGGTAATCTATTCCCGGTAGGGAGAAATAAAACGACCTGTTGTTCCCGATACTTTTGAAATTAGTGGAGTAGGTGGCTTGGCATTTTGAACATTCTAAAACATAAGAAGTTATAATAAAATAAAAAAAGCTGAAACCTTCGAAATCTTTGGAATCCCCGGGATTCCAGTCGCCATCAGAGTCGCCTTTTTATCTTGCAAAGTTAATGGAGAAGGTAGCGAGTGAATGGGGTTTTGAAAATTCTAAAAATAGCAAAGTTACAATAAAAAAATAACCAAAACCTTTGGATGTCCCTGGGTTCCAGCCACCGTCAAAGTAGGCCTGTTATCACTAGCTAAAGTAGATTTATTTAAAACTGGTTCAATACTGATTAAGTTCTAAGTTTTTCACAAAAAGTTTTGATATTATGCAATAATTTTTAACAAGCGTAAACTCACCACGATATGCTACTCGGAAAGGTTGTTTGAGGAGTCGATCAGATTGTGCTGCTGGCAATGCAAAAGGCGCTGCAGGCTTTGGTGGTGGAGGAGGAGAGTACATTTTGTACAATTGTGCAGCAACTGGTGATTGACGAAATGGTGGCCTGCAATGAAAGTTTTAATTTGGAACGAACTGACACGCAAATTTTAGAAAAGTCATAAACCCACGTGGCTGTATTAGATGATTTGGCAATGTGAAGGAAATCACTGGTTAAAGCTTTCTCACCAAGAGTAGGTTGCAAAGTACTAGCCAAATTTAGCTAAACATGAATGCTATATTTTTTTAATGTACATGAAAAACTACATCTGTTGACGGAAGTCGTTTTCTTGAAGCCGGCTTTTTCACTGAAGCATAGCCCTAAAAGAAATGTTTCAACTTTGAAAATCTTGCAACTACCTTGTTTGTTGATTCCTTCAACAGACCACTTGTCCTTCTTGATTGTTCGAACGCCTCCCTAAAGTTATAAATCAATATATTGTAAAGGCTGCTTGGTCAATAAAATTAATTCATTAGCTATTACCTGTTGAATGGACGGATGCGAGAACAAGTAATAACTTCTGTGATAACAACTTTTTCTTCAGGAGCAGAAGCCTAAACAAAGTTTTTATCTAATAAAATTTTGCAATAATTCTACCTGCAAAGAAAGATCGCACGTGGAAAAATTCTGCCCGGTTCTCTATATTTTATTGATTATAAACTTGTGAAAATATGCATAAGCTCACCATGGAACTTGCTGCTGAATTTTTATTCCCTTCCTCAGCATCAATCATGAAATTCTAAATTAAAAGTGTTAGACATTGTGCAAGCCAAAATAACAAGTTTTGAAAGTTAAATTAAAACGAACCACTTTTCGAATTGCCTTCGGTCGTTCTCCACTCAGGCCATTTGGAGTAGTATTCTGGGACAGCTTTAGAAGTAAATTTGGTTTAACTTCTGAGAAGTTTCCTTCGCCGACATTAACTGACAGAGGTGGCAAGAGGCTAGCGAGCGAAGTCTTCTTCATTCTTTTTAAACCAACAAACTCTTCTAAACAGACAATGAGCAGGCTTTTGATAAATTTAACTCACTTGTGCAGCAACCAGCACCAAAACGAGGAACGCACCCTTGACAATCGTTGCACTTTTCAAAGAGTTGCTGCAAATCGTCGAGCAAAATATCTAAAAATTTTCAAATTTTGAGAAAGTTGTTTAACACACGTTCTCGGCAAAAATGCGCTAGAGGCAGACAGCGATTCCGACAACCTTCCTCACTAAAATCTTGTTTACTAATGTTAAAATAAGGAACTTAACTTGTCACCCAAATTAGCAGCAACGTCTTCGATGATCTCATCTAACACTAACATACACTAAATATAATATTATTTTGTTTCAAACAGCTACAAAAATTACTTCAAATTTAGTTGCATCTTCAGGAAAAGCGCCTTCACTTCCAACAATCCTTCTACTCTTGCCAAAAGAACAATATTTAGGTGGTCTTTCTCGTTGCAACTTTCGTGAATTCTGCAACCTCGTAGGACGAAAGCGAACCTATAATCAATCAATTTTTAAGAAGAATAAAGTCATCCTACCTCTTTTAGGCGCTCTTTTAGTGCAGTAGCTCCAGATAACTGAACCTTTGATGTCGATGCTTTTAATTCTTCATAATAGCAAGCATTTTTTAGCAAGAGTTCTCTAAAAACAAATAAGCAATAGGTTATTTAATTTCACAAACTTCTTCAACTTTAGAAGTTCGATAGTCTTGTTGATGTCGTGCACTTGTTGTTTTGGTAGCTCTTTTTTGCTGAAGACTTCAGCGAACCTGGAAATCAAACATTTAAGAACGATTATTTATAAATAACCTCAATGAAGACGGTGGTGCTAGCGGAACTAATGAGTTGTCTGCGTAGTTGTAGCATGAACCCAGAAGGTTGAAAGCTGGGTATCCCTCACTAAACAATAAGCAATATTACTACAGAATTAAAATGGAAAAGAGCTCAAAAAATTAAAAAATACAACAAAAGAATATCTTACCTCACAACCGAATTTTGGCACATAACTTTTTTGTATCGCTTCTTCACAACTGTATCCATAAATGTGCGGTCTTGGTGAAAACTGTCACGAATGTGGTCGCTTAACGCAGCATGCTAAAATACCACAAATTAGTCATAGACTCGACCAAGAACAGAATATTTTATATGGATTCTTCAAGCCAAATTGTTAATCAAGCCTAAGACATCGTATTAAAATGCTCACCACGCCACAAACAGCAAATGGTTGATCAAATGGCCTCTTATGTTGACATCGAATTAAAGTGCGTTGACTAACATATCTACATTGGACCGATTTCAGTTGCTGATCTAAAATTCAAAAAGCACTAGTAAATATTTACGTGGCAAAAATACCTTCCATATAGCAATAACTAGTGCCAGGCGTTGGAACAAGTGTTGACGATTCAGATGGTAACTCCATCTAAAGCAAATAACACTATTAAAGCGTTTAAAAGAAGAGAAATAGCCGAAAGAAAACGCTTGGGAATGCATTTCAAAAATATCATAATATAAGGATTGGCGTGAATCCTAGAGATCGTGTTATACAATGCAGCTTAGGCAGTCAAATGGTGTAAACATTGTTCTCAAAGGCTTTATTAAAAAATTCAAACTTTATTAAAATTAAAGTTGAAAGGATTAAAAGTCAAATCTTTACAAGTTGTAAACTTTTCTCTCATTTCGAATCTTTATGAAGACCTCGTCCCTTTTCCCTTTTTATACTAGAAATCCGTGCGGAATGCACATTTCCGTGCGTACTTGCCCACATTTTAGGACACAAATGACAAAACCACCTTGGGCGGGCTGCCACGCAGTTTTTGCTTTCCATCTTCACAATTATTTTCTAAAGACTTTATCAATCACTTCTTTTGTAAAATTTTCGAACCCTGTAAAGGGTTCTGAAAAAATTTTTTCTATACATTCGTATACTGTTTTGATTCAGATATTTGTATGCCCCAAGGCCAGCTAAAGATTTTTGTTAGTATGCCAAATTTAGGCTCGTAATTTCTCTTTCTAGGCATATCTACGTGAAAAAGGCACGGGAATATTAAGCTAAAGCTGGAATTTTCATTTAAAACTCTTATTCCCCCTTTCACTCACTTAATGGTTTTTTATTTTCAGTACTAATAAAGTTGGACGAAGGGGCGCCTAAGTTTTTTTTTTTTTCCGCGTTTTCTGCGGTACTTGATGACGCTGATCACGAATTTGATGTTTAAGACACGTTGTTAATTCACTTTTCGAGTTGACTGGATGCCAAGTCTCGCGTACTCTGAATGAACTTGTTTGCAAACAAAAAGTGTAATTTGCATTTAAAAACATGGAGTTTGTTGGAACATAAAATTTTCAAGTAACTCGAAAAGTGAGTTGACAACACGCGTTTTAAACATCAAATTCATGATCAGCGTCATCGATTACCCCGGGAAACGTGGACAAATCAAAAACTTAGGCGCCCCTTCCCCCAACTTTACTAGTACCATCAATTTTATGATTTAGTTTATCCAGAAAATACGAGCAGACGCCAGCAATCGGTATGGCCGCAAGGCAACCAATGCTTTCGTTTGCGAAAGTCGTGAAAGGAGGAGAACTGGATATTATGGAACAATCGAATGACTCTGCCAGAAATTCACAGCAGACTGAACCCCAAGGACAGGCAACACATGTGCAGCAAGAAGGAAAATTGTCGGATGAAGTGGTCGTCACTGATAGGCGCCGAGACAGAAAAGGACGAAACGAACGTGGCGCTGACCGCGGCAATAAACACGAAAAACCGCGCGAAAGAAGACGACCACCAAGACCTCGTGACTTCAACAATGATGGTGACAATCAAAATCGACGGCACAAAAGGAATCATCCGGAACAGCCAGAAGAAAAAGAGAAACCAGCTGAGGTCCCAGTTGAGCCTCAGACGATTCCGGTTGTACTCAAGCCAGCACCTCCACCAGCTTTCAATGCATGGTTCAGGAAATCTATTGGTAATTCTTTAAACCCTCTTAAACGTTTAAGTTTCTAGTTTAAGTTGTGCACATCTTTGTTAGCTTCGATTAACTTTTATACTGGAATAATTGTGTCATTTTCAGATACGACTGAGCCTGTACAAGCCGTTAAGGTTAATGGTGGAAACGTCGAGAAGGAAAACAAGGTGAGTGTTAGTTTTTTGATTCTTTAATACGGATGTTTTAGGAAGTTGTTCAAGTGACAAAGCCACCATCTCCCCAGAAAACTACAACTGAGCCAAGTATGGACTGGCCAACATTGAATGCTGCTGTTGTTGAAGAAAACGCAACGGTCAATGGAGTTGCTCATCACAGCCCAAGTGATTCACCAAAACATGTAAGTTTTTTATGTTCAGATCGGGACTTTACCTCGCTAATATAAGGAACGGAAAACATTGATGACATTGAATCTTTTTAGAAGGGAGAAAGCGATGAGGGAAATCAGGGCAAGGGCAAACCAGGCAAAGGAAATTGGAAGAAAATTGATATTAATGTTGATTATGGAAACAATGCCAATCGCCGAATCAATCAGGTATTAATCACTCTTAACTGTTCCACTTGAAAATAGCCTTTGGTCGGAATGTCAAGTTAGACCGTCCATAAGCATATAGTAAGCAATTGCTAGCTTTTGAAACGATTGATGATTTGTTGCACTAACCGAACAATATATTGATAGTATTTATTAGCGAACAGGATGAGTCTTCGATTTCAAATCATGGTTGTTGCTAAGCTTACTGCTGTAAGTAATAACCTAGGCAATTTGATCTCATAAACTTTGTGATGTTTTTTGGGGATTTTTTTAATAGCATACTTTTTCAGGGTCAAGTAACACGTTCTGATAAACAAGAAGGTGGTCGTCGTTCCAGCAAGAAAGAAGAAAATCGCATAAACGGAAACGATCAAACGGGTTTGTTTATTTTTTGCTTTAGGAGACGTTTAGTCTTTGTTGGTCGTAGCTTCATGTATTGGTTATATGAACATTGTATATTTAAAAATTTAGCTCATCCGTTGTCGAATAGCCCTGAAGCTGAAGCAAATGATTCATATTGGTAATTTTCATTTTTGGACATGGACCTTATCGACCAAAACCCTTACACATACCGTATTTATTCTAATATAAGCACAGCCTCCAATAGAAGCAATAACTATGGATATTCGACTTAGTAGACCGAATACCCTCACCAAGACCCAGTTTTGAGCCTTTAAGGATATATATAAGACATTTCCTTGATAAACAGCATTCTTTATCATTTGTTTTGCATAAGCAGTGGCAATTTTGATAAGTTCTCCTGGCAATTAGGTAGTCAGCTTATTTGTAACGAATTTATAACTTAGACTAGGTAATTAAATTCCGTCGAGCTTAAGATAATTTATGCCATAAAATTCTCACAACTTTAAACATTTTGACCTTTTGTATTTTAGTATCCAATCCTTTAGCAAATGTGCTTTCTTAGTTCTTTTTTAGATTACTATTATCATTATTGCTTAATTAGTAGCTTTTCTTGCATTGACTACTATAGTGACATTTCGATTGAAGTCGGCGACTCTAATAGTAATGAAATCGAGAATAATGCTTTTTTGGCCGATGAACTGTTTTTAATTGGCTGTTACCTAAAGGTTTTCTTTTTGACGAACTACTTAATCAATTTTTTTAGTCATTTGAAAAATTGAGGCGCACGCATTTCTATTAGAATAAATACGGTAAGCCTTTCTTATTGGTTGCTATTTTCTTTATTACTCTCCAATGCTATAAAGGCATCTACAAAACTTTACCTGTTTGTATAAAATTCGGAGTTATCCACTTTTTACAGCTTAAGCCCTTGCAAAAATTCTGTACTTTAATTGGGGAGTCGGGGCTCTACACGAATCCCATGCACACGCGTTTCTCTGCCTATTTCGTCTCTTGTTTTCGAGGGTAGCTCTCTCTGCCGTGTAGGCGCACCGCCCATTCGCGTGTCTTTGCGCAATGGAATCAATAGATGGAGTGGGGCGTTAATGCACCAAAAAATTTACTTGTTTCATTTGAATTTTTTATAATTATAAACCAGAATCTTTTTAATATTTTAACGATTGTTTTGTTTAGTGTTGAAGTTCGTGCGTCGAATGGTGTTTACTATCAGTCCGGCGTAGCTCACGGTTGGAAAAAAGCCGTCAAAGAAGAAGACATTACACCGGAAATGGCTGGAAAAGATAAAGAGTCAACGGACAAGAAGTCTGCTGGGTCAAAAGTAAGGCATTAGTTGTTTTTTCAATTATTGATTTTTAGGCACCTTTGCCTGGTCCACGTGATGAAAATTCTCAAGCCGGAACTCGTGGAAATGCCAATAATAAGCAAGGCATCAATCAAGGGAATTCTGTGAGCCACATTTTTTAATCAAGAGTATTTTTGGTCCAGCGCTTATCATTTTTGCATTTTTAGAAAATTCGTCAACCTTCCGTAAATGACTATTGGCATAAGCAAGGAGGAAAAGAAGGCGGAAATGGGTCGAAAGCTCCGGCGGCGGCAAACAATTCTACAGCACCAGCTGCCCGTCCTGCGCAGTCGCAAAATCAGCAACCACAAGCCTACTATCAACGTAATGACCGTTTTCAAGCACGGCCAAATGTGAATGCGCCTCCAAAGCTTACTGCCGAGCAGCGAAGGGCTCGTGGACCTCTTCCTGATTGGGATGAAATCCAAGTTCGTATTTAATTCGGAATACAAAATTATTTGAGATTTTTAGGAATTTGAGCCGGATTTCGACTACATGAATCTCATGGATACACAATACGCTCAATATTATGCACTCTCGGTTCCGCAATACGATCCTGGGGTCGGCGCAATGGATCCTGCTGTTGCCACTATGATGATTCAACAGGCACAACAACACATGGCAGCTTTTGGTTTTCGTCCTCCTTTGCCAATGATGCTTCCACAAGTGTGTTTTTCTCTAACGTTTTTGATTATTGCTTTTGTGCATATTTATTTATTTTTAATTTTAGATATTGCCAGCGCCACCACAATTGGCAGCGACCCATGATGCTTCTCGTCCAGCTTCTGTAGCGTCTTCTTCAACCCCTGCTCAGCTGATTTCTCCTGGAGGTTAAACTTGTTTCACTTTCAAAATTCAGAATAGCCTGCACAAATGGAATTTGAGTTTTGAATTATTTTTTAATCAAGGTGGAGGACCAACATCTGGACATGACATGCCACTAAACACAGCCATTCCATTTGCTCCAATGTTTCCGTCTCACACTTCATTTCAACCAATGTCAGAGCAGAGTTTAAAGGAGTGTGTTCGCAAGCAAATGTATATTTTGGAAATATTTTTGTTGTATAGATTTACTTTAGTGAGTACTACTTTTCACCAGACAATCTTCAAAAGGATTTCTTCCTACGAAGAAAAATGAATCCAAATGGATTTTTGCCAATCTCGCTAATCGCCTCTTTTCCCAGAGTCCGAAGTTTGACTGAGGACATTGCAATCATTGTAGAAGGTCTTCGCTCTAGCGATAAGGTATGCGAACACGTTAGATTTTATTGACTAGAGTAAAATATTTTAGGTTGAACTGAACGACAGTGGTGATCTTGTACGACCTAGCGACCGTCCAAAATATTGGCCATTGGCTCCTACAGTACATGCTGCCGAGTCACCGGTGTCGATCAAGAAAGTAACTAACTAATTAAAATAAAAATTAACTTATAGCCATAACTAACGAGCCATGTTTTATTTAATATTTTAGAGCGATATGGATGTCGAGACCAAGCGGCTCTCTGACGCTCCATCTACCAGCCAACACCAAAACGACGATTCAACTAACCCTGAGAAGTCACAGCAAGGCCATTTAAGCAAGACAGCCGAAAAGCCTCAAACTTCCGTAAAGCCTGATGAGACTGAGCCGGAGATCGAGGATTGGCAGGTAATGAGTTCGTATTTATGAATCACGTCTAATAAATTTTTAGGAAGTGAAAACAAAGAAGAAGAAAGGGGGAAAGGGACAAGATGGAAAGGAGTATTCACGCTCACAATCAAATCCGATGGAGGGCGCCTATAGCGAGCAAGAAAATTCATATGAAGTTGAAAACAATGAGCTTACCAAAGCTGATGGATACATGCATTCCAATGCAACCCTTTCTGTAACGCCAAAGCGAAACGATGTAAAGAAGACTGGACACAGGCCACACGGGTATGTTTAAGGTGCAGGGAGAGAGATGAGCACTAGCTAAAACGGGGATTCTGCAATTTTGTTTGCTAAGATGAATCCAAACTTTTAAGAATCTGCAAATGTTTGAATATCTTAGGTTTGCAAAAGAATCGACTCGACAAATGGAGAAAAAGGGGGGCTAAATGGATTTTTTTGATACTCGTTTACTTTTTGTTACTCATTTGTTAAATAAACGTTTTATGATAGTTAATGGTTCTAAGAGATATTATTTCCTATCGGAAAATATAGCAAGATAAGGCGGGAATTGCTGTATTTTAAGGTGCGTTAATCAGGAATTTCGCATTTTAACTTGTAATTGTCCGCTGATTGACTTTTCAAACTGTGCAGTTGCTTATTATTATTATTCTTAAAGGGGTCACATTTTCGACAAACTAGCTGGGTTCAATCCCCCGATCGTCAACATTTACGTATACCTATCACCTCTAATTCCTAGAACAAATTTCTTGCAAATTTAGAGCTGAACACTCATTTGATGATATGAACGATGACGCGATCAACAAATTAATCATTCTGACTCCGACAAAACGAACATTAGACCGAACGGGTGACTTTCAAACGCGAGCCAAGTCGCATGCAGAGCTCGCTGAAGAAGTGGAAATTGGTCTCCGAAGATATGAAGAAGAACTTTGGGCAGCAATTCCTGAAGAGCGAGCCGTTCCATTGGTACGATTCAGATCATAAATGATACCGACATAGGTAGCTGGTTTACGACTTAACAAATCCATGTTTCGGATGAGAAAGTTTAAAAACTAACTTTGTTGGATTGTTGAAATCGAAAGCCAATTGTGAATTGCATGCACACTAGAGGATACTGACGAGAAATTAGAATGTAAGGCCAAATGTTTCAATTTGGCGCTCAACTGATATAGCCTTTTGAACATGGAGTGAAACTTTTCTGTTCTTACATACAATTATTTTTTTTCCTTCAAAGATGTGTATCACTAGCAACAGGCAAATTTTAAAACTAATCGTGTTTGCACTGTGTGCTTAAGAGTCAAAACTTTTTTCTTCTTGTTTATAAGTGATGCAATTTAGCTTACCTATGTTGCTTGGGTTCATTCAAATCTACAATTTACAGTAGATGGGATTAAAGCGCTTAGAAAAGGTTACTGTAGTTTAAAAGATGGGGAAATGTCTCTTTGGGTGGAAATAATTGACTGACTGATTGATCGGAATTGTGGCAAGACTACGGGAATACGGTGGCTTTTATCCTAGCGTACTTATTAGAAAACATAGTCTAATGTTGAGCCAACCTCAACTATTGTTAAATAGTTCAGACTTAGTTAGAGCATATATAGTTAAATTCCCTATGCAAAAAGCCTACTAGGGTAGTAAATGGTTTTTTTTTTTGTGAATCACCAATGTCGTTTTGTTGTGTTCAGACCAAAGTTGGCACCGTATCCGCTGAAGAATTCGCGTTGCTGAAAGGCGAAACAGTGAAGCCGATTGTTGAGGAGCAGCAAAATTTATCTCCGCCACCACTTCAACGTCATGATGGACCTTCGAAACCGCTCAACCCCACTGTTTGGACGCAAAAGGCAAAAGAACGTGCTGCTGCCGCTAATGTTGTGGTATGTGCTGTGATTTCACTTCTTTTTTTTTTTAAAAATACCTCTGAACTCAACATCTAGCATGAAGAAAATCTCCCTGACTAATTTTTGTGGTGGTTTACAGAAATTTAAGCTTTCTAGGTTTAGGAAAAAAAAGGAAAAAACAAACAATCCCAATGTTAGAAAGTTTAGAAAAACCCTCTTTAACAAGTCGCTAATCTTGGTGTTTCGCGAAATGACTCCTTTTGTAATAACACAACAGAGAAATCCCCCTATCAATATATCCATATCCATTCGTTTTCGTTCATTAGCTTTCTTTACTTGTGCAAAACTTTGTGAATATCCTGTACTGTAATCACCAGTTTTTAAAACAAAAGGCTAAATCTTAAATAAAAGCCCAAATGCTAGCTTATATTCAAAATGAATTTCTAGCACAAGAGCCCAATCCAGCGAAAGGAAAATGAGGAATCGAATCTGAAGAATCGCTTCTATCCGGTTTGTGATAAGACTTTTTAGCAAAAAAACTTTCTTTTTCAAGGTTTCAAAGCCATCAAATCCAGTCGATCAAAAGAGTCCCCGCAAGCAAAAGACTAGACACAGCGAGAATCCGCCGGTTGAGATGCCCGTTGGATGGGTGAGTTTGAAAAATTTCTCAAATGAATGCTAAATTAAGTGCAAGATGTCGTAAGCTTTCTACTGTAAGCCTACCGTAAGACTAATCGAAAAAAGCAGACAAAAGACAGACAAAAGGCAGACAAAAGGCAGGCAAAAGGCAGACAAAAGACAATCTTACAGTCTTACAGTGCATTTATTAACACTTACAAAAGCTATCATCAAAATTTCAGGTATTTGGCACACAACCAGCCGCAGTTGCTTCAACGGCCAATCAAAATATGTTCCCAGCCGCTCATCCTTCTGTATCATTACTTCAGGATAATGGATTTGAACAAAGTGTACGCGATTGTTTAACTGAATCTTTTTACTAGAATCTGATTTCAGGTTTATACCACATGGAAAGCGAATTGCCTTAAGCAACGCCGCTCTTTGGGATACGAGTGTGCTGAGATGAACACTTTATATCGTTTTTGGTCCTTCTTTTTACGGGATAACTTTAACCGGAAAATGTTCGAGGATTTCCGTGATCTAGCCTTAGAGGATGCCAGTCAAGGGTAAGTAAAAGAGTTGTGAATCACTAATCAAGAACCCCCATTTTTGCAGATCGCGTTACGGTATCGAGGCTCTCTTCAGGTTTTACAGTTACGGGCTCGAGCAGAAATTTCGTCCCGAAATCTATAAACATTTCATGAAAGACACGTTGAGCGATTTTAAAAACGAGCAACTCTATGGTTTAGAGAAATTCTGGATGTTTCTTAAGCGGTTTGTTAGCAAAAAAAAACAGTAAACAGTTGAATGTGAAATATTTTAGATATAAGAACGCAAAGCAGCTCGTCGTTGAGCCGCCACTTGAAGCGGAACTCGTGAAATTTACGAAACTTGAGGATTTCTGTGTGGTGAGTGCAAAGTAAAAACGCATTTACCAAAGCGAGATTTCAGCATTCAGATTAATGACAAGACGGTCAATGCTAACTTCTAATCGAGAAGGAAATGGGTTTTATGAAACAAAACAAAACAAAAAAATCAGTCTACAATCTATGCTGGTATCTTTCTACTCTTTGTTTTTCCCTTTTTTTTGTTGCAAACTATAGGTGTTGTTATCGTTTTTCTTTTTCTTTTTTTTTTGTTTTCTATTTTTAGAGTTTATGCATAGTTAGGATAGTTGTTCTTTTTTTAAAAGCCAGTTTTACTCTTTGTTTTGCACATTCTCGTCATTTCTTTGTATACTTACCATTTAAATGCTGATCGGGATGAAAAAATTCCGTCAAAATACTATTTACATTTTAAAATGACGTCATTTCGACGAAGGAAAAAAAAGATAAAAATCCCGTCAGCATTTATTTGTATACTCACCATTTAAATGCTGGTCGGGATGAAAATTCCGTAAATGTACTATTTACATTTTACAATGGCGTGCTTTTGACGCAAAAAAAGACAAAGAAAAGCCGTCAGCATTTATTTGTATGCTTATCATTTGAATGCTTATCGGGATGAAAATTCCGTGAAAGTACTATTTACATTTGACAATGGCGTGATTTCGACGCAAAAAAAGGCAAAAATCTCGTCAGCATTTATTTGGTTGTTGTTGAAATTTTCAGAATTTGCTTTTCATTGGCCAAAATGATAATATCCTTATCTATCACTTGTTTGTTTTTTTTTTTTTCAAAGAATACAACTTTGTTGAACACTAGGAACGCGATTTTGTTAGGCCTAGTGCAAATAGTCGGAGCATAGTCTATCCATATCTGCTCTGAGCATCGTTTTTTCTTGAAAAGATCGATCACTCCCCATTTGCGGCCACAAATAATGATATATTCAACTGTTTTAAGCGCCGCTTTGTCGAGTGATCTGATCAAACTTGTTGTGTTGCTCATCATCGTTTTCATTTCTTCTTTTTTTTCTTGTTTTCAACCCATCAAACGACTCCCCTTAATCGCTACCCCACATAAAAAAACTCTTTGGTCATTCATTTTGCAAATGCTTTTCTTGTCGCATGTTCTATTGGATTTTTGGCCTACTCCTATATTTGTTTTGTACACTTTGATAAACTCTCTTTTTTTGTTATAAATCATGCTCCGAAAAAAACCCTTGTATTTTTTAAAATGAATGTTTTTTGTTTTATAAAATTGATGAAAACTGCAAGTAAAAAGAAGAAAATTTAAAAAATTGAATAACCGGGACCATGAAGATTGCGCCGAATGAAATTGCCAAAGTTGGTACGTCGTTGTTAGTATTGCAATGCAGAGTTGGTGCTCTCACTTTGCGGCCATTTTTCTTGTACTAAACAACAGTTTTTCTAAAAGCTTTGAATGCCACCCTGTAGCCCAATTGAGAAGGGCTACATTTTGATGCCAGACTCGTACAAAGGCCGTGGCTAATGACAAATTCATTGCGGCGCAATCTTCATAATCCCGAATAATCAATGAACTCTACAGTTACAGAATTACCGTATTTTTCAGGTGAAGCAAGTGTCGAATGAGTTTGAAAACTCTAGAGTAAACCCTCTGAAACCCTGTAAACAATCCCGTAGCACTTACAAGTAACCCTAAGTTGATAAGAGCAGATTTTTACGTTTAATTAAACCAAAGTTATTCAATCTGACATTGATACTGTTACTGAATACAAATTCTACTATAATTGAACGGCCTACCGTAATCTTTTTCCAGAAATGTTTGTCTGAAGCCAGTTTTTTTCTATTTTAGACCAAAATCCTTTATTGAGCAAATATTGCGGGCTTTAAAAGCAAAATTGAAATAAAACGACTGTTATATCTACAGAAAAAAAATCAATTCATAAAAGTGTGTGGGCAAGAGTGAGCAATAAAACTTTGCAAAATTAGATATTCGGGAAAATAGATAAATGCAGATATTTTCCAGAGAATATTTAGCAAACTTGCCCGTTTATATAGTGTTTACGCATTTTTCGTAGGAATCGTGACGTTGGTTGTGCTGGGGAAGGAGGGGAGTTTGACTCGTCGATTTCAATAATAGGGTTTCCAGTAGGAATGCACGGTGGCCCGGTTGTAGGTTGTCGGTCGATAGGCGTTGAAGTGACGCAAGGCAGAACTGGTGTAGTGGTGACGGGGGAGGAGCCATGGGGATCTGCAAAATTTCATTTACCCCTCGGCCACTCGATCGATTGTGATTTTTGTATTGGTTAGGTGCTTGGGTATCGTACTTACCGTAAGATCGCTGTACCCTAATCTTTGTTGCCATGTTTAAAATCTATTCTTTGCGCCTTTTCGAGAACGATATCAAAGGTAAAGTTGAGGTTTTGAAATCTTTAACTCTGGGTTATCATTTGGATATCTGGACTCAAGCGAGCCTTCTCTAGGATCCGCAAAACAGCACAAAGCCTTCTCTAGGATCCGTAAAACAGCACAAAGCCTTCTCTAGGATCCGTAAAACAGCACAAAGCCCAAGTTTTTCAGTTTTCAAGTGTCATTTAGAGCTTTAGTACAGGTATTACGGTGTGTACACTGCAGAAATGGGAAGACTCCAATCCAAACCTAATTCCACCTTTATTTTCTTGGTCGTTCCTTGGCCGATTCCTCTGCAATTTTGTCAAACAAGCAGAGAATGTCAATTTCTATTTGTAGACAAAATTTCAGAGCAATCGATCAAGAAATGCCGGAGAAAATCAAGGTGGAATTAGGTTTGGATTGGAATTTTTCTATGTCTAGTACACTGGATTTGCTAGCCGATAAATTGAACTAAATATACAGACTTTGAGTATTTCAATGATCCAATTGCAACTCATATTATCGAATCGTAAATCCAATGCACTAAATATCTAGTTTTTTCTAAAAAAAACCATTTCCTTATCTCATTTTAGTCATGAAAAATGCCATAGTCAGTTGTGGTTTTAATTTCGGAGGGAGATAGGAAAGAAACACATCAAAAGAGAAGGATTTCGGTTTGTTTTTTTTTCGGATTTTTTAAAGTTTACCTTCAGGTAATTTGATCGTTCCGCTAAACGAGTGAATGTAAATGAATTGGTAAAAACTGGTAGAACTGGTAGAACTGATAGAATTAGTGAAAATAAACTCACGACGCGTAGTGACTTCGCCAGAAATTATTGTTGGTCAGACTGCGGGGTCGACTCGTGATATCGAAATTCGACTCCAGACCCACATAAGCGTAGCCACTAGAATTTTTTGGGTATACAGATTTTTGGGTATACAATCCAAAACACATTATTCGTTAATGAGAAAAGCGGTAGTTGAGAAGAGCTCAATTGCTCAAATACCTGTATCCCCGTCTACCATCGATTCGACTTTTCGAATCGATTGTCATTGTCGGAGTCGTGTAGGAGGGTGTTGTGCCTTTAAAAGAGATTTTATATTCACTTCATTTCAGTAATAAAGCTTAAAAGCTTAAAAAAAAGCCTTTAAACATTTGAAATCCCATAGTTTTCTTTTACCGTATGCTCTCGTCAACGAGTACGGCCTCTCATAATTGTGCTCCCGGTGATTTAAATATCTGAATTTCTTTTGTTAACTTTTCCCAGTTTCTCAGCTCACTTATAAATCGGATAACTCCATGAGCGCACTTGAAAGACATCATATTTTCGAATCGGTTGCTCTTCCTGCAATAATGCGTCTTACTGAGAGATATGTGAATACTACTAGATATAAAAGAGCAATGTCTGTCTGTCTGTCTGTCTGTCTGTCTGTCTATCTGTCTGTCTGTCTACTATCTGCTCTGTCTGTCTATCTGTCTGTCTATCTATCTGTCTGTCTATCTATCTGTCTGTCTATCTATCTGTCTGTCTATCTATCTGTCTGTCTATCTATCTGTCTGTCTATCTATCTGTCTGTCTATCTGTCTGTCTGTCTATCTGTCTGTCTGTCTATCTGTCTGTCTGTCTATCTGTCTGTCTGTCTCTCTTAGAATATATTGTAGTTATGCCATTTAAAAGAAATTTTTGAAAAATCGAGTTTATGTGAAAGACCCGGAAGTTGAACCCTGACCGTGTGAGCTGTAGACAAGTGTGCTCTGCGCCACAATGAAAAGAAATCCGCTAGAAAAACCCGCTCTTAACCATGTTTTTCGGGTTTTTGACTTGCCATTTAGTAGACAGCAAGATGCCATTTAGTAAACTCACCTCGGCATAGTTGATGCTGGTACGGTAGGGCAACGTCATGAAACCGATCGGTGTTCGCTTACTGTAAGAAGAGTAGGGTCGACGGCTCTCCTCTATCACCTGAAAGCAATCGCTAAAGCAAAGCAACCTTTTGCAAGAAGACAGAAAGCTTTATAGTTCAAGAGATTCAAGAGTTTCACTTTGGAATCGGCGATTTCTCGAACAGGAGTGTAGCTGCGGCGAACATCGCGCGAATATCGCTCAGCACAAGCAGTCGGTGTGTTCTCGCGAGACCAGCGGGACAAATAAGAGTCCCTAAATTTTCAAATTTTCAAATTTTTACTTTTATTTTACTTGCTCGCCGAAGACCAATCAGCCGAGCGACTTCTCGGCAATCGAAAAGGATAAGACATTGGGGATTGGAGGAGCTCTTCCAGAGGAAGACTGAATTTCTTGTTAAGAGCAAATCGCTTTCACGCTCACGGTTCAGCAAAAATTTGTTCGGCTTCTTTTCTCGCAGCAAGTTCTCGCCAACTTTTCCCCTCCGCGTCGCTAAGGAGTTGTCGTGCTTCGCACAAAATTCGTTCTCGGCTGTAAAAATGCGTCAGTTTTGGAGACTTAAAAAAAAGCTTTAAATTATTCTAAACAACTGTTCTATTTAAAGATAAGAATAAGAAAATTTTTGCAAATTACCGTTCAGGATCGGTAGGAGGAGGCATTGTAATTGATTTAAAGATTTAGGGTCAAAGAAGAGTAATCCAAATGTGCGGATTTGGATTTTGAGTAGATGGGGTAACAACTCTTGAAGTTTATGAGAAAGCGGGAAAGGATGATGGAAAAGAAATGAGAGAAAGGGGGGGTTGCCGTTCGATGGAATCGGGGGAGAAGCGGTGAGATCGGTGAAGAAAATCAACTGAAAACAAATAGAGATGCGCTCCCCCCGGAAAAGATCTTTATTGATATGGCTCTCTCAACTTCTTTTTTTTCTTTCACCATCGACACATATCCACTGCTGCAACGACTCATTCATAAGATTATTTACGGCCTACTGCTAACAAAAAGTGTTTTAAAATTGAAATAGTATATTCGTCTTCAGTCTGGATTGCTATGAGCAGGAAGATTTCGTAAATGGAACAAGTCAATCAAAAGTAAAAGCCAAAAGTAAAAGCCAAGTTTGGAAAAGAAAGTTTTCAATTCATTTGCATTTCGGAAAAGTTGCGCGTGCAATACCGTATTTCTTCGAATAGAAGACCGGGTAAAGAGTATCATCGCGGTAGAGTATCATCGCGGTAAAGAGTATCACTATATTTGGTTCCTTATCTCTCTAAACTTGGCTCCTTATCTCTCTAAATTTGGTTCCTTATTCCTTCGGTAAAGAATACCGAAGACCGGGTAAAGAGTATCATCGTGTACTCCTGTGTAGCAGCCCTTTTTAAAATTTCTTTTCTGCATAAAAGCTTTCAATCAAGTGCTATAGAGCTGGAAAATGACTCAAAAATCTGTTAGCTCATGTGGTATTTTTGAGTCATTTTCCAGCCCTATAGCACTTGAATGAAAGCTTTTATGCAGAAAAGAAATTTTAAAAAGGGCTGCTACGCAGGAGTACGCGATGATACTCTTTACCCGGTCTTCTATTCGAAGAAATACGGTAATTCTTTTTCAATTATCGAAAAAAACAATAAAGATAAATGTGTAAATAAAAATTTCAAGGAAATCGAATCGACTTTCGGGAAGGACGATCATTGAAAGACGTGACGGGTTTAAAGAAAGAAAAAAAGAAATGAATGAGGTGTAAGGATTTGAAGTGAAGAGTGAGGAGAAAAGAAGCTCGAGATTAGAGTCGAGCAAGAGGTTCACGCAAATGATCGACCCCTCTCTCGAAATGTGGCCAGCTGGCCGTCTTTGCCCGTGCAGACACGTTGTTTAAAGCGTTCTCGCCCCCGCCCTGAAAACAAAAAAAAACATTTACAAATAAAACCCCAACCTAGCTATTAGTTTGGATAATTACTAATCAATGTCATTCCCACCGAACCCTTTTTTCGCTACCATACTATGCTTACATGAAACAATATTGAATAATGTTTTTGTCGAGCGGTCGACGTAATCTATGCTTTATTCACAAATGAAATCAAATTGAAAAAAATCCATACAGTAAAAAGCATCAAAACACATACGATAAAAACATAATATTTTACAACTAATATGCGTCAGTAATTTGGTCGTCTTCTAAAAAAATTCTAGTAAATAAAATTGAAAGTGTCCAACGAAGATTTACCAAATGTACATGTTTTTATATGTTTTTCTCAATCCTGCGAGTTTCAGATTTAGCTTTTTTTACACTTTTATTCATAGTTGAATAAAGTATTATTATTAATAATCGTGGCACTCAGATAGTTCATCCATCGAAGCTCTTCGACTGTAGTAATATTCACCGTGACCATCCTAAATAAAATATAATGATATAACGAAAATATTATTTTGCATATTACAATATGATTTAAAAGTAAATGACCTCGGTGGAAAGAACTCCATTTTCTCCTTCGTATTCCTGATACTCTTTGAGGCGGGCTTCAACAAATCCTTTTGCAACGACCTCATGTTCCGGAAGAGCTTTTCCGTTGGCCTAAGCACCAATTTATGAAAGTATTTAATTTTTACGAACATTTTGCCATGCACTATCGAGTACTTCAGAGGCAGTGCATCGATTGGTAATATCGACTGTGATCATCGCCAAAATTAAAGCTTTGGCCGACCAACTGATCTAAACACTTGCTTTTAAGAAAATCAGTTAAACTCGCGACTTACTTTATCAAAAGAAGGACTAGGAAAATGAATATAGCCGTTAATAATTTGTTGGAAGAGTCCCACGGAATCATTCGCTGCACTAAAATTATTTGATCAGTTAAGCCAAATAGGTATGGTTTAAAACCTCTGGAATGGTGGAAAGCCGACAAGCAAAATGTAGAGGATCACTCCCAAAGACCAGACATCAACTTCAACGCCATAACTAAAGTTAAGCAAGAACCGATCAAAACAACAGACATCCTACTTACCCTTCATTCGTCAAAACTTCAGGCGCAACGTAAGTTGGCGTCCCGCAGCATGTCAACAAAGGTTCTCCATCTTCCGAGATTCGGGTTGCCAGTCCAAAGTCGGTCACTTTTAAATCGTATAGTTCGGTCGAGGTATAAAACATCTAAATTTTCTGATAAATGAAATATAACATACAACCCATACCAATAAATTTTCTGGCTTAATATCCCGATGCACAATTCCATTTTTATGTAGAAAATCCAAAGCCATAGCGACATTCTCTGAATTCATAAACTATGCAAACGCCGAAAAAACTTTGACTAACTAATCATTCTTGCCGATTGTTCTTCGGATACTTGACGATGAATGGTCAGAAAGTCAAAAAGATCGCCAGCCTAAAATCTTAAATAAGTTTAAAGTCAGAAATTATTTACTGGAGCCAATTCTGTCAACATATAAATAGAATCGTTGATATTCCAATGTTCGTGAAGCAAGATCTAAAATGAACTACTAATTTATTATTTGCTAAGAAAGACAAACTATGTTTTGATGGCGTATTTCAGACAATATTTTCAGTTCCTCTTTGACTAAATCTTCTTTGCCAATATGATTTTCTTTCGGAATGATCTTCAAAGCATGATGCTCCAATGACTCCCTAAAAATAAATAAATAAGTTCTTAACTAGATAAAACCTCATTTCCACTTCATAAACGAACGCCGAGATCCCATCACCAAGTTTTTTAAGTACTTTCATGTTTACTGCAAGCTGCAAGGGCAGATGGCTCACTAAAAACTACTTTTAACACGTTCAAACATAAAAATTTCCTACCAACGTCATCTGGCATAGGGCTGTCTAGCGGTTTCCCTTGTAAACTTTCGTTTCGCGAAGGCAACGTTCGTTTTCTGATCCCTCCGTTGATTCGTTTTCCGTAGCAGCGAGCGTTAACGTTATTTTTTTCTAAATCAGTTTGCAAATCTGTTAATTAAATGAAAATACCATCATAGGAAATTACAAAATCATCAGCCGAGCTTTTCTCCGTTCCAAATGCTATGAATACATCGTCGTCTTTGAAAAAATCGACCAGCGATGTCACCTTTAAACTTATTTTAAAAGAGAAAAAAATAGCCAATGAAAACCTCATGACCCCGAATAGTGTACATCTTCCTCACTGCTCCCGTTTGTAGCCGAACTTTATTCGATAAGTCTTGTAATATCTAAACTTTTGTAGCTGCTTAATACATGATTAGTATACTTACTTGAGGAAAAGATCTTGCGGTTTTCTTATTCAGCAGATGTTGAACGACTCTACGTGGTCTGACTCCATTACGAATCACCGTGATGATACGAGGAAACACGAAGTAATTCGTTTCCTAAACATTTTTAAATAAATTTTCTTAAAACTGAATACCGCTTTAAACTGTGTTGATTCAAAGTCCTTTTCACGTTGCATTGCAGACGTCGTTCTCTGCCAATACGGCTCACGAACGCTGGCGTAATCAAGAGGTTTAAAAAACTCGTTACTAAAAAATATTTTTGACTAAAGCACACTAAATAAAAACGATACCTCGAACAAACGTAAGCTTCTCCATCAACAAACTGTTCGACAGAAGAGATTCTAGTTTTTCCATCTAGCATGAAAATAACGCGAACCTAACATTGTTTCATTAAAGTTTATTTGAAATAACAGTGTCCCACTCCATTTGGCAGTGCTGCTGAAATTCCCATTGCCGCGGTCAAATCGTCCATGAGAAAGCTGAGTTTCTTTATTCTATCAGGCCGCCATACATAGACATGACCCTAAATTCAAAGGTATAAGACCAAATTAAGAAAGCATACGGAAAAAAATTTGTCTCCGTTTCGGTAAAAGCGTAGCTTCTTTGCTTTCACATTGCTGCCGAAGAGCCGGGAACGTGGAAGTGTTGCCGATTTCAGTTGCATCTCGTTCACCATGTCTAGTTCTTCTTCCCTAAAACAACACAGCTTGAGGCCAGTTATTTTTGATTTTTACCTTTCTCTATGTAGCGATGAAGTCATACTACAAGTCGCAACCGCTTGGTCACCATCTAAAAAGGCAAAGTTTCTTTACAAAATGAATAAAGCGTTACTTTGAGCATTTTCCATACATGGTGCCACCGAATCGCCACCACATTGTCCTAAAATTAAAGAAATTTTTATTTAGATCGATAAAGCCATCTTTTGTAACTCTATTCCACGCCAAAAATTAGTAGTTGTAAGTCGTTACTAGATTAAAACAAACCATTATCTTTCAAAGTAACTTTCGTCTCGTTAATCATGTTCAATCCTCCTCAGAATCATAATATTTCTCAATTACACCTAAAACATTGTAGATAAAATTTTTAAATACCCTAAAGTTTTGCAAAATAAAAGAACAAACATTTGGGAAAAGCAACCCAAGTTGACAAAACCAAATACTCTAGAAATCTTTATTACGTATGTACCAACTAGATGAAGGATGAATATGCATATTTCAGATCACAGGCAATGAGGATATCGAGGAAAAATGCTATAGTTGACCCTATCACAACAAGCACCTGTTTAGAATTATCCCTAAATCAAAATGCCAGAAGTTCATCGTTTTAGTTTTTACTGGGGATTATAAATTTATATGGGGATAGAATGTTTAAATTATGGGCATAATAACATCAAATTTAGCTCTAATAGTAGGGCACAAAGCATCTTTAAAGAACAGCAACCCGAATTCAGAAACGATTCTAATTAATTAAGAACAAGATATCTACATAGTTTCTGGGCATATGCATTAAAGCAAAAGGAATGCTCCAGCTAACAGAAATTATTAATGACTCAGATAACACGATTATCACGTTTAAAAGATAGTAAAAGCTAGTAAAAAAATAGGCATTTAACATTTCACAAAGCGAGACTAGGGTAGAAATACATAGGTAAGCAAAATAGTTAGATAAGTGGCTACAAGATAGCTTTAAACATCCATTAGACCCTCCTGAACAACAGATCGTTCCAGAATATAGTTGACGTACTTTGGCAAATGATCCGTAACGGCAGAAGCAGACAGCTTGATATCCGACAAACATCTAAAATAGAGAGTATGTAGATTTTTTCAACCCAAGATTGTCGTTTTAAGCAAAAATGAAATCGCGTACTTCGGATCAATCCACTGCTTTATAACTTGTGACTCAGAGTCGTCGTCAGCAAGATAGAGAATATTCCCCGGTGCATATAACTAAAAAAACAGATACTATTTAACAGTCAATTCATCATCAATACCTGAATCCGAGATTCGTCAACGGTTATTTGAGTTTGTGGGGGCAGAATTATTTGAGCGTCACCACTCCCATACGAAAAAGGTGCTCGGTTTCCGCTAAAAAGGGAACGAATTGTAAAAATTGAACTGGACTGTACTCAAAAAGTTGTTGCGTATCCGCGTCCTCCGGATGTACGCCACTAATCTCCCATCGCGCTTTAAAGAACAGCCGGAAAACTCCCTAAAGATAGATAGTAAATGCTAAAGTTTGCATATTCAATCTTACCTTTATCAGAATCTCACATTTTGCTTTTGTTGAGGCGTTTAGTTCGCGGATAATTGCAGCGCGAAGACGGTGCATTGCCTAAAAGAACAATTAAAACATTGTTATGCTAGCCAACTACAATCAAATTATCTTAAATATAAATAGCTTAAACACACATGGTACGATATTCGAGGCACTACGTCATCCCTTGTCACAACGCTCATTACATGTTGTCGCATTTCTTCTTGTCCTTCTTCACTAATCACACATCCAGGAGGAGCAAACGCATAACATCGAATGTTTGGGTAAGTTTGTCTAAAATATTCTAGTAAAGTGGGCCATCCAATCTGGATATTTAGAAAAAAATACTTCAACAGGAGAGTGAGTAAACTGGCAACGCCTGCACCAAGTGAGTGACCACAAACAACTAGTCCATAATTCGGGTGTAAAACTTGCAAATCTTCCAGAATCTCGTGTTTCCTTAATGAAAACTTGAATAAGTTGAAATTCTCAATCATTACCTCAACTGATCAAAAACGTAACGAGCACTTCGCAGCATACCACGATGAACTCTAACTTGCCCACGTCCATCCAAATCCGTGTCCTATAAATATTCCTGCATGAAACGGATACTTAGTTTGATTATTACCTGTCTTAAAACTGGGTCCGCATCAACATCAACACTTAAAAGTTCATCATCAAGACAGAGATCCGTGACAAGGTCCGTAAGTGAACAGGATCCACGAATTGTGATCACCACACTATGCGTGTCATGATCAGCCAGGACAACAAAAGGTGTCTAGAATTTCCGAATAAACGATTAAAACTTGATTAAACTAACCTCGTACACTCGATTTCTGAAAGAAACGAAGAAAAGGTCGATGTTCTTTTTTTCGGTTGAAAGCACAAAAGCGGCAGTGTTACACAAAAAGCAATTATCTTCCACGACTAATACCTAAATTTTGGCCAATGTTTGAACTTATCAGCCATTCTACTTGATCACATCGAATTCTTCCACAACAGCGCATCTTTCTTAGCAAACGCCAATATGGACGAAATCCTGCATGTTGAAATAGATAGGAGGGCCAGCCGTAAACGCAAGTTGCAAAATGAGCAAAGTGTTGTGCCAATTTTACGTTCATCCATACAGGGACTCCTAAAAACGATAATTAACTTGCAAATGCAAGCCATTTACCTCTATCAACTGCAACCAACGGTGGGTATTTATTGATAGGTGAGTGAACAACAAGAAGTAGACCAGCTACAATGTCGGAAAATACATAATCCCCTAAAGCAATAAGGTTTTTTAAACAAGGTGCAAACTTTGAACCTTCAACGAAGAACGATGCGATCATATTTGCTATGTCATCTACAGCAGTACGCATTAGCTCATCTTGACGGATTTTTAACTAAAAGGACAAAGTTAATTCATAAAAGGTATCAACAAACAAGAAACAAGCGTCGACTCCACACTCTTCGGGTGATCAGAACAGCATCCTGAGTATCGTCATGCGACGATGGATTAAAAACTAAAAATTATTGAAGATGTAACCCTGTTTATCACATGATGGCCTAACCTATGAGAACACCGAATAGCACACAGCCGACAAGCATCCATTGTAGAACAATTGTGATACGAAGCAGATTTTTGCTATTGCAGACCGAAAACCCTTCTAAAATGTTGAATCATTAGTGTTAAAAAGAGTTTTGTATACCAAAGAACAATATTGTGGAAACTAAAGTCCAAAGTGCTTCAATGACAAAAAATGGCACCCTGAAGTACAGGCATGATGACACATGTTCACGGCTTTGAGCATTCATGATTGACCCTAGACTTTAAAAAATTTAACGTTTAAAAAATTTGAGACCTCTAGAGCTGATCCAAACCATAATGACACATAAAGTGACGGTCGCTCCATTCAATATGATTAAGCCGGCAAGATAAACACGACCGTTCCATTCTTCGCAGTCCAATGGATAATGAAAATAGTAGACAAAACATGCAAATATGATCCTAAAGTTGACAATGTTTGCTGTTTTGAATTTTACAAAACGAACCATAAGAAACGTATGACGGCTTCAGTTATTCCCGGAAAAACAAAATCGTCGCTGGCGATCCCCCATTTTCTTCCGAATGCCGAGAGAGAAGGCATCACATGATTTTGTGGCCTCGGTTAACCTACAAATCACTCAAGTTTAACTAATGTAAAAGCTTGATAACAATGTGGCAAAAATAATTCAGGTTACAAAGCCATTGAGTTGAGTTATATGCAACCACTTCCGTAAAAATTTATTTTCAGAAAAAAAACAAAACAAAAACGATTAATTAAAGCATCATCAAAAACCCGTAAGTGATCGAAGGGCTTTTTTCAAATCTCCCTCGGCATTCAACAATTCTTTTTCCGCACGCAACTAAAACTTCAAATGTGTGTTACGCTTTAGAAACAAATATAGTAGAGGAATGAAATTTACAAACCTTTGAGACTAGTAATTCATCGATAATCGTTTGCACATCTTCTTTCTTCAATTTGATCGTTGCTTTTTTCTCCATGGGTGCCTCGATGAGTCGCTCTAGATTTCCCAAGACTTCCACTTCTTTCTCATCTTCATTTGACGACATAGCAGTAACCTAAAATATTTAAATGTATCTAATAAAAAGCATTAACAAACCTTCTCGAGATCAGCAGCTCCCCAGTTGTGCTTGTCACTTTTTTGTTCTTCCTCCGCATGTTCTTCGATGAAATCTTCGTGATCTGCCATTTCTAAATTTAGTTTATAAATAAGAAAAAAGTTTTCACAGAAATTAAGAGTTTCAAATAATAAATGAGAAAAATTGGAGATGATGTTGTAATGGTTAAATATTACTGGTACTCAATCGGTTACCAATGCCAAAATTGTGTGCTTTCATTAGGCGCTATGCACCAAACCTACCGTAATCGTGACGCAAACCGCGCCAAAATCAAAGAGAGTCAATTATTTTTCCAAAAAGTTCAGTCCCATACAAATTTATTTTTTGTCTTTGCATTCTTTTATTTTTTTATCTATCTATGCTTATCTTTTTATCTCTTATCTTTTTATCAAAAAATTGATTTCAGGTCTTTGTTTAAGTCAATGAACTAAACTTGGTATTATTCTACAATGGGAACCTATTTATCAAAGCCGAACACAGAGAAAGAGACGCAAACAGGATCGTCGACAAAGATCAAATATGCTTCGACGTCAATGCAAGGATGGAGGGTTCATCAAGAGGTTTGTTCGGTTGTGTTCGGTTTTCTAATGAAGAATTGAGTCAAAAAGGTAGCGTATGCTTAACTAATTTCGAAATTCAGGATGCACACAACTGTATTTTAAATTTGGTTGACGGGTGGTCGCTATTTTCTGTTTATGATGGACATGGAGGACCGGAGGTTTGCATTTACTATTTACACTAAAATAGAAATAGAAAGCGAAGAGATAGCAAAATAGAAAACGCAAATGCACGAAATGATTATTCCTGTCTCAATGGCGTTTCTATTTTGCACTAGATACACTGTGGTGCAAAAGTCTTGTCCCACTTACTTTTCTGAAACATTTTATCAAAATTCTAAAGATTTTTGAAAACAACTTTTTAAGTAAAGGGGTTTTTCTGAACCCTAAGTTGTAAGCTTTCATATAAAAAAGTTTTTAGATTTAAAAATTTATTACCTAAAAGAAAATAACAAATAAAGTTTAAAAGCAAAAAATCTATGGTGCAAAAGTCTTGTCCCACCATTAAAAAAGGAAAGCTAGATTAATATTTTGTCGGTCCTCCTTTAGCCAAAATCACTGCTTGAATACGTTGAGGCATTGAATCGACCAAATCACGTAGAATTTCCGAAGAAATTTGTCGCCAAACGTTTCTGATAAGGAACCAAAGCTCGACCTTTGTGTTGAATATCTTGCCCCTGAGTTTAGTCTTTAAATGGGCCCAAAGATGCTCTATAACATTCAAATCCGGCGAATAAGGAGGCACTTTGATCAATTTTACACGATAAGCAGCAAAAACGCCGGGTAGGCGACCTCTTCCTCCATTTGCAAGCCGGACAACTCGCCCCATCATTAGCTGGCTTTTGTGGCATGGAGCGTTGTCTTGATATAAGGCCCATCCTTGTGACATGTTCGTGTTTTCGAATGGAAGTAAGTTGTTCTCTATGATTGACTTGTACCTTTGAGCATCGAGATTTCCATTGATAAACATTAGCGGTCCCGGTACACTTCGATTCATCAAACCTAAAAAAGACAAGTCGTAAGTGAAAAATAGGGCGAACACTTACCCCACAACGTAATGCTCCCACCACCGAATTTGACCGTTGGCTTAACGTATTTGAGCTTTTAACGTTGTCCCACTGATCTTCTGGTTAAATGGTTACCGTCCGGGTAGTATAAATTAATTCTAGTCTCATCGGTGAAAATGACTCGGGCCCAGTAATTGGAAGTCCAACACTCGTAGTTCTTTGGAAAATCATATCTCAGCTTCCGAGTTTTTGCAATGGTCAAGGGTCGTTTTGCTGGTTTTCATGCATGCAATCCTGCTCGAATCAAGCGATGGCTGATGCTCCATCGAGACATATTTTTGTTAGACATGGCCTCCAACTTCATGATTCCATGGCTCGAAGTCAGATTCGGGTCGATTCTATGGTCAATGATAAGTGCTCGATCTTCAGTTTTTGTTGTAATCGGTGGACGACCACTTTTCGAAGCTCTATGAAGACCTTGGCCTGCTTCCGATTTTGCTGCTAGCCGATCCACCGCCCTTTTATTGCATTTGAAGAGCATCACAATAGACGGTGATGAATATCCATATTTCTTTGCTTATCAGTAGTTGATAAATATTTTTGAGTCGACGTCTAAAAATAAAAATATAATACAAAAAATTCATGAGAACAAACAAAGACAAAGAGAAAACACAAATTTTCTTAGTGGGACAAGACTTTTGCACCAGTTTTTTTTCTCAGCTACTAGGGATAAGCTACTAAAAAAACCCGTTACTTAAAAAGTTGTTTTCGAAAATTATTAGAATTTTGACGAAATGTTTCAGAAAAGTAAGTGGGACAAGACTTTTGCACCACAGTGTATTTATAAAAAAATAAGTCTAACAATGTGGTTTTAAGCTTAAAAACGATGTTATAACATTATCTATCCAGGTTGCCCAGTACACCGCCGAAAAACTGCCCGAATTTCTGAAAACAGACTTATTCAAAGACGGAGAGCCAATCGAGCGAAACTTCCAAGATGTGTTTATTGAGTATGATGATCATTTGAGGGGCGCAGAGGCAATGAAAAAGCTACAAGTATTCAGAAACAAAAATTTAACATTGAGAAATCGTTTTTAGCAAATCGCTGGGATAACCAAAGACAATCAAGATGATAACGAGGAAGAAGTAGTAAAAATGTTCGAAGAGTCATCACTTCCCGTGAAAGCACTACTAGAAAAGTTTGGCTTTAATTCACTGTTCACTATTAAGTTGCACAAATATTATATAAAATTACCCAATTCAGGTATGGAGTTCGTTTGCTACGCAGAAACTCTGATGGAATGGCTCGGAGTCTAGAGGATGGAGTAGAACCGGAAGGTTTGAAAAATAGAGAAAGACTTGTTGCAATGAAAAGATTTAAATTTAGAAAACGAGGAAGAACCGCTTGATGATGAGGAAAACGAAGAAGAGAATGAACAGGGAAATGGAGAAGAAAAGGTAAAAGATAAAAGATAAAATCGAGAATTTCGGAGAACTTTAGGAGCCGATTAAAACAAAGAAAAGACCATCGACTGAGAAAGAAGTCGACGAGTGTAAGCGTCGAAAAGTTGAGGATGAAAATGCTGAAAATGCTGAAAAGAAAGAAGAGACAAGGTGAGGAAAAATAATGTTAACCTTTGATGATAATTTCAGTGAACAAGTGAATGATGAGGATAAGGATGAGAAGTCAAACGAAGTAGATGAAAGTCATGCAGAAGGAGGATCTAATGGAGCATGGTAATCTGAAAGAAATGTCTGAAAACGGACAAAAAAATTTAGTGGCACAACGGGTGAAGATGATGAAGACAGTGATCCGTCATACAGAGAAGAGGATGAAGAATCGTTTGATGAATCAGAAGAAGAATTAGATGAAGGTAGAGATGAATGGGAATACAAAAAAATATAAAATTTTAGAAGACCCCGAAACGATGGAAGGAGGAAATATGGGTGGCGAAGTACCGGGAGAAGACTCGGGAACAACCGCGTGTGTCTGTCTACTAAGTGACTCAAAGGTGAGCCCTTTAAAGTCTTACGTTATTGGCTAAATCAAATGAATCTCTAGATCATTGTCGCAAATATTGGTGACTCTCGAGCAGTTTTGTGCCGAGATGGAAAAGCGATCGATTTATCCGTTGATCATAAACCAGAAGATGAAGCAGAAACAAAAAGAATCGAAAAAGCCGGTGGTAAAGTCACCGAGGATGGAAGGTTTCCAGACAAAGAAACTTTAAAAAAGCAAATTTTTAGAGTAAACGGCGGTTTAAATCTCTCCCGTGCTTTCGGTGATCATTTCTACAAAAAAAACACCGAACTTCCTTTGGCGGATCAAATGATCAGGTATCTTTAAGAAATATTTCTCTCCTAAGCTTAGTAATTTTAACTATAGCCGGCTATTTTTTTTTGTTTCAAGCTATTCTTGCTCTCTTCATTGTATTTTGAATTTTTTGAATGTACAACAAAAAACTGGAAATTCAACTCGCAAGTGTCAATATAACGCAAAGGAGTGAAATTTAATATTATAGCATTTGGCTGAATATCTTATGCAGTTATGCAACTATCGAAATTGATCGAGTGATCGAGTTGGGATAGGCTACTTTGCGCAACTAGGTCTAGGTCAAATGACTCTGTTGCGCAAATGAAATGGCGGAGATTAGCCTACCCCATCGAGTTTTACTACTTGCCATTTGACAAGTTAAATGAAGAAAAAGTATACCCAAAGATATTCAGTTGAACACGGGGATGCTACAGTATTGCGGGCACTATATAAAATAGAGACGTAATTTGGCTACAATTTTTCTCAACTTTTAGTGGCTATTCGCCACAATGGTGGCTATCCGCCATGTATTAAGAAATTTGGATTAAAACCTAATTACAGTGCGTTACCTGATGTGATCACCAAAGAGCTCTCACCCGAGGATCGATTTCTCATTGTTGCCTGTGATGGAATCTGGTTTGTCGTGAAAAAAAGAAAGAAAAATATTCTTAAAATTTCAGGAACTCTATGGAGAGTCAACAAGTTGTAGATTATGTAAAAGAACGCTTAGAAAAGAAGAGATCTCTAGCTGATATCGTTGAAGAGGTGAGCGAGAAGAGCTATGCCTCAATAAGAGCTGGTTTTTCTGCCTTTCTGGCTCATTGAGCTCTTTATGATTTAGTGTGCCAGAAAGTTCATAAAGTTATAATGACGAAAACATCTCTAGTTATGCGATTCGTGCATGGCGGAAAATACGGCCGGTGACGGGACTGGATGTGACAATATGACCGTTATTCTTATCGATTTACAGAAAGCACAAGATGAATCTCAAACGGCTATTCTGTGAAAGACTTTCATTTATCTCTATTCATACAATGTCATTCATTATACAATGTTTTCTTTTCTTTTCTTTCTTTTCTTCTTTTTTTTATTTCGAATAAAGAATTCCTAATGTTAAAAAAATCGAATACTGTTTATTATCCAACAAAATTATCACAGTTTTCATGAGTGCTAGAGAAAAATTTCTTTAAATTGGCCTAATTTTCTTGGGCAAAAACTCGATGAACCCGTTAATCTCACAATCAAAAAAAGAAAATACAAAACAAAAAATAAAGCACACAAATCAATCAAGTATTAAAATTTCAGTGAGAAATCTTTTGCAAAAAAAAAACTCTTTGCTCTACTTATAAAGTGGGTGATGAAGTAAGAAATGTGACATAAATGGTGGGAAATCGTCCTTTCCTCTCCTCAATCCCATCCATCGCTCTTCCAACCAACCAATCATCTCCTAATCGACTCTCGACAATCTGAAACAAAGTTTTCTTTTCATCTCACATCATCATTTTCCATTTAACTTACCAAATTTTCACCGGCTTTAATCGAAAGTTCTTCTTGATGTGTTCCATTGAAATCGTAAAGAGCCTTTTAAAGTTTTCTCGTTTAATTGTGGAATTTTTTTTTCGTTACTTGGCAAATTGATAGGCTTGGATCAGGGTCGTCGATGACAGTGCTTTGACGAATTAGGTGCTCTTCTTTAAACCCAATCCCGAGTTTTGGGGGCAACACCGTCTCCGGGTATGATTCCATCTTTAACTTTCACTTTTCTCAAATCTTATTCTTTTCCCAAACCTTTACTGCTTCAAGGGTGTACGTTTCGGAGCCAGATGTTGATGGTGGATTGCCCAAAAAGCTCGTGGTTTGAGCTGAAATGGTTTATATATTGTAGAATTTTTTCAATTTTTGCTACCACTGTCGCCATTGTCGGTACTCTGTGGGCCAGAAGAGTTATAGAAGCCTTCATCAGAGATCGGAAACGTTCACAAATTCAAAAAAAAATAAACTCATCGACTCACTTTATCATAATCATCATTGCGATCTTCAAAGCAACCAGGTGACGTTGACTCAGTGGAAAGAAGAGGATCACTCAATGGAATAACCAATGAACTATGGCTTAAACCCTGAAAGTTTCTATGGTTTTATTGTTAAGCTTTTATTGTTAAGCTTTTATTGTTAAGCTTTTATTCTTTAGCTTTTATTCTTTAGCTTTTATTTTCTTATTATTATCATCTCACTTGTTTATCTTTGCTCTTTTGAAGATAACCAGCCAATCGATGAAATCCTCGACCACCACTACCCTCAGCCGAGTTCAAAGCCTCATTAATCTTGTAATACAAGAACTCAACAAATTCGATGTTTGTCTAAAAAGTAATAGAAGATGGAAGATAGAAGAGCTTCTTTTACCAGTTCTCTAGATACAGCTGTCGATTGTTTCTTGTTATAGATTGCTCGTAGTTCTCGATCGAGAAGTGAAGCGATTCTCTTCAAAGTGCTTTTTCTTCTTTCTCCAAGAATGATCTCCGAAAAGTTTTCCGCCTATAATTTTTCAATATTCTAGAATTCTCTAGTAAATAACTCTAGTAAATAATAGTTTTACTATATTCTAATCTCGATCTTTAAAACAATAGGAAATTCAATTTCTGTATTGTCTTTTTCCGTTTACCTTCCCTTTCAACCATTCCCACTAGCATCCCTCAAATGCCCCCCTTGTGCCCTCAAGGTCATTTTTTTTTTACTCTCTATCTTCTCTCCTTCTTTTTTCATTTGTCCATTCATCCACCAATCTCTACCAGTTCTCATGCAAATCTCTCTTTCAGTAATATTGCAATGAGAAGTACTTCTTTTTGGCATTCTCGCCTCAAGCTTTTCACCTCGTCAATCACTCTGTTAATCCTTCTTTTTCTTTACGAATACAGGTATTTTCAGCTTTGTTTTTTGTCATGATGATCTCCTCAATTGATAGAAAAATAATCCTATTTTTAGAAGAGATTATCATAAGAAAAAAAACGAAATCCCCACAGGGAAGATAAAGTGACGAAGAGAAAATTTCTTGAGGAGAGAAATCTTTTTTTTTTTTAGGAATCGAGATGAATTTGAAAGTGTAAAGAGGGAAAAATTGGAAACAATCTGGGTAAAATTCATAAATAATTTCTAAAAATTCAAATCTATTAGGGAGATTTTTATGAAGATAGCAGAAAAGCTCTTGAAGCGATCACTTATATGAAATCGCTTTCATCGGGGAAAGCCTTTGTGCGCCAAGTTTGGGAGGATGTGAGTGTTTTTTTTTCTTTCTATAATATTAGGTTGATGCATAAGTCTTTTTGTTCCTTTTCGTCTGCCGTTTCAAACCAACAAATGCACCAATTAAACTACGGTTGATTTCATTAGAAAAAGCAATTATTTTTCTGCAAAATAACATTAAAACGGGTTTAAAAATATTTAATGCCTGGATTTTCTTGAGAGTATGAAGTCGGGTAGTCAAAAAGGGCTAACTCGATGATGCGGTTTAGACACCTTAGCTAAAGAAAACCGATCTTCGTGTCAATAGATAAAAGATAGAGAAAAAAAACGTTTGATAATTCGCCAAAATCTCAGAGAAATTCATTCAGCCAATTTTTCCGTAGAGCTAATTTTTCCGTTTTTATAGATTTTTACGAAAAAGGCGTTTTTCACTCTCGAATTTGCTTGAAAGTGAACCGAAATTCATTTAAAAAGATGCAAATTGAACAAAAAAACACCTTTTTTTATAGAGCAAACTATAGATTAATTGGTGAATTTGTTACTTTTTAACAGAAGTACGAAAAAAACGAAAAGACTTATGCATCAACCTATTAGCTTTGTTAATATTAGATTTAAATGGAAATTGCTCAAAATTCGTAGATAAATCAAATTCGAAAACATTTATAGGAGAAAGAGGTGGAAGAGTACCGTTGGGGTTGTTACCCGGAGTTCGCAGAGATGATCGCAGAAAGTGGGAGCTGGATTAGCATTAATCAAAAGCTTCAAGTAATTAAGCGAGATAAAGTGTTCTTAAAGTTTTTAGATGTATTCAGCTCATATCGATCGAAGAGAGAACAGCCTTTTCCCGAGAAATCATGCGATACAAGTACTTTTAGATCTACTTTTAGATGTGGCACGATAAGCACAATTCGACAACACAATACTAGGCGATACCTGAACTTATCTGAACCACATCTTAACTACATCTTAACTACATCTTAACCACATCTTAACTACAGCTTAACTACATCTTAACTACATCTTAACTACCCCTTAACTACATCTTAACGTCTACATTCTCGACGACTTCCTAATCCTTACTCTTATTAGATCTCTAGATAGCTAGGCGATAGAGAAAGCGAAGACGGCTAGATAGGTTTCTCGAATTAAAGACTATGTCCCCTGGAGACGGGATCGAGCCCGGGCCTCTAATTCCAGAAACAGTCACACTGGCCTTGCGCTATCCTGATGACTTAAAGACAGATTCTGAAGGCGACTCTTTTCCACCCCGTTCAGGTATTGACAATGTCTGAGGATTCAATCGAAAATCACCTTGAAATTTACTGTACCATACACACGGATCGAGAAATGGCCGTAGTGAAAGGTAAACTTTTGAAACCCAGAAAGAAACGCTTTGCGCCTAGTTACGGGAAAAATCTTTCAAAAAATAAGCTAAGTTTCAATTTGTTCAGTCATCAGTATTTTTTTTGGCTGATACCCATCCTATTCATAGCCATTTTCTAGGGTACATTCGAGAGATCTGGCAAAGAGCTTGGGATCCTCGAAGGGGTTTCTGGACACCGAATCTTATTACATGTCCACTCCCAAATCGAATACGGTATAAAATTTGTGTTTCTTTTTAGCAAATATTCAGTGACCATACTTCGTTTGTCATCTCGTTAAATAAACGACCGTGTATTGGTGGAAAAGAGGGATTACGAGTGAATGAAAAACGAACGTTAAAGCCGAAAGGATCCGAGCGTCGAGTGGCCGTTTGTTTAAAAGGAATGGATTTTCAGGTATCAAATTTTCTAAAGAACAATTTTTTAAAGAACAATTTTCTTTAAAAGCTAATATCAGGAAGAAATTGGTGATCGTTTATTGGAGTGGATAGAGGCTCAACTTTTACTAGGAGTCGATCATATAACAATCTACACCTATAGTGTTTCGACAAAAGCAGAGAAAGTTTTGCGTCATTTTGTGAATCAAGGGACTCTCGATTGGGTAGATTTAATGGAATTTTCTTTTTTTTTTTAAATCAAATTAAGATCAAATTATCTCTACCCAATGGTTTTCCCAATGATCCCATTGAGCGAAGTGCGTACATATGGCGAAATCGTCAACAAAAACGTCGTCTTGAACTCATTCCATACAATGATTGCTTTTATCGGTAAACAAAATGAAAATCTGTTATTTGAACAAATTTGATTCATTTTCAATTATTAATCTAATATCTAATGGTTTTAGTTTCATTAATACACACGATTATGTACTAATCATCGATTTGGATGAAGTGATCATTCCACAAAAACACGACAACTACAGTAGTTTACTCTATGACGTAAAAGTACAATAGAAATCTAAAAGACTTCGAAATTTAGTTTGAAAAAGAGAAATCAAAAAAATTATTGTCATCAATCAATGTTCGAAATGTGTTCAAATTCCCGGAAAAGTCGGCTCAATATCCGGCTCAATATCCAACTCAATATCCGGCTCAATATCCGACTCAATATCCAGAATATTTGTACATGCTGAGAAACAATAAACGCTCACGAAAAACGAGTAAACTTGGTGATTATGGGAAAAGTTTTACCAAGTAAGTTGATCACGTTAAAAAAAAATCTTAAATCTTAAAATCTTTTAGTACTAAAAATGTGGCTACAGTTTTCAACCATTTCGCTTTACATAAACAGTTCAAAGAGGTTTCCCCATCAGTTGGTCTACCAGAAGAAGTGGCTGTGAAATTACACTATAAAGAAAAGGTATTGTTGGACATGGGACAAAACTGAAAGAAAATTTAGTGCCCAATTGAATCTCGAAATGAATGCGAAGAGTTACTGAATGATCGAGTGATTGATAAAAGTTTTGATCGATGGATGGAACGATTGAGAGAACGAGTGGAAACGACACGGGGATTGCTCAATTTCTAATCAGTACTAGAGTGTGTTTTTTGCCGGATAGGCTAATTTCCGCAATTTTTTTTTGCGCAACTCGTCATAAGTTTCTTCTAATTCGGCCAATCTTTATGATTTTGGTTTCATTTTGTTGTACTTATTGAGATCTACAAAATGAAACCAAAATCATAAAGATTGGCCGACTTAGAAGAAAGTTATGGCGAGTTGCGCAAAAACCCTGTTGCGCAAAAAAAAAATTGCGGAAATTAGCCTACTCCTTTCTTGTGAGTAACTAATTAGCCGAGTAAAATTTGTATGAGTCATTTTTACTTGACTAATTGACGCTTTTTTGTCGAATAACTACGAGTAATCCTATTGACACGAATAAATTGAATATCTTTACATTTCGAGGTGATTATGGGAAAATTTCCCATCAAATCATTTAAACAGCTGAATATCTTTACATTTGGAGGGAAATTGGGGAGTGGGACAAATGCGATCTTTTTTTTGCGCACCCGGACATTTGCGCACCTTTTTTTCAGCACTTAGCCCATTAGCGCACCTTTTTTCGTGTTTTAAAAAAGCTCTAAAAGCTAATATTAATCAATTTCTATTCCAAAAGTTGTTTTTCTAGGTAATTTGAGGGTGTCGGATTCAAATTTTGACATAACAGAGCGTGTGGAACCAATTTGAAAGACAAAACGGCTAGATCAAATTACAGAAAATTGTCGATCTTTCTCTTTGTATAACTCCGTCCGTTTGCTTCCACAAGCTCTGATATGTCAAAATTTCGATTCTACGCCCTAAAATTACCTAAAAAAACAACTTTTGGAATAGAAATTGGTTAATATTAACTTTTAGAGCTTTTTTAAAACGCGAAAAAAGGTGCGCTAATGGGCTAAGTGCGGAAAAAAAAAAGGTGCGCTAATATCCAGGTGCGCAAACGACTGAATATTTTCACATTTGAAGGGAATTTCTCAGCAAATCAGTTAAACAGCTGAATATCTTTAAAAGGAGTCATATATAACTCGTTGTTCGTCTTTTTTTCGCCATTTTTTCATGAAGATTTCCATGAAAACTATTTTTTATAATTAAACTAAATTAAAGTTTTATTTTTTAACTTTTTAATTAATTTTCTAAAATAATTTTTCCCAAGTGTGCTTTTTAGAAAACGCATTACTCTCGAGGAACACACTCTATTCAAAACTCACTACTTTCTTGAAAAATAAATATATCTAGCAAAACGTGGCACTGATTTTAATCAAAACTCACAAAATAATCGACAAGAGTGACATTGTGAACGGCTGTGGAAGCGGGCTGAAGTGAAGCGATATGCGCGGGAGCGTCGCATCCAACCGCCACATCCAGCTCATTCGCATATCGCTCAAACATCTGCAAAAATGTACTCTTAAATCCTTTTCGAAATCTAATCCCGGTTTTTTCATTGATTCATTAATTCTTACAAGTATTAGATCATCTTATATACTGTAAATACTGTAATAGTACCCCACCCCCCTCGTACAGTCGCGTAGTCGCAAAAGTTTTTTAGTATTTTATTTTTTTCAAAGCGCCCGTACTTTCAAAAAATGCGTCTTTGGTATCAAAAAATAGCTGAAATTCAGGGCTATTTTTTGATAATTGTATTGCTATTGTAGCATAAACCAGTGTCGAGAAAAACTCGTTCAAAGCTAGACTACGCAACACTGCGCCCTGTCATTATGGGGGTGGGGTACTATTACAGTATTTATGGTATGTTAAACCTTTTACAAACGAACTTGTTGTAAATTCGGAGCCAACTGTTCCATTTTTCTCTGCACTCGTCCCAGAGCTGTCTGAAACTTGAAAAAATAGAAAAATCATATAATATTTACAATTATTACTACATATTAGTCAATTATCCAATAGAATTACTTTTCCTTTACTTCTTTTCCTTCAAAGTTTTCCTTCTTCACCTGTGCATGTGCTAATCGCTGTCTTTCCACTGCTTCCACATTTTCCACAGCTTTTTTCAAAACCGAATATGTTATTCTAGAAATTACTCCTCTTTCAAAAAAAAAAACTCGAATTTTCAAAACCTTCTCTGTCCTTCTAGATCAATTGTCGTAAAAAGATAATCATCCTCTCCTTTGTGAACCGTTTCGCGCAACTTTTTCCTTCGCAACGAGAACTAAAAAAAGTTTCACATCATTTTCCAAGTATTCCAAGCCTTATTAGCCATATTTGCATCAGCATCGATGAGTTGTTCGATTTTCTCGAGTTCTTTGCTTACAACATATAGAGAGCGCTTGGATTTTCCGAGTTCTTCCTTTTTATCCCGCCATTTCTTCGTCTCCTTTTCAGCCAATGCAATAGCCTAAATAAATTGTTTTGATATAATGAATTCTTTTGATTTCTTAATTGTTTTGATATCTTGATTGTTTTGATTTCTTAACTGTTTTAATATCTTAATTGTTTTGATATCTTAATTGTTTTGATATCTTAACTGTTTTGCTAGCTTAGTTGTTTTAATATCTTAATTGTTTTGATATCTTAATTGTTTTGATATCTTAATTGTTTTGATATCTTAATTGTTTTGATATCTTAATTGTTTTGATATCTTAATTGTTTTGATTTCTTAATTGTTTTGATATCTTAATTGTTTTAATATCATATATTAAAATAGTTTTATTTTCTTTCTAAAAATCTTTCTTTAACTTGAAGTTACCGTTCTGATCGTCCGTTGCTGTGTGGTTTGAATTGATCGAAGTGGTTGAACGAGGTCATCATTCAAAGCCGATCCCAGATTACTGAAGTAAAAACATATTCACTAGAGAATTGGTTTGGCTTTACTTATTAACAGTTACAGTAGAGTGACAGTACAGTAAAGATGACATTAAAGATGACATTAAAGATCAGAGTAAAGACATTAAAAATCAGAGTAAAGATCAGAGTAAAGATGACCTGTGCAGGGTGGCATGAGCGGTGAATTGATCGGCTACACTTGTCCATCCCTTGTCCACTTCACTGAAATTATTCTATATTTTAGATAACTCCGTTTTATCATTTCTATTCAAAAAAAAAAAATAACCATTGTGCATCAGCTGAGACCTTCTGCAAACGAGCAGACAATTTGTGCAGGGTTTTCGCATAGGTGAAATCCATAGCAACTCTGGAAATGAGATGGATAAGAAAAAGAGTTTTATAAAATTCATTTCTATAATATCTTTATCTTTTCATTCATACAATAAACTTACTTTTCTTCAAAAATTGAGATGATTTCTCGTAGTGCGTCATTGTTTTTCGTGACGATTTCAGAGATTTGTCCGAAAGCTTGAGGACTCTGAAATTTGAAGTTTTTAAGTTCTTTTTTTTATTCTACAAAAGATTGATATCTAAAATTTTAAGTGATCTTTTATATTTTATAAAGATAATTTCTTATTATCAATTCTTTAGTTGTCTTTATGAGAAGTGAGCAAATTGATGGGGTGAATGGGTGAATGGGTGGAAAGGAGAGTGCTTTTTTATTCTCTTTTTCTTTTTCTTCAGAACGAGTGTCTACACACGTGTTTTCTGTGTCGTCATTTTCAAACAATCAACGAGACAATTGGCCAGAAGATGAAAGAGAAGAGATCTTTTGAGAGCTACCAAAAATAAACAAACTTTCAACTCATTTAATCGTTCAATGTTGGCTATTGATTAAGTGAATGAGTAAACTGTCGGATCTATCAGAAGATGAATGAATCTATCAGAAGATGAATGAAGAGCTATCAGAAGATGAATGAATCTATCAGAAGATGAATGAAGAGCCATCAGAAGATGAGTGAATCTATCAGAAGATGAATGAAGAGCTATCAGAAGATGAATGAATCTATCAGAAGATGAATGAAGAGCCATCAGAAGATGAGTGAATCTATCAGAAGATGAATGAAGAGCTATCAGAAGATGAATGAATCTATCAGAAGATGAATGAAGAGCCATCAGAAGATGAGTGAATCTATCAGAAGATGAATGAAGAGCTATCAGAAGATGAGTGAATCTATCAGAAGATGAGTGAATGTATCAGAAAATTGATGCTATTCGATCAAATATTCAGTCTTGATTTATCTGCTTTACTCTAAACCTATTCAAATCTATCCATCTATCTATCCACAAGCTCATTAGCCACAAGCTTATTAGCCGTTTAATGGCTATTAATTAAGCGAATGAGTAAACTGTCGGATCTATCAGAAGATGAATGAAGATGAGTAAACTGTGAGCCTGAGCCTGAGCCTGAGCATTAACCACAAGCTTATTAGCCATAGATCTTAGATAGTTCTCTAAATTTCTAAGAAAATTCTTCTATTTCAAATAGATTTCACTTTTCTACACGAACAGCAATCATTTCAATAGCAATCGTTCACTTTTCACCGCAAATAAACGCTTAAAATTCCGGTTGAGTAAGCGTGAAATGAAGAAAGAGAGAAGAAAGAGAGAAGACAGATAGAATAGACATAAACTATCTGAAAAATGAAGGAAAAATGAGGATGAGAAGTGAAATGGAAAGAGAGAAAAGAAATCGAAATAGAAATCGAGATTTTGCTGAAGTGAGAGAAAGAGGAGAATGGAAATGTGATGCCTTGTCTTGATGCCCTAGCCTTAAGGACAGTTGTTGGCACGACTCAAACCCGCACACAAAAGAAAAGCCAACAAATCCCATTGTCAAAAAAATCCCCTCATCCACGATTCAATCATAAATATCGTTTTTTCTAATCAAACAAACTAGATAAACAAAAAAGTTTTCCTCAATTTCTCAAGATTTTTAAATAAGAAAACAATATGTTTACATTCGCTTATATATTTTTTTTTCTCGTGATTTTGAGAGAGAATCGTTTTCACGTTTTCATGTCTTATCGCGAACACGTGTGAGTCATTGTTCGAAGAAAATTTCTCTTTGATATTCTTTAAGGTGGGGAATTTTGAATAAACCATTGTTTGAAAAGAAGAAATCGGAAAATTGAAAAGATTGGAATTTTTCCAATATTGGAAATATTGGAAAAATAGAATAAATAGAAATAGATTAAAAAAAACTTACAGCAAATCGCTCAACCAAAATAGATTGATCAATGGTAAACGGGGCTTCGGGAAGCTCGTTTGCGGTCGGCTGTCTACCCAATGGGATCACCGAATTGAGCTGATGAACCGATCTCGATAGTGATCTAAATATATACAAGTTTTTCTTTATTTTTTTTCATCACATTCCATGCAAGCAATTTTTTTTCAAGCGAACAATCGATTGTTTTGTTTTGTTTTTTTGGGATTAAGCGACGAAACAAGCAACAGATGGAATTGGGGACTAAAAAGTATTGATGAGTCAAGCAAAACAAACAAGAAAAGGAACACATCACTTTTTTGTTTTACCTCATTCGTCGCAAAGTAACATTGTTGAGTTGAACGAGAGAACGGGACAAGGACCTGGGATTTTTAAGCTAAGAAAAGGAAAAAAGAAGTCAGTTTGGGAAGCTGACTGACTCAAGAAAAGAAATAGAAAGCTTGGGAAGTGTTTCGAAGAGTTTTTGTGATTGAGTTATAAAGAAATCGCTTTCAACTATGGAAACAAACCTCCTCAAACGGGACATGCGTCCATTCATCGTCGAATGCGAAGGTGGAATACGCGGTTCAAAAGAGTTATTGCCAGCCGTCAAGGGATTGAGAGGCTGTGAAGGGGTGGACGGGTGGACGGGTGGAGGGGTGGAGACATCGAGGGAACAAGGGTGTCTCTGCTCTCTTCACGCGACTCTCCGACTCCGCCCATCTCTCCTACAATCTCTTTTCACTCCCCTTTCCCCCAAACCGATCTCACCCATCTCCCCTCCGGCACAATCCGTCCTCATCTCACGCTCGCTGATTGTTTGAGGTCACCCCCTTTCCTTGTCTCTCTCTCTCTCCTCCCACCACTCGATGGGAATTTATGACCATCAAACCCATTTATGCATTTATGCATATCGTTTTGTTTCTTTAGACTAGAGTAAACCTTTTTCAGCCTACTTCTAACTGATTGACTGACTCAAAAGCTAACTGACTCAAGACACTGATTTCTCAGCATTGTTCAAGCAAGTTCAAGACCACTCTGACCTTCATTAACTACAGAGTGAAACCAGTTAGCAACCAGTTAGCAAATTAGCATCCCTTTTTCCAATCCAAGCGATTGAGAAGATTTTTCACAAATGTCCCCCCATCAAATGTTCACCCATTTTTTCACAGAGCTGTCATCCCCCAATTCCTCTTCAAGGACGACCAGATAACGGTCTCTTTTCTCATTATTACTCGCAGAAAAAAAGCTGCTCATTGTTCAAGTTTCTACAAGATCTTGCAAGATCAAGAAAATCTTTCCAATTTTATAATAAATCATTTATCTTTTAGCACCCTATGCAAATTCGACAAAAAACAAAGAAACAAAGAAACAAAAGAAAAGCCAAGTCAACTCCAAAGCGGCAACCCGCACCACTCAACGAGAATTGAGATCGTTTCGCAAAGAAAAAAAAATGAAAAATGAAAACAAATAAGGTCTAAAGTCTAAAATTATTGCACTTGAAAAAGAGACTTAGCGTCAAATAGAAATAGAAAAAAATAGAATCAAATTTGGTCTAAATCTGATGGAATCCGACTCGCGGTGGCATAATATCGCTGGCCGTTGGGGTCATTTGAGCGATCAACTGGTCGAGCTTTGCGTTCAAATCCGTGCGGATACGCTAAAAAAAAATTGAATTTTTCCCTTTAATACTAAAAGACTAAACTTTTGACTAAACAGTTTACCTGAACAGCGTCAAGAGCCAAATGATTCCCAGTGATCGATTGCTGGGGTGTTGTCGATGGTGGTGGTATCGCCTCTCCATCTTTCCCATCCACTTTTTTCACCTCATCTCCCGCAATTTCTTTCGCTTTATCGGCTGACGAGGCTCGAGAAGAAGTTTTCGATGTTCTGAATAAGATTCTTGTCTTTCTTTACAATAGAAAATCTTGTCCAAGTTGCCAAGATTGACAAGTTTTTGTGTCAATCTTGGCAGTTGCGATTTTTCGACTTACCGATAACGCAGCACACTCTTCGGACTGACACTATGCGATTTCTCAAGTTGCACAGCACACGGACGATCGGTGATCATTGATCTGAAAACTTTTTTTTACTAAAGCTTTACACAATTTCACCTAGAGAAACGTGGATCTGAAGCAGAAGCCCCAGAATAGGATATCGATGTATCCGTCTTGCAGAGAGCCTGTTTTCGCGGATGTTTTAGCAAATCTCCTTGCTGAAATCATTTTTGAAATCATTTGTTTACATCGAGAAAATATTCACCTCTAAATCTGTTTTCGTGATCTCGGGCAAGACGAACGTTTCCTTGCCGGATGGTGTGAAAAGAAGGGAATTACTGTCGTTGGTGCTAGAATTTTTCCCCAAAGTTATTCGCAAAATATTTATGAACAGGAAATGATTGATTTTCTTGAAGATTTTTGGGAAAATAGGGCTTTTATATTCCCACAAAATTGTCGCTTTCTATAGTGCACCTTTTCACGTCTGTCTAGGTTGTCACTAGGAACGCCCCGTAGTCTGTGTAATTCATTTTTCTTTTCGCTCCCTCCCAGTTGCTGTTCTACTTTTTGTATACCGTATTTCTTCGAATAGAAGACCGGGTAAAGGGTATCATCGCGTACTCCTGCGTAGCAGCCCTTTTTAAAATTTCTTTTCTGCATAAAAGCTTTCAATGAAGTGCTATAGGGCTGGAAAATGGCTCAAAAATACCACATGAGCTAACAGATTTTTGAGCCATTTTCCAGCTCTATAGCACTTGATTGAAAGCTTTTATGCAAAAGAAATTTTAAAAAGGGCTGCTACGCAGGAGTACGCGATGATACTCTTTACCCGGTCTTCTATTCGAAGAAATACGGTACTTTTTTTGTATGATTATGATTCTTTTATTCTTTTTCACCAGCTGCTTTGCTAAAATGTACATTAAATTCCCCTCTTAAAGTAAATTTAGCGTGAAATACAGATTGTTGTTGGGTTGTTGTAAATTTTAAAGTCGAATAACTCGGCGGGAAATGACGGTTTTTTACAAACGGGACTTCAGATTCGGAATCAGCGAATTTTCTTTACTCTAAAATGGGAGTTTTCAGCCCCATAGCTCAATTCCACAAATAAAAGCCTCCGGACAAACAGACGGACGGATAAATGAACGACGAACTTTGATTACTTTGGATAAACACTAACTGTTATTCCACAAGCAAGTCGATCACGTTACAACAGAAATAAATCATTTTTGTGGAAAACAAAATCAGGAAGAAACCTTTCCTCATCGCTCATCCCATCACCCTCTTCAGTAACCGAGGCTTTTGGGCGTCGATGTCGGAAACTTCGAGGCCACATCTGAAAAATAAATTATCTAAAAGAACTTTATCTAAAACAAAGAAAACCCCAAAATGGTGAATAAACCAAAAAAAAAGCTATTCTATGTGGGCAATAGTCGGGGGGATACGTACACGAAGCATGAAGAACTCGTGCCTTTTGGGCACAACACTCTCTTCGGGGGTCACCCCGAGAGTCATTCGTGGCTTCTGAATGAGTTTCTTACCAAAAACTTAACAATATCGACTACTAAATATATCAATCGAAATATGCAAATTCTATACTTGATTTTGTACCCTTGTTGTACTGGACATTGTTCGCATCAGCTCTCGCTTTACAGCATCAATATGCGACGAGGAGCGCACGATCTCGCGTCGGCGATCATCCCGTAGCTCATATCTGAAATTTTATCATTAAATTCTCTAAACAAATATCTGAACTAATATCTGTTTCCATATCAAGTTCACTATCAAACCTCAATGATGAGATATCTTGCTTGATCTCTAATAAATCATCCTCATTCACTCCATCCATTTTCATATCTTTCTTCGTTTGATGAATGAATCTAAAAAGAAAGAAAGAAATCATTTTACATTAAGAAATCATTAAGAAATCATTCAGAAATCATTCAGAAATCATTAAGATATCATTAAGATATCATTAAGATATCATAAAGAAATCATAAAGAAATCATTAAGAACTCATTAAGGAATCATTAAGGAATCATTAAGAAATCATAAAGAAATCATTAAGATATCATTAAGAACTCATTAAGAAATCATTTAAAATCATCAATCATTTTAAAAACTCATTTTACAATATCTTTTTAACAAACCTAGCGACAAGTCTTTGTATAATATCAGCATAAGTAAGCGGCTTATCCAAATCGAGTCCATCTTTCTTTTGCTCTCGCGCGTTTTGTCGCCGTGAGTAGCCGGGACGCTGAAAGGCAACTCTAACAGTTATCAAATTCGATTTCTATCAGGCTTGTAAGCGGAAATTGAATAGCTTTTTGATTTTTTCAAAGAAAAACCCAAGAACTGGGGCAGCTACGCACTGCGACGGAAAAAGCGGAACGTAGCTGCCCCATTTGTTGATGTTATCTTTGTAAATTGAAAGATTTTCAATTTTCCACTTTTTTCCGCTTAGCTTACAAGCCTAATTCCCATGCACCAAAAAAAAACTGAAAATCGATTCCCCAACAGTTCATAGATTGAAAAAAACGTATTGTTTTGGTACTGGTGGCTTTTTTTTCTTGATCACTTTGAATTCAACTAGACTAGAATCACTTTGTTTACTTTAATGATCACTTTGTTATCAAAAAACACTACCGTAAATACTGTAATAGTACTCCACCGCCCATGATGACGGTGCGGAGTGTTGCGTAGTCTAGCTTTGAACGAGTTTTTCTCGACACTGGTTTATGCTACAATAGCAATAGAATTATCAAAAAATAGCCCTGAATTTCAGCTATTTTTTGATACAAAAGACGCATTTTTTGAAAGTATGGATGCTTTGCAAAAAATGAAATACTAAAAAACTTTTGCGACTACGCGACTGTACGAGGGGGTGGGGTACTATTACAGTATTTACGGTAGCTTATTTACCGCAACAACAAATCTATAGTTAAATGCAAATATAAGAAAAGTACCATTATTTTTGAATTTCTATGAAAAGTCTTGTAAAAACTGTAACGATTTTTAAACGAGCGGGGTTTAAGAGAGAAATGACATGCAGGCGTGATCCCGGAAAAGGTGTTTTCCCAGAAAACCCATGCTAATTTTCGAGAAAACATCTTCGGCGCCCTTCTTTTGGAAAAAAAATGAAATAGGGATTTGTTTTTGGTTGAAAAAAAAAGGTTTCTGAGGGAGATGGGAGATTTCTCGAAGGGGGAAACGACTTGACAATTAAACACTGAAGGGCGCCACCTCTATCTGGAATAGTTTGAATTGAAATTAGAAATGTTTTGAGAAAAAGAAAAAAAAAGGAAAGAAACGCATCAGAAATATTAGTCGAAAGAGAGAATTTATGTTTTTAAAATGATTGATTAAAATACCCGAATCGTTGCCCGACTTCGACTCTTCGTGTATTGATAGTTCCCGAAAAGCCATCGAACTGTGTTCCAAAAAGAGCAAAGAAAGTAGAGAATTGCCTAGATGAGCTCAGATATTTCAAGAGATTCAGATAATTCTTTGATAGTTTAATCTTTGATACAGTCGAACTTCGATATGAACGAATCGCTCGCGATGGAAAACTTCGATATAACGAACCGAAAATGTGCCTCAAATTTTCTGCGTAGCTGCCCTGGGCCATCCAGGCCACTGATTACATTTGGCTGGGGCAGCTACGCACAAATTTTGGGCACTTTTTAGAATTCCAAATTCGTTTTAACGAAGTTCGACTGTATTTGATAAACTAAAACGCACTTTTGGAGTGACAACAATGTTGAATGGTGGCGGGAGAGAAGAGCCTTCGTCGAAACTGAAAGAAATCTAATTTCAAACTAAAGCTTTTGTTTTTTTCTAGAGTCTGATCGCATTGTTCTCTCAATTTATCGTATTCTCTCTAATAGTTGTGCATCCCGGCGAGCCGAGTTGATAACTATTTTACGGCTTTCAAAGTTTTCACAAAGACTCAACATTCAAATCCCCCACAAGATCTCATCGTCAGCTACATTTCCCGACCCCACATCGATAGGTTCTGATAAGCACTTTTCGAGATTTCGAGACATTTAGGCAATGCTCAGAGTGCACTACTATTAGAGACAACTACTATTACGGTATCTGACTTTTAAGTAGTCCTATAGTTTTACAGAATACAAAATTTCTAGCAAAAAGCAAGAATCAGGGCAGAAATATGTCCCAGAAATTAGGGCATAGCGCCCGAGGGAGTAGAGAGTCCTTCCCCGTCAATTGTTCCAAAATGGAAGCACCCCATACCCGGACGGTTTGCCAGATAAAGATCGATTAAAAAGAACACCTCACCAGTTATTTACGTAAGGTTTTCTTTGTAGAGAATATCAGAAAGATCTTCAGCTGTAGATTTGTACCCGGGGGGTTTTCAGGGTCGGCGAATCAATTGGAACTATTCATTTTCATGCAATTTTTCTCTCTTAAAATCTCAAGTTTAAAATGTTTCTCTCTTAAAATCTCAAGTTTAAAATGTTTCTCTCACTGAGCCATCCACAGCTTCGTTCGATGAAATTTCCACTCCAAATCAGCGTGATCCTGAACGAGTTATTGAAAAACTTTTTTTCAGAAATCATTAGCTGACATTAATTGTTTGAAATGTTGAGCTCATCATAGCGATCAACATATTAAGGAGTACGATAATCGATGTCATATGATAAATGATGAAAAGAGCGCGACCAAAAAGTTGAGTTAAATGATGAGCCTCGACGACGGTCGTGTCCTCAACCTGGAATCGATTTATGCAAGAGAAAATGAAGCGTGTTTCTTTTTAAAATCAATTTCCGGCAAAATAAAGTACTAAAAACTGCGATAAAATCCTAAAAAACAGTACCTTTGTAATCGAGAACACTGACCACAAGAGAGTTAAGTATGAGTCGTAGATTCTGAAAAGAAAGAAATTCTTCTTTGGAAAAGGTTTTTTCGGGACCTAGTCAAAATAGCGCCGCCAAAACAGCGCCGTTCAAAACAGCGCCATTCAAAACAGCGCCCGTACAAAAAAGCCCGAACAAAACAGCGCCCATGTTTTGAACGGCGCGATTTTTGTATGGGCGCTGTTTTGAACGACGCTGTTTTGAATGGCGCTGTTTTGAATGGCGCTGTTTTGAACGGCGCTGTTTTGGCGGCGCTATTTTGACTAGGTCCCGTTTTTTCATGCTTACGAGCTGAAAACATTTGGGTCTTCTCGACACTCGTCTCCCAAACAAACCGGTAATCGATAATACCTAAAAGAATTTCTCAATATTTTCGATGTTTTCTAAATACCAATATAGTTGAGCAAGTCCAATTGAGAAACTGCTGATGATGAGAATGAAAATGAAACAGAATTTCGCTACATCAACCAGCATACAGCCAAGAGAAATCTAAAGAAAAGTCGCTAATCTAACTGTAACTGATTTAATCATATCGTTAACAACTCGAAATTGATATTAATCTAAAGAAATCTTGTATAAGATTGCATAAAATTGACTTTTGAATAACGATAACTCGTTGATAACGATAACTTGTTGATAACGATAACTTGTTAATAACGATAGCTCGTTAATAACGATAACTTGTTGATAACGATAACTTGTTGATAACGATAACTTGTTGATAACGATAACTTGTTGATAACGATAACTCGTTAATAACGATAACTTGTTGATAACGATAACTTGTTGATAACGATAACTTGTTGATAACGATAACTCGTTAATAACGATAACTCGTTAATAACGATAACTCGTTAATAACGATAATAACGATTCAGCTTTTCTTTTACCAGAACTTACTTGCAAAGGTCCAAGATAGGGATTTGTTTGAAAAAGATAGATAATTCGTGCAAAAGAGAACACATTTCCGACAGCAAATAATGCCTAAATTATCGCCGATCAAAAGAATTTCTTTTTTTAAAAACCTCAGCCAATAACATTGGCTCATTTCCATCCCAATATGTTCGCAAAATGAAACGATCTTTACTCCAATGATAGATGAAATAAGCGGAAACTCTGGAATTTGATTTTCTTTTCAAATTTTGCAATGGAATTTTTTGGTGTTCCTATTCCAATGGAGTTTTTCAATGGATAACCTTAGCGAAATCGTGCACAGGTAGAGGCAAATCATGATGAAATCAAGCCAGTTCCACCATTGATAAACGTATTTCGAAAAACCTTCTTCCCATAATTGCTTGATTTCCGACCATAACATGCCTGAAAATGTTAAGAAATGCGGCAATTATCGCACTGTTATCGTACCAAAAACCCAGCAAACGACGAGGGTTTCAATCATTGTCGCTGATGGACCACGATCGGAAGCTCTCGAATTTGACGTCAACTAAATAGCGTCATTGATAAAGAGACTGCAGATATCTGAACATTCAACTGAATATCTTTAGCTTCATTGAGAAATTCATATTTTCTCATACAAAAATGATCAGAAGCTCTCGAATTTGATGTTAACTGTTAATTTGATGTTGTTTAATGTCAACTAAATAGCATTGAAAAAGAGACTGAATATTTGAATATATTCAATATCTTTATCAATATTATTGGCAAAGAAATCGTTGTTTTTGTAAAGATTAGTGAATTCAACTTTCAAAGCTTATTGTCCCCTCTTTTGTTTAACAAAGAATTCATTTGTTTGCACCTGTTCACTTCGGTAATCCTCAAAGGTTGCCAAGGTGAGTAAAAGAAGGAAACAACCGAAAGAAATCGAATAGTAAAGAAATTTCATAAATGGAGAGCGAACGATTCGACCGACACGACTTTTTGGCATCTGAAAATGAAAGAAATTGAAAAGATGTAAAATTGGGGTACGGTAGATCACGACAAGACGAGATTACGGTAGCAAATTGACGCGTTTTCAGACGAGATTACGGTAGCAAATTGACGCGTTTTCAGACGAGATTACGGTAGCAAATTGACGCGTTTTCAGACGGGATTACGGTAGCAAATTGACGCGTTTTCAGACGAGATTACGGTAGCAAATTGACGCGTTTTCAGACGAGATTACGGTAGCAAATTGACGCGTTTTCAGACCACATCCTATTCGAGTGCAAAGACTCCACTGTACTTTAGCAAAATGTATTTTTTTTATTACCAAGATATAGCAAATGGCGAGTGCAGGCCAGAGTAAAATCAACAGAATGCAGATGAGCCAATTCCATAAAGAGCCACGCTGTTGTCGTCCCGGAAATCCCTCATACCAAATCGATGTCAACAATTGTTGGCAGTGTGGATGAGAGACAAACTAAAAGAGAAAAATGTCACTTTTTCAGCTTTCACAATTCAACCGCTTTCTGTTGATACTTGATGGCAAGTTTAAGACGTGAAAGGGAAAGTTTCGAGGCCCAGACATCGATATTCTCATCGTGTGTGGCCACATCTTTATTCAGAATCGCAATCACCTATTATTTTTTTAATTGATAGATTTTTTTTGCTTCAAACCTCTTCACTACTTCGACATTGACTCAGTAGATCACAAGCGAATTGCTTGCATTGTTCAGCGAGCTGAAAAGATGATAAAGATACAGTAAACCCGGAAAGAAAGGATTCAGACTTTAGACTGAATATATTTCGCTTTATTTAATCGAGTCTTCTTTATTCAATACTTGTTATTTTGGTAAAAATCACCTTGAGATAAGTATCTTTGAACTCGTGCTCGATCTCGCTCAATTGCTGCAATTCCCAACTCAAACGAAACGCGGAAAAAATGGGATCAGGACTGGAATGGGATTCCGTAAATGAAAAGAAAATACATTCTTTGCGAAGAAAAAACTCGTCTATGGAAAAAAAGAGCCAATAATTCAGTCAGCGGGATCGAACCCTTGACCTTCTGGTTGAGATACAAGGGCCTTAGCCAATCGGCCATAAAGCCATTGGCACCGGCCATTGGCAAAGCGGTTTAACAAAACTTGTCAAACTCATCCAAGCCGGACTAGCTAATGCTCGATAGGTGTTAATCCGATACTGAGATACAAGGCCCTTAGCCAATCGGCCATGAAGCCAATTGGGAAAGCTGTTTAACAAACCTTGTCAAACTCATCCAAGCCGGACTAGCTAATGCTCGATAGGTGTTAATCCGTTTCAATGAATATTGTAGCGAATCGTTTAAGCGTTCTCTTAAGAATTGATTTTAAAACATTTCTTTTTTTGATTAATTACCGATCACAACTCTCGCAAATACAATTGTATTTGTGTGGAGTCTCAATAGTGGCATCTTTTCGAAGAAGCATTTGCAGGATCTCGAATTGATTCAGCTGAGCGGCAAGGATTACCGGCGAGATATCGCTGTAATCATTTGATAGCTCATTCATTTTTATTCTATAGATATTTGTGATTTCTCTTCTAATCTCTTCTAACATAATATTTTAATCGAAACCTAGAGTATTCAGCTGATGCGGCTTCTCCCGGGTCAAGATATTGTGTCCATCCTTCACCGAGCATCTCTTTTGTGATCGAATGATGATTGACTAGCATCTCCACCAAACGATAAACTCCTGTAGAGAATATTTTACGATTTAATTCAGCTAACAATTCTTCATTTCTCCAACACAGTTCAATCTTTGATTTAGCTTTTATCCAAGCCAGTCCCTGACTACAGTAAAGTAACAATAAACATTGTTGAATAGAGTGTGTTCCTTGCGAGTAATTTTTACTTGATTATCGTATTTTCTCTAATAGTAGTGCACCCTGGCGAGCCGAGTTGGCGACTATTTTACGGTTTCAAAGCTTTTGCAGAAGCTCAACACTCTAATCCCCCACAAGATCTTATCGTCAGATACATTTTCCGAACCCCACATCGATAGGTTCTGATAAGCGGTTCTCGAGATTTCGAGCAATTTAGGCAAAGCTTTGGATGCACTAATAGGGAAAGTACGGTAATCGACGTTTTTTGCCGAATAACTATTAGGTTGATGCAAAAGTCTTTTTCATTTTTTTCGTACTTCCGTTAGAAAGTAACAAATGCACCAATTGAACAACGGTTTATTGCATTCGAAAGGCCAATTATTTTTCTAAAAATGACATTAAAACGAGTTTAAAATGTCTTATGTCTAGATTTTTTTGAGAGCCTGAAGTCGGGTAGTCAAAAAAGGCGACGGCTCGATGATGCATTTTAGACGCTTTAGCTAAGGAAACCAATCTTGATGTTAATAAATAAAAGATAGAGCACAAAAAGTTAGATATTTTTTCAGATTTTCAGAGAAATTGATTCAGCCAATTTCTTTATAGAGGTTTTTATAGATTTTTATGAAAAACCCGTTTTCACTCTCGAATTTGCTTGAAAGTGAACCCAAATTGACTTAAAAAGATGGGAAATTCAACAATAAACACTTTTCATTTAGAGCAAACCATAGGTTTATTGATGACTTTGTTATTTTTCAAAAGAAGTACGAAAAAAATGAAAAAGACTTTTGCATCAACCTAATATGAACGATCCTCTTTACGCGTCGAGTAAATTGAATATCTTTCCATTTGAAGGGATTTCCCACCAAATCATTTAAATAGCTGGATAGATATTCAAATGAAAGATTTACATTTCAAGGAAATTTGTGACCAAATCAGTCAAATGGTTTGAGTATCTTTATATTTAAAGGGATTTCTCACCAAATCATTTAAACGGCTGAATATCTTTACATAGAATCATATAGAAGTCGGCGTGATTTTTTCACGCCAGTTTTTAGGGTAGGCTAATTTCTGAAATTTTTTTTTTTGCTCAACTGGGTCTTTTGCGCAAGACGCCATAACTTTCTAAGTCTTCTAAATCGACCAATCTTTATGATTTTGGTTTCATTTTGTAGATCTCAATAAGTACAACAAAATGAAAACAAAATCATAAAGATTGACCAACTTAGAAGAAACTTATGGCGAGTTGCGCAAAAAAAAATTGCGGAAATGACCCTGTTGCACAAAAAAAAATTGCGGAAATTAGCCTACACCCAGTTTTTGATTGGGTGATGCAAATTATCCGGACTTCTTTTGGTGCTTGTATCTTTTTGTTTTGAAAGCTTTTGTCTATTTCTTTTTTAAAATATTCGTATTCTTTAGTGAACAAAATGCGTGTCGACAATCATATCCATCTTCGCCATATCATGCTCTACCACTTCGAAAAGGGATGGTCTGCCGCAGAGTCGTTTCGCGATCTCAAAGAACTGGAGAAGCCCCAACGGACTACCACGTCAATCGATCGCTCAAAAATTGGCAAACAAATAAGATCTACAACGATTTGGATGACTTGATAGACGATGTTAAAGCGTGGATTGCCTCCAAAGATCGTTTATTCTTCGCTCGTGGAATCGATCGTCTTCCAAGCAAATGGCAATCAGTTATTGATGTAGGCGGTGAATATGCTCCAGAATAATCAATTAAACATATTTTTCTAACTATTTATGTTATTTTTTGTTAAATAAAATCATTTATAAAAGAAGTCCGGTTAATTATGCAACAACCCAATAATAATTTTCACTAAAAGTACAACAATTTTCCCAAGTTTTTTCCCAATTTTCCCCAATTTTTCAAGTTTTAAAAAACGCATTACTCGCGAGGAAAACACTCTTTTGTTGAGCGTTAAAATGAAAAGAAACCTTCTCGAATAGCGCACAGCAACGAATTGCCAACTCGAATACTTGGTTGTTGTAAAAGAAGCTCAACAATCTCGATATTCTCATTATCGACAGCGATCTCGATTGCTGATCTTCCCATCGAATCAAGCACATTTACATTCAATCCAGCATCTCTCTGAATGAATTTAGCAACTTTTTTTTCTTTTCTTTTCTCGCAAACCTGTGTAAGACATGCCATAATCGATGGTTTATCTCCCCTTTCAGCGGCCTCGAGAAAGCGCCGCTCATCCGGAGAGATCATGTCATGGGTTCTGCAAAATTTGCAAAACGTTTTCAAAACGGATTCCTATTGGCTAATTATTATGTCTTATAAATCCTTAAACATTAGACTTTCAAAGACAAACAACAGAGCTAAACTATTGAGACTCTGAAAGTAAGATTTTCCTAAAGAGAGGCTACATCTTTGACATCAATTTCTCAAAAGAAAATTTTAAAAGAAAACACTTTCCAAGAATATTAGGGCGAGAAGCTTGCTCAAGCGTCTTGTTTACAAATTTTTCCTGCTGCTCTCCGCGTTTTTTTTTTCTTTTGTGAAGGAAAAGCCTAGGAGAGGTGAGAAAAAAAAAAGATTATGACCCTTTATACTAGAGAAGAGGGAAATAAAATAGAAGAATTTTTGAAGAAATGTGGAAATGTTTGAATAGAAAACAGTGAAGAAGAGAGGGGGGAAATCTCAATGGGGAAGTCCGAGGATAATCGGGTTTTAAACGATTCAGACGAAGAAAAGTCCATGAAAAAAAAATGGAAAAAGTGCAAAGCGATTCACAGATTTTCGAAAGAGAGTTGATGAAAATTTTAATGGAGGCACTATTTTATAGTTTACAGTTTACAGTTTACAGTTTACAGTTTACAGTTTACAGTTTACAGTTTACAGTTTACCGGTTATAGTTTACCGGTTATAGTTTACCGGTTATAGTTTACCGGTTATAGTTTACAGTTTACCGGTTATAGTTTACCGGTTATAGTTTACAGTTTTATAGCTTTCACTACAGCATTTTTAACTTGCCCCTTTATCTATTAGGTTGAGGAAAAAGTAATGTCGGTTTTGAATTCCCGTTGTTGGCAATTTTCCAGTTCTTTGCTTACGCGGTTTTTTCAAATAGATATCAACTAGACACTCTATACTTTTATATTATATTTGCCTTTTACAAATTTAACAATATTTTCAGGTACAAAATGCAAGACGAAAAGTTTCGACTTCGTGGCATGATGCCACTTTGTGGCATGATTTTAAACAAGGGAAATCCGCGGCTGAATCGCATCGGACAATCATTGAAGTTTTTGGGGAAAACGGCATTAGCGAAAGACAATGCCAAAGATGGTTTCAGCGGTTCAAAGATGGAGATGAAAGTCTCCAAGACGAGGAACGGTCTGGACGACCCCAAGAGATTTCAGATGAGGATTTGCTTGATGCCATTGAACTCAATCCAACCCTTACCACTTGTGAGTTAGCGGACACATTTGGGATGGACCAAAAAACAATCGACAACCACTTAAATCAATTAGGAAAAACAATTAACTGCGGAAGATGGGTTCCTCATGGACGGACTCAAGACAACAAAACAATTCGTGTCATCGTTAGCTCTACTTTGCTTCAAAAAGGCAAATCTCATGATTTTGGGGAAGAATTCTAAAATCTGATGAAACATGGATTCAATATGTGAATGTGAAGCGCAAAAATCGGTGGCTTTTTCTTGGTCAACCCCCACAACCAACTTCAAAACCCGATATTTATGGAAAGTAAACTTATGCTTTGCTGTTGGTGGAATACAAAAGGTTTGGTGTATTATGAGTTGTTGAATCCGGGCGAAACTGTCACCGCTGATATTTATTCAAAACAGTTGATGAGAGTTAACGAGGCTTTAAAGAAATTGGGCGTCGAAACATCAAAAGTGCTATTGCTATTTTGCACTATTGCTATGTGCTATTTTTGCATGATAATGCAAAACCTGACACTGCAAAAATCACTCACCAAAAAATGGACGAGCTTGATTGGGAACTTCTGCCCCACGCGACTTATAGTCCGGACTTTTACAATCAACTTCTGCCCCACGCGACTCGTCCGGACCTGGCTCCATCAAATTATTTTTTGTTTCGGTCGTTGAAGAGTTTTCTTATGGGAGAAAAGTTCGAGAATCATGCACAAATCAAAAAAGCAGTCGGCACTTATTTTGGCTCGAAAACTCCCCATTTTTTTTGAGGATGGGATCAGGGACTTGCGACGAAGATGGGAACAAGTCATCAATAATAATGGAGAATATCTCATTGATTGATGTGCGTTTGTTTATGTTTTTAGCAATAAGCCGTTTTGTGACAAAAACCGACATGACTTTTTCCTCAACCTAACATTAGACACTCAATTTAGATTCCTAATTTGTAAACAATTTTTTCCTTCTAATTGTATTTCATGTTTCCTAGAAGTTTAATGTTTTAAACAGCTTTTCTCAATCGAAATCTTTAGTGAATTGACTCTTGAAAACTTTGAGAACTTTAAGAACTTTGAGAACCGATTTCAATCAATCAAAAAGTTTCAAATAATAAACTTTTACAATCAACTCACCGAATATGGACAGCTGGCGGTGGTGGATTGTTCATAAGTGTGTGATTGCGTGAACGAGGCCGAACATGAGGAGATCGATCTCCTCGCGAGATCCTCCTCGGTCCGCTTTGTCCACCGCCTGACGTCAGCATTGATGCACTAAAATTCGACATCTTATTTTAAGTAGTAGCTTCAGACCGAGGAGGCAACAAGTATTCATTTATTAAAGCTAAAGCAACAAGTATTCATTTATTAAACAGCAAAGATCTGCTTCTTTTTCGGTGGTAAAGCAGCTAGAAATAGAATGAGGATTTGTGATTTGAAAAAGCAAAAAAATGATCAAATGGAGGAGAAAATTCACACGATGATTTACGTGCCTTGCCTTTCCTTTCTTTCAGCTGAAATCTCAATCCTTTAGCCGAAAACATCTCTTCGTTAGATGTGAGAATTTGTCTTTTTGAGGGGGAGTTAATCAAAATTTCTGTTCAGTAAACGATTGATCAAAATGATAAAAAGGATTGAGAATATAGAATGAAATGATAAAATGAATGAAATGATGAAATGGTGTCACATAAAGAAAGAGAAAGATTCAGCACTCCCTCGGGAGAAATTCTTGAAAACTTTGACTCCTTTTTCGAGAGACAATTGAGCGCTGAATACGAGCTGAATACAGAGCTAAAGGTTGCAAAACGCATTTGAGTTTTAGTTTAAGTAAAGATTTTTCGATATAAGAACTCAAGAAGCTGGGGATTTGAAGAAGTGGAATAGGCAGAAGCACTTCAAGACGACGAGGCATTTCGATTTCTGAGACGAGAATGGGGCCACAGGTGCTCAAGTGGATGAGGCTGAGATGAGCTCATCTTCGATAAACGCCCCCTCATATCTTGCAAATCACTTACTTCAGCTCAATAGGCTTTCCCGCTTCTTCTGCTTCTTCTTCGCATCCCGCATTCTCCACCGTTGACAACTCGGGCACAATTTCCATCAAAAAGCAAAGAATATTTTGAAAGCTTTATGCAGACTGGAGACAGAGTATTTGAAACAAAATCAAGACATCAAAAGGAGGAGGGACGGGAAAGGATTCGCGAGATTTGAGATTTGAGGGAAGGGGATGGGAAGCGAAGCGAAGACAGGGGAAGCCACGGGGGCACTGCCCAGAGTGAAAAGCCGCCTAACAAGGCAAATTGGCCGGGACATCGCTGAAGAGTGACCTCTGACTTTCAGCGAACTCCCACCAACAACTTTTCACTTTTTCCCTGACTTTTTTTAGAAGAAAACCTTTTAAAACCGCCTTCTCATTAGCATTAATCTCATTAACAATCGCATGTTGTTGTTCTATGAATTTGAATAGGTTGAAAGATGCTTATAAATTTTAATTAGAAACTTGCCAGGCTTCGAGAAGCCTAGGAGTGCTAAGAAAAATGGGTGAAGTGGTGCGGAAAAGATGATTCTCGTCTTCTCTTCTTATGCCGAACTCTTCCCATTCAACTCCCCGAAAAAAAAAACTTTTCTTTTCCAAAAATTTCCCACTCAAACCAAGGAAAAGCTGATTGTAGAGAAATATAATTCAAGAAAAACAAAATTTTCACCTGGGTTCTGGAGCAAGAAGACCAACCATTGCATAGCTATGTCGGGGCATGGATCACTCTAAAAAAAATAGATGCTTTTAGGAGAAAAAGGCTTGGCGCTAAGACAAAAATGTGGGAAGCGAGCGGATGTTTTAGTTGAGAAAAGGAAAAAGAAGAACAAGAAGAAGAAGAAGAGCTAAAAAGAAAAAGTCCCATGGGGGAATCGGGGAAATAGAAGAGCTGACGACTGATCGAAGAACAAATCATTCACATCAAAATAGAACATGTGTTTGGATGGAAAGAGTTTCAGAATATTTCATCTATGTCCGGTGGGGGTTTTTGCTTGGAAGAAAACGTTAGACTTTAGCTTCCCCTTTTCACCTTTTCATTGCCTCGTGCAAATTCGATTTCATAAAATCCGCGCTTTTGTCAACAAGGGGTTTTCTTGAAAAGCCTTCAAAAGCATCGAGCATCGAAAACTTTGGGGTTTAATTTGTAATATACTAGTAACATTCTAGTAACATTTTAACGTAATAGTAACATTCTAGTAACATTTTAATAGCATTTTAACCTACTAGTAACATTCTAGTAACATTTTATACTAGTAACATTTTAACATTCTAGTAACATTTTAATAGCATTTTAATCTACTAGTAACATTCTAGTAACATTTTAACGTAAAAGTAACATATAACATTTTAATAGCATTTTAATCTACTAGTAACATTCTAGTAACATTTTAACATAACATCCTAGCTAAAAGTTTGAGTTTAGCTAGGATGTTATGTTAGCTAAAAGTTTAAATACTGGTTTAAAGATTTTGATGTGAATAGATCTCTAGGGAAATGTTAGAATAAATTGCTAGTGCTAAACTTCTATTAATATGAAATTCGATAAGAAAAAGGCTACTTATTGTTATGAGTGAAATTACTTGGAGTACTTAAGCTCATGGAATATTTTTGCGTTTACTCATAAAGAAAATAGGGGCTTTTTGGGATTTTCGCAAAAAAAAAGTACAAGTCTTCTTTTCCTTTTTTCTGGTTTTCTTGGGGAATTGAAGGCTGGAAGGTGGATGAGCAGTGGAAAGGAGAACGAGGGTTTATTCAGTTATCCGATACACAGAATCCCACGCTTCAATTTGACAGTGCTCTAGAAAAGTGGCAGAAAAGGAAATGTATCTAAAGAAAGAAAACAAAAGGAAACTCTTTTCTCTTTTCAATTCCCATCACTTTTTTTTTCTCAACAACTTTTCTGTGGCATTTCTTCTGTGACATCTTCTTTAACGTCGTCGTTCATTTTTCACGTGGCTCTCGAAAAGTGAAATCTATCAAACAAACAAAAGAGCTTTTTTTTGTGTTTTTTTTTGTTCTTTTCACTGTTCGTTTTAATTTATTCAAATATTTAACAGTTAAAAGATTGAATTCTTGAATAGAAATAGAACTTCTAAACTAACTAAGAGGTTTAGTTATTTGTTAATTATTATTTGTAACTTTTTGTTCATTAAGATCTTCAAGAAAGCTGATCTAATAGCTGATCAGGCTTAGGCTAGGTTAGGGAGGGCGCCAGCACAAGTCATTTGGGCTTGGGCTATACCCCCATTTTCTGGATCCCAGCCAGTTCTCGGAGCTAAGGGACACCCGTTTGGTGGTGTGCATGTGCCCCCCATAGGAGCATCCTGGCAAATTTTCAGGTCGATCTCGTGTCTGGAATTTGAGACTGACAAGCGATTTTGGGATTTTTTGACAAGCCAAAGCGTTGGGCTTGGCTCCGTTTTAATTTATTCAAACATTTAACAGTTAAAAGATTCAATTCTTGAATAGAAATAGAACTTTTAAGAATTATTATTTGTAACTTTTTGTTCATTAAGATCTTCAAGAGAAAGCTAATCTAATAGCTGATCATGAGGGTTTTTTTCATCTTTTACTTTCATTACTATAAAAAAAAACGGTAAAGATTATATCTGTTAACAAGATTTAAATAAAAAGAAGATAAAAGACATTTCAAAAGTCAAATGTGAAATCAAACAAAAAGAAAAAGCTAACTAAAATCCCTTTAAAAGTCTCGGATTCTACTCCGAAGATTGATAATTATTGTGAACATTTGAAAAGAAAAAGAATAACAGATCGAGGACAAAAATTGATACATTGTACAAATTTACATGTGATTTGAAAGACGATAACTTTTCTTAATAATGTTGATTTTGTTGAGCAATATGGTAAACAGTATCGATGAGTTTGATGCTTCTTTCATAAGGCGCTTCACGCTTTTTCGAATACTCTTTCCATCTAAATTTTCCTATTCTTTCAAAAATAATTCGAATCTCACTTGTTCTTCACGTTATTCCAATGATATGAATATTCACGCATCGCTTGTACAGGATCAGATAGATTTATCTGAAAAAACTATTCATTAAAAAGATTCATCAAATTTGTTAGCGTTACCCGATCATCAACCCGTTCCACGTGCAAGCGAGTCGGCGGAGAGATTTCATTAGGGATTGAGTGAATCGCGCCAGGTAACATTCTGATATCCTTTGTAGCCAATAAGTCCTATTTTAAAGAGTTTTAAAGATTTAAAGATTTAGCAATACAAGCATATGATCGGGTGGAGAAGGAGCTCGTGGTGGGGGGATTTGTGGCTCATCTGAGGGCGAATCCACATCCTCTCGTCCTCTCATCCATGTTCGGCACAATGCAAAGACGGAATCCTTTGAGAAATTTTTATTCTTATAACTAGTAAATCATTAGAAATCATTAGAAATCTATGTTTTCTCGTAAAATAGCGATTACTACCTGTGTCTCTTGATCTCTTAATCCAAACGGCTTTCCACGAAGCTCAAAAACCACTCCTGAAACGAAATCTTAATTGGAAAACAAAGTGGAAGACATTGCAAAGCCCCAGTAAGCCATAAGACCCTATCCTGGCCGCAAATACTTGTCGGTGTAGCTCATTGGTAAGCGAGAGATCGCGGGTTCGAATCCTGGATTCGAATCTACACTTACTTCTCTCACGTCGAGTTCTCGGATAACGAGGCCGTCCAATGCTTTTTTGATCTTCAACTCTTAAATGAAACTGATATATCGACTTTAACTTGCTATTACTTTGAATCAGTTACTATTGGTTGCACTTCGCCATTTTTGATCGATGTGAGCAATGTGCCAAGACGATCGCGGGCAAATTTCATGTCCGGACTTGCGTGGGGAATCGATTCTCCTAGTTGTAGGTAGACTCGCTGAAATGTTTAAATAGAAAAATCGAAATCGATTTTCTTTGCGCAAACCTTTGTTGGCGATAGATTGATTGGCGGCATCACCACTTCATCTTGAGAAGATCCTTGGTGGCTGGTTGACATTTCTAGAGTCGAGATTTTTTTGGTTTAAAGTGATCAAGAAATGAAATGCGCTGATCACTCTATCTTTATTGTTAAACCAAATAATTGTTTTAATAATTTCTGAACAAATTAATGGCTTCAGAAGAATTTTGTTCAATTAAAATAGATGATAGTTTTTGGCAATCTTTGACAGAGCTTTAATATTGCCATAAGCTATCAATGGCTCATACTTTTCAATTGAAAAAGATTTCCGAATCGAAAATAGAAATTACAATGCGTAAAGTAGTCAATCGGTAATCAGTAATAAATCTGAATAATTGAAAAGTATTCATTTGCTTTTCTGAATGTTTATTATCGCCTCAAAACACATAACAACAAATCAATTCACAAAAAAAACTATTATTATAAAGAAAATCATGATAAGATATAGATATAGATAAACTATTTTAATTTGATAAATTACAAATACTTATCATTATAACCAGCAATATGAGAATCACATGGAACATGGAGAACCATAGGTGAGCGAGGGGAAAACGAAAAAAGAAAGAACAAACATTTTAATCTCGCTTCATTTGAACTTGACCAACTTGTGAGTAGGCAGCGATGGCACCAAATCCGAGAAGAATTGAATAAACTACCCGGAACACAACCATCATCCATCCACCAACACCGCAATAAACGGAGAGGATTCTAAAGAGTTTTTAGAACTTGTTTTACTATGAAATCTTAATATATTCTCGAAAGCGTATCACTTTTTTTAAAACTACCGTGAGCTTGCTTTTAAGCTTTATTCTGCGCTGATTCAGAACGATCCCAAGAGTAGAGAATTTGAATTAAAATAGAGCTAACATTACGATAGTTTGTAAAAAAAGTAAACGAATTTAATAGTATGTCACTTACTGGAAAATGAAAGTATGAAAGACGGCGACAATGAGCAAAAAGTATGTCCTCACTCGACGAGCATTTTCCCTAAAATTGATTAAAATCCAGAAAGTCTTTTCATTTCTTTTCATTCTTCCTTTTGAAAAATAAGAAATTCTCCAATTAACCTAAGGTTTTTTCTAAATAAAAAAGTGTTTATTGCTTAATTTCCCATCTTTTTAAGCCAATTTTGTCAAATTCGAGAGTGTTTTTCGTAAAAATCGATAAAAACTCTACGAAGAAATTGGTGGAATGAATTTCACTAAAGATTTGACTAAATACCAAACTTTTTGTTCTCTATCTTTTACCTATTGACACCAAAATCGGTTTCCTTATGCTAAAGTGTCTAAACCGCATCATCAAGCCGACGCGCGACTTCACACTCTCAAAAAAAATCCAGGCATAAGACATTTTAAAGCTGTTTTAATTTTATTTTGCAGAAAAATAATTGGCCTTTTTAATGAAATAAACCGTGGTTCAATTGGTGCATTTTTTGATTTTAAACAAAAGTACGAAAAGGAACGAAAAGACTTTCTGGACAGCCTAATAACTGTATTGAAATAATCACCTTCCCGCGAGCCACGAAAGGCAGGCTACTGCAATCCAGAACGCCAAATCTGACGAAGAATCGATTGCCGATTGGATATATCTCCAGCTGAAGGCGGTTCCCCTAAAACTTTTAGTAGAACTCTAGCTTACTACCCAATTGCTACCTAGCTCCAACCCAGAAGAGCACAATCCGACTGGCGATCGAGTTAGCGAAAGCCCATCCAACGCCGGCTGTCATAAATCGCACCTGGAATTTGATTCATATTATGCTTCATGAAAAAACCGTACCTCGCTCTTTCCAGTCATAAAATAGCCAATGATGAGATGCAATCCGACAATGTCAACAATATCAGCGCTGCTTTTTAAGAGCTCCTAAAACATTTGTTTTGTAAAAAAAACCGGATGAACTAACCGAAACGAATGCGAAACCTTCGGATGGGTCGGAAGCGGGGAAAAATGTTGCCAGTAGTAGCAACTTGGCGAGTTGTGTCAACAAATAGCCGATGGCCGCTTGGCCCAACTTCCATAAACTGCTGTATTCGGAGAGGCCGGAATACTAAAAGTTTGGTTGTATATAAAGTTGCTTTGTGTACTTCTACACCATGCACTAACCTTGTAAATTATAAAATATGGAGCATATGCGAGAGCGATGCAATTAACGAAGTGGAAGAACGTCATTGAATTGGGCTCTCTGAAATAAAATTGGCAATCTTTTAAACTCAGTGCTAACAATTCTATTCAGCAATTTTTAAAGCGCTATTCTAAAAGCATGTTTTTTTTTATATCAAAAGTTGCGCTTCAGTTTCCTTCAACATTACAATACGAAAAGGAACAAATGCTAATTTCAATGACTGTATCCTAAAAGCTCTAACTGAAATTGAATTTACATATTATGATACCCTAAGCCGGAGAGGGAGTCGGCGTAATTTGGTGGCGTTCGTTTTCTTTTCGGGGGGATTTTTCTTGTGAAACAACCGGCATGACCACTCTCTTTGTGTGAATACCCGACAAAGATCCTTTTTTTTCCAAGTCTTTTCTTTTTTCGTATGCATAAATTCTGATTTTATTATCAACTTTAGATCATGCGAGCCGCTTACGAAGGACGGACGCTGTACACATGTTTGAATTGCAACAAATTGCTTCAATATGAGGAACACAACAAGCAGCCTCGACGAAGTCACGATTGTGATGCCAGCGATTTGACGTTGAACACGGGAGAGGCGAGGAATTTGATTCAAATCATCTGTGCTACCGACATTCCTGGACTTGCACCGATTTGCGAAATGTGTTCGAGTGAGTTGCTGGAGGGAATGGAGGGACAATTGAACCGCTTGGATGATGAATGCAATGATCTTCGGCAATTGATTGAAGCTTTGGAGAAAATGCACAACAGCACCGATCCGACAACGGTGAAGAAGCGATTAGCCAGTTTGCAGCTCGAGGAGAGAGAATTGAGGGACGAGTTGCGGAAACTGGCTGATGAGGATCGCCTTTCCGAGTTTGAGCTACAAAAAGCTAGAGAAGAGAGGGACAATGTTTCAATGCGTCAGGAGAAATTGTGGGAGAACTTTCGTGACATTCATAGAAAATTGCTGGATAACGACGAAGTTTCTCGGAGGTTAGAGGCTGAAAAGCGATATGCGAGTGAGCAACTACATCGACTATCCACCAAGAGTGCTATCGATTTGGCGTTTCATATTTGGACCGACGGGCCAATTGCGACGATTAACGGGTTTCGGTTGGGGAAATTGCCAGATATCAACGTTGATTGGAATGAAATCAACGCAGCTTGGGGACAAGCGGCTTTACTTTTGGACGTGCTACTGCAGAGGCTCAAAGTCGAGCCGTCTATGTTCAAGCTTGTATGTATGGGTGCTCATTCGTATATCAAAGAGTGTCGACCGTCGGGAAGTGGACGTGAGATTCCACTCTACTCTTCCGGTGGTTGGCGACCTTTCAGCGGACAGACACACTCAGCCGATGAAGGGGCCGCAGCTTTCGTCGACATTCTCGCGACACTCGCCTCAAATCTTGTACATTTAAACCGAACACTGCCTCACACCATTCGCAAGGAAACGCTGATTGACAACGGGATGCAATACTCTGTGAAAGTTCAATTTAACAATGAAGAGCGGTGGACAAAAGCAATGAAATGTCTACTATCAAATCTTAAAACTGCCTTAGTTCATATCAATTCACTTAAGGAACAAAATCCTCAACCTGAATAACGTTGTAAATATTGTCTTGTATAGTTTTTGTCGTGTTTTTTTATGTTTTACCTCATCATAATTTTTGATAAATCTAAATTTAGTGAACTGCTAAAAGATGGTGGCGGCTGATACGGGTGGAAGATCGGCTCGCGAGCGGATGATCTTAACCGTCAATGAGGTAAATTTTATTTACTTTTATGCAAGTATTTTTATTTTTAGATCATCTCACATTTGATTGATGCTCACAAAAATAACAAGGATGTTGATCTTAACCGACTGAAATGCTTGGTAAATTTTAACACCTTGCGTTTTATAGCTTTTTGTTTAGGTATCGCAAAAACATGGACTAAGTTGCCAACCAAAGTTGGTCGACATTATTGCTGGAGTTCCCTCCGATTACAAGGTTTATTTTAATTTTTACTTTTTCAAAGATATTTTGTAGGAAGTACTTTTGCCAAAGCTAAAAGCGAAGCCGGTTAGGACAGCATCAGGAATTGCGGTGGTTGCAGTGATGAGTAAACCACATCGTTGCCCCCATATCAATTTTACAGGTAAACAATTATTTTTGAAAAATAGCTAAGTAGTAAAAATAGTTTTAAATGTTCAAGTTTAATGAATACTATGAGAAATTATCATTTTAGGAAATATTTGTGTCTACTGTCCTGGAGGTCCGGATTCCGACTTCGAATACAGCACGCAAAGTTATACTGGATATGAGCCTACGAGTATGAGAGCTATTCGAGCACGGTAATTCTAGCAAAAAAAAATTGCGCCATTTTAGCCTTCTTTTTAGATATAATCCTTATTTACAAACGCGTGGAAGAATGACCCAACTGTCTGCATTGGGACATTCTGTTGATAAAGTACGTTGATTGATTAGATCGACAAAGTCATTCTTTAGGTTGAGTTCATTGTGATGGGTGGAACTTTTATGTCTCTTCCTGATGATTATAGGTACATTGTTTAAAAAAAGCTTTTCTAAATATTTTTAGAGATTACTTTATCCGCAATCTTCACGATGCGCTAAGTGGACACACGAGCAGCAATGTTTCTGAGGTCTAATATTATTTTTTTGTTACGTTCGTTTTTTCTTTTCAGGCCGTTGCTTACAGTGAAAGAAGCAAAACTAAATGTATTGGCATTACAATAGAAACAAGACCCGATTATTGCTTGCCAAGGTGAAATTTTTGTACAGTTTCCCCATGAAGAATAAATTTATAGACACTTAAATGATATGCTTGCCTATGGATGCACACGACTTGAGATTGGTGTTCAATCTACTTACGAGGATGTGGCAAGAGATACGAATCGAGGACATACGGTAACTATACAGTGCTTCTGTTTACAATAGTTTTTTAGGTGCGATCTGTATGTGAAACATTTCACATGGCTAAAGATACGGGCTATAAAGTGGTATGTTTGTTAATTTGAGTTAGGTATGTGTAAGCATTTGGCTTTTAGGTAATCCATATGATGCCGGATCTTCCAAATGTTGGACTAGAAAGGGATATCGAACAATTTGTGGAATTATTTGAGAATCCGAATTTCCGACCGGATGGACTGAAGCTTTACCCAACACTTGTGATTCGGTAATGAAAATTTTTATTATTTCTCGAGCTTTAAATTTAGTGGCACGGGACTTTATGAACTGTGGAGAAGTGGACGGTATAAGGTGGGCTAATTTATAATGCCTATTAACGAAGTATTTAAGAGTTACCCGCCATCCGTTCTTGTTGATCTGATTGCACGAATTTTAGCGCTTATTCCACCATGGACACGAGTATATCGAGTTCAGAGGTATTTTATAAGATATCAATATTGCCATTAATGAAATTTAGAGATATTCCAATGCCACTTGTTTCGAGTGGAGTTGAACATGGGAATTTGCGTGAACATGCGCTTGCCCGAATGAAACAAATGGGAACAAAATGTCGTGATGTAAGAACACGTGAAGTTGGAATTCAGGTTTTGCTTTTCATATATATCTCAAACTATCTTCTTTAGGAAATTCATAACAAAATACGTCCGTATAATGTCGAGTTGATACGAAGAGACTATGTGGCCAATGAGGGTTGGGAGACTTTCTTGTCGTATGAAGATCCTGATCAAGTTGTTTTTAAAGTTTGATTTTTATTTAGTGACATTTAGGATATTTTGATTGGTCTTTTACGTTTGCGCAAAGTGACAAATAGAGCTCATCGAGAGGAATTGAAGGTAGTTTTGGTTTGTGTTTTACAAAGCAACTTGATTAATTTAGGGAAACGTCTCTGTTGTTCGCGAGTTACATGTGTACGGGAGTGTGGTGTCTGTTTCAGACAGAGATCCACGCAAATTCCAGCATCAGGTTTCTTATTATTAGCTTAAGTTTTCTTTAATGTTTGATTTCAGGGATTCGGTCAACTCCTAATGGAAGAAGCTGAAAGAATAGCGCTGGAGGAGCACGGTTCGGAGAAGGTTGTCGTGATTTCTGGTGTGGGTACAAGGGATTACTACAGGTTAAAAATTTTTGTTTAACTATTTAATGTCTAAAAATTTTAGAAAACTTGGATATGAATTAGAAGGACCTTATATGAGCAAAAATATCGCATAAATGTTTGGTCCTTTTGTTTGTTTGTTGGCCATTTTCTTGTTGATTTTTTATTGGAAGTGATAAATTGTTGTTTCTATTGAGTTTATGAATTTACGAAACAATTTTTTGTTTTTTTTTTGCTTTGCCTTGTTTGGTTTTATGATCATTCAAGAAGAAATTACCGAGAACCCTTTCCGTTCTCGAGAATATTTTTGGTTGCTTTCCCAGAACGGAGAAAATGCACATGTGAGTGGTAATTATTCCCTTCTCTCCTTTCAAGTATTTCCTCTGGCAAAGGGCTTTGGCAGTCTTCCCTCAATGGAAATCGACAAAGAAAGACTGAGAAGGGCGGGCTCAACAGCAAGGAAAAAAAAGTAGAAGCCGGTTGTGTTATGAAAAGGAGGGAAAAGAGGACAAGAGCATGAAGAACCCCCCGGCCTCTTCCTATCCTACCTCCCTTTCTTTTCTTATACGCCGGTCGCACAAGTGGAACCTTCTCTCATATAAGGAGCAATCTTCTCTCATCACACAGACAGCTTCTCTCAGAAATCTGAACCTCTCGACTACAGTAGTCGTCACATCTTGAAAACTTCTTCACATGCCTTTACTTTTGATTTTAGTCGTTTTAACTAGGCTTGCTTATTGATACGATTACGCTAAAATTCAGATAAATTAAAAAATTTACTCAATTGTTCCAATGATGACTTTACTATTATCTATAAACAGTACAAACAGTTTGTTTCATAGAGGAACCTTTTTATTTTTCAGTTAGGTCTTCCTCTTCTCAAGGTTCATTAAAATGGCCGACGAGAAGAATGATGGAGAGCGCTCACTTCGTCCTGTCGCCTTTGCTGCTGTCGTTTTTTCAACTGGTATTTTTTTTGGCGTTTTCCAAAATGAAACATTGATTTTAGTGGCAGTTTCGTCATGTCTAATCACTTTCCCGTTGATTCTTCATCACATTCAAACGCTTGAGTCTCATGTCGCTCTTGATCTCGAGTTCTGTCAGGTAGAAAATGAAAAGCAATTAAAGGAAAACAAAAGAGCTCAGGCACGAGCCAGGGACATGTGGAAAGAGATGTTGGATATTGAGAGTGGAGGGAAAAGAGATGCTGGGAAACTCGCCGATATGATCATGACACACCGGTTAGCTATTGTTTTCAGAACAAAAGATTAAGAAAAAAAAGATTATTTGAAGATTTCTATCTTTTAAACAAAGCTAATGCTCACAATAGCTCGTTTTTTTTAAAGTCGAATCGAAAAACGTGACACTTTGGCCGAGTTCTGGAATCGTCGACTTCACGATGCTGAGCTACGAGATGAACCCATTCAAACTATTAGGTAAACAATATTATTTGAAGATTTCTATCTTTTAAACAAAGCTAATGCTCTCAATTTTCTAGAAATAAAAAGGATCACAAGAAACGATCACAAAAGAGGTATTTAATGGTTTTAGAGGAAATGGTTTCTTTGACTCAACTAATAACAATTATTAGTTTTGTAAAAATATAAAAACCTTTTAGACAAGAACGCGAGAATCCTACTGGTTGTTGTACATGTCACAAGGGACCACCTGGAGCTCCCGGAGAACCAGGAAGAGATGGAGTTCCCGGTCTTGATGGAGAACCTGGACCCATTGGACCCCCAGGACCCCCAGCTCCACCTGGACCTTCTGGTAGCATGGAAAAGTCTATCATTCAATATCCAATCTTTCAGCCGAGTCTCTTTTCCCTGAACAATGCCCATGTGAGGCGCCACCTGGCGAACCTGGCTCAAAGGGACCACCTGGACCTGATGGACCCCCGGGACCACCTGGACCCTCTGGAGATGATGGAAAACCTGGAGATCAAGGAACTCGTGGAGGACCTGGATTGCCTGGAAATCCTGGTTCACCTGGACGTCCTGGGCCTCCAGGAGAACCTGGTACTTATCGTACTGAGGTTGGACCTAATGGAAGACCTGGAGCTCCTGGCCGTCCCGGTCCCCCGGGTCAGCCTGGACCACCTGGATTATCAGGAACTGATGGAAAGAGTGAGTTGAAGAGATAGTGCTTTGAAAAGTTGATTTGAGATGGACCCTTGGGACCATCTGGTCAACCAGGACCACCTGGACAACCCGGACAAAATGGCTCTCCTGGAGACGCGGGACCACCTGGAGATCTTGGAGCTCCTGGCAGTTGCGACGTATGTAAATTCAAAAATTTGCGGTATATAACTATTTTAGCATTGTCCACCCGCTCGACTTGCACCTGGATATTAAAATCCATTGCTTTCTTTTCTGTGAATATGATAAAGCATTAAGAAATGATATTTATTTTTCTTAAAATTTCAATCCATATCTTTGAACCCAATCAAATTTGGCACCGTCTTTGTATTCACATCCAATGAAACGATCGTCAACAGTGTTTTTTAATAAACTAAAGATTTGGGATAACTAGAGAATGATTTTAAAGCTAAAAGTTTAATTTAAAGCTATTTGCACCTAAAGAGATAGTTGTAATCGATTTCACCGGGAGTGTCTGGAGAAAGCCTGGAAGGAACCTGGGCGATTTGAATGTGACCTGAAATCACTTAAGGTTTTAATAGGTTTAATGGGTTTTAATAGGAATACACTATAAACTCAAAAAGGTTTTTTGATCATTTTATCAATTTCGATTTAATTATGCAGCTTTCCTTTAGCAATATAAAATGTTTTTGGGAGAGGCGCGACGTAGAAAAGAATGAGGAAACGATATGGCAATGTTTTCTTTACTGGCAATCTAAAATACTGGCAAAATTAGTAAATCTAATATCGTAAATGTAATCTATGAACATTTAAAATCTTTATCAAAACTTTTAAATGCTATTTTTCCTCTTCAAACACCTCCAATCTTTTCAGCTAAAGTTGTGAAAAAATCGAGAATAATATTGGGTTGGTGAATTGAAAACTGCGGGACTTTGAAAAAATGAAATAATCTTTATTTAACTCAAGCCTAGTTATTTATTTAACTTTATTTAACTCAAATCTAGTGATTGAGTTGATCTTGTTAAGCTATATAAGTCAATTATTGGTGTTGGTCAATTGAAAACTGCGGGACTTTGAACTAAAATTTATTCAACATAAATCCATGAATTCATTCCAAATAATTTCCATTATTATTGACAACTTGTGCCCATTTTACAGGAAATTTGCGGGGTTACAGGCATCCTCTTTCGTGGTAGGATTTTGGTTTGTGTGTGAGACAAGTGTGAGACTCAAAAATGGAGGACTGGAGATGTCAGCTGTCAGCCCAGTTTGAGCACTTTCTTCAAAAGAAACCCATTTTGGTGTCAATAGAAAAGTTGTAGAGAATCAAAAATGAGGCTTATAGCCAAATTTCCAAAAAGATACACTTAGTAGTTTCGCTTAAAATGCAAGTTTTGTGAAAATTCGTAAATTTGGCATTTCTTGAAAAACAGTTTTTGAATCGTTTTGAAAATTTGGATATAAGCTTGATTTTTGATTCTCTACAACTTTTCCATTGACACTAAAATGGGTTTCTTTTGAAGAAAGTGCTCAAACTGTCACATATGACAATAGCCCGCAGTTTTCATTTCACCAACCCAATAGATGTATTTTTACGATTGTGCACTTAATTTTAGAGAATCTATTAATTTGGCAATTCTTTATTTACAAGAAAGAGGTGAATTGAAACGTCTTGAGTATAAATGGTGGTATGATAGAGCACAATGTGAGATTGGTGGAACGGTAGGATTGAAATCAATGATGGAAAGTTCAATTGATTACAGGAAAATGCAAATTTCTCTTCAGTTTTCAAGCCGGCAGTTTTCAATTCACCAACCCCAATACATAAACAAACCGATATTCTGATTTAGTCTCTGAATCAATGCACTGAGCTGTCCACAGATTTGTTGTGCGTGAAAGACATCCTCAAATTTTACAGTTTTCTGAAAACTCAATCGACTTTACGAAAAGGATTTTGAGATTTGAAGCCGACACTTCGTTGATAATGGAGAGAGCTGGAAAAACAAGTTTCTAACAACATATTTTCCCTTCTTACCTTGATCATAGCTATTCAAGAAATATCCGGGTATTGTATAACTGTTGATCGGCTCGATGAGACAAGTTAAACCATCCTGATTGTTAAATTTAACTCTATACTACTCTATACTGTATTACTACTCTATACTGTATTACTACTCTATACTGTATTACTATATGTTGAAAAATTCACACCTTGTGTTAGAGAAACTTTAAAAGAAAAAAAAGTTGTGCTTTGAAGTTGAAAAAGTTGAAAAAAATGAATCCAACAAAATGTCTACCACATTTTTTTTTCATTAATTATTTCAAATTTTCAAAATTTTCACTTGTTCAAAACGTTGACATGCATATCGAATATTCTCTCGGTAAATGTCGTGCGCATGTGGGCATTTCGAATCACCAAGACCAGCCATTACATGAATTCTATACGCTTTTCTAGATTAGCTGATTTTAACAATCAAATACCTCGAGCATTCGAGTATTTTCGAATACTTTACCGCTTTTTCGAGACTTTCACGAAAAATTTCCCTCTCTTCGCAAATGGCCGCTAGCCCTTTTGCCCCAGTCGATGCTTCACCTAAAACATGTTCTCTTTTAAAACATTTTATCTTTTTAAACATGTTCTCTTTTAAAACATGTTCTCTTTTAACACATGTTCTATTTTAACACATGTTCTATTTTAACACATGTTCTCTTTTAAAACATGTTATCTTTTTAAACATGTTCTATTTTAAAACATTTTCTCTTTTAAAACATTTTCTCTTTTAAACATGTTCATAGCCTCAGAAAGCCTCTTTTCTTTTAAAACATGTTCTCATAGCCTCAGAAAAAATTTTTATAGAAAGAAAATAGAAATAGATAAGTAGAAAGTTAAAGAAAAGTCGAAAAGAAAAGAAAATAGAAAAGTTTTAATAGAAAGAATGCTTTTTACTGTAACACTATGTATAGCGCTCAATTCTATAACAATATTTTCTTCAAATGTTTGCTTTGTCGTGAATTCTCGATCTCATTGAGAAATACAAGTCCTAGAAGATTCTAGGGTTATCAAAAAAAAAAGATTAGGAATTCTATTAGAAAAATATTGGATGCAATTTTTGAGACCTGGTGGTGCATTGATGAGAACATGTTGTAGCGAATGCTTTTGAGCGGCTTTCTTCAAATTCTCAGCCGTTTCCCCATACGGTAGCGACACTTCGACGGCTTTAAAACCAGCTGCCGCCGCTTTCTCGTACCTAGTTTCTCAATTGTCAATCGGAAACTTTTGATTTCGAAAAACGATCTCTAGGTTTTACGAATTTTGAGCTGAATAATAAAAGTAGTTTGAATAGATTTTCATTACTAATAAAAGTAATCTGTTATTAATTAATATTAATTACTAATTTGTCTAAAGTTTCAGATCTTTTGTTTCAATCATAAATGAACTAAAGAAAAAGGGCACAATCGATCAGCTGAATAACATGCACACAATTTCTCTCACCTTTCCAATAGTTCAACCTCGGTGAAAAGCATGTTTAAATTCGCGGCCACTCGCATTTTGGCAAAAATTTTAGAGCAATGGAAAGATAGATTTGGATAGAGGAAGAAAGCGTTTTTGAGATAAACAACAAGATACAAACGACAGACGAAAAAAAAACGCACACAGTGAAAGGAAAAAGACAACCGTTTTTTTTTGCACAAAGGACACGCCGCTTTCTCGTACCTAGTTTCTGAATTGTTAATAGGAAACTTTTGATTTCGATTTAGTTGTGTAACTAGAAATTTGTTTTGGGAATTTTAATAAATTCGAAATGAGACGATCAGGAAAAGAAACCTAAAACATAGAATCTAAATTTTAAACTAATCTATTTTGCGAACACTTTAGAAAAAAAGTGATTGTTCAAGAGTTGTTTAAGATGTTTTTTTTTGCTCGCTATACACTTTCTTATCTTTTTTTACCCTCCATTTTCTCCATTTAACATTCATAATTGAGTTTAGTTCACTAATAAAATAAATAAAAGTAATTTGAATGAATTTGCATTACTAATAAAAGTAATTTGTCTAAAGCTTCAGATCTTCTGTTTCAATCATAAATGAACTAAAGAAAAAGGGCACAATCGATCCCTATAAAAAACTTGACAATTATATTATTTAGAACATGTTGTTTTTGAATGTTTTTGAGCGGCTTTCTTCAAATTCTCAGCCGTTTCCCCATACGGTAACGACACTTCGACGGCTTTAAAACCAGCTGCCGACGCTTTCTCGTACCTAGTTTCTCAATTGTTAATCGGAAACTTTTGATTTCGAAACGATTTCTAGGTTTTATGAATTGTTGAGCTGAATAATAAAAGTAATTTGAATAGATTTTCATTACTAATAAAAGTAATTTGTTATTAATTAATATTAATTAATATTAATTACTAATTTGTCTAAAGTTTCAGATCTTTTGTTTCAATAAATGAACTAAAGAAAAAGGGCACAATCGATCCCTATAAAAACTTGACAATTATATTATTTATATTATCCGTTTCAACGACGTTGCTGATAAAGTTTCGATTTTCGCTGACATTAAACATTGATCAAGATCGGTTGACATCCATATGTCGTAGCCGATTATGAATGAAATTTTTTGGTAAATCTTTCTAGTAGAGCAATCCTTTAATGTATGAGGACAATATTATATCATCCTGTAGCGAATTAAATTCTGCGTCGATTGGTACCCCAAATTTGTGAGTTTAGGTTAAAAATTACCGGCGCTACAACGTTTCATTCAAAATCGGCGGGACCCCCGTAGCCGATTATGAATGAGTGGGTCTAGGAGCGTCCAACCATCAAGTATTTGGTATCATTCAACGCACAATCATTAATAATTATGTTAAATTTTTAAAATTAGAAAGATTTGATAAAAAGAAAAAAAATTAGAGCAAAAAAAACTGTTTGTTCAAGAGGAAACTTTGAGGCCCCATAATTTTTTTTATTTTTATCCAATCTTTCTAATTTTAAAAATGTAACATAATTATTAATGATTCTGCGTTGAATGATACCAAATACTTGATGGTTGGACGCTCGTAGACCCACTCATTCATAATCGGCTGAAATTCATAATCGGCTACGACACATACATCCATCCATAACATCCACTCTTTCGTATGTGCTTGAATCAAACCAAGACGAACAACTTTAACCTGTAAATTTATAACTTTAGCTTCCTGCTTTTCAAAAATTTACCTTTATGATGTCTAAATGTTATTGTCTCGTATTTATTGATAAATTAAGATATCGAGCCAGAAGAAAAATTCGATTTTCGATGCTCGTTGGAGATGCAATTCGTGTTTGCATCCTTGAAAAGATTTGGTGTAAAACGAATATTCAATCAATATCAAGATTAGTTCATAAGATGCAAAAACCTATGAATTTAAACACTTTTCAGATCAACAAATTTGAGTGAGACTCGGCTGAGGATAAAAGCTATGATATCAATTTTTGAAAGACACTGAAAAAGCTCGCCTTTCTAATAACAAAACTCGGTATCGAATAAATTCTTTTTTTCTGAGCTCACACAGCCATATCGAATTCATTTTTTTTTCTTCAAATTTTACGAAAATGGCGAAAAAAGTGGGCGATCCGATGATGAGAACGGTGACGAACGGGAGCCCGTAAATCGTCAACGATGATTACAACGATGATTTGGATGTCATGTTCGGAACAGGACGCTTGTTCTGTTTCGGACGTATTACATACCCTAAATATTCTAATAGAAGAGCTTCCTATAGGAGCGTCGCGAAAAAGAGCCTAAGCTTACATTTCAAGAACCGTTCATATCTCGGCGCCCAGACATCAAATTAAAGTAGAAAGGATGAGTGATTTTTTTTTTGAGATATAACACATCTTTTTAGAATTAACCAGCGCTTAGAACAAAGTGATTGAAAAATCATGAAAAATCATTGCCAATTTTCTATCATTTTGTTCTAAGCTCTGGTTAATGCTAAAAAGATGTGTTATATCTCAAAAAAATCACCCATCCTCTCTACTTTAATTTGATACCTAAGTGCGTAGAAACAAACGTACTTGTGCTGAGATACCAGCGTTTGTTTGGTTTCGGTTTTTTTCGGTCAAAAAAAAATCGTTTTTTTTTGCCACTTTTCAATGATGTTTTTCTAAGCGCTGGTTAATGCTGAAGATTTCTTTTATATCTCAAAAAATCACCCATCCTCTCTACTTTAATTTGATACCTAAGCGCGTAAAAACAAATGTCCGAACGTCGAGATATGAGGGTTTGTTGGAGTGTACACTTAGACTACACGACGCTCCTATAGAGGGCTCTTCTATTAGAATATTTACGGTATTGATGTCGGCCATTTGCTTACAATAATAAACCAGAAAAGTTAAAAGAAAAGAACTAGAAATCCCTTTTGAAGCATTTAAGTTTAATGAGTAATTAGAATTTTTTTGCGATTAACTTTGTTTTTAAATACTCAAGTACGTTTACGGGTAAACGCTGTAACCTGTAAACGCTAATCTAAACTTTGCTCACGTATCTGTCGATTTGCACTAACAGAAAGGTGATTTCAAAACTCTAATTGCCCTGCCCTGCGAATGGGATGGGATTGTTGTGTGACTCAAAATCTAGTGTCCCTTCTCCTTGTTTTCTCTTGCTTTCAAGTTACCATGGTGTCCCCTAAGCCCAAAATTTCTTCCACTTCATTCACTCGAACCTTAAACATGTCCACCTATTTTGTTATTTCGTTTTCCTCGCCTCTATTTTTAGTTTCCACGTGAGATCCGCTTCGAAATTCTAACTTTTAAAATATTCAATTGATTTCTTTTTCTAAAGCTTTACTCTTTCGCAATCCGGGCATTGGGATTGAGATTGTAAAAAAAGTCTTTGGATCTCTGCAAGAATTTGAGAAAAGAGGACGGGATGCTAAAAGTTGATGATGGGGGGAAAAGAAGAGAAAGAGGAAGAGGAAGAGGAGGGGATGGTCGTTTCAAATCAAAGAATTCGAGAAACAAGACGAGAACCAATGACAAATCTCACTTTTTTACTCTTTCCATCTCTTGAACAACAAATTCTGAGTTTTCGAATTTCTTTTCCGCAAATCTTTTTTAATCTAAAACCCTTCGAGATACTGGATCGGCAAGAGCTTATTTTAGATAGGAAAAGTAGGAAGTAGGAAAGGTTTCGCGTGTAATTCAACGAAATTGTTCTACTAGCTGTTTAACTGCTCAATTTCTCCATTGTTCGTTTTCATTTTATGACGATTTTCCAGAAAATTTCCATATGTGAGCCTTTGTGGGTGAGCGGTGAAATTACCGATTTTCTCTGGGGTGAGCGGTGAAATTACCCCATTCTATGAGGCATTTATCATATCGCAAAAAAAAAAGATGCCAAAATCGATCTTAAAACGGAAAGGGCTGAGATTTTTACGGGGTATATATAGGATTTTCTTTTAGAAGTTCTCCGGGTGGGAAGTTTTCCGATATTTGCACGACGTTATCGAGTCAAACGTTTTCGGGGAGAAGGGGTCTCGTTTTTGAGGTTTTTGAGCGAAAAAAAGGGGGGAGGGTAAGGAAACCAAATTGGAGGGAGCTCGTTTGTGGTTTGGGCTTGGAAGGGGACGAAGATGGGAGGCCGATTGACGGGGGAAGAGGAGGGGAGGGGACTCCGGGGTCAAAGCTTTTCCGAGGATTGATGGCATGCCTTGGAAAGCCTTGGATGGGCCACACACAACAAAGAGCTCCTTTAGCAACCATAGTTCTACTTTCATCCCATCCAACACTAATTATTTTCCCGTATTAGAGCCTTGAGTGAATCTAGATAAATGAAGAGTCAAGGAAAGTCGGAGAGTCAAGGAAAGCTGTTTACTCTTATCGTTAGCTTTGATCTTGATTTAGGTCTTGCCTTGATCTCTTCTACGTCGATTTTTCTTGTAATTTTTCTTGTAATTGCAAAAGTGGTAAGGCTAATTTCTGTTAGAATATCTAAAAATAACTCCAAAGATTATACCAATCTTTTACTCTACCAATCTTTTGCTCTACCAATCTTTTACTCTACCAATCTTTTATAAACGAACAGCCTTTTCTTTTCCAAATCTCTAAGCGTTTACACAATCTTTTTCTCAATGCTTTAAATTGTATCTCAAAATGAATCACTTTGAAATGTTTCCCCCATCTCTTTTTTCTACTCAAAGTACCCTCTCAACCACTTGACACTTTTGTCGGTGCTCAATAGAAAATGCAGTGAATGATTTTGGTTGGCTTTGAATTTTGGAAAGAAAAAAAAACACATTCCCATTGCATAACCCCGTTCAATCCCCTCAAAAAAACACTCAAATTTGATTGAAAGTTTCGGTGAAGTAACGATTTTTTTTGTTGTTGTCATTCACGAAAATTGAAACCGGTTTTCCGATGAGAGCGTTGGTTTTCCGATGGTTTTCCGATGAAAGCGTTGGTGCGTAATGAATTTTTCATATCATTGCACAGATTATCCCAAACACATAAAGAATTTCCTTTTTTTTTCGTCTGTTCTTTAGTTTTCATATGATCTCAATTTGTAACGCTTCGATTTGTCTGTTTTTTTTGTAATGCATTTCCTGCAGTTGATTGCAGCTGATCAGCTGACTTTCAGTCATATCATCCAGGCCAGGCTTTCAGTCATATCATCCACGCCAGGCTTTCAGTCATATCATCTAGGCCAGGCTTTCAGTCAGATCATCCAGGCCAGGCTTTCAGTCATATCATCTAGGCCAGGCTTTCAGTCAGATCATCCAGGCCCGGCTTTCAGTCATATCATCAATAATAAAAAATCGTTTTTATTGCTATGAAAATAGTTGAAATTAAATCCAAGAGAATTCTTCAACCTATTCGTTAGAGCGATTGTTTTATTTTCAGAGCAGCTTTCCCCCACGATGAATAGAAAAAGAACCGTTAAGAAAAGCGGGAGGGAGTGAAAAGAAAGAAATGTTTACTCTCAAATAGCTTCTCATAGTCAAATCGTTTCTTTCCGTGCGCAGTATTTTTTTCAACTTTGAGCTCTTTTTTTTCTTTTTCTTCCTTTTTTTTCTTATTTTCTTCATTCTTAATTTTCAATTTAACACATTCACACAGAAAAAAAAACGATTTTTGTTTTGGCTGCCGTTTCGAATGAAAGCTGTTAGCTGTAAATCTGAGAATTTTTCATCGAGAACATTCGAGAATCTGAAATCGTTATTAGTTTTTGAGGAACTTTTAATTTCTAAGCCAAGGTCATCAAAAAGGTCATCAAAAAAAAAGGCTTTAAAAGATGCTAGAAATGTGTTGTTTATGGATTTTTACAGAAGTGCGTAGTTGAGTAGACAAAAAAGACGACGAGACAAAAGTGTGAATAGAAAAAAAAGAAAGAGCATAAAAAGTCACGGTAATACCTGTAGTAGTAGTGCCCCCTATAGGAGTGAAATATCTAAAAATAGAGCAGCTTTCTTTAAGAACTAAGTACAGATTCGAATTGCTTAATCCAGAAAACCCATTGGTGCAATTTTTTAGCCCAATTAACCTCAAAAAGTGATAAATCTATGGCCAGCATCGGTGAGCCGTTAAAAAGCTCTGCAAAAACTCATAAACTCAAATCTATTTATGAATTTATGAATGCATAAATGCAAATTGAATACGAAAATTGAGTGAAGCTATTCTTTTGCTGAATATCGATTTCCATAACGTGCGTGTTATGTGAATCAATCTCTCGGCATTCTTTTTTTTTCATTCTTCCCTCAATTGCTCACCACTCTTCCCTTTTCTATTCTTCTTCTTTTTCCCCCCTCTTTCATCCTCATCCTTTTCATTTCTTTTCTGACGAACACATTGCCTTTTGTTTGTTTTCCCTGACACACACACACAAATTCGTAGCAAAAAGGAGGACATTGCTGCACATTATTGAGAAATATTAATCTTGTCGGCTTTCCCTAATCAACGAATGTCCGTAATGTGGCTTTTTGATGAATTTCTCAATCGCTTTTTGACATTTTTGCAACGAAAAATTGCGTTTTTTTTGCTTTCATTTTTAGAATCGATAGAACATCTTTTCTATAATGAATTCATGTGTTTTAATCTTAAATCTAGCGCACTTTATCTCAGGTCCTGAATAAAGTACCGTATTTCTTCGAATAGAAGACCGGGTAAAGAGTATCATCGCGTACTCCGCGTACTCCTGCGTAGCAGCCCTTTTTAAAATTTCTTTTCTGCATAAAAGCTTTCATTCAAGTGCTATAGAGCTGGAAAATGACTCAAAAATCTGTTAGCTCATGTGGTATTTTTGAGTCATTTTCCAGCCCTATAGCACTTCATTGAAAGCTTTTATGCAGAAAAGAAATTTTAAAAAGGGCTGCTACGCAGGAGTACGCGATGATACTCTTTACCCGGTCTTCTATTCGAAGAAATACGGTATCTATATAATCTTTTAGTTTTATATAAACTATGAAATACGATGCCTAGTTAGTCATTCATTTTGGATTTCATTTAGGATTTTATTTAGGATTTGATTTACAATTTTAGTCATTCGTTGATGATTTCAATATCAAACTACCTCTACCTACTAATAACCTTGATAAGTTTTAAGTTGTTTACTGGTTTACGATGTACTTGTTGAGGTGAAAAAGCCTTGTTAAGATGAATTAATAGGTCTGACTTTTAAAATCCGTAAACAAGGGGCTTATTTTTATTTCAAAATCCTTTCTTAAATCTTTTAAAATCTTAAAATCTTTTTAAAACTTCAAAAACCCATACTATCTATTCACAAAAAACTCACTTATATGCATAAAGTTGTAGCTTTTTTTTGTTACGCAAAACTATAATCTTTTAGTTTTATATAAACTATGAAATACGATGCCTAGTTAGTCATTCATTTTGGATTTTATTTAGGATTTTATTTAAGATTTCATTTACAATTTTAGTCATTCATTTATGATTTCAAAATCAAACTACCTAAGAAATTTATTAATCAATCTGTAATAAAAAACTGGGAAAGAAAGAGATGATCAACTTATTGGGGAAAGGAAAAAAACGAAAGTAGAGGAAGGCAGGTAGGAGGAGAGGAGGGGGAACGAGTACCCCTCACTCTGGTAGAGTACTTGACCACTTGGCTCTCCACGATACTCCACACAGCAAAGCCAAAAATCGCTGCTGCACACCGACACCCAGCTGAGACAGCGCGAAAACGACCTTCACTCTGCACATTCTCACCCTCATCCACTGACCATCCCTTGAATTCTCTCCTAATGACAATTTCCCTTTTTTTCCCCATCCTTTCTCCCAGGAGATTCTGTATCCGTTCAGTGTATTCATGCTTTTCTAAGCTTCCATTAAAATTTGAAATCTACAATGTTTTACTTCATGATTCATTTCTTTATCTAAATGATCCAAATCCCAATCCCAATGATCTCAAAAGATGCCCCGCTGTGCGACCTTCAAACCAAACCTTCAAAGAAGTGTTTGGTCTTCTTAAAATCTTGAAATTTTTGTGTTTTGGGTTTTTGAAGCATTCAGCAGTTTTGGTCATCAGGTACTTTATCGCTGCTTGATCTTGCAGTCTGCAGAGGTTCGCTGCTTGATCTTGCAGTCTGCAGAGATCGCTCTTTATCTCCACCACGCTAACCATAAAGTATCGTATCTCATATGAAAGACGAAGATTTAGATTTGTGAATGATAGAGGTGGGGTTGTGAATTGTTGGACCGTTGAAGGAATGGGGGGATGGGAGGGGGATGGGAAGGGGAGGACGATGTCTCCCAAGGGAGCCCCAATCTCCTCCCTTCGGTCCCCTCATCTTTGACTTCCATTACCCCTCAACCCTTTTCATCTTTTCCATCTTCTATTTCCCCCCTACATTTTACACAATGACAACAAATAGCCTTCTCCCCCCACATTGTTTTCCTCCCTCGATCAAAACGAGAAGCGAATTTCGAGAATTTCCCCTTGAATTCTATGAGAAATAAATATACGTTTGTTTCTTGTGTACGGGGATCCTTGTTTACGATTTCTCTTTTTTTTTTCTCTTTTCCTGACTCAATGTGTCAGCTGTATTCCCACTAAACACTTTTGCTTTTGCTTTTGCTTTTGCATTTCTTTCTCTCCGACTTTTCTTTCTTTTCTTTAAAGCCTTAATTGCAAGTTTCTGTTGGTTTTTATAAAAACTAGAGATAAAAAAAAATTTCAGTGAACTCGAATCATCATGTTGTCTCTATTCACTTTGGCAGCAACGGTGGCTGTGGCCTTTTCGGCGAATGAGATCAAAGACACGATCAGCGACGTTACCAGTACCAAGGTAAGGAAAAAGAAAAAGAAAGAATTGTTGATAAATTGTGAAATTCTGTGAGATTTCTCACATATCACTTGTTTAACTCATCCATGGGAGTATCTCATTCAACAGCTCCCTCAAAATGCGCACTCGTGATGCCTTAACATGCCTTTTTGATGCCATAACAAGCAATGGGGCAACTAGTAAAATTTATGTTAAATGCCGTTGTTTCATGTAGCTCGAAAATTCATGCTCAGTTACCATTGACTTTTTCGAAAAAATTACCAAGGTGTCATTTTTTCTAGAATTCCTAAAAAAACGCTTCACTTTTTTTGGCTTTCTTACTGATTTGTGCGCGTGCTATGTTTAAGCATTAGAAGATTATCAAAGTAAACTAAAAAAGATTTAAAAACCCTCCGACAGGCTGTTAAAAGCTATTCTATAATTGGTAAAAGCTATTCTATAATCAGTAAAAGGTATTCTATAATCGGCAAAAGCTATTCTATAATCGGTAAAAGCTATTCTATAATTGGTAAAAGCTATTCTATAATCAGTAAAAGGTATTCTATAATCGGCAAAAGCTATTCTATAATCGGTAAAAGCTATTCTATAATCGGTAAAAGCTATTTTATAATCGGTAAAAGCTATTCTATAATCGGTGAAAGCTATTCTATAATCAGTAAAAGGTATTCTATAATCGGCAAAAGCTATTCTATAATCGGTAAAAGCTATTCTATAATTGGTAAAAGCTATTCTATAATCAGTAAAAGGTATTCTATAATCGGCAAAAGCTATTCTATAATCAGTAAAAGGTATTCTATAATCGGCAAAAGCTATTCTATAATCGGTAAAAGCTATTTTATAATCGGTAAAAGCTATTCTATAATCGGTGAAAGCTATTCTATAATCAGTAAAAACTTTTCTATAATCAGTAAAAGCTATTCTATAATCGATAAAAGCTATTCTATAATCGGTAAAAGCTATTCTATAATCGGTAAAAGGTATTCTATAATCGGCAAAAGCTATTCTATAATCGGTAAAAGCTATTCTATAATCGATAAAAGCTATTCTATAATGGGTAAAAGCTATTCTATAATTTAAACATAGCAAGCGCACAAATCAGTAAAAAAACCAAAAAAAGTGGAGTGCAATTTCTAGAAAAAAATTACATGTTAGAGAAAAAAAATGACACTTTGGTAATTTTTTTTAAAAAGTCAATGGTAACTGAGCATGAATTTTCTCGGGTTGAAGCATAAAGCATGGATTTTACTTGTTGCCCAAACAATGGAAGACATTGTGAAAAATTGGTAATACATTTTTTACAATTAGATCGAAAGTATTCAATTGAATGAAGAACTTGATGAACGTGAGTACAATTTCAGGGAGGCGCCGAATGGTGTCCAGTGTTCGGGGGAACACAGTGCCCATCAAGCTCCTTCGTGCACTACTACAATTGCTGTGGCACTCTGAACAAGGATTGTTGCTTTGCACTTCAGGTGAACGATTTACAATGATAATAAACTAAAATAAGATCTGTTTTGAGATTAGCCTAGATAAGCTTAAGCAAATAACTTTGCAGACATGGGTGATCGTTGTTTTGGCGTTGATCGGCGTGATCGCTCTCGCCTCTCTCGTCCTCTCGCTCATTCGATGTGTTTTCTGCAGACGTTAAGCTCACTTGCCATTCTTGAAAAGCTTCACAATCCTTTTTTCGCATTTTCTCGACAAAATTCGTTTTATGAAATGAGCTTCGCCTCGCATTTTTCTCGAATTGAGAACGATTTTGGGGATAGGCTAATTTCCGCCATTTTATTTGCGCAACTCGCCATAACTTCTTTCTAAGTGGGCCAATCCTTATGATTTTTGGTGCCATTTTGTAGATCTCAATAAGTACAACAAAATGGCACCAAAAATCATAAGGATTGGCCCACTTAGAAAGAAGTTATGGCGAGTTGCGCAAATGACCCAGTTGCGCAAAAAATTTGGCGCAAAGTAGCGTATCCCCGATTTTGAAATTCTCATTGCAAATCTCTCGAATCATTTCCAATTCGCCAAGCCTCTCACATTATTTAGACTTTTTTTTGCTGTTTGAATGGCCAAAAGAACTTTGAAATATTTAAAAATCTGCTGAATATTCCCGGTATTCTATCAATATTCTTTTCATACATTAATTTGCTCTTTTCAACGAAGATGCGTAGCTTTTTACCAAACTTTTACTCTAATTTAGATCAAAATCAGTTTGTTTCTCTCTGGAAATTCCCCACTATTGCTTTTTTTTTTGCCAATTCACTGTCCATTTGCTTTTGAAACGAGTGCTAAGTTTTATGTTATGGTTTTCTCTTGCATAATAAACTAGCTTTCAACAATAGCTGATATGTGAGAGCTTTTTATATAAAACAAACCAACGACTAATCGATAATCGACAAAAGAAATTAGATTGAGCAGCAAATCTTTATGAAAATAAACCGGAATCTTCTGTAAAAAGGCAGCATCATTCTATAATAACATTCTATAATATGAGGGTAATGTGGTGGGCAATGTCAGAAAAAAAATCGCAAGCTGCACAGATCTACAATACTTGGAAGATACAGGATAATTGGGTGTTAGTGATATAATTTTAAAAGTTAGATATTGCATATGTTACGTCGAAACGGAACAAGCTCTGTTCGGAACAGGACGTCCGAAACAGAACGAAAATCTTTGTTCTGTTTCGAAAGTCCGATTCTGAACCGGACAACTGAAACTGAATGAATTTTTCAAATCCAAATTTCGCTTAAATGTGAATGATTTAAAAGCAATAACGAGAGTATTATTTCAACATTGTTGTATTTTCGTGCATTTCTGTAACTACGAGGAAAACTTATATTAGAAGCACCTAATATATTTTCAATTACCAAACCTGCACCTATATCAAAAGCAGAATCTAAAATTAAAAGAAACTGAACAAAAATTTTCGTTCCGTTTCGGATGTCCTGTTCGGAACAGGACGCTTGTTCTGTTTCGAACGTATTACATACCCTAAATATTCTAATAGAAGAGCTTCCTATAGGAGCGTCGCGTAGTCTAAGCTTACATTTCAAGAACCGCTCATATCTCGGCGCCCAGACATCAAATTAAAGTAGAAAGGACGAGTGATTTTTTTGAGATATAACACATCTTTTTAGAATTAACCAGCGCTTAGAACAAAGTGATTGAAAAATGATGAAAAATCGGTTTTTTTTGCCAATTTTGAATCATTTTGTTCAAAGCGCTGGTTAATGCTAAAATATGTGCTATAACCCGACAAAATCATCCATCCTCTCTACTTTAATTTGATACCTAAGTGCGCAAAAACAAATGTCTGAACGTCGAGATATGAGGGTTTGTTGGAGTGTACACTTAGACTACACGACACTCCTATATGGGGCTCTTCTATTAGAATATTTACGGTACATATAAACATTGGAACAAATATTACATAGCTTCACTCGACATCAAAAAAACTCAATCCAAAAAAGAAATTACAATGCAAATAAAACCTAAAAGACGCGAATAAAACTCTATAAATTCTTCACAGCTAAATCCGGTAAAACAATGAGATAAATTGTGATAAATAGCAGCTCGTCAATATTACTGACAAAATAAACCTCAATTCCCAGCTAGATGGTAAAGCTAAAACCATTTTTGGAAGCAAATCAGACGTGTACAGCAAAGTTTGCAAACGGTGTGTCAAATTCGAAATGTTTGAAAGTGTACAGGCCCGAGAAATGCGATAAATCGAAAGGTAAACCACGGTGACACAAAGAGTATTGATAATTGTAAATATTTTAGGCCACAATGAGGCACATAGATACCCGGAAAAATGTAATAATAATTCAGTGAAAACAGATTTGGCATAACGTTCGAGGAAATCTCAAAACAAAAAAAAACAAAAAACGAACTATAAAGGCACTGCTTTCGTAGATGGAGATGTGAGCTGATCGTGTAGCCGAATAGCATCAGTAAAATTGAGTGGCCGAGATCTGTCTCCATTCAGTATCTAAATAGGTTCATTAGTAAGTAAAAGAATATTCACTTCAATTACGAATTGACTAAAAGCAACCTTGACAGCTTGATGACGATTTTCAAAATATACGTCTCCCGAATTTTTTTCAAAACCTTCTCCTGAATTTGAAGAAAGTCGTTTTGAAGACGCTAAAAGTAATGATTGAAGAAAATATTATAGTTAAACAACATACATATTCTCTTGTTATCAACACCTCGGTAAGCTTCTTCAACACTCGCCTCGTATGCCGATTTTTCTGGTGACCGAACTAAATTTGAATCAATGACTACAATAGATTACTTTGGACATCTATCTGCTATCTAAGCAATTGCAATTAAACTTTTCTTTAACCAAACTCACCACTATTCGTTTCATCGTAAAGATTGCACGTGCTGCCTCCTTGCATTGCCCGGTCCCGCGTTTGAATCGATTCTCCATCTTTTGAGATTCCGCCAGCGATCGACAACGCCGTTCCGACACTTTCACTGTCCGCCAATTTGAGCTGCTTTAACTAAAGAATAAAATTGATCAACTTACATGGATATTAGTTCAAGAGCAAAACGTTTACTGGGCAACACTAATTAACACGTTTTAGTGGCTAAGGTAAACCTATCTTTGAAATCTTTTTTCGTTTTGCTCTTGTGACAAAAATCTTTAAGCTGACAAATACTTGATCATTTGCAAACCCATAATAATATACAACATTATCAACATCACGGCTCAATCTTTTTACCTGACGTGTGCGTTTGTATTAAATTAGGTTGTTCTTAAATCCAATTTTAATAAAGAACATAACATATTTGTTAAACGCAAAGTTTTGAATAAGAAAGCGAAATTTTTAGTATACAGTGACCAGATTTTTAGAAGCGACAATAACTTCAGAAGCTCAAGCATTTGCACTATACTCAACACATTCATTCACACAACACCGGCTATGATTTCAAGCAATTAATTTTTATACTTTAGACATCAAAGCATAGTCTAGGCTATTGTGTTAAAGTTTACCTCTGCGGCCCTCAATCGATTTGGCTCGTGGGTCTAATATGATATACGTCGAGCGAAAATGTTAAGCAACAATGTGCTCGCAAAGTTTCTAATCAAACTTTTGTAAAACTAACTCGAATATGTCCGTGTCCATGCGTTTCTTTCAAGTTGTTGCTGGGAACGTATATGACACCATGATCATCTTCTAGCAAGAGTGCTTTCTAGAATTAGTTGCTACTTGTTTGGAGTATTAGAAAGCTGAAAATACGCTTAAAAATGTGATCAAATGCTTACCTTTCCTTTCTTTTCACTGCGCTTTTGCTTCATCATTCTCTCGCGTTCTTTATTTCTCATGTAAATCTCATAGCTAAACCGAAAATTTAAATTAGGTAAATTAAAAATAACTTACGATGGAAATTGACTACCACACAGCGTGGTTTTAATGTTGCCGCAACATCCGACAGTGAATGGATTATAACCCGATTGAAATTTGCCGGTTACCTAAACAGTTTATTTTTAACAATGAAACTTAAAAAGATAAAAACCTGCTCATTTGTTGTTCTCCCACGTGAAACAAGAACGATATGGAAAATTGTCAACCCAATCACCGGGAAAGAAAGTATTGCACATAGCGCCAGTAAAACAATAGCGCATAAGTTTGGTCGTGTCAACATCTCGTCTCTAAACATTGAAAAATAGCGTTCAATTTAGAACTATACTCTTATTATCAGCAATATGCACCTCAGAAATCAAATGCATACCTGACTAACCTTGTTGTGAGAATGTATGTAAGGCAAATTGAGAAGACGTAGATCATGTGAAGTGAAAGGAATACAAGAAAGTAGAAGAAGTATCGGTAATTTCTTTTTCCAACACAATTGTGCACCCATGGGCAATGATGATCAAACGAATCGATGCACCTAAAACAAATAAATCATTATCTATCTTAGTTTTCCCTTAAAAAATTTCTCTTCTCATTCTTTTCATTTTGAATATATTTTTTTCATTCTTAACATTTGACACGTTTCCTACCTATGAGTCAGGAAGACATAAAAACGGTGAATCATTACAATTATGCGTCGCGGTGAACTTTCGAACAAAAAATCCGTTTCAAAACAAACCTATTACACACAGAACAATGTGATGAACGGGGAGGCCGATAGAATTTGCATGTCACGCACCTAAAATGAAATTAAAAGAAAAATCCCGACAAAGACTACCATTTCATTCGAACAGTTATGCCATTAATCTCAACATTCTTATAGAGAGGCGATTTGAAATCGTCAGTTTGACTATTTTCTTCCGTTGTGACCGCTAAAATGTTCATTTATAAAATTACTCTTTCAAGTTAACAAACCGAGCGGTAAAAGTCCAGGATCCATACACATAGCCATTATTAGATTCGAAACTACCATGAAAAAGAGAAAACCATCACCTATACACGCAGCCCATCCTAGCCAACCTAAAAAAAGTTATTATAAACTTGCGAAAAAAATTATAGATAGCTCAAATAAAAACATTAGCACTCGATCTTTTAATCAATAAAAACCAACCAAATTTGGAACCCAATGCAGGCGTCAGAAAATAGTAGAAACAAAAAGAGCAGACAACAATTAAAGACCAGGCTACCGTTGCTGGCAATAACTGAGAAATTTTCTTGCACACTTAAAAAATAATTAGATTAATGTCGCAAAAACTTTCTTACTTTTACGAAGGCGTGCTCAACGATCCGCGTAATACTCTATGACATATCCAAAAACGTTTGAAGCGACTGAAAACATGATATAACATTCGTGCAAAAAAAAATAATTTTCATTGATTGAGATAAAGAAACTTTTCTCTCAAAAATATCAATAACTTGTTGATAAAGAGTTGTTGGCGATATAAATAGAAAGGGAGTACATGATCAATTTGGGGATGGGGCCACTTTGAAGCGGCGGATGGCCACGGCCATATCGATTTTGAGAAAAAGAAACAAGAACGCAAGCATACTAGAGCAAAGAAAGGGCTGTGCCGCGCCTGAAAAGAGTTACATCCTTTTTGCCGGTGAATCGCCGCTGATTTGAATGAGAGCGCGATTGTGAAACGGGGGAAATTACGCGCCATTTTTCACGATAATTGTCGTTGCCTTGTGATTTTGTTTTTGGCGCAAAAAATAACGACATCGGTAATTTTGCAAGACGGATGGTTTGCATGAATAAATCAAAAAAAAAATCCAAATTCAAATTTTAATTTGTATTTACACCCTACAGTGATCGTTGTCCATTGAAATTTCCATCAAATAAATAAACCATTTAGAGCAAAGTTACTGTAATCATTACAGCATAATGTTTTTTAAAATTTTTTTCATGTCCGAAAACTTTATTTATACCCGACCACAATCACAGCACAATATGCATCACAAGACAGTAAAAAAATCATTTTTCTAAATAAGAACTACCATAATACCTGTAATAGTAGCGCCCCCATAATGACGGTCGGAGCGTCGCGTAGTCTAACTTTAAACGTATTTTTCTCGTCACCCGTTTATGCTACAGTGTGCGCTTAAGTATCAAATGAAAGCTTAAATTCAGGGCTATATTTTGATATCAAAAATGCATTTTTAGATATTATGGGCGCTTAGAAAAAAATGATTTAATAAAAATTTTTGCGATTACGCGAATGTACGGAGGGGGGCGGTACTATTACAGGTATTACGGCCACAAATTAGAAAGATACTAGCACAATATTGAGAAAAAAATTGAAAAAGTTTTCAAAAAAAACTGATGAAGAGTCTTCGAAGCTTGTGAACTTATAATTTAAAAAACTCCAAAACAAGAATATCTTTAGCATATTTTTACATAGACAATTTCAGCTTTATTCGGAAAGCGAAAACAAAGATTGGTAGGAAATTATTTTTTGATCACTTGATAAAGGATTATCGAAATGAGTAGAACCAAAACCGAAACAATGATCATAACATAAAACCAGAATCTCGATTGCTTTTCTTGAAGTGATATGATCAATGGTAGATGATCGGGTACAACCTGAAAGTGCTTTTTATAAAACTCTTCAGGTAATGTGGCAGTTGATTTCCTGCATTTTTTTACTTACTCCAGGTGCTCGGACTTGTTCCATTTCTCCAACCTCAAGTGCTCTTTCCCATCCATCATCAACATGTTCTAGATTTCCATAGCTTTTCATAAACCCTTCCTATCCTTACCTATGCTGGCCTCAATTTCCAACAATTCTTTCATATTCTTTTGTCCATCTTCAATAGTATCTGCTTCAAAAAGAAAATCGGAAAACAATATCGATGAGTGATATGGTAAAGTAGTTGTGGCGGGGCGTGGCATCTGATAAACAGAACCGTTGTCTGATATAGCTGCAATACTAACTACAACGTGTTCCTATAAGCGTTTTACTGATTAAAGTACAAATCTTTTTTTTCACAAAACAACACTCATTTGATCAACACGACATAGCAAGCCAAATGTTTCTTCAAGTCACCTGATGAATGATTTGACTACCACCAGTTCCACGATCTTCCGTAACTTCCATAGATTCATAATGAAGAACTGAAAAATTTCTTATTCTTCGTTTTTATGCATATTTTAAAGTTATACTCGAAAATATTTGAGTCAAACCTGCTCGAGAACACATATTTCGAATGATATGTTGCTTTGTAGCAAGCACTGCAAATTCAACTTTACTCTTTACAGGAACAGCAGCTCGGATCTAAATTTTAGACTCTCACTAACCATTCTACATCGCCTCACCTCAATATCGAAAACAAAATCGTGCCAATTTGTGGTCGATTCTTGTTGCAATGTCGTTGTACTGTCATCGCTTCCTAACCCCAAAATAACCGTTCAAAGAGATCGTTCATACCTTCAGATTCTGTCAACAAAACCAACTCAAATGAGGACTTTTTGTTCTTTGGATCTTTATTTAGATATTCATTTGTCTCACGCACTTTTCCATCAACCAAAATCAAGTTGCAATCAAGAATTCGTTGAGCCTGAAATTGATGACTCGAAAGTTGATCAGACAGACATTGACATCCCAATGATCAGACAGACATTGACATCTCAGACATCTCAATTCCTTAGTAAATGACTCTCATAAAACCTACCCAAGGCTTCAATAGATCAACAAAGTCATTGTAGAAATTTTCTGTCTTCAAATTTGCTATATGATCACTAATTCTGCCACCAGCTCTTGAAACAATAGAAACCCATTCGAGCTGAAAATTTCTCATAAAGTTGAAGCTGATTCCACATGCTGTTTGTAATTGTGTGAATTTGTTTACCTTATTGAAAACAACTTTTGTTGGACTTTCAGGTGATCGATTAACAACATCGACAACAACGGCTTGAGGTTTACCCAATGGGATTTCAACATTTACAAGTACCTGAAATGTTTGAGGTTTGTAAAAAAAAATCATCAATACCATATTCTCAATGTACGAGAAAAGTTTCATGGTAGTTAAAGCCGTGGAATATTTCGCAATTCGACTCAATGCTTTAATCAAACGTGGACGCTGTTCGATGAAAATATTTTTGTTTGAAAGCCAGAGAATCCCTGAAGTGAGTTGAATAAAGATTTTGATGTGATTGATGTCTACTAACCAACGAGATCAATTCCTCCGGGCAACATACGGATCACTTTCTCAGCTGATTCCACAAGCCATTGATCATCGACTGTTTTAGAAGCTGCATCACCACCCTATACACTGATTAGACTAGTTAGCTTATCACAAATTTAAAATCAAATTTGAATTTGAATTCAGCATTCTAACCGTTGCAGTAGCCGTGGCAGGTAGTGGACATTTAGTGATATGCGCTATCTGAATGGCTCCTCTTACTATTAGAGATGATGCAAGTTCAGACTTACATGAATATCAAAGCCTTCAGCAAAAGTGCCAATGAGAAAATGGGGTGAAGCAAGCACTCCACTTTTCTTCTCTAAATCACAATGAGCTTTCACGGCTTTATCAAGGGTCGATTCGAGTCTTGCGTCAAAGATAATCATCTGAAATGGTGGTTATTAAAGTTAATCTTGATACGAATGTTTTGGAAAATGAAAGAATAGGCTTGCATCGGAGTGAGTTCCTTCAAAATATACAAAAAAAAATAAAAATACAAAAAATACAAAAAATTATTTACACAACCTTATATTGTCACAAAATAAACCTTGAATAACTGAGTATTTTTCAATTGTCACACTTATTGCTAGACTTGTTAACGAGGCTTAAAGTTTGACCAACCATATCAGCGCACTGAAAGTTGCTAGCAATCTGAAACTTTTTTTCTTTCAGAAAGCCTAGATTATCAGCTTCATTTTGATACTAAACATTCAAAAAAAGTACTCTAAAAAGGTTATCGATGCTTAACGAGGCCTTAACGAGGATTTTTTGAGTGACTTTTTGAGTGCTATTTTAATGAATTTTGCTGAACGTTTGGTATCAAAATGAAGCTAATAATATTGGCTTTCTAATAAAAAAGTTTCAAATTGCTAGCAACTTTCAGTGCGCCGACATGACTGTCCGAACGGGAGCAACCTCAAAATATCGTTAGCCATGTCTACTTATTGCCAAAAGGCATCCAAAGGCCGAATTTCCTTTAAAAGTTTAAAGTTTGGCGCTATTTTTATTTCTACCTAACCCCAAAGAACGATTGAAGTTAAATAAAAGTCATAAAGTAAGCAAATGAAACTTTGTTGTTGAGGTTTTGCGCTCTTTGGAAACTAAAAGTTAGCACCCAATCGATTGTAAGTCGGCCGAATGAAAAGAGAAATGAATTTTTGAGAAAAGATTAATAAATTCTTTGTCTCTATTTTTTCGTTGCTAGGTAAGACGGTTGCTTTTCCACCTGGTTTACCCTACAATCGCGTTTCTTTTGTCTCTCTTCTCTTCGATTTATTTTCTTTTGGCAATGTTCCATGATGTGCACCGGCTTTCTACGATAACTCCTCTTTTTCAGGCGCTGCGTCTCAATCGCGACGTGCATTTATGGAAGAGTAGTGCCCACAAACACAAGCGTTCTTCGCCTCGTGGTTTGCCCATTTCTTATGCTAAACATTTTGTTTGTTTATATCGATCGAAATTTGGATTATACCTTTCTTTTTTAAAACTTGAAAGATTTATAAACTTTTTGTTGTTAAACACATATTGATTGTGATCATGAAGGTTAGAACTATTTCTTGCCAAAGTTTACGCTGTCGAACACAGCAAGTATTTGTTTTAAGATATAGATTTTAATCTTTAACATGGCTCTCTGGCGCTGACAAATTGTTTTTAAAGCGATGCAACAACATTAGCGAAATTTATGATTCATTTTGCCTCTTTCTTGCCCACTTGGATGTCGCGAATCACAATCACAAATTCTTTAGACAAACTTGCTTTTGCTTTTTGACATTTTCTTGAATGTTTTCATTTATGAAAGTAGTTTTCTGTTTAGTCCATATCTACCCGAGGAGTGGAAAAACTATCTAATCATGGACTACTATCAAAGTAGGCAGGCTCAACAGGTATTAACTATTAACTTAACTCCTAAAATGATCTTTTGATGTTTCGATGGCTTGAATATTTTATTGTAAATTTAGTATCCTGTGTCTTCGACTTCGACAACAGCCCAATCGCAAGCAGCTCCTAGCAACTACATGTATGCGTCGAATAATATGTACTATGCGCAGGTGAGAGTTTAACATTTTGGTTTTATGATTCTAACTTAGTGAATCGCATAACTAAATCATTTTTTTAGCCTTCCACTGGATTGCAACAATACGCACCACAGCATTTTCAAGCAGGAATGGCCGGTAGTCAAAATCACACTCAACCAGCCGCTACTCATTCATCACATTGGAACAACGGCAAGTTCTTTTGGTCACAGTTAGCTTAAACAATTAAGTTGTAGTCGAACAACGTTATTAATTATTTAAGCAACTGCGCGTCTATTTGGAGGTGCAAACTAAAGTTTATTTTTAAAATTTAGATTATGCCGGGGTGACTCAACAGAATCCAACACAAAATCAGCAATCTCGTCGACCACCACAACATCAGCAACCTAGGTTTGTAGAAGAAGTAGCGGTTAAAACAAAACAAAAACTTTAGTGCCGCTTATGGAACCTATCGCCCAGCTGGACAAGTTCAACCAGATGCTTCAAACAGTGCCGCAGCTATTGGTCTTGCAAGGCCTGGACATGCTCAGATGATGGCAACTCAAGGCCCTCCACAGCTTCCACAACAAGTATAAAATATTTAGCGCTTTAAACTTTTATTTTAATAACAAAACTACACTGCTTTTTTAGGATCTGCCGCTTCGAATGGTCGTCGAAGCTAAATTTGTTGGTGCTATTATTGGACAAGGTGGTGGCAATATTCGCGAAATCAGCAAGGAAAGTAAGGCACGATGTGTTGTCGATGTTGCTCGAGCTATGCGTGATCAGGATGGAACTATTGAGAAGGTTTGCATCATATGTAAACATGTAAAAGAGTTTGGTTTTAGGTTATTTCAATCCTTGGACAGCCAGAGAACTGCACAAAGGCTTGTGTCAAAATTTTGGAAGTGATTCAACGTGAATTGGAAAAGGAAGACCAAGACAAAACCCAGTAAGCATATAACCTATCAAAGAAATCATTTTAGCTCAAGCTGCTCGATATTAATTTTGTTTTAAGGCCTGAAGTCACTTTGAAACTTCGTGCTCATAATCAATTGGTTGGCCGTCTTATTGGCAAACAAGGATCAACTATTAAAAAGATTATGCAGGACACTAATTCGACAATTTTTGTTTCCAAGTAAATCCACCACTTTCGATTGGACCTAAAAATTATTTTAGCAGCGAACCTGCTTCTCAAATGAGCGCCGCTTTTCCACCAATGCTTGATATTTTGCAACAAGAACGAACGATCACTGTGCGTGCACCCACGATTCAAGAGGTATTTATTTTAGTTTAAGATACAATAAATCATTTTAATCGTTTGCTATTTCTCTGGTCTGGATAATACTCTACGATTATTTTAGATTTCGAACGCCGAGCAGAAAATTTCTTCAAAGTTGCGTCAAAGCTTCGAGATGGACATTGCCAATAGGGTAATTTTTATTTTTTAATATTGAAGTTTGTTACTCTGACAATAAAGGTTTTAAACAATCGAGTTTTTTAGATGCAACAGTTCCCTGGTGGATATCATATGGGAATGCCGGGCATTCCATCGGTTGTCAATCCTATTGGTGATGCTTATGCTATGGTTGGTATGAACATGCGGAATCCCTTGATGGCTAATACACCAAAAACCGTTCGAATGTTTGTGCCTAATAATATGGTTGGAGCAATTATTGGAACGAAGGTAGAAGATGCTTTGCTAACACATTAATCATTGTGTTTTAGGGAGCCAACATTCGCAACATTATGCGCAACAGTGGTGCTCAAATCAAAATTGAAGGCGGTGAGCGCAAGCGTGAAGGCGACATTGAAGAACAAGAACGCGAAAAGGAACGTGAGCGTGAAGAACGTGAAAAGAATCCAGAAGAAGAACGCATGGTCACAATCATCGGCAATGATTCGCAACAATATCGTGCCCAATTTTGGATCTATCAACGGGTCGCTGAACAAACAAATCATAGTTTGGAGGAGGTACTATTTGTTCAGTGTTTTCTAAATGTATGATTTTTTAGGTAAGATTGCGCACCGAAGTTCAAGTGCCTGCAAAGCTTGTTGGAAGAATCATTGGAAAGGGTGGTCAAAATGTGCGCGAACTTCAAAGAGTTACCGGTGCTCAGGTAATTTGAAAATGTTTTTAAACTCATAATAAATTCTCTTTAGGTTAAAATCCCCGACGATACGGAAGAAGCTGGTGAAAGTGAAGGTGGAAGCGCTCCAAAGAAAGATGGTTGGTTCGGCGGAGCTTCATTGTGTAAAGCTTTGTTTAGTATCTACTATTTCGGATGAGGATATGAGCTCGTTGAGAATCGTTGGTACTTTCCAATCTGCTCAATCTGTTCAGCTTCGTATCGCACATGTGTGTGCCGATTTTGCCAGGTACATTCATACATTCAATAAAGTGCAACTGACAAATAAATACATATACATAATTTTTAAAAAATTTACCTATTTGATTTAGATCGGCTTTGAACAATGAACGCCGTGAGCGCCTCAATAAAGATACTCGAAGTAGGCTTGATTTGCGTTGGCTTTGGTAACTTAGATTTTAGGTGATAATGAGGATGGTGATGGACAAGATCCGATCTCTCAAGGCTCCCCGGAATAAGCACGTCCGTGGATCATCAATTTAACAACAGCAAGCTATTGTATTTTTTCTTGGATCTGTTTTTTCATTCTTCTTGAGTACTCTTTGTGTTTCTGACCCCCATTCGCCAAGTGCAGTGTTGCGGGTTGCCTTAATTAAGTACGCGGTATCATCCCCGTGACGCTTTCCGATTATACCACGGTAGCGTTACGGTTGTATATCCCTTATAGAGAAGAGGAGTGCTGCCGCTAACGAGTCTTTGTTTTTATGTTTTGCTCGAAACGCTGCTAGGCTTCTTATTTTTTTTGTACTCTTCTGTGTACCTAATATAGAATTCTACCCAGCAGCCTTTCGACAGGATAAGCACTCAAATAATTTATTCCGGCTGGTTCGTTGCGCTGGTCCCGTGTTCTATTTCGTGGCAGACTTTGTGAGAGAACTTTGAGGTTGGCGAAAAAGTCCTGACCCCTTTTTTCACCGTTACCTTTCTAAATATCTGGAAGTCCGAGACACCTGCTGCTATGGGAGTTTGCTTACTCTAGTATACTAGTATTAAACACTGAAATGGCATCACAAAATATTGTTGTCTTTACCGTTATTTGCGTATACTTTTGGAATCAACTCAAAATTAGGTCATAGGCCATTCCTAAATTAGATCATAGCTTTTGGTTTGGCGAGTGCTTGGCCAATGGTCGAGGACTAACAAATTTTCTCGTCTACTTCAACAGGGCCCAGTCAGCTTCCGTTTGTAAGAAAAGAGTACATGCTCTGCCCAATAAATAGGAAAATATCATACTTGCAAATAGCCAATACCTTGAATAAATAGGAGCCGTGGTTTTTAAGAAATTGCAACGCAAAAAGGGGTAAGACTTTCTCGCCAACCTAATACAAGAAGCAACCTTTCAACTCTTCCCTATCCGACCGTCCCACAAAAACAATAGATGCCGTCGTCCCTTCCCGCCCATCCATTCAATCATCTCCTGCCCAACCCAATAATAGTTAATCTCCCCTTCTGAAGGTGAATCTTGTTCTTTTCTTCTGTTGCTTTTCATGTTTCAAAGCTCTATGGCATCACCGCATCCGTTATTGCCATATTTTCTACTGCATTTTTTGGACAACCAATAATGTAGAATTAAAATGTTTTCATTTTCTTTGTCGTTTTTACTTTTTTCGCCATTACAATTTCCAATTATCAAGTTCGTTTTCTTGCTATCATTTTCAAACTTTGTGCTTTTTTATCTCAGATTTCAACTTCATGCTAAATATCTATGTACCAAATTCTGAATTAGCACACCAGTTTACTCATAATAATTGCTTGGAAATGAGCTAATTTAGGATGGCCCCTGCTATTTAATAAGGCTGTTTAATAATTTTCCTTTAAACTTGCTCAGACCGATTCCGTATCCAATTCGAAATTTTGCACATGTTCAGATGTCAGAGCTGAACAAAATTCAAATTCTTAGCTCCTTGGATGCGGGATTCGTTCCGCTGGGCCGCCACAAGAAGTTGTTCCATTTGAATGACTTCGTTATAATATTCGCCGTTCAGCCCACACAATTGGTTGTTCCCCTTTCATACCTTGATATCGCAGGGTTGTTTGTCGGTATAGGGCCTCCAATTCACATATTACAATACACCCAAACCCTTCCATCTCAAACATCCATTTCTTTTCTGGTGAACGAACACAGTGTTGCTGCCACGAATAAATCTTTCCAAAAATGAACTAGAGTGATTACATTCGCATAACAAACCTTTCACACAGAACAGATGCACCTTATTACGTAAACTCTTGTCTTGTGTATGCTTGTTTTCTGCAAAAAGGATACGACACAGCGGCAGTGATCTTTCTTTTTTTCTCTTTTTTTTTGCGTGTGCTATCGCGTTCCTCTTGCCCACTGGTCAAAGAAGGGTCAGTTTTTTTGACGGGGATGAGTGTGTGAGAATGGAGAGACGCAGAAAAGAGAGCCTTCGGTTCCCTCTGTTCCCCTTGCTCAGCTTGGTACGAGGAGGCACCGGCGCGCGATGCCCGCAACGCGTCCTCATCGGCCTCTACCACTTCATGGGGACCGTCCAATCCTATTTGTTACATAATGTTGTTAATATTTCCAAGAAAAAACTGGCAATCACCCATTTCTTACCTTTCCGGCAAAGCCAATCTTTCCCTATGTTCATTTGAAAAGGAATTCGACTTCTAAATATGGCTAACGTTTTAAAATCTCGATTTTCAGAAAAAGACGAATAAAACGCATTCACTTTGAGTATGCTCTTTCGATTCGGGCTCTTGGTAGCCAGTGTTTTTTCGAGTCTTGCGATTGATCCATGTTCATCAATTGATCGAGCTCTCCTTCGCAACAAAGATCCCAATGAAACGGTATTTTAGAAACGAAATTTGATGTTATTTCATGGAAAATAATGAGAACCCTTGCTGAAAGCTGAAAAATTTAGACGGCTTGCAAGTGTTTGATTGATCCGGTGCCATTCGATCAAAACGATAATGTTTGGATTGGATGCACTGGACATTCGATGTCGATGGTCTTTAAGGCACTTGGGTTTGTGAAAGAAAAGATTTTCTTTTCGAAAATAAACTATCTTACAGTGGCCTCAATGAGACTCGAGTGAATCGAGTGCACGTTTGGGATAGCATTTTGAACATTTTGCCAGCGGAAATGTTTGAGAAGGTTAGCGTGATTGAAATGATGAAATCCGAGATTCTCTTGACTCTAGGTTCGACCTCGAATCTTGATTGTGGAAAACTCGTTGACGTCCGTTGTTCGACCGGGTACTTTCACACAGATTGGCACTCGTCTTGTGGAGCTCCGCTTGAGGAATAATGCGTTTAAAAAGGTTCGAAATGAGAGGAGATAATAAGGAATGCATAAATGTTTTGCAGAGAATTGAAAACTCGATGCTCAATGGGCTTGATCGACTTCAAATTCTTGATATGAGCGGTAAGAACAAAAAAAATGAAAGTGGTGACGATAAGAAATTCCTAGGCAACAAACTAGTCTCAATCAAAGCCGGTGATCTTGAGGGGATGAGCGAATTGAGAGAGTTGATCCTCAACGATAATTTAATCTCTCAAATCGACGATCGAGCATTCTCGTCTCTCTCCTCGCTGAGAATCCTCTCCATTCAAGGGAATCACCTCACCGCCATCACAAAGTGAATTCTAACAAAAAATCCTTTAACAAATCATTTTTACAGAGACACTTTTAAAGGACTCGACAACCTTGAGTACCTCTACTTACAAAATAACAAATTGGAGTCAATTGATTGGTCGGCTTTCCAACATTTGAAGAGGCTTAAGGTTTGGGGAAAAGTGCAGACATTTACATCAGACTCGTGTTTAGCACATCGATTTGGGCAGAAACTTCTTGACAAACGTGGATCTGCGAGCTCTTGAAGCCTTGGAGAAGCTCATCATCAACAACAATTCAATTCAAAGCTTAAAGAGTGTCACATTGAAGTCAGTTTCAACGTTTGCGCCATGAGAAATCATTTCGCTTTACAGAGATCTACCATCCCTGGTTTTCTTGTCTCTTGATCGGAACGCAATCTCGGAAATTGATGATTTAGATCTTTTCGGTTTAGCTCCATCAACGCGGCTTGATTCTTTGTCAATGGTTTGAAAAATTTTTGAAAATAACATAGAAAGTTTTCAGGCTTCCAACAACATTTCGGTGATCTCGGCTCGTGCTTTTCAGCATGTGAGCTCGTTGCGAACGCTTGCCCTTCAGAATAATCAGATTTTGAGTAAGCTCAGAGATTTGTTTCACTTTACCGGAAACTTTCTAGGCCTCTCAACTGGCAGCACGCCGATCTTGCGCTCTCTTCGCCGCCTCGCTGTTCTTCTTATTTCCGGGAATCAACTATCAGCTCTCCGAGAGTCGGAACTCCCAATCACCCTGCAAATCCTTTCAGCTGATCATAATCAAATTAGTCATGTAAATAAAAAAATTTGTTTCTAAAGACAAAACTCATTTCAGATTGACGCAGCTACATTCAACTCGATGCGACTACAGAAATTACTTCTTAATGATAACTTGCTGGCTTTCTTACCGAAAGGAACCTTTGATCCGCTTGATCTTGACATACTGCAGGCTATTGACTTAAGTGGTATTTTGATTATTCATTTTAAAAAAATAGAGAAATCTTTCTAGCAAATAAATGGCAATGCGTTTGTACGGAGGAATGGTTGGGGTCGTGGTTGGACAAAGTGGGAGAGAGAGATGTGGCGGATGGACCTCTCGGTTGTCTTGTCACTCGTTGTGAAGATGATAAGCTAGTAAACTCAGGGAAGCTCCGCAAATATAAAACAAAACCATTTCAGGAAGAGCAAGACCATTCGACTTGGGTGACTATCGCTGCCTCTATACTCGCCGCTGTTTCAATTTTGATCCTCATTTCTATTGCTTTCCTTTGTTTTGAGGACGCACGTGCAAAAGTGAACCAACCTTGATATCAGCAAATATCAGAAATTTTAGATGTTCGTCTCCAAATCATTCCGCAGAGTGGATTCAGATCTTTTGAAGTTGATCAATGATAACGAGGTGAAAAAAAGGCTTAAGCAAACAAAAACTCAGCCCTTTTTCAGGCAAAATCGGACGCCACGAGAGGAGTTTATATGAAGCCAAAATCTGAAAACAGCCAAAAGAGCGTTCGATTCATTGGAAATTGATTGATTCTCAGCTCTCTTGCGTAAAAAAGGCTTTCACAAATTGATTTTTAGATGGGCTTTTGTACATACTCAAAATTCATGTTCCAGAAATACGGTTACACCATGTGCAAGTCAAATTACTAGATTTGTAATTGTGATTCTTTTCGTGCAAGCTGAAAATCTAATCCCAAAGTATTTAATAACCTTCAAATTTCAAAGATTTTAAAGTTTTTCTTTTAAAATCTCATAACTGTTACATTGGGTATTTTTTTTTTAAAAAGACTAATGCGGGACCTTATGTAAGAATCTTCAATGATCTTAGCAACTCTGCGTAATTTCAGGTACCTTTTCCTTACCCTATTTATTGCTTCACCGTTAGCTTTTTGTATTACTGGTGAGCTACGCCAATTTTTCATTTATTTTGCCAATTTGTCATTAATAAATCATTTATGAAAAACTCACACATGTGCATAATTACTCGAATTTCAAATAGACACCGGGGAGTGATTTACCAACAACATATCACAATTTAAAGGCTAAGAATTGATGGAGACAGTCCCTACACATTATGAACGATTAAAAAATTATGAAAATTAAAAGCCGTAAAAAGCAACCTGTACGGGCTAATTAAGTTCCTAATGAGCATGCAAATAAATCCTACATCGACAGCATCTTCATTGAGCTTGCTTCTTAAGGGCTGGATCCTCGATCACGTGTAGATAGTTGTGATTAAGATAGCGGAGCATCTAAAAACAAATATTATTAGAAACTTAAGCTTTGATAACTTTGATATTAAATTACCTGTCCACTTTGTGCACTGAAGTTTGTAAAATGACAAGCGAAAAGTAGTAAATTTCGTGGCTGCACATGCCAAGCAAATCTGAATTTTAAAAATCAGTTAGAAAAACGAAGCTATAACCAACCTCATGAAGACCGAAGAGTAAATAACCAGAGCTGAAGTCATGTTAGGCGAGATCATATCGGGATTTTTCTAGAAAGCAATAATACAACCATGTGGAAAATATGGGTACTTTGGTGGTTGGGAGGTGCCACTTTTATCCTGGATTAGTTGGATCTAATGTTTTGAGTGGTTGTATTGATACCCTTTATCTATTCTAAGGTAATCAAATATGCTTAATAGATTAATGACTATTTTAGCAAGTTTTTGGCAATTCTAGCTTAATCTCATGTACATTAACCACCAAACGCTACCTCAAAGCCGCTTACACTTGAAAATCAAATAAAAGCTGCAATTTGAAACTTGAAATATGTTGTAAATGCTCTAAAAGTATAGGCATATTTGATTACCTTAGAATAGGTGGATAAAAAGTATCAATACAACCACTCAAAACATTAGATTCAACTAAGCCAGGATAAAAGTGGCCTCCCCAACCACCAAAGTACCAAAATATATACTTACTTTTAAATCAGCAATAGCAGCCAACGGTAAACCCCAATTGGCAACAGGGCCCCAAAAGTGCGTCGAGAGGAAGTAATTCTGCCATTCTTTTGCACTGTAACGCGTGAAGTATCGAGCGATTTGGGACATTCTAAAAAAGAGATTAGATTCGCTAATTCAACAAGATAAAGAGAAACGCTACACTGCTTTCAGTGTTCGCTACAATAATAATTTCGGCGTAACAAGGGTATTTTTTGTAAAACTTTTAAACGTTTTCCAAAATTTCTTATAGAGCTAAAAACAAAAAAGAACTAACAATTTTCATTTTTCCATATCTAACTAAAGTTGTAGCAAGGCTTGAATTTTAATAGACTCGTGCTAAAAAAGTTGCGGGCGCAAAAAAAAGTACCTGCGAGTGATTTCTGTTCTGTGAGCAAATTGAGAGATCGATTCGCTCGATACTCGCCGACGACCCCCTAACTTTCGGGTACCTAAATTTGAAAAATAGCAAAAAAAAACAAATAGATAAAAACTCAAAGAAAAGGAATAAAACGATATAGATATCAAGTCTATCTAAAACCACAAAATGAGTATTTCTCACAATAAACATGCTGCTTTTTGAGTTCTAATATCTTTCTAAAATGGTTAAGCAAAGTTTACGTGTTGCATGAGTTAAAAATCACATAGTCACAATCTATTATTGTACTTTGAAAGTAACAAATAGGGTGATCAAGGGGAAAATGTCAAAAGCATGGGCAGATTTTCTCAAAAGAGTGAAGAGAAAGAGAGAAAGATAGGTCGAGTCAAGTCCTCCTATAGTGCACCTAGTTAAGCGCGCTAGCAAAACACTGCCCGGGTTAGAGTTCGTATTGTCCATACTTCAAAAAAAATCTTTTTTTTTTTCCTTTTTCAACTTATAAAATAAACTTTCCTCCTAAAAAATCAAATAAATAAACCTTTTTAGATTCTTATCAACCCAAATCTTTCACAAACGAAATATTCTTTGCAATGAAAGACTGCAAATATAATTTATTTTTAAAGAAGCGCTTTAAAATATTTAATTTTGAGTTGTTCTTTGATGAATCTAACGATTCGAAATATAAAACAACGTTTAGGAATTTAAAATGCTTAAATTAGCGCCGTAAAAAGTGGCGATAGGAAATGGAAACGAGCTTAAAATCCTTTCTAGCTTTATATGTGCATTTTAACATTCAAGTTTAGTCAAGTTTCATTCATAACATTCATTATTTTGTTACTCCTGTATTGTGCAAGGTTTCTGGTTGTGGAGGGGACGAGTTTTAGTGGGTGGGGTGGTGAGAGAAAAGAAAGAAGGGGAGGCACCCGATCGATTCACTATTCCCCGTCTAGCGGCCGTCGTCTCCCGCCTTATTTTCCCCCTTCCATCAACATTTCCTTTGCATTCATTTCATCTTTCATTTTTACATCTTTTACAAAATTCCTACCAAAATATTCTTTTCTTTCTCGCCAATTTAATTTCTTTTAACTTAGAAAATTTGCCAAATTTTTTTCCCAATTTTTCAGTGGTCGCCTACCACTCAACAAAGATGTCAAAAACAAATCGACGAGCTGAAAGTTCAAAAGGGTCCTCATTTCAGTATGACAGTGACGATGGACTACGAGCGGTAAAAAAAAAAATAAAATTGTAAAAGAAATTATATTGTTGTTTAGGAAATCGAGCGTATAACCGCTCCCCCATGCGGTCCAGGCAGGAAACGAACGTCGGCCAGTGATTCGGATGCTCCCGAGAAATGGAAATCGAATAACGCCACTTATTGTGTAGCTTGTAAAGTGAGTTTAGAAAAGGAAATCCTGGAAACTTGATGAAATTTTCCAGGAAGGAGGTGAACTTCTTTGTTGTGATATGTGTCCCGCATCTTTTCACTTGAGTTGTCACGAGCCACCCCTTTCACAAGAGGATTTACCGTCAGGTTGGCTTAGGTCATCATTTTCACAAAAAATTTCTATTCCAGGCAAATGGATGTGTAACCGATGCACAAGAACACCAGCAAATCAACGATGCGAAAAGAAAAAAGCTGGCGAGGTTAGTGAACAGTTATTTGTTGTTAAAACCTCACTACGAAAACAACATCGAAATTTAGTATGCGGAAAACGAGCGGAATAAAACGGCCATAAAGCGACTTTTCAAGGAATACGAACAAAAAGCGGAGATTGGAGATCCGACAACCGGTTATCTCGATCCACTCAGCTTACTAGCAAAGTAGATTTGATTTAGAAAAAAAAAATTCAACTCAAAATCTGTTTAGAACCGCGCTAGCTGTAAATCCCGAAGCTTACGAGTTACCCGATGAGCTTAGCGGCTCTAGAGTACCTCTTCCCTATGATGAGCTCCGAAAATCACGAAATCCCGTCAAAAATGGGATTTGTGCATATTGTCAGAGGTTTGTTTAAACAGTGAACCTGTTTCGAGTTAGCTTAATCCAAAATTTGTCCAATCTGGACAGAATTTCTGCATCCTTTTTTTGCTAGAGTGGGACAAATACGACCTTTTTTTTGCGTATTCGGAGTTTTGCGTACTTTTTTGGGCAGTTGGGAATGGCTGACGATATTATAAATAATTTAGTGATAAAATATACTATAGAGCAAAAAGATACCCAAAAAGTCGAGCGTTTTTTACACGTTTAAGGCAGTTCCTTGTTATAATGGGTAAAATGTCCCGGGTGCGCTAAAAAAGGTCGCATTTCAGATACTAGATTTCCAATGAAATTACAGTAATCAACATCGATCGCTAAAACCAATATAACCAATCATTACTGTTACAGTAACCATTAGAACTTTGAATGATTTAGATTTGGTCGAGAGTCAATCCCATTGCTCTCGTGCGATTTTTGCCCTCTCGTTTGGCACCTCGATTGTTTGACACCCCCGTTGGCTGCTCCACCAAAAGACAAATGGATGTGCCCGGATCATGTCGAACACTTAGTGGTAAGTCAAAAAACAAAAATTCAATTGTGTATCTATTATGTTTCAGGATCGCTGCTTATTGGACTCTGTTTCATTGACGAGACGAATGGAACTCTGGAATCAATACGCTCAACAGCCCGTCGATCCAGCTATCGTCGAACGATCCTTTTCCGCAGTATGATATTCAACGTTTACAAATTCAAATATTTGTAGACAATTCGCGAAAAAGACCGCTCACAACCGGCACCCCCGCCAACAAAGAAGAAACGAAAAGAAAGAAATTCGACACTCCGAGACCTCTGCTTGGTTGCCAACTCGATTTCTAGATTCGAAAAAAGTTGTTAGTTAAACTAGATTCTTTTTCAATATAATTAAAATGCAATAATAACTTTCTTTCTTTTCAATTTCCTTTTTAGATGCTTTACATTGTCCACAAGGACCGAGTACCTCGAATAGATCGCTCAACAACAGAAATTTTGTCAATCAAAAATTTGAACCAATGGTTTGTGTTAATCTAAACGATTTTCTTTACTTTGAATATTTAGGAAGTTGAATCAAATGAAATCAGGGATTTAATTGTTTCTTCGCTCGTTGCCACAATTTTTAACACTCATGAAGTGAAGAGGTAATGAAGACGATAAATACTCTAATAAAAGAAAGAAAAGAAAAGAAGTTAGACTACGCGACTGTACGGGAAGGTGGGGTTCTATTAGAGTGGGGGTAGGCTGATTTCCGCCATTTTATTTGCGCAACTCACCATAACTTTCTTCTAAGTAGGCCAATCTTTATGATTTTGGTTTCATTTTGTAGATCTCAATAAGTGCAACAAAATGACACCAAAAATCATAAGGATTAGCCCACTTAGAAAGAAGTTATGGCGAGTTGCGCAAATGACCCAGTTGCAGAAATTAGCCTACCCCTTAGAGTATTTACAGTAATTAAGTTAAAACAAGCATAAATTTAGAAATAATCCACTTGCAAATGAGGCTCAGCAACCGCTTGAACCCAAATTAATCAGCTCAAATGAATGTCTTGGATTGATCGATATGTGCATGGCGAGGTTGAGTTTTTTTTTTTTAGCTATTTTTCTTTATCAAAGTATTTTTAGATTCGCATGCTCATCAGATCCGCGAGATCGTGTGATATTTCAACTAGCCTCCGAAAGATTGAAGCAAATCAATCGAGATGTACGTTTACAAATACATTTTTTAATTTATTTCCTAATAGTGTCGAAAATATGATGAAGTCCCGAGCGATAAAAGTTCCAGTAAAAGCTCACTTGAGCGATAAAAAGTTGCACAAACTTGCGAGTTTTTAAACTAAAATCTCTAAAATTTTGCCATAAAATGCAGATTTCATAAACACAACTATGGAAATAAACCAAATTGACGTCGAGAAAACTGAAAAAGTGTAAAAAAAATTAAGCATCCTTTTATTTTACAGTTTTTCGGTGATGAGTAAATGAAATTCTATTTGGTTTATTTCCATAGTTCCTATGGAAATAAACATCCTATGGAATCTGCATGTTATGGCAAAATTTCAGAGATTTTTAGTTGAAAACTCGCAAGTTTATGCAACTTTTTATCGCTCGGATGAGTGGGCGAAGCTTCATCATTTTTTTTTTGAAACTACTATTAGGCAAAATACGGTAGATTTCATGTCATGCAGTTGATTTTAGGTTGCCGTGGTCGGACGACGAGCTGCTCAGCCGTTAAAGCCGGTCACTCTCGAACAACAACTCACCGAGTATAATCATCATCGAGAGAGTCGAAAAGTAGGTGTGTTTTACATAACAAATTTGTTTGAGTGTTTAAAGTTATCACGTCATTTTTGTAGATTCCGAAAAAACGGCGCGCCGCGATCGAGAAAGTGCAACAGAAGGAGGCCCCGGAAGGATCTCCTGGTGGGAGAAGGCGTGGCCAAAAGAAAACCCCTCTAACACAAATTCCCAACACAGTGAGTTATTCATATTGGAAAATAGAACATAAGCATTGCTAACGTGATCACTTTTTAGATTCTCTCAAACGGGAAACAAAAAGTGAACGGCGAGGAGCACCCAGTGGTCGTCGAGGCACGCGTGGGAGAGGTCGTGGACGTCCACCCAATACCAGTTAGCAAAAAAGTGGAGATAAAATTGAAAACATTGCTTAGATGGAACCACTCGAGAAACGGCTTCGACTAGAGAACTCGATTCCAAACGGCACGGCGAGAAAAATGAAAGAATCGATGAAGAGGCAAACACCGATGCAAATCGATCCGAATCAAGACGATCGAATTCAGGTATAAAAGCAACTATTAGGCTTTTCCAGAAATTCTTTCGTTCCAAATAATTTGCCTTTCTAATGAAAAAAAACCCGTTGTTCAATTGGTGCATTTGTTGGTTTTAAAGGAAAGTACGAAAAGCAATGAAAAAACTTTCAAAAGCCTAATAATAGAAATTCATTATAAAAAATTATAGGTGGCACCGATGAGCCTGTTACTACAAGCAATCGCCGTGGCGGGGGATGCAAACGGGATCGTGGGCGCGGTGGGATGACAGGCAAAAGGGGAAGAGGTGGAACGCGTGGAGGGCACACACCAACCCCGACAGCCCCTCCTCCACAAGCACGCCTCCAATCACCCCCACCAAAAACTCTTTCACGGAGAGGTCGTCGTCCTCGACATGCAACAGCCTTTTCCAATGCCTCAGTCAATTTCTCTAGTTCATCCATCCCAAAGCGATCGCTAAAAGTCCCCAATTTTACATTAACGTTCGTTCATTTCTCTCGCTTTAAAAAAAAACATTTTTAGGCTCTACACTTTAAATCAAATACGGAAATCTTTGGAAGAAAAAGAATTGGCGCAGTTTCAAGAACTTGATCAGGTTAAAAGCATCAATATAATTGAAAATGATGAAAGTTTAGAGCAATCGAGCCTTGCTACCGGAGCGGCGATTCTCTGAGGCTGAGTTGGCTCGACTCGTTCGCAATCAACTCATCGCACAAATGAGAATCGCACAAATCACCGAACCATCGACACTCGCAAATGCCTTCTTGCTTCATCATGTAAGTGAAAATGAATCGGCTGATGAATCGGCTTTTAGCTCTCTGTTGCCGGTCGACTACCATCGACGGTTTTGGCTCAACCATCTCCGTCAGTCAAGCCTCCAAGGTATACATAATATACCATAAATACTCTAATAGAACGCCACCTCGTACAGTCACGTAGTCTAACTTCTTTTTAGAAAATCATGCGCGAAAAATCTAACTTTACGTGACTGTACGTCCGTCATTATTGGGGTGGCGTTCTATTAGAGTGTTTACGGTAGGCAATAGCACAAGTGCCAAGTCGTAGCTTCTGATATTAACATATTGTTTTAGCCTACCATTCAATATCAGAACTGGGATCACTGAAAAGTTGCCACAAAACACTTGGTTCCCGGGTGCCGCCTCGATTATTCATGATCATGTTTGTTTAAGTTTAAAATACCAAATAATCAACTAAAGTTCTTAGAATTATGTATTAATTTCGATAAATGCAGTACCATATAATGGCAATGGGAAACAACAAAGCGGCACACATTCTCAGCCACCACCTCTTCAAGATGAGCACCTGCAACCGAAGTCTTCACATGAAAAAGCCGAGCCAGCTCTCGTTCTATCTGAGTCTGAATCCGAATCAGACCAGTCTGAGCTTGTTGAAGGAATTCCAGAAATTAAAGAAGAACAAATCGAACAGCAAGCTATGAAAACAATCAAAATAGCCTCAGTTGAAGAAAATTTACCTCAAGTAGTGAAAGGGATTTTGGATGAAATGAAAGAGAAAATTGTTGAAATCGAAGACGAAGAGATTCGAAGAGCAAATTTGCAGAATGAGATTTTGGATAGTGTTGTCGAGGAAGTGGTTCGTCAGGTGAAATTAAAGTAAACTTACTTGATTGACAGAAAATTTAGGCACGAGAGCATCAACGGCATCAACGGGCTGTATTAATGGACAATGTTGTGGATGAAGTGATCAGAAAAGGGTTGACCGAGAGAGAAATTGAGAAGCTGGAAGGTTTGCAAGAATTTTTGTCAACAATTCCGGATACAATTCGAAATTGAATATTGAAATATAGTGGAATTTTAAAGCTATATAAAGAAATAATAATATTGAAAAGTGATAAAATTTTAGCGTCAGATGACCCGAATACAAGTCAAGAGAAGCGAGCTGTATTAATGGACAATGTTGTGGATGAAGTGATCAGAAAAGGGTTGGCCGAGAGAGAAATTGAGAAGCTGGAAGGTTTGCAAGAATTTTTGTCAACAATTCCGGATACAATTCGAAATTGAATATGGAAATATAGTGAAATGTTAAAGCCATATAAAGACATAATAATATTGAAAAGTGATAAAATTTTAGCGTCAGGTGATCCGAATACGCGTCGAGAGAAACGAGCTGAAAGACGACGAAGAGCCAGGAAAAGGAAAAGAGTACAATTTGAAAGGATGCAAACAGAAAAAGTAAGTAGAATTTAATATTATTATTGAAAGATATCTGATAACTACTATAGCTTTTCAGGTGAAAACGCCAGTTTCTCGAACGGAGCTTCGTCGAAGGATTGTTTATGCACAAGGCGAGCCGAGCGGTATCGGGCGATGGCTTTCTTGTCCATACGATTCAAGTAAAAATTAAAATTCTAAATTGAAACAAAAAGATTGTAAAATTAACAATTTAGGGCATTTTGATGAAAGTCTTCCTTTGTTGGCTGAGCTTCACTCGGATTTCGGTTCCACAAAACCACTGGCAATTCAACGAGAGCTGACAACGGTGGGAAATGTTTCTTTATAAAAAGACTGCATTTAAAGCTTAATTTTAACTTGTTCCGCTATTTACAAAGGCTTTCTTTCAGTTGGGAACAGACGGGAGTTGTCATGTGCAGCTAGATGAAATGGTCGATGATTTCTGTTATGGAATTGCGCAAAGACATGCTGATATCGTTTTTGATATGGTTTGAACTCAAAAAAAGAAAGGAAAATGACAAAATTTATAGGTCAAGTATCGATTTGAGTTACGGGTGGCGGCTGGGGAGCGAGTTTTCGTGAATGGCGTTTGTTATGGAGGTGCTGAGGTCGAGGCTTCACAATGTATTTGTGCGCTTGAAGAGAAACGAGAGATAAAGGTGAGATTTGAGTTTATGCCTAGAAACTCATTCAACTTTAGTATAGCTCACATAGAAATCTACGAAATTTCAGCCAGAGAGCCGTCGAGTTTGGCTGAACAACGGTGACTGTATCCGACTTGGCTGTGCGCTGCTTATCTTCCGTTCTCGTTACACTTCTTAAAAAGTTATTCTAACTAAAATATCAATCAGATTCCCAGCAATAATATTTTGTTACCGTAAATACTGTAATATTACCCCACCCCCATAATGACAGTGCGGAGTGTTGCGTAGTCTAGCTTTGAACGAGTGTTTCTCGACACTGGTTTATGCTACAATGCGCGCTTAGTTATCAAAAAATAGCTGAAATTCAGGGCTATTTTTTGATACCAAAGACGCATTTTTTGAAAGTACGGGCGCTTCGAAAAAAATGAAATACTAAAAAACTTTTGCGACTACGCGACTGTACGAGGGCGGTGGGGTACTATTACAGTATTTACGGTAGGAATACTGCACAGTCCAAGTTTTATCGCCCCGCTACAGTATGAAAAGATTTAGACAGACGGAATACTTTTAAAGATTTTCAATCGAATGTTTGAAAATTTCATTTGGTATACGCGCGTCATAGTTCTTTTACAATCATATTTTCTATATTTTTTTCCGGATTCAGTTGACCTAACTGAATACCGAATCTTTTAGCAGATATAAAGCATAATAATTAAAATTTTCTATCCGATTTTGAAGAAATTTCAATAAACAAATCTTTTCTAGTCAAATTTGTCCCTTTTTCCTCTTATGTGGCCGGTTCCACATTCCATTTTCTGTAAAAATCCCAGACTTTTCCCCTTTTTTTTACCCTTATCCTCAAACGTATCGCATTTAATCTTCAATATGGGTATGGCTATTGAATTTTAGAGATTGTGACCTCAGAGAATATTTTTTGAATTTGAATTTGAATTTGTTATGTTCATGCAACTGGGTACTCGAAAACGCGGTGTATCGGCGATTAGCCTTTCGCCTTCTTTTTACTGATTTTGAATCTGTTTTGTTTTTGTGATTTCCCTTCCTGAAACCTTTAATTTCACTCAGGTTTTTTTTTAAAAATGTTTGATATGTTGGATTGATGATTATATTCTATTTTCTATCTTTTGCGCAAATAAATCCTTCAATCCGTTTTTCTCAATTTTTTTTTTGTGTCAAGAGAGGTTTTCTTCCTACAAAAAAAATGTATTTCCCTCGCTAATTATTGAAATATGAGCAATAAGAAGAAGGAAAAAGGGATGAATTCAAGGGAGATTTTGATTGACATTCGATTTCCCCGGGGACCTTGAGGGAACAGCCCGCCTTTTCCCCTTTTCTCATTTCAAATGTCATTATCGAGCTTTTAAAGCTGCCGACTTTGGGGGACGAAGAGATCACTTTATTAAATTAGTTATAAATTTTAATAATCAGTAAATGATTATACTGTTTGCATAGGATTTATAAATCTTATAGATCATCTAATATTTACTCCTTTTCGGATAATTTTTCAGTGAAAACTAGCAAGCTTTGATCATATTTCCATTTTAGATTTTATATCAAAATTTCTCTGAGTTTAGCTGTATTAATTTGACCTAGCATGGATTTTATTTTAAAAACTACAACCCAGAAGTACCCATGCTTTTGAGAATAGGAACATTCCTTTCCTTTCCCAGATGACTCTTCTGTTCTTTATGCTTTTGTTTTTTTTCTTTTTCTTATTGGTTCTTTATGTTAAAGTGTTCTGTTTTTGGTCGAGGAAATCGTCACTTATGCGAGATTGGAAAGAGGGTGGGGGTGAAGGGAGAAATATAGGAAAGGAAAGGGGAGGGGTATCCCCGGGCGACCATACCCCCTTTTCTGGGGTACGCTAACATGGGACCACTCTTTTCTCTGAAAAGAATTACGAGAATAGCTCTTTCTCCATCATTCTCCCTTCCTTTTTCTTTTCTCTCATGCACACCCCATCGACCACGATTTTTGACTAATGTTCTCTGTTTTTCTGAACCTCCTTTTTTTCAGCTTCACTACAAACATTTTTCTCTTTGCAAGCTTAGCCGCTTTTGCTTATCCGAGCTTTTAACGGATTAACCCATCAAATTTCCGTTTTCCTATTCAAATCTGCTACTTCACTGTGACAAATGACCGACTTTTCAGGCTCGATGATGAAATCAGAGGCGGTAATCATGGCACCGCTCACTGAGACTGAATTGTCGCAGAGAGAGGTGATCAAGCCACAAGATGTCCTTCGACTACCAGCTATTACTCAAGGTTTTAAAGCATTCTTTCTTTTTTTTTTGATTCAATTTGTTTAGATTATCTATGCAAACCATCAGCGAACATCTATGAGATTGAATTCACGAGATTCAAGATTCGAGACCTTGAGACGGACACAGTGCTCTTCGAAATCGAAAAGCCTCCAGGTACCAAAGTAGTTCATTAGAGTAAAATGCAAAGAATTGATTTGTTTTCAAATTTAAATCAGCCTCAGATGAATGCAATGGTGCGCATTCTCCTGAAGAGCAAGCCGAACCATCGAGATATGTTCGATATCGATTCACGCGAGATTTCCTCAAATTGAAACACGTGGGAGCGACGGTGAGTGTGCTTTTAAATCATAAATGATTTTTGAAGTTAGAAAAATCTTTTAAGCTTTTAAAATAAGAATTGTTTAGGTGGAGTTCACCGTGGGCTCAAAGCCGATCAATCGATTTCGCATGATTGAACGACATTTCTTTAAGGTTTGCATTTTCTGCACATTATGGTCATCGTCTAGTGTCAATACGTTGAATTACTATTTGAAAATGATTTGTTTTAGGATCGTATGTTGAAGGCGTTCGATTTCGAGTTCGGTTTTTGTATACCGAATTCGCGAAACACGTGTGAGCACATCTACGAGTTTCCGCAATTGAGCCAAGCACTTTGTGAGTTTCGAAAGCAAAGTTGAAACTGAGGGTGTTCCAAAAAAAAAGTCAATTCAGCTCGATTTCTCTCAGAATTTCTAGTGGCTCCTGGTGGTTGTTGTGGTGCTAAAGTGAATATTTTGGGCAGGCATTCACTTTTTTTTCCGATTTCATGGCTTCTCAGCCAGCTGTGACCACCATGAGATTTTTGCCACACGATTAAAACTTTATATTGGCATCGTGGTGTTATTTTAGAGTTAACATGTAAACTAACATTGTGAACCAAACACTTTATTGATCGGCATTTCCTTGGAAAAAACGGGACAATTCTTTAAAAAAGGCGAGTTTAAAATCTTTTATTTACGATAGATTAGGTTATAATGTAGATGAATAAAGTGTTTGGCGAAAAATCGAGTTGAACTGCTTTTTTTTTTGGAACACCCTGTAATTGTGTTAGAGACATAGACAGTACAAAGGTATATATATATAAGGATATATCAAAGCCAGGCAACAGTTCTAGAATAGTCTAATAGAAAGTTTCAATCATCCAACTAGTTATGGCTCTAGTTATATATATGCTTTATTCAGTTGAATAGCGACACGACAAAATCACAATAATTACCCGGGACACCACTCAAAACACACCCAAAAGATAAATGGATACCCAAGAAGCCAGGACAATTGCCGAAATTGCGGCTTTAAATCTAGCCAAGGTGGAAATATCACGAACATGAGGGGGTAAAATGGCAACAGTTCTAGAATAGTCTAATAGAAAAGTTTCAATCATCCAACTAGTTATGGCTCTAGCTAGAAGAGTTTCATTATTTATAGATCTAGTTAGAAAAGTTTCATTATTTATAGATCCAATTAAACCTTTCAAGGTGTAAGCTAATAAAAAGCAATGTTTTTCGATAAAATTTCTGATATAATCGAATACTGAATGCAGTTAGAATGACTAGATAACGGTTTTCAGATGATGAGATGGTTGAGTGCCCGTATGAGACCCGATCGGATAGTTTCTATTTTGTTGACGACGTCCTTATCATGCACAACAAAGCCGATTATGCATATGATGGGTGATCTCTATACCCCTTTCCCCAAGTATTTGCTTTATATATATTTTTAATTATATGTATAATTTGATGTATAATTATAGATATTAAACTATTAACCTAACCAACTGTAGATATTAGATTGGTGAAGCACTTGCTCTTGGTGAGGCGTTTTCTAAAAGTGGCACAAAAGTTACCGTTGTTCCATTTAGTGGGCAGTCTACGGTAACTCTTCCATGATTACATCTTTTTAGAAAAAGCTTTTATCAAGATACGATCTATTAAATATTGCTCGACCATCCTGTTTTATAAAACCGGTTACCCTTTCCCTGAATTATTTGCTCTTCTCTTATAGTTGACTTTGGGTGAGCTTCGTTTGATTGAATCTGCTTCATTTCCTAAAATCTTTATTCTAATTTTTCAGCCAATAATTTTAAGCGTTGCCAAACTTTTTTGTTCTTGTTTTTCTTTTGGGAATAGGTAAGAAAAAAGTCCATATGCTTATTCACCTTTAATTTCGCTAAATCCATAAAAGAATCTAGTCGTTGAGAAAGCTGGGCTTTATTTTCAGACTCGAGTTTTGTAGTTTTGCGATTTTTTTTTCCTTTAAAAAGAATCTCAATATTGAAATTTATACGATAGGAATTTATTCGTATCCTATAAAATATTGATATATATAAAGTATTGAAGTCTTTAGACTGAAGACTTTAGTCTAAAGTCTTCAGTCTAAAGACTTTAGTCTAAAGTCTTCAGTCTAAAGACTTTAGTCTAAAGACTTCAGTCTTTTATCTAGCACAACTTTTAATAGTTTTCTATATCAATATTGAATTTTTCTTATTTAGCTTTCTTTTTTTTCAAATGGGTCCCTTTCTCTCGAAAACGTTCCACCGGCCACCCCCTGCCAGGTCTCTCTTATCCCCTTCTTTGAGGGATTTAAGCAAAATACAAAATAGATACAAAATAAGCTTTCTCCTCAAATATTATATTTTCCGATCCACTTGTGCATGCACTTATTCTTTTTTTTGGATATTTATGGAGTGCACAGGGCTTTTGACAGCGGCTTATTTCAAAATAGACGCTCAAGAGGCAGTGAATAAGTTTGAGCCTGGATTTGAACCCTATATAGCCTGGCTTTTGGCCATGGGCGTAGGTTTTGTCTAGCCGGGGCGTAGGTTTTGTCCAGCCGGGGCCTAGGGTCTGTAAGTCAGGTGAAGCCAGGTCAGAAGCTAGCTTCAGGCTTCGCTTCTGGCGGGGCTAGGTATGTACCTTTTGTGGGTCAAGCCTACAGTAAAACCAGTCTCTGGCCTGCTCTGAATGTTTGAAAACAACCTAATCTGTGACCAAGTAAGCCATTTGAATCAAACTTTTGTATCCATAAATATCTTCTTTTCTTTTGTCTTCGTCGCATAATCCCGCAAATTGTGATTCTTTTAGTCTTGTCCATTTCAGCCTTTTTATTCTTTTTTCCCCACCAATGTGAAAAACAATGATCTCAAGCCTCTAGAAATCTTTCTTTTACAAAAACTTTATATCTAGTTCTAGTTTTGATCTAAAAACAGACGAGGAATTTCTTAGTTGACTCAAGCAATCGCACATTTTGAAATGTTTTCATTTGCTTGCACAACAACCGTTAATGTGAATAAAGTTTTGACGGCTGATTCAACAAAAAGACAATAGAAAGAAAAGGCAAAGAAAATGTAATCACAAAATGGAATTTAATATTACCATTCACAAGAAAAAATGTTCTATAAACTTGCTTTTATCGTACTTTTTCTTCATTCATCGATAGCTTTGAAATGCTATGTTGGAACATTTGATGCGAGAAAAGATATTGGGAAACAAGGGCCGGAAGATGTGGTAAGTGGAAATTAGAAACACACTTCATCTGGCGTACGATTTTCGTTTTTTTTTTTTAGGTTGAATGCAATCAACGATGCGTCGTTGAGAACGGGTTTTTCGCGGACACCGAAACATATTTGTGCGGTATATGCTCAAAATGGGATAAGATCAAGAATTTGGGGATTTTTATGGTAAGAGTAGAGTTTGTGAGATGTAAATATTTATAGGGAATAGTCAATATAATCGATTGTTTTAACATAGATAGCTGCCGTTTGAAACAGAATCCAAGTCAATAAAAATGGCTTTATCTCGTGAATTTCTGAAAATCTTTAGTGTTTTCGTTTTTGCGCTAATTTCACCAGCTAAACGCACCCAAAATCTAAAGACTTTTCAACTCATAAAACTTGTAAATAACTGAGATTTTCATAAATCTCTCTCTCTCTCTCAAATCATGTGCAGTGTACTTTATCGAAAATGGAAACACATCCCTTCTGATGGATTTTTGCGAAAATTTTGAACGTTTAGGATTGTTGTGACACAGACTTTTGCCCATCAAAAGGTCCAAATTGGATGAAACGCGGCTATGAGATGTTCGAGAAGAAGAAACGCGGCGATAGAATCGATCGAGAAGAAGAAACGCGACGATAAAGTCAATGGATTGATTGTAACCATTTTTTGTTTCAAGGCAAGATATTGAAATAAACCTTTCTAACAGACTTTTGCCCATCTAAAGGTCTAAAGTGAATAAATCACGAACCATTTCCCGTGTTCTCTTTTCTTGTTATCAACTCATTTCTTTTCCTTTTTCACTCTTGTCAAATGAGAGCAGACTACAAAATTTTTGTCTGTAGTGAAGTTTGAGAAAATTGAGACGATTGAGAAACTAATTTGTTTGATCTTTGCAAATCTTTTGGATTCTTTAAAATGGACCCTTTGCCGTCAAGAAGCGAAATTGCGAATGCCGTTTTTTCGCTTAGCGATTTCAATGGACGAATTCGGTGAGTGAGATTTGTACCGTATTTCTTCGAATAGAAGACCGAATATAAAGACAAAAGATACCTCAAATAAAGTTTAATAAAGAAATTTCAACTATTCAACATTGTCTCGATCGATGTGTTTTCTAAAATGCAACTAAAAACTATCGTAATCAAAAGTTCAAAAGTGTTTTGTTTCAATTTTGTATTTCATTTAATGAACGACGATTTAAAATCGTTATAGTCGGATGAAAATTGTTACGGTTACGGCAGTTTTCTAAAATTGTTTCTTTTTAGCAGACGTCTTATTAACTGAAAGCTTTTCAGCAATGCTGTAGTGGAAATAAAATACCGTATTTCTTCGAATTGAAGACCGGGTAAAGAGTAGCATCGCGTACTCCTGCGTAGCAGCCCTTTTTAAAATTTCTTTTCTGCATAAAAGCTTTCAATGAGGTGCTATAGGGCTGGGAAATGGCTCAAAAATACCACATGAGCTAACAGATTTTTGATCCATTTTCCAGCTCTATAGCACTTCATTGAAAGCTTTTATGCAGAAAAGTAATTTTAAAAAGGGCTGCTACGCAGGGGTACGCGGAGTACGCGATGATACTCTTTACCCGGTCTTCTATTCGAAGAAATACGGTAATTTGTAAGTAAACATAATAAAGATAAGCAAACATAAGCAAAGATAGCTTTTCTTTTCTATTTCCTTTCTAACAATTTTATGTTACTTAAAGATTTGCCTACAGAATCCGCATATCAGATAAAAAGCGCAGAAAACGCAGATGAGTAGAAGCTGGTTGATTTAAGAGCTTATACCTATATTTATTCGACGATTGAAAGCTTATTAAATCAATAATTATCTAGAAATAAGTGCTAACTGTAAAAGTATTTCTATAAATGATTTTCTGAATTTTTTAGAGCCTCAGGCCCTCATATTGGTGGCGCTTTTCTAGAGCGACGACTCTTCGGCGGACAGGCTGTGTCTCAGGTTTTTCTTTAAAAAAAATTTCCGTATTTAAATGTTACTTCTACTTCTATATGCTTAGATTCGATTTTAATATATAACTAAAATCTTTTCCAATCGATTCTAATTGTAAATTCCTTAGAACTAACATCGATTAACTAACAACTAACAACTAACATCCAATCGATTCAAACCAAAAACACATTTGAGCTGTACGCGGCTTTTCGTCGTCGTTTCTCCGGAGAAACCCTCAGTTGTATCTCGTATAAATTTGTGGCACCAGGTACAAATTTACTTTTTACTATAGTTTTTTTTCTTCTATTCAGGCTCGGTGAGTGAACCGCTCGATTTCGATTTTGAGCGTTTCGGTGAAATGACTCGCGGATATGTGTACCAGAAAAATAAATTGATTGGGATCGCCTTTTTGAGGGTAAAGGCGGCATTTAAAAATAAATCTGAGCAGAATCATTTTAGAATAAATCTGAACAGAATCATTTAAAGATAAATCTGAGCAGAATTATTTAAAAAGTAATCTGAACAGAATCATTTTGGAATAAATCTGAACAGAATCGTTTTAAAAAGAAATCTGTACAGAATCATTTTTAAAAAATGATCTAGAAGATGGGTTTTTATTTTCGATTTTTCTAGATGACAAATTTTCTTTAAGCAAAATGATATCAAAGCCTTGCTGGAGCCTCGTCGAGCCGAACATCTCACTTGGGTGCCTGAGCCTGAGGGAATGGTGCAAGAGCTGAGCTTTTTACAGGTAAAGAAAGATTAATTAGTTTTTTAGTGATTGATAGAACTATAAATCTTCTAAAAATCTATAGCTTCACGAGTTTTTTTAAGCAAATGGGCACTGGGCATCGCGAGCATATTATGCGCTTGTTGAACATCACGATTTTCGAGATGCACATCGTGGAATTTGGGACGAAAAGAATGATGTTCTGGGGTCGAGTGCATTCGGAAGTTAGAGGTGAAAAGAAAAGAGAAGAAACCTTAAAAGTAGCTGAAGAGCTGAGGAAGAGCTGAAGATTGAATATGAATATTGAATAAGATTGAATACCTTCAGCCATTGAATTGAACAAGCGAAGACTGAATATCTTCAGCCTCGGTTGACTCTTTGATTGTGTGCAGTGTGTGAGAGAATACCGATGGGGGCAATGATATTTATTTATATTTTATTAGATATTTATTCCGAATCTAGCACAATACTAATCTAGCGAGAAAATACAAAAGAATAGAATCAATCGTTGGTTCAGTGTTTCGTAGCAATACGAAAAGCAATACGAAAGGAATGAGAATATACGGAAAGACAATATAAAGTGGGCTCCGTCCCTTTTATCCGTCCCTTTATCATAAAAGCGATCTTTTAGAGGCGGGACAAGAAAATCAGACATTCAAATCAAAACATTAAATAAGATTTCACAGAAAAGAGCCACTTTTCTGCACAGATTGAATATCTTCAGCCTTGAGCCTATTTAAAAGATGTCTGAGGCTGAGGATACTGTAGCTAGAAAGTAGCTAGAAAGGTGAGAACTTTCATAGGATCTTTACGATTTCAGATATCGTCCGCGAGAACAATGGCATCGATTTGGTGGTGATGCTATCCGATTATTTCATAGTACAGGTGAAAAGCTCAGTGATAAAGTGATCTGAGAAATGAACCTTAAAAAGTACTCCCTTCAATTCCTAGCTTCCAGGTAGCGAGCAATCATTTCCTCAGCTTCGGCCTTCATCTCCTCGCCGGTGCCAGTCTCAATCACACAATTCATTTCCATCAATCCCCACAAATGCTCAATGTTCGATTTTTTTAACAACTATTTTTTAAAAAACTATCAATGAACTCTTTTAGGTACAAGGCTTCTACTTGCTGGAAATCGAATTGGAGAGTGTTGCGTGGAATCGAGCGATTCTTCGAGGCCATGTTTATGATCGAGATCTTCGACTTGTACTCACTGTCGATCAAGAGGCTTTCGCCTCACCGCAATCTATCTCAAAATCATCGAAAGCTAAGCTTTAAACTCTTTTAACCAAATAAAAATAAATAAACATCTTTTCATTGTCTTTTAATTTAATTTAATTTAATTTTTGTTTTTATTTCTCAAGAAAAATATGGCTAGTTTTGTAATGAAATCGAAAAAAAAACAAAAAAAAAAAGTAAAATGTCACGAGTAAAGCACCTGAAATGGAAAAATAAAACGAGAAAGAGTAAAAAGAGTAAAAAAAAGGAAACAACGACAAGAAAGAGAGACAATTGTTGGCTAGTATAACAGTCAGAAGTTTAAAAATAGGAATAGAGTAACGATAGTATGATGAAAAAGGAGACAAAGAGAATTCTTGGCACTTGGGGAACTGCACATGATTTGAGAGAGAGAGAGATTTATGAAAATCTCAGCTATTTACAAGTTTTATGAGTTGAAAAGTCGTTAGATTTTGGGTGCGTTTAGCTGGTGAAATTAGCGCAAAAACGAAAACACTAAAGATTTTCAGACATTCACGAGATAAAGCCATTTTTTGACTTGGATTCTGTTTCAAACGGCAGCTGTAGCTGTTAGCTGTAGCTGTTAGCTGTTAGCTGTAGCTGTTAGCTGTAGCTGTTAGCTGTTAGCTGTAGCTGTAGCTGTTAGCTGTAGCTGTTAGCTGTAGCTGTAGCTGTTAGCTGTAGCTGTAGCTGTTAGCTGTAGCTGTTAGCTGTAGCTGTTAGCTGTAGACTTAAAAATTTGTAACTCTTTAAAAACTTTGCAATTAAACCAAATTAAAGAAAAAAAAGAGCGAAAAAAGTTTGTTTTTTCTTATATCCCTAGAATTCATATGCCAGAAGGCGTGTGATTACGAAAAAAATGAAAATTTCACATTTTTCTAATCGCGAGCCTTTTGACAAACGATCCTGGTCGCAATTGGGTAATTAAACCGGATGAAATATCGAAAAATTGGGTATTTCGTTAAAAACTAATAACGAATTCGAATTCCGCACCCTTGAAAACCCCCGATTGTAAATTTTCAGCTCAATTGGCCTCAAAGAAAGGGACTAAATTTGCGTATGGCCCATCGATTATTATTATCGCCATATTATCGCAAAGTGTGTCAAAAGTTGAGTAATTTTTCTACCATAATCGTTCCCTACCATGTTTTTCTACCATAATCATTGGCTGAATGGCTTGAATTTTTCGAAAATTCTCTCCCATAGTCCTTTTCTATTTATTGAAAAGCTTTAAAAAGTTCTCTTCTTTAAATCTTAGCTTTTAAAGTTTAAAAGCTTAAATTATCCTTATCGTTTAACAATTATCGTTTTCGATTTTGCGCTAAACTTTACCAATAATCCTATTTCGTTTTTGTCCCGAAGTCCTTTGGCAATTTTAGAGTAATCCATGAGATTTTGAGAATTACAAAAATGAAAAGAATGAAGATATTGAGCGAGCTGCTTTGTTGACCCAAAAAGAGAAAAAAAAAATGCTAACTTGAAAGAATACTTGAAAGTTTTGTGTTTAGAAATTAGAAATAGAGGCACTTTGGGAGGCAGTGATAAAAATATTTGATTAGATTTGAGATGTAAAAGAGAAAGAAAGCTTCGATTGGATATTTCCGAATCTATTTGTTCTTTCCAGCGTACACCGGATTCTTGAAGGTCGTCGTCGCTTGCTTGTAGATCGGATTCTCGTTCTTAAACAAATTCTTGGATTTATTTATGTTATTAGATTTTTTAATCAAATCGAAAAATAACTGAATATCTTTAACAAGAATTGAAATGAAATAGCTTACCGTATCCCATTTTGCCATTAATCGTTCGTTGTTGAAGCGAGCGTACTCGGCGCGATCGTGAAGGAAAGTGAGTAATTTCCAAAGGACGAGGAGTAAAATGCCGAGAATGACAATGCCAGCAATGACAGCCAAAACGATAGCTAATACAGGCACTGGTGGAGGACAATCTGAAAACATTTATTTATCAAAAAAGCTTTAAAGTCGGGGGTGGGACAAATGCTACCTTTTTTTTGCGCACCTGGACATTTGCGCACCTTTTTTTGCTGGAAAAGGCTTTAGGCAAGGCCGTAGAGCTTCGAAAATATTTCCATATAAGGGAATCGTATGCGTAGATTCCGAATTTCGAAAAATCAGACCCTGCTGACACGTCAAATTTGGGCTAAAAGACAAAAACTGTGGAAAAGCGTTAAGTTGCGTCGTTTTTGCCTTTTAGCCTTTTTTTGCGTATTTGTCGAAATTCGGAATCTACGCATACGAATCCCTTATATGGAAATATTTTCGAAGCTCTACGGCCTTGCCTAAAGCCTTTTCCAAGCAAAAAAAAAGGTCGCATTTGTCCCACCCCCTTAAAGTCAAAGCTAAAAGTTTAAAATGCCAAAAAGATGTCGAAAATATGTCGAAAAAATGTCGAAAACTACCGTAATCTGTCTAGTTTTTTACCTTCGTTTTCTTTTCTTCTTAAGTCACGACTTTTTTTTTCGTCGGATTACTGTAATCATGCCTTTATAAAGCTTCTTTTTTCGTCATTTTTTTATCATTTTTTACCATTTTCTCTTTTGATAAAGTTTTTGTTTCTTTTGAACATTTACAAGTAAGTTATATTGATTTTGATCATATTCAGAACAAATTTGAAACAAAAACAACAACTTTAACATCAAGAACTTTAGCTCTTACAACTAGATTACGCTAAAATTGCCATGCACACTCGTTTCCGTAAGCAATACCTTTTCTCTCTCGAACCCAAACAGTCGCATTGTCTTTGGCTTCATCATAATAATAGAGATAGTAGAAAGTACAGTCATCAGCTGGGTCGACAAATTGACAGGAAGTAGTGTCATTGATTTCTAGAAAATGATGACAATGTTTAAAATGATCAAAACACTCACGAGGTAATTCATCGACAATGATCGCTTTGAAAGGACAATCAGCGCATTTCGTCTCATTGTAGGGTCCAGTTTTCCAAGCTTGACACATTACACATGGCTTGTACTCGATACACTTCGTTGGACAGGTCTAAATTTCATTAATTGATTTTTTGTTCTAATTTTCAAACCGGACAAGTTTCACATTTTGGCCCAGAGTACCGCTTTCCGTCTGGAGTATCGAAGCATCTAAAGAATTTTATAGAAAGAAGAAAGAAAGAAGAAAGAAGAAAGAAAGAAGAAAGAAGAAAGAAAGAAGAAAGAAGAAAGAAAGAAGAAAGAAGAAAGAAAGAAGAAAGAAGAAAGAAAGAAGAAAGAAAGAAGAAAGAAGAAAGAAAGAAGAAAGAAGATCTTTTATATAAAATTATAATCTAACTAACCTGCACCGACCACAGATACATTCTCCTTTTCCATTGCAAATCTTTCCATTCGACGCCCGGCATGAGTCCTGAGAGATCGGACACTCGCAAGCTCTTCCTATAAAAAAATATAGTAAGCTTTCCAAAAAGATTCGATTCTTTTCTGTAAATCTCATTACTCACCAGTCCATTGCGGCAAGCAGATGCACTGTCCACAATTGCATTGCCCGTGCTTCGAGCAAATCTCGCGATCATGTCGCGGGCAATTGTAGTTGTCGCACTCGCAGAACTCACCGGAGATCTGCTCTTCGGGGTTCTGAATGGAAATTAGAGATTTTAGAGAACATTTGAATACTTTAGATGGTATAATGTTTAATATTTTCAATTCTTTTTTTCTTACCGATCTCGGATTGCACTCACAGCGCCCACAATTGCACACACCACGACCCTCACAGATCGCGCTCTCGTTTGTCCTGAAAATACTTTTAAGAATCAAAAATTCTAAAGAAAGATAAAGTCAAAAACTATTTTGATATTGATATTGATATTGATATTGATATTTGTTACTAACCTCTTGCATTTCTCGTTCAAAGCCGCTGTTGACATTCCCGGTCGATTGCATTCACATTTTCTGCCAACAAAGCCAGGCTGTAAAGTAAGGAATGGTAAAGAAAGATTTCCGAAGAGGGGATTGAACCCTCGATCTTTTCCTTTCCAGGAAATTACTTTTAACCATTGAGCTATCCTTAACATGCTAAGAGAAAGAGAGTAAGACAAAGGGGAAGAAGAAAGAAAGAAAGAAAGAACGAAAGAAAGAAAGAAGGAGTCAAGATCAAAATAAAATTTGTTCACCTTACACCTGCAGACACCGCAAACCATATCACCGCCATTACATTCGGCTGCGTTTTTCACGATCTTTGACTGAAAAAAAATTTGTTGATACTTGAAGGGATGATGATTAAGAAGAAAATGACTATAATACTATCAAAATCGAAACCGTTTGCTCGCAATCACAATCGCATAACACGTGCACATTGACGATGAGCGCCTCATCGAGTCCGGATGGACCAATGCGAAGCACGAAATCCCTCTTGTCGACACAGTGAGTCGCCTCGAGTGTCACCTCGAATTTCACCTCATCACCCACTCGGATCCCCTCACAAACATTCGTGTCTTGCATCGCGCCACTAGAATCAAATCGATTAAGCCAATAAACCCTCATACGTTAAACAAGGACTCCTGTAGCTGATTCTCAATCCATCAGAAGCGTTCGCGTTATCCACCATGATAATCTAGAAACTTTATGATCAACTCCCTTCCGTTCTTTCATTGCACCTTCTCAGCGATCTTCAAATATTCCTTTTCGATGAGCTCGACAATATTTCGGGAATCGTTCGCAAGCACACCGACAGACGACGAAACATCGGGAAGAGCGCCAGACAGCTCAAAGATTAGATATATATTTACCAGCCGAAAAACCCGTCTAACGGCTTTCTACTCAAACGTTTTGGGGCCGACGGATAGTTGCCGTGGCGCAGTCGGGAGAGCGCATTGCTATAGCCCGCAGGGTCCGGGTTCGAGCCCCCGAGTTCCACTGGGCTTTTTCAATTTTTATTTTAAATCTAATTTTCCTTACAATATATTCTAAGGTTTTCTAAAGAAGCTTTAGCTTTATTGGTCAAAATATGGCTGAGAAAAAGCCTGTACAAATGGACGGATAGATAGACTTTTATAGATAGTACCATCAAACACTCACTTGTTTATAAAGATCAAAGTTCTTCTGGGTGACGGCAAAGATGATGTTGGCTTTGAAATCTTTGATCACTTGATGGATTCGAGCGATTGATGGATAATCCTGAAATCGTTGATGATTGGAAATGATTGAAAATGAAAATCCAACCTGTGTGAGAGTCTCTGTGTAATATCCCTGACGATCAAGATGACATTGTCCATCGTTTGGATCTACGACACCGGCCAGCTTAAATTCGGTTTTCTTTTTTTTTGTTTTAATCATTCAACAAACTCGTCCATCTCCAGCAATGTGAAAGCCGGCATCGGTGGAGAAAACAAGCATCTTTCTTGCGCGCTCTCGCCATCCAATCGTCTTCTAGAAATTAAAGATTTATTTTGTTAAAATACAATACAAGAAAAGCTATAAAAGGTTTAAAAAATGAAAAAAAACACTTACATTACAGGCTAAACTCTGCACAATCGCGTCAAAGCCTCCTTCTGGAGCGTCAAGATTTCCCGAAATCTCTGCTTTCTCGACTTCAGCCTAAAATTTGTAAAGATAAAATTTGAAGCAAAAGGAAAAGAGTAATTTTTAAACGAACCCTGAATTTCTCAGTGTTTGTTGTAAGAGTCATTTGATGTTTATATCCATAAGGCTCTGCACAAGGCTCGGGACATGGAGATAATTGTCTAAAATGATATTTCAATCTACATAAATCCCTCTTCTTTTCAAATCACTTCTCGATTCTTGGATCAATGAATGGCATAAGCTTTTTGTCGACAAAAGACCCGAAACCAAGACGGAAATTGTTCGTGATTTTTCTCATTCGTTCAGCTGAAATTCTTGATTAATAATAAAATTTGAATTTAATTTCAAACCAAGCAAATCTCCAAGCTCAGAGAGTTTCTTTTTATCGTCTTTCATTGAATATGAAAGATCCATTAAATAATAGAGATCAACTGGATAATCAACGGCTTGACGATAAGTTACAAAAGAAACGGACTCGAGATTCTAAAAGAATTAATATTCAATGAAATGAAGAAATGAAATTAATATTCAAATAACGAATGAAAGATTTGAACTCACTCGGTCGAATCTCGACCTTCATCACTTGCGGTTTTAATTGAACGGCTTCTTCCTCTTTGTCGACGGTGCCTTGATCGGATAGTGGTTCATCCTAAAATGTGAATGATTAACCTCTAAAGATTCATTATCTAAAGATTCATTATCTAGCTCATTAGCTTTTTACCTCAACAACTTCCAAAGTTGTAGTCGGTGATTCAATGTCGAATTCAGGACATCCATTCGTTAATAAACGAGCCTTGCTATCACATCGAGGGAACATTTTCTTTGAGTCGAAAAGCTGGAAACTTTTGGTATTTCGATACCGAGTTGATGGCTATTTTACGGCTTTCAAAGTTTTCTCAGAAACTCTACACTCTAACCCCCTGCAAGATCTCATCATTAGCTACATTTTCCGATCCCACATCAATAGGTTCTGATAAGCGGTTTTCGAGATTTCGAGGAATTTAGGATGCACTACTATTGGAGAAAATACGGGACTAATTTCCACAATTCTTCTACTTTTTAAGCTTATCAGATGTTAGATTTTGATTTTATTCAATACTGAAAGTTTTTCTCGATCGAATGACACAAAAATCATTTCGATTAAATAAATTTTAAGTAAAACTATGAAAGTATGCTATAAAGTTTATTGCTTTAAAGTTTAGAAGTCTAGAAGTCTAGAAGTCTAGAAGTCTAGAACTCTAGAAGTCTAGAAGTCTAGAACTCTAGAAGTCTAGAAGTCTAGAACTCTAGAAGTCTAGAAGTCTAGAACTCTAGAAGTCTAGAAGTCTAGAACTCTAGAAGTCTAGAAGTCTAGAACTCTAGAAGTCTAGAAGTCTAGAAGTCTAGAAGTCTAGAACTCTAGAAGTCTAGAAGTCTAGAAGTCTAGAAGTCTAGAAGTCTAGAAGCAATAGCTTCTAGACACTCACCGGAGCACCGCACCAAGCGCATGAGTCATGTTGTTGAATGCACGCCGAGCAGGTATAGTTGTCACGAGAAAGGGAATAACATGGGAAATCTTGCTCCGTGTTTAGCACTTCACCAGTGACTAAACTTGGGAATAAGAAAGGTAAATGAAATGAAAGTCCCGCTCACCTCCTTGTTGTTGTTTCCAATCGCTGACATCGGCCGCCCTTGAGCCCAACCCGAGCAGCCCCAATGCAATGAGCCACCTCATTCCACTAATGAAAAATAAAAGACGATAGCTTTTTCTTGATCTTTCCTGGTGGCCAAGTGACTGTAATTGATTAGAATTAGATGGATTTCCTTCAATTTTCGTCAAAAAAAAACAAGAATTTACAACGAATGGCTGTGAAATTGGAAAAACAGTCAAAAGAAAACTTGTGAAAAGCAGAACTTGTGAAAAACAGAACTTGTGAAAAACAGAACTCAGTTCTCTTTTCCTGTTGATCACTACGTAAAATAAATTAACCAATAGAAAATAAAGATTAATAAAAGCCGAAGACAATCCTTTGTTTAAGGAAATGTTTAAGGAAATGTTTAAGGAAATGTTTAAGGAAATGTTTAAGGAAATGTTTAAGGAAAAACTCTATAATGCCCTTTGAGTAAATAACTTTTGAGAAATCGATGAAAATTGAGAAAGAATTTCTGAATCATCGTTTCCCCCCTCAGCACGTTCCGGAAAAAAAGATAGCCAAAATTGATATGAGCCATCCCGTTCTCGATGACACAACCAATGTTTTTCTTCTACTTTTGTACTTTTTAGATATTTTAATAAGATAACAATGATACAATTTCTTTTTTTAAGACAAAACTTTAGATCAACAACATAGAATCTTGGATTTTGTTGATTTGATGATGTTGGAAAAAAGAAAATTCGACATTTTTCGATAATTTATGATTCTATGAACAATTAAAGCCCTAAATAGTTATATTTTCTAATTTACAGCAATGCCATTACAGCAATTTACAGCAGAAATAAGATAATCTTTTAGTGAGTGTTGAATATAAAAGTTTATAATAAAGTTTATAATAAAGTTTATCTAAAGTTTATCTAAAGTTTATCTAAAGTATGCTGGTTAAAAGAAATTACATGAAGTAAGATGTAGTAAAGGTTAAAAAACGTTAAAAAACATGTAGTAACAGCGTAAATAGGGTTGAAAAGGGGAACAGGGCAAGAGTGGGATACGAGGGGAATGGAATAGGAGACAATCAATCGATTCGAGTTGATTGGAGGGGGGAGAGGGTGCTCCCCTTCTCCCTCAGGGTGGTGCGGGGGAGGCCAGAGACCGCGTCGATGAGAGAGACCAGAGTCGACATAACGAGTCTCTCTAGGAATAGAGCTATTCCTTTTTCTTTCCTTTAGCCCAAGGGACAGCCTCTCCCCAATATGAGAGACCCTAGTAGAGGCTGTGTAAGAACCCCTTTCCATTATAGCTCTTTTCAAATCCTTGCTGTGTGTTGGTTTTTGAAAGCTGACCATCGTTATACGAACAGTTATTGCAAAACTCAAGTTGCAAAGCTGTTCCAGTAAACCGGTGGATATAAAAGTTTTTTATAGGCAAAGAGAAAAGATAAAGAAAAGTGTGGAGGGTGGAGGAGAGGAAAACAAAGGAGAAAGGGATCGATGATCACTGGTTGCCATTTTCAGCAACATCCAAATAGAGACGGGGATGTCCGTCCCATCTCTTTCATACATCGATTCCCCTTCTGTCCACTCAAACCCCCCTTTTTTCCACTTTGTCCTTTTTCGTAACGTTAAAAAGATTCCCCTGTTTTCTTTCCGATCAATAGACATTTACTGAGCTTATTGAGATTTATTTAATTAATAAATCTCAATAATACTAACTATGTTTATGATAAAGATACTGTAATACCGTATTTCTTCGAATAGAAGACCGGGTAAAGAGTATCATCGCGTACTCCTGCGTAGCAGCCCTTTTAAAATTTCTTTTCTGCATAAAAGCTTTCAATGAAGTGCTATAGGGCTGGAAAATGACTCAAAAATACCACATGAGCTAACAGATTTTTGAGCCATTTTCCAGCTCTATAGCACTTGATTGAAAGCTTTTATGCAGAAAAGTAATTTTAAAAAGGGCTGCTACGCAGGAGTACGCGATCATACTCTTTACCCGGTCCTCTATTCGAAGAAATACGGTATTTTATTTCCACTATCGCATTGCTAAAAAGCTTTCAGTTAATAAGACGTCTGCTAAAAAGAAACAATTTTAGAAAACTGCCGTAACCGTAACAATTTTCATCCGACTATAACGATTTTAAATCATCGTTCATTAAGTGAAATACAAAATTCAAACTAAACACTTTGGACTTTTGATTACGATAGTTTTTAGTTGCATTTTAGAAAACACTCTCGATCGAGACAATGTTGAATAGTTGAAATTTCTTTATTAACACGTTGACGACAATGGCGTTTTTGCACAAACAATCGCATGGGACAACGTTGTTTTTTTCGACAAAAAATGTCACCTGACATCAGGTGACAATGACAATAAAATTTAATTTTAATAATCAACGGTTAAATCGACATTTTCCGGGACCAAGTCGAATATAGATACTACCCTACTTGCTTATTTAATATCCATCATCAGCAAACATTGCTCAAAGCCATCGAATGGGGTAGCTAGTTTTAAAAAAGTACTGATCCGTTTTTGCTTGGCCTTAACACGTTGACGACAATGGCGTTTGCACAAATGCACAAAAAAATCAATTTTGGTACTGTCACCTGACATCAGGTGACAATGTCCCAGGCGAGCGAATATGTGTCAGACAGCATCAGGTGACAATGTCCCAGGCGAGCGAATATGTGTCAGACAGCATCAGGTGACAATGTCGTCAACGTGTTAAACTTGTATACATTCAATATTAATCTTCCTTTTTCTTTATCCTGTGATGTGAAAAATTTTTTTTGAGCGTTTAAATGTAAAAAAAAACAACAACTTAGAATCCTTTATCGTTTAAAGCGAATCAAAGAAAAATGTAGAAAAAAGGAAAAGTATGGCAATAGTTTCTTGGAAAATACTTTCGATTTGGAATACAAAAATGCACTGAAAATTGTTTGATTATTTGAGAAAAAAATCTCGAGAAATCAAAAAACGATCTTTTTTTTTTTTTGAAGGCACAGGAGGATTTTCATTGAGCAAGGTCTCAAAAAAAAAGACAAAAAAGTACAAAAAAACCCCTATAAACCCAAGGGAATCTTTTTGAAAGACTCAAAAAAGTCAAATAAAATAAAATAAATCATATAAAGCGATATTTGGTATGAGGATCATTATTAGGTGACTTGTTTATAAGGCTTTCAATTTGATTTGATTATTTGTCAAAAAAAAAGGGAGTGGGACAAATGCGACTTTTTTTGCGCACCCGGACATTTGCGCACCCTTTTTTCCGCAACTTGCCCATTAGCGCACCTTTTTTCGCGTTTTAAAAAAGCTCTAAAAGCTAATATTAACCAATTTCTATTCCAAATGTTGTTTTTCTGGGTAATTTTAGGGCGTAGAATCGAAATTTTGACATATCAGAGCTTGTGGAAACTTGTGGAAAAAAAAAGGTGCGCAAATGTCCGGGTGCGCAAAAAAAGGTCGCATCCGTCCCAGTTCCGAAAAAAAGTTCTGTCTAAATATCCCTGGATAAAAGTATTCGGACAACTAGACTGAATATCTTTATCTTAAAGACTTTAAAAGATATTCAGCTGAAAAGATATTGCCATAAAAGTTAAAGAGTCTAAAGATCTCAATGTTAACACTTGAATATCTTTATCTTTAAGATTTAAAAGATATTCAAGTGTCAACATTGAGATCTTTAGATTTGTAAAAGAAACCTTTTAAAGAATATCTTTACCTGAATACTTTATTAAGGGGGGGGGGTGGGACAAATGCGACCTTTTTTTTGCGCACCTTTTTTTTTGCTGGAAAGGCCTTAGGCAAGGCCGTAGAGCTTCGAAAATATTTCCATATAAGGGAATCGTATGCGTAGATTCCGAATTTCGACAAATCAGGCCTCGCTGACACGTCAAATTTGGGCTAAAAGGCAAAAACTGCGGAAAAGCGTTAAGTTGCGTAGTTTTTGCCTTTTAGCCCAAATTTGACGTGGCAGCGAGGTCTGATTTGTCAAAATTCTGAATCTACGCATACGATTCCCTCCTATGAAAACATTTTCGAAGCTCTACGACCTTTCCTAAGGCCTTTTCCAGCAAAAAAAAGGTGCGCAAATGTCCAGGTGCGCAAAAAAAAGGTCGCATTTGTCCCACCCCCATTAAGGGATATTTTGAGAGAATCGACAAGCTGAAAAACAAACCGGGGAAAATACACAAACGCGTTTCCTTTTTTTTTTGCTTTATTTTGACGTTGACTAGAGGTAAGGAAAAAAACAATCAGCAAAAAGACAAAATTTACATATATTTGAGATCATTTTCAATCAGCATCGATATCCTCAAAATTGGCAAGTTCATAGTCACCAAAATTCTTGCGAATATCCCGAGAAAGAGCTCGCATCTCTTCCACACATAAACCCTCAACCTCTGATTGTAACTCGTACTCGTTTTCATAGCTGAAAGCTTGATTAATCTTTTGGGCATTTAAAATTCTACTCATTTTACATACAAATTTGATATTTAAAGCTTGAGTGTAAAAGCTTGAATATAGAGCTTATAAAAGCTTGAATATAAAAGCTTGAATATAAAAGCTTGAATATAAAAGCTTGAATGTAAAAGCTTGAATGTAAAAGCTTGAATGTAAAAGCCTGAGTATAAAAGCTTGAATGTAAAAGCCTGAGTATAAAAGCGTGAATATAAAAGCTTGAATGTAAAAGCTTGAATATAAAAGCTTGAATATAAAAGCTTGAATATAAAAGCTTGAATATAAAAGCCTGAGTATAAAAGCTTGAATATAAAACCTTGAATATAAAAGCTTGAATGTAAAAGCTATATTTAAGCTTTAGATTGTTAAATTAAACGAGAATTTTGTTCTTAATTTTGATCTTTCTTCAACTGACCCGATCGAGTGAACACTTTTCCATCGAAGTGGATCCAACTCAAGGCTAGAGGCCATTGATGAGCATTGAGATTCCATATCTGCATCACAACCATCTTTTTCTCTGCAATTTATTAAATAATATTATGAAAATATTGCTTTTCAATGTTTTTAAAATAAATTCTTTACTTTTTCGTCTTTGAGAACCATCTTTTTCTTTTTTGTTTTGCGGGAGTGCGACGGGATTGTCGAGATGGAGCTCGAGACTCACAATCGCTTAATCCCTAAAAAAACTTTCTCTTTTAAAGCTCTTAAAGACAATATTAAAGATTATATTAATAAAATTCTGAAGTTCAATCAATTCAATCTCTTTCCTCACCCGTTCACTCTCGGCATTATCGTACTCGGTGTGCGCTGTGCTACTCACCGCTCTTTTCAACCTTTTTTGCACCCGATCAACATCAATCGATTTTGTGGAACCGATCTGATCAATTTATAGAACGAAGTTCATTTTCTTTCATTCACCTGTGTGGGAAATGGAAAATCAATGCCATTTCCCGGGCTCGATGTGGCAAAATCCCCGTAGGCGTTCAACTCGCGCAACATTCGATCAACTCGATGAGCGGCTGCTTCCAAACGAACTGCCGCATCTTGTTCCCCAGCACTTTCCGCATCTGTGCTCATCGATGAATGACCTTTAAATCTTTAAATTTTCATCATCATCCTCTTATTACCTTTTTTCATCCACGGATTTCTTCGCCATCTTCTCCCTCGACTACTCTTCGAGGTTTTGCTTTGTCGACTTGGTCCTAGAGATTTGATTTTAACTTTTAGCTAAATAATTTGTGATTTAATCTCTTTTAACCTCGATCCCCGTTTGAAATGCCACTCATTCGACTCGGATTTCTCGACGATTCAGCCTCCGAACAATCCGAGTAGAGATAGTTTGTTTCCGGCTGTAATTCGAAGCAATTTTTGAAGCAATTTTTCTTTTCCTTTCAAATTTCTCAAACCTTATAACCAGGTGGGGCAAAAAGTGGTGGAATCGGTCTGACACGCATCGGCGCTCCACCCATTAGTGCCGTTTCTGGGGTGATCCATTCAATATCTTTAAAAAGCTTTAATCTAGAAAATGGATATGAAAAACCGGAATCGGTTTCCCCGCCAGCATCGATTGAGTGAAGATCTGATGAAAACGAAGAGCAGATTGAGGATAGGAGCTGAATGTTGTAGTTGATAATGAAATAAGTAATCAAAGAAAGATTTTCGGAGAGGGGATTGAACCCTCGACCATTTGCGCATGCGCAGAGATGCGCAATCACTAAGCTATTCGTTATCTTCTTGCTAGAGAAGAAAGAGGAAATACAACGGGGGAAGAGAAAGGAAGAAAGAGAGGAAGAAAGAGCAGGAAACAAGGCTAAAAATAAAACCTCAGTATGCTCAGGATATCCATTTTGTTGTGCTTTCTGGAAGAGATTCATTGTGTGTTTCTCTTCGGCTCTCCGTGACATATCCGGTCCAAATTCAGCCCGAATCGAGATCTAAAGAGAATGATAAAGATCAAATTTCAACTATAACTATTTTTAAAATAGATCTTGAAATACTTACGGATTGTTGGGGTACTGCGTGATATTCTGGTGAGTTTGATCTTTGCTCAATTCCCAAGGACACTGTATCATCATCATCTCTCACTTTTAGAAGATAAGCATTCAGATTTGGTGCTATCTAAATTAGAATTACTAGAATTTTAGAATCACTAGAATCACTAGAATCATTAGAATCACTAGAATCTATTATCATTTTCTTTACCTTAGCTGCCGAACTGCTAAAGTTGAATTGCCTGGGTCGGAGTGCGAGATAGATCTCTTCCGAAGCCATAATTTTCTCATGACAAGCTGATTGCATCAATAAACGAGCTCTAAAATATTAATATTATAATAAAAACAAATCAACTATGATCTTATAAAGAAAGCACCTCTCAACAGTCTCTCCCCAGAGCTCATACTGTGGCTTCTCGGTGTCACAAATCACGGAAAGAGTACTCCCGCAGTCCATACCTTAATTATTTCATTTAAATTTAAAGAACATATATTTTATTCTTTAATTCTTACCAATTTGTACTTCGAATTGTCTCTCAGTGGCGAATTGGGTGACCCGAAGGAGAAAATTGGCAAGCGCGTAGAGAAGCTCGCCCACTGTCCAAGGAGTTTCACTCACCTAGAGAAATTCATGACTGAAACTATGGCCGACTGGCTAACAGCCCTGTTTCCTAGTCGATATCTTCGTCAGGTGGTCAAGGGTTCAATCTCGTCAGCTAGATGATTTGTTCTTTACTCACATTTCTTGTCGAATCAGGCACCAAACCCGCCGCCACAACATAGAAACGATTCGATGAGCGAACTTTTTCGATTCCCTTGTAATCAGTTAAAGCCTAGTTTAGAGATATTAGAAATATTAAAGAATAAAAAAAACTTGATCAAAATATCCGAAAATATAGTTGAGTGCGTTGAGCCCTTGCTCTCCATGTAGATCAAAACCCGATATCGCTAAATAGGCGACTCCCACTGAATGAGCTGCGTGCTGCCAGAGTTCTCCTAAGATTTTTTGATTTATAGAAGATTCTATAAGATCCTTCTATAAGATTCTTCTATAAGATTCTTCTATAAGATTCTTCTATAAGATCCTTCTATAAGATTCTTCTATAAGATTCTTCTATAAGATTCTTCTATAAGATTCTTCTATAAGATCTTTCTATAAGATCCTTCTATAAGTTTTTTTTAGTTTACCTGATTTTGAGGCAATTGTTGGCGCAATATGAGCGGGGACGAGGTTTAACATCACTTGATTGTTCAGCAATTGTAATCGATCTTTTGAAGCCGTTTCTTCGACTCCCTAAAGTAAAAAGAAAGATTTAGCTTTAGATTTTTTCATTTTAAAAGTTTTAACAATAAGTTTAGCAAGTTTAGCTTTATTTAAGAAAAAGCTTAACAAAGTTTACCTTTACATGCGCTAAAAAGTCGAGTCGTTGCAAGCGTTCGCATTCGCGCGCATGCAGAAGAATGAGGTAAGCGAGAAGAATTAAACCGATTAAAAGGTCGGCTTCAATCACAAATCTGAAAGATATTGGATAGATAATAGATATAGAAATGTTTCTTGAATTGTATCTAATCTTAGATTACAGGGTATCTCAAAGAAAGGCGCCTTTTCAAATCGAATTTTAGAAAAACTTTAAGTGGCTATTGATGCCAAAACTCTTTTTTTCTTTAAGGCAATGAGAAGGCTTTCTTTGAGAATTTTTTGTTTTCTTGATTTCTATGCACTAGAATTTTTTACCAGTACGATTACCACCACCACCATGAGATTTTTGCCATAAAATTGAAACTTTCTTGATGAATAATAAATGAATAATAAATAGATGCATAAAAACTATTAGAATAACTACAAATTTAAACCATACACTTGATCAGTGTTTACTTGAAAAAAAACGGGACAATTCTTTAAAAAAAGATGATTTGAAAATCTCTTACGTATGACAGATTATCATATAATGTAGATTAATAAGGGTCGAGGGTTCAATCACTCTGGCAAGATAAAAATGTTTCTTTTTCCCACCAAGTGGGTTTTTTCTTTCACAACATTTGGGTAATAGGGGTAAATAGGGGTGAGAACGGCCGCAGTGCCATACAATTGTGTGTTTAACCTTTATGTCTTATTATGTACCCTTTGTTTGTATCACATTATTGGTTTTCAATAAATGTATTTTTTTTTAAATAAAGTGTTTAGTTGAAAATCTTAGTTTATATCTTAACTCTAATATGACCCCACCACACCACAACGAAACCTCTAATCTGACACCTCTTATCAGGATCATAATGTAGATTAATAAAGTGTTTGGCTAAAAATTTTAGTTTAAATCTTTAAATCGAATATCACACCACGATGTCAAGGAGAAAGTTTTAATTTTATGGCAAAAATCTCATTCTGGTTGCTCATATGATTTTAGTAAAAAAAAATTTCGTGTATAGAAAGTCAAGAAAACAAAAAATTCTCAAAGAAAGCCTTCTCATTGCCTTAAAGAAAAAAAAGAGTTTTGGCATCACCAATAGCCACTTTAAGTTTTTCTAAAATTCGATTTGAAAAGGCGCCTTTTTTTTGAGATACCCTTTATTTACTTTCAAGAAAATTTCCCAATGAACTTACTCTTTGGCACCGATTGGTGGATGGCTGATGAACATTTGAATGACATAAGTGCTTAAAGCTGTTAGCAATACAGGACCCAATAGAACGAAACGAATTCTAGGAATTGATTGGAAAAATTTTATCATTGAAAATACTTTAAGAAAACAGCTGTCCAAATGATCCAAATTGCGAAAGAGAAAGCAGCGAAATGGATTTTTTCACAGACTCCTGGTGTATAATCGGATGGACAAGAGAACTCAAATCATTGTCATTATATTGTTTGTCAAGTTATATAACTTACAGTATTCACAATTCCACACATAAAGAGTAGAGCCATGATGAGAAGAACGGCTAGTGAATGACCGCTTGAGGTTCGTGTAACGAATTGGGAGAAGGTCTAAGCTTTAGGTTTAGTTTTAGGTTTTGCTTTAGATTTAGCTTTAGGTTTAGATTTAGCTTTAGGTTTTTTTTACTTTAGATTTAGTTTTAGCTTTAGTTTTAGGTTCAGCTTTAGCTTTAGATTTAGGCTTTAGTTTCAGCTTTAGATTTAGCTTTAGATTTAGCTTTAGGTTTTGCTTTAGATTTAGCTTTAGGTTCAGTTCTAGATTTAGTTTTAGCTTTAGCTTTAGATTTAGTTTTAGGTTTATCTTTAGCTTTAGATTTAGCTTTAGATTTAGCTTTAGATTTCATTTGATATTATATTTAAAACTCACATCATTTATGTAAAGCATTCCAAAGAAGGCCATTAAAAAAACAAGAGAAATCACGATTAACGCCACAGAGGTAATCAAACGAGGCATGACGAGAAGATGATAAATCCCATGAACGACAAGGAATGATATTGATATAGTCAATGCTGGGATCAACCATTTATCCATTTCTTTTTGATACTAAAGAAGTTATCAATTAGTTGAAATCTTTTGGTCACCTCTTCCTCTATAGAATCATTGGTGAAAGTGAGTGTGACTGGATGCATCATTGATCGACCGCTATACGTTGTTTCAGAATCGATTGATGATTGTCCTTTAAGCTTTCTAGAATTTATTTTAAATTATATTGTTAACTAGTTAAGAAGTTAATTAGTTAGTTAGTTAGTTAGTTAGTTAGTTAGTTAGTTAGTTAGTTAGTTAGTTAAAAGTTAGTTAGTTAGTTAGTTAGTTAATTAGTTAATTAATTAGTTAGTTCTTAAACGAACACTTTTCTTTTCTTTGATGCGCCAAGAGCGATCGTTTTCAGTCCAATCGTTGTATCGGAAGCGGAAACGGTTTGAAGTAAACGACTAACTGCTTGTGGAAGAGTGACCAATGAGAAACTGAATGAGAAATGGAAAACAGATGAGATTTTGAAGTGAAATGAAATTCTAGTAATAAGAAATGAAGTTTGAACAAAAATCAATCGTAATCTCACCGCTTGTTTATTGGAAACATTTCAGCTGGACAGCCACCCATTGATTGAACTCTCCAGCAATCGCCAACATCTAAAATTCATGAAAAAACTATCGTAACTACAAGAACTACAAACTTTCCATCTTCCAATCATTTCCGAGAAGTCTTCGTGTGTCATCAGTTATGTAAACGCCACTAAAATAGAATAGAATTGATTTGAATTGAATTGATTTGAATTGAATTGATTTGAATTGAGTTGATTTGAGTTGATTTGAATTGATTTGAGTTGATTTGATTTGATTTGAGTTGATTTGAATTGATTTGAGTTGATTTGAGTTGATTTGATTTGATTTGATTTGATTTGAATTGAGTTGAATTGATTTGAGTTGATTTGATTTGATTTGAGTTGATTTGAGTTGATTTGAATTGAATCGAGTCAAGCTCAGCTTTGTCCAAGAATTAACCCAACTATTTCTCTCTCTCTTTCTTGTCTTTCCTATTTCTTCTTGGCAAAACAAGACTCCAATAGCTCAGTGGTTTAGCTGAGGAAGATAAGCGGAAGATCGAGGGTTCAATTCCCCCGCTTTCCTTTTCCTTTTTTCTTTACTCACTCTGCCGGTGCATTGTTCTGCAGGAGAACGGCGTTGTCAACGGGAATCCCAATCACATCGTAGTGCCATTTGGCTCTTCCAACCTGAAATTTGTTTTTTAAAGCCTCTATTATTTATGGAAAGATTTACCACTCCAGCGGTGACCGGCCCTGAATCAACTCCAACTGTTACTGTCACTGATGAACAAGTGGCATCTCGAAATGAGCTAAAGAAATTCGCTCTTTAAAGCTTTAAACGAAGTGCTTGAAATATTGTCATTCCAAAGAAGGCCAGTAAGTAATATTCCAGTAATACTTACCTAACAAGAGCCTCTAAATCACAGGCAAAACCAATGATCCGGCCCGCATGATCTGTCTCGATTGCTGGAACTGATGAAATCACCAATATTCCATCAGAAGGGATCCTGATGCAACCGTGTGATGTAGCTAAGCGATCAATTCTAAAATTCGATTTCTTTTATAAGAGATCCAACTGAACTAACCGTTGCTCAAACTCTTTGATCACTCGAGCGGCATCATTGGCTGAGCATTGAGCCAACACTCCTTCAAGTCCCGATAATCGACCGTAGCAAGTGGTTATCTATTAGATTTTAAGACATAAACATCTCCGACATCACTCTGTTTAGATCTTTTTCTCCAACATAGAAAAAAACCAACTTGTGTGTAATGCTCAGCATAGATTTGTGGAACGTGTTGAGCGATTTGATGCCTCGTCGCAGTGATCAAGTGAAGAGGCAGAAAAGCCGAGAGTAGTCGATTCTAAAATCAATTTTTATTCAAAAAAAACACTTTTCTTTTTACGTACAAGTTTCTGGCTTTGATCCTCTGCCAAATTCTCTGTTTCAACCGCATTTTTTCCTGATAGAAATGTATCTAAAATTCGCATGGAATCGAAGGTTTTTCTATAAAACTTCTTGCTATTTTATCCTTTCCCACGTGCACATAGACGCCGATAAAATGACTCCACACGTGCACGAGAAGAACCGCTAACAGCTGGAAAATTTCTTTTTTTTGTGAATTTTCAAGTTTTCAATTGTAAGTTCTGGGTTTTAGATTGAGATTGAGTGGCTAGAGATTAAAAAGTGTTTAAAACTAGAGTAAGCTAGTAAGTTAACTTAAGAATAACCTAGTAAGCTAGTAAGCTAGCAAGTTAACTCTAGAGAAAGCTAGCAAGCTAGTAAGTTAACTCTAGAAAAAGCTAGCAAGCTAGCAAGCTAGCAAGTTAACTCTACAGGGTGACCAAGAATTGCCGCAACAACTTTTTGAAAGAGTATCTGGGAAATGTCTAATTTATTTCAAAAGTGGCAAGTGTTATACAGAGAATTGTAGGCCTAATTCTCGGCAACATTTATCTACCAAAAACATCCCGATTGGACTTATACAACTCATTTAACAAGCGCTTGAGTGAGCGCTAGTCGACATCTCTTCGGCGAATCTGTCATTTGGCCACTTTTCTCTATTAAAAATTGTCAAGAAAAGCTTTTCAATATTTCTTCAATGCAAAAATAGCGTTTAATATCACTTAATAACATTAGGAATCACACTTAAATGTTTTGGCTGGACTGGCATAACCAAAATTTAAGTTGATGTCAAGCTCCTTTTGGAGGAGCAGGGAAAATTGAGTATTTTCGATATTCAGCTCATATGCGCATCTCGTTATATCAGCTGTTCTGGCGCTATGAATTTGTTGAAAACAATTGTTTTGGACAAAATTACCACAAATTTGACTGAGAAAAACTTTTCCGAATGAAATTTTTTCATGTAGAAAAGTGGCCAAATGACAGATTCGCCGAAGAGATGTCGACTAGCGCTCATTCAAGCGCTTGTTAAATGAGTTGTATAAGTCCAATCGGGATGTTTTTGGTAGATAAATGTTGCCAAGAATTAGGCCTACAATTCTCTGTATAACAATTGCCACTTTTGAAAGAAATTAGACATTTCCCAGATACTTGTCCAAAAAGTTGTTGCGGTAATTCTTGGCCACCCTGTAGAGTTAACTTGCTAGCTTACTAGCTTTCTCTAGAGTTAACTTGCTAGCTTACTAGCTTGCTAGCTTTCTCTAGAGTTAACTTACTAGCTTAGTCACCCTGTAGAGTAAACTTTAGAGTCAAATGTGTCTGCTAACACTGCTAATGTATCTAACAATACCATTTGGTCTAGAGTCATTCGTATTCTGTACTCAGTAACGGTTTGGCTTGGTGCCCAGCCCGTTCACTTTTCAGGATTCAGTGTTGTGAGAGAGAGAGAATGGAAATTGAATGCTGGAGGAGATCCCAAAGGACGAAAGGACCAAAGGACCAAAGGACCCCTCAACTGACTCGAGGACGCATTTATTTGTTGTCGCGTCACGCTTTTGACACATAACGATACACAAATACACACACAATATATTTCCATAGAGAATCGATCTCTTCTTTTCTTCAAAAATTCGCATGTGATTGAGAAAAATTTGCTCAAAGGTAATAGGCAAGTGTTCTAAAGACTATTCAAATGCTTTTAAAGCTCTAAACGATCCCTTGAGCCAGCGATTCAAAGCCAGCTATTCAAGCCAGCTTCTATACCCTAAATTTTCTCGGTTTTTTTTTCAAAATGAATCCCCATTGTGTTTTTTTTTGTTGGTTTTTGAAAGTCCACTTTCGCTATGGAGAAAAAAAGAAAAAAAAAGAAAATTGGGAAAGGGTCACTCTCGTTTTTGCCCGTTTCTTTTCCGTCTTTTTTCAAAGGATTATTTGCCTGGCCGTCCTCAAATGACTCCTCGAAAAAGAATGCCACTTTTGAACAGAGGAAAAAAAACATTTACTTTTCTTCCTGAAACGAGTTTAAATAAATGGGGTTTATTGAAAGTTTAAGGTGATTCATAGTTTGAGTTTAAGGTCATTCATAGTTGGATTTTGAAAAAAAAGGCTCAGGTAGAGCAGTAGATTTGCTATACGCTAAATAAAACTACTAGAACTGCGCTTAATCGATCAGAAGTCATCAATTTGTTCATTTTTTCTTGAATAGGATTTACTTATAATGTTTAAAAGTAATAGTACTGACTGGGAATTCATGTACTGACTGGGAATTCATGACATGGGAACTCAATATTCATGTAGAAAGAAAATAAAGAGTCTGTTTACTGTTTACTTAAAGTTGATCATGAAATTGATGATCATGATCATGATTTTTGTATCTTCTATGAAGTGAATCTCTTTTCTAAAAGACTCTTATGATTTGGTGGGAAAGATAAAGAGATATTGAAAGTGGGGGGAGGGGATGGGTGAATGGGGATTTATTTGAAAGTCCCCAGGGGAGCCCATCCGTCCTCCTGTCGAAACATTGCCTCACTCGCTTCACCCCCTTCCCCTTCCCCTTCCCTTCCCCCCACCCAATCCCCCTTTGATTCCTTCAACCCTCTCCCCATTTCCTTAGATTTTACATAAGATTGCTTTCTATAGCTTTAAAAATCCAACTTATTTAGGACTTTAATTTAAATGAAATTAAAATTTTAAAAGTTTCATTTAAATTTAAAAAATTTAAATGATCTCTGATAATTTTTCCATAAAATTTCTGAGAGATCCATTACGCTGAGGTAAAAAGAGTTCAAAAGATCTCAAAACTCGCAAAAAAAAAAGATGCCCTCTGGGACTCTTAAAGAAAAAAAAAAGAGATTTTAGGAGTCGGTTTGAGAGTGATTTATTACTCTTTGCTTGACTTTCTCAATATTTTTCGTTTCTTAACAAAAAACAAAATTCTTGTCAATATGTTAAAGTTGAGAAGCAATCTTTAGATTGCTTTTTTTTCTTGAGTTCAAGAAACGATCTTTCTTTTGTGTTCGTGCGAACATGTGGGTCGTAGTTTATTTTTTTTTTGTTAGCGGGAAAGTAGCAGAGAGGGATTGGACGGAGGCAAAGACACGTCGAGAGGTTGACTGTGCAAATAGTTGAAAGATTCTCTTTCCTTCTCTTTTCCTTAGTCTTAAAAATCCAAAAAACTAGAAATTAATTAATCCAAAATAAGCGGATTGATGATGATTAAGTGAATCAAATGAAGATAGGACCCACCTCCATTGTTTTCATTGGTTGCACGAGAAGAGCAAATGCGGCCACGTGTATAAATGAGAGAGTCATCGTGGCTGGCAGAATGAAAAGGAATGGTAACGATAAGAAAGTGTAGGCGACGAAAATCGCGATGATAGCTGGGAATAAAGCATTGTGATCTGGTAGAGCGAGGAAAACGGCTAGTAGGAGGACAGCGAAGCAGGCAAATGGTAGAGAATGACGGGGAACACGTCGTGGTCGCCACCATGCAGCTACATGCACACCGGTGGCGGCTAGGGAAACGGCTGCGAAACGAAGAGCTGATGGATGAGGTGCATGCGCTATTGCACTGCAACCTGTAGCTACAGCTACTCCAATAAGCACTCCGCGTGTTGCCGCCGCCGCTGCAACCGCTTTCCAATGCTGATAGTGGCGTTCAAGCGGCTCCGACCCGAAGGCGCGCTTCATTCAACTGAGCACCTCCAGGTTGATAGCTTTGTCTTCTGAAAAGAAAATTTGTGTTATGCAAAAGGAAAGAAATCTTGAAATAATCAAGAAATGATCAAAAATTGGAGTAATAAATAAAGGAGTAGAAAGAAAGAAAGAAAGAAAGAAAGAAAGGGAAAGAGAAAGAGTCAAAAGAAAGCCAACAAATGACTCTCTCTCTTCGAAAAGTAATTAGATTTCACAATGGAGAATGGAGTGTTAATGAGGCCACTGAACACTAAATTTGAAGCCTCATATTGGTCCTGTGTTTATCACTAAAATCAGCAGCAAGGTGAACGCTTGTAAATGTCATTTCTTTTGACCATTACACACTTTTTATTGCTTGTCTTGTTGAGGGCACGGGCGGAGATTAAAAGAAAAGATTTTTAGGCAGCAAAACAATTGGTAAAGTTTAAGAATTCGAGAAAAGGATTTATAAAATTTAAATAAAGAGTCCAAATAGAACGCTAGGAAAAGAGCTCGTGCTCAAGATGGAAAAGAAGATGAAGAGAAAAAGGAAAAGGAGAAGGAGAAGGAGAAGGAGAAGGAGAAGGAGAAGGAGAAGGAAAAGGAAAAGGGAAAGGGTGAGTGCTGGCCAAGGGAAGGGAGGGGGGTAAGCGACTGTCCACTTTTCGTAAACCCCGCCCTTTTCTCCAGCCTCTTTGTCGAGTGTAAAGAGGCAGAGGGGGGAGAGCTCGCATAGAGCTCTTGATCGTCCTCGTAGCCCGTAGTTGTGTTGCGCGGGAAGAGCTGGGTAACCGGCTGGTTGAAGAGTGCAAGAGGAGAGCCAGCCATCGATGTCGATGCCTCTCTATCCTCCTCTATCTCGTTCGTAAATTTACGGGTCATCCCCTCACAACTCTCAACAGCTGTAACGAATGGGCTCTCTGTCTCGATTTTTGGCCCGTCATCCGTTTTCTAATACGCTGTAATTGGCCCAAATGAGCAAAAGAAGAAAAAAAAATATCTTTGAGAAATTGCGAAAGAGAAACTCGATTGATAATTGGTCATAGTCATAGTTGAAACTTGAGCAGATCAAAACGTTGTGCCCCACCGGGGACTCAAACCCCCTATCTTCCGAACAATATCTTCCGAATCTTACCGGACAAGCGTGCTAACCATCACACTACAACGCACCTAATTTCCTTTACTTCAGAGGGAGTTAAGTGTCATATCAAGAATCTCGATTGTGCCTTTGTAAGGAATAACTTTAAGTTGAGTTTAAGCTTGATATTTTGATCATAGTACTAACTATAATACTGGTACAGTTAAAGTATTAGCGTTAAGCTAACAACTACAGTAATCTTGATCACATTTTAGCCATTCTAGACGATAAGTCTACTTGCTTGCCATATTCTTACACCTCTTCTATTGTTATTTGACTTACAAAGGATGAGTTCAGTCAAGATAAAGATATTTGATGTTTTTTTAAAGATCTTAAGCATAAGAACGATTACTTTTATCAAAAAAATCACTAAAATTTCAAGAAATTAAAGTTATTCTAGATATTTGCGTGTTTCTTTGGCATCAACTTTGTGTTCTTTGTGTTTTTTTGATTTCCGTTTCCAATTTGAGGTTGTTAAAAGAACAGAAATCCTTTGTTAAAATACCTTTGAGAAATTGCGAAAGAGAAACTCGATTGATAATGAGTCATAGTCATAGTTGAAACTTGAGCAGATCAAAACGTTGTGCCCCACCGGGACTCGAACCCCCTACCTTTTCATCAACCAGAACAGCTTTTGAGTCATCATTTTAAAGCTTTTCAACAACTAAACGTTAAAAATATCTTTAAAAATAGTATTAGAAATTTTTTTAACTTTAAAAATTGAACAAAAAAAAAGAAAAGAAAAGCAAAAATTGAACGAATTTGGTCGATCTTTCAAAAAAGCGATCTTCGTCTTTTTTTCAAAACAAAAACATATAAATATTCTCTTTTAAAATGAAATCATTTCTTTTTCAGCTCTTTATCACTTATTGTTAAATCTTTTATCACTTTAAAAAATAATCCTCCACTTGCAGACCCAACCCCCCCCTGAGGAGAAGTGGTTGTAGGTGCCGGTGGCTCTCCGGGGGCCGGGGGGGGGGGTTATCACTTTCTAATGATGATTATATTGATGCCAGTCCTGGAAGACATTTTGCCTAGTCGCTCTGCGTTTTAAGCAAGTAAATTTGTGTGGAAAAGTTTATTTTTAGCAATTAATGTTGTAAATTCATAAATTTTCCTCTTGTTGACCGGATAAAGTGAGGAATGTTTGTGTGAGAGTATTCTGAGCAAGCGAATAATCAATAGCTCCCGTTCTCAAAGCGATCACGCCTCCTCGCTCCCATAATGATGACCAACGATCGCCTTCTTGACGAGGAATCTAGGATTTTATTGTTTTCAAGATCTATTGTAATACAGTTTTCAATGTTTATCACATTCTATAATACATAAATTGATTAGATAATTATCTTGAATTCTCCCTTAAACATAGCCATGTATCGTAGGATACAAGCTCAATCTTCTAGCCAAGAAACCCGCCTAATGGGTTTCTAGCCAAATGTTTTGAAGCAGCTAAATGATTGCCGTAGCGCAGTCGGGAGTGCGCAAATCTACAAACCACACGGTTCGGGTTCGATCTACCATACTGCATTCAGTTTTGATTTTTTCATTTTAAATGGCACAACTCTTTTATATGGCTCTTTTATATAGTAGACAGTAGTTATCTTGACACCGTGGTTAACTCTTATACAAGCTCAAACTTCTAGCCAAGAAACCCGCCTAACGGGTTTCAAGCCAAATGTTTTGAAGCAGTCAGACGGTTGCGCAGTCGGAAGTGCGCAAATCTACAAACCACATGGCTCTTTTATATAGTAGACAATAGTTATCTTGATACCGTGGTTGACTCTTATCATGCTTACCGTGAATCGGAAAACATTTCCTTGAATCCCATCCGAATGCAACGTAGCACCAGGAAATGACCGTTTCACCTATAAAACCATTTCAAGATCAAAAAAATCAACAAGAATGCCTCTTCTGGGATTTCTGTTCGATTCACTTCTTCATTTGAATACACTAACATCAATTGATAGCTGTTTCCGAATCTAAACAGAGCTTTTTATTCTCTTTTGACTGGAGCTCACTTTGATTTCAAGTGTTGTGTGGTGCCGATTGCTCTCAAATGTCCCCTCACAAGGATTCCGACTCGAGTGCAAAGGGCCTGTAATAGTTGAAATTTGAAATAATCATCGACTTATTGTAAGCGGATATTCAAAAAAAAAAGTATTTCAAGAATTCCACCTCGCACTCGTCCATCGAATGTGAACAAAGCAAAACAGCTCGTTTCTCAATATCTCTCACTACTCCAATCAGTGACCAAATCTCCCTTCTTGCCTGAATCCATTTATTTCTTTTCATTCTATTCTTATCAAGCTTGTAAGTGGAAACTGAATTGATTGATTGACAAAGAAAAGCCCAACGGGCAGCTACGCACTGCGATGGAAAGCGGAAAAACGTAGCTGCCCCCATTTGACGACTTTTCTTTAAAAAGTAAAAGATATTCAAATTTTCTGCAAGCCTTTTCCCCATTCCTACACACTCTTGGATCAATTCCAGCTGTTGGTTCGTCCAAAATAATCAATGTACTTCTTGCCAACAATGCGATTCCAACACTGATCTTTCTCTTCTGTCCTCCACTAAATGAATATTCTTTTTTATACACTCTTGGATCAATTCCAGCTATTGGTCCAAGATCTCCATATAATATTGCTGATATTCACAAACCTGCAATGTTTCAATTGCTTTTTCCCATTTTCTTCCATCAATACCGCTCTTAAAATCGAATGAGCTTTTTTCGCGGGATATTTATATCCATATAATGTTGCTAATATCCATAAAACTTCTTTTCCTGTTAGCTCTTGTAAATAAGCATCAAATTGTGGACAATAACCCATTGTCTGAAAAGATTAAAATCAAAATTTAAAATCATTTTTGTAATCTTTCCCAAATTTCCAACCAAAATCCCTGTAATTTCTTGATTTCCAAGAAAAGCTGATCCACTTGAAGCAAAGATTTCTCCGGTAAGAATGCCGAAAGTTGTCGTTTTGCCAGCTCCGTTCACGCCTAGAGAAATAGATTTAATTAATGAAAATGAAAAGAGCACCCAATAATCCAAAACATTCAGCTTCTTTCATTGCAAAAGTGAGCCGATTCAATGCAGTGAAATGGCCATAATGTTTTACTAAAGTGTTCACCTAAATCTTCAATGATTTCTGTCAAAAAAAAACTTTTCTCACTTCTAAAGCAAATTTCCCAGAATGAGCATCGACAATTTCTCGTTCTTTTACCACATCCGAATCATCAAGAATTGTCTATAATAGATTGGATGTAGATTGGATTCAGATTGTGCATAGAATCCCAGCATTATTAAATAAAAAGAACTGTTGCTTTGTTTTTGTACAATAATATTATGATTGCAGTATGAGATTTGAAGCAAATGGTTGTGGTCGCAAATGGCAAATGGTCGAAATCCTGACCCGAAAAAAAACTACTGGATACGCGTAACTCTGTCCTCCTCTGATCAGTTAAGTTATCTCCTACCATGGGCGTCTTTTTATTATGTGATCGTCTAGCTAAAACATATCGAATCTTTGCCCATCTTGATAGGAAAGTAATCAACGAGAGAATAAAGCCGCTGGAGGCGAGCAGAATTAGAGTAATAACTGAAAGAAATAGGGAATTTATCGTTTTTTTATATAGCTTTTTATATAGCTTACCATATTCAGAGTGCGCGCTTGAGTCCCCTTCATAACTCGGATCAGTTTGTCGACCTAACTCTCGAGAATATTGAATCCCTCGATAAAGACCAAATGATGGAAGAAGAATTTGAAAGAAATACTCAAATGAAAAATGAGAATGTTAATAAAATTAATAAAATGCAAAAATACTGCAAGGATTTTTGGATCCCAGTTGGTGAAACTTTGAACAATTGAAATGATCAATAGAGATCCGTAGGCACCCATTGTTTGGTAGATTGTAATTAAGGAATTTGCCTGAAAATTCGATTCTCATCTTCGAGAAAGTATAGAGAAGTTTAAAGAGGTGAAAATCTTAAAATGATTTTTCTTTAATAGGATTTACTCTGGGAGCCGACGTGAAAAAAGAAGCCAACAGATAGACGGATGGGAGTGAGGCGACGAAGTAGAGGATGAAAACGATCAAAACCCTGTAAAATTTGATGTTTTCGGTGAGTGAAAATCGTTTTAAAAGAAAGTTCGATCGTTAATTTGTTTAATTTGTTTAATTTGTTGAAAAAAATAGCTTAAATCTCTAGTCTTTTCCCTCATAAAAGTAGCCTCAAAACTGAATGTTGAAACATGAAACAAACAAATGAAACAAATGAAACAAATCCTCAAAACTGAATGAATGTTCTTTTGTTTCGCATTTGCAAATGATTTGTTTGTTTTGTTTTTTTCTCGAGACAATGAATGCCAAGCATCTTTTCTAAAAGATAGATTTATAAGTTCTCAAGTTGCTTTAAAAGTTTAGATCATGATTATGACTGAATAAAATGAATAGCTTTAATCGTTTCTTTACCTGAGTATCCCTAGTTACAGTTTCTGTTGTCAATGTTTATTTATTGTCAATTTTATTGTCATTTACTACTGTAGTCAAAAGAGTAGCCCATAATTATAGTATTGTTTTAATTGTTTTAATTGTTTTAATTGTTTTAATTGTTTTAATTGTTTTAATTGCTTTCCTTTTTGTTTACCTAAGCATTTGGCCTTGCGCCCATCCACCAATGTGAAAAGCGACCGTAATGAGAGCAGTCATAACGAGAAAAGTGATCGTATCATATAAAATTGATGCCGAATACAACATCCATCCAGAAACTGCGGTTAGACTTTGCTAAAAAGAAATTGATTTTTAATGATTCGAAGACTCGAAGATTTCGAGTCTTCGTCTTTTTACTTGATGTAAAAACTTGGTGACCCGTTCAACGACATGAAAAATTGCAAGTGGTGAGGTGAGCATTGCAAAGACTAACACCGTTAGAAGTCCAATCATAATATCTTCGATCTAGAAGAAAGAATAGAGGATTAAAAGTGGAACGAATTGACTATTTACTTGTGAATATGCGTTTCGATCTTGTTTTGTGCTTTTGTAGGCTTGTTTTACAGCACCATACGATGTCGTAATCGATCCACCATCTGAAAGTGTTTTATTTTATCGACCCACCATCAAGTTCAACAAGAAAACCTCTATAAAAACGTCTATAACAAGAGTTCACCCACCACTCTTCAATAAAGCATTTGGTAGAGCATTGAAAAGAGTTGGATAAGGCCAATAAGCAAGTGGGTTAAAGATAAAACTTGGTGTTTCTAAAGATATTCTGTTAAATAGTTGAATAGCTTGAGAAACCGTTAAAGAAAGAGATCCCACAGCCGAGTGGGGGGAGATCGAGGGGTTGAGAGAGCATTTCTTCAAGATAATCACGGGAACTAGTTCTTTCAATCTGAACTTTCAAATCAATACAAACAAATAATAGATTTTTAAACAGTACAAGCAAATTATACATTTATAATATAAAACAAGGTTTGGGCTTACAAACAAGCCCAAACCTTCTGAAGAAGGTTTGTGTTCTAAAGAACAAAAAGAATTAGAAAGAAAAAGAACCAAATTCAGCCAGCGGAATTGAACTTTTGAAGTCCCGACCGAGATACTCGGCCATGTCGGCCACTCGGCCATGTCGGCCACTCGGCCATGTCGGCCACTCGGCCATGTCGGCCACTCGGCCATGTCGGCCACTCGGCCATGTCGGCCACTCGGCCATGTCGGCCACTCGGCCATGTCGGCCACTCGGCCATGTCGGCCACTCGGCCATGTCGGCCACTCGGCCATGTCGGCCACTCGGCCATGTCGGCCACTCGGCCATGTCGGCCACTCGGCCATGTCGGCCACTCGGCCATGTCGGCCACTCGGCCATGTCGGCCACTCGGCCATGTCGGCCACTCGGCCATGTCGGCCACTCGGCCATGTCGGCCACTCGGCCATGTCGGCCACTCGGCCATGTCGGCCACTCGGCCATGTCGGCCACTCGGCCATGTCGGCCACTCGGCCATGTCGGCCACTCGGCCATGTCGGCCACTCGGCCATGTCGGCCACTCGGCCATGTCGGCCACTCGGCCATGTCGGCCACTCGGCCATGTCGGCCACTCGGCCATGTCGGCCACTCGGCCATGTCGGCCACTCGGCCATGTCGGCCACTCGGCCATGTCGGCCACTCGGCCATGTCGGCCACTCGGCGGCCACTCGGAGACATGTCGGGGAGTAAGTTTTCGATTAACATCTAACAATCTACCTTGATATTCTTGGCTTTTGCAGCTTCATCAATGATCGATGAATACGGAGAGTTTTCTGGATTTCCCGCAATGAACATTCTCATTGTGCCCATCTCAGAGAACTCAGCTTTATGCACTAAATTTTAAAATATAATCTTTAACCAAATTTATTTTAACTTTTCCCAGTAACTCCTCCAGTCACGTTACCAATATTTTCCCAATCAATCAACGAAGCCAAAAGAAAAGCTAAAAAGATTTTTTAGGTTTTAGATTTTGTTTATTTTTATTTTTATGTTTATCTTTATTTATTTATTTTTATTTCATGTTTTTACTGATGATTAAAGGCAATGCAAGCTGATAGATCCATTGGGGCCAATTTCGAAGCGAATACAAAAGTCTCTTCCACAACAAGACCATTAATTGAAGATGAAGGTTGAACGAACTAAAGCAATAAAATGGAATTGATTGATTTCACCGTTGAACACAGTCCTCATAGCCGAGTGGCTAAGAGCTTTCTATCTTAGTCGGCATCTTACAAAGGAATGGTCTGAAGTTAGGGTGACTGAAGTTTGAGATGAGTGATACCACAGTCGATAGATCTCATCATGAATATGATAAACAAGCTCTAGAGGAGAATAATTGACGTGTTGAAGTGAGTTGAAAGAATTTTGACTTACAATTTGAATAGCCTCTACGAATATGCCAAGCGCTTCCTTACAGCTTCCTCATTTCAGCCTTGCGTATCTTAGTTTAACAACCATTAAACCCAAATTTCAATTGGTAAATTCAAAAAAATGAATACCGTATTCTCTCTAATAACAGTGATCTCATGATGAATATTGATGACCAAAAAAAATTAGCTCCTGAAAGCAACTCTACAACGAGAAATGGGGCCCGACAAGGAGTAAAATAGACGTTTTTTTTGATCTGTTTTCGCACTTAGGTGTTCCTATTTTGCGCAGATCACAACCTGCTTCCACATTTCTCTATCCCTTGCTATTGTCATCCAGTGTTTCCTAGCTTGATTGTTCCTGGTTCGAAGTCTTCGACTTGCTGGTGCTGGTGGTGGTTGCACTCCAACCATCCTTTCTCTGACCGTCTCTGCCACTCTTGTGCTCCACCTCGTTGCTGGCCTTCCGATGGGCCTCTTCTGGTCTCGTGGTAGCCACTCTGTGATCCGTATCGTCCATCTGTTGTTTATTCTTCTGGCTACGTGGCCGGCCCATCTGAGTCTTTTTCTCTCAATCACTTCCACAAAGTAGACAAAATAAAATAGACGTTTTTGATCCTCTTTGACAAAGCTGTAACTTTTTACTGAATCAATATTTTTGAATAATCTTTTGGGATTTAAAGATAAAAAAATATGTATTATTTTTTTTTTATTTTTTTTGGGTTTTTTTTGGGGGGGGTGTTTTGGGGGGGGGTTTGGGGCTTCTGTTTTTCTTATTTATTTTTTCTTTTCTTTTTTAAGGGTGTTATTTAAACAGGAGGAAAAAAGAACGAGACAAGTCATCAAGATAACGCTCGTCCACACGTTGCAAAGATTGTTCAGGAAAAACTCGAAGAGTTGGGCTGGGAAACTCCCGCATCCGCCATATTCTCCGGATATTTCTCCTTCGGATTACCATTTATTTCGCTCAATGCGAAGCCATTTGGCCGGAAACAAGTTCACAGAAGTTCAAGAGGTCGAAAAATGGATAGCCGACTTCTTTGCCTCAAAACAAGCCAATTTTTACGCGGAGGGAACTCATTCTTTGCATGGAAGATGGAAACAAATAATGTTAACAAATGGTGAATATATTGTTGATTGAGCTGTTAAACTGTTGGTTTTAAAATAAAGAGTTGTTATCTTAAAAACGCGCATTTATAACTGGACAACCTAATATTTATAAAATTTTACATTTCAAAGCTATTGATTTTAACCAAAGTTTATTGAACTTTTTTTATAGGAACAACTTAAAGGGGGGGGGTATTAATCGCGGCCGGGTGACCAGAAAAAAATTTTTACGGCAATCACCTGTTTTTTTATTTTAATATCGTTGATTTTATTATAAAAAGAATAAAAATCACCCGGCTAGAGTGATTTGATGGGTTTACAAATTTTTGGAGACACTGCAAGGCTTGGAGAAACACAAGTTCGTCCCCTCACCCCCCTTTAAGTTTCTATAATTAATAAAAGTTTATTTTTTTAGTTTCATTTAAGTTTTATTATATGGAAAAAAGATTATTTAAAAATAATGATTCAGTAAAAAGTTCTAGCTTTGTCAAGGAGGGTTAAAAACATCTATTTTACTCCTTGTCGGGCCGCATTTCTCGTTGTAGAGTTGCTTTCAGAAGCTAATTTTTTTTTGGTCATCAATATTCATCATGAGATCTATCGAATATGATATCACTCATCCCAAGGGATCATCTTAACTTTGAATCATTCCCTTGTTAGTCACGAGGTCAAAGGTTCAATCCAGCTGACTATCGAATATGATATCACTCATCTCAAAAGATCATCTTAACTTTAGATCATTCCCTTGTTAGTCACGAGGTCAAAGGTTCAATCCAGCTGACTAGATCTCGACATCTCTTTTTTCCCATATATGAGTGTATGTTTTTTTTTCTTCCTTACATTTAAGCTTGTGCTTATCTATTGTTTGTAGCAAATTATTCGTAAATATTTTTTTTTTAAAAACCTTGTTGTTCTTTCATCAAGTTTTGAATCAAACATCTCTTTTCTGGCGTCTCTTCCATCTTCTCCATGTTCGGCCATTTCACCAACTCTAGAATTTTATATTTTTTATTATTTTATTTATAGATTTACTTTGCAAATACCTTATAAACACTTGTTCTAGATTGTTAATTGATAAACCAAAAGATGAGACGCCGAAAAGATTTTGTGAGTCTTCGAGATGAGCAAAAAGCTTTGAAAAAGCAGCCTGGCTCTCTTGCGGGAGGGTGATTTCAATCTATAAACAAAAGAAATTTCTTCAATTTCTGCAATTTCTTCAATTTCTGCAATTTCTTTTGAAATTCACTTGTTTCCCATGAAAACGTGTCAATGTTGCGGTAGATACGAATAGTTTCACTTCCTGAATTTCATTTCCTTATAATATTGGGTTGTCCAGTTATGAATGCGCGTTTTTACTATTTTGTAAGTTTCTCAAGACATTGAACAGATGTATATGAGTGTTATACATCATTCGAGAGCTGAAGATCTCCTCTACATTTCGAAATAAAAAGTTTTTGAATTTGTATCAGCTTTTGGGCAAATTGACTGCACAGAAGAAGAGGTGGCCAAAAAATGGAAAGTGGCCTTTGGATCAAGTTTTGGCTCCGCTCAAATTGAGTTAACCGTTTGATTTTTGGCCAATAGATATATCAATACAACTCTTTTTAAAATATAACAGTTTCAGAGCATCTTTACTTTTCTTTTCTTTTCTGGGCGGTTATTTTACACCATAAAGCTTGAGGAATAGCTAAGCTGAAATGGGTTTTTTCGAAAACAACCTCTCCCTTTGTGCAGTCAATTTCCCAAAAAGTTGAATGAATTCAAAAACTTTTTTATTCCAAAATGTAGAGGAGATCTTCAGCTTTCGAATGATATATAACACTCATATAAATCTGTTCGATATCTTGAGAAATTTACAAAATAGTAAAAAACGCGCATTCATAACTGGACAACCCAATACTTTTCATTAAAACCAACCTTGAGTATGTCTAGCCCGCTACTCTCTCGCAAACTCTTATCCTCCATTACAATTGTCAGCACATATCCTGTTCCAAATCTATCAAATATTTATTTCATTTTCTTCCTTTTCTTCCTTTTCAGCTTTCTTCCTTTTCAACTTTCTTCATTTTTTACCTCCTTTTCAAGAATTGCGAACTTCCCGATGCGACATCTCTTCCACGAACCATTATTATTATCCGATCCCCAAGTGATTCTGCTTCATCCATATAATGAGTTGTAAAAAGGATTGTTCTGTAATATTATATAGAAAATGATTGTTTAATTGTTACTCTTGAATACCTATTCTTTTTCTCAATATCCAACATTCTTTGTACATCTTGTCGTGCTCCTGTATCCATTCCAGCCGTCGGTTCATCCAACATTACAACTCTAGATGAAAGAAATTCCCTACAATTTTCGGTACTTTCCCTTTAACGGGGAGGGAACGGACGGAATTTCCTTCTCTGCACCTTATTTAGACTCAGGAAAGTCAATTCTACAACAACCATTCATTTCACTCAAACATGAGCTTATTGATAAAAGGCAATCGATTCAGCGGGAGTACCAGGTGGCCAAAAAGCCTTGATTTCCTCGAGAATTGCATCAAACGGGTCCACACCGCGTGCCAAGTTGAGACGCCACACTCCCTTCGTGTGTCCGTATTTTTCGTGCTCGTGTTTGCGGATAAGAGGGTGTAATCTTATCTATAGGAATTTGGTTTCTTATCTCTACAAATTTGGTTCCTTATCTCTAAGAATTCGGTTCCTTTTCTCTTTAAATCTGGTTCCTTATCTCTCTAAATTTGGTTCAACACATAAGAGGGTGTAAGGCCGGCGTATCACGTAGTTCCCAGTTCACCTGCGGTGGGCCAAAAAAAATTCGAAAGCCAGACGAAACACGGGTTAACGAAAGGGGAAAAATGTGTTTCGTTGATCCGTGTTTCGTCTGGCTTGCGAGTTTTTTTTGGCCCACCGCAGGTGAGCTGGGAAGCCATGTGCTGCATTGTTTCCCGGAAAAGTTTTTTAAATATGTTGTTCACTTTAAATGACAATCTAAATAAGGTGGAGAGAAAATAATTCCGCCCCCGTTATAGGAAAAGCACCCAATTTTCGATTGATTTACTTTGAATCTCCAATTAGTGCCATTGCTAAACAAAGTTTTCTTTTCATACCACCGGATAAAGCCATTGAGTTCTGGAAGTAAGATTAGGATAAAAACAAATTAAAGTCAACCGTATTTTTCTTCTCCCCCATTTGAAGTGTTTCCAACAATTGTGCTCCTTCTATTTTCCAATCATTTTTTGCTCTATAAATTGTTTTTCAATAATTATTTGTTTTATTGTTTTGTTACCCTTTAACTTGATGAAAGAACCATAGATGTTCCATGGCGGTCAGCCTTTCGAAGAGAGCATTTCCTTGAGGACAATATCCAACTCTTTGAGCATTCACCTAGAAGAAGGGAAAAGCTTTTCATCTCAAATATTATAGATTCTAGGATCTAAGATCTAAGATCTAAGATCTAAGCTCTAAGATCTAAGATCTAAGCTCTAAGATCTAAGCTCTAAGATCTAAGATCTAAGCTCTAAGATCTAAGATCTAAGATCTAAGATCTAAGATCAAACTCTCATTTTAAACCTTGACAATGCCGGAAGTTTGTGGAGTGATTCCACAAATGACAGAGAAAGTCGTGCTTTTCCCGGCTCCATTGTGCCCAAGAAGGACGGTCACCTGGAAATTGGTGATAATTTGCGTAAACTTAAACATAAAAAGGTATATAATCTCGAAAAGTCTACAATCTTCAAACATAATCGACCCAATCACCTCTCCTCTTCTTGCTCTCAAATTCATATCTTGTACCGCGAAATCGCCAGTCGATCCCCAAATCTAAACTCGATTTTCTTTTTCAAATATGATCACTTTTTTCTTTATCTTTATCATACCTTTGTCATATTTTCCACTACAATATCCGCTTCCAAATTTTTATCGATTTCCTCATGACTGTTCTCGAGTTTTTTCACTTCATCAATATTTCCTTGATGAATTTTATTACCTCTCTAAATTCTTCGTTCTTTCATTACCCTACTTTTTTTTTTACAATTACCGAAAAGATACGTTTGAAGAAAGTAAAAAGTGAGAAATCTGTTGATTTATAGTAAAATTCAGCACCAATTATGATAAGGCTGAAACTTTTTTTTGATTTAAAATTTTTGCAATGAAATTACCTCATCCAAAAGATGTCAAAAAGCAACATGCAAATCGCGGGTCCGATATTGAAAATGTATTTTGTTTGTTCAAAGAGTTCAGCAAATGAAAGAGCACGATCTGAAAGAGTTTTTTTTGATTTGATTAGAAAAAAGAGATACTTCGATAGAGATAGCTTTGAATAGCATTGAAGACCCTTGAGAGACAACCATTGTAACTCAGAGAAGCCACTGTGGAAAGCCATGGCTCAAAATTGAATTATTCAAATAAATAATAGAAGCTTTAAGTCATTTTAAAGTTTAAAAAATCAATTTACATTATAAATAGACGGTGTTGTTTGATCGAGAACACTTAGAAAGACGAGCAATGGATGAACGATTGTGATCACTGGAAAAGAAGATTTTTAGAGCCCTTTTAGTTACTAACTTTTAGAAATAGATCACTAAAACTATTGAAAACATTAAAACTATTGAAAACATTGTCTGGATTACTGTTGTCTTACCCCGAATCGTGCTATTTGAAGTATTGAAAACGCTGGCAACAGTTGCTGACATCACCACAGCTGCCAGAACATATAAATAGATTGGAAGAAAGAAAAAGAAGACATTGATCGAGACGAGTCCATTCTAAAATTATTTTGATTGTACTAAAAGGATACTTTCTTATTATAATTTCAGTTAAATTCTGTTTTGCATTGCATGGCTTCATTTGACCTTATCAATTTGATTTTAAAGTTCTCAATCTAGCCACATTGAAAGCATTGCATAGCAGCACTAGCAACTTAATAATTGTTAAGAGTCATCAAAAAGGTGTCGAAGTCTAATAAGACACTAAAAATACCGTACTCTAGACAATGTCACGTTTATGTCGCTAAAATGACGCCTCCTTCCCCAACATACTGCACTCTAGACAGTGTCGCGTTTATGTCGCTAAAATGACGCCTCCTTCCCCAACATACCGTACTCTAGACAGTGTCGCGTTTATGTCGCTAAAATGACGCCTCCTTCCCCAACATACCGTACTCTAGACAGTGTCGCGTTTATGTCGCTAAAACGAGGAGCTGGTCAAAACAGCGCCAAACCAAAAATAGCCCCTCCGCGTTTAAGTTTTTATGTGTTTCTTATTCTTATTGAATTTAGAATAAAATTATCTACATTTTGCATACTTTTAAATCACTTAAAACAGAATTTGTATCGAGAAAAGCTCAGTCAACCTCTTTTTGAGCCCTTTTTCGTTTTTTTTTTTGGCATTTTCTCATCCAAGCTTTGTTCTAAACGGCAAAAAATTCAGCAGATAGCTAAATTTTTTTTTCTGCATCCAATGGAAATAAGAAACACAAATAAACTTAACCGCAAACGCATTATTTTGGCTGACGATGTTTGTACACGGCGCTGTTTTGATCAGCTTCCTTAAAACAACGCCCTTTCTTCCCCATTTACTCTCATTTTTATCTTTGTGAAAGTTAGTTTCTTTTGAAATACTTTCACAATTTTCATTAAATTAGTGCCTTTTTATCCCTGGGACATTGTTTTTTTTTGTTTTTGTTTTTTTAAGCTTCTTTGAAACATTTTCACACGCTTTCCCTCACATTTATTGAATAAACGGCACGATACAAGCGGCTGTGACCACGATGATCCCTTTAATCCATCCGATTTTCTTTTCTCATTCAATTTCATTCAGGTCTAGCCACGTCTAGTGAATTCAAGAAAAAGCATACTAATTCACAATACAAAGTAAATTTAGTTTTGTTAACGATATTTGATATCAAAGAAGTATTGCCAGATAAAAGTACCGTCAATCTCATCGCCGGCACGATACAAGCGGCTGTGACCACGATGATCCCTTTAATCCATCCGATAAACACATGAGAACTGATGAAAATGAATGGCGACAAACCCATCACTGATAGAAAATCCTAAAAGTAAGATAATTGTTTTGTTTTTGGCATTTAACCTTTAATTCACCTTGACTCCATTTTCCTTTTCACTACCGATTTCTCTGCCAGTGTGAATCATTACTGGGAGAATGATTGCTGCGATGATTGTGTGGTAAATGGAGAAAATATCCTGTGTGATGAGTTCATCAAAATTTTAGAGAAAACCCTCAAACCATCCAGCCGCGATACTGTAAATCGAGCCAAGAAAGTCCATCAACTGTGATTGGTGGTAAAGGCGAAGAGTTGGTCAACTGTAAGATCAAAATCTATCAAATTTTGAGGCGGTATCGATTATTAAAATATAAAATTCTCTATTGATTTTGAAATGATTATAATATAATATCATTTTATCATAAAAATAATATTGGGTTGGTGGAAAAGTCCTTTCCGATTTTTTTGGAGAGTACCTTAAATTTGTCCAATTTTGACGTTTTATAGCTCATCCTAAAGCTGAATTCGATAAAAAAAATCGGAAAGGACTTTTCCATCAACCCAATATTATTTTGTTTTTAAACGAACATTCATAAAAGCAGCGTTGAGCGCATACTGAAACTGAATCCGTGACGGGTCCCAGGTATACCAGAGCTGAAAAAAACGCTTTTATTGGTCAGAATTTTTAAAAGAAAAACAAAAGCAAGATTTAGTGTACTAGAAAGAATACTTTTAGACTTTCAAAGTACAAAAAAAACTCCAAAATTTCTATTAGGTTGAGAAATTTTCGACTTCGCTGCGAAAAATTCAATTTTTATGCATTTGCTGGTTTTTTTTTGCGTTTATAGTGTTGTACTAATCTTCATCTTTTTATTCCAGATGAGTTTTCAAGAAAAAGAGCTTCGATTTTTAATCCGCTATTGCTGGAAATTCCGATGCTTAAAGTTCATTTGAAGATGAAGAAGCTTGCCAAGAGTTCTTTAATTCAAAACCGAAGGTGTGGTACTTCGACCAGATCCGAAAGCTTGCAGATTGATGGCAGAAATGATGAGTTCATCGTTGATAATGATCAGTTATATTTTGTGGAAGAATTGTTCTTATTTTCTTTTATTAAAGTGCGTATAAAGATTTGAATTTTTCGCAGCTCGAGTCAGAACTTTTCCCTCAACCTTGAGTACTTCAGATACACTACTGGACAATGAAATATCATAATTGAAAAAAAGATCGTCACTTTCGCGCGTCTGTAACTCCCTTGTCTTTATCGTATTTCTAAATATTAGTATTACCATTGTGTAGCCCTTGAAAAGAGCTTTCAGAAAATGTATAACACTAATAGTTTAAACTCAAAGACAAGGGAGTTACAGACGTGCGAAAGTGACAATCGTTTTTCAAATATGATATTTCATTGTCTGTACTATACTGTACATGTACTGTACATGCTAATGTTTCAAAGCTGTTCACTTTTTGAGTTCACCATCGTTCAATGATTTTGGATTGGATTCTTGGATGAAAAATGAATGATTTCTTGAAGATTTAGAAAGAGAAGAATAAACTTTATTTATAACCGCCGACAATGATCGTTTGGAGCACTTTGGAACACATTCCGTTGAGCGTTTTACGTGGAACACTAACAATGATCCCTTTTTTACGGTAAAGACGTAAAGACGGACAATACGGTAAAGACAAGGGAGTTACAGACGCGCGAAAGTGACGATCGTTTTTCAATTATGATATTTCATTGTCCAGTACTGTAACTTCAAACACTCACCGATGGATTCAGCCTCGCAAGCCATGCATACGGATCATTATTACTCCATGTGGCTGAGATTCCATCTCTAAGTGTCCAATCGTATCTAGAAATAGAAATACAATAGTTTAAAGAGATTCCCTACAAATAGATATCATAAGAGAGGATCTTTTTGGCAATATTGATTTCATTGAAGACCAAAGTGCTCATGAAATAGGATTCACTGGATTGCATTTCATCTAGCATTTCTTTTGAAGTATTGAAAAACGTCCAATCACAAAGGAATTGTTGGGCTGATTTGTCAGGACAAAGTAAAGCAATCAAATCATTTAATTCGCTTTCATCAACACCAGCTGCCATGCTAAAATTCAACTCTTCAAAGATTGAATTTTAGATAAAGACTGAATATCTTTACAATTATAAATAGATAGACTACGGTAAGGGTTTAAACTACGGTAAGACAGAATAAAAGCTTTTCAAAACATTCATAAGTAAAGCTAAAGTAAGCCAAGGTATAGCCAAGGAATAGCCAAGGAATAGCCAAGGAATAGCCTTTCCATCAACCTGTATCCAAAGTTACTCCCAAACTCAAGACTCGGCGAGACAACTTGTGAATAGATTGGGGTTTTATCAGTGGAATAATCATCATCCTGAAGTACAATTTCATTTAAAACATCAATGAAAAACTTTACCTGAAATATTAGTATTGATACAGGGATTCCGATGATGAGCGGTAGAACGAGCTCGAGTCCCGTCCAAACCCAACTCCTTCTCATCACCAGCAAATTCTTTTGCGTCATCAACCAAAATAATTTCAACGCCCGCATTTCAGCACTCTCCTGAATTGATCTATTGTTTTAAATTTGAAGATTTAATTTGTGAAAAAGGAAAAAGAATTGAAAGTTTTAAAAGAGATTGGATAATATTTTTGGCAATATTTTTGGCAATAATTGCTTCAACAATCACCTGTTTTTTAGAGCGGAAAAAATTCTATTTTCTGAAAAGAGCTTTTCACATCTTTTTCTTTGTAGGTTTTTAATCTATTTATGACAAGCTGACCAATCAGTGAACCAAAATTTGTGTACCGTAAATACTGTAATAGTACCCGACCCCCATAATGACGGTGCGGAGTGTTGCGTAGTGCGGAGTGTCCAGCTTTGAACGCGTTTTTCTCGACACTGGTTTATGCTACAATACGCGCTTAGTTATCAAAAAATAGCTGAAATTCAGGGCTATTTTTGAAAGTATGGGTGCTTTGCAAAAAATGAAATACGAAAAAACTTTTGCGACTATGCGAATCGGAATCATTCAAAAATCGTGGATGAATACTTGTCATCTAGGCAGATTTTAGTGAAACAGAATATAATATCTAGGTATCAAAAAATAGCCCTGAATTTCAGCTATTTTTTGATACCAAAGACGCATTTTTTGAAAGTACGGGCGCTTTGAAAAAAAATGAAATACGAAAAAACTTTTGCGACTACGCGACTCGTACGAGGGCGGTGGGGTACTATTACAGTATTTACGGTAGGTATTTCGTGTAATGATTTCGTGCAATGATTTCGGTTTCATTCGATTTACCCATTTGTTGGATCAGGTCAAAATTTGAGTGAATCCAATGGATAGATTGAGCTGAAAATTTGTAGATTCAGATTTTCGGGGTCAGGGAATTCGAATTCGGTTTTAGTTTTTTTGGGTTTTTAGAGGTTGGTGTTCATTTTTGGTTTTATTTTCGTTTTAGTTTTGGTTTTAGTTAAACCCAAGTACTCGAAATAGGAGTGCAAAAAAAGGAAAATTTTCATATTAACATAAACGCACCGTTTCTGGCATAGGGTTTTAATAGGAAAACACTATAAACTCAAAAAGGTTTTTTTTGATCATTTTATCAATATCAATTTCATTTTATCAATTATGCAGCTTTCCTTTAGCAATATAAAATGTAATGTTTGCGTAGATTTTTCGCGTAACTATTGGCTTGGTGAATTGAAAACTGCGGGACTTTGAACTAAAATTTATTCAACATAAAACATAATCTTCAGGGATTCATTCACCTTTCCCAACTGTTCACTGTATTTGATTGCATTAACGATCGTCTTGCTATCCAGCAACTCCCAGTACAAGTGTGTGAGAGGTGTGAGACTCAAAAATCGAGGACTGGAAGATGTCCCAGTTTGAGCACTTTCTTTCAAAAGAAACTCATTTTGGTGTCAAGAGAAAAGTTGTAGAGAATCAAAAATTAAGCTTATATTCAAATTTCCAAAAAGATACACTTAGTAGTTTCGCTTAAAATGCAAGTTTTGTGAAAATTCGTAAATTTGGCATTTCTTGAAAACCAGTTTTTGAATCATTCTGAAAATTTGGATATAAGCTTGATTTTTGATTCTCTACAACTTTTCCATTAACACTAAAATGGGTTTCTTTTGAAGAAAGTGCTCAAACTGTCACATATGACAATAGCCCGCAGTTTTCAATTCACCAACCCAATAGTTCATTTCAGTATCCATAAAAGCTGTTAAACATAAATTCGAGCTTAGTTTCAGATCATGTTTACTAGAAATTCAAGAAGGCTTACTCGATGAGCAGAAAGATTGGCCGAAAAGATTGAAGAAAGTGCTCAAACTGTCACATATGACAATAGCCCGCAGCTTTCAATTCACCAACCCAATATTTCGATTCCATTCGGTTTTCCCACCCCAGAAAACCATCAAGTACACGTTTTCAGCTTTTTCTAACCTATTTTCCGGCTAAAATACTACTATTTCCTTACGGGTTACTGTAATTGAAAACTAAAAACGGATTCGAAATCCTGACCCAAAAAAAACCACTGGATACGCGTAACTATATATCATATATCTTGGTTCATATATAATAAAGATAGGGTTAGGATAGATTGAGAGTGGGGGGGATAAAAGGAAAACGGATTCGAAATCCTGACCCAAAAAAACTACTGGATACGCGTAACTCTGCCCTCCTCTGATCAGTTAAGTTAAATCGTTTTGTTGCTAATTTTAAAAAATTCATTGAAACTTTAAAACCTTTTTCAGCAATGCTTACAGATATTTATGTTTTTTTGTTGTTTATCTGGAATCTTATAAAGAAAAGCTGAAAGAAGAGGGGAAAAGTGTGGCAGAAAGATCTCCTCACTTTCTTCCAACGCAGAAAGATCTCTGAAAATGCTAAAAGCAAAAAAAAAAAGAAATGTGTGAGAGAAAGAGTTTCACTTTTTGTCTCATCATCTCTGCGTCTTCTTTATGAATGTGAAGGTGTAGGTAGAAAAAAAAGAAAGGGAGGGGTCGAGGTGGATGGGAGAAGCTGCCATCTCCTGCATACCATCTCTTCACTAATACCGTCTAATGGTTGGTCGAGGAATAGAAAGTCAAAAATGAACACCAATCTCTATGATTTTCTCTTTATTTCACTCTTTTTCATCACTTTTCACGAGTTAGTGGCTCTCGAAGAGTTGGAGAAAAGTTGGAGAATGGAGCACATCTCTGGCCACTTCTCTGGCTCCTTCTCTGGTCACTTCTCTGGTCTAATCTCTCCAGAAATTGGCTCTTTTCGAGTCAAAAGATACGGTAGATCTTTAAATCTCTTCAAATTACAAGAAATATTTAGTTCTTCGTCGAAAAAGATGGACAAAACGAGCATTGATATGGAAACTTCAACGACAATTGATCACTGAAGCTGATGAGTTCATTGTCAGGTTTGAGATTACTTTTCTGAACTGAACTCCAAAATTTAATCCCTCTTTCCAGAATTCTTCTTTCTCTTTTTCTTTTCTTCCTTTTTTTCCAGCTGATTACCCCAAATCACTTCAATGAATGATCTCTTTTGTTGGAAGGATTTTGGCAAACTTTCACCATCATTTTTTTCTTCTTTTCTTCTTCTTTTCTTCTTCTTTTCTTCTTCTTTTCTTCTTCTTTTCTTCTTCTTTTCTTCTTCTTTTCTTCTTCTTTTCCATCCTTTCTATCCTTTTCCTAACCATTATAAGTATTTATTTGGATAAAAACTGTTAAAAAAGGTGGATCAAGTGTTTTTTTTATGAAAAGGAAGAGTGATTCCAATCGTTCACTTGTAAAAACTCTTCTTTTCCTCTCCAATCGACAATTCAGTTCAAGTTTTCACATTCAATTATCAAGCTATTCTAAGCAAATCATTGAAAAGTGAAATCCCAAAAAGATTATTAAGTAAAAATAATCTTTTACAACAAAAAAAAACCACTTTTCTATAGATAAATACAACTATAAAATAAGCGTCTTTCAAGATGAACTTTAAAGTTGAATATCTCAGTCAATATTCAATCAAATGTCATTATTTTTACTTTATTTTAAAGTTTTGACATTCCTCTATAAGTTCTTCTTTGATAAGTTTTTTCAAAATGAAACTTTTCGTTGATGAGAAGACTAGAATCGAGAGTAACTTTTTGGAAAAAATGACTTCATCGGGATTGGCATCTCTTTTCTTTCTTCAAAAAGCCATTCTCAATTAAATCCTTTACTTTTCTCAAAAGGAACGGTCTTCTTTTCTTTAAATCCTTTTTCATTTTCCTTTCTTTTTCTTTCTTTTTTGTTCTTTCTTTTGAATTCCCAAATGGAAAGCTCTTGAGAAAGCCAATTGACCTCGGCTTCAAGGCTTTTCCTTTCAATGATCGTTCTTTTTTTTTGTGTTGACTTTCAATGAACAACTTTTTCAGAATAATAGAATATACGAAAATGTCTACAAGAATAGAAATATAAGAATAGGAAGTTAAGAATAAAGAAAAAGAAAAAAGAAAAAGAAAAAGAAATAGAAATATAATATAAGAGAAAGTAGCCAAAAAAAAACGAAATTTTTCAAGAAAAGTTTGCAAGAATTTACAAAAAAAATACATTAAAAAGAAATATTTAAGTATAATTTTCAATGATATTGTTTTTAAAAAAAGAGAAAAATGGGGGTGATTTTGGAGACTTTTTCGAGATAAGAATTTAGAATTGTTTGAAAAATCATGAAAAGAGTGACGTGTTTTAAAAAGAGTAAAAAGCAAAAAGCATTACCAAATGAATCACTGATGATTTATGTTTTAAAATGTTCCACAGAATTATGGAAACTCTATCGATTTATTGAGTTTAACACGATCAAATCAAAAAAATTCTCTTTTTTTGCTAGGTACAGTACTGGACAATGAAATATCATATTTGGAAAACGATCGTCACTTTCGCCGTAGTCTTTACCGTAACTCCCTTGTCTTTACCGTATTGTCCGTCTTTACGTCTTTACCGTAAAAAAGCGTTTACCGACCGTCTTTACCGTAAAAAAAGGGATCATTGTTAGTGTTCCACGTAAAACGTTCAACGGAATGTGTTCCAAAGTGCTCCAAACGATCATTGCCGGCGGTTATAAATAAAGTTTATTCTTCTCTTTCTAAATCTTCAAGAAATCATTCATCTTTCATCCAAGAGTCCAAAATCGTTTGCAGCGATGGCGAACTCAAAAAGTGAACAGCATTGAAACATGAGCGTGCACCTGAAAGGAAAGAGATCGAATTTTTCTCGAATTTTGCAATCCAAGAATCCAATCCAAAATCATTGAACGATGGTGAACTCAAAAAGTGAACAGCTTTGAAACATTAGCATGTACAGTACTGGACAATGAAATATCATATTTGAAAAACGATCGTCACTTTCGCGCGTCTGTAACTCCATTGTCTTTGAGTTTAAACTATTAGTGTTATACATTTTCTGAAAGCTCTTTTTTCAAGGCTACACAATGGTAATATTAATATTTAGAAATACGATAAAGACAAGGGAGTTACAGACGCGCGAAAGTGATGACCTTTTTTCAAATATGAGATTTCATTGTCCAGCAGTGTACTTGATTTGAGGTTTTAAATGAAACCCATTGCCTATTCATTAACCCATTCAAAAACTTGTCTAAAAAGGCTGGTCACTTAAAAAGTGAAAAAGTCACTTCAGCTGAAGAAATCTCTTTTTTTTTTTCTTTACCTGAATCCCATTTTTTTTTTTGGTCAAAAACTTTCCAAAATATAGTCAAGTTTATTAAAAAAAACTGAGAAGAATTCATGGATTGTTTTTTTGAGAAATGGTGATTTCTTTTCGAGTGCAAACGTTTTTTCCGAGAACTTTCTTTCAAATCTACAGGGTGCGGCAAAAGTTCTGACACTTTTTTCAATTTTGAACATTTGTTATGATTTTTTGTTAGTTTTGTCTTAAAAAAATACCGACTGGGGCTACCAGTGGTGAATTTATCGCATACACGAAATATATCAATCACAATACAACGACACACACAATACTAGGCTATATCTTAACTTAACCCACGTCATGACAGACGGCTCCCTAACCCTAAGCTCAAATGGAGAATATTATGTTTTTGATGCTCAAATGGAGAATATTATGCTCAAAATATTATGTTTTTGAAACATAATATTTTGGCCGAAAGTACTTTACTGAGTTTTCAGCAAAAAAAGAAAGTGTTGATTTAACGACAAAATGCATTATTTGAAGAGTGAAGACGTGAGGTGTGGAAATCGGGAAACATTTGCTATCCTCCAATCTACAAATAAACAACAAAACATACTTGCTTTTATTTTTGTTTTTAGTTTGTTTGAATTTAAGGCAATGAGTCATAAAGATGCATTTCTTCAGTCACATTGAAAGGTTTCGGCTAGGATTTTTGGTTTAGCTTGACTTGTAAACAAATGTTTTCTAGTGTGCTCAAAGTCTTTATCCTGGAAAGCAAAGGAGCAAAGAACTAAATAGCTTTTTTGGTGGTGAAGGGAAGATGACGATGAAGGAAATTAAACTTCAATAAACAATTTGTTATCGTTTTTTTGATTAATATTGCCAAAGTTTGCAACTTAATTATTTCTTTTAGAAAAAGTATCAGAACTTTTGCCGCACCCTGTAGATTTGAAAGAAAGTTCTCGGAAAAAAACGTTTGCACTCGAAAAGAAATCAACATTTCTCAAAAAACAAGAATTCATGAATTCTTCTCAGTTTTTTTTCTATCATAAAGAATTTTTCTATCATATTTTTTCTATCATAATCATAAAGAAAAAGATCATTGGGTAAACATTAATTATTAGAACTTTTAAGAAACCTTTTAAAATCTTAAAAGAAACCTTTTTAGGAACCTGGAAAACTTTTAGGAAACATTTGTTCAATAATGTTTTTTTTTTATCTAAAGTAAGTAATCAAAAAAGCAGAAGCAAAAAGAAAAGAATTCTTAAATTTGAACTCAGTAACGAGAACTCAAAAAAAAATGAGTTTTTAGGCTCAATAACTTGAGTTTTCATAGTTCTTGTATATTATATTTTTTTGAAAGCTTTTACAGAAACACTCTCCATCGAGCATTCAACAATTGGGCAGCTGTCTCATCATTGAATTTCAAAGAGGCATCACCAGAAGAAAAAGCCGATATTGAGGTGAGAAATTGAAGAGAAAGAATTGTAGAAAGAAAAGAAAATATTGTAGAAAGAAAACATCTTTAAGCTATTTATTTCCTTTTTTTTCATTTAGGTTAAAGACTCGGCGTTAATAAAGAAGTTAATAAATCTTCACTTTTTCAATAACGTACAAGGGAACGTCTATGAAACCTATTGTAGATAGATAATATTTATAATCTAAATATAAAAACTTATTTTAAATCAAGTAAATCCATAATCCTATAAAGAATAAGATTTAAATCTTAAAATTTCAAAATTTCAAAATTTCAAAAAAACTATTCCAGATTGCCTTTGAGAAAGGCCGACACTCAGATCCGTTTCCCTTCGACGGACCTGGTACGGAAATTTGAAAGCTTTTCGATCTCTTTCGATCATAAAAATCACAATTTTTACATTAATAACCATATTTTTTAAATATTCAGCTATTATCTTTAGTTCTTTACAAAAGAAAAGAACTAAAAATTATGATCTCATCACCTAGTTTCTGCGATAAGATCTCGACCAGAAATTACTCGTAAAAAATGAGTACAGCTTTTCCTTAAAATTTTAAGTAAACCTAGCATAAACACTGAGCAATACGCTTTATAATAGTAAAAAGAAACTTAAAAGTCCCTGAGCCGAGTGCTATAGGTAACCGCATCTATATGATGAACTGGTTCCCAAGACCATGTTCTGGTTCCCAAGACCATGTTCTGGTTCCCCTAGGTCCCTTCCCCTCGGGATTCTGATAACCAGGCATCCAAATGGGTAGAATTGTTTAAGGTGCAAGCTTATATAAAGCGGGTAGCCTTCTCCTCCTACATCGTCTCATCCTCACAAACGATCGAATATCCCTGAACCGAGTGCTGTAGGTAACCGCATCCATATGGTGTACTTGTTCCCAAGACCAGGTTCTGGTTCCCCTAGGCCCCTTCCCCTCGGGATTATGATAACCAGGGATCCAAATGGATAGACTCGTCTAAGGCGCAAGCTCAGATAAAGCGGGTAGCCGGGTAGCCTTCTCCCTAGCATAAACGCTGAGAAATACGCTTTATAATAGTAAAAAGAAACTTAAAAGTCCCTGAACCGAGTGCTATAGGTAACCGCATCTATATGATGAACTGGTTCCCAAGACCGGTTCTACATTAATAATCATGTTTTAAAAATATTCAGCTATTATCTTTAATTCTTTACAAAAGAAAAGAACTAAAAATTATGATCTCATCGCCTAGTTTCTGCGATAAGATCTCGACCATTTTTCACACTCAACCCCATTTCTTTTTCTATTTTTCCATTTCTATTGAAGCGTGAATAAAAATCTGAAAAAAAGATGACAGAAAATAAATAAAATAATGGGATTTTTTTTAAATTTTTCATTTTCTATTTTCTATTTTCCATTTTCGATTTTCCATTTTCCATTTTCTTGCAGATGGAATTGTGGCACATGCATTTTATCCGAGAGACGGACGACTTCACTTTGATGCTGATGAAGAATGGACGCTAAATTCACAGGATGGAGTCAATTTGTATCAAGTATTTTTTTTTTAAAGTTAGAAATCATTTGCGAAAACTCTAGACGGCCGTTCATGAGATTGGGCATTTGTTGGGTTTAGAGCACTCGAGTGATCCGCGGTCGGCAATGTACGCGGCAAAGGTTGGGTGCTTGAATTTAGAGCACAACAAGCTAGTAACAAGCACAAGGAGCTAGTAACAAGCACAACAAGCTATTAATAAGCACAACAAGCTTATTAATAGCTTGTTATTAATAGCACAAGGAGCTAGTAATAAGCATAACAAGCTATTAATAAGCACAACAAGCTAGTAACAAGCACAAGGAGCTAGTAACAAGCACAATGAGCTAGTAACAAGCACAATAATCCTATAAGTCAATAGTTTTATAATAAATCGAACATTGCTAGCGCCCATTTGACGCTGATTTCGGTTTGGCGGACGACGATGTGCGCGCGATTCGGAAGCTTTTTCCTGCACCGCCGCCATCGTCTCCCAGTCCATCTCCCAGTCCATCTCCACCCGCGAAACACTCGATTATCATTGTTCCATCTAAAGGTGAATCAAATCTAACTATCATCAATTAAAAAGAAAAGCAATTAATTGCTAAAACCGTCAGTTGAAGAGCTAAACTAGCGGCCAAAGCTAGTACAATCTTTACTCAATTATCAGCTGCCGTCTTGGTATTCTTAAGCTATTTATATCTAATATCTATCTTATTAAAGGTTCAATTAAGCTTAAAAACAATCTTCTTCTTCCTTTCTTCTTCCCTTCTTCCCTTCTTCCCTTCTTCCCTTCTTCCCTTCTTCCATTATTCCAAATGATTACAGCGATCACGACTCCACTGATCAACTCAGAGCTCGAACATATGAGATTTGTCAAACATCCGCGAGTTATTGATGGACGGATTCTATCAAAAAAACATTATAAACGAAAAAAGGTAGAGTTTAAAGCAAAAAAAAAAAGAATTATTTAAATTCATTAAACAAAACTTTCTAGACATCGACATCGACCATTTCCCCAACTACACAAGAAAACTTTCATTATTTTGATTTGACAACCAGTAAACCATTTCTAGAGATTAAAGGTCAGTTTCTTCAGTTAAGACTTTCTTAAGAAAAGTAATTGTAGGATAATAAGAAGTAAAGTAATGTAAAGTTTAAAAACGAAATTAGATCTAGATAAATTCTTCGATTTCCCGAGAAACGATCTCCCATTTCGGGTGAGCTCCACGCTTTGGCCAGAGTTCTTTTATGAGGTTCAAATTTTTTTCTCTTCTACACTACTTTACTTTACACTACACTTCTTTTCTCTTCTACACTACTTTACTTTACACTACACTTCTTTTCTCTTCTACACTACTTTACTTTACACTACACTTCTTTTCTCTTCTACACTACTTTACTAAAGTATCTCATTATCTAAATACCAAAAAGTTTAATATTTTGCTAATATTTAGAATAGTTTTCAGGTATGAAACATGAAAAAGTCTGTACCAGATTTTCCAACAAAAAGACGGGTTTTAAAAAACGTTTTAAAAGTTTTTTTTTGTACTTTTTGTACTTTGATTTATGAAATCAAATAAAAATTCATTTTTTTAAAATCTTTATTTCCCCGTTTTTATGTCAATTAATCAAAAAAAATGAATCAAAGCATAAAGAAATTAAATCAAGAATATAAAATCGACTATAACCAAATCATTGTTAATTTATTGCTAAATATCTTCAACTTTTCATTTAAATATGAAAACACTCATCTAAGATGGAGTATGAGATAAGATGTGAACTGGAAAAGCAAAGAAACTTTTGAAGAGATTGTAGAGAAGAGATTATTGCTAATGAAACAAAAAGAAACCTTTTATAGCAGCTATTGAGTTGAGCATTTCACTAAATTGATATATTGACTATAATATTGAAAAGAAAATAGGAAATTATGCAGTTTTGGGAACGAAAATAGAAAATAGAATACACTGAGAAATCGAAAAAACTGGCTAGAATCAATAAATACAAGTATGATTGATAGTGGATTGGCTAGAGATTGGTTTTTCTAAAAAGATGCGCTTAAAAATAGCTGACGCACTGAGCACTGACTTGGATTCTAAATAAACCTTGGTTCACACATCGTCTTTTCATTCATTCGATTCAACGAATGGCTTAAGCTTAATAGTGACGGATTTACGATAGCTTTTTAGACGATAGCTTTTTAGACGATAGCTTTTTGGTATCTTTTAGAAAACCCTCTAAGCAAGGGAAAAATGACTTAAGTGGATCCAGCCGAATGAACCATTGTCTGAATATCGGCGATGATCGTTCTCGCCACTTCTTCGGCCAATTCCTCTTCGCGTAGACCCGATTTGTCCAAATAGCGTCTCAGCGTCATCTAGGATTTTTTGTTTTGTTTTGTTTAGCAGAAAACGTAAGTTAGTTTTTAGCGTCAATTTTTCTCACCTTCAACTTGCTCTGCGCATTTTCTCGCTCGGTCGTGAAAGTGGTATCGTAAAGGGGCGTGTATCGACCCATTGAATCAATCTCAGCAAGTCGACTGAATATCTTATAAATTATAAATGATTTAAAAGCTTTAAGATATAATTTTAAGATAAATCTAAAAAAAAACTAACGCGCTCTTTTTCGTTGGTGTGGCTGATGGAGTTGGCGGGGGTTCGGTGGACGAATGAGGCGCATCAGTGAGCGATGCCGATGAACATTCCGATTGTTTCCGCTCGTCACAGCTCACCATTTTCTCGGTGTTACGTTGGTGTTGACTGAAAATCGACAATTGTTAGATAGGTTGTAAATGGAAAACAAACGTGATCAGCGAAGGTAGACTGTCGCTTCGGCCACTCGACGTCACACTGCTCGCTCGTTTCTCGTTTCGACGACCACCGATTCTCGGCAATTCAATCTAAATACAAAATTTGTTATTTAATAGATATTCTAGATAATTATTTTGATTTTAAAACATTTTATAGAATTATTGGATAGAAAAGAATAGAATTATAGAATAGAATAGAATAAAAACTCACCGAATTAATGATCGTTGATGATAGTTCGTTTAGATAGCTTTGAAAAACAGCACTTTGACGAAATTGATGTAAAAGTTTCTAAAAAAAAAAGAATATTCTTGATGCAAATTACAATTTTATTTATTGATTTTTAATCTGTATTCAGCGAAAATTGAAATAAAACATTAATTACTGAAGAAAAAAAGAAGAAGAAGAAGAATTACTGAAGCGGGAAAAAAAATGCGAAATGATACTCAATAGTGTAAATTATCTATACAAATTGTTATTCGTAAATAAAAAAAAAACAATTTTAATCTATAGAGCTCGTCAAATTTGAAATGTTCTTCAAAAAGCTAGGACTAAAGAGAAGATTGTGAGGGAGAGTGGGGTACGTGGAGCAAACGGACCCCCATCTCTTCCCCCGTATTTGCTCACGCTTTTTCTCTTCTCCTTTTTTTTCCATTCTTTATTGGTTTAGGCTTATCATATGTTCAGAGTGTGTGACAAAGAAGGAAACTGTTTTTTTTTAATCTTCTTTTAACTCTCTTTCCAACCTGTGTCAAATATTCGAGAGCCGAGAGTTTTTGCCGTGAGAAAGCATCGCGATGCGGACGACCATTTTCCGTACAGATTCGACTCTAGAATTTAATCTAAATTATCTATACAATAGCAATATACGAAATCTAATAACTAATATTGTTTAAAAGATTTTAAAGCAGAACTGAAAGAAAAGCAAAGCTAACCTCTAGAGCTTTCCGAGACTCGTCAGATAGGGGAATCCGCGCGCGAGCCGCTTGCATAGAGAAAAATCTAAAAGTTGGCTAGTTTGCAATATAGCTTAATTTAAATTTAAGAAGTTTAAGAAGTATGCAAGTTTAAGAAGCTTAATCTCAATCTTAATGTTTAATTTAAATCCAACTTGTTATAAATGGCCATCGCATCTTCGAGTGTCTCCTCGTCGGCCGTATTTGCCCATTGTTTTTCCCATGTGTCCACCGAGAGAACCATTTCCACCCAATGCCCGTCACCACTTTCAGCCGAGAGCTGGAGATGAATTGTTTTTTTGGGTGCCTAGCTGATTCCGGGAGTCCAAAAGAGAACACCTATCTATCAAGAGCGTATGCCAGAAGGTAAGCGATTGTGCGCGCGCACAAAGAACATTTCGCCGCCAGTCATTTCAGCCTTTCTTCAGGGATGGCACAAAAGATGGTACAAAAGATATTCAGCTGTGAATTTGTCCCAGGGGTTTTCTGGGTCGGCGAATCGAACTCGAGCTATTCATTTTATTGAATCTACCGGTTTCAACTGGTCTAAACTTCAATGAGAATTGTGAAAGTGAAAATTTAGTGAGAATCGTTTCTAATTCTGGTCCCTCCATTAAAAAAACTTAACTAGTACGAAAACTAAGAGTACTAAGTGCAAGTAAAAAGTAAAAAAAGTACTAAAAGCTAACATCAAAGTACATTTCAATGCACTCACCTCTAAAAACCCGGCAAGTAGACTCTCAATCCGCAGAATATCCATCAAATCGCATTCTTCTCTCAACAAAACGTCAAACTCGTGCTTTTTATAATAAATTGAGCCAAGAAATTCGGGAAAAAATCTAGAAAATCGAGTTTTTTTGAACATTAACAAAACTTCAACAACTTTGGTTATACCTTAATTCGAACAATTCTTTGACGAATAGATGAGCTTCATCAAAAATCTGAGCATCAAAGATATCAGCATTGATCTTAGCTAAACTTTGCTAATCTTCAAGAATTTCTTTTTATCTTTACCTAGAATTTTATTGTATAACTTTTTCGGTATCGCAATCGTGCTAGGCGAGTCTTGGTCAATGTATTTTTTGTAGATGTGAACGGCATCAAGTTGGCACACTTAAACAAAGTTTTGTATCTAGTCTGTATCTCTAAAAAAGAACCTCTTCTTTTTTTTTCTTTATCTTTACTTAATCGTTTTTAAGTTTAAGTTAAAAATATAAACTTAAACGTTAAGTATTGGGTTGGGGACTATGACTCAGCGGCAAACTTTAAAGACACTTTTTGCACGCATAAAGCCTTCTTTAAATATACGTTTTCTTTCATCAAAAGGATCCACTATTTCTCTACAAAATGACTTTTGAGAGATTCCACAAAGCTTTTCTTTCGTGGAGTTTATGAACTTTCAAACGCAGCTGATCAAAATGGCAAAGAGTCCGACTCATCGTTTGAACAGTTTCTTCCACATAAACCTTCTTTGGTGTCTATGTAAAAAAGATAGAGCACATTCAATTACATAAGTTGCCAAATTTGCAGGAAGATCCCTCCAACCGTTTTTTCTAGATGACACTTTGTAGTTTTTGTGAAAAAATGGCCTTTTCTTGAGCTGAGGCGCTGTTTGAGTTTTCTTTTAAATGTCATTTTGTAGAGAATTAGCTAACTTCTCTACTGATATCAAACGCGTATTATTTGACCAAGTCTGCTAGAAGTTTTAGAAATTTTTTTGATTTTCGGCGCCGAGTCATAGTCCCCAACCCAATAGATAAAAATAGACTTAAAATGAAATCAAAGTGAAATATTAGGTACAAGTATAAGAAATGCGGATTTCATAAGACATTTTCATAAATTTCCAAACTATAGAAACCTGATATCGATGAATGTTATAAACTATTTGAAAGTTCTAAATCTCCTCTACAAAATAGGCTAAAATGTGTTTCAATTGATCGAAGAAATTGAAGAAATTTCGAGAGCGAAATGCGAGTGACCAAAAAAAAGGAATCGAGTCACTTTAGGGACAAGTTTAGTGTGGTCAAAGTAGAGTTAGCTTCCCAAAATTGTAGAATGTAAATCTCCTCTACAAAATAGGCTTGGGAAGCTAACTCTATTTTGACCACACTAAACTTGTCCCTAAAGTGACTCGCATTTTGCCCTCGAAATTTCTTCAATTTCTTCGATCAATTGAAAAACATTTTAGCCTATTTTGTAGAGGAGATTTAGAACTTTCAAATAGTTTATAACATTCATCGATATCAGGTTTCTATCGTTTGGAAATTTATGAAAATTGTTGAACAACGCATTTTTTATGCATTTACCTAATAGTAAGAAAATCTTTTTCTTTATCTTTTTCTTTACCTTTACTTAATTTTAAGTTTTTAAGTTTTTAAGTTTAATTTTTAAAAATATAAACTTAAACGTTAAATAGATAAAAATAGACTTAAAATCAAATCAAAATCAAATCAAAATCAAATCAAAATCAAATCAAAATCAAATAGAAAGAAGTCAAATTTCCAAAAAGGATACTTTTCTCGGCGGTAGCGCGTGAGTTTTGCGGAATGTTTGCGATTGATGCGCGGAACCCATCAACATGCATCCAGAATTTGACAAGATTTAGTTTATCTGAAAAAAAAAAAGAATTCAAACAATAACCTTTCCCAGGGACATACCACAAGAATCCATGAAATTGATAAAATACGAGAGAGCTGAAGAGTCGCTTAAAAGACGATCAACATTGTGCGCAAGTTGGCAACTCTTTGACCCCAAAACACCAGCATCAAGACCGTTTCCTGAACAAAATTCTTATTTATTTTTATTTTGCTTCATTAAATTTGATGTTATTAATTGAAATTTCGTTAATTTTACAATCAATGAATGGATCAAAAATCGATTTTTCAATCCTACCAAGATCTAGCGCTTTATCGGCATCGCTTTTCGAAGTGGTGGCCCAATTTTCTTCATGCTCAAGTGACGCTTCCAATTTACCGATAAACGTGAATTAACGACTAAAATCCAAAATTCAAACTAACCTGATCGACGAATTTTATGCAATAGATTGTTGACTCGACCGTTCATTTGAATATGACACTTGAAATCTTCATCATATCTCTCTATTTTTTTCCCGTCGATCTCTCATCAGTTATCTGATCGAGAAATAGAGATATTCAATTAACAAGTGAGCACAGAGATACACTGTCAATAGAGATTGTCTCGGACTTGCCTGCAGCTACAATGTATTTCTTTTTTAATTCATTGTAACAAAAAGAAAAAGCACAAAAATTTATTCAAAAAATAATCTCGAATCAAAAAGGCACCGATATTGAGAAAAACAAGAAAAATAAGAAAAAAAAAGAAGAAAAGAAGTGAAAAGAAATGAAATGCAAAGGAAAGTCGAATAAAAGAAAAGGCTAAAAGAAATAAAGAATTTTTCTATGCTAAGAGGGTGAAGTTAGCAGGCGGAGCGGGTTCATCATTATCGGAATCGGAATGATGCGGAAGGATGAGGGGTGGACGGGAAAACGCAGGTGGAATCCCCGCTGGGATCCCACTTGGAGGAGCCATATTCCAATAACCACCACTCTCCATCATTCCTGGATAACTGGGCCAGACCTAAACGCTTATGATTAAGTTTTACGGTATTCTTAGATAAGATTTTAGGCTTTAGGCTCACTTAAGAAAAGGCTCACTCTCACTTTAGGCTCACTCCGATTCATTGTAAATCAAAGCTTCCTGCTTGAAGCTCAGCCACTAGATTGGGATGAAACTTTTCTTAAAGCTAGGCAAGGCGTATCTAGCTTGCGTATCTAGTATTTTTAGATAAGACTTTAGGCTTTAGGCTCACTTAAGAAAAGGCTCACTCTCACTTTCGGCTCACTCCGATTCATTGTAAATAAAAGCTTCCTGCTTGAAGCTCAGCCACTAGATTGGGATGAAACTTTTCTCAAAGCTAGGCAATGCGTATCTAGCTAAAGTTTTCTTTTTGAAATCTTTAAATGCTATAGATTTCATTGTAGACTAACCGGTGGAAGATTGAAAGTCGTGTTGAATTGATAGAGTGGCGGATGTTGAGGCATTGGATGCCAAGATGTTGTCGGCCAAGGCATGGGTTGAGTCTGCAAATTTTATCTAGTAAATTAGGATCGAATTCTCATTATTTAGCAAGATTTCAGATTACTAACGGTTGCTGCAGGAGGAAGCGGATGATGTGGCATTGGATAGGGGTGATTCACCCACTCAATCGGCGGACCGTTTCCGATCGTTGGCGAGAATTTCTTCTCCTTTAAAGATATTGAAATTTTAGTTTTAATAGTAATTATTTGATTTTAAAAACAATTTTTCGTAACCCAAACCTCAGCATGAAGACCTGGTTCGGTGGGTGTTCCACGAATTGAATTTGAACTTCCATCTTCTAAAGAAATCATTTTATTTCATTTTATTTTATTTTATTTCATTTCATTAATAATCTTTTGAATTTCTATTTCTCGAAAATCTTATAGAAAAGTATCTCGAAAATTATAGAAACTTTTTTTAAAAAAACCTGATGGTGGTGTATGCGATCGTTTCCTTCCATTACTTTCCCGAAATCCTTTAGCAAACGGATTGAAAGCGATCTAGGGATTGAGTTTGATTGGTTAGAGATTTACATTTATACCTTTTCTTTCGTAACTTCTGGATTCTGATAGCAAGTGACAGCAAAAAACTCAGTAAGACTCGTACAGAACTGAAACAAAATGATGAGAAAAGAAAGGAATTGACAAGAAGGAGGGATTGAACCCTAGACCTGATTGAGCTGATTGAGCTTTTGCTTTCCAGGCAATTGCTCTAACCATTGAGCTATCAGGTACCTTGGTATGGCAAGAGAAAGAAGGAAAGGCAGAGAAAAGGATAAGGGTAAATTGTACCTCGTGAACAAGGGTGGTTGCTCCATTTGGGCCAAGACGGTAGATTCGCAATTCGGGCAAATAGCGATGCATTGATTGGACGTAAACCTGGCAATTGATGGTGATTGATTGATTGACAATAATTGATTGATAATCATTAATTTATAATAGACTTTTATAAAGTCTATTGCAATTGTAAGTTGTCTAAAAGTAATAGTTAAAAGCTAGTTACAGCTGAATCTAAAAAACCTTGATATTCTGAGCTTTGTTTGAAAGTTTAAGTGTATTTTCTATTTCACTTTTGCAAAAAGATCTTGTTTCAAGTAATTTAGCTAAACTGTTTTAGCTTTTTTAGAATAAGAAAGGTGTCATTTTGGGATAGTGAGCGATAAAATCAAGACAAGTATTTAGTGAACAACCCTTTCCACTTAATGGTGATTATTAGGAAAGAAAAGGAAAGAAAAGGAAAGAAAAGGAAAGAAAAGGAAAGAAAAGGAAAGAAAAAGAGAAGAATTTGTCAGATAACGGTCATCTCATCGTTCATCCATCGACAAATCTCAATTGCTTTTCCCCAATGGCAATTTTTCCCCCAATCTTAACTCTCACTCGAGTGTAATCAACGTTGAACAAGCGCTGGTTATTGAGTTTTCCAAATATTGTTGTTGTGCCAAATATGCCAAATTTTAAGTTAAAAATGTTGATTTGGAAATCTACTAAAAGATAAATTTACAGAATTCATTTCTTTTTCTAGAAACATTTCTTTTAGAAATGCCGATGGCATTAAAGGAGAGCTCAGCATGAAATCAATGGATGAATAGGTGTCATATTATTTCCTCACAATCTTTTTCTCTTTTAACTAGAATATCATTTCATTAGACTCAATGAGTTTTTGAAATACATGATAAATTACATGATTAATTACACGATTAATTGCATATTGATTGCTTTAGTTGCACTTATTCATTGCATTTTGTTGAAGCTTTACTCAATGAAAGTGAACACTTCAACGTCAGGGTTTAAGTGAACAGTTCAACGTCAGGGTTTAAGTGAACAATTCAACTTCAGGGTTTAAGTGAACAGTTCAACGTCAGGGTTTAAGTGAACACTTCAACGTCAGGGTTTAAGTGAACAGTTCAACGTCAGGGTTTAAGTGAACAGTTCAACGTCAGGGTTGAAGTGAACAGTTCAACGTCAGGGTTTAAGTGAACAGTTCAACGTCAAGGTTTAAGTGAACAGTTCAACGTCAAGGTTTAAGTGAACACTTCAACGTCAGGGTTTAAGTGAACACTTCAATCAATATCTGTCAGAAAATGTCAGAAAATTGACTACGAAATTTGAGTAATCAAATAAATCAAATAAATAATCTTTTGCAAACTCACAAGGCCCGGTTTTCGATCTCTTTCAATAATGTTGTTGGTCATTTTGAACGTGTCAAACATCAATGGCCTTTCCATCAACTCTCGCCCAATTGATGCACCTAAAAAAAAAGGCTATTTTATATGGAAAATCTGAAAATTAAGTTCATTAAGCATTAAGCATTAAGCATTTTTTTTTAAAAAACCATTTTACATACCATTATTATCATTCCAGGGAATCGCTCGAGGATCTGAGTGCTCGGGTGGCTCGCCCGGACCAGCCTTTTGCCATTTTGCTGCACCGTTATACTTCCATCTAGATTAAGCTTTAAAAAAATAAACAAAACAAAATTGTTACTTTATTCAAATATAGAAAGATTTATGTAAATGAAAGAGGTAAATTGGTAAATACAATAAAATTCTCACCGAAAATCGTCAGCTCTGCGAAGATAGAGGAAAACTTGATACAACCCGATTGGATCTAATCCTCGAATATTGTACTCCAATCGTGGAAACATTTTTCTATATTGTTGAAGTTTAGAAAAAATTCAATTTTCTACATTACCTCCCAACTTTCGTGATGATCATTTCATTTCCAAGTGGCTGAAATTTCTCCCACAATTTGTGATTCTCGATGCTCACTGTGATACCGTTTTGCATTCTGAAAGTAATAAAGAATTAAAGAATTGAATTAAAGAATTAAAGAATTAAAGAGTTAAAGAATTATAGAATTAAAGAATTGAATTAAAGAATTAAAGTAATAAAGAATTGAATTAAAGAATTAAAGTAATAAAGAATTAAAGAATTGAATTAAAGAATTATAGAATTAAAGAATTATAGAATTAAAGAATTATAGAATTAAAGAATTATAGAATTAAAGAATTATAGAATTAAAGAATTATAGAATTAAAGATTATAGAATTAAAGATAAAGGTTAAAGAATTAAAGAAGATAAGTAGATTAAAGTAGAATTAAAGAGTTAAAGAATTAAAGAGTTAAAGAATTAAAGAGTTAAAGAATTAAAGTAATAAAGAATTAAAGAATTAAAGAGTTAAAGAATTGAACTAAAGAATTAAAGAATTAATGAATTGAATTAAAGGTTTTTTAAGAACAAAACGAAACTGAGGATTTTTTTTCTAGAAATCTTCACTAGCAAGACAATTATTTGGAAACAAGGTGTCGAACATGGAAGAAAAAAATGCAGGTGTGATAGAACCCTCTGGCTTCTAGAGATCGAAACAATTATAGTTATATTCAAAAAAAAAGAGTATATACTGTTGTTATTTAGATCAAATAAAATATGGAAATTTAAATTCCAATCTCTTTGAGGGGAAAAACTTTTTGCGAAACTAACAAAAGCAAAAGGATTTTAAAGAGGCCTTGATTGAAATGGATTCTTTTTCCTTACTGGCTATAGTTATTCAGTTAATAACTAATCTATTGATTCAATTGATTCAATTAATCCAATAACTTATCTATTAATGGTTTATCCAGTTAATAGTTGATCTATTAGCTATACTTATCCAGTTAACAACTGACCTATCAGCTATACTTATCCAGTTAACTGATCTATTAGCTATACTTATCCAGTTAACAACTGACCTATCAGCTATACTTATTCAGTTAACTGACCTATCAGCTATACCTATTCAGTTAACAACTGATCTATCAGCTATACTTATCCAGTTAACTGATCTATCATTAACAACTGATCTAACTTCCCTTAATATCATATCTATTGATTTAAGAAAAGCTTTCGCTTTGTAAGTGCAAAAGGAAAAAAAAGGTGTTAAGTGTCACAATGAGTAACAAAAATGAAATCCAGGCGAAAGTGGAACAAATACAGTAAGAGGATTGATGAATGGATGGGAGGATCTTCCTTCTTGATAGAGAGACTTGAACAAACTGAGACTCGACTTTGCCACAGGCAACCCCGAGTTTTTTCTCTCGAGTACATCGAGAAGCTTGCTATGAGCATTTTTCAATTGTCTTCCCCATCTTCAGCTATTCAATGGTGCCAAATGACAAACAAAACTCACAGTGAAAGGCTTCTGGCTTTCATTTTGAGCAACTTATTCAAAAGTTTCTAGATAAAAGATTATCTTGTTAGGTGGGATTTTTAAAAGACTGAAAATTTGATAGATGCTTTTTTTGCCTAGGATCAAAATCAATTCAAGTACCGTAATCCTGTCTTGAATCAATGGGAAATTAGCTTAACTGCTAGCTATTCTTAAGCTTAACTGTTAGCTATTCTTAAGCTTAACTGCTAGCTATTCTTAAGCTTAACTGCTAGCTATTATTAAGCTTAACTGTTAGCTATTATTAAGCATAACTGCTAGCCATTTTTTAAAATGTCATTAGTAAACTTATCAACTTAACTTTATGCTTATTCAGTGATATGATAGACATGGTTTTGATTCAAATGTCACAATAAGTTGTCAAAGGTCGAGAGTCAATTTCTGGAGGATATGCGAGACAGATGGGTGCATCTGGATATGTTCTTAGAGATGTCTTTAGGCTATTTCTCTACCAGTCTCCTAGCCATATTGGCGGTTGATTTCATAGAGAACACTCTATGAACACTCCTGTTCGCCTATCACACCTCAAACACTACTATGTCACAATGGCTTCAAACTTACAGTAGTTGAAATTTCACAAATTTGTCAAAACATTTGAAAACACTCACCTCACTGAAATTGGCTGTAGATCGCCACAACGAGGCTCGATTGACGGAAAGATCTTCTTGCAGCGACATTTGCATTTACAGCTAGGCTTCTTTATGTTTCGCATTGTCAAAATGGTATTATAGAGAAAATTTAGGGAAGAAATACAAGAGATTTGATATTTTGATAGGCTCTCTCGCTCTGATTCATCGTTGATTTCCCTGGGAATTTGGATGAGAACAAAAAAAAAATCATCTATTGTACCAATAAACAGCTTCAAATAGAAATATTGGTTGTTCAAAGTGGATAGATTTTTATTGTGAAAATGTAAAAATCTTTATGAACTTTGTCAAAAGTGCACTCAATTCTTCATTTTTCGTTTTTTTAATCGTTTTTGATCGTTTCCCAAATCGTTTCTATGAGAAAAATGAAGAATTCAGTGCGTTAGAAGGGTTCGTTTAGAAATTTCAACACAAAGTACACTTTGAGCTTTAAAGTTGACTTCAAAGTTGACTTCAATGTTGACTTCAATGTTGGCTTCAAAGTACACTAATTTTGAGTGTAAACACAATTCGTTTGGCACATCAATCGTATTTTTAAGTGTCACAAGAAAGCGATAAAACATTTTAGTTACAATCATCTTGTTTCAAAAGTGTAAACACTTTTCTAGTGCACTCAATTCTTAAAGCTTCACAAGCCTCACAAGCTTCACAAGCCTCACAAGCCTCACAAGCCTCACAAGCCTCACAAGCCTCACAAGCTTCACAAGCCTCACAAGCCTCACAAGCTTCACAAGCCTCACAAGCCTCACAAGCTTCACAAGCCTCACAAGCCTCACAAGCCTCACAAGCCTCACAAGCTTCACAAGCCACACAAGCCTCACAAGCTTCACAAGCCTCACAAGCTTCACAAGCTCAATTCTTAAAGCTTCATAAGACCAGTACAGTAAGGCATAAAGCTCTTCTTTAGCAATGTTTTACGTGTCTCTGTAGCTCATTTGTAGAGTGTTGGCCCGGTAAGTGAGGCCCGGCAAGTGAGGCCCGGTAAGTCACCGGTTCGAATCCCGCTAATCATGTTTTGTATTCCCAGGTGTCAACCCGTAAAAAGACGAACTGTACCTCAAGCCAGTAGATAGGGTCTCGATAGTTTCCCTTACTATTGACCATCAATCGGCGAGAGCCTGGGGATGGGTGAGGGAAAGGGCCACCTTCTTTCTCTATGTACACACAGGAATGGATGGACAGTGGCCTCCTCTGTTGTCTCACTTTCCTCACCGCTCACCCCTTTCAACTCGCCCCTCTCTCCTCGAATGACTCCTTCATACAGTCCACTTCTCTTCTTCCACATCACCTATCGATCTTCACTTTTCTTTAATTTAAATTTCTTTTTTCAAATCTGATAAGTAACACAACTTTTTTTAAACTTTACTTTTTATTCTAAACTTTCTCGAAATTGAAGTTTTTACAAATGAAATTTTAGAAATGTAATCCAGGAGAAGCCCGTTGGTTTCTAAGGTAAAGTTTTTATGTTATAAGATTGGCTTCTAAGGTAAAGTTTTTATATTATAAGATTAGCTTTTAAGGTAAAGTTTTTATTTTATAAGATTAGCTTCTAAGCTAAAGTTTTTATTTTATAAGACAGAATTTCTTTTCTTTTGTAAAGAATGTGAATTTTTGGGAAGATAATGTTTAAAATTATAAGCGATTTCGGAGAGATTTGTTGAATCAATGAAGTCTTTCATGTTTTCTGCTCGAAATATAAAGCATAAATCTTTTTCAGGAAACATCAAAAATGAACGAGAATTTCTCGATTCGCTCTTTCTCAACAATTTGTGCTTTGATTTGCTTTTGAGTGTTGTTTGTTTCTTTGTTGACGACTTGTGATCGAGCGTCGATCGTCCGCTTTTTGTGACTCGATCCGTGTGTTCGGACTCGTGTGTCAGCCATTTTCATGTATGTTCTCATGGAGGTTTTGTTAAATAAGAAATTTATAATATTTTCTTATTTTGGAAATAATTTAAAAGAAATAATTTGATAAAAAAAAAAAAGATTTGAAAAAAAATCAAATTGTCGACTAATTTCTAGATTAGATAAAGTTCTTTTTTTTTTTTTTGGCTTAAATTTTGACAATAATTCATGTGCTTCTGGTTAAAGTTTGTTACAATAGTTTGTTTATGAGCTAAGTGTGTCTTATTTTTCCCAAAACACTTACCTCATGAAGAAACTATTGTAAAAAAAAACTTTAACCGATATTGCAAAAAATTTTTCAGGAATTTTTTTTGCTGAAAAGATTGGAGGTGTTTGAAGGAGAAAAATAGAATTTCAAAGTTTTGATAAAGGTTTTAAATGTTCATAGATTACATTTACTATATTACCGTATTTCTTCGAATAGAAGACCGGGTAAAGAGTATGATCGCGTACTCCTGCGTAGCAGCCCTTTTTAAAATTTCTTTTCTGCATAAAAGCTTTCAATGAAGTGCTATAGAGCTGGAAAATGACTCAAAAATACCACATGAGCTAGCAGATTTTTGAGCCATTTTCCAGCTCTATAGCACCTCATTGAAAGCTTTTATGCAGAAAAGAAATTTTAAGAAGGGCTGCTACGCAGGAGTACGCGATCATACTCTTTACCCGGTCTTCTATTCGAAGGAATACGGTAGATTTACGAATTTTCCCAGTATTTTAGATTGCCAGTAAAGAAAACATTGCCATATCGTTTCCTCATTCTTTTCTACGTCGCGCCTCTCCCAAAAACAAAATTTTGCCAAAAGTCTTTTACGAACACTTAATTTATTTGTATTCTATTTCTGATTGCGATTTTTTTTTTTACTTATCTTTTCAAAATCTGAGTACTATCGATGTCCCTACGCATTGATTTGGTCGAACTTGCCCTCTTTGCTCGATTGATGACTCTAGACTTTTAATATCGTAATCTGACTCTAGATCCGATCGAGAAAGCGGTTGATCGATTGCTTTTTTTTTTTAATCTAATTACAGT